TACTGAAACTACCTTATAACTTGAAATAAGACATGATCACAGTTCATAGCTCTCTTCTCACTATGAATTGGTTGCAGCTCGTCCTTATCACTGCCTCCCAAGCTCAATTCAAACAGAATAGAGACCGTTATGTAAGATAACCATATCCTTACTGATCATAATTCCTTTCTTCACTCCATTTTTGTCAGAGAAAAGAGTTACCCCCCTTTCCTGCATTTCCCTTTCCCCCTCTCTTCTCCCTCTTCTTCACAAACCGATCCCTAAACCAGCAACAACAACACAAAAATAGCCTTCGCCTCTGCCATCTCCATCTACTGAACGCGTTGGTGCCAAGACAGGACTGCAGAAGCAAAATTTTCTAAAATCAAACTAAATTTTTTGAAGGAGACTCAACCACGAAAAAATAGTAAAGCAACAATGCTAATAGTTCAGATGGTTGGTTTTGATGTTATACGTTGCTTTTGTTCCGGTCTCCAGTATATCAACTGCAATAGAGATGTTTCCTCCAATCATCTTTAGTGCACGATTTAGAAGCAAGTCCTCCTGTTTGTGTCAAACGGAAACATTCATGGGTTCTTAACTCCCCTGTTAGTGTAAAAGCAGCTGCAGCAGCAAAGAAGTTTGACAACACAGCAAGCACCCAGGCAAAATGATACAATGCAGTAGGTGATATGTGTCTCGAAGGTTTTGAGTTACTAAAGTTCATGTTAAAAATAAACATGAATTAAAATGGATTATTCTATTAAGCAAACATCCCCTCTAATCATACAAAGATCAGATATCCAATTCACAAACAATTAAGCCATAAAAAATCATCACACATCCACCACCTTTGATTGCCTAAATTTGGTTTTTCGCAAAGTTATGGACTCTTAAGGGTAACGTTCATGGGTAGTCTGTTTCATAACTCTAGAGAGCACAATAAGCAGCCACCAGCCAGACACAGTGCGGTAGGCGAATATGATTCTCAATTCACAATTTCTCACCACCGGAAGTAAGAACAGACCATAATAAGCGTAGCGTTCATGGGTGGTCTGTTTCATAGCACTACTACCCAATTTGTTAAAAAAGAAAGAACGGTATTTAGCACCACGGCGGAACAACTTTTATAGGCCAACAACGACAACATGCTGCAACCACCAGAACTGGTATCACAACTCATAGGGAAAATCAAAAGATTTACTCTCAAATTAAGCAGTTACAACATCGGGCAATTGTCAAGCACATACACCATCACAATAGTCACGGAACCTGATTCACAAAGCATTCAAACATTTGAGGACATTTCTGCAAAGGTACAACTTATATGTCTTTTTTCCAAGCCATTTCCATCAAAATGCTAATAAATTTGCAATGCATAAAACAAACGGGCCAAAACTTGAAATTCAGCCTGTTTGACGACCCATGCCAAATTCTAATTATTCTTTACTTTTAAACTTTCTATTTGAAAATAAAAAATAGTGAAAGAAAAGAGACGACTACAATTTGCCATTTGCACATCACTTATTCGGGAATAAAACCATAGAAATTCAAAAGGAACTGAAAATGTTTAGGATCGTTATAATGTTTAAAATAACCAAATAGATCTTTATGTTTAGTTTTTTACTAACAAATACCAAACGATTCCCTATAAAATACACTATAATTTGATCATTATGATATCAAATAATTATAAAATATATATTTGAAATGATAATAATTGCACTAATTGTGTTGGTCGAGGTTGAACCATTAAATAACTTTAAAATACATTATATTTTAGCCACTAAGATATAAAATAATAGCATAATATATATTATGCCAGAGAAATTAGCTTATTTTAGAATGACAAACCAATGATGTTCATTTATTTTACATGATGGCCAAATCCCATGTAGGTCAGACACATTCAACTCTTTTATTTTATGGTTAGCGGTTAGCCCATTAGATACCATGCATTAGTTTATTGTTAAATTTTTTATTTTTAACAATAAAAAGGAGTATGATTTTTACCATTTCATATATATTTTGTCACCACGGAGAAATAAAAGGGCTTAAAGAAAAAAAATTTGACACTCCTGGACCCGTTTAAATTCACATGTGTACGGTAAGTTGGCCCGTTCCACAGAGGAAAGAGAGAAAAAATTGAAACTCCCTATTCTACCCTTCCTAAAAACGCTCATGGAGCAGGAAATTTAAAATGGGGAAGGGCTTTTTCCTCCCTGCTATTATATGTTTTTAATTTAAAAAGATACAACAAATGTGCTTAGTGTGATTGGTTATTATCCTTGCTTTTCTTTAAAATGGTCATGGTTCGAATCCCAGTACGTGTCTTTTTAATGAATAAAAAAAAATAATTGTGAAGACCAAAATGTCCTTCCTACTTTCACTCTCGTTGCAGGAAATTTGAAATGAGACTCCCGTTTTTCCCTTCGGCGTATTATATTACTAGCTTATAACCCGGCTCGTTGGCCGGAATGTTCATATTTGATTATTTGTATTTTTATGTTACATTTAAGTCTATCAACTCGTTTAATTTTATTGACAATTCTTCGATCTAGATGATATATAAAGAAAGAATATATAGGTCGAACTTTTGGAGAAATAAGAATATAAAATATAAAAATGATTGATCTCATTTTTATAATGATAATTAAGCCCCAATTAAAATGCTATTGGTTAGTTGATTGTCAAGAAAGATAGAGTACAAAAGCTCATTGGAATTCCCACACGCCATATATAGTTTGAAACACAATTTTAAACCTCACAATCCTACATAAAGGGTTCAATGCTTTCCTTAGGAACAATATGCCACTAATCAAAAAGAAATGGAGAGTTGTTCATTCAAGTCAACTATATACTAACAACTCAATTAAGAGGGGACCAATAAAACTTGAGAGCAAACGACAAAATTAGGGTTACCTCCAATATGCTAATAAACTCGATCGAAGTAATAAGTCACAAAATTAGACAGTCCGTATCTATCAGTTCCAGTAGGTTGAATAAAGAATCGACCTAGCTTCAAAAACCATAAACCTAAAGGTCCAATAGTCACCACTCTCTGTTGTAGAAACAAATTTTTATCTCAAGAGACATATGTTTCAATAAAAAATTCAATCTCTAATCCTCCTTCTACAACTCCATTTATTGAACTCCATTCTATTTGTCATGGATTGATATCGGAGTTGAAATCTTCTACTTGTCTAGCTTAAATCCCCAATAATAAAATCGTAGTTCCAAGAAATACCAAAAGATTGATTTCAAAGGCGGCCTTGTATTGAAAAGTGAAAGGGGCGTAAACTATTGCACGATAGAGGGAATTTCGGAGGAAGTTAAAAGAGATAAGAACAAAGATAAAAAAGCACTAAATATAAATTTAAATTGAAAATTTCAAGGATACAACACGCAGTAACATAATTAGTTTCTTTTATGGTAGCCAATTAGCAATCTACCTTTAGCAAAAACAATTAAGGCGAGAGCAAAATATTTTAAATTGAAAAAATTACATGAAACTATAGCTACTATGAAAACTGAAGTATCAAACACCATAAAAATATATACGGTAGACTTAGTGGGTTTGGTAATCATGATGGAAAATTCATCCAATTTTCAGAGTCTAACTTTGTGTATGCTTTGTACTAAAAAAGATACAACAAATTTGTTTAGTGTAATTGGTTGTGGTTGTTGTCTTTGTTTTAAGAGACCCGGCTTCGAATCCTCATATTGATATTTTTTATATGAGATTAATAATTAATTGTAAAGACAAAAATGTCCTTCCTACTTTCACTCTCATTGCAGGAAATTTGAAATGGAGAAAAGTTCACAAAACTCTACCATATATTATTGGAGGATGTGTAGATTCTTCACCGGAAGCCGGGGTTCTTTTGCGCGGCAATAAGAAGCTGCTTCCAGGTTGGGTTCTATGTTAATTAAAAAACGAAAATTTAGTATATGACAAGTTGACGTGCCGGAGTGGTTATCGGGCATGACTAGAAATCATGTGGGCTTTGCCCGCGCAGGTTCGAATCCTGCCGTCCACGATTCTATTTTATTTTTTATTCCATTTAAGCTGTTAATGTCCCAAAAAGAGCCAAGAAATACATCTTTAATGACAGTACTAAAATGATACAAACTCAGGGCTTTTGAGACTTATCTTGGAGGATCCGATCGATGGACAGAACTGGAGATGGCCGATGAATGGTGGTCATGCGATGTAAAAGGCGACGACGAAGCTGGCGGAGCGAGCTGTACGGAAGAGCGAACTCTAGCGACAACAGAAGTCCACAGTCGACAGTGTTACTTACAGGCTTGCAACCGACCACTGCAGAGTGTGAGCTGATCTTATTTCCATATAGCTTGAGCAAGTAAAAGGGGGTAAAGTTTATCTCCCCTCATGTTTGCTGCCGCAAGTTCCTAACGTGGCAGATACTAAAGAAACAGAAAGCTGGAGTTTTAGGCAGAGACTTGGTCTCAAGTCAAATCAATGCTTGCTTCACCTCGTAGCAGAAACGTCATCTGTCACAAACTTGAGGTATTGACAATACAGCAGGTCAATAGTGGAGGTTGGTACTAAAGCGCCCACTACGAAAGCCATTTTGGAAGAACATAACAAGTTAAAGACTCAGCTTTTAGTTTATGTTATCTATAATGACAAACTTGGTTTCATGTTCTTCACATTTTCCCTTCCAGTTGTCACGGAAGGTAAAATACATACTAGAAGTACATAACAATGTACTGCACAGAACCAGTGCAACCACAATTCATGAATTCTGGTACACAGACAGATAAAACATCAGCTACTTGTTGAAGAGTGGAACTATTACCTCTTCATACTGATAGCCATTCACCACAACTGAAACACTATCATGGGTGTGCAAATCTTTCCAACATCACTTATGCTCATTTCACGCCCACTAATTGTATCCGCTTCTGCTCAACTTAATCAGAGGAGCCAAAGCCAGAATGTTTGTACTGAAATAACAAATCCACACGATTCAGCTGCACTCAAATACTGGGCCATGTCAGAATCCATAAGTTCCATCCTCTTGCAAACTCATATCATGAACATCAGAGCCTGAACTCCCTGAATTCACCCCAGCTCGATTCATGGTCCTACGACCATTGTCATGCTGAATCCTACTACTGGTCCTGATGTCCCTTCTGCTAGACAAAGTCCTTCCTTTGTGCTTTATCTGGGATTGGAAACTCCGATCATAAATCTCAGAGCCCGAACTCCTGGTATTCTGGAAACCTCGAGTATCACCATCACTATTGTTCTGAATGCTTCTAGTCCTGCTCGTACTTGTCCTTGATACAGTCCTTCCTCTATGCTTTACCTGGGATTGGAAATTCGCATCATAAGTTTCAGAGTCCATATTTCTGCCACTCCTGAAACCTCGAGTCTCACCATCACTACTGTTATGGATCCTACTAGTCCTGCTCAAACTTCTGCTTGACAAAGTCCTTCCACTATTATTTATCTGGGATTGGAAGCTCGAATCATTAATGTCAGAGTCAGGATTCCTGCCATTCCTGAAACCTCGAGCCTCGCCTTCACCATTGTCATGAATCCTACTAGTCCTGCCCTTGCTTGTGTTAGACAGATTCCTTCCTGGTAACTTCCTGTGAAACCGACCTTGACTCGAATCCAATTCACCACTAGCATTCCCAGACCTCCTACTCCCTCTATTCCTCACTTCACCGCCATTTCTCCTCCCACCAACACTCTTGTAATTGTTCAAGCCCGAGTTTCCACTAGAATACTGCGAGCTGTCATCTTCCAAGTCAGAAAAGTTCTGGGTTTTAAACCTCCTCCTACCTCTTTGCATCCCTCCATATCTCTCAACACCATTTTCCCCTGCCGTACCCGGCCAATCTCCCAATTCCTCATTCTCCAACTCCTCATCATCAAGCCCAGCGACCTTCCCGTAGGGCTTCACGCTATGAACAACCCCTTTAGGGAAAAATCTAGCGGAAGGGATGCCGCCGTCGGGGGTCTTGAACAACTGGGGGCCATCTCTCTCCGTCCACAAATCGAACCCACCGGGCTTCTGAAACCTATCGGCCAAAACCTTCACCTGCTCGTCCGCGCCCACGGAGAAGAGAGTGGGCGCCTTGTTGACAACCTCCCATGGGCGCTCCAGTTCGGCGACCGCCGCCTTGAGCTCGGCTCGCTTCCGCATCTCGTAGATTTGCCTCTCGCGGCTCAGGCGTGCCTTGAGGAGCTGCTTGGATTTCTTGGCCTGCATCCGCTTCCACTGCCACCGCGACACCCCGCCTGGGTAGGTTCGTGGGCCGCCGCCCATTCGGATTACGGTGGATTTCCTAGGGACGGGTTTGGGTTGGATGGAGAGGTGGGAGAATTTAGAGAGGAAGAGAGGGCTTTCGGATGTTAGGGTTTTGGAGAAGGAGAGATGGGGTGGGAGGATTGACATCGCCATCGGCTGTGGATTAGCGGAGACACCACCGGAACCCAAATACCAATTTCCCGACGACGGCAGTTTCTACTAGCAGAGGAAAAGAATGGGTGGTCCGTCGCTCGTCAATCGATCACATTAGTTATCCGTTATAGGAGTACTATTTTTGATATTTTCCAATAGGGATGGGGAGGCGAGAAAATAAGAGGCGAGAAAAATTGTTGTTTTAGAGCATCAAACATTCGATTACAAAAGCAATTGCATTTATGTTTTTATCGTCAATTCAAATTTTTTTCAATTCAGTTTGAATTATTTTCATTCACCTATACATCAATTTAATTAACTTCTAATTGCATATGTAATTAGATATTATATTTAAATTATAAAAAAATAAAGTAAAAGTGAAAATAAAGTAATACAAATAAAAAATCTCATTTTGACTTGCATATGCAATTGCATTTGTTGCAAGCTTGCAAATATGTAATTGGTAACCACATCAATGCAATAGATTTTGCAATTGCACACACTCATGTCATGTCATCTTGCAATTGATATTACAATACCAATGTGGATGCTCTTACGAGAAAAATTGAAGGAAAAGTAGGGTGACAGTTTACTAATAAAATAAATAAATAGTTTGTTACGATTCTTTTTTTTAATGATGTGCTACCAATGAATATCTTTTAATAAAGGGAGTGGTACAAAGAGAATTTTTTTATCAATTACTTTTTTTAATAAATTATATTTTATAAAGTAAAAAAAACATATTAATTAAAATTTTCAGAAAATGCAAATATGGGAGATAACACTATTCCCCCACACTTAAGTTCAAAGCTAGGTGATATTAGGGGCGGAGCTACACTATGGTGTGGAGGCCCCTCCGAGAATTCCGAAAGTTACGTATAAAGTTTTCTTGATTTTTGAAAACAATGTATAAACTGGATTGATAATGAAAACGGTTGCAAAAGATGGAACATTAAGTAGTTTAGTCTAACGGAAGGGTATTAATACTTAATCTGGTCATTGGAAGTATTGTAGGTTCGGTAATCCATGCTGTCATTTCTGTTCCTCTTCTGGTTTTTTCATACTCCACACTGCAATTTTTGTTCCTTTTTTGGTTTATACTTTTTAGTTGTACTTTGCATGAAAGTTCAATAGAATCATCTAGTTCTCATATTTAGTTTCTTACTTAAGATCTTTTACTTAAAATTAAATTCTTCAACATTGCATTTCAAAGTTTTGAGGACTCTTTTGATTTTTGAATATACAATGAGTAGTTTTTTAGTGTATGGTAGGCATTCATATTTTAGCTCAAAATATAGTGAAAACTTTGCTTTATAATGTTTATAAAAATTTTCGGCCCCCCTAATGCTCGAATCCCGCTTCCGCTCCTAGGTGACATGGTGGCATAACATTTACACAAGCTTGGATTTTCACATTTTAAGCACAACAAGACCACAAGCAATAAGAGGCATGAAACTAGGTATTTCATATATTGAATAGGATGCAAAAGCAAGTCTAAATCATGCCTTGATGCTAACAATACAACATGCACACAAGGGTATGAAGGCTAGAAAATTTAACAAACACTTGGTGGGTATATCATTCAAAAGAGCCAAAACATGCAAAAAAAATTCCACCTAGGCATCCACAAGCCATCATACACCTCAAACTGTATCATCCATTCATCATTCAACTAATCACTCGCCTAATTCAATCATATCATGCAAAAATATCATTCTCCTCACCTAAGTACCCTAGAACCACTTTTTCAAAATTGACAAGGTAGAGGCATTTACACACTTGGAAACACAAGTAGGCACATTGGGGAAGGTGAGGAAAAGGCAAGGGAGTAAAAACTTGGCCAAAAAATTGACACGGGGAGGTCGCTGGAAGCTCAATGGAGGCTCGACATTGGTGGAACAGTGGTAACGGATAACCGCGAGATTGGCACCGAAGGAGCTCAATGGAGGCTCGACATTGGTGTGTGCTTGTTTTTTTATTTTGGGTCTCCAGAAGTCAACGAAAACATCTAACAATCGTCGGGGTTAAAACGGTTGTTAATAAGACTTTTTTTTGTTGCCATAGTTATCCCTGAAGGGAGCAGTATAGATACAACAATACATAAGGCCTACTAAGATCAAGCTAGGAAGTTTAAAGAAAAACACGATGGTCGACAAGTGTCTGCACTATCGCTCTAAGGGCTTGTCTTGCCACTATATGGGCAGCTCTATTATACCTAAGGAGAGCAAAATAAAGCGTAGCACGAATGAAAGAAGCTCTCAATGCCTGAATCTCTTGCAGGAGAGCTCCACCCACCGCGAGCTACGAGTCCCTTGCATTGATCATCCTAACAATCACCTGAGCATCCACGCGAAACAAAACATTAGTGAAAGAGTGAGCCAGAGTTGCGAAGAGCCAGAAGCTCTTCGAGAAAAGGGACATAGACATTAGGAAGAAGAATCCTGAAGACGTAGTGAATAAAACTTAATAACTACTGTTATTTTATTGTAGCCAATAGTTTTAACTACCATTTATTTGGCCCAATTGTACATATTTCCTCCCATATTCTTTAGATGTTTGAGGCATTTTCACTCTGTGAGGTTCGGTTTTACGCTAGGTTGTGCTTGTTTCTAGTGTGTTTCAGATCCTAGCAGGTGGAATCGACGTCGCGAAGGAAAGTTAGACAAAAAGGGGCAAAAATGGATAAAAGGGAGCTAACAACCGAAGATCACGGTGGAAGCCAGAACTTCACGGTCAGGCCGACCGAGATAAAGAGGCCAGGACCTTGAAGTGCAAGGCGACCAGGGAAGTTTTACAGCCTCGTGGGCTCACGAGAAATCACGGTCGCTCAATCGTGATAATCCGCTCTACACCGTGAAGTCCTTTAGTGAAACGACGTGCTTTTGTCCCGAATCACGGTGCAAGGTTTGAGTTCACGGCGGTGAACTGGGACCGTGAAAAGTCGTCGATCTGGGTATAAAATGGGAAGTGAATGGAAAGAAGAGGAAGGAGAGAGCCTAGTGAGAGAACTTCTTCTTCCTCAGATTTCTAGAGAGAGTATGACGAACACAAGAGGAGAAGAAAGTTAGGGTTTCATCCAAGCTCCAAGATTTGAGAATCTCATCCTCCAAGGTTGATCTCCACACCAAAGGAAGAAGACAAACATCTCAAGATGGTCTTTTCTCTTCTCCTTTATCCTATCCCTAGTCTTAGCATAAAGTAGTTCCCTTTTTTCACTTGGGTGTTTGTGAACCCTAGCCAGAATCATGTGATTGTTTGTATGAATTAAATAATTTGTGTATGGTTGTGTTTTAATGCAAGTATTGAGATATTTTCATGAAGGTTGTGTCGTGTTTTCCATTTCCAACTATTTTGCCAATTTGACTTAGGTAGAGGGAAATCCCCTTCTTGCTAAGAGGCTTTCAAAAACTGGAATTTGTTGGACAAATTGAGCCACCTACTTAGGCCGATTTAGGGGAAAAAATCTTACTACATTTTAGCACCTTGGGTTGGTTGTATTTTGGCCGTCGAGATTATGGTTTGAGGGAGAAGCCTTGGAAACCTTAGTCGATTGGCCAAGAGAGCTATTTTGGTAGCTTAATTTGATATCCCTTGGCTAATCGACCAAGAGAGTGAAGTTTCTTCACTAGTTGCGCTTCCCTACGGTTTACCACCACTTTTACCACACCCTTGCATTCGGTTCAACTCATCTTGATAACTAGCTAGGGGAGCAACACCTGGGTGAATCCTTCTCAATTAGTGTTCAAAACCATTTACCTTTCCAATTGCTTTTAATCGTAATCCATAGTTTTGACCAAAAATCGATTGCTAGATATGTTTAAAACAGTTGAAGTAGGGGGTACATGAACCGACCCGGGTTTGACATTTAAATTCTTGCTCTATACTGCACCCGGCTAGAGTTTATACTTGGGCTCCAGTCGGGATTTAAGGTATTCGAAAAGAGTCAAGTTTTTTTTGGCGCCGTTGACGGGCAACTTAGTTCCATTATTTTGAAAAGATTTTTTAGTGTTAATCTAGCGTTTTCTTTTTGCTTTGTTGATTGTGAATCTTGCTTGTGTGCTTCGAGTTGTGTTTTTTTGAAGTGTGTGTAGGAGGGTGTACGACCCGGAGTAATCCGACACTTTTGACGCCACTAGATGAGAACCTCAACCGCACTCTCGGAATCTTGGCTCGTGAGAGGGAGTTGGCAAACGCAAGAAGAAGGATAGAGGAGAGGGGACAACCACAAGTTGATCCCGAAGTTGAAGAATAAGTTGAAGTTGAGGAGGAAGTTGAATCGGAGGAAGATGAAACTTTTTCACTAGTTGCGCTTCCCTACGGTTTACCACACCCTTGCATTCGGTGCAACTAATATTGATAACTAACTAGGGGGAGCAACACCCTTGTGAAACCTTCTCAATCAGTGTTCAAAATCATTTACCTTTCCAATTGCTTTTAAATATAATCCATATAGTTTTAACCGAAAACCGATTGCTAGATAATGTTTTAAACGGTTGAAGTAGGGGTACATGGACTGGCCCAAATTTGACATTTAAATACTTGCTCTATACTACAACCGACCTGAGTTTATACTTGGGCTCTAGTCGGGATTTAAATCAAGGTATTCAGGAATAGTCAACCATAGAATGAAACAGTAGTAACTAGTTATTTATTTTTAACTACCGTTTTGACTTTTAACAACGACCAAGTTAACCCACTGTATTTAGACCGTGACTAAAAGTATAACTATCGTTTTGTGGCTATTAACTACCAAGGTTTGTCCACTCGTGGGTTGACCCGCCGGTTGACCCCGATCCTAATCGAGAGAGACAAATGGGCCACGTACAATCACAGGTCGACCCGCTGCAAGTTACCAGGTTGGAGGTCATACGATGCCATTTTTCCTTTTAGTTTGTGAAATGCGCCTCTTCCGATTTTCCTCTTCGCCTAACCCTATTTTTGGAATTCTAAGTTGAACAAATATTGATGTTAAATAAGTGTGTGAATTTTCACTATATGCTAGATCCAAGTACGATGTATTATTTTGTTGTAATGTTCTATGTTATTACTCATATGTTAAATGATATTTGATTATAATATATAAATGTATGATCAATATAATGATTTTTTTTTCCATATATCATGACTAAATCGAACTAAAGGTATTAGACCATTAACCATTAGTCCTTAACCCATTTGCTTGATCGGACCAACTATGTAAACCGGCTTGACAACCTCAGTTTTTACCCTAGGTAAAGGTGTATTTTCAGGTAGTGGTTGTTGGTTATGCCAAATGCCATATACTTTGGATCGGCTAAAGTTTTGTGACAGTTCATTTGACATTTGGTGTATTGGGTGGTTTCTGCCACGTGAGTTGGGGCAATCCCATTGACTTGGGAAATGTAATACCATTTTAAAACGATCGCCAATTCCAGTTATCAGCATGAGCTGCTAGTTACTTGCTGTACCGTCCAGCCTTGGATGCAATTCTTAGAGCGGGCAAATTCATAACTAAACTCAAAGCTTCCAGAGAGGCAGCAGAAGCAGAATTTGACTTGAAGAAGAGGGTGAGAATAGTCCTAAAAGCCCAAGCCACCCACCCACCGCACGTGCAATTTCCCCACACCAAACTAGCTAGCCCACTTGGAGAGAGAGAATCATTTCTACTTTTTCTATTGATATGATTTGAATCGGACTATCAGCCGCTAGGGATGGCAAAAATATCCGTAACCGTGGATATCCACCCGAACCCGGCCTAATCGGGTAGGGTAAAACCCGAACCCGAAGGACATTTAGTGGGTATGGGTAAAATCCGAACCCGAATATTGCGGGTAATGGGTGGGCATGGGATTCTCAGTATCCAACCCGAACCCGCCCGATTATACATATACATATGTATTTTGTCTAGAAATAGTCATTATTTTTCTCTAACATATTTTATATTTAGCATATAAATATAATATTTTCATAAAATTGTGTTGTTTTAATTAATTTTCTTCATTCTAGTGAATTATTGTCATACTTTTCCTCTTCCGTAATGTGAGAATACGTGTGAATGTTAACATATTAGTTGGAGTTATGAAGAGAAATCATTACCCAAGGATAACCGTGGATACCCGAAACCCGAACGGGTATGGGCATGGTTTTAATTTTCTACCCGTTTTATATGTGGGTATGGGTAAAACCCGAACTACTTTGGGTAAGGTAACAGATATGCACTATCCGTCCCCGACCCGACCCATTGCCATCCCTATCAGCCGCTACGCCTGAAAGTCACGGGGTTTGTAACCGTCTCTTTGAAGTATAGTGAAAACTGGCTCTCTCTCCTGTCCGTGGACTAGCTAACACACTTTGTTTTAGTGAACCACGTAAATCATGTGTCGTGTCTCTGTTTTCATTTTCTTGTTTTGTCGAATCCTCCGATTTAGAAGTGTAGTTATAACACCTTCCCAATAATCTATAGCTGACAAAGAGCTGGCAACCAGCCACCCGTGCAAGCTGCAGCAGGCAGTGGACTCCAGCGAGCAATGAGAGAGAGAGAGAGAGAGAGAGAGAGGCAGTGAAGGTATTTGTATTTTTTGGGAACAGGAACCTGACACTCTCCTTCTTTCTCTAATTATCACTCATATCAGCATATTTAAAAACAAAGATCCAAACAGAGTCACATACCCTTGTCTGCCCGCAACACAACCACCGCAGATGTAGAAAAAAAAATCTTTAGCTAGGTATCTCGATTCTTGTTTTTTTTTTTTTTTTAACGTTTGTGCCCTGAACCGACAAATGATCGTAGGAATTCTTTTAATTGCATTTAAATGTTCAATAATTATGTTGGTCTTAATTTACTCTTTTTATCAAATTAATTTATACTTTGAATGTTCAGTAAGAATCTTGGACCAAGATTTTGTCCCGATTGTTAGGTAAGTAAATTGTTTGCCTTGTTCATAAATGAACAAAAAAAAAAAAATGCTTGGCTTGTCTCCTTGTGGAATATTAATGTAGTAGTAGTATAGCATAGACACGTATCTTAATTATGTAGCGAAAACATGATCACTACCTAACTGATCAGTGTTTTACCACCTAAAAGGAAACAAAACACAAGAGTTTTGGTGGGATCACCGTTTCTTGTTCTTAGGATGTGTGATGAACTAAGTGAAAAAAAACATTTTTAAGAAAATTTAGTAGGGATCACCGTCTCTAGAATAACTGGAGCGAGAATATCAACAATCTTCTTTCGGCTCTTGAGGGAAATGGCCTTGTAGTGAGCCAGCTAATCTCTGGGATTAGGAATGGTCTTTGTCGGGCCCAGGGAGAGTGCCTTGGGCCATGGTGGTCACAGTCTGGGCCATGTCCCCAATCTGGGTCTGGAGATCCCCAGCGGCGTATCCAGAACACAATAGTGCACTGGGCCGGATTTCATTAGAAATTAGATATCGTAAAAAGGATAATGATTTTATATTTTTTTACAATGTCAATTGTTCACGATGGTGTTATAATTTAGCGAATGCATCAATAATGGAGTCTACATCCATGCCAATAGTATGCTTTGTTTCAAATAAAATACTTAAGCAACCGGCGAGTAATTCATCGCTCATTTTGTTGCGCTAATTAATTTTCACATGTTTCATTGTTGATAAGGTTCTCGCTGTAGTAGCTGTTGAAACGGACAGCGTCAATACTAAATCAATCGACTAATCAATTTCCATTGTGTGCCATCCCTATATCCAACAACTGCTCTAGTAAATTTTCAATGGAATAAATCTCATATTTCTTTTATTAGTCTTTTACGCATTAGACTTTTAAAATTTCAGGTCCGTTGTTTTTGTTTAAACGAAAATCTTTAGGGCTAGAATTTATAAGCTAAATTTAGAGTAGTTATTTGAATATGTTCATATGAATTATTTTTCTAGTTACACACAATCTTATTATAAAATAACACTGAACCGAATGTCTAAAATCGAAAAATTCATAAGGGCTATACTAACATTGGATCCAGAGGAGGGCGGGCCTGGGTTGGCCACCCCCTGGATCCGCCAATGGAGATCCCGCAATATGGCCTGCTGGTATTAGGGATGGCAATGGGTCGGGTTGGGGCGTGTTTTGTCAAACCCAAATCCAAACCCATGGGTTTATCCGCCAAAAAAACTCGGAGTAAAACCCGTTGGGTTTGAAAAACTCAAACCCAACCCAACCCGTTGGGTATCCGCGGGTTCATGGGTACCCGTGGGATTTTGTGGTAAAAAATTTACAATAACAAGTTTCTTTCAAAATAAAAGTTTAACATCAATTTTCTCATACAAATTAATCATACAAAAAAACACCAATCTAGAGCATACAAGCAAACCGCAAATGATCAATACAAATTGTTCAAAATTAAAGATAAACATCTATAAAAAAAAGATTAATTGAAAGCTTCTTCCTCGTCAACTAAGTTTCTTCACTCTCCACTTCATAATATCAACTTCATTCTAAACAATTAGAAAGAACAAATTATACATGTCTCCACAAACATAAAGAATATTAATTGTTTAAGGAAAATATATTATTTAGAATATTAAATATACCAGGAAAATAATTATATGTGTGTGGGCGGGTACCCATAGGTCGGGTTTACCTAAACCCAAATCCAACCCGACCCGGTGAATAGTGTAGCAGGTTTAAACCCGAACCCGGCCCAAAACCCGTCAACACGGATTTTACCCGCGTTGACCGGGTTGGGTCGGGTGGGTACCCGTGGGTTCGGGTTTTGTTGCCATCCTTAGTTGGTATTGTTGTCCAGTCTCGAGGTCTCAGAACTTCCCGAATTCAGGTCTATTAACTAGTCCATCTTATTGAACCTCTTAGCACATGTAGTCAAATATAATTTGTGTTTGTCTTGTGTAATGTATAATTGTAAAATGATGTTACATGAATCTTAGATAATAAACATTATTCTTCCGTAATATTTATAGAACTGGTATACATAAACCTTATGTAATAGATGATCCTTTTACGAGTTGATTATTAACCCTACATTCCCCATTGTGAAAGTTTAAGTAACACATACAATTTAGGGCAATGTCTATTTTTTACCCAAACCTTTTTCAGATTCTTTTATTTTAACCAAACCTATTGAATTCCTAAAAATTATCCAAATGTTAACTCTCCGTCAATTTTTCTGTTAGTAATGCTAACTAAGTATGACCATAATGAGTTGACTACCTACGTGGGGTCAGAATACCATCATTTACTATTTTTAATAAAAAGATTATAAAAAAAAAACAAAATCCCACTCCTCACGTGAACGAAATAAGTAACGGTAACAGAATGAATGCCCAGACTTTGATAAATTATAATACGTTTGGATAATAAATAGAATTTCTATAGATTTAGTTAAAATAAAAGAATCTGAAAAAGGTTTGGGTAAAAAATAGACATTACCCTACAATTTAACAATTGCATAAGAAATGGGTTGTCATTTCGTAACATTTACATAATATATTTGTTCTTTCCAAAAAAATAAAAATATAATACATTTGTAGTAGATGTAAACAAGACACAATTCCATAAACGAAATTCAGTTTGACGTAAACCGTCATGAACATTACAAAAATCTTAACGTAAAACATCTGGAAATTCATTTTTACGTAAACATTGAGAAATGACTGTTACTACGAAAAGATAGTGAAATGTTTTTTACCATTAAAAATAGTTGGCTAGCTAGCATATAATAGATGCTACCAAATTCATAAATAAAAAAAATTGCTATAGCAAGCAATTTCTCACACAGCTTCTTCTTTGACTAACGACCAATCATCATCTACAATCCAAAACATACCAACTTAATCAGTGCAAATAAGCTCCGCACAATACTCCAAAAATAAAAACTCTGTTCCCTTCATTCATTTCAGTACTCGGTTGTAATTTCCTGATAACAAGCGGTTCCACGTGCATGTCCATCAATTTGCTCTGCTTAAGCAGACAACCACAGAACAAGAGCACCATTAAACAAAACCCAGCTGGGAAATTTCCCCCCTGCTGCTGCTGCTGCTGCTTCCCCTTCAGATCCACAAATTCCCTTTGTCTCAGAGCTATATAACTGCCCTCAGAAGCCATCAACTTTCATTCCACAACTACTCCACTCGAAGAAATGGCTGGATCCTTCCTTATTATGTGCCTCATCCTCGTAGAAGCTTTAGTGGGTCTGGCCATGGCCAGTGAAAAAAATGTTCAAACTTTGGTCCAATCCAACTCTGTTGAAGCACCATCACCAAATAGAAAACTTGGGAATCATGGCCCATCCATGGCGCCAAGTTATGATCAAGAGGGAGAGAGGAGTCATGGTGGAAATGGAAATGGAAATGGAATTGGCAGTTCTTCCTCTGTCGTTGATTTGGAGCATAGGCATCACCGTTCAGTGGATAAATCGGTGGCCGGCGGTGGAGTGATTCTTGGGGGGCTGGCTACCATGTTTTTGCTGGCGGTCTTCTGTTACATTAGAGCTACAGGAAGAGATCATAAATCTGAAACTAGCAGCAATGCCTGATTTCCATTCCATACTCTGTTTTTTTTTTTGGGGGGGGGGGGGGGGGGGGGGGGGGGGGGTACTACTGCTTTGTTAAATATTATCTTTTTTTGTGTGGGTAGGTAATGAATAGAACAGAGGAGCTCGCTTTGATGAGGGGGTTCCCTTGTTCATGTTTGAAACTGTAAATTTATTTAAGAGTTGGATTCTTATCTAGTACATAAACTAATTTCATTTTACTTGAAAGAAACCGATCGCTATCAAGTAGGATAGCAATGTTGACATGTGACTCGATCTATTCGACTCGGTATGTTCGGATATTACTAGTGTATGATAGTGTGCGTGAGTTTTATTTCTCCATTGTACTTTTTTGGCTATGTTCTCGATATGTATGCTATCTGGAATATCGCTAATATTTGCACATATTTATAAGGATTGTCAAAAGTGTTCTATATCGGTTGGTATGAGTGGAAAAAGCAATGTGGGTTACTAATATGGGAATCATCCTTTAAATATTCAGAAAATCGCCCGGCGACAAGTTCATCAACTGTTAACCGCCTAAACTGCCATACCCGTTTGACATATTTTTGGGTGACCCATTGATAATGTTGTAGCGTACTATCAAATTTACTAAATATTTGAAGGGTATTTAGATCGTATTAACTTAGCATTTCTAACGTTCGACTACTCAAAATTGCATGAATTATTCGATCACAATAAACCAATTTGAAAGCTATTAATAAAACTTGAATTAATTATAGAGCAAGGAAAGCGATAAATTGTCTAGTAACATGAATCGGAACAGGCGATTGCCCGGACCATGTGACCCCAGGTTCGATGGATCGACAATTCCTTAGAGAGGGTTGAATGCATATGTGATTCTTCAACGGAAAATACCTAACTGATAGGCTACAAGAAGCCTACGATTTCTCCATTAATGCATCACATAGTCTAATCAATTGAAGATTGTGTCAATTTGTATACGATAAGGAAAAGAACATGAGGATTTAACGTGGTTTCCCTGATGATTAGGACTAGTCCACGAGAGATATAGAACTCTCCAAGGGTAAACTCTTATTCGCGTTAGGGTTTTTCTGGTTACATGCTACGTATTTATACATACAAAGGCGGCTGGCTAATTACAACTAAGTACACAAAGTAACATATTTCAACACCCTCCCTCAAATTGATGTTGGGTACGTAACATCAATTTGGATGAGAGGAACCAATGTCTACTCGACGCCAACGCCTTTGTCAAGATGCCTGCAGTCTGGTCCTCTGTAGAAAGGTAACCAACTTGTATCATACCTTCCGCGATCAGTTGTCTAATATAATGGAGATGTACCTCAATATGCTTCGTCCTGTCATGCAACACCGGATTTATAGCAATCTGTATCGCACTGGTAGTATCTCCATATATCCTCATTGGCCGACGACAGGTCATGTCTAGTTCCCCAAGTAACCGATGTAACCACTCCATCTCTGAGCTCACCTCAGACATAGATCGATACTCTGCCTCTGTCGAGGAGTTCAACACTCGGTCTTGCTTCCGACACCTCCACAAAATGAACGACCTTCCTACCCGTATACACCATCCCAAAGTAGACCTTCTAGTATCTTACACCCATCCCGAAGTAGAACTTCTAGAAAATATCTATTGTTTCCAAATGACGTTGGGGTGATTGGTCCACAGAGATCAGCATGAACAAGCTCAAGCGGTGCTTTAGCTCGTGACAGGAACTCCTTTGAAAAACTTGCCCTGAATTGCTTCACAACAAAGAATCATTCACACAACTAATCAGGATGATTGATCACGGGCCGACCATGCTCTATCTTCTTATGATTCAGTAACTTTAGGCCTTAAAATTTAGATTGCCATACCTCAGATGCCATAGCCATGTAGTGTCCTTCACACATGCTTTCAAGCACTTCGCCATTTCAGTCTAAATGTTTGGCGTGACCATTCTATTTCTCGAAAAGGCTATTGTCCTTGATACAACAACCTTCTCTGTTCTGGGCGGTGATTGCTGTCCTCAGACGGATCTGGCGAACTCGTAACTGGGTTGTCTTTGAAGGCAAGCAGTTTGGGATCCCAGCCTTAATGCGCCAGTTTAACCAGCAATATGAGGAGTGGATGAGCCTGCCGGTGGATAGGGTTCTTCTGTCTTCCTCCCCGTTGATACAACGCTTGGGTCCTGTGGGGCCTAACATGGTTATTTGTATGTGGGATGGGGCAGTATGGAGTGAATCACATTCGGCAGGCAGGATGGTCATTATGAACCCTGCTAGTGAGGTCCTTTTGGTGAAGAGGGATCAATTTCTGTTGATAGATGATCCTAGGGGTGGAAGTTTGGGTTGCGGGTTGTGGATAATCCGCAAACCACACCAACCCGCACTCATTGTGGGTAACCATACCCACAAGTTGTGGGTAGTGGGTTGGGTGTGGGTAGTAAAATAACAATTTTTGTGGTTAGTGGTTATCCACTACCCACCGCGGTTAACCCACAAAATTCACAATAACCACACTAATTATATTTATTTAGTGAATTAACTTTATAATATAATAGTATGTGAAAAGTGTGAGGATAAAAATTAAAGTAGCCACCAAATAAAAAAGACACACCTAATTAGTTTTATATAAGAATTTTTTAGTTTATAAAACACTATAATCGATAGAGTGGAGAATAATCAATTCATTAAAAGTGAACACATTTTATAACTTTTATCAGTATGTTTTTGCTTTTGTGTGAAAAAAATACAAAATCATATTTAATTGTCATATTTCACCCCTAGTCGGGGAAATATGAAATCACAGCTCTCTGGCACAATATTTGAACACCAAACTAAAAAAAAAAAATTTCACGTTGAGTAAGATCGATGTACAAAATTGTATCTCCACGAACAACACAAGTGTATATCACTATAGTCTAGTTACGAACAACAAATACGTTAGCGGCGACTAGAACTATATGCTTGCAAATAAGGATTTTTGCGGGTAACCACACTCAACCTGCACAAACCCACAGTGGGTAGTGGTTACCCACTAACCACTGCGGTGCGGGTTGTGGGTAGCATAATTATAATGTGGGTGTGGATACCCGCAAAATATGGGCGGGTAACCACACCCACCCCAATTTCCACCCCTAGATGATCCTCTGGTGGTTGAGTTGCTTGTGCTCCGAGAGCCTATTTTATGGTGTCTGGCCTAGGGCTTCATAGATATAAGATTTGAAGGGGATGCCAAAGTTCTCATCGAGAAGATCAATCGGGTTGATATCAGTGATAACAGGGTGGGGGTGGTTTCCACCCCTAGATGATCCTCTGGTGGTCGAGTTGCTTGTGCTCCGAGAGCCTATTTTATGATGTCTGGCCTAGGGCTTCACATATATAAGATTTGAAGGGGATGCCAAAGTTCTGATCGAGAATATCAATCGGGCTGATATCAGTGATAACAGGGTGGGGGCGGTTCTTGAAGAAATAGTGTATTACTTTGCCATTCACTCTGGATTTAGTGTGCGATTTGTAGGTCGACCTAGCAACAGGGTAGCCCATATGGTGGCTAGAAAGACCCTTTCTTTGGACCCGATTATGAGTCGTTTACTCGTTTCTTTAATTTCCAGACCTGACTGAATTCTAGAATGTAACTATCTTTTTCGAATCAATATATGATTTCGTTTTGTAAAAAAAAAAAAAAAATCATTTTCTTCCCTTGTGGAAGAGGGGAGAAAGAAGAAACAATAATTAAGCCAACCTGGAATTGTCTGGCGTTTTCCATTTTGTTCTTTGTTCTAGAAGGCCAAACTAATTGAAAGCAATTCTTTTCGAAATTTCATTCCCTTTTGTTATCTGTCCAACTCTCCCTTCCGATCATGGAGTCACTATCCCCTCTTCTCTTCTAGACTTCTACAGTTCTACTTCTAGATTCAACAACTGTTCAGAAAACCAAAACCCCATTTTTCTTCCCATTAAACTACCACTCATCCTTTTATATTCCCGAGCATTTGTCTCTTCCTTATAATAAAAGGTTCCGCATCTCCCCTTGATAGCCAATCACCTCGTTTGATATCCAAAATATAAGATCCTTGGAAAACCTAGCCACCCAACAACCCTCATCAGAAGACGAAGGAAGACAGACCATGGCGAGCCTCAGAATCTCTCTGCCTCTTCTTCTCCTTCTACTCCTTTCTCTATCCGCCAATCATTACTTAACAACTGCAGAAGCAAGAACACTTCCCTTCTCATCTACCCACCTGAGTAAGTGTTTGGATCATTTCTCTGCATCAACAATTTCATCTTCACACGAATCAATTTTTCTCCCCCTGAATTGAATTGGTAAAGTCTCTGTTTTCTCATCGTTCCCCTGTAATTCCATTCAGGATCTTCAAAGTTTTTTGCAACTCTGGGAGTCATCTGCAAGTGCTGTGACAACAGACAGGGCGAGAATGGTGAATGTTCAATCTCCTGGAAAGGGTCCTGCAGCGATGTCCAGTGCCTTCCCTGGAGAACAGGGAAGCAGCATCCTCTGCCCAAAGCTGCCTGAATTTTAGTCTCTGTTTTTTTTTTCTTCTCCATTGCTTTGCTTGTACATATAGAAGACAGCAAGCTTTGGATAGGGTTTTTTTTTTTTTTTTTTTTGGCAATGGATCAGAATCCGCAATCAGTATCTCCTAGTCGAGGTGTGCAACCAATATTCAGTACCAATTGCATTCTTACCTTGATGCGGGCTTGCTTGCTCTGACTCAGATGTTTTTGTTTCAATCATTGGTCGTGCAAATTCCAAAACTGAAACACATGGGAAGAAGCAATTCAATTGCTAATTGACCATTTTTTTGTTACTGTTGTTCTCCCTGCTAATGGATCCCAATCATCTTCCCTCCGCCATTCTCTACACTATGAGATCAATAATTCTTCTAACCATGGTGTTATAAACGGATCGGGAAATCGCCGGAATCGATAAAACAAGAATACGAAAGCGAGAATCTAAAAACACAGACACGATTTACATGGTTTACTAAAACGATGTGTGTTAGCTAGTCCACGGGCGAGAGAGAGAGTCAGTTGCACTATATCGAGGAGATTACAGATTACAGAGGAGTACGAGAAGTATTTATAGTACTTCTCCATGTGGGTCTAAACCTAATCCAATCTGGTAAAGGAAACGATTACAAACCAAGCCCAGAACCCGAACCCAAATACATTGAGCCCATACAATTCGGACCAATACAGAGGAGTACGAGAAGTATTTATAGTACTTCTCCATGTGGGTCTAAACCTAATCCAATCTGGTAAAGGAAACGATTACAAACCAAGCCCAGAACCCGAACCCAAATACATTGAGCCCATACAATTCGGACCAATAATCCAATTCAAGTCACATCAACACAGGAAGATTTATAAGGAATTTGCTGGGGTGGAGAGTTGACTTGGCCAATTTGTCTAGCAGGTAAACGGGGAGAAGGGTCAATTGCTTCGTCTGGATGGTAGGGTACAGAACAGATCAATCCAACCTGTAACAGACAATACATGTTCTAGAAAGTGGACATCTTTCTTCACCAAACACCAATTTGCTCAACATGACCAGAGACAGATTCCCCATGCCCTGTCCTGTCCTGTCCTCTACTTTGTTATTAAACAAGTTTGAAGGCGTCAAGACTCATGATTGTGAAGTCCAGGTGAATGTTGAGTCCATCTCCAAACCGCCCCTCAGGGATGGGATTAGGTGCTAATCCTTATAGGGGTTAGCACCGTGATAACTAGCAAAAAACACTACTAAAAATAACGAAATCATTACGGATTATTATAAAATCAATACAACATCTAAGCTAAATCACTACTAATTCAAACTAGTAGTAGTTTTTGCCTTGGTTAGGACGGTGCTAACTATTGTACAATTAGCACCGTAACCGCTCCCCGCCCCTCAACTACCAGAGTTGATAAACAGAAAAAAATTACTACATAAAAAAAAGGGTTTCTAGAAGATTAGTGTGCAATTATCAGAATATATCCTTTCAAATTTGCTTCAAGCGATTTCAACATGCAACATCTAGCTCTAACTAACTTGGTTTATATGTCTCATACACACACCAATTCAAGTGTTCGAGATGCAAGTGACGGAGAGACTTCGGATATGGTGGCCAAAATGAGATACGTTTTGACTGCAACCCAAGTTGAATTACAGTTATTGGAATTTGACTGATGAAAAATAAAATTGGTAAACAAAATAAAATATATATGATGGTTCATAATAAAGGAAAAAAATTTGGAATTGAAAAATGCACAAGATCATACTCCCCTCTTTATTTATTATATATGTTTTAATTCGAATTTCAAATATTTGGGTGTAGGAAAATTAGATTTATTATTTATCTACCAGATGGTATGCATTTTGATATACTTTTGTGAAAAAGCACGTATGTATTTTGTACACTATTCTCATGTACATAATTTTTCTTGTATATAATTTACTTTATATAGAATTTTCGGTGTACAAAATCAGAATTCTCATCTTACATCATTTTCTCAATGTACATAATTTTCATTGTACATTGTTATTCATTGTACATCATTTCCGTGGTATGAAATTTTCCTTAATGTTTTCTCTCTTTGGTTAGATAGGATTTGTTCAACAGAACTAGTTAAGATTGTATTAAGTGTTAAACTTGTTGTAACACCCTACATAAACTTTGATTCTTCATTGATATCCATGGTCTTAATATATTGGATCTAGGTTGAAACATGCAAATTGATTAAATGAAACACAATTTCTCACAAATCAAATTATTAGAAACTCATTAAACCTTTGAAAACATTTCTTAACCTAGATTTAACAAACAAAAAAACTAAAGAGGAAAAAATGGCGGGGTGCATTGTTACTCAATGAGTAAGTTCCAACCTAACAAATACATAAATTGGAGAATAGTATTCGACTATAAGCATAAGCATCACCAAGACAGTGGATTCATAAGCATCATCATCAGAACATTGAACAAGGCCTAGGGGTACCCCTTAAAAGGATGTCACTTCCATTATATTAATCATTACATACGACATACAACCTCTTTTCACTTGTATTTTGTGTGCAACAAGGACCCTTTAGGTATTGACTTAAGTGATCATGTAAAGCTTTACTGTTAGTCGCATCATGAACACATTGATGCATCAATACCATCATACAATTATAACATCACATAATCATAATCGTTCTCTGATTCTATTCCACATTCATCCCGGACTCTTACAAATTACAATTGAACGCTGACTCGCGACCGATTACACATTCCCCATCATAGGTCAAGTATAATTCCACGACGGGTGTAGTGTCAAGTAACTCTATTTTCAATTATCAAACCCACGCAGTTTGTCTACCTCGTACTTCAGTAAACCATAAGTTATCTAGCAATATGAAGGTTATTTAAAACTATCAAACTGAATAAACAAACTAGTAAAACGAGGTTAAATGCAACTGTGAGAAGGCTTCACTCGGATTATTGTCCCCTAATCCCATGTTGAGATGCTAACATGATACTCTAGCGTGATTTGTATGACACATATACCGTTAGGAGATCAAAGCTAGTTAGGATCCCTTCTATTCGATTGCATCCTAACCCGCCTAATTGCTCTAGTCGGATGGACGTACCACACTACCGAATTAGATGATTAGGGAAACAAAATCCACTCCCTCGGGCGATGACCCAGAACAACGTAAAGAAACTAATCAACCTTGTTCATGCATGTCCATTCCTACTCCTTGATCTCCCGCTATCCATAGATAGTCGTTCCGCTAGTGTGACTCGAGGATCTACCAACAAAGAGGAAGTGTGAAATCGACTCCCTCAATGAACCCTCCTCTTCAATCAAGATTTTTGGCTCCCTCCTATTGCGTCTTATATAGAATCGTGGCGCTACAGGCTCTAGTGCTACTCTAGGTGGCCTAGAATGCCTCAAGCCTTCTTGATGAAGAAGCACCATCATCTCCTTTGTTCTTCTTATGCCTTCCTAACCATGAGAAGCAACTTGACATTTTCCTGTGCAAAAGAAGTTAAATTAGTATATAACATAGAGGATAACCCCACACTGTAAGAGCATGACTTCTTTGAAAAGCTAATCATATAACTTCGGGTAAATACAATTTAATATCCAAACCTTTCATTTTAAACAATATAATAGCCAAACCTTTTCGAAAACAATCTAATATCCAAATTTTCAACTTTTCGTCCGTTTGACCGTTGGTTGACACTTCAAAAAAGCTTTGTTTAGGGGAATTGTCACAATACAACTTTTTTCTCCTCTTGTTTTGGCATTGCAGATGACTGAATATTTAGATATTCTATACCATCATAGTGGAGTCATGGACTTCTCGGGTTTGGAACCACGATATGTTGGTGGCTTTTCAGAGAATATATCGATGGATATTGATGAAGCGTCGTACTTCGAACTTTTTTGAAGTGTCAACTAACGGTCAAACGAACGGAAAGTTGACGATTTAGATATTAGATTGTTTTCAAAAAGGTTTGGCTATTATATTGTTTAAAATGAAAGGTTTGGATATTAAATTGTATTTACCCTATAACTTCTAAGTTGTGTATTAAAAAGAAAGTGTCTATATATTTTATTATCGTGTAAGCTCATAAAGAGATAGGAAGTATTATATATCAGAATGTAGAAGTAACATGAAGCACATATCTGAAAAATCTTTGAAATCTTTGAAAGCTCCAAGTTATACGAATAGGTAAAGGTCGATAATTTGCACAACCAAAGGAATCATTCCATCCATTCAATTTTATTTCTAAGCATATAAGCAATCACCATTCATTCATAAACATTGATTGTTCCTAGTGGATGCCAAAAATTGCAAAGGATTCTCCAACCAATCTCATACAATTTTAATCTTTGAACTCCTCAATCGAAACTCTAAAGGGTTCAAGCTCATAAATTCATCTAAAGATCATAGGTACTTACTTGGATTGAAGAAACTTGAAGAAAAGGAGAAGAAAAAGATGAATAGGAGCAGCGATACAAAGGCGGGTATGGCCGATGTGGTCCTTCCGACGAGCTTTTTGAATTTTTTTACTGGGCTTTGCTTAGTAGGTGATGGATAGGATGTATCCCGAATTTGAGGTGAAAAATCTGAGTTTTGGGGGTATAATTAGTGATTGAAAGTTTAGGTTTTGGGGAAAATTTGAAATTTAGAGAGAAGGGACAGTGAAAAAATAAAGGTGAATGGGGTAGAATGGCTGAAAATTTTCCATTTACAGAGGAAGGGGGAGCGGCGATGCTGCATTGGTGGGACTGTCGTCGCTTCCTCTCGCGTTCTACTTCGGACACCAACATTTTCGCGTTAAAACAGTTACCTCGATAGTACGAAAGTTTGTTTCATACTATTTTTCACGTCTTATGATTGTAGTTAAACCCATTGGGTTGACGTTGATTGATGAACTCATGATAATCCTTTGTTGCCTCATATTCCAGTTCCTCAATCCTTTCAAGCATCATCTTTTTGCTTGTACTAGCTATCCTCAATTCCATTTGAGCTTCTGTAGGACCGCGAATTGGCAGAACCTTGTTCAATTCTCCTCTATACCATGCGTCTATATCATGGTGATGAACGATTATGTTTGCTAAATCCTCAAGATGAGAGCCAAATTGAGATTTGGTCTAATTGTATAGATTCTCGTATTGATACTCCTTGTTCTCGTCACTCCTTTTGAGTGGTTTTTCCACTTTATGCAAGAGTTTCCTTACATGCGGGGTTACTTCTTCGTTAACAACATCTATTCTTGCTCCAGCAGTGGCTAGGATTGGCCTTCCTAAGAGGGTTGAATACTCTTTGCTTATCTCCATGTCAATGACGAGGTATTGGAGAAGAAAATGAACGCACCCACTTGGGTGCTTAGGCCTAAAAGTCCCAAGAGCTTTGCATGATGTGTTGTTGGCTAGCATGATCTCTATGTTGGAGTACTCCATGCAGGTTAGTCCCATTTCTTCATATTTATGGAATGGTATTATATTGACACTCGAGCAAAGGTCAACTAGACCTTTTTCTTTCTTTGCTTCATTGACTAAGACGAATTCTGCAAAACCACAAAAGTTTTTATTGATCATGGTCTTCCTATCTTCGACCCTATCATTTCTTCCATGAAAATCTCCATCTTTCCTTTGAGATGATCCATTGAAAGTATCTTCTCCAATATTGGCACTTCCACTTCTGCTCTTCCAGAAGCTTCTATCAAATTTCCGAAGAGGGAAGGATTGTCAGTTTTCTTCTTCTCTTCTTCCTTATTCATGCTCGGGAAACTTTTGGTTGCTCCCATCCTAGTCTAGATGACCTTAACTTCCTCCTTCTTTGGATTGTACCCCTTGAGTTGTAATATTTAATTTGTTTGCACTATCCTTGGCGATAGTTTACACAAGGTTTTTTTTTCGTGTTTTGTCATTTTTCATAGGTTAGCCATTAATATTGGGTCCAAGATCGAAAGAGGGAGAAAATTGAGCAAAATGGCCGAAAGTGCAGAGATCACGGTTGCAAGTAATTATCACGGGCGCACACCGTGAAGTGGACCAGCAAATCTTGAAGTTTGCATACTTCCAAGAGCCTTCAAGTGTCTCACATGAAGTGTTAAGATCACGGTCTCCAAATCGTGATGTCAACAAGCACCCATGAAGTTCGTTAGTGAAACCGTGTGTTTTGCACCGAAATCACGGTTTTACTGTCGACTTCACGAGCGTGATATGAGACTGAGATTTATGCCCTCGGGTGCTATATTAAGGAGAGTGAGCTGAATTTAAAGAGGGATTTCTAGAAAGAGATTGAAGGATTCTTCTTCAGGGATTAGAGAGAGAGACCGTTGAGCTAAGAAGGAAAGAAGGAGAATTTCACCTACCCAAGCCTAGAGGGAGGTAGATTTCTTCTCCAAGGAGTAAATCAAGCATCTAGGAAGAGCAGCAAGCACCATGGTTTCCATCTCTATTCTAGTTTTAGTTTCTCTTCTAGCTATGGAGTAGTCTCCTATTTCAAACTCGGTCAACACTAAAAGAAAAATATTTCAGGACATAAATATCATATTGAATAATTCGGAACACAAGTGACACTTTCTTAATAGTTCGGGTTTCCCAATGGAATTAGCCCAGAGATTAACTGTTACGTGTATTCTTCCTTCCCTACTATTATTATCCTTGTCATTGTAGAACTATATTTGGGTCAGTACACGTGGGGTTAGATGCTATGCATAATTAGGATTGTGTGATCTTGGGGTAGGTGGCAAGTAGCTATAACCGAGTAGGATTAGGATTAGTTTAGGGTTTTAGCCCTACAAATATGTATTTATGTCGTTAATTCGATTGAATCTATGAATAAGAACATTTTATTGTATTAGTTGTTAGCTTCCTTTCATCCCAATTCTCTTTGTTTTTCTCTATTTCTTTCAATTATCGTACAAAACTTACGATATAAGTTTCAAAAGGGTTTCCACCGAAGAAATCCACGTAACAAGTGATATCAGAGCCTGGTTGATGCAATAAGGAGTCCAGGAAGATGGTAACCACCGTGTTTGCTCGACACTAGAATCCAGGAAAGATGCCCGCAACAAAATCACCTTCCACCATCGACGCTCATGTCATACCACCGGTTCTTATTGTCTCGTTCATCCAGGTAGTGGTGTGAAGTCGTGACGAGAAGGATGATGATCCCATGGCACGTGGTGATTGGAGTAGAAGATTGAGATGGCCACTACCTCTCCAAAGTAGAGCCTCAAGAAGTAGGTATAGGAAAATACTTATTCCTTGCCAGAGGAAGAGGAGAACGAAAAAACACCAAAGACAACTGACCAAAGTTTCGTTGTTGCAGACCATTGTGGAACCAATGGATTCATGTATTTTGAATGTTTGAAGATCTAGAGCTACTTGATCGAATATATCAAAGGTAGTTGGTTATAACAAAGCTTCGGTTGAGTTCTCTTTTGAAATAACATATTTGCTAAATAGGACTCTATGAATAAAAAGTAACTGGAAATCAAAGCATAAAATTAATGAAAATAACAACTTTAGCGACGAATTAATATCATCCCTGAATCTATCAGCGAGGAAACGCGTTATCCAGAAACCTCTTGCGACGACAATAATATCGCGGAAATTTTTTGCAATGAAAAACCTTTGTCGCAAATGTCTCTGGATTCCAATGAACATGCTTTGTCGCTGAATATTTTTAGGTCTCTGGATTCCAATGAACGATCCTTTTAGAGACCAATATCCATTTTAGGTCGCCAATTTTTTTGGCGACGAGGTATATGTGACGCTTAGAAACTGGCTTTGGTGACGTCTATTTTCATCGCAAAAACTTTTGGTGACGAATTTTTGGGCTCTTAGCGACGAATGCCTCCATCGCAAAAGTTGTTGTTTCTGGTAGTGTTATGAGTGCAGTAAGGATAGCTATTTGGCGCTCTAAAGTATTCATCATAGCCTCCTGACCCTGAATGAGTGCTCTTAATTGGTCGCTTGTGATTTATGAATGTGGGTTAGGACGGCTTGAATTTTGCCCTATGTATGGAGGTCGTCCATCATATTCAGGCATGTGCTGAATTGGTTTCTTCACCCAATTTGGATTAGATGCAACTTTACCGTCCTAACATGCAACTTGAAGGTATGGTGCATTAGTGGTTGTTATTGTGAGATAATCAGATGCTTTTGACCTCTAAGAAGTGGAAAATATCCAATTTGTAAATTGGTCCACCCCTTATAATTGTTTATTCATACAATTTTAGAGTTTCTATAGGTGTTTGTTTGATATGGTTGTCGATTATATTGTTAGCTATTGTGATTTAAATCGCGAATTTGAGGATATCAATTACCAATATAGTTGACGTCCGTTGTAGGGAATTTGCACATAGTCCCACAATTGTGTCATGAGTGATTTTCATCATTGCACACTCGAAACATAGACTTGCGAACGTGGATGATTCCTCGTTATGTTCATATCCTGGATTTTCTTTCTCATCTCCTCGATTTGCAAACTAATTGTTGCCAATGGATCCTCCAATGCACGTGGCATTTTAACAGTCATAGGAGCACCTCAAAGACTAATTTCCAGATTTAGTAGCCATAGATATGAAATGTTCTAGAGCTAGTGCATTAGTCATTCACGTTATTTCACATTTGGCACAATGAGTTATTATCACTGTATTATTTAGATCGATACCTTGGTCGAAGATGTCCGTAAGTTGGTATTACCAAAAACCATGGTGAAGACAAGCTCTAAAAGCTCATAGAGCCTCTCCCAAACGTGGTCGTGCCGCGAGAGGTCCATGGTCGTGATTCGAGAGATCCATGGCCATGTCGTGAGAGGGATATGCCCATTTCATGAGAGATACATGGTCGTTATGCAAAAGGGTCACAACTATGTCCCGAGAGGGCTATGACCAGGACATAAGAGGTCCATGGTATCCAAATGAACGCGACCATATTGCGAGAGACTCATGTAGGCGTCGCAAGATGTCCATGGGCTCTTCCCTAGGATGACGCGACACGACAACGAAGCAAGCTTCATTTCAAGACTTTGGCTTCAACAGGAGAGAGTCACCTACACAGCTAAGGGAGCGTCGACCACTCATCTCATGTTCGATGAGAAGTCAGCCATTTTTGACAAAGAGATGAGTTGTTCTTTTTTTTTGTTATCAAGAAGACGGTTCTCTCATTCCTATAAATATGAGAGAGGTTCAACAAAGGCAAGGCTCCCAAGATCACACCTCTTATACAGGTGGTAAGACTTGTCTTTTTTATGCAAAGCAGCCAGACTTACAGTTTGGAGTTTTGACTGAACCTACATAGGAGTATGAGCAACGTAATTTAGCTATATATGTTCCAAAAATAACCATCACAAATCGAACACCCTCATTTTAACTATGTTCAAAAGGTGAAAATCCTTATCTTAGTTATCATTGTTAAAGTCACATCCAAGTAAAATAGGCATAAACACTATACCCATGGTTATAAATAGAAGGGGCCCCAAAGAGATAGGAGTTCTCAAAACCTACTTCAAGTATATCATTTTTGTCTACAAGTAATCATAGTCATAGTTCAAAACTCTTACTAAATCTTCGTAGGATAGGAGTAACTTAATGCAGTTGTATTCCAAAATCATCAATCAAATACTCTATCTTAAACTTTATTAAAAAGTGTGAGCTAGTCGTGTCTTATTAATCGTTGTTTAAAAATCAAGACGCTACTGAATCACGTGAGTTTTACCACTAAAAAAGAGTTTCTATTAATGGTACTTCAGTTTCCTGAGTCGGATCCGCAGCCCAAATTAAGGCTATGAAACAAGTAGTTGGTATTTGTGTTGTAACTACTTACGGCAAATGACAAACTTGTTAAGATTTTTAATGGTGTGAATGGAAATGGAAAGGGAAAGATCCAAGAAAATCTTTTGAAGTACCATGTTGGTAAATGTGGGAAGGCACGACCTCGAATTTGATCAATTTGATGTAATATGTTAGTAATCGGTTAAATTGGTTTGTGTAACCAACCAGACCAATTGAACCAAGTTGAACCAAATCGAACCGAACTGATATGGCGATTGGAATAACCAAACCAGTTCAACTTCCATAGGTCGAACCAATGAAAGAGTTGTCTCCCTTCACACGCACCCCCTTCATTTTTAACAAATAGCACCATACCCCCTCTAGTTTTGAGTACGAGAAATATACGTTTTTCCCATACCAAAACTCTGCCAAAATCTAAATTGATTTTTCTGCACTGTTTTTCAAAAGAAAATCGAGTCAAGTGTGGTTCTTGCAGGTTCGATGGTTTCCGAGGTTTGAGGTACCGCTACGCCGGAAAAGATACGCGTCCTTTCTATCTTGGAATGAATCATTCCATAACTTTGGGTACTAGAGGGGAATAAGATTCTTTACGGAGAGACATTGACTTATGTCGGCTAGGACGTTTGTATGTGTATTTGCATGTTTTTGTGATCCATGTATCAAATGGATTGGATACAATGGATTGATTGATTTATGGATTGGATCAAGTGGTTTGGTGGATTATCCACAAATCCAAATAACCCCCTCAATCTTGGAGCAAATTGTAAATTGTGAAAAGTTTAGGTACTAAAATGTCATAATGAAAAATTTTAGGTACCAAAATGTAATTTTTCATTTGGATCCATGGATCAATCCATGAATCCACCAATCCAATTGAATTTGGATCAAATAAATTAGATTTAAATGGATTGGATTAATTGGATATTTTTAATGGATTGATGAATTGGATTGATGAATTGGATTGGTGGATTGGATTGCGAATTGCCACCTCTAGCTATGGCTGTTGACACATGGTGTGATCAACGAGCGGAAAAAGATAAAAAAAAGAAATTATATTTAAAGAAAATTTTGTCTGCAAATCGGTAAGGTGCAGAGCAGTTGGTGAGACGGATGGGTGCATCATGCATGACGCATATCCAAAGCAAACAAACTTGATTCTTCCTTCTTCCTCCTCCCATGTATAAATTTATAGCTGCCATTCATTCTTTACACCAATCTCCAAGAGATCCATAGCAAAGCCGAAAAAGCCATTCATCCTACTGAAACAGAGAAGAATAATATATGGAGGAAGTAAAGTTGCTAGGATGGTGGATGAGCCCTTTCAGCAGAAGGGTGGAGCTCGCCCTCAAACTCAAAGGCGTGGGCTACGAATACATTGAGCAAGATCTTGCCAACAAGAGCCAACTGCTTCTCGAGTACAACCCTGTTCACAAAAAGGTTCCTGTCCTCGTCCACAACGGCAAAACAATGGCTGAATCCCTCGTCATTTTGGAGTACATTGACGAGACATGGCCAAACAACCCCATCCTCCCCCGGAACCCTTACGAGAAGGCCATGGCACGATTCTGGGCTCAGTTCATTGAGGAAAAGGTAAGATCTTGAAAACCCAGCAATCAAATCGATTAATTAGTGGTTTCCTTGTTCAAGTCGGTTTTGGGTATTGTTAGTCGTTTTCTTAGAGGAGTAGGAGTCATATTCTAGCTAGAAGGAAAAGGGTAGAGGCTTCTATGCCTATAAATACGTACATGTTTCGTTCGTTTAATGATAAGAAGATTGGAACCCACATATTTAATTTTTGTTCTTTATTTGTTATTTCCTTAATTATTTCCTTTGAGAGTTCTTTGCGTTTTATTCCTTTTATATGAGAAAACCCTAAAAACGCCATCCCTACGTCACATCACCGTAACATCGATCATCGTCAACACTAATCTTAAATTGTATGTGTATATATATGCATGTGTTTCAGTGCAATGGTGGGTTGTGGAAAATTATGTGGTGCAAAGACGAGGAAGAGAGAGGGAGGTTGGTGGAGGAAGCCTCGCACTGTTTTAGAACACTGGAAGGTGAGCTCAAGGGCAACAAGTTCTTCGGAGGGGATGAGATTGGGATGGTGGATATAGCTGCGAATTTCATCGGATACTGGCTTGGAGTGGTTCAGGAAGTGAGTGGGATGGAGTTGGTGACTCGAGACAAGTTTCCAGTGCTGTGCAAATGGATGGATGAGTTTGTGGAGCACAGTGTGGTGAAGGAGACTCTGCCTCCCCGAGATAAGCTCCACGCGGAGTTCGAAGCTCGACTTGGTGCTCCGTCTTGGAAGTACTGATGCGTTAGAGTGAGTGATGGTGCCAGAAATTTAAGTTATGTAAGCGTGGGAGATCGAAAATGAAGTTTAATTGGACAAGGGGTCAGTAACTTATCCATTATTATACTTATCACCATCTTCCTTGCCATAACACAGCTTTCGCGGCTTAAGTTTGATGTGTTGCATTGTTGAGCCATCCTCTTCAAATGTCTTTTTTTTTTATGTTGCTAAGCACGTTGTACTAATGAGAGTCGCGAGTTCAGCCTCGGAATACTTGGTACAAAGTAAAATGAAAAATTATTTACTAATTTTTAATATGATGACCTTAGCCCGACCCATTGCAATAATATGCCTTATTATTACTCGTAGATCCCGTCGAGGTAAGTACGTAGTAATTTTCTTTCTAATCGATCAATTAGCGTGCATCACTCATACTATAATTAAGGAATCCACCGGTTCCGGCTAATAAATAAATAGTGTACTTGTAAAAAGTCTAACAGATCTAATGGAGTTGGAAGTGGGTGGTAGTAAATTTCCTTTTTTTTTTCAAAACAAAATTTCCTGAAAGATTACAATCATGTTACTCTTAATATTTAATTTCAAGTTGACTTAAGACTTTCCAAGACTTTTGGGTAGGTGCATGAACCCAAATCCCAGCAAGCAATACCAAGTCGCAATAAACAAAGTTAGGTTTATTCATTGGGGAGTAAATAAAGTTAGAAATTAACTACTGATATTCTTAAATTATACATTCGTAGGTATTTCCATGTTGTCATAATTGTACATATAACATACCAAAAAAATTTCCGATCAAGATATTATCCGTTTTGAGTCTAAGGGGTCGTTTGGAGAACAAGATTTGGATCGTGGATTTATTGAATTCATAGATTTAGCAAAATGTTATGTTTTTTTGCTACTTTTTGTATCGTGGATTGTAACTTCAGAGATTGTAAATCTATAAAATTTAGAGATATCAAATCTCTCATAATTAGAGAGATTCTACATCTTGATTGCATATTAAGGTGACTTCTCATAAAATCACCTATCATTTAGTGCTCCACAGAACTCTCACAAGAACTCCTCCTTTTGACTCAAAAACACATTTTGTCAGTTAAAGTCAGTTTCTTACTTATAAACCATGGATCTCTCATGTGTCTTGTCAGAAGTTTGATTATGAGTTTTGTAAGCATTAGCTACCATGGTCATTTGTTGAAAAAGGTTCGAAATTTTATATTACGAAAACTCTTCAAGATTCCATACATAAATAGAATTGGACTTGAATTTATTTTGGGTAATGGTGGGTTTTTATTTGAGAGCTAAGTCAGGTGTAGTGGGACGTGGGAATACATCTTAGATGAAGAGAGTTGGTTCAATTTGAGACGATTAATTTCTATTTCAATCTGACCTTCTATGTTTTGAATGACGTCATCTGAGTCAATGATGATATGATCGTCGTTGGTAGAGGATTTTGAGTCATAAATCTAAGGTGTCTTAGAAAGAGCTAGTTGTGTGGAAAGTTGTTTAAGCTTGGTTTTCTATATCAAGCTTAAATTCGAGACTAAATTCTTTAAAAATTTTAAAAAGGCTTGAAGGTAGGGGAATTAAGTTTGTTGGAAGGAGGGAAAATGAGTATTATAAGTAGAAGCAGAAGAGAGGTAGGTTAATTTCAACATTAGTAAGTTGATCTCCTAAGGTTTTGAATAAACCGATTTGTATTATTGTTTTGCTCAATCAGTTGTCGAATATATTCTTTTTTTTTTTTGACAAAAGATAATCATATATTGATTCAATGAAGATAACATTACATCCTGGAACTCAACCAGGCCTGAAAATTGAAAAACCGACACGTAGACGGGTACAAAGCAAGGGCCTTTCTAGCCACCACATGGGCTACCCTATTGTTCCGCCGTCCTACAAATCGCAAACTAAACCCAGGATTATTCTGCATACATTGCCGGATCTCTTCCAAGATCATCCCAATCCTACTATCTCTGGTTGCAGCTTGATTGATTTTGTCGATGATGACCTTGGCATCCCCTTCAAATCTTACATCCTGGAATCCATTAGCTAGACACCACAAGAGGGCTTCCCGAAGGACAAGCGCTTCCACCACCAACGGTTCATCAATGGATCCAAACTGAATGCCCTGAACGCGGAGAACCTCCCTTTGAGAATCTAGAAGTACCATACCTCCCGCAGAGTGAGACCCAGCTCTCGTCGCCCCATCCCACATACACACCATCGTGAAGCCCCCGGCCAGATCCGGAGGATGGAGAGAAGGGCGAGAACCCGGAACCACCCTATCCACTGGCACCCGTTCCCATTCCTCACACTGTTGATGAAATTGACGCATTAACGCAGGGAAGCCAAATTGCTTGCCTTCAAAGACAACCCAATTACGCGACTTCCAAATTCGCCAAAGCACAGCCACCACAGCCATGATCATCGGAGGATGATGTAGCAATGCAAATAGTCTCTTGAGAAACAGTGGGAAAGTATGGCGAGGCAAGCCTTGCCCAAGATGTTCTAAACTTGAATAGTCCCAAAGAGCCCTAGCCACCGGACAGTCCAAGAATAGATGCTCCATAGTCTCCGATGCCTCCCAACAAACCGGACAACGCGGGAGGACTGGAACACCTTTCTCAATGAGGCCCTCCGTGGTAGGGAGAAGGCGATGAAAGATTTGCCACACAAATACCTTCAACTTCGGGGGAATATCAGCCTCCCAGAGCCAAATCCAGCTGGTCCTATCCATCCAACTGACCGTAGCCTGCCAACAACCATGTCTTTTGTCCAGGTCCACAGCCAGGTGATATGCTGTTTTGACAGTAAACGCCCCATCAGATGTGCGATGCCAGATAAGCTTATCCTCCAAATTCTGCCGAGGCAGAGGGATAGAACGAATCAACCGACACGTTGGTGGATCAAACCATTGACTCAGCTTGGCTTCACACCACCCCCCTCCCCCATCCTGGGCTAAAACCTCTGACACCAACAAATCTCTCCCGGCCGGGAGTACCTGTGGGTTATAGACAGGCTTAGCAGGATGCAACTGAGGAATCCAATTCGAGTCCAGCAACAAGGCTGACTCCCCATTACCAATTTGCCACCGAAGGCCTTGTTCAAGAAGCTGCCTCCCATAGAGCACACTCTGCCACCCCCAGGACGGCCGCGATCGTGCTTGGGCCTGGAGAAAGGTCCCCTTTGGGAAATATTTTCCTTTATAGACCTGAGCCAGCAGGGATTGGGGTTCCTGAAGAATGTACCAGCCAATTTTAGCTAACAGCGCCTGATTAAAATGCTCAAAACGACGGAACCCCATGCCCCCATCATGCTTGCTTCTGCACATTTTTCTCCAGGACATCCAATGAATCCTTGATTGCCCCTCCGTCACACCCCACCAGAATCGAGCAACATGTTTATCCAGGAGACGACAAAGCGAAAGGGGTAATCGGAAGCAAGACATAACATGTAGCGGTAAAGCTAGAGCAACAGATTTGATCAGGGTCTCCTTCGCTGCCCACGACAATGTACGTTGCTTCCACCCTTGTAATTTCGCCAACAATTTTTCCTCCAAGTAGCGGAAGGTATCCATCTTTGACCGGGCAATCAGGGTCGGGAGGCCTAAGTATTTATCCTGAACACCCACCGCTCCCACCCCCAAGATTGCGGCCAGAAACTCCTGATCTGTTGAGGCAATGTTTTTACTAAAGCAAACCGCAGATTTATCCAAGTTAACCCGCTGGCCACTTAACTCCTCATATTCATTTAAAACGTCGATCAGGTTTTCACATTCCTGCAGAGTTCCGCGCAGGAACAAATACGAATCATCCGCAAAGAATAAATGTGAAATCCGAGGAGCTTGCGGAGCCACTTTCACCCCTCCCAGTCGCTTGTCAGTAATTGCCTTTCGAAGAATCGCCGCAAAGCCTTCTGTACAGAGTACAAAGAGCAGAGGGGACAGGGGATCTCCTTGGCGGAGACCCCGGGAAGGCGAGAAGAACCCTGACGGGGAACCATTCATTAGGACCGAGAAGGAAGTAGACCGAAGACATTCATGAATCCATCCAGTCCAAACGGAATTAAATCCCATTTTTTCCAGGACTGCGAGCAAGAAGGGCCATTCGACTCTGTCATAGGCCTTTTCCATGTCAACCTTTAAAGCCATGTACCCTTTCTTGCCACTAGTCTTGATTTTCAAATAGTGCATCAATTCGTGACTAACCAAGATGTTCTCAATGATTTGTCTTTCTCGGATGAAAGCATTCTGCCCAGCAGAAATAATTTGCGGAAGAATATCGACTAGCCTAGCAGCCATGATTTTAGTAATGATTTTATACACAAATTGGCACAGGCTAATAGGCCGTAATTGTTTCATACTTGCCACATTATCCACCTTGGGAATCAAAGTTGTCGAATATATTCTCATTTGACATTATCACTATTTTCTTGATACAATTTAAAATGAGAGGCTTGAAGTGTTGTTCCACACTATATGTCTCGAATTTTTTATTTCGAAAATATATCAAAGTAGTTATCATTTTAAATAGCACAATTAATTTGATTTAGCTGCGTAAAAAAAATTTAATTTAAACTTGAAAGAAATATAACTAAGTGTTAAAAACATTTCATAAATGATATTTGGGACTCTCCCCCATAGCACAGTCTGCGGCTGCTGGGACACTTGTGGGGTTTGGTAATCTGTCTACAATAAAAAATAGTCGAGATTCTCGATAATACAAAGACGTTTGTGTTTTACTTTATTATATATAATTCTAATAACTATGATGATAAAATAAAGGCCCATAGGTTTGCTCTCTATTACATAGTAAGAAGGAAGATTTGGGGTGTGGAAATGATCACTGCTAGTGCTATGTTCCTCTCCTTCCTCCTCCTTCCCCAGAAATTAAAACAACCCATTTGATGATAACAAGTCTAGAAATTAGAAAACAACAAACCGTCCAAATCAAAAGATTCATGAAATTAAAACAACACATCTAAAAGTCCATCCTCCAAACAGCGATCCAAATTCCAAACCCAAATCGTTCCATCCTCATCTCGCTGGCTGCTGATTTCAGTGCTTATCCTTGACAATGGTGACTGGGCAAGAAGCCGCGTTCATCACATACGAGCTCACGCTTCCCATTAATATCCTGCTCCTCTCGCAAATTTAACAAAACAAAACAGAATGGAATCAGGTCAAATTAGAGTTTCGGAAGAAAGGGTTCCGTTCAGACTTTTTACACAGATCATTTTCAATAGCAACGATTTCTTTCTCCCACCTCTTCACAGTTCCAAGCCCTCTGCTTCCCATGACAACAGAGTCCAGCTTCAACCCTTCGATCGCGTCAACGATCCTGTCCCTCGCGTCTCCTCCCCAGTAAAGCTTCGTCACGACTTTGATCTGAAAACAAACAAACAAAGAAAAAACATCAGTCCAAACTTAGCTCCACCAGCCATCAATTCAATCGTCGCCCATCTCAACAGCTTCAAGTTCAACCCCTTTTTTTTTCTTTTTACCTCTTTCTGCCTGGTAACAGTGTCGAGCAGAGCGAGGACGTCGGCATCTGGCTTCAAGTCGTACCCCTTCATAATCTCCGGCTCTCTAAACTCCGACAGCGGAATCAAAGCTTCTCAGAGGCAAAACGTCGAACAGGTACAAGGCACAGAAACCCAGATCAGATCAGATCAGATCAGGCGATGAAACTATAACAGAGAGAGAAAGAAAGAAGAAAAAAACTCCCTTTTGGGGGAAAAACAAACAAGAAGAAGACTTACGAGATCCTGCCTTGCCCCAGAGTTCATTTTTACCCTCGGGTAGTTCGTTGGAATGGACATGGATGATGTAGATGGTGTCACCCTTATCCGCCAAGTTATCCAGTGCCCATTTCAGCGCGTTCTTGCTGCTGCCTGAGAAGTCCATCGCCACTCCGATCGTCTTGTCTTTCCCCATCTTTTCCCTCTGGTTTCCGCTCTTCTTCTCTCTGCGATTTCTTCCTTCTTCTTCTCCTTCTTCTTCTTCGGCGGATGTTTTTATACGGGTGAACTGCCGTGCGAGTGGGGAAAGATATATATTGCGAGAATCGCGTATAATTTTGTGGGATGGATGAGAACTGAAGCAATTTGCCTTTATAAATATGGAGCAGGGCGGAAAGGCGGAGAAAGGTATAATTATAAAGGAAGAAAAAGCAAGCAAGCCACAATCGGATTGGGGTAATGTGGACTCCAGAGGATACCTTTCTCCGAATCTGAGCCGTCCACGTGCATTTTTCATGGCCTGTTAGGGATGACAATTTCGATTTGACCCGTTTTACCCGACTTGTTTGACCCGTTTTGGGGCAGATGGGAATGTGTACCTCTTATCGACCTGACCTATCCATTTTCGACCCATTTTCGACCCATTCCTATCTAAATTACATGTTTTCTTTGTCGAATTACTTAGAATTTCACTCTTATTACCTCATATTAACTACATTTTATTATATTATGGGTTTCTTTCTTGGTTTTTTAATAAAAATAACGAATATTTTACAGTATAAATTACATATTCATCGGGTTGACCTGTCTCGACCAGCGCTCCATAATAAATCACCGATCTGAATTCGACCTGTCATGGAACGAGTATTGATATCGAGATACTCATCCCGAACCTGCCGCATTGTCATTCCTATGGCCCATGACGATGAGCCTGCCAACGCGTACTGCCAGGGCACGTGATGGTTTTAGGGCACTAGTGGGCCGTTGTTAAATGATCAAATAATCTTCCTTCCTCGTTCCTGCACCGAAACAAGACTTGAATTAATACGTCTTGACTGTAAAGTTGATTAGTAATAATGCATTGTTGGATTAGAAAATTCTTATCAATACAGCACAGCACAGAACCAAAACGTTGAACCAAGCTAATTCGGGAAAACGATTGAAATTGGATCTCCTAACGGTAAACAAACCTTTGTGAATAGTCAAAAAGTTATAAGTAGAGAAATTCAATGTGTGTTAGCAAGAAAATATTTATCTCTCGTTGGATACTTGTCTTCGGAGATGTCATCGATCAGACCGATTTCTCCAAGTTATGGTGAGTTCAGGTAGTAATTTTTTTCCTTAATAGAGGTTCGAAAGTATTCCTTACTTTGTTACCTTTATGTATGTTTCTAGTTATGATATTGAGCGAAAGAAGTTGTAAGAAGAAATTTGTAGAATTAATGTCAAAAGTGTGTGCCCTCGACCATTGCTGAGGACTTCAATGAGTTTGCTTATCCATTTGAAGAAGCTTCCAGTGATCCAGTGTTGGATGCAAGTATGTTAGACTTTCAACAATAGTAAGTGGATTTGGAGGTAGATGAACATAAGATTTCGGGTCCATGGTTTACTTGGACATATAAGCATGAGGGTAATCCCATTGCTCGACGATTGGATAGGGGGTTTGTCAACCTAAAATTGTTATAAAGTTGTCCCGCTATGTAGTAAACCTGTTAGAGTCGGGAGTTTTAGACAATTGTCCTATATTGATAGATACTAACAGTACTATCAAATCCCTCCCAAAACCTTTCAAGTTTTGGATGGATCGCTTAAAGTTTTTGAACTTGATTAAGTTCCCCTAGAAGATGGAAGTGGAAGGTTCCCCACTAGTAAGAGTTTGTAAGAAGTTTAGAATATTTAAAGGGTTTACAGGGGAGTTGGATAGAGAATCTTACTTTGATATTAGTGTTAAAGACTATTTCTTAATTCTAATTTTAAATTTCTAAAGCATTTTTTATCCGAACAAATGAAATAGGATTTCGCTTCTTTCTATTTATTATTTATTTATAGTTAATATATTTAGTAAATATATTAATATTATCTATATTATTCATTATATATCTTATTATATATGTTTTTTATATATGTTAATAAAATAATATATTATTATTTTAGTATTTAATTTATATTAATATTATTTTTCAGTCCTTTCGGCTTTAAAAAGGTATGACACAGGTGATAGATTCCATCTATTTCTTTATTTTCCCATGTATCGTATGTTTGTAACAATAAGAGGTACAAGGTTACTTATGAATTATTGATCTCTCTGGTACTTTGTCGATGTGGGATTTGTCTAAGGTATTACAAATACTTTCGAGGGAAAAAAATAAATAAATAATCTTTTCTTCCCCCATTTTAGCCAACTGTGTTCCCTTCCCCAAATCCCTAGCTCCCAATTTTCCCAAATCCATACACTCAAGTTCCCAATCTCAACTTCCTAAAATTTGACAATGAAGATGATTTATTCGTCGGGTTGAATCGTCGGCTCAACTTGATAAAATGAGACAGGAGATATAATTTGCTAAAGTTTCATGTTTCTGTACTAAGCTCTTCTTACTAAGCTCTTCCTTAATTGTGCTAACTTGGCATGTCAACGTGTTTTGTATCTTGAACTTTCTAAGTTGTGACCAACCGACTAATGATGGATGTACCTTTTGTAGTACTTCTCACTAGAGGACTGGACTCTTTACTTCTTGTTGTTGAGTTCTCCTAAAAGGTGGTTTAATGTAACACTTTAGGCAAATCCCACATCGACAAACCACGGGAGAGATCCATACTTTATAAGTAAGAAACCGAACCTAACTGACAAGATGCGTTTTGCGGTGAAATGAAAAAGTTCTTGTGAGAACTCCAAAGCCCAAAGTTAAACGTGCTCAGTGTGAAGTACTACAAGGATGAGTGACCTTATGGGAAGTCACCTTGAATTGCACCCCAAGTCGAAAATCGTGAGGGTCGAGACCCAAAGCCGACAATATTTTCGTCGAGAAAAGGTTCGGGATGTTACAAGTGGTATCAAAGTCACCCTACGTCCCTCTTGAACGATGGTGGGGCAAACTTCAACAAGGGCATTGAGCCCGGGGGGTATGTTACACCTTAGGCGAATCTCACATCGACAAAGCACGGGAGAGATCCGTGTTTCATAAGTAAAAAACCGACCTTAACTGACAAGATGCGTTTTGGACTTTTGGTACACAAATGACATATCGAACATCATTGTATATAAATGACAATTTATTGTTATTCTCAGTGGCATTTCTCCTTTAAATATTAAAGTGGTTTTCTTTTTTATGAAATCAGGAATCTTTTTAGATAATTAAATGTTACTATGAGCAATGGTAATGTTTGATAAAGTGGTTTTTTTTTATGAAATCAGGAATCTTTTTAGATAATTAAATTTTACTATGAGCAATGGTAATGTTTGGCACACGAGCTATGGGTTCAAATTATGCAGGTGAAGTACTTTCACCATAGAGAGGGGAACATCATCAAAATGAAAACCAACAACCATTTAACATGTGGAAGGCTATCCTTAAATCTATGCCACTCATGAAGAAAGCTACATTGTAGAGTGTTCGTGATGGGGAGACCACGGGCTTTTGGACACGCCCCTTATTGGATTGTGATATAATCCTTGAAGAACATTTGTTGTGCAATCTTCCTGAAGACGAAAGAGATTCCCCTATGACCTATTGGGTTACTAAGGAATGTGAGTGGAACTGGGAGAGGATGAGAACACCTCTTCCTCTTCCTCATGATATTTTGTCTTACATTGTAATGATGGATGATGCTCTTAAGCATGAGTTGGGTGATGATCGAACGATATGAGAAATTGAGAGAGACAACAAGTTTAGGCGTAGGTTAGCACACCAACTCATTGCTGATGATATGGAAGAGGAGGAGTACGAGTTTTTGAGAGAGCTTTGGAGATGGAAAGGGCCTAGCAGAGTGAAGCACTTCCTGTGGCTTGTCCTCCACCATCGACTCATGACAAATAAGGAAAGAGTGGAACACAAATTGACCATGAATTGCAACTTCAAGCGAGGCAATGGATCTAAAAAGACAGTTGAGCACATCTCGCGAGATTGCAGGAGGACTAAGGGAGTCTAGAACTTCTTCAAAGACAAAGTCTCAACAAGGACTTCAAGAAATGGATGGTGTCAAATATGAAGGATGAAGACAATGGTGTCGAATTTTGCATTATTTGTTGGATTGTTTTGAAGCAAATGAATGAGGAAGTATTGGATGAGAATAGATTCACAACTCTAGGAACTATGCATAGAATCTTGGCTTGGATCCAAATTTTGATTCAAGCAAAGGAAATGAAGAAAAAATTATTATTTAAGGATAAACTAGGAGAACTAGAAAAGAGACTGAAATTGGATGGAACCCATCGAGAGAAGGATGGATACAACTCCAATATGATGGTTCAGTTAACCCGTGAATATGAAATGTTGTTGCAACATGTCTTCTCATAGATTACTTGGGACGATGCAAGGAAGCTTTCATCTGCAATCTTGGGACAAGCTCAATCAGTTGAGCGGAGCTAAGATGTGTTGCTGAGGGCTTAAAATTGGCTTCGGAAACAGACTACAGGCAAATCTAACTCAAGTTGGATTCCTCCACTGCTGTCAACATTATTGGAAACATTGCAAAGTAAATTGGACAACTTTTGGATCTTGATTGATTGGAATGTATCCCATCTCAAATGTGTATAGAGAAAGCAATTATGTTGCTAATATTTTTGCTAGTAACAGTCGTGATGTTTCTTTAGGCACACGTTCTTTTGATGTGCACGACCCAAACTTATATTACCGGCTTAGGTATAGTATCATAGACATCACCATAAATCGTTCTATAAAATTAGGATGAGAATTTTTTTGGGATATTACTGTAACACTTTAGGCGAATCCCACATCGATAAAGCACGGGAGAGATCTATTGTTCATAAGTAGGAAACCGTCCTTAACTAACAAGACACGTTTTGGAGTGAAATGGAGGAGTTCTTGTGAGAACTCTGAAGTTAAACGTGCTTAGTGTGGAGTACAACAAGGATGGGTGACTGATGACTTGATATATACACATGTTTTTGTCCACCATTCTTACACCGTTTGAGTCTTATCTCTCATGTTTTAGGCCAATTTCACGCTAGGTTGTTCTTGTTTGTGATATTTCAGGTCCTAGTACATGAATGAAGGTTTGGGAACGAGTTCGGGGTCGATTGGACGAAGATCACACGTTTGACGAGAAGCTGAGGAAGCCACACGGGCACGCCGAAAAACCCACACGGCCGTGTGACACCAAATTGCACGGGCAAGCCACACTGGCCGTGTAAGGGAACCCATGTGGTCGTGTGGAAATTCCAGGGAACTCACACGGGCAGCCTGGAAATCCACACGGCCGTGTGGTTTTGGCCGTGTAGCATGCCTGAAGTCCACTTATCGAAACGCCGCGTTTTGCACACTCACACGGGCAGCTGGGAAAGCCACGCGGCCGTGTGGCCTGGCCGTGTGGTAGGGAATTTCTGGGTTTTAAACCAAATTCGAGCCAAAGGAGGGGGAATCGACTTTTTGGAGCAAAAACAGAGCCCTAAAGAGAGAAAGTGCGAAGAACACCTCCTAAGAGTGGTTTTGGAGCTGGGTTTCATCAATCAAGCTTGGAAATCATCCTTGGAGTGAAGATCATCATCCCAGAGCAGATTCTTCCCATCTTGATGAGTATAACTGCTTTGTTTGCTGTTTTCTTATCTCTCTCTCTCTCTCTATGGAGTAGAACCCTCTCTCACTTGGGTATGAAGAACCCTAGTTCTATGTGTTAGGAATCACTATTGTAACGACTTTTGGATTGTGATATTGTTTGATTATAATCGATTGAAGTGTTTTGATTGAGTCAATTGAAGTCTGATCACCTTTTATTGATTTCTGCTGCAACCTGAGATAGATATAATCTGATTAGGTTGTTAGAGCTTCTTCAATCGGTAGTAGTGAATCGATTATACGAGAGTTAATCGATTCAGTGCTTTGTACTGGAATCTAATTCCAGTAGTGGGGTTCTGTGTTCATTGCCTCAGCGTTCTATCCCGGTGAAGGCTAGTCGTCTGCCGGGTAGTTTGACTGAGTGCTTAAGAGATTCCAAGCTACTGTCGGATCTTCCGCAGTATAATCAGCAGTAAAGAAACCAAAAGTAATTACAACTGTGACCTAACTAAGGAGCTAGGGGGGCTCATTCCCGAGTGACCCTTCCTTTGCTTTAGAAAACCGAACCAATTCCTGCTTTCTTACTGCTTTTAGTTAAAAATCACAATCAATCGACTTAGTTGGCTAGATAATAGATATTCACGGAGTAGGCAGTAGATCTAGACCCCGGGTTGATAAATAGAGCTTGCCACTTTACTGCATTTCTGGATTGCGATTACACTTGGCCGCAGTTTGGTGTTGTGTTTCAGCGTGTCAGTGACCTTATGTGAAGTCACCTTGAATTGCACCCCAAGTCGAAAACCGAGAGGGTCGAGGCCCAATGCGGACAATATCTTGCTCGGGAAAAGGTTCGGGATGTTACAAGTGGTACCAGAGCCTCTCCAAGTCCCTCTTGAACGATGGTGGAGCAAACCTCAACAAAGGCGTTGAGTCCCAAGGGAGTGTGTATGTAACACCTTAGGCAAATCGCACATCGACAAAATACGGGAGAGATCCATGATTCATAAGTAAGAAACCGACATTAACTAATAAGACGAGTTTTAGGGTAAAATGGATGAATTTTTATGAGAACTCCAAAATTAAACGTGTTTGATCTAGAGTACAACAAGAATGGATGAAATGAAATGTCTCTCTTTCTTTTAAAAAAAAAAAAAACGCCTCCTCCTTTTTCCGGAGTCGGCCAATTCTTAATCAACCGTCTCTCTTTCTTTTCCCCTCTATCCGTCTCTGTCGCCGAAAGCCTCCGTGTCAAACTCGCGTTTTTCCTTAAAACAGCACTATAACAGCGACGAAAGCACGACAAAGCTTTCGAATCTCTCTCTCTCTCTAAGCTCCCCTTCTGCTGCATTCCCTTTCAATTTCCCCCAATTCTGTGATTAAACCCAAATATCTGCTAGAAGCCTCCGTCGTTTGATCCTCCCCCTGATCCTGATCTACCGCCAATCTCTGATTTCCCCCTTCCCTGATCGGAGTTGCGGAAGTGGGTTTTGTTGGGTTTCCTTACTATTTATCTGGGTTCTTTCTTTAATTGGTTGAAATTTCCGGGAGGAGTTGGAAAAAAGGAAGAAAATATAAAGAGAAGTTTCTGGGTTACGTGTGTTTGTTGAGGGGAGAGCAAGCGATGTTGACCTTGTGGAACTAGAATGGAACTAGTGGTTACGCACCAACAGCATCGAAGGCAACCGGAAGAGCAAGGTAATAATAACCTATAGCACTAGCACCAGTAGAAGAAGAGGAAGTAAAATCACGATGACGCTTTACATTGGCCGGGAAGCTTCAAAGGTTTCTATCTATTTTGTGTTTTGTTTTAATTTTGGGTGAAAAGTAGTGACCTTCTTTCATTGTTCTGGCTTATTCTGATAAGTTGGATGTTATTTTGCAATTCCCTGGTGGCTGAAGCTATGGAAGAGAATTTGTGCAGAGACAAGTACAGAGATCAATCTTCTAGCGGAGAACTGGAGATATATTCTTGCAGGCTTGATTTGTCAGGTTTGCTTCATTCCTTCCTTTCCTTTTTGTTTTGGAGGAGGATAGATGTTGACTTTACCAGCAAATTTCACTGCTTCATTCTGTGTTATTGAAGTCTCCGAAAGGAAATCATTAACCTGGAGAGTTTGTTGTTTTCCACCTTGTCCCTGTTTAAATGACCCGGCGGCAAGATTGGATTGGTTCATAGGTTATGGTCACTGTTAACTGTATCCTTCACAAATTGGACGGCGTTAAAAGAAAGAGCTTTTGGTTTTAGCTTGAGGATTAGTCTCTATTAACTTACATACGTGGAGCGGGCTCAACTATGGAAGTCATTCTTCCGGCCATTTAACCTCAATTTATCTAGTACGGTGGCCTGAATTGTTTTGGAAGGGGGTAAAAGAATGGAGTAGCTCTGGTAGAATTCACAGTATATGCTGCACGCCATCTGGACTTAGTGTAGTTTTGGCTGTTTGGATCTTTGGTCCTGCATTGTTGTTTTAAGGACTCCAACAAGAAGGGGAACAAAGTTATCCAGATGTTGTCATGTCTGAGAATCACAGAGTTTTTCCCTGTCATTCCCCTCGTCGAGAGAACAGCTCATAAGAATCTCGCTCAGTTCTGTTTGTGTTGTTTGATTCATTGTGTTTGACCTTCTGTTTTGTTCCATTTTCTGTCTCTATTCTAACATTTTATAGTCACGTTCTGGCAGTACATTCATGGTTTGGCTGCGAAGGGGGTTCATTATTTCCACCGACCAGGACCGATATTGCAAGATGTTGGATTTTACCTACTTCCGGTATGGGTGTTTCCAACGCTGTGGTGCGCATTTGGGTTCACGTTCTAATAATATAGGAGTCTGCTTTCGTCCAACTCAACCTTTTTGTGCAAATTTTAGGAGCTTGGCCAAGATAAAGGGCACATTAGTGAGATGCTGTTCACCTGTGTCTTTCTATCATTTATTTTGGTAAGCTACTTCAATTGGCTCTCCAGGGATTGCAGTCAACTCTATGCTTTACTTTGTATTTTGATTTTAGGCTATACACTTCAGAAAACATGATCTTAATATATATCTTACGGAGATTGTTATGTTATACTCCTTAATGTGGTCCTTTGTTGCTGCTATTGCAGTGGACATTCCATCCTTTCATCTTCAAGGTCAAGAAGATATACACAGTCCTATTGTGGTGCAGGGTTCTAGCATTTCTATCTGTAAGTTTTTTATTTGTTCCCATCTGGTACCATTGTTTTCTTCTCGTCATTAGTTTTTCTTTGTAATCCCTATATATAAGCTGAAAATATGCCATTTTATTATATTATCAGGCCTCTCAATTTCTTCGGGTCATCACGTTCTACTCCACGCAACTTCCTGGTCCAAATTATCATTGTCGTGAGGTTTGATAAAACTTATCTCATATGTGCTGCAAGTTCATTTACTTCCTTGAACTCATAGACTAATAGTGGTTCTTGTACATATTTTTGCAGGGCTCAAAACTTGCCAGATTACCACGTCCTCAGAGTGTACTTGAAGTTCTCCTGATTAACTGTGAGTGTTTAAATTTCCAATCGTCATTCAAATTCACTTTTCGACAAGAATAAAACGTTTTTATTTATTTGTTTACTGACATATACTGGTCTGACAGTTCCTAAGGGCGTCATGTTTGGTTGTGGTGATTTGATCTTCTCATCGCACATGATCTTCACATTGGTATTTGTCCTTAGCTATCAGAAGTATGGATCCCATAGGTAACATATGATGTCTTCTCTTCCCTTTCCCTAGTGTCCATTGCCATATATACACTAAAACATTTAACTTATGAGAGTTTGTTTTTTTTACTGTTTTGAAATTTTCAGATGGATAAAGAACTTAGGTTGGCTTGTTGCCGTGGTTCAGAGCCTTCTGATCATTGCATCCCGGAAGCACTACACAGTTGATGTTGTGGTTGCATGGTAAGTAGGATTGGACCTTTCACCATTTTCTGGACTTATAATGCTTTACAAAACAAACTTCATTTTCCGGATTGCTGAATTAGTTCTCTCCAACGAACGAACGTACAGGTACACTGTTAATTTGGTGGTATTCTTTGTGGACAAGAAATTACCTGGTATGTTCTGTTTCCCTCTATCCTTGTCATTCTCTCTTTCAGCAAAGCTACTTTGGTAAAAATGCTGATATATGAGTTCTCTGCTTCCTCCACAGAACTCCCTGATCGGACCGGTGGAGCTGCAACTTTGTTGCTACCTTTGACTACCAAAGACAAGGATGAAAAGACCAAAGAAGAGAATCACAAGCTATTGAATGGAAACTCAGTTGACGATTGGGTATAATAGTGAATTCCACTCATTTGACTCTCTTCCGATTCTACCTTCTTCCTTCTCCAATTGGTGTCCTGATGAAGCTATGCAATTTTTTCTTCTTCTTTTGTTCTTTCTATCTCAGCGGCTGAGAAGCCAAGTGAATGGCAAGATCATGGAAGATACGAATGGCATCCCTCCTAATACGAATGCCATGAACGGTGCATAGACATATGAGTGCAATGAACGAAGCTCTTCTGCCACTCGAGAAAACTGCTCTGCCGCGGAATGGACTACTATGGCTTGGCTCACTTTACTCTAGAGAAAGAAGAATATGAGTAGGCTCATGTAACTTAATGCTTTAGCAGTCGGTCCTTCCTCTCTTGTTGTGTGGTACTGAAAAAATCCAGCAACACTTAATTAGTAGCAATATCATCAATGGTTTCCTTTGTGTAATGAAAAATTTTCGGGAAGCTCCTGTTGTTTCTTCTTTAACTGTGATTCTTTTCTTTTATTTATTAATTATTATATCATTATTGAACAGTGAAAGATACTTCTCTTTGGCGAATTGAAGGCTGTAGTTATGATGGAAGTAAAAAGCCAACAACAAGGAGTTGAGATTTTGTTTATGTTAAGAAGATGTTAACAGTTGTGTACTTGTGTTTGGTTCGGTTGGAATTCCAGCGAGTTACAGGCCGTTGGGAAAAAAATGATTGAGATGACATGTGCTGTCCCGTGATTTCCTTTTCCCCTGATTGCTCCATGATTGTCCAGCTCTTTGCCATCTGGATTTCACTATTTTGGTTATCACACAATTTTGCCCATTAACCCTTTTAAATATCCCTACTACTACTACTACCCTGCACTTTCCCTATGTATTTTACTCTCTCGGGTTTATGTACGTCTATTTCAATCGTTTATATATTATCTAACAAACGATTTAAGGTGAAAGGTAAAGAAATTATAATTGAACAAGCAAACATGGTAAGTTGTGGTGAATTTGATTTGAGAAACCTTCACCCAGATATTGTTCTCCCTAATCTCGTGTTAAGATGTAATCAATGAAACTCTAGTGTGAAAAGTGTTATTATATACCGTGAGGAGCATGCAACTAGTTAGGAAACCCCAACTCTTTTAATCGATCAACTAAGGATTGCACGATAAGCTAGGAAACCTAGCTCTCTTAATCGATCGACTAAGGATCCTCGGAAGTTAATCCGGAACAGAGAAAAGCAACCAATCAAGATGAAACCATGGCACTAATCCGACGTGTGAGGTTTGTCCTTAATTGCCCTAGAAGGGGTTGCCCAAATTGCCAAGGTGTGGGCTATGAGGAGATTTCCTCCTTCTAGGTCAAAATGCCCAACATTTGAGATATGATAAATAACAGAAAAAATTCATGAAAAATACCTCACACATTATATTAATCACAAACCCAACACATAAAGAGTTCAAATCTTACAATCTAACGCACCCTAGACTAGCGTTTCCAATACCCAAGTGAAATGGGAGACTACTTCATAGCTAGGAAGAGAGATACAACAAAGATGGAACAAAAAAAAGCCATGGTGAGATGATCCTCCTTCCTTCTAGTTGCTTGATTCACCCTTTAGAGAGAAAAAAATCTTCAACCCTCTAGCCTTGGGTAAGTCAAATCCTTTTGTCTTCCTCCTATTAGCTCGTCACTTTCTCTCTCTATTTGAAAAAGAAGACCAAAGTCTCTCTCTAGAACTCTTTTTTAGGTTTCAGCTCCCTCTCCTTTATACACTCCAGTCGGGGTCGTTTCACGATCAAATATCACGCCCATGATGTTGAACGCTTGACCGTGATCTCGGTGCAAAACGCAGTCGTTTTAGTATAAATGACATCACGGGCTGCTAGGAAATATCACCTAATGAATTGCCCAACGAGCCATTCAAAACCCGCACTCGCATGAATTATTTAGGGCACACCACCTAATGAAAAACGATCCTCCGAGCCCCCAATTGGTTGACTACGCGATATCTATGTCTAGCTCAAAGGAATAAAAGAGAGCACTCCACCACGAGAGTCAATCCATGTTTATATTGTTTGACCATATAGTTGTGCCTTATGCGCAGCAGGTTTGCAGAAGAAGACAAAATAAATAAATAAATAAATAATTCTTCCTTTTTTCTTCTTTCCTTCACTCGTTTATACTCCAATTGCTCCTCGGAAACAGGAAACGGAATGGTCAATATATAATCCTGCTGGTTGACCGGAAGGCAAACTGGTGGCGCGGCAGAATGGGAATCCTCGTCGCCTGCCCGTCTGCTTGGGCGGAGCTGGAGGCAGGATTGCTGGCGGAGATCGCCAAGAGAATACCGAGACTCTCCGATTACGCAAGTTTCGCTACGGTGTGCTCGTCGTGGAGGAACGCCGCTCTCCCCGAGGAGCGCCGCCGCCGTCCGTGGGCGCACTTCCCGGGGCTGCTGATATCCAGCCGCCGCCGGGAGAAGAAACCAGGGGATCGCTTCTTACCCGTTGCGCAGATCAGAAACTACCTGGGCAACCAGAAATCCCACTACGGATTGCGGCGAGCCTTCCTACAGCCGGCGGCGGCGGCGGCGGGGGAGGAGTGGGATTGTCGTGGGACACAGGAGGGATGGGTGGTAATGGTCAAGCCTTACGAGGATGGGAACAGAGCTATGAATGTGACGCTACGAGACCCTCTCACCCACGTCGACATTGCTCTCCCTCCTCTCCACGCCGGCGTTTCAACGGCGCCGGTTTCCTGGCGGGTCGAAAAGGCTGTGCTGTCTTCTTACCCGGGAGCTGACTCCAGCGGCCGGTGCTACGTCTTGATGTTCCACGATCTGCGTGTTACTGAACTCATTACCGTTAGGTATTACGTTCTATCTTTTTTCTTTGTTGTCTGGTCTCGCTTGTGCTTTTGCATCCGCCATGATTTAAAAAGGGACGCTTAATTTTATGCTTAGACACGATTAGGCATAAGGCAATGGCAAAACGTCTTATCTAGGGGTTCCGCATCTAGTTAGATACTGGAACATGTTAACGGTAGTGATGGCAATTTGAATCGCTCGCGGGTATTAGCCGACCTGATTCGTGATGGAGCGGGTATTACCCGACCCGTTACAGCATGGGGCGAGGTATGGGTATCTACTTTCGCCCCGCCTGCCCCACCCCGCCCTGTTCTGGATCCATTTTATCACAATTTCTTACAGTATCTATAAATATTTCTACTATTTTTTACTTTTATTCAACTAGTTAAAGTCGATATTTCAACTTGTTAGACTCAATTACCCATTTTATTATCAACATTTTTTTTCCTTTCATAAAGTGTTTTTCCCTTTGTTTTATTGTAAAAAGTAAAATTTGCGTGTATCTTTTCGAAATAACATGTAATAGTGGGTCGACCCGTCCCGACCCGTAGTAGCGTGCGGCAAGGCATGGGAAATTGGGAATTGAGGTACCCGCCCCGCCCCGTTGCCATCACTAGGGATGGCAACTTTGCCCATACCCATGGGTTTCTTACTATCCAACCCAATTGGGTTGGGTATGAAATCCAAATAGATGGATATGGGTAGAGTTTGATGTGTTTGTACCCATACCATTTACTTTGGGTTGAGTTGGGTTTATATCAAATGGATTTGGGTTTGTACCCATGCCCAAATACAAATTACAGTTTGGTACCCAAACTTAATAGACATGCATATTTAGTACCTAAATTTAATTTTTTTTGCATATAGGTCCTCAAAATATCGATGGAAAATTACGTTTTGGTACCTAAATTTTTTTGGTCTTACATTTTGGTACCTAAACTTTTCAAGTTTTTGCAAATAGGTCGAATTTTTGCATGTGTAGTTAAAACACCCTCAAGTAAATGGATATCCATATCCAACTCATACCCATTTAGATTATGGAAGCCCCAAACCCAAACCCATCTATAAACCCCCAAATCCATATGCACTTCACCCATACCCAACCCATTATCAATGGGTCTACTTGGGTTTGAGTATAATTACCCATGGGTGGGTAATTTGCCATCCCTAGCCATCACTAGTCAATGGAGTAAGTCGACATATAAGTCTCTCCTAAACATTACTGGATGGAGTTAGAAAGTCAATATTAAATGAGAAAATTAACATCAACTACGAAACCAATTTTCTATATCAATATTTTTAATCATTTTAGTTTGAGTGAGGAAGTGTTATAGAGATTATTATTTCATTCATCATACAGTACGAATAACTATTTTTAGGTTGGTGAGTTTGTGCGAGGTTGGAGCGGATGAAAGTTGGAGAGACGTGGAGTTCACAGAAATGCCTATCGATCACCAAGATTATAGTATCGACGCCGCGGCGCCGCCGCCGCCGACGGCATGGGGAGGCCCACCACCTGCGCTGGACGACAGAGACGCAATTTACATCAACGGCAACAACTCAAGTAATTTCTACATACTGAACCGAGGGATCCTGCACCTCCTGGACCCGTCCGCCGCCGAAGCGAGAACCACGGTCGTCTGCAGAATCGAGGGGAAACTCCCCGTCCGACAAACCAAGTGGAGGGAGAGCTTCCACCTGAACCACTACTTCTACTCCGCGGAAGCAGGGTGCCACGTGGTCCCGCATTTCCACCTGGCGGAACTGGGAGGAGGGGATGAGCTGGCAGTGGTCGTCCGCCTCGTGGGGTACAGCCCGGGCCAAGGGGAGACAGGTGTCAGAAAGTTCGTCGTGTACACGTGGCGGCGGTCGGAAGATGGGCAGGGGTACTATTGGGATGAAGCCAGCGACCTGGGTGGCGGGGCGGCGCTGTTCGTGGGGACGTGTCAGGCTAGCGTGACCTTACGGCGGCCTGGGGTGAACGTTGCAGCGAAAAGGGACCATATCTATTTTGCACTGTTCTCCCCTGCCAATGCCTCCGGGGTCGAGATTGGGGAATATAACTACCTCCGTCGCCGCCGCAGCGGCGGCGTCGACGCTGTTCACCTGTTCAAATTTGGACCCTCGACGATTGAGCCGCAGGATTTGGCATTGTTAGATCGTTTAAGGAGGCCACACCCTCTTTGGTTCCTTCCGGTACCTTGGAGGTACGTATGAATCTGTCTTTAGCTAGTTACTTATGGTGCATTAATGTATTCACATGGGAATTTACTTTGGTGTAGATCCTCATCGAGCATCGACGGGAAGAGCACGAGGAAGCGTTGTGAAGATGGCGGTGAAGAAATGGATTGTACCTGCGCTGCTGCTACTATTCATAGCGGCGAGGCCGGTGGTGACGAGAACGATGAGCAATATGCCTTTGCTACCGCTACCAATAGATTTGAAGCCTTGCTCACGCTCTAACTACTCTTTCCCTCATTCATCATATATATATAATTCTTTCTCTGGTTCTTATGCTACTTAATTCTGCTGCTGTATAATTTCTTCGACCTATAACATTGTGATCCTGTTCATTCGATCTATTTTGGTTCGATTTGAAAATGATATGGTATCTCGACATATCTTTGTTGTGGGACGTCCAGATCTAAAAACTCAGGTCTAGGTTCTGGTCTCCATTCCTCTGCTTCGCTCGTATGTGGTTTGTCTTCGTTCCAATCTACATTCCTCGGTTATTATTTTTAGACTTAAATGAATCGTATGATTTGAGTTAGATAATTAGGGACATGGGTTCACCAATTAGAGGTCATGATATAGTATCAAGCTCTAAATTCTCGTTAATTCACGATCTAAATAATAATGAACTTAATAGGCTTACGGTAATCTTTATATGTTCAATTAATATAAATTCGTACCCATTGTTTACGACTTGGACACGTGTCCAATTTAATTTGCTCGGTCTATGATCTTAAACTTGTGTCTTCGATCATCATTTAGTATCTTAACACCCACCCTTTTTGCTCCTAATTTCTGGATTTGTCCAAATTAGGCGGTAATCTAATCGTATTTTGTGGTGGGCCGACAGGATTTGCCTTCCACTGCCACGTCATCAACAACAGTCAAGAGCATGGAAAAGTTTTTTGACTCTCTCATACAACCGTTATTTTCCGCCTCCTTTGCCGCGTCGTCGGCATTATCAATATGAACTGCAAACTTAAAAAAAAAGTAGAACAAAAGCACTGAAAAGGAAACATATGATCATATCTTACAAAACAAACACGCATATATGGAAGAGATGAACAGCAAAAATCAATCCTTGGAAAGAAACAGACAGACAGAGGTGGTAAAGAACAGAAAGACAGACAGACAGGCAGACAGGAAAGCAGTAAGGTAATGATGAGTGATTTGCAAAATCTCAGAGAAGTTCCCCCAACAAAAAAAAAATTAATTTAAGGTCGAGAGAGCAAGCAAAAAGATAATACCCTTTCTCCCCCGGACTTCATTTTCCCCAGCTTTAGGATCAGGCTTAAGCAGAGGGCCAAATTCTTCTTTTCCATTGCTTTTGCTTCCGAAATCGACCGGTCAAAAAATGGGTGGCCATTGCTCCAAGTTATCCCTCTGCTGTTACCACTCTCGCCATAACCCTTCCGTCCTCCTCGAGTCCTCCGATCTCGGTAGCAAAAAAAGATTGCGACTTTCCTTCTTTCCTGACATTTTGCCAACTGGGTTCTGGTATTTTTGTAACTTTTTTTTTTCTTCTTAAAATTCAGGTGATGGGGGCAAAAACGGGGGGAGTCCATGGCCGAGCTTCAGGGAGTTCAGCTTGGAGCAGTTGAAATCCGCCACCGGCGGGTTCTCCTCCGACAACATAGTATCGGAGCACGGCGAGAAGGCTCCCAATGTGGTTTACAAAGGGAAACTGGATGTCGACCGTTGGATCGCCATCAAGCGCTTCAATAGAATGGCCTGGCCAGATTCGCGCCAGTTCCTCGTCCGTTCCATTTCTTCCTCGCCTTCCCTAATTTTGGTATTTTGTTTTTGACTCTAATGTCTTTTGACTGAATCAAGGTTGTCTAAAAATGTGAATCCTCAGGAGGAAGCAAAGGCGGTGGGGAATCTGAGAAGCGATCGGCTGGTGAATCTGATTGGATGTTGTTGTGAAGGTGAAGAGAGACTGCTCGTCGCTGAGTTTATGCCCAATGAAACGCTTTCCAAGCATCTCTTTCACTGTAAGCTTTCATCTCTGTTAAATAAAAATTCTTTTTTTCTTGTGATGAACTGGAAGCAATTGAGTTCTGATTAGCTTTGTGGGTTTCTAGGGGAGAGTCAGCCGATGAAATGGGCAATGAGATTAAGAGTAGCTCTGTATCTAGCCCAAGCTTTGGAGTACATCAGCAGCGAAGGAAGGGCTTTGTACCATGATCTCAATGCCTATAGGGTCCTATTTGATAAAGATGGGAACCCTAGGCTGTCTTGCTTTGGGATGATGAAAAACAGCAGAGACGGCAAGAGTTACAGCACTAATCTCGCATTCACCCCTCCTGAGTACTTAAGAACTGGTAATCATTACAGACGAACTCGGCCGATCTGGGCTACATTTTGGATGATTGTTGTTGACTCGAAGTTTGAAAACAAAGTGTGGTGGATACTATGATTCTCCATATCAACACTAGGCCAGTATTTTCTCATTATCAATCACCAAAACTTCTCTGCAGGCAGAGTGACTCCAGAGAGTGTTGTCTACAGTTTTGGTACACTTGTTTTGGATATACTTAGTGGCAAACATATTCCACCAAGCCATGTATGTTATCTTCCTTTCTTTCTACTTAATCTTTGTTTGTCTTATGGCTTTCATTGACCACAGAGTTACTGCTTCATTCTTCTTCAGGCCCTTGACTTGATTCGCGGCAAGAACTACCTGATGCTAATGGATTCAGCACTGGAGGATCATTTCTCAAAGGACGACGGTACTCAGTTGGTGAGATTGGCTTCGAGTTGCTTACAGCTTGAAGCTCGAGAGAGGCCAAATGCCAAGACACTTGTGGCTTCTCTGATTCCACTTCAGAAAGAAACCGAGGTTAGATAAGATGAGCTCGCGGTTCGAACAAAACCCTCATTGTGGTTTCTTAACTGAAGAAAGTTGAGTGCTCTTACTTTGACAGGTTCCATCTTATGTACTTATGGGGATCCCACATGAAGCAGCAGCAGCAGCAAGTAACCAGCCGCTGTCGCTCACCCCATTCGGTGAGGCCTGCTTGAGAATGGATCATACTGCTCTACATGAACTGCTTGAGAAAGTTGGGTACAGGGATGATGAAGGAATAGCCAATGAGGTTCGCAATTTTGTTCTTGCAGCTGCCTGAATCAAAAATTCTGAGACTGGTTTGAAGTCGACTTTGGTTTTCTTTCTTGCAGCTATCTTTCCAGATGTGGACAAATCAAATGCAAGATACCTTGAGCTCCAAGAAAAACGGAGACATTGCCTTCCGTGCAAAGGATTTCCCCACTGCCATTGACTGCTACACACAGGTCAGTCATGCTGCTTAGTCTTACTAATGGCGCTAAATGATTTTCTGCCCACGCTAAACCGGACTGAATCCCACTTCAATATTTTGGCTAACTAAAATTACTTAAAAACATTTCAGTTCATCGATGGAGGGACCATGATATCGCCGACGGTGTATGCTAGGCGGTGCCTGTCGTACTTGATGAACGAGATGGCACAAGAAGGGCTGGGGGATGCCATGCAAGCTCAAGTTGTGTCCCCTGAGTGGCACATTGCATCTTACCTTCAAGCAGCATGCCTCTTCAGCCTTGGAATGGAGAATGATGCCCAGGAAGCTTTGAAAGATGGCACCAATTTGGAAGCCAAAAGGAACAAAAAGTGAAATTCTTGACATTTAGAAGTAAGAAGAAAAGACTGAATGTACAGACTTGGTTCTTTCCCTTCTGTTTTTGTTTCCGCCTCCTTGCTGCTTAGTTTTTGTGTAACCTAGGCTGGCTCTTGTATGTAAGTTGCTCTCATTTCTTGGTTTGTTTCGAGGTTCATCTTGGCATTCGAGGATTGGCCAATATTTTTACTGATTTTCTCTTTAATGGTTTCCCTTATGGCGTGATTCTCAGTGGCACAGGGTCACAGTCTCTGCACAAATTTCTGGATGAAGAATCCACAACTACAGACTCGGCCTCTGTTATTCCCACAACGTTCTTGGCAACCGAGTTGCAAATCTCGCAAATCCTGAGAAATGAAATGAAATGAAATCACCAAAGAGGCAAATAAATTAAAGGAGAATCATTATATGAAGGGGAAGTGCTAAGATTCCCAAACAACCCCGCAAAATATGGCCGAAAGTAAAAGATGAAAGGAAAAAGCAGGCAAACAAATGATTTCGACAAGAACATGTCGGTGTGAGTGAGTGTAGTAACATACGATGCTATTCTCGGAAGTGGTAGGAAGATCGGCATATGAATTTGAACTGAGATGGGCATAATTGGAAATCGGTTCGGCCATGTTAAATATTGACAAATTCGATACGATATTCATTTATTATCTTAAATACTCGTATTAACTTCTAGCCCTAATCATCGCACATATGCTCGCATGCTTAGAGCAAATCTTCCATACTAGTACTAATTGACTGAGAATTTTTCCCACAACAGGGCAAAACTAAGGATCAATTTACCCAGGGGCGGACACACGTTGGGGGTGTCCCGGGACACCCCTTAAATTTTGGGAAAATGATTATCCAATTTCGGGTGGTAAATTTCGTATAGACAAAAAATATATATATATATATATAATTGATAGTCGGGGACACCGCTGAAATTTGAAAAAAATAATTATCCTACTCTCGTCTTTTAGTTTACTTATGGGAATATAAGTTGTAGTTCGAGTAATTCAAACCTATGACACTATTATTGTTAATAAAAATAATTTTCTTTAGACTACTAATCGTTTGTTGTTTGATTTTAAACACTGTGTAAATAGTAAAATCTCATTCCCTATCTCTAATTATTTTCCAAAACCTAACAATTAAACAAATTATTTTAAACACTCTTGTACGACAAGTGTTGAATGAGTCTTTTTCAGCTTTAGGTTACACCAAGAACAAGTGTAAAAATCGAATATGTGATCAATTCGTGAATGATTCTAGTAGGATATACAAAGACAAAAAAAAAATTAGCAGTGTAGACACCAAGTGTATTTTTCAGTTATTTTTCAAATATGAAAACACATCGTGAACTTTTTTAACTCGGGTATTTTCTATATAATAATTATTTATTTTACAGTTATTTCTATACAATTGCTGGGCTTATTGGACTAGGCAGTGACTCTTCCTTCTTCGACTCCATTAAAATTGTTGCATTCGATAGCCAGAAGCAGGAACGGCCGTGAAGAAAGAGTTGGTATAGATTGTTGGCGCAAGTTTGCGATTTGATTATTGAAGGAGGGGGAAAAGATCCTCATTGCAATCAACGAGTATAGGCAAGTCAGAAACCTTCAATATACATTGATACTCTGCTGGCTAAGCTATGAATCTGTCCCTCTTAAATATGAGGATCCATTCATACCTAGTAGGAACATGACATCAAAAATGCAAACTTACGACGACAAAATGAGTCGAGCAAAAGAATAATATGATTAGCCTAGTGCTAGACAAATGAGGCAATCATCACATGTCTAAATCATTGAAGATGATTAAGGTTACGTAGTCAGCTTTTGGGGTCTCATTTCAATCCTGCTGCTTCTGAGAACCCATTGGATCCGTTTGCTGCAATTCAAGGAAAGACAGTAAATAAGAAAAAAATCTAGGGAGTTGCAAGTGGAGATAGTTCAGCATAAGGTTTAAGTCTTTACCAAGATTGTTATCGATTTTGTTACTGATTGCACAGCAGTCACAGCATCAGAACCTGAGAATAACACGCATTTGATTATATGGTCGAGCAAAGATTAAAACAAGGAAAAGCAATTTCAAGAGCTACATTTGATGGGTTAGAAGAATCACCTTGTATATCATTTCCTGATATCACCTCTGTAACAGAGGAGCAGAACTCAGAAAACACTTGATCTCCCCCTGTGTTCCCATCTTGTGATGTCCTGCTCAGCATGTCTCGCATCAGATAAGCAAAAGGAACAGGAAACCAAAGAGGGGGAAAAGTAAACAGAAATTATGGCCTGAGAAATTTACCCAGAAGCAGAATCTGTAGAAGCACCAGAGGTTGGTTCGCACGGGCAGGAGGCAAATCCCTCCATTCCAAAATCCAGATCGCTCATCAGATCGCTGAAGGAGAAATTTGGTCCAAAAATATCAGGCAAATCCAGTCCAAACACGTTCTCGTCTTTATCAGACTCCGGCGTTGAAGCCTCCTCATCAACTCTGGGCACTATCTCATCTGAACCACCAAAGTCCAGCCTTCCCTTCACGCAGTCCCTCTTTCCAGACCTCTTGAACCCAGGTTTCAAGGGAGAAGTAATGCAACGGTTTCTCTCCACGGTGTATGATATGTGCTTACATGGACTAACCATGACCCTCTCCGATGTAATCACAGTGCAGCCTGTTGGAGTTACATTCTGTGGGGTGGTGGTTGCGCTACAGGTAATTGATTGTGGAGGTGTTTCAGGGCCAGATGAATGAGGCTGATTGAACAAGCGCTTGGCGATGCTCGCTCCATTGGCTACTTGTGGCAAGCAGTTGTTGGGTGATGATGCAACCAGAGAAGAGCACTGAACAACTTCATTGGCAATGGATGCATTGCCGGGCTGGTTGGTTGTTGCTAATGAGAGAAACAAAAACCAAAAGAAGCGTCAAAGATTGAAACAAACACATAGTGTTGAGAACACAAAAACTGACGGAACTCAGTGAAGTGTCTTTTACCTGGAGTTGGTGCGGTTCCAGAGAGTAACTTAGCCTTCTTAGAAGCATTTGGGGCTTTTAGGACTCTATTTGTAGCAGAACCCCCTCTCTTTCTCGTGGCTGGCAAATTAGTAACCACGTTCGAAGCCGGGGTGGGAATAGGCACCACCATGTTTGGTGATTTGATCGTATTACAATCTGTTCCAAGACCACAAATTCTAGCTTCCATTAACAACACCAACGACCACATAGACCCACTAAGCAAGTTTCAGTTCAATCATCCATTCATTTGAGTGCAAGCAACCATGGGAATAGGAATCCATAAAAGCATAGGAAGAAGAAGGTGAAGAGGGTTCTCACCTGGAGGAGGCTGAGGGATTACTGCGACCTGTTTGGTTGCAGAGGCCTGCTGGATCAAGGGGACAGCAGATAGAACTGCTGGGCTGGTACCATTGTAAACGTTCATCACTTGTTGCATACCGTTCAAGAGATTCTGAACCCTAATTTTCTCTTGCTCCAAACAGACCCTTTCCTGATCCAACATCACTTTCTGCTCCTTCAAGCTGATGTAGTCGTTCAATATCATCCCTAACCCTAGCAAACTCTTGGGCGCCTAAAAGGAAACCCAGATCAGAAAATCGAGATTACACAGCCAGAAACACTATGACTATGAGCCCCAAAAACAACCCACAAAAATCAAATTGCTTAGGGAGCATTAGTGGGTACCTCATTGACCGGAGATTTGGAGATGAGTGAAGCAGCTTCATTCCTGAACACAGCACGAGTCTCCGAGAAATTGTTTTCGCAGAGATATCTGTCCACCAGGAATGCAACTTGGATAGGCGTCACCTTGCCTTTGCCCACTGCGTCGCTTTTCCTGGATCTCGCTTGCTTCGCCATCTTCACTAGCAAACCAGAGACCCAGAGAGAGAGAGATGGGAGAAACGAAAATGAAGACCGAGGGTAAATGAGAAGAAGGAGAAATCTGGATCCAATACTGAGAAAATGAGGCGGAGGATGGAGGGAGATTGGTGAAATAGGAAACGGCAGGATGTTTAAAATTTTTTGCAAGAGTAAGAGCTCCCTCCGCCAATTTTCGAGCGCTTCTTCTCTTTTGGTGATTCCTTCGCGGGGAAATGTCATTTCTCTTCGCGGGAAACAAGATTTCAACTATGGCGCTTCACTTCACCCGCAAAAACTATGGCGCTAAAATTTAAAAAAAAAAAATGAAAGATCTGTAATGAGCTCCTGAGAAGCCCATCTGGAAGTGGACTGGAGCTCAAGTCTACCTCTTTGGGCTCACGGGCTGGGCTCTCTAAGTGGGCTACAGTAGACACAAGTGGAAAACCCAAACCCGAAAGCCTATCATCTAACACTGTTCTCTACATTCCATTCCACCTCTCTCCTCCACAGCTCCTAAAAAGAAAGAGAGAGAAAGGAATACTTCCTTCCACACAGCTCCTCAAAAGAAAGAAAAAGGCAAGGAACACTTTCTTCTCACCAAACTTGGAGCTGGTTATCCTCTCACTCCTCTCCCCAAACCCTAGTCCATCGACGCACTCTGAGTAATCCCCTCCAGATTCAGCCATGGTCATTTATCCAGCTCTCACCCACTTAAAGTTTCTAACTTTACTGTTCTTCCACTTCAATCTGCTTCTTGCAGACCCAACTTCCACCTTTTCCTTCACAAATTTCGACCAAAATCCAAACTTTACCGCAACCATAGCCCTCTACGGCGACGCCAAGGTCGTTAGCACTGATGGGTCTTTTCCTACCAATTCCTCGGCCATTCAGCTGACCCATTCAGTCAGTTCCAGCGGTGGGCGAGTCATGTACAACAAACCCATCAAGCTCGTCGCCAACGGCAGCGATTCCTCCGCGTCTTCTTTCTCAACTTACTTCTCATTTCTGATTTCCCCAGATAACACAGGAGACGGGTTGGCTTTCGTAATGGTCCCGGCCGAGTTCGATGCCACTCTCTTCCTCAGCAATGCTCCATTCGGGCTTTCTCTCAGATCAGGTCTGAAATCTTCCAGAAGCTTCGTTGCCGTTGAATACGGCTCCTCTAAAGACCCCAGGTACAGCGATTTGAGCGACGACCATGTGGGAATCGATGTGGGCGAGTTCGTTTCGGTCAAAGTGAGGAATGTTTCGTCGGTCAACGCATTGTTGAGCAGTGGGAAGAGATTGCATTCCTGGGTGGATTATGAGGCAGGGTCAAAGAGATTGGAAGTCAGGTTGAGTCAATTTGGGGGAGAGAAACCGGTTGACCCTCTTCTCTCCTATCCAATTGACTTGACCAGGATGTGGAATAATGACCAGGAAGTCCGTGTAGGGTTGACCTCTTCCAATGGGAATTCCTCCCAGTCTTGTTTTCTCTACTCCTGGAGCTTTCAGCTGAGGCATTTCCCGCACTGGATGCATTCTCAGCCGTTGGATCCAAAGGTTTTGGTTTCGGATCTGAAACATGTTGATGGTGACAACAGGAGGGACTACTGTGTTGTGAGAGTAATTGCTGCTTTGTTTTTGGGAGTTGGGTGTGGAGCTTTGGGTGCATTCATGGCGCTGCAAGTTTGTGGCTTGTTCGGGAAGACGAGGGGTGGTGGGGTGAGAGAGGAGGGTTCTAATTCTTCTTCTGCTGTTGTGCATCCAATGGAGTTTGAGTTTGGGTATGAGAAAGTGAAAGTGATGGTTGTGGATGATAAAGCTATCGAAGATGTTACCAAGCAGTAAGTAGTATGTGTAGGTTAATTTGGGGTGGGGGTGGTTGTGGGATTTTGATTTTGTGGTCTGTAAATTCAATGCCGTTTTCTCTAATTATGTAACTTTGCTGTGTTTAGAGTTTCTACTTGTGGGTTTGTGTTCTTTGTGCTCTGCAACTTATGATGATGATGATGATTGTGAATCAATTGTTCAAATGTGTAGCCTTTTCCGTAGCATTCATTTCTTTCTAATGATGGCTAGAGCCTAGAATTATATCATACTTTAAACTTTTCTACTGTCTGTTCATGGAACATATATAGCTGGTTCTCCTCACCTGTTTTTGGTTTGCAGTCATTCATGTTATTGCTGCTCTCAGCTTGACACTGTCACAGTGTATGAGTGGAGCGAGTAGTAATATCAACAACCACGCATTCTCATCTGCAGTTTCCACAAAGCCGGTAAATAGTCAAGAGAATGTAGAAGCATCATTCGATCTGGGTATTCCTAGAAACAACAGAGTTCTTATTTGCTGAACTGAACTGGTTCCCTGCTTCAAAGGAGTGACAGCAAATGGAACTCTCCAGTTTGATTAATCATTCAAGAAAAGCAAACCGAACTTCCGGACTCAACAAAATTATCAGCTTTCACAGGGAAAGTGACCTGAAGTAGACAGACAGTGAGTCCGTGAGGCTGGCTTCCTTGGTGTAATGGCTTTCCATGAGGACCTGACTAGAGCAGATCGGGTCCATGCTGAATTTGTACAAGCACCTCATCAAACGAACAGCAAACAGGAATCATACCACAAACATATGGACAACTTGAACTAAAAACTGGTTTTTTCACTCGACTGGTTTTAGTCCTCCAAATAACATGCGAATTTGCACGTTTATAGTCGATTTATAACCATGCTGTCCGTTTGGAAGGTATCACTCGGTACAATCCCATCTCTTCTTTCCTGACAAAGACCAAGACCGCTTTCTTACTTCTTAAGTCTTTCACAAAGTAATTTAGGACACTCAACATCTCTTACTTGGTGCTCACTGATACATGCTCATCCCAGCTCCAGCTCGGTGCCAAAGAGCACAAATCTGGCTCTCACCCTCCTCCAATCATTGGGGTTAATGATAGAAACCCGCCCACGGGTTAGGGAGGCCGGCGTATTGGCCCGGGTTGTTGTTTATTTCGATACCCATATATAAGGGTTCAGAACAGTATTTTTGAGATTAAGCAATAAGAAAGAATCAAATCCCTAATCTCTTCTTCTCTCAATTCTTCCCCAATTCTTCTCAATCCCTAATTCCATTTCTTCTTCAATTCCCAATTCTCTTTCTCAATTACAAGTTTCTATCATCTGGTATCAGAGCCCGAATGAACCCATCCAAGTTCTTCGATTCGGAGTGGGTTCGCCTCAGCCAACGGTTGCAACAATCTCTCGACCGCTACACACGAGAGAGAGAGGCAATCGAGGGCGCGGGGAGGGGAGCGGGTGCCGCCGCTGGAGAGGCAGGGCCGCGGCGGTCGGCGAGTCTGGCCGCCATTCCCGCGAAGGCAGGCGACGCGGCGGAGGCTGGGGAGGCAGCCCTAGTCGCCGCGGGCGAGGCGGAGCGAGAGAGAGCGGCGGGGCCGAGCAGGGCCAGCGCGCTGCGCGGCCAACCGGTCGACGGGGAAGGACCGATCGTGTCCCTCGGCTCGGTGGCGGGTCAGGCAGTTCCGGAAACGCTGCGTTTCCGTGCGAAGATCGACGGGCACTCCGCCATGACTCTGGTGGACAGCGGTGCTTCGCTCAACTTCATCGGGGCGGAGTTCGCGGACACCCTAGAGCGGGAGGCCTGCGAGATGGAGCCGATAGTGGTCAAGGTTGCGAACGGCGCACCCATGCGGTGTACTAAGGTCTACCGAGATTTCAGACTTGACATCCAGGGTTTGGAATTCTCAGCGGATCTGTATGTGCTTCCGATCAGGGGGTATGATGTGATATTGGGAATGCCGTGGTTACGTAGTCTGGGTCCGGTCATCAGTGATTGGACTAGATTGACTATGTGCTTTAAGTGGAGGGATAAGGAGTGGACCTTGCAGGGATTGACCACGGTGATGGGGTCGATTTCCTTCCGGGAGTGCACAGTTGGAGGGGAGGCGGACTTCGCGGTCCTTTGTTGGCCACTGGCGGCGCAGCAGACAAAGGCCGTCGCGGCGGATTTGCAGGCTGTGCTCGACCGATTCCCGGATGTATTCCAGACTCCCTCGACCCTTCCTCCGCACCGCCAGGTTGATCATTGCATTAATTTGAGGGAAGGAGTGGAGGTTGTGAATGTACGACCCTACCGGTATGGGCATTCACAGAAGGAAGAGATTGAACGCCAGGTTGGAGAGATGCTCGAGACAGGACTGATTCTCCCAAGCACCGGTCTGTTTTCATCATCGGTACTCCTGGTAAAGAAAAAGGACGGGACCTGGCGTTTCTGCACGGATTACCGGGCCCTCAACAAGGTGACAGTGAAGGACAGGTTTCCGATCCCGACCGTTGATGACATGCTGGATGAACTCCACGGATCGGCCTACTTCACCAAGCTGGATTTACGGGCCGGGTACCACCAGATCCGGATGACGGAGGAGGATGTCCATAAGACGGCCTTCCGGACTCATAACGGACACTATGAGTACCTGGTAATGTCGTTCGGCCTGTGTAACCCACCCTCGACCTTTCAGGCAGCCATGAACGATATCTTCAGGCCCCTCCTTCGCCGGTATGTTTTGGTGTTCTTTGATGATATACTTGTCTATAGTCCTTCTTGGGAGGACCACCTGCTGCATTTACAGACAGTGTTCGAGATTCTCCGCCAGCACCAGTACTATGTCAAGGCTTCGAAGTGTTCATTTGGGAGTCAGGAGGTGGATTATTTGGGGCACGTTGTGACACCTCAGGGAGTGCGGGTTGACCAGACTAAAATTTAGGCAATGGTGGAGTGGCCAGTTCCGACTATAGTGACAGAGTTGAGGGGTTTCCTTGGACTGACAGGGTATTACCGGAAGTTCGCCAAGGGGTACAGCATGATAGCGCGACCTCTGACGAATCTTCTCAAGAAGGGCGGATTCGAGTGGTCTCAGGCGGCGGAGGATTCGTTTCAGGCACTGAAGCGGGCTATGACGACTACACCCACTCTGGCTATGCCTGACTTCTCGAAGCCGTTCGTGATCGAAGCTGATGCTTCCGGCAGGGGGATTGGGGCGGTACTGTCCCAAGACCGTCACCCAATAGCTTTTCTGAGCAAGACCTTGGCCCCGTTTAAGGAGGCCTGGTCGACTTATAAGAAGGAAATGGAGGCTATCATCACGGCTGTACAGGCGTGGAGACCGTACTTATTGGGGCAGAAGTTCCATATCTACACCGACCACCAGAGCCTGCGGAATCTCTTAGAGCAGAAGGTTTCTACCCCGGATCAGCATAAGTGGGTCTCGAAGTTGTTGGGATATGACTATGAGATTCACTATAGACTGGATTCCACTAACGTGGTCGCGGATGGGCTTTCCAGAAAACCAGGAGGCGAGGTGTTCGCGGCAGTGACCGGTCCTGTACCCCAGTTCTGGGACGCCTTGCGCGAGTTGACAGGGACAGATCCATATCTGCAGGAGTGTCGGGCCATCGCGGATAGCGAGAACCCGGGGAATTATACTTTTTGGCAGGGCCTGGCGTTCTTCAAAGGGCGCTTGGTTCTTCCGCGGGGATCATCCCTGGTGACTACCATACTGCAGGAATTTCATGATTCACCCTTCGGCGGTCATTCCGGGGTGGAGCGCACTCTTCGCCGAGTTCGAGCTCAGTTCTACTGGCCACAGATGGGGAAGGATGTGAGAAGTTATGTGGATTCCTGTGACACTTGCCAGAGGGTCAAGGCGTCACAACTTCGTCCGGCGGGGGTTGCTACAGCCATTACCGGTTCCAGAACAGGTCTGGGAGGATATCAGCATGGACTTCATTGTTGGTCTTCCACCGTCAGGAGGAAAGACCGTCTTGTTCGTAGTAGTCGACAGGCTCACCAAATATGCTCACTTCATGGCTTTAGCACATCCGTACACGGCCAATGAGGTGGCAGAGCAGTTTGTGATGGGCGTAGTGCGACACCACGGGTTCCCGAGGTCGATAGTAAGTGATCGGGACTCTGTTTTTCTGAGTCGCTTCTGGCAGGAGGTATTTTCCATGGCTAGGACCACGTTGCGGATGAGCTCAGCTTATCATCCTCAGACGGATGGTCAGACTGAGCTGATTAACCGGCACTTGGAGCAGTACCTTCGTTGTTTTGCACATCAGCAGCCGAAGAACTGGTTGGCCATGGTTCCGTGGGCAGAGTTGTGGTATAATACCACCTATCACCGAGCCATCAAGATGTCTCCATTCGAGGCTCTGTACGGGCGGCCTCCTCCTTCGTTGGTGCGTTACCGGAGTGGCGCTAGTGCAGTGGATGCGGTGGATCGGTGGTTGGGAGCGCGTGATGAAGCCTTGAAGCAGCTCAAGCCCAATCTGGCAGTAGCTAATAACAAAATGAAGCAGCTGGCGGATGCGGGAAGGCGAGAGGAAGAGTTCGAGGTGGGAGATTGGGTGTTGCTTCGCTTACACCCCTATCGCCAGGCTTCAGTATTCCGGCGGGCCTATCAGAAGCTGGCTGCGAAGTTCTTTGGGCCGTATGAGGTGCTAGAGAAGGTTAATCCGGTGGCGTACAGGTTGCAGCTTCCGCCAGGTGCCCGCATTCACCCCACTTTCCATGTGTCATTACTGAAGAGTACAGGGGAACGGCGAACCAGGTGGTGACTACGGCCCCTCCTGTCACTGCAGACGGAGACCTGGAGTTGAAGCCGTTGAGGGTGCTTGAGACGAGGTGGACGAGAAGGGGGGGTCGCATTGTGGAGGAGAACCTAGTCGAGTGGCAGCATGTGGAGCCAGAAGACGCGACATGGGAAGAGACTTCTCTGCTGAAGCAGCGTTATCCCACCTTCGACCTTGAGGGCAAGGTCGATTCTGAAGGGAGAGGGGATGATAGAAACCTGCCCGCGGGTTAGGGAGGCCAGCCTATTGGCCCGGGTTGTTGTTTATTTCGATACCCATATATAAGGGTTCAGAACAGTATTTTTGATATTAAGCAATAAGAAAGAATTAAATCCCTAATCTCTTCTTCTCTCAATTCTTCCCCAATTCTTCTCAATCCCTAATTCCCTTTCTTCTTCAATTCCCAATTCTCTTTCTCAATTACAAGTTTCTATCAGTTAAAAGCCAAAGATCTCAATTTTGGCCAATTGAGTGCCCGGTCTAGCACGAAGACAGACAAACAAAGCTAGACCGGCGGCCCCACCAAGAGATGTATTGACGACGTGCCGGAGGAGGATCGTGTCGTCTGCTAAATCTCAGCTGAATGGAGGCGAGTGGGAGTCGTATTTGCTTCTAAAGGAGGGATGATTGCACATACCAAAGTCGGTTTTAATTCTCGACGAAAGGTCATCCAGCACCAATGTGTATCGTGAAGTGTGGCGACTAGGGTATCAGAAGCGACACCAATGAACGGAGAGAACCTTGTTGATGTGGTTAGTACTCATGATCTCATATTAATAGTCATGCATCTCATTATTTAACTATTCTATGAAGTTTACACTTATTAATGTACTTATGTTACATATTTAGGTTGAACGAGCAAAAAATATTTTCAGAACGAACACTAAAACGGATTTCAAGTTGATACCGTGTTGGGATATTCTCCAAAGTTTATGCAACAATTTCAAGTCTCATAGCACCAATTCCACCAATGGAAGGATATATACTCATTTCCTACTTTGTTGATGGATGAGACTAGACATGACAAGTCTTCACAATCTATCATTAATGGATTAAATTGCATCAAATTGCTAAAGGAAGAAATCTGTAGGTCAACCAAAGTTGCCTACTTATATATAATAAGCCATCACATATGGTAGAAATAAACCTAACAAAAGTCAATCAGTTTTTATGTAGTCAAAATCAAGTGTTGATTCTTGGTTATATGTAGGCGTGTTTCTCTGAACTCGCCTTACTATACTTATTGTATCAATGTTCCTAAATATTAGTCGATTTGACACAAATGAAGCTAGTATAAACATGTATGTTGACTACAATGCACATCTAGAAGCATCCTTATTGCAAACCCTGGCGTATGAAATTGGAATGCTAACTCTCGCACGTGCCTCACTAAAGCATGGAACCCACGATAATTATCTTGAGGAGAAGGCGGCCAAATATGAGTATAGTGAAAGGAATAATCAATCGTGGATTCTCTTGAACACGACTATGTGTAAACAGAATCAGAGTAAGTAAAAAAACTTTAGAGGAGCTAGCTTAGCAACGCCTCTCCCTCCTGTTTCTTTCACCAACGAGTAGTTCTTAATTAAATCACCATAGAACACATCCCTCATCACTTAAGTAAGTGGTTCTGAGAGATCCTAGAGACTACGTTCCAGAATTATTATGAATTTAAAAATTCAAAAATCAGTTTAAACATTCATAAAAATTACAAAAATAATTGACCAGCGACGCGTTAAATACACGTTGGACCATCGTCGGAGACATGTCTTCGATGCATTCGTCCGATCGTCGATGGCGACGTGTATTTGGTGCATCACCAACGAAGGTCGGGCGTGCCTAATTACGAGTCAACCGTCGACGGTCGGATGCATTGATTACCCATTGTCAGCGATGGTCAAACGCGTATTGACGTGTAGTCGGCGAGAATGTCGGCAGAGGTAACGATGGTTACGACGACCGGAGATGGTGGTCATCGAATATATGTTTGAAAGTGAAAGTTTCAGGAAAAGGACTTATTTTTGTGAAGAGTATTACACAAGGGTAAATGGCAGGGGTAAACATAGTTTCCAAAACTTTTGCACCTGTTTGGATAATTGAGAACAGTAGGGGGTGCCAAACGAAGGTGCAAATTTACTATTTCGGCTTACTCTCTAAATTAGGCCGCAAAGGAAGGAAAGAAGGAAGGAAGGAAAGGGGAAGGGAGACGGGGGAGGGAGGTGGGAGGAAGGAAATTATAGATTTTTATTATTTTATTTTTTTTAATTATTTTATAGGTATATAATATTATTAATATTATCATTTTTTCCTTATAGTTATCATTAATATAGATGTTGTCGGGGCTTGAGTGTTTGACTATAAGAGCAAGTTTGTTAATGTTCGTCTAGTCAAATCATCTTTTGATTGACTCGAATTCGCATTTAAAATTAGAAATAAAAAGTGTTTGTGGAAAAATTAGAGATGAATGGTTTGGTTGACTCAGTTTACTTGACCAAATAGTTAAAACTTAAAGATTTGAACGTGTTTGACTAAAATTTACCATATCCAATTTAAAGTTAAATTAGCTATGAGAACCCTATCTGATGACTAGTTACGGGTTGAACTTCGAGTTTTGAGGTTTCTCGACCAATGATTATTGCAGTTATTATAATAAATTATTATTTGGTCATTAATATATAAATAATTACTTAAGTATATATATATTAATATTTATTATTATATAATGATTTTTTTGTAATAATATTAAATAAATTTGATAAATCTATTTTATAATAATATGATTTATTTATTTTTCACTTTATTTGCATCCCCTACTTTTGCATCCAACCAATAATTTCCCCCTCTACTTACACCTTCCACCAATTTAAACCCCTGTAATTTACCTATTAACTTGCGTCCCTTGTTGCCAAATGTAGAGTTAGTATACTTTTTTTTAACTATTTTAAGACGACAGTTAAGCCATATTCAGGACTACTAATAGCATATTCCTAATTTAAAGGTACTATATGGACTAATATACCTTGACAAGAATAAAGGGGACAACAACAAGTTTTGAATGCTGAAAACTTGGTAATATTCCACTATTTATTATTTTTGGATGTGTGAATACAATTTATTAGCCAAACTTCAAATGATTAGCCAAACCTAATACAAAATATTAACCAAACCTTTTTTAATACATTGAAATAGGCATTTGTATGTTATTGTTTATAATTCTGTAACTTTTTACTAAAATTTTAGAATATTGACCACCATGTGTCTTTTAAAAGTCAGTATTATGTTGGCAAATCAATATTTATAACAAAATTGCTAACAAAAAGTTAACATTTGGTTACTACTTTTTATTTTGAAAATTTTGCCTAATAATTTTAAAAAATTAAAATGTTTGATTAATAAATTATATTTACTTTTATTATTTGATCTGCAACTCTTCTATTCTATGTTGGGGAAGTAAGCTGGAAGGACTTTGACATCTGGGCCAAATATTTAAGAAAAAATATGGGCTGCTAGGGAACTTATCGAGCTGGGCCTTCTGTAGCTCACTAGTCCGTTTACCCGGCTGACCTAGATATATAACCAGCAGCTGCTAAGGTTGTTGCCGTCCACAACCAGCTGCAGGAGCTCCAATCCAAGGACGAAAATGGTGAAGGGACGTCAGGGAGAGCGCGTCAGGTACGGGAAATCGTTCTACAAATCATCGTTTGATCGTCTTCTTTGTGGGTTTTCCATATTTTAAACACCCATTCTACTGTAATTGCCAGCTTCAGCAAGCAGTCTCTCTTTGGCTCATTTTGATTGTGTTTCTGTTTTCTTTTTTACGCAGACTCTATGTTCGAGGAACCGTTCTAGGTTACAAGAGGTAACAAAATGTTTCGGTCGCCGCCGGTGTTCTGAAACTTGTTGGTTTACTGTACTGACGGATGGAATGTTGTTTTGTTTGGGGGGTAATTTCAGGTCGAAGTCGAACCAGTACCCGAGCACGTCTCTGATTCAGATCGAGGGAGTGAACACCAAGGAAGAGGTGAACTGGTACCAGGGCAAGCGCTTGGCGTATGTCTACAAGGCTAAGGTCAAGACCTACGGGAGCCACTACCGTTGCATTTGGGGCAAAGTCTCTAGGCCTCACGGTAACAGTGGTGTTGTCCGAGCTAAGTTCAAGTCCAACCTGCCTCCCAAGTCCATGGTCAGCTGCCTGGTTTTCCTGCTTCCCTTTGCGAAAGTATGTGTTCTGTTTTTTCCATTCATGAGCACTAAACTGTGTGCTTGTTGAACTTTACAGGGCGACAAGGTCAGGGTCTTCATGTATCCAAGCAACATCTAAGCCTCTTAAGGTAAACTTCGCGTTAACCTTTATGTTTCTCTATAATGCAACCGTTTGATTGATGACTGAGTTGAGTGGAGAATTTGTTGGGTATTTTAGCTGTTAGGTTACAGTCTTGATTCCATTTGGGGATCACAATGTGTTGGTTCTAGGTGAATGTGCTCCAGGAATGAATATAGATTGGACATGGGTTAAGGTAGAAATGAATGTGGATTAGGTTGCAATAGTTGTTGTAAGATTTAGATATATGCAGACGGGATTCTCTATTCTTCAGATGGAACTACCTCTGTAGGGTTATTACTTATTATCCTCTAACTGTAAATGCTCCTCTGGTGTGAACTTCTGTCGCATTCTGCTATTGTGGCTGCTGTTAAGCAGCAAATTGTGATTGGTCTTTTATTTATTTGTATATCAGTTTTAGCTTCCTGCTCTTTTCTAGTATGTAGTTGTGCTCTGGCCTCTAAATTGCATCTCTCTCATTTCTTAGTGCTCCAGGTGATGCATCGCTGAAGCTGATCAATATGGGATCCATCTTGCATGGAGCTGCTGAGTTCTATAGATTTTGGATGTGGGAGAGATACTAGTTAGCTTTATTTTATTTCCTTTCAATGAGTATGTACTGATTTTGGTACCCTAGTGTTACAGTTATCAGATTGTGTTGTGGGTATCTTTAGATTCTGGGTTCTCTATTCAATTCTTCGAATTCTCTAGCGCTATCTAGTTTTGTTTCTACATCGTAAACGTTGGCCTTAATTGTTATAAGTATTCCTAAATTTAATGAGGAGGGCTAATGTTACTAGAAATACTAATCTTTAGCAAGATTGTCATTTTATACGTAGGTTCGTGTTATTTATGTTACCTGAACCTTTAGTTGATTGTTAGAGTTAATAGTTGACCCGACAATGATCAACCATGTGTTTTTGTGCCATGTAAGAAAGTATATTTAAAGTTTAAATAAATTTTTAATAATTAACCAATAATTTATATTTATAATTGAAGTATGTTTGCCTAGCTTTCCCTTTGTGATATTTTTTTAAAGAAAAGTAGAGCGTTTGAAGGGCATCCCAACTTTTATTCAATAACAAAATGAATCGGTTGAACTCAATAATGTCATGGTATAATCGGTAAAAAAAGTCTAGTCTAGTGGCGTAACAATATGGGTACCAATGGAAAGAGAGTGGCTTAGGTTCACTAGGTAATCGACGACAACATTGGCTTCCTTGTATACATGAGTAATATGGACTTGTCAATCCCGAGTAGCCACTGCTATGCCGCGATGCTAAAGACTGGAGTAATAAAGATTATGAGGTGTAGTCGTCAGTCGTCACTATGAGAGACTTAGCTATAGCTGAATCAATATGTAGAATCACCATCCTAACTCGTGCCTCCCAAGTAAGTTAAAGCTTGTACTGGTGATTAAACTTTGCACTGGTGATTAAACCACCACCAAGGTTCATTGTAAAGGCTTGTACTGAAGTGGTCGACGTCTCCCCTCACGACTCTGTTGCCACTGTGCAGAAGGAGGGTGAATAACTAAGTTGTCTGTGTTCAAGCAAGTCCATTATGGCTGCGGTTGTTGCGAGCTTATGAGTCTCGGTTGTCGGAGTCCCCCCGCTCCGATAATATGATTCTCCTTCTCTAAGGCGTTGAAAATTTGTTGCCTTAGTTGTACAACACTAACTTCGATTTGTGCATTGGACTTTAACTCACATTAGAAACATAAGTTATTCCGGTTCTTCCACAACAAACAACATAGTGGTAAAGAGTGTACTGTCGATGTTCATGCTACGACCCGTGGTGTAGTAAAGTAGCCATCCCTCAAGATCCTGCTCGAAAAATCAGTATCTGGTTCATTTGACACCAACTCCGCGCATATTGCTCGAGAAAACGGACAGTCTAAGAGAACATGGGTTGTCATTTTAGGTCCTTCGCCACAGATCTTGCAGTTGTTGTCGGTAGTGAGGTGCCTCTAGTTCGTTCCACATTGGTGAGCAGCTGTTGGTGGGTGGGAAGCCAAAGGAAGGTCTACATGCGTTGAAGCAACGATAACCTCCAAATAGAACTCCATCTTCAGTGTCGATGTGTTGCGGTTGTCTCCTCTTCACCAGTGAGCTTGTAAGCTGTCCTGAACAAGAATTTCCCATCCGCTGAGAGTCTCAAACAGTGTGCATCCTCCTCCAATTCCATCGGTATAGGGTGGAGAAAGAAGAGTGAAGCAAGATCATAAGGCAAGAAATGGTTAATATACTCGTGGTTCCACTTACCCTTGAGGACAAAGTCTACCACAGGAAGATCCAGAGCTTCCGGTGGAATGGTTACTGAATAGGCGTGAAGTGGCTTGCTATCGTGCAACCATCGGTCGCTCCAAAATGGAGTGCTCCTTTCGTTCCTGACGCTCTAGACCTTAGCCTCCTGAATTTTGTGCCAAATGCGGAGACCATCGCCACAAGTTAGATAGCCGCCCCTTCCTCTGAGGAGTCGGTCCTTCTGACGAAGGCTTATTGTACTTACTTAGGATCACCTTCGCTCAAAGTTCTTTCAGGCTAGTGAGGAACAATTTTCAGCATATACGCCTCGTTAGACCAAGTAGTCGTTCTCAAACCCAAACCTTCTTCTTTTTTAGGGTTGCATACTGTCTCCCAGTCGACCAGATGGATCATCCTCCCTCCTTCTGTGCTACCTCAAATGAAAGCTCTTATTTTCTTATCGATGTAGTCTCACCACCAGCCGGTAAGAAGGTTCTCTGTATTGTGTAAGAAGAGAGAGACGAGAGCACCGACTGGGCTAAAGTTATCATGGCTGCAAAACTCGTTGACAAAGTCTTCCACCCGGCAAGCAGGGCATCGATCTTGTCAATGAGCTCATTAAATGGTGCCTTGGACACCCTATCATGGATGACTGGGATGCCCAAATTGCAACCCAGGTTCTCAGTCTAGTGAATTTCCAGCTCAACACTCAAGGAGACACGCTTGGTTACAGGACCATTGCTCAAGTAGAAGACTCAAGATTTGGGCTTGCTAATTCGTTGACCCGACGTAGCTCCAAACGGATCGAAGCATTGCACTATAGGCTGGACCTGTCTGCTCGAAGCTTCGCTAAAGAGAATTAAGTTATCTTCAAAAAATAGGTGGGAGAGGACTAGACCTGATCTAGTCAGCTTGATAGGATGCTAATGTCCAATCCTAACAAAGTCATTAATCAGGTGGCCTAACCATTCCATACACAAAGTGAAAACATAGGCGAGTGAGGGCATTCCTGTCTGAGGCCTCGCGAGGGTGAAAAAATATTGGTCAAAACCCCATTCCACTTGATCTCCATGGTGGCCTACGTGATGCATGCCATGGTAACGTTGTTGAACTTTACTTAGGCTCCAATTTCTTCTTGTTCCACGGTGTCCCAAACAAATTCCCATCGAATACCATTGTATGCTTTAGGCATGCCAATTTTGAACACCTTCCACCCTTTTCTACCCTTATTGACTCACATGGAATGGACCACTTCTTTTAAGCTTCAAATACTATCTGTAATTTGGCAACATGTCACAAAACTTGTTTGAGTTTCATGGACAAGCCGAGGCATAAAATTTGTCAATTCCACCGTAATATCGATGAGAACTAAAAATATGAACTCTCGGTTCATATGGTGTCGAGTTTCGACATAAATTTGTCAAACCCACTTGATACCCAATTAATGATGAAACTCCTAAAATACCTCTTGGACTAGTATACCCTAAGCTACTTCTGTATATATTTATGCAATGGACCAATCACTCCCACAGATTTCCCTCTTTCTTTCTGCCACTGAAAACTGACCATAGCTCTTAAATTCACTATCCCTCAAAATCGAGTGCCACAAAACCTAGCTCCCCTTCAAGTTGACAACGACAGCCGAATGCATTAGAGGGAAAGAGAGAGATAACATGGAAAACCCTAAGATTAGGAAGATTAATAAAAACATATTTAGGTGTTATTAGTAGAGTACCTCAATCCCCCTCTGGTATGTACTTCGTGTTAAGTCTATTGGCATGATTGTTCTCTATTGGCTATAAATAATAATAGTGGGTGCGAAATGTTCAGAGGTTAATTGCAGTCTGCTGAATAGTTTAATGTTTAAAATGCAGTTCTGAAATTAATAACACTAAGGTTATGGTTGAGGTGCTGAACTTTGAGCAAGTCATTACTAAGAAAGTATTGCATGAAACTATTGCTTGTGTATGATCTAGTGCTCCATCAACTAGGAGTGCTACTATGAGCTTTGTTGCAGTTGTTAGAGAGTCACAACTTCTATGAGGAGCCTGATAATGACTCACCAAAAGGTTGATAAAGGTTAAGTGCTAGATGTGACAGTTGGGAGTTTACATGCTCAATAACCCCAAGTAGTAGTAGGGCAGCAACCACTAACTAAGTTTTCCAATAAATTTGCATAGATGGTTGATGATAGCATTTCACCCTCTCTTCAAACTAAGCTTGTTGTGCCTACCACTAACTAGTTGGTATGTACTTCTTTATTTTGCCACTTTTGTGCATGCTTCCATTTTTTATGTTGAGAGGAGGAAAATGTATGAAGATATTTGTAGAATTAATGTCAAATTCGCACCCTAGATCATTGTAGGGACTTCAATGAGCTTTCTCATGCGATTGAAGCTTCTAATGATCCAGTGGTGGATTTAAGTCTGTTGGATTTTTGAAAATAACAGGTGGAATTAAAGGTAATGAACCTTAAGCTTCGGTTCCATGGTTAACTTGGACGAATAAGCAAGAGGGTGATCTCGTTTCCCGAAGATTGGATAGGCAATTATTAACCTAAATGGTTAGAAAGCTGCACTGCTAGAACTATAAATCTGTTGGAGCTGTGTATTTTATACCATTGTCCTATTTTGATTGATTCTCATAGTACCCCTCCCTAAACCTTTTAAGTTTATGAAGTTTTGGATTAATCATCTGAAGTTATATGAAAGCTTAGTAGATCATGTTGTTCTAATATTGGAGCAGTGGTACAATTTAAATCACGTGAAGGGTTAAAGGTTGAACGACAAGCTCTAGCCTCTATGTATGCTTCCTGGTGCAACTTTTGCAGGCGAGAAGAGATTTATGTGGAATTCGTTGTATTACAACATGCTAAGTAATTATTTTTTAGGAAAAGGTCTTGGGAAACCTGGATGAAGTAGGGTGATTCTAATTCTTCTTTCTTCCAACGTTCAATTAAAATATCGCATAAGAGGAATACGATTCACTCTTTGCTGAACAATGAGGGAGTTTGGGTTAACATATACATATAAGATGTGTGAGGTTGTTGTTGCATTATACCATAACCTGTTGGGGAAGGCATGTGATAGAGTTTGTTCTGAAGATGTGTCTTTTAATGATAGTTTGTTAACTAAGAGACTCACCCCTGTTCGGTCATACTTAGATGTATTTTTTAAGGTTAGTATTCTTCGTAGGGTAAACTTTACACTTCTAGCTCTTGTTCCTAAGGTGAAAATTTCTGAGAATCTGAGAATTTTTGCCTATTTCTTGTTGCAATACATTATATAAATGTATGGCAAAGATACTATCACTTAGGGTTAGAGAATTCATGTCATATGTGATAAGTAAGAATCAAACAATTATCGTCAAGGGGCAAGGTAATGGAAAAGAACATTGTTTTGGAACATGAATTGGTGTAGAAGTATGGTTGGAAGAATGTTTCACCTAGCTGTGTTCTTAAAATCAATTTATTGAAAGCATTCAACTCTGTTTATAGAGGCTTTTTGTTTAAGGTTCTAACCGCCATGGAATTTCCCACTTTATTTGTTATATGGTTGGAAATGTGTGGTGCCGCTTTTATATTTAGTATTGGGTTTAATGGAGGCAGTACGATATTTCTTGGAAAGGAAAGGGCTTGAGCAATTTGATCCTTTTTCACCTTGCCTATTTGCCATATCTATGATTTTTTTTTCAACTATAATAAATTCGGTTGTCTACCTTGAGAATCTTCCATTTCACCCTATGAGCAAAAGGATCGGCTTACCCACCTTTGTTTTGCAAAAGATTTACTTGTCTTTACTCATGGTTCCAACTTCCAACTATGGGATTCAGAGAGTTCTTGTTCAATTTGGGACATTCTCATACCTTACCTCAAATCAGACGCAATGTGAAATATTTTGTGGAGGACTTCCAGAGCATTGACAACATAGTCTGGCTCTAAGAGCTGGCTATATATTAGGATTTAGGTAAGCTTCATGTGTGTTATTTGGATGTGCCTCTGATAGCTCAAAAGCTTACTATAAAGGCTTGTAGGCCAATGATCGATAAGTTGACAGCCAAGGTTCATGGTTGGAGAGCTCGTGTGTTGAGATACTCTCGTCGTTTGGAAATAATTATGCCCATCCTTTTCAATTTTACACAATCATGGATGGTTGTCTTCATATTTCTTAATAAAATGATTTGGGAAATTGAAAGATTATGTAGAAAGTTTATGTGGGATTAGTTGAAGGGCAAATGAAGAAAGCAATTGTGAAGGTTGACTAGGTGTGAGAGATTTGTGTTCTTGGAACTCTGTTTGCATTGTTCATCGGGCAATACTGCTTGACTAAGGGTCGTTGTGAATTGCATAGATTAACGAATATCGCCCGAATAATAGGAATTTATGAATTTAGAAAGGCAAATGTGATTCCTAGCTTTGTCAAAAGATCATGAAGCTGAGGGATAGAGTTCACAGTTCCTTTTTTGTTCCAGGAGTAGTAGCGAGGTGGAATTTTGTGGCTATGCTTTAGTTTTCTATTAAACGAGTCTAGGAAGAGTTGAGATCCAGGATTTTAGAGAATCTTGGTGGACGATTATCGAGAAAGACACCCCATCCCTAGAAACCAGTTCCTTTCTTGGATTGTGGCTCGAAATTATATACAGACAGGAGACAAAATGATGCAACGAGGTTTTATAGGATCTATTACATGTTATTTCTGTGGAGAGGAGATTGAAATCAAATCTAATTTATTTGCCTCTTGATGTGTTTACAAAAGGTTGTATGCATTGGAGGTTTGGTGGGCAACACATAATTTCTTGAAGAATACTCCATTGGCTCTTAATGGATGAGCAATATGGACTTCACTTTTAGGTTGAGTTTGGAGAGAGTGTTACAGGAGGAAGATGGCAGGTGGAGCTTTATCTGTTGAAGTTTTGTTGCCTCGACTCAAAGAATAGGTTGTACTCAAGACTAGTGGCGACAAAACTTCCCATTTCTGGGTGTGTGTTGAATGAGAATGGTACGCAGACAGTGTAGATTCTAGTATATAGATGGGTGTATAGTTTTGACAGTTGATTCCAGTATGGGTATAGTGTAAACACTTAGTTAACTAAGATTGTTGCTAGAGCACACTGTTTTTTGACGAAATGATACAACACCATTTCATAAAATAAAAATAAAAAAGAATTAGCAAAGCTCCACAAAAGCGCCCCTATTCATTAATCACTCAGCACCTTGGAGGACACAACCAAATTGGAAAAGAAATTAAAAAAGGAACTAAAATGGAAGGAATCAACTTAGTTTCTGCTTATCCAATATACATTTTTTTCACTCTACCAATAACCCCCACATCAATTTTGTTATACATCTTCTGTAACTTATATTTAGTCATCTTAATGTATCTATCAACATCATCCGTATATATCTCGTACAATACTGGGACGGTCAAAATCATCAGCAGACCTGCAAATCATAGCACACAACATATGTTTAGTTATGGGAAATACCCGTGATAACATAACCTTACACTAAAATGTGATAGGGATGGAAGGGAGGGAGGAATGGAATACTTACTAGTATAGCCCAAAGTGAGAAGATCAATCATGCCTCCAACAACCGATATTAGCAAGAGACATGCAACCACTTTGAAGAAGAGCTTTGTGTCTTTCCCCAAGGCAATGTTCTGAGAAACAGCAAGCAACTCATTCACATGGGTTCTTATCAAAGTTACAGCTTGGTTCATTATTTCTTCGGAGAGCTACAATTTTGGTAGAGGTGGAGGAGGTCTGCTTTATTAAAAGGGGCAAGACCAAACATTTTCACAAGAGTCATTATCTGCAAGTTTTGTGAAGCTATTTGGGGGCTTGATTCAACCATTTTCAATGCGTAGCGAAGATAAAAAAATGGCGAGTTTAAATTACCTGTTGAGAATTGCAGCTGATTTGGCCTAGAGAAATAGAATGCTCAGAAGGAGGAGAAGCACACTAGAAACAAGCAAGAGAAGAGTGTAGCCAGAGATCTCAAAAATCCCCCAAGAAGCTACTGTTACTAGTAATATCCCCGCCGAGATGTTGGTTTGCCTCCATAGTACTACATCTGTAACTGTTAGAGAAACATGGATTATCATAGAGCTCTTGATCCCACAATTTTCCACAAACCCAATATTCACATTAGATCAAATCTCAGTCAGACATCAGAAAATTATTTAAAAGTAAGGACATTCAAAAACATGTGTAGACATCATTGGGCTACACAACATCAAACGTAATGCTCAAGATCATTATGGGAGTAATCCGGAGGGGGAAAAGGAATCGAATTTACCTAAACCTTCTCCAAGAATTTGATGAAGATTTCTCTCTCGGCTAAACTTTGGATCCGACGATGAGCCCATTTGCTTCAGACGATAAGTCAGAGATGGATTCCTGAATCTAGGAGCTCAGATCTCCGTGACCAAAAGAACAAGCAATTGGCTCCGTTAACGATCTCCAAGCAGACATGAAAAATAGAAAGGAAAAGGGGAAAGAAAAAAAAATGATCAACGACTTTTGTCTGTTTTTTTATTATTGAAAACCCTCCACCATACAAAGCCTTCTCTTCCTGTAAGTTTTTTCCACTAAGATTTATAGAGGTCCCATGGATATGGTGTGATGTTCTACAATGGCAACTGTTGATAGAATTTTTTTGCATAATGACTGTTGATATGTTGCAGCTGGTGGTGGGCTGAGTTTCCAGCCTAAAAGCACCCACTCCGCCCATTTCTTTTCGACATTTCCAGCTTTCTAGTTTGTACATATTCAAAGAGAAACAAAATAAATAAATAAATAGCAAAGAGGACCCAAACTACCAAAGACATGCAATTAGGGTAGGGTAAATACCAAATATTAGAGATGCCAAAATATAACCTCGGTAGTGAGGGATTTCGAAGTCAGAAAGGGGCGGTTGGGGCGCCCACTAAATGCAAATGACTACTCTAGCATTATAAACTCTTCATATTCCATAGTGTGTTTTGGTTTTGCCTTACTTGAACCAGAAACCGTTACGAGACTATTCAGTTTCGGTTAACCAAAATCGTAAAATCTCTTAACGGTTTTGGGTTCGGTTTTAAAAGGATTGCAGTTTCAGGTTTTCAAGTATTTTGGGTTTTGGTTTAGTTACCCGAACCGACACCCCTACCCTCGGAGCACACATATGTGCTTGAGTGTGTTGGATTACTCCAGGTCATAACCACACACAAATCATTCGATTCATACAAACAATCACATAATTCTAGCTAGGGTTCACAAACACCCAAGTGAAAGAAGGGAACTACTCCATGCTAAGACTAGGGAATACATAAGGGAGAAGATAAAAGACCATCTTGAGATGTTTTCCTTCTTCCTTTTGTGTGGAGATCAACCTTGGAGAATGAGATTACCAAATCTTGAAGCTTGGATGAAACCCTAACTTTCTTCTCCTCTCTTGTTCGTCACTCTCTTTAGAAATCTGAGGAAGAATAAATTCTCTCACTAGGCTCTCCTCTTTCAGCTCACGTATCCTTTTATACCCATATCGATGACGTTTCACGGTCCCAGTTCACTGTGGCGAACTCAAAGCCAGGATCGTGATTTCAAACAGAAATGCCCCGTTTCATTAACGCCCTTCACGGCTAGGGCGGATCATCACCGTTCGGGTGACCGTGATCTCATTTAGGCCCGAGAGGCGCGCAGAATGTCTAGTTCCTTTGAACTTCACAGCCTGGGCTCCATTATCACAGTCTGAGTGACTGTGAAAACTCGGCTTCCACCATGATCCTCAGCTGCTTCCTCCTTTCGATCCGTTGTCACCCATTTTCGTCCAACTTTCATTCCCGAGGTCGATTCCACCTGTTAGGATCTGAAACACACTAGAAACAAGCACAACCTAGCGTAAAACTGAACCTCACATAGTGAAAATTCCTCAAACATCTAAAGAATATGATGGTAAAATGTGTACAATTCAGTTAGCCAAAGCAAAAAGTACTTATGGGTGATAGAAGTGGATTGGAAGCTCTAGGAGCTGAACCCAAGCCACCACCGATCGATACGGCTTATCCAAAGTTCGAAACAAAGGGGATCATTGATGAACCACTAGATAGTGATCTAGAATGATTTAAGGGCCTCTTGTAAATGCTCTAAGACAATCTTGATCATTCGTAAAAGTTACCAAGAATTTGATGTTGTTGAGATACATTATATCCATGGCACCCAAAGGTCTCCACTTCCATCTGAGTTAGGAGCACAAGTAAGAGTAAGACACATAACGCCCCAACAGACGAACCACCAACTTCTTTTTCCAAGGTTGGTAGATACGGTCTTTGAACGTTGTTGAAACTTCTAACTCTGGCTCCCCCGGAAAGGAACCCGACTCCAGATCATGAGCACCCACCAACTTCTTCTTCCCCGAGAGCTAGTGACATATCTAATATATTATTTATCATATTTAATACTTTGCATAACCACTCAATGATAATTACTAAGAGAAAAAAAAAACATTCACACAGATATACTCAATTCATTAATCTCATACCATTGTCATATTTTTTATTAGGTGCTACTTATAATGACTATAAGAAAATTGTATTAGTTGTACCTATTTATATAAAGGATTAACTATGTGTTGATTGTTATATTTTATTCAATATTATAAATTACGGATTGACATTAGGGAATGACTAAGATGCTAACACTTCTTTTGTTAGCATTGTGCTAACATTAGTTTCAGCCAATAGAAATATATCCTTTTGATTACTATTTTATCTCAAAGTGTTGACCACAATTAATGAGAGTTTATAAAAAGAGGGGCATACTAGTCATTATTAAATTTTTTTTTGAAACACGCGTGCATAACAATCCTTACCCTATCACCCATTTAAGCTTAATTCAAAGAACACCAGCTGCTGATTCTTCTGGGTTTTCTAGTTGACGACGAAAAGGCGCCTGTTGCTACTCCCACCGCCCGTAGACAGCCATAACTCAGGCACTAATATACATATCGAAGTAAACCAGAAACCTCCTAAAGCATGGCACAACTTTAATGAAGAAGGCCACAAGTCCCCTAAAGCATATCAAAAGCCCTATAAAGTAGACCACAAGTTCTTTGAACTAGACCAAAAACCTCGTAAAGCATACCACAAGTTTATAAAGAAGACCCCAAGTTTCATGAACTAGAACACGAGTCTCATAAGACATATAATAAATTTTGTAAAAGCACACCACAATTCTTATTAACCATACTATAAATTTATTAAAGTGTCTAATTATGCAAAACTAGAGGGTGTGTTCGAGTCGACACAACGACTTTTGAGGGGAAAGAGGACGAGGATGGCGAACCTCCAAAGAGTTGACTGGGAAGAGAGCAAATCGGCGGTCTTATGAGAACAACATCTTTCGTGGTCGCCTTGACGAAATCAGTATTCCAAGTCGCGAGAAACTCGTCGGAGGTTGATTGGAGCGTCACCTTTGTCTCCAGATGCTTCGTTGCCTTTTTCTTCCAATTTCGATGCCGACTGTGGTTCTCGTCGATTGGTCGGTCAGAGAAGGTCGTTGATGAAGGGAAACGGTGGTCCTCTGGCTCCAGGAGCTCGATTGGAGGTGTTGGGAAGAGTTTCCCAGCAACAGCAGATGGGAAACGATTTTGGTATGTGAAGTGACAATGGGGAACTAGATCTGGAAGTTTTAAAATCGGATTTTGGTTTTTTTCGGGCTAAGGAGAGGGGGTTGGTCTTCTTCTTGGTGGCGGGTGGCAAAGGAGAGGGGTTTCCAGGGGTCATGGGTCGGGTTAGAGGTTGGGTTGGATGTTTATGACATGGTGGGTCGGGTCTAAGTTTTTTTGGGTTAAAATTTGCCGACTAGGCGATTCTGTTAGCCACATCAACAAAAAACTGACGGTGTTAACCAAGTTGGACGAAAACTAACGGAGAGTGACCAAACATGACATGTTTTACTAGACTTAGTGACCATTCTGCTCTTCTTAACTGTGTCTGGCTGGCTCTCTGCCTCTTTCCTTCCCTCCTCCCTGCTTCTTCTTAACTGCCAAACCGAAATCAATCAGCCTGGCTCGCCCACACCCATCTCATCCAGCCGTCCATTCCTTCGTTCCCATCGCGAAAAAAAAAAACTTCACCTAAGAAGTAGCGCCCAACAACCATAACTCAACCCCCAACCATTTTCTCGCTCTTCCCCCCCCCCCCCCCCCCCCCCCCCCCCCCCCCCCCTCCCTCCTGTGAATGAATTGCATCCTTGGTGTTTGACAAAATTCCAAAACCAACTGACGATCTGCCCAAAGCTCCTCCGTCCTCTCTGGCATTGCTTCTTAATCCCCTCTCCCTCTCTTCTCCCCCTTTTCAAACCTCAGTCCTGTCATCTCCCCCTGCGACCTCCTCTGCTGCTGCTTCTTCATGGTGAATCTCTTCTTCTTCTCCTCCTCCTCCTCCTCCTCCTTTTTTACTCGCCTCCCAACTTCTCCGTGTTTGTATTTGTGGTCGCGGCGGATTCTGCTTGACCTGATTCAGCTTGGTGCATGCTTGAATCTGTTTTCAATTCTTAAGAATGGAGTACCCCCGGCATTTCTTGCTTTGCTTCATTGGGTTCTGAATGAATGTGATTCTTTGCATTCGACCAGCTTCAGGAAGCTTTTTCAGCCGCCATAAGCAAGCTGGTTTTTTTTTTTTTTTTGCCCCTGCCGAGAATAATGAATGAATGACGTTGTGCTTTTCACAGATTCGAATTTCGTGACAGCGGTTGCTTATTTATATATAGCTTGGTGGGAATCGTTAACTAGCTGCGGACTTGATCGGAGCGGTGACTCTGGAGTTGGGGAGAATGGCTACCTTACCGCATTCTCCAGCTGCACTCACCGGGCCGAAGGCTTCGGATCTTCTCCGGAGCTCCACCAGTGTTGCCTCCGGTATCCCTTTGAGAACCCTAGGGAGAGCGCAGTTGGCAGGTTCCAGCTCCAAAGCTAGGGACTTGTCGATTGTTGCCAAGGTTAGAAAGGTTAAGAAGCATGAGTATCCATGGCCTGATGATCCGGATCCCAATGTCAAGGGTGGAGTTCTTTCTCACCTCTCACATTTCAAGCCTATGAAAGAGAGGCCAAAGCCTGTGACTTTGGATTTCGAGAAGCCACTTGTTGATCTAGAAAGGAAGATCATTGATGTAAAATATCACTCTTCCCTCTCTTTATTCTTACGTTGTCTATGAATTTGTAGTACTGGTGTTCAAACTTCTTCACTTGCTGCTTCAACATTTTTGTTCTTTCTTTTCTCCCCTTGTTGGGCGGTGCAGGTGAGGAAGATGGCAAATGATACTGGTTTGGACTTTACTGATCAGATTGTCTCGTTAGAGAATAAATATCAACAGGTTTGATAAGTCCTATGGTTGATAACTAGTCACGGTGGATTACTTGTTTTTTTTATTCAATATGGACTATGGAGGAATTGTGCATGAGGTCTATCGAATTGTTGAATTTGGAAATTTTCGTTTTAGTTTGAGGCTCACATCTTAGTAACATTTCATAACTCGGTTACTGTGTTAAGTTTCCACGTTGCTGTGCTCATTGTTTATGCATTTCAATTTCCAACGTGTTCTTGTTTTGTTTCAGGCCCTGAAGGATTTGTATACCCATTTGACCCCTATACAACGTGTAAACATTGCAAGACATCCTAACAGGCCCACTTTCCTCGATCATGTTTTTAGCATCACAGAAAAGGTTTGCTTCCTTGGTCCATTTTGATAGCTGTCAACTGCACTTCTCTTCATTTGGTCAGATGAAGATGAATTGGTGAATGCCTCTGAATTCATATCCTGGTATCTTCTCTTGCCTCCAGTTTGTGGAGCTTCATGGAGATCGAGCAGGTTATGATGATCCTGCTATTGTAACTGGGATAGGAACTATAGATGGTAAAAGATACATGTTCATGGGCCACCAAAAGGGTAGAAACACTAAAGAGAATATCATGCGCAACTTCGGGATGCCCACACCTCATGGGTATGTTTGATTTGATCATTTTATTTGTTCGTCATAGTGAAAATGGACCAAATGATATTGTCCAGTCATTTTAATGTCTATACAACCGTATAGTTTCTCATATCTCAGACATTGTTTTATTTTATTGGTGAACAGTTATAGGAAGGCTCTACGAATGATGTATTATGCAGATCACCATGGCTTCCCCATTATCACTTTTATTGATACACCTGGAGCATTTGCAGACCTCAAATCCGAGGAGCTAGGCCAAGTATGGTTTTTGCTATGATGTACAATTTCTGCAGTTTTCATGAAATGTCTTTCAGCTGATGCATTATATTTATGCACTTGCAGGGTGAAGCAATTGCTCACAACTTGAGGACCATGTTTGGTCTAAAGGTACCAATAATTTCAATTGTTATTGGTGAGGGTGGCTCTGGTGGTGCTCTGGCCATAGGCTGTTCTAATAAATTATTGATGCTTGAAAATGCCGTCTTCTATGTTGCAAGGTAATTTTCTGTCAGAGTGCGGACTTCCTGTTCCATAATGTTGTTGCTTATGTGTCAGTTGCATGTCTGAAACAAAGCTATTGAGGTTGTTTTGTAATTTGTTAAAGCTATTCAGTTGACTTGTTGGTATCTGTCCCAGAATATCTTGCTAGTCTTATGTTCTTATATTGATCCATCTAAGCCAAATGTAAGCTACTATGTATATCTTATAATGGGCTAGAATGGCTAAGTGAAGCATCTCCACCCCTCATGCTGTCCTTATGTGAATTGTGGTATACTTTCACTAAAAGATGCTATGCCCCTCTCTAGCATCCAAGTCATTACTTTACAATGGACAACAGTATGCACACACGTTGAGGCTTACCAATACATGTCCTCTAACTATTTCTCTCTTTGGAAATACAGTCCAGAAGCATGTGCTGCGATTTTGTGGAAGACTGCCAAAGCTTCTCCAAAGGTTATGTTTCATTCTAACTTTCTCACATGATATGGGGCATTTCTGTTTTATATTAACTGGAATACTATATTCCCTTGTTTGACAGCAAGATCTTTGTTGATGTCCTTCTTGTTTCTTTTTCTTGCCATTAGGCTGCTGAGAAGCTGAAGATTACTGCTAATGAATTGTGCAAGCTGCAGATTTGCGATGGGATAATACCTGTACAATCTTCTAGCCTTTTTCTATTCTTAAAATCTATTATCAAACTTGTGTATGTCTCTTCCGTCTGCTTCTTTAAGTCCACATCATTTAATAAGCTCGTGTCTTCCGGAGCCATCCCTGGGTCTGTAAAACAACCTTCTTCTTGTTTTGTAGGAACCACTTGGGGGTGCACATGCAGATCCCTCGTGGACCTCACAACAGATAAAGAAAGCAATTAATGAATCTATGAATGTAAGTGAAAACCGAGGCTTTGTAATCTTCCCCTGTCAGATCTATTTGTTTCGCATCTTAACATCAATCCCAAATTTTCCTCCAGGAGCTCACCAAGCTGGACACAGAAAATTTACTAAAACATCGTAATCTCAAGTTCCGGAAACTCGGTGGGTTTCAAGAGGGCATTGCTATCGAACCCAAGAGAAAGGTCAACATGAAGAAGAAAGAAGAATTCGTTTCAGGAAAGATCCCAGTTATGGAATTAGAGACCGAGGTTGACAAGGTGAAGAAGCAAATTTTCAAAGCTATGGAGTCATCACCTGGCACCAAGCCCTCAGAATTAGCTCTGGATGAGATGATAACAAAACTGAAGCGGGAGGTTGATCTCGAATTCTCTGAAGCTATTAATTCCATCGGCCTTGGGGACCGGATCTCGATGTTGAGGGATGAATTCAGGAAATCAAACTCAGAACAACAGCTCATGCATCCGTCACTGATGGACAAGATTGAGAAACTGAAAAATGAGTTTGATCAAGGCCTTTCTACTGCACCAAATTTTGGGAACCTCAAGTATAAGCTCGATATGTTGAATGAGTTCTCTAAAGTGAAGAGCATCTCGGAGAAGAACAATAAGGCTCAGGAACTGAAACAGGAAATGAACAAGAAGCTGAAAGAGATCATCATGGGTAGGCCTGAGAGAAAGGAGAAGATTGAAGAACTGAAGGCAGAGATTCAAAGGCTCCGTGCTTCTGGGATTGAGAATCCTGACCGGGAGACCAAAGAGAGGATTGCCAGGATGAAAAGAGAGATAGATGTGGAATTGGCAAATGATCTCAAGTCCTTGGGGTTCGATGTTGAGGTTGTAAAACCAAGTGCAAAAGAAGTTGGTGACGAGCAAGTTTCTCTCCCAGAGCTGAAGGCGAAGGTTGAAACTCTGAAGGAAGAAACTAACAAGAAGATTGAAGATGCAATCAACTCGCCAGATATTAAAAACATGTTCCAGTTGCTGAAAGTGGAGGTAGCAAAGGCAGGAACTACACCTGATGCAGCTACCAGAAGTAAGATTGAATCTCTAGAAAACCAAATTAAGCAGAGAGTGGCTGCTTCTGTCAGCTCTCCTGATCTGAAGGAGAAGCATGTTCAGCTGAGTGAAGAGGTTTCCAAAACGGTGGAGTCTCTCGGAGGGTCGGATGGCAGTTTTGAAGTTGCTGATCAGAACAACAATGGTTCCCCGCATGATGATTCTATGGTGAAGTTTAACTATCGTGCCAACCGAGTGAGTTCTTTGAACTTAGATTTTTTTTATAATGGAATGATTGTTGTCTGCTACAATTTGATGAAGGTTTGATTGTCTAATTTGGGTCCTCTATTCTGGTAGGTATAAAAATACTGAAGACTTGAGCACAGTACCAGATGGCTTTCCAACAGAACTTTCGACCTTCATGTTCACACCAAGAGCTGTTCTTCAGTTCTTGTAGGGTTACGACCGCCTGACAGAGAGTGGCACGAGGTTTTTGCTCTTCCATGGAAATATGAGATCGACATAGCCATTAGCATGGTTTTCGTGTTAGTTTTTTTGTTGTGTTCTTTCCCCTCTTGAAGATGAGAGTTTGCTATTGATGTTTATAATTCGACTGAAACCCTTTTGTTATGGAGTCCAGTTGAGTTAATTTTATTATTTGTTTTCATTACTATTTTGCTGAAGATCTGGCCAAGTAGAAACATACTTTGGTTTTATATACACTGGTGCTGAGCGGCTTCAGAAGTTAGCTGGCCGACTTCCGCCTTTCCGTAATAAAAGAACCACAAATCTGTTGAGTTCATAGCATATTATGTTCGCTAATCTTATTGTGTAAAGGATATCCTGCAATGGATATCGACAGGAGTTGTGAAGATTTGCTAATGTAAGCTAATGGTGTTCGGGTCTTACACCTATAGCCATGGTTTACAAATTACAAACTAGAGATGGTAACAATGAGCTATAACTAGGAGAGAGTTCCCTCATTTCACTGCCACTGTCAAGTTGTCGCACCTTCAAGTTTTAGCAACTACAAAAATTAACCCAAAGCCCAACTTCGACTACTATCAAAGCAGCACCAGCCACCAAAGAACACTTTAAACAGCACAACTCCCAAATCTAAGGCTGGCAATTGGTTCGGTTCCGTTATAATCGGAATCGTTTAGTCGATTCTCGGTTAACCGTTAAACACTGTGTACTTATCGTTAATCACACTTTTTATATCTATCGGTTAGCCATAACCGTATAGTCGGTTCTCGGTTATTTTGTCGGTTAACCGGATAACCGTTAAACAAGTGATTCGACAAGGTTATACCAAAATAATTGATTGGTAACCTGCCAAAAGAAGAACTCCTCCTTTGCATTTTTGTAGATTTTTTTCTACATATATATGTATGTTCTTTTTTCAAGTTATTATCATTGAATTAAAAAATAATTTAACATAGATAACAATCTATAATCAACTTAATCCAGCGCAAGTACACAATAACACCATTCTACTGTCAAATTTGATTAAAAAAACAGACAAGAATAAAAGAAAAAACAACAATTACTCTACTCATAAACCCCACCAAATAACATGGAAGCTTAAATGTTATTGGTTTTTGTCAAGAACCGTGCCAAGTCCAACTTTCTACTGGGCTCCCTTTAAACCTCTTCAGTGAAATTATTCGCAATTGGATCTAAGTCACATTACAACTAGGATAGGCAAGGGATATTGTAAGTCACACCCATATTCCCACAACCTGTCGACTAAACTTGTTGTTCGTAGATCAGGGGTGGGCAATCGGTTCGGTAAACCCGTTTACCGAACCGAACCGAATCGAAACCAAATTAAACCGACCGAAACCAAAATAATGCTATTTGGTTCGGAATTCGAAAGGAAAATATAGATATTTCGGAAACCAGAGTTCTTTCAACCGAACCGAAATTCTGAATTTTCGACTGAAAAACCGAAATACTACAATTGCAACCTCCAAATGGTGGATTTTTATATTTGTATTTGTTTTTATACTTAAATATTTGAAATGTTTTATGACTTATGTGTTGAAAAGTTTGATTTTATCATTGATTATGCATATAATTGCATATTTATTGTTTATATTAGGAGTGAAAAATAATTTAAAAGTGAGAATATACACTTAGCCTCACAAATTCGGTTTTGTGTTAAAAACCGAACCGAATTACAATTCGGTTTAAACCGACCGAATTATAATTCGGTTCGAATTCGGTTTGACGTTTGGGAGAATTCGGGGACCCGGTATTCATAATTTTGGTGGGATATATTTTTTTTTTTTTTTTGAAATCATTGGAAATTCATTGATATGAACCCAGAGGGTGAACAGATTTTGGGCCGAAACCCCATGGAGAGAAACAAGAAACATAGAAAGGCCCAAAGCAACAATCAAAGGACCAAAGCCCAACAGATGGCCTGAAAAACAAAACCAAAGAGAACTAAGCCCAACAGATGGCCTGAAACCCTAGCACCCCAACCAAAATCCCCAAGAGCAGCAGCCGCCACCTACCACCCAAAATAGCACCCATCGGACGCACATGCAGAGGCCGATGAAGGGAGATCCGATGACCCAAAGACCGCCGGACAGCAAGCAAACCAAAGCAGAGCGCTTGCAGACGCCACCTCCGAAAGACAAAAGCACGCAGCCAAACCGATGAAAGCGCCAGAGACAACAGTCGAGAGTCCATGAATCTTGATCTCCGCCTTCGAACTCCTTGAAACTGAAACCAACGGGAGATCACAATAGGATTCCCAGACATCTCCGAAACACCAAGCCGCAGCGATGAAGCAAGGAGGAGGAACAGGAAACAAGAAGGAGAAGGCAGATTAAGAAAACCTCAATCTCCTTTGACACCACCAAAACATCTCAATAATCAGATCTGTAAAGATCAGACATGAGGAAGAAGAAGAAACACCTAACTTCAGAGAAGAGGTGAGAAAAGCTCCGAAAAAGGAAGCACGGAAAACAGAAAGCATAACAAAAACAAAAGCAAGGAGAAAGGGGCTACCGCCGGCCGCTCAGAGGCGCCGACGGCAGCCCACAGCCCAAACAAAGAACGAGAGACTAGAGAGCGGAGGGAGCGTTTTCAAATAAGAGAGAGAAAAAAGAGTCCTCAATAGTTAAAAGGGCCATTTTTTATGAGAGATTTGGTGGGAGATTGATGTTATGTATTTTTGTCCATCAGAACTTATGAATATCCATGAACCTGCGGATACCCAGTGAGTTGGGTTGGATTCGATTTCAGATTCCAAAACCCGTTGAGTTTTTTCTGGATTTTTTCCGGATATACCAGCTGGATTGGGTTTAGATTTAACAAAACCGAATCAACCCGACACATTGCCATTATGGCTGCAAATGAGCCGAGCGGCTCGGCGTCCGACTCGGGAAAAACTCGTTCAAAACTTGACTCGTTTACTAACAATTCGAGCTTGAGCTAAACCTTTTGCAGCTTGCGGAGCACTCAAGCTAGCTTGACTCGGTGGCTTGCTGAGCTCAACTCGTGAGTTGGCTCGTTTAGAGCTCATGAGATGTCTCAACTCTCAACATTGTGGCTAGAGAGCCAACTCGATTACCTACTTATGAGCGAATTGATCTCTATGAGTTTGATTTTGATAATTCTTAGGATTGTTAAATTATATATTCTCATCCTATATGAAGTTTAACTCGTAGATAATATGAGCAAATATGCCTAGTTTAATTTTAAAAAGAAATTATGTATCATAGATTGTTTCGATAATACAAAATAATATAATTTTGACTAGTAAAAATTTATTAACTAAATAATATGATACCTCAAAGTATAACATGAGATTAATTAATATTGAACACTTAACTATTATTATTATTATTTTCATCTTGACATTAATCACATGTTTCATACATTACATACAAAATGAATATATTAAATACGAGTTAAGATTTTATTCTAGTAATAAATCTAATTCAAACTCGACTCAACTAATTAGTAATAAAACTAGCTCGAACTTGACTCAATCTATTTCCTTCTTCATTTAACGACTTTTCGCCATATAAATTCCCCGTAAAATTTCTTGTCTCGTCTCTCTCCCTACTCTCTCATATGTTCTGTGTCGTCCTGACATGGATTCATGAATTAAAACAAAAAAAAACAACCATTTTTACCTCTCCCCCTTCCCTTCCAACACCAACAAACTTCACGACCCCAGCGGCGTCATCTTCCTCTCTCTTTTCTTTCTCTCTCTAGGGTTTCCATCTCTCAGGCTCACTGGCAAATACGGGACCGGGAGCGAGGTGGCTAATCTCCTCTTCTCCTTCGCACGTTAGGGTTCCTTTCCCTCCCTCTTCCTCCGAAGGTCAAGCAAGACAAGAAAAGTGCAATAAACCCAAAGTACAAGTGTAGCGCGGCCTTCTTGCTTTTCTTCTCCACTCTGATCGCGCTTCTGCTACGCCTCTTCGCTGGTTCCTCTGTTTTCTGCGTCCCCAGCGGGGAATTGCAGTCAATTCAATGGTAATGGCGGCCATTCTCATTAATTTTTCGTGGTTGTTGAAATCTCTGCCGCGTACTTTCTGCTGATTTGGAGCGTTTCTGAGAGTTTGGGAATTCCTGCTCACTGTACGGGAAATTAGCTTCGGGGAGCAAATTGATGGATGAAACCAATGTCTACTTATTGAGCTGAGTGAGTAGCGTAGAGCATTTAAAGTAGGTTTCAACCTACCGATTGTCCCCCCCTGCTTGTAGCTGTCTGCCATTTTTTTTAGCGTTCTTCAACTCCGGTAAACCTCATTAGCTTCAGGAAAGCCATTGTGGCATAGTTTTTGAGATTCTTAGAGGTTCTGCTTATTGAACTCTTGACATTTTCTCCACCAGTGTCTATATGCCTTGCCATCGAGAAATTAGGCCGGTCTTTTCTGATGTTCATTTCTTTGTTGGTGTAGGTGATGAGTCTTTCGTGCATGAAATTTTGATGCTCGGAAAATGTTTTGTGGTTGATGGTGAATGGTTGTAGCCATGGACTTAAATGCCTCACCGCTGCCTGAAGACGACGAGGATAATTTCGAAAGTCACGTGGAACAATACAGTGCTCCTGAGGAACGCATCGAGAGTGGCGCAGAACTTGCACGCAGGGTACCAGTAAATTTAGGCTTTTCATTCGACGTGTCAGCATTTTTCACTTCAGTGATGTCTATGTGATTAGGAGTTCTTTCTGTGTTGGAGTGCCATCATATCAATATGTTGCTGAATCTCAAAAGCATTCTCATTCCTGTAAGAAATTATCATTGAAACATCTGGCGTAGGGGCTTCCGTTATTCTAGTTATAAAAGGAGAGCTTTGATACCCTTTTTGGATTACTTTGATGATGTGAACTATGCGAATTAAGTAACGGGAACATTCTGCTGCCCAAGTTTTGGAGCACCATTTGTGGGAACTTGGTGTTTCTGAATGTGTCAATTTTAAATTCGTCACTCAGAAGTTGATTATGAAAATAAATGAGGCGGGTTACCAGGTGCTTTCAGTGATAGTTTGGAATATTGCTGCTTGCTTAAAGACAAAAATGTTAGGCGTCTCCATTGCTGCTGATCTTGTGTTTGTGTCATTTAGGAGCGGGAAGAAAGGAAAAAGCGTATGAGAACTGATCGTGGGGATGACAGACACTCTCATGCATTTCGGCAGCCAGAGGATGATCAAACTTATCCACCCATACCCCAAAAGTCATATGATAAAAGCAAACTCCCTCCTGGTTGGTTTCTTTTCCACCGGGATATGGTTGCTCCACGTTGCATTAACAAATAAACGAATGTTACGTTGTTGAGTTGTTGTTGTGGATGACATTGTTGTTTCATAGTCATCGCAATTTATTATTACAAAATGTAATGTCATATAGGAAGATTTAATTTTTACACGACAAGAATCAATCACTCAATAGAGTTTTCAAATGATGTAAGGCCAAGCTTTAATTTTATGTTATTTTGACCTCTCCAAGTACTAGTTATGTGAATTCAGATGTGAGGTGAATACTTGTTTCCTTCTTACAATATGTGGTCTTGCTCATTTCAGGATGGATGGAGTGTCCAGCTTCTGGTCAAGAGATATGTGGAATGGTTCCATCTAAAGTTCCGCTGGGTGAAATGTACTATGGATTCATTCCAGCTGGTAAAAGATATTCTTTCAAGCAAGTAATTCATCAACAAAGAGTTTCAGGAAGAAAAGTAAGATTTTGGGTCAACTTCAGAACTTTTAGTTAATGGGCAGCCTTTTCCATTAATTCCTGCTTCATCTTCATGATATTGCAAAAATGCTGCGCCTTCAGCATGCAATTAGTTAAAAGAATCTCCTGGTTGCTTTTTCTTGAGGTTCCTGAAGCAGTCATAGACAATTGAGTTGTTTTTATGTTTTCAATTTTCCTTTTGGTGGCCTGGCCTGACCATTTATGTGATATAGCAAGTCTATTAGTGTTTGTATCTTAGTGGCCCTTGTCAGATGTTGGGAAACGAATATAATAGTGAAAATCTGGTGGGATCATGAAATGTGTCTGATAATGAAAAGATTCTGGTCTAGAGTGTAATTTAGTGTCCACTTCCATTTTTTGGGATTATAGACATTGGTGCATATCTCTTTAAATTGAAAAAGGAATATTTTGTGGTGAACTATGTTTTGATTCATTCGGTTGCTAAACGTATTATTGACTTTGCAGCTTGGTTTGGTGATTGATTTGACAAATACTACTCGTTACTACTCAACCAATGAGCTTAAAAAGGATGGCATCAAGCATCTTAAGGTGCATGGTCTTCTGCAACATTATGGTTATTGTGGCTATATCATATGTAGTAATTGTTTGTTAATCAGTCATAACTGACTCTAGTTATTTGCTAGATTCAATGCCGAGGCCGGGATGCTGTACCTGAGAATGTGGCTGTAAATCAATTTGTCTACGAAGTATGTTTCTACGTATATTGCGTTGCCTCTATTCTCTGTTCTCATTATTCGTCTGTTTCTATGAATGTGGACTGATGGCTGGTTGATACTTGAGTTTGAATTTTTTGTTTTCACTAATGTACATATTGTTTTCATGAGATTATGCTTAAAATTAATAGGATATAGAGCTTAATTTCAAAGAAGTTCTCTTTAGAGAACTGGACGTCATGCTTAACGGTTATTCAGCTGTGTTTATATTCTAAGTTCTCTCTGGCCCTTGAATGTCCTTGTGTGCCTAACTTGTCTATTCTTGTTTTTAGAGTTGATGTGTGTTTACTTTTCTCTCAGGTCATGCAGTTCCTCTCGCAGCAGAAACTTTCAAAGAAGTATATTCTTGTTCATTGCACTCATGGGCACAATCGCACAGGGTATATGATAGTTCATTTCCTAATGCGTACACAATCGATGTCTGTCACTCAGGTTTGTTTTGACGTTAGATCTTGGTTAGTACCTTTCCTAAATGTGATTTGTTCAGAATTAATTTATCTGCTTCTGGTGCAGGCAATAACAAGTTTTGCTAAAGCACGCCCTCCTGGAATCTACAAACCAGAGTATATTGATGCTTTATATGCTTTCTATCACGAGAAGAAGCCAGATGATATGTTCTGCCCGCCAATCCCAGAATGGAAGAGATCTTCCGAATTCGATCTAAATGGTGAAGCTGTACCTGATGATGATGATGATGGCAATTCAGTTGCTCTTTTGCATGTATGTATAATTTGCTCAATATCTTATTTTCCTGTTCGAAAATTGCTGGCAGGGAAGCTTAGTTTACACCCTTGTGAACTGGTGTACTTCACTTTCACCTTGTAATTTCAGAGCAATCAAGAAATGGAAGCCAAGTTGACAAATGATGATGTCTTGGGGGATGATATACCTTTTGACCAACTCAATGCATTGCGGCATACCTGCTATCAAATGTTAAAGCTGACTATGCCAGTTAGTGCCACTGAACTGATCTTCTGCTTTCTTTGTTGTTGTGAATAATTACTTTTGGGGTTCCTCCTCTTGGGTATATCATGCAGTGGCCACTCTGAAAACGCAGATGCAAGTGCCTCGTCACTGGCCTGGTTTATAGTATGTTCTTTTCATGTCTATTTTGTTCAAGAAAGAAGTACTAATCTGTTTTCATTTGATTTCAGGGAAGAGGAAACCCACAATTCCCTGGCTCACACCCAGTATCTTTGAACAGGTATGATCTAGATTTTTGGATGTTTTAAACTTCATTTGGAGATGCTTTCCTGAATTTTCTTTTTCTCTGCAATTGGCGTTTTAGGAGGAAATATTGCTTTTGTGATTTTGATTGTAAAGTCAATCGTGTCCATATGTAAAAGTGAACTTGTCTGCTTCGGCCCATCCATCTTATGTTGTGGGAACTGTGGGTCAGATTAAGCTGGAAAAGTAACTAATTTGAGCAGGAGCTTACACTGATCTCGTATTCTGTTAGTGTTGAATTTTATGGCAAAGTTGCTTATGGCTTGCTCCAGTGTGAAATTTTCACTCGGCCTTAAATCATTCCTTTTTTCCAGGGAAAATTTACAGCTATTAAGGCAGCGTTACTACTATGCAACTTGGAAAGCTGACGGGACACGATATATGATGTTAATCACAATGGATGGGTGTTATTTGGTAGACCGGAGTTTTAATTTTCGGAGGGTTCAGATGAGGTTCCCTTGCAAGGTTGGAAGTGATGTATGTGTCTTGCAACTTAACTTTTCAATTGTTCTTGTGCACTGAGACTCCTGTTCATCGAGCTGTTTGCTTGGTTGATTTCTGACGTCGCCTATTTCTTCCCTTACTAAGGTTTCATACGATAAGACACATCATTTTACCTTACTTGATGGTGAGATGGTGATCGATACCTTGCCAGACACACAGAAGCAGGAGAGAAGATACCTTATCTATGACTTGATGGCAATTAATCATGTCTCTGTCGTAGAGGTGAGATCTTTTTACTGTTAATAATATATACTCTTGTTTGTTCAGTGGCTATGCTACTTCCCTGTACCCCCTCCTCCCTCTCTCTCTCTCTCTCTATCTATCTATCTATCTCTCTCTCTCTCTCTCTATCTATCTATCTATCTATCTATCTCTCTCTCTCTCTCTCTCTCTCTATCTATCTATCTATCTCTCTCTCTCTATCTATCTATCTATCTATCTCTCTCTCTCTCTCTCTCTCTCTCTCTATATATCTGTCTGTCTGTCTGTCTGTCTGTCTGTCTGTCTGTCTGTCTGTCTATCTATCCATCCATCCATCCATCCATCCATCCTATCTAACCTATCTATCTATCTATCTATCTATCTATCATCCATCCATCCATCCATCCATCTATCCTATCTAACCTATCTATCTATCTATCTATCTATCTATCTATGATTATTTAACATCCCGTACATGTAACATTGTCGAGCTGTTGGTTGGTGTAGATGGATGACCTAATCGGTTGGTATATAGTGTAATATATTGTCAATTGGGTTGGAAATTGCTGCAGCGGCCTTTCAGTGAGCGATGGAAAATGATCGAGAAGGAAGTGCTTGGACCTCGAAATGCTGAACGTCATAATGCCTACCACAGCAGGGAATTCTACTATCGATATGAGTTGGAACCTTTCAGGGTATGCAGTTTAGAGCTGCAACTTCTGTTCAAATGTTAGCTACTAATAGAGCTTCTGAAGTTTATTGCAAGTTGTTTTACCAGGTTAGAAGGAAGGACTTCTGGTTGCTTTCCACAGTTACCAAGCTTTTAAGGGACTTCATTCCTAAGCTTTCACATGAAGCAGATGGGCTAATTTTTCAGGTACTTGATGAAAAAACTAGGCGTGGTAAAAGTTCTGTTTGTTAATCTAAGATTTATCCGTCTCTCTGTCTAATCAGAGCTGCATAAAATCTCTCGTACTCAACTTAATTATATAAACATCACTTACATGAGTATGATGGCTTCTAAGTTACTAAGGCTTGTCATCTTGATATTGTTTGTTAGGGATGGGATGATCCGTATGTGCCAAAAACTCACAATGGCCTTTTGAAGTGGAAGTACCCAGAAATGAACTCTGTTGACTTCTTATTTGAGGTATCTTTTGTGGACCACTGCAGCGACCATTTTCATGGCAAACTTTTGGTGTTGTAGTTGCACTGAATATTCAGCCTTTTCTGTTGCCAGATTTATGCTGATGGTCGACAGTTACTGTGTTTGTTTGAACGTGGTAAAAAGAAACCAATGGATGGGCAAAGAGTTGAATTCAAAGGTGTGTATTACTTGTATGCGTTACACAATGAACAATCTTGTTTGTCAAATTTTAGCTCTGCTTCAGGCTTCCCTAGATTAGAGGGTGCCCTTAGTTTGTTTTGAGGATACTGCTCGAACTCACTGTTTGTCCTTCAATGTTCTTGGTTTTCTGCTTTTTTTTCCCCCGAACCCTAATTCTTCAACGCATGCCAGATGATGTTGATCCCTCTTCTTATTCTGGGAAGATCATTGAGTGTTCCTGGGATAAACACAAAGAAGTTTGGGAGTGCATGCGTGTTCGGACAGATAAAAACGCTCCTAATGAGATCAATACCTACAGGAAGGTATGGTTCATAGTCCTTCTCTCTCTCTCTCCCTTTCTCGCTCTCTCTTCATGAATGAATGAGCAAGTGAATGTATGAATGTAGCGGTATCATTCTTTAAAAATTAGGCAAAGCACACCGCGTACTATATCCCCACGATGCAAACATCGCACAACATGAATAATGCAGGCTTTGCTGATGAAAACAGGTGATGCGTAGCATAACAGACAACATAACGGAGGCTGTCTTGTTGGGTGAAATCAACGAGATAATCCGGTTGCCGATGTATGCCGATAGGATAAATAATGACAGCAAAGCCGCGGCACGGAGAAGGTGATTGATTTACTTTGTGGAATGGAGTGCCTACCTTCCTATCCGCCCACCCCGTTTGTAAACTATCCACAGCTCTCAGATGTACAACTTTGTAGCGCAGCTGGTGAGAATGTTAATTGATTTGATGATCTCCTCTGGGATGGGTGTGCTCACTTCAACTCTAGATGAGGACCCGTGATAAAAAAAGAAAAGCAAGGGAAAAGATGAGAAGGGGAAAGTCGAGAGTAGTATGAGGGTTAGGAATTAGTAGCAAAGTATCCTTTTTTTCCTGTTTTCCCTTTTCATTTTGTATATTAAGTTTTAGTTTTCTTCTGGTCCTTCATGTTAGTGATTTGTAAGTTGATTAGAAGATGAGATGGGCATATGATTAGCCATCTTCAAGTTATATAGCTTTTAGAATCGAAATTTCCTGACAATGTCTGCGTTATTTTGATCTTTCTGTCTCCATCTTGATGTGAATATCATTGGTCATAGATGCAGGTTGATATTTCCTTTCAGCATTTTGTTTTCGCTTTGGTGTTGTCTGAGTTGTGTTCTAGTGGGGTTTCTTCTTCTTCTTCTTCTTCATTTGCGGCACATAATCGACACGTCCGATTTTGTTGGAATTACATGTGTTCGCACTGTCACTCGGGAACTAAAAAGTAAATTAATAAACCTACTAACCTTAACGATAATAATATTAATGATAAAAATAGTAATTATAATAGAAACTCTAGAGGACTCGATTTCTCTCGTACCCTCCCTCTTAAGACTAAGCTTGATCGACTTGATCTACTCTTTTGCTCTTTCAATAAAGCATAGACATCAGTACTTTCGTTTCTTGCACTTCGTTTCTTCTAATGAAAAGTAAAAGAGAATGATGCTTCTCTATGTAAACTGTAAAGGGTGATAAAGGAAGCATTAGTGGTGATGATGGTGTCTTTCTGAAGATTTTTAAAGATATAACATAGTTTTATACCACTCATGAGCAGTTTGATCCAATTTGGTCAGATCCAAATATCAATTTAGCTCATATTTTACGATTTATAAAATTAATAGAACCAACAATCAAATCAGCATATTATTGGATCAAACTCAAATGTCAGTTTGCTCCAACAAGATGATGTGCCTACCATGATAATAATTTTACATCGAAAAAGTAGAATCTATTTCATCCTTATAAAAAAAAATTGCATCGAAAAATATTGGAAGGGTAGATTTTGGAAGAAAAAAAAAGGTCGTTTTGAAGTTGCGAATGTTAAATCGTTGCATTGTAATGAATCATCATAATATAAAACTAGCATTAACCCTGCCCTTTGGGCAGGTAACTTTTAATTTATGTATATATGTGTAATATGATTATCAAAGCAATAATTTTCTAAAACCGCACAGTTAGTTTCCATCACAAAAATAAAGGCCTAGAGGCACGGGCACCACCAAAAGATGAAGAAATCTCGCATCTCAACTTATAGTTAAAATTAAAAAGAAACACCAAAAGGTCCGTCCATCTTGATGAAGTTCTTTGGGGAAAGTTTGGTGGGCATATATTGTCGTCTTGCGTGTGAAGCTCAATCAATCTATGAGGAAGAATCGTACATGAATTAATGGCCAATCATCCCACCCAAATAGTAAGGATTATTTAACATATGTTAGTGAGTGAATCTAGATACAAAATATCTCTCTTTATGATATATCGAGATTTTAGAATTTGTAATCTCTAAACCTAAAATACACATATAAAATGGAGAAACAAACCATATTCATTGAATCTCTAAATTCTATGAATCTATACTTCGGATTTTCATTCTCCAAATTACCTCTTGATTAATTTACCATTAATATTTTACAACATATTTTTGATTAATAATATTAAATATTATTATGATTATTATTTAGATGAATTAAATTATTATTATCGAGGATAAGTAATCATCAATAATTATAATTTATTTCATCATCTCGTTCCTCCCATATCTCCATCCAAAATGCATTGTGTTGATACAATGAATGCATTTTAACAATACATTGTTTGGTTGTTGAGATTTTACTTTATGTATTGATTTACACAAAATAATTTTTATGGGAAAATATCACATTTACCCTCAACTTTTAGAATACGACCAAAACTAATGGGGATATAAATGAGAAGAAAAAGTTGACACAAATCTAAAATCAACAATCACAACAATCTTAACTTAAAGTTGAGATTGTATAATGCATCATTTTTTGTGGTTGTTGGTGGGGACCTACCTAAAACAATATATGCATTGTTAACATTTTGTCACTTCCAAATATTGTATTATGCACAGTACATGTATTCAACAAACACAATTTCAAACGAACCTAATTGTAGAGCAGACAATTTCAACAAAACTATCGCAACTTTGAAGACGCCTAAGTAGTAAGTACTAACCGTCTAACCCTCATTCTCATTACTTCGTCTTCCTCCCCTCGGTCCCCGTATTGTTCGAGATAGTCGACTGTCTTGTTTGCTCACGTCGCCGGATGCTTCGACTCGATTCAACTCCAAACTCTGCAGCTTCATTCGAGCCGTCCTCCACAGATCCGGAGAACCCTGACGAGGGTTTATGAGCTCCTTCTTTCTCACCCTCAATCCAAAAGTAGCTGATTTGGATTGTGGAAATTAGTATTGACATTGATCGCCCGGCCCTTCCGGGAAGATTTTGGGTATCATTATACTATTGACTTGGAATAGAGTGGAACCGAGAAGATCATATGAAACCTTCGGCGGCAGCAATCTTCTTCATTTGTCTGCTCCTCTCCGACTGCCTTCACACTGTCCGTGGAGAAGAAACCAAGAAGAACAAGTTTCGGGAGCGGGAGGCCAGTGACGATGCCGCCGGCTACCCAGAACTGTAAACGCTTTCTTCCTTGCTTCTCCTTTCCGCATTTCTTGTAGAATTCGTGGGTTCCGAGTAAACTGCAGTAGATTTGATAGAGGACGAGTCCAATTCGGTTGATTGGTGCGTTCCGAGTTGCAACATGTTTATCTGAAACGGTTATGGCTGCGTAGGGATGAAGATGCGTTGTTGAATACGCAGTGCCCTAGGAACTTAGAGCTGAGATGGCAAACAGAAGTAAGCTCTAGCATTTACGCTACTCCCTTGATTGCTGATATCAACAGGTACTATCCGGCCATGCTTCTAGCTATTAGTATGTTCTTGGCCTGGCATCTTCTTGTTTACAAGTTCTATTTGCGCGAATGTTGCAGTGACGGGAAGCTAGACATAGTAGTTCCCTCTTTTCTGCACTATCTAGAAGTTCTTGAAGGCTCTGATGGGGATAAAATGCCTGGTGAGTTGTGCCCTCTTTCCCCCCGATACAACCACCATGACAATTTGAATTATTGCATCACAAGTTTTGGTGAAAATATTGATGATTTATGTGACATTTTCTGCTCAGGCTGGCCTGCTTTCCACCAGTCTACTGTTCATGCTAGTCCTCTCCTACACGACATTGACAAAGATGGTGTAAAAGAAATTGCTCTGGCCACATACAATGGGGTGGTGATGTTTTTCAGGTATTTGTTAGTTATTCTTAGTCGCTTTTGCATAGTTATATACCAATGCGTATATGTTTTGAGGTGCTTTGTCTCTTCACCTAATGGTTCTGGGACTGTATTTATTGATCTTAGGGTTTCAGGCTACATGATGACGGAGAAACTGGAGATACCTCGTAGAAGAGTTAAAAAAGATTGGTATGTTGGCCTGAAACAAGACCCTGCGGATCGTTCTCATCCTGATGTCCATGATGATGAACTTATCAGGGATGCTGCTGAGAAGAATTCAGTGTCCCGTAAGTCAATCTTACTCTTAATGTGCTCTCTGCTGTTACTTGGTTAGTTGCAATTGTGGTCATTGCTTGTGGCAAATCTTGGCAAAGTATACCTGTTCATGCATGGAGGACCTATCTTTCGATTCGTCAAATTCATAGAATGGCCTGGCTTGACAGTTATATGAACTTGTCTGACCATTTGGTAATCGTATTCTGAGTGCATGAAGGAAGCTTTTCAGCACAGATAGTCCTGAAGGCTTGGTCTTTCCATTATGTTTTGTTCACTATTGCTTGCTATCTCTCAGGCTATTACCAATATACAGGTTTCCCATCTATAGTCTTGATCGTGGGCTTAAGGATTGGAGCAACCATCTGGGGCTTGGTGCGTCTGTTGTTGCTTTTATGTAGAGCTTGTGACCAAATTTTTTGGATGTTAATTTGCAGAAACATCTGGAGTTACTCATGGAAACACTCCGGATACAACCACTCCATTTACTAACTCAGCAGAAAACCAACCTCCAGGAAATGGAAGTGTATCTGTAGCAAACACAACGGTTACTAGTTCAGAGGCCAATAATCCTAAAGCCGAAGGAAGTACTCTTGGACAAGCAAATGGTACAGAAACTTTAACATTGCAGATTACCGTTCCTGCAAATAGGAGTGCATTGGATGCAAACAATACTGTCCCTACATCAATTGCAAACAATCCAGCTAATACATCCAATCGAGAGAGTGTACGTGTGAGGATTGCAGAATCCGTCTTCAAAATGCCCACAAGGCCAGATAATAATTCTGGAAATGCCGAGTCTACAAGATTGGGTGATGCGGATAATAAAACAGTTTCTGCTCGGCGTCTTCTTGAAGATAATGATTCAAAGGTTTCAGATTCAGAGAATGAAAAGAATACTCGTGATGACCTTCATGTGGCCACTGTGGAGAATGATGAAGGGTTGGAAGCAGATGCTGATTCATCATTTGAGTTATTCCGTGACACTGATGAGCTGGCCGATGAATACAATTATGACTATGATGATTATGTAAATGAATCGATGTGGGGAGATGAGGAGTGGAATGAAGGAAAACATGAGAAATTGGAAGACTATGTCAACGTTGATGCCCATATATTGTCTACTCCTGTGAGTATTTTCACCTGAACTATAAATTCCTTTTTTATTTATTTGTAGTCTTCTTCATTGATGCAAATAAAATGTTGTTACGGACTCAGCTGAGGTTCTCGCTCATTTCTTCTGTTCAGGTTATAGCAGACATTGATAAGGATGGAGTTTCAGAGATGATTATTGCAGTATCATACTTCTTTGATCACGAGTGAGTTTTCTTGCATGGTATTGCAAGTGTGTTAACCATATTTTTTTTCTGTTGAACTGATTTTCAAATTGATTCCAGTCACTTCCATTGATGTATCATATTATTTTAGCATATGCGTGTCTTACAGGTTTTATACCTGGCAGGTACTATGACAACCCAGAACATTTGAAGGAACTAGGCGGGATAGATATTGCAAAGTATGTTGCTGGCTCAATAGTGGTTTTTAATCTTGACACAAAGCAAATTAAGTGGACCAGAGAACTAGATTTAAGTACAGATAGTGCCACCTTCCGTGCATATATATATTCCACACCTACTGTAGCTGATCTGGATGGTGATGGCTATTTGGACATTCTAGTTGGAACCTCATTTGGCTTGTTTTACATCCTGGATCACCGCGGTAAATGCTTAATCTTTTCCATTTCCATTCATTGCCCATCGTAATCCTTATCGTGAGATTCCAATAAAGGTTTTTCTAATTCGTTCTGTTCTGTTGCTTGCTCTTCTGTTCTGTTGGAGCTATTTTGTTCTAATTCGTTCGATCTATTGCATTCTTACCAGGTAATGTTAGGGAAAAGTTTCCACTCGAAATGGCTGAAATTCAGGGAGGAGTAGTTGCTGCTGATATTAATGATGATGGTAAAATTGAACTGGTGACCACTGACACACATGGAAATATTGCCGCATGGACTCCCCAAGGAGTAGAAATTTGGGAGACTCATCTCAAGAGTCTTGTTTCCCAGGTCAGTCTTCGAATTTGAGATAAAGTGTGATATCAACTTTGATGGTTCCCATAAAGTTCGAAGACTTTGAGTTGGTTGATAGCAATATCGGAGCTATTTGTTTTAAATTTAATAGAGGAAGACTTGAACTTCTGTTATCACTCCATATAAGATTCACACACAGCTAAACATGAATTTGAAGCACTGTTTTGATTATTAACATCAGAGCAATCTGACATTATTATAATTTTTCAGCAACCAACTGTAGGTGATGTTGATGGTGATGGCCACACTGATGTGGTGGTTCCAACACTCTCAGGGAACATATATGTCCTTAGTGGCAAAGATGGCTCTATGGTCCGCCCTTACCCATACAGAACTCATGGGAGAGTGACCAATCAAGTCCTTCTCATCGATCTTAGTAAACGAGGGGAGAAAAGCAAAGGGCTTAGTTTAGTGACCACATCATTTGACGGTTACTTGTATCTTATAGATGGACCTACATCCTGTGCGGACGTTGTTGACATTGGGGAAACTTCGTAAGCCACAATGTTTGATGTTTTCCTCTTTGTTGCTTATTCCTAGGAGTATATGTAGTAATGTCCAGATCAAAATTTCGTATACAGGTATAGCATGGTTTTGGCTGACAATGTGGATGGTGGAGATGATCTGGACCTGATCGTCACAACCATGAACGGGAATGTCTTTTGCTTCTCCACTCCATCGCCACATCATCCCTTGAAGGTAATACTTAAGTGAAAGTTCACTATATTCAGTGACACACTACTAGGCTGTGTTTGTTTCTGCTGTTGCCTAAAGAAAAGTGCTTTCCTTTTTCAAGTTATCGGAAAAGTGCGTTCAGTACGGATTAGAAAAAATAGAGTTTATGGACGTTGATATGTTTTTCAATCATAAAGAAATCAGAAAATGACTGAGTATAACATTAAGAATGGATTCTCACTTCCAGTGGGCTTAGTTGGAGTCAAACTTTTTCCTGTGAGGTGGCTTTTAAGGTTTGATAATCCATTGGGTTCATAATGAGCTGTTGTTTAAAGATTTGAGATTGAGAAATGTGTGTTTGTTTCAGCTTATAACTCACCTTTTCTTAAACGCGGGTTTTTAATTAGCTGGAGCAAACACATCCACTGTATTTTCCCCTTGATTTCAACTGTGCATTTTTTAGGCCTGGAGGTCTCCTAATCAAGGACGGAACAATCTGGCCAATCGCTACAATCGTGAAGGGGTCTTCATCACACATCCTTCGAGAGCTTTCCGGGATGAAGAAGGAAAGAGCTTCTGGGTGGAGATCGAGATTGTAGATAAACACAGGTTCCCGTCTGGATCTCAAGCACCCTACAATGTCACTGTAAGTTATTCCCCACGTCCCTTCCACAAACTAAAACCCTCCTATAGATAAACACAGGTTCTAGATGATTTTTTAACCAACTATTTGGCTCCTCTCAAACAATGGCAGACAACACTGTTGGTTCCAGGCAACTACCAAGGTGACAGAAGGATAACACAATCTCAGATCTACGACCAACCGGGGAAGTACCGGGTAAAGCTTCCTACAGTTGGAGTCAGGACGACAGGAACAGTGGTGGTGGAAATGGTGGACAAGAACGGACTTCATTTCACCGACGACTTCTCTCTGACTTTCCATATGTATTACTACAGAATGCTGAAATGGCTGGTCGTCCTCCCAATGCTTGGCATGTTCGGCATTCTGGTCATTCTTCGTCCACAGGAAGCTAGGCCTTTGCCCTCTTTCTCTCGGAACACCGACCTATGACTGGAGAGATCTCAACCTTTTCCACTCACATCAAACATGGTTGGTCAACTAACTTGAATGGGCACCAAAGCTCAGGACAAGAGGCATCTGCGAATCGAGCGGAGCCAAGTTATTCTGGGTACAGGGAGAAGAGGTTTCGAAGATGCAAACATGACAGAAGTTTGGATTAGAGCGTTGATTGAGGACTGAACATTGTAATATAGTACTCTTGGAGTTGACATAGGTTGGATTTTGGAGTCGTTTGTACCAAAAGAATACTGGAAAAAGGTCAGAGCTTGACTAGCTAGCTGCCAGTTTTACCATCTACTACATATTTACAAAATATAACAGCTTCACTCGGCCCAGAATCAGAAATCAAAGCACTCCACAATTTATCAAGAGAGAAACGAAGTATCTGCCTATGATTGAGACAAGAAATGTTTACAGAGGAAGAAGAAGAAGACACTCCATTAGCAAACCTGAAGCCGATTGCTTGCTACTTGCTAGGGTGGTCATTGAAGAGTAAAGCAAACCCATCAAAAAAGTAGCAGCCAACTGCTTGCTTGCAATTTACCCGGGTTAATATATTTGTATGACCTGAACTTTTCACATAATAAACATGCTTGCTTGTAATTTACCCGGGTTAATATATTTGTATGGCCTGACCTTTACATATAATAAACATGCTGGCCAATCTTTTCGATCTATAACATCATGGCCTGAACTATACACCAAAGTAACGAAATTGACCAAACCCAAAAATTGGCCGTTATCTTGGACGGTCTAACGCGTTGACTAACAGTCAACACGCCACGTCGCCGCCAAATCAGCACCTTTCACTTAATTTTTTTTTATAATTTCCACCTATTACTATTTTTTTTCTCCATTTTGAATCCAAAAAAAATTAAAAAGTGAATTTCTAGACCCAAAATTCGTTTTCATTTTTCAAATTTTTTTTATTCAAAATGAAAAATATAAATAATAACAGGTGGAAAATATAATTTTTTTAAAGTGAAAGGTGCTGAATTGGTGGTGATGTGGCACGTTGACCGTTAGTCGACGCGTTTGACCGTCCAAGATAACGATCAATTTTCGGATTTGGCCAATTGTCGTTACTTTGGTGTATAGTTCAGGCCATAATGTTATAGATAGAAAAGAATGGTCAGAATGTTTATTACGTGAAAAGTCGATACAAATATCTTTTTATTCATAACTCATGACTCAACTATCCTTTCTCACTTTCCCTTCACTCCCCTACTCTGCCACCTGCTTCTTGTAAGTGTACCACCTAGCAATCAAAAGATAAAACCCCAAGTTCACCACACTCAACCCTGCAAGAAGCCAGAAGAAACAGTCGAGCCTCCCGTAGTTCAAGTTATCCGGAATCCATCCGGGGCCGCCATCCCTGGTGCTCAGATCCATAACCATGTCGACCAGGAAAGTGCTCAAGTAATTCCCCAGAGCAGCGGTGGTCAACGACAACGCCGAACACAGGCTCCGCATCGCATCCGGTGCCTGCTCGTAGAAGAACTCCAGCTGCCCGACAAACGTGAAAACCTCCGCGCATCCGATGACGAAATACTGCGGCACCTGCCAGAACACCGACATCGGAACGTGCTTCACCTCGTAGTAGCCGTGCTTCCTCACTTGCCGGAGCCGCGCCATCTCCAGAGCCCCCGCCGACAGCATCGCGAAGACGGAGATGGCGAGGCCGACGGCGATTCGCTGGAGCTGGGTAAATCCGTGCCGTCTGCCGGTGATCCTCCTGGCGAGAGGGACGATGGCGCGGTCGTAGACGGGGACCCAGAAGATGACGGAGAGGGTGTCGAAGAGGGAGAGTGAGGCCGACGGGATCTGGAAGGATTTGGTGAGGTGGAGGTCCATGGTGTTCCCTTGGAGGACGAAGAGAGTTCCCATTTGGCTGTAGACGGCGGAGAAGACGATCCCCGTTGCCCATACGGGGAGCAGCCTGACGATTGATTTGAATTCCTCAACTTGGGTTACCGTGCACAGCCTCCATGGGTTCGTCGGCGCGCCTTTGAATCGCTGGTCGGACGGAGTTACCACGGCTGCTTTGTCGAAGAAACTGAAATAGACAGAGTGAGAGAAAAGGAGGAGGGAGAAAAAAAAACAGAGGAAATTAATTGAGGAAACCCTAACCTCAATTGGTCGGTATGATCAAGCTTCCGGCTCCCGACGACAGCAGATTCGGAATCTGAAGTCTCGAAAAGACGATCCGCAGCAGCAGGAGGAGGGAGCTCGACTCTACACTTTCTCACCGAGGCCAAAATGACCTGACACATCCGGGTGACGGGGCTCCCGCCGGGCCGCTGATGGCGGTACAATCGCGTCCCGGAGAAGAAGCTGGCGACCGCGACCGCCATCGCCACGGCGGGGATCCCGAACCCCCACCCCCAGCCTACGTTGGTCTGGACCCACACCAGCACCGAGGAAGCCACCAGGGCGCCGATGTTGATGGAGAGGTAGAACCAGTTGAAGAAGGAGCCCTTCCTCGCCTTCTCCCCCGGGTCGGAGTCGTCGAACTGGTCCGCCCCGAACGACGACACGCAGGGCTTGATCCCGCCGGTCCCCAGCGCTATCAGGTACAGCCCCACGAAGAAGACCGACGTCTGGGACCCCGTCGCGTGGCAGACGGGGCTCGCGGAGGAGTAGTCGCAGGTTGGTTTCAGGCCGTGGATTGATGCTGACATTGTGAGCAGAGCCATCCCCTGCAGAAAGAAAAAAAATTGTGAGTGAGTGAGGAGCGCTCTAACAGTGAAATTGTTAGGATGTGGGCTGTGGGGGAGCTTACGAAGACGTAGATGATGGAGAAGGTGGCGATGGTCCAGTATCTGCCCAAGTAGGCGTCGGCGAGGAAGGCGCCGAGCAGAGGCGTGACGTAGCAAGTGCCCGACCAGTTGGTGACGCTGTTGACCGCCGCCACGTTGCGCTGGTTGAGCTGCAACTTGAGGTAGTTCACCAGGTTGGTGTTGATTCCGTAGTAGGCCAGTCTTTCGCAGCATTCGTTCCCTGAAACACAACACAAGAGCGGGAAAATGCAGAGCAGAGCGTTATTATGAGAGGACATGATCAAGTAAAAGAGTTTACTTTTTACGCACGTACCCAGAATGTAGGGGCAAGCTTTCCAGGTTCCTGTGTTGGTTTTGATGGCAGGATTGCCGTGGAAATCAGTGGTTCCATCTTTGGTGTACAAGGTCTCTTCTTGACTCATTTTTTTTCTTCTGTTTCTGTTTCTTTGTGAAGGTTACCTGTGGGCAGCTTTTTAGGGCTCTCGTCTTCAGCCTTCCTCTCCATTTTGTTTCTCTCATCAATGACTGGCTTTGGCACACGATTCGAATCGATTGTTTGTGGCCTTTAATTGAATTGCAGGCACAAAAGGGTTGTCATTTTTACTATTTGCATTCAATGTCGTCGAAGGCCGATTGCATTTGCATAGCCAAATCCGATGTATGCACCAACCTAGTGATGGGGCAGGGCGGGTACCTCAATTCCCATGCCCCGCCCCACGTTACTATGGGTTGGGGCGGGTAAAACCCGCGTGGATACGGGGCGGGCGGGTCGACCCATTATTACATGTTGTTAAAAAAAAATACAAGTAAATTTTACTTTTTACAATAAAATGTAGGGGAAAACACTTTAAGAATAAAAAATATTGATAATAGAATGGATAATTGAGCCTAACAAGTTGAAAGATCGACTCTAACTAGTTGAAGAAAAGTCAAAATAGGAGAAATATGTATAGATATTGTAAGAAATTGAGATAAAATGAGTCTACAACGGGGCGGGGCGGGGCGGGGTAGGACGGGTCGGAAGTAGTTACCCATACCCCGCCCCACGCAACTGCGGATCGGGTAATACCCGCCCCATCGCAGATCAAGTCGGGTATTACCCGCGAGATGGGTTGAAATTGCCATCACTACACCAACCCCATTGCATAACCAAATTGTAGCCAAATCTTTCGTGGGACTGCTGGCAGTGGCACACCAATCCAAGACCTATGTGTACCAATTAATAAGCAAGACTACGGGATTTGTGCTTACCAATATTACTAGCAAATTGGTGGCCCATTTAGTAAGGAAGGATTATAAAGCAACCGATTGGATAAAATGGTACATTGTGGGGGATGGCTGATTTTACCAGATAAGTCCGCTCGTAGCGCTTTGCGATTAAGTTGGAAATGAAGTGATTACGAAAATACTTAGAATTATTGGAGAAAGTGGAAGTTGTTGGACTGTAGCTCTTTCGATTTTGCTTATCGGTTGATGCCTTGCTCGCACCCGGAGGGTAATAGCAACCAGATAGTACCGTATGTAAACATGACCCGTTCATATTAGTGTTCGATGGACATACTAAAACTCCCACAGGAATCTTACAAAATAAAGCTCTATGCCATTCCGAGTCAATGCCCCGAGGGAGAAGATTTGGTTACCCTAGTCGTGTAATGCGGTAGTGTTGTACACCCCTCCGATTCGAGAGATTAGGTGGGTTAGGATGCACTCGAATAGGGATTCCTAACTTTATTTATTCTCCTAATCGTATATAAAACTTGCCAATCAAACTAGAGCACCGCAATCTCTTCTGAACACGGGATTAGGGGAATAATCATTCGAGTGGAGCCTTCCCATTTGAATTCAACATCGTTGTAATTGTTTGTTTGCTTAGTTTGATAATTTTAAACTACATTCCGATCGCTAGATAAGTTTTGGTTTACTGAAGTAAGTGTAGATGAATTGCCCGGGTTGATAAATTGAAAATATATGCCCTATACTACACACATCGTAGGATTCTAAATTGAAAATATACTTGCCCTATTATGACGTAGGATAATTTAGTTATAATCTTGTCGCTTTTTCTTAGATCTTCACAGTTGATTGATCTTAAATTCGAAAGATCTTACATATGAAACTGATCGCGCGTGGTAACCCCGTGCCAAATCATTTATCAACAAAAACATTATAATAAGCAAATGCACACCAACACCCTCATGAAAGTGAAAAGGTACAGAGAATCCTAAATCATTCACATTTTTGGTGTTTTTCAAATCAAATTTCTGAACCAAATCAAGCCAAATTACTTTTGCAAGACTATTCATATCATTTCCGTCACAACAACACCCCCCACCCCCCATTTTTCATGGTCTCCAAATCTAAACACAAATAGCTTTCCAATGGCATCTCACAGACAAGCAGTCTAGTTCAATCAATCCCCCTACACATATATACCGTTTATCAGTTTACATCTTCAATCGCAGTTGGTGCCTTTCACTGAAAATGAACTTCTGGAGATGGGAAGATTCTCTTCACCAGCCACTGAAGAGGTCTGAGAAGCTGTGCTCTCTTCTTACGCCAGAACCAAATGGCGGCATTGTACTGCTCGTTCCGGATCGTCTTAGTGGCAGCTCTCCAATCATACTGTTCCATCTCTATCCTTGCTGCTCTACCCATGGTCTCCCTCAGCTCTTGGTTATGAAGCAAAGTTCCCAACTTGTCCACGCATTCATCGAGATCTCCAGGGCTGAACAGGAACCCGATTTTGCCTTCGAGCTCCGGCGGAATTATGTCCGGAATGCCACCAGCTCGAACCCCAACCACTGGGATTCCTGAAGACATGGCCTCCAGGACCACAAGCCCTAGGGTCTCGGATTCAGAAGGCATCACAAACACGTCTCCGCTTGCATATGCTTGAGAGAGTTCTTCTCCTCCCAACATTCCAGTGAACACGGCTGGCATCCCTTTGAACAACTCTTCCAGCTCCGGTCTGCAAACGACTCAATTCATCAAGTAGGAAACAAAAGAGACTGGAAGAAAATATTGGGTTATGAAGAGTGTAGAAATCAATGCAATAGCAGTGTACCTATACGGTCCATCTCCAACGAAGGCAATCCTAGCATCTGGAAGTCTATCCATCACACTGGTGTTCAAATTCATCAAATGTTAATGCAGAAGCAGATTATGCATTGATCTTTTCGAAACAAATGAGAAAGAAAGACGGTTGTGAGCATGTGAAAGATAATACCCTTTGAGGAAGTCCAAGCTCTTCTCAACTCCAAGTCGGCCAACGTGGACTATCAGTGGTTTCTCAGGTTCCCCATTGCTGTTTTGACCAACCACCAAGAGATCAGTGTTAAAACTGGCACATAGGTAGAAACAGTTTTAACTGAGAAAATAGTGTGAAAACACGGGCTTACGTTAATCTCGCTCGCATTTCATGCGAACGGAACTGAGGGTTGAAGCTCTCTGAGTCAACGCCTTTATTCCAAAGACGAATCCTATTAGCTGCCCATAAGCAAAAACCAGTCAGTTTGAAGAGAAGAACACTGCAAATGCAGATATTCTAAATGAACTTGTATGACAATCTTCTCTGTGAACACACAAGTCTTTACCTGCTGCCACTTGAGCTTCTAGGAGATCCCTCCCAATGGCAGCTGAAGGTACCAGAGTAAGATCAGCAGCTCGGTGGAGGAACTCTGATAAAAACATATTCAAAAAAATGTACTTGTGAACTAAGGAGCTAAAAACATTTGGCTATGAGATTTAACTAACGAAAGGTTAAAGAGAAAAGTCCCACATACTTATGACCATCCACATGGGCTTCACCAGCCAACTAAAAGTGTACCTAGGGATGTATCTGAAAAATGGAACGATGATCAATCTCTATCTCCTGGCTCATGAATATGGTGCATTAATGAAAAAGTTATTTAGTATAGCCAAACTCACACAGGGACATGCGTATGATACGACATCACTATGGGAACACACAACATTTTTGCAATAGCAAGGGCACCAAAAACCTGATATCCTCGTCAAAAATTTGTCAGCATGTCGCGAAAAGAGCAGCATACATATTCATAGTGTTAGGTTAGCAGACAGACAACTTACCATTATTCCAGGGGATGATGCATGTATGATATCAGGCTTGAATCTGGCAACCTCGGATATTATTCTAGGACTAAGTGCAAGGGACAATGGTACTTTCTGATACCAGGGGCAAGGAAAGCTGCCAATAGTATGGGAAATTAATCAATTCACACACTTCAAAGAATGCTAAGCTAGAATCTAAAACAACAGCCTAATGTTGATATGGCGTTTATCACTCGATACCTTCGTGATCCAATCAATTTGGCACCATAGAACTCCTGGGGTACACCTTCATGTGTTGTCACCACCATCACCTGCATCATCAGCAGATATTTGATATCTATCAAAGAGAATTCAAGAAAACAAAAAAGGGGATTACCTCGTCCCCCATTTCGCGCAAGTACTTGATGAAATTTTGGAACCGGTTCTTATATCCTGACACATATCTGCAAAATGAAGCAAACAGGTTGCACAAAATCAGAACATACATAGTAAGGACATCACAGGATTGCAGAGAAGAAATCAAGAACCTTTCTTCCAAGCACCTGAAATCATAATTAATAGTCATCCAATCAATGGCAAGTTTGCGGCAGTGTGAGAAGCATTGAATTATAAACCAATACTACACCAGACTTTACCCCAAAACTTTTGGCAATATGGAAAGGATTTATGAGTTCTAACCGGCGGTAAATAGCATTACAATCTGCAGAAAAGCTGGAGTCTCTAATCAATCCAGCCAATGATATCACAGCTAGCTGAATAATTAGAGTCTTGCAATTAATTAACAAAAGTTCATGTCGACATAGGACGCTAAACAGCTGGCTGACGGTACAAGAAACTTGACTGGTGACTGACAGTGGCAACGAAAAGACACCTTGTTGCAATCGCAAACACACAAACACATCCAAAAAGAACACAACGGACCAGAAATTAGAAAGCTGATCAAAGAAAGTCAATGCCATGAACATCCAGACATGAATTCAGCAAAGAAGTTTGATCTTTCACATAATCTGTCCCACAAAACCCCAAATTAACTTGGAATTTATGACAAACGAGGGTAAGGAGAACAAAGAGAAGCTCACGCAAAGGGAGAAGGCTCAACAAAGAGAGCAATGCGACGAGGCCTGGAATTGGTCTCTGAATCAAGTAAAAGGGGAGGATTCTCTTCCTCTTCAACATTATCGGAGATGGTCATTTTCTCACTGCCACTCCCTTCTTCAGCTCTAACTACACTACCCTTTCTCCTGTAACTCTCGTTAAATCCAATCTCTTTGGCAAATAGGCTGATGGGTTTTGCTCTGCAAGACCTAAACCTCGAAACTTGGAAGGAAACGGAAGAATGGGTAGTGGTAGAGCAAAGAGAAGTAGCAGGTGGTGAAGCAGTGACAGAAGCAGAGGAGGAACAAGTAGTGGTGGAGAAGAGAGGAGAGAGAGTGGGATTTATAGAGAGGGAAGGAGGTGTCATGGTGGGGAGATTTTCACAATAATATAGGAAGAGGAGAAGAAAAAGAAGAAACCCGGAAGAGAAAGATGAGTTGGGTTTGATGATTGATAATAGCGAGCGAGAGAAAAGCTTCTTTTTTTCCTTTTTGCATATATATTTTGCCATCTATAAAGAATCTTTGAAGGTTGGATATTCTGATGTCCGCCCAACATAATTAAGAAAGAGCAAGCGGGCAGGGTATCAAAAAGGAAGCGCATGTGATGTGAGTATATGCTGTTGTGTACTGTGGGGAGTGTGGGAACACAAGTACACAACCACTCTTTAGTCTCACTGGGTTTATTCCATAGCCATAGGCATCATTCCCAAAATTTGCAAGGTTATCAACCAGTTTAGCTTGTTCTGATGTGATAGAGCAATTGGGCTGAGGTTTAATGAAGGATTGCACCAATTCAATTTATGAATTATATCAAATTTTATAAGAATAATAATATATAATATTATATTAAAATAATAATTTGTAGTTGAATCCAACCTGTAGTGAAAATTCATATACACTCATATAACATTAGTAGTCAAATATTCAACTTAGAAATAGGTGTAATTAGCAAACGAAAAAAGAAAAACGATGTCGTGTGACCTTCCAACCCAAGAACATTACTGTGGGTAGACCAGCGGGTGTGTGGTGCATGTTTTTCTCATCAGGTCCAGGACGATTCAAATCCATCTGGGAGTCGACCCGCAGGTTGACAACCTTGGTGTTTTGGGTTGTTTCTGTTTCTCTTTCCCTCCCTCTTCTTTTTCCAATGGGCCAATTGCCAGATATAAACCTATATATGAATCATTCACTTTCCTCATCATGAATCTCTATTTCATTCTCCTAAAATCATTATTCCTCGTTCTAAACCATACGAAATTGACAATTTTATCTTTAAGACCACCCACAATAGTAAATGTGAAAATTGTGGAATCTAGACCCCAAAAATAGGTAATTTAGGTATGGAGCCACAGTAAGAAAAGTGGGAAACCTGCGAAAAGGTCAAAAAGCATTTTTTTTTCAAAGTCAATTAAGCATTGATTTCGTTGTTTAGTTAGACAATTTTGTCATGATTTTTATATAGCTAGTTATACTTAATTATGACAAACATTTTTTCAAAGTCAATTAAGCATCGATTTCGTTGTTTAGTTAGACAATTTTGTCATGATTTTTATATAGCTAGTTATACTTAATTATGACAAACATTTTGATGTAATTTTTTTAATTCGGACATAAATAAATAAATATTATTATTAATAATGGAAGTAGATCGTACATCAAAGGTAAATTAAAAGTACACTTAGCTACACACTTAAAAACATAATTGAAAGCAACACATTAAATAGTGCATCAAACTTTAAAGATTACAATTTTGGTGTGTAGACGCCATTTTATGGGTTATAGACTTATAGTTTGATTCTCCTGTAGTACGCAGCTACAATTTGATCTTTTTGCATATGGTACCACATTTTTGTACCAGTGCTAAATTGAGAAAGAACCTCACTCGTGATCGCTTGGTTGTGTTTAATATTTTCCTCTTATTTCTCTTTCTCTCTCATGTTCTTCTCGAACAATTGCCAATCTTGCATGTGTTGTCGAAGAAGCTGTCACTTTAGCCTTACTCTTTGAGAAATCCTACATTGAAGAATCCTTGTGTCCTCTATTCTTCCTCTTTTGCTTATCTCGAACTTCGGGATGATTGATGAGATAAAGAGCCCCTCTTGCATGAAGATTAGGACTCTCATTTTCATCAGAAGGCATACCAGATCAAGATCCTTCCATTCGTGGAATACACAGGCATACCACTATTGCGTAAACTTTGAACAATGTTGGAGGATGTCTCAACCATGTTCAATCTTCCATTCCTTTTTCGTGTCTGCAATAAAGAAAACATTAGTTTGTTCCCCTAGATAATGAATTCAATAAAAAAATCATAAATTTGTGGTCTGTTCCGTGCGGGTCAAAATTTGGATGCACGGGGTTAAACTAACTACCACATCTTGAGCCAAAAATAACTCAAGATGGCGTTGTTAGTATAGTGGCTGACGAAGTTCGTATTTCACAGGATCGCGATATCCTAGACTATTTCTCACTCGGCTGTTATCTAGTCAATCAAGTTTTGGGCTGGTTGGAAGACAATTATTAATAACCGACAATGAAAGCATAAATGAGAAATCAGGTACTCGGGGCACCGCCCTTGCCCTAGTTACTAGGTATATCATGCAAAAGAATAGAATTGTTTGTGTTATGGGGAATTGTTGGGTTGCGTAGATGAGCGTACTTGGGCCTCGGGCCCAGGAAAAGTGAATTAGTGAACCAGGCCCAATAGGGTATCTGGCCCGGCCAGGAAGACCAGGACAGCAGACGGTCTCTGACTAACTCTAAACCCGAGGAGTAGCTAGGGCGTCTGACATAAAGCGAGTGACTACTACAGAAAGGTAAAGATCCGTTGAGATACGTACCTCGGGTTGGGTAAGACTAAGCATTTATTGCCCGCCGCAGGCGGTTCACATAGGGAAGAGGCTTACTCAGGACGCCTGACATAGCATTTAATGTCTTACCCACCCCCACACTAGGTATAAATGCACCATGAGAGCATTGATGGTAAACTCAACTACTCTCTCTCTCTCTCTCTCTACCATAAACACATTCTCAGACACTTCTCTCTCTAACTTAGACTTTGGAGAGTGTCCTAGTAAACCGGCCACAGACCTTTGTTTTGCAGGGATCGGGAGTGCACCCTCCATCCAAGAACAAGCGCCTCGCTATTGCTCTACAAACTGCCTAGCATTTACTAGGCACAAACAAGAATGAATAGTGCAGGAATCACTAATATTGGAGCTAGCTCAATGGTCATGCAACTAACCACCCTCATAATTCGATCCACTAACCCAATCTAACCTCAATTAGATTCACGAATTAGGGATAAACTTTATTCTCTTTCAATGGGTTGCCCCTATTTTCACACTAGGTTGATATGTTGATGGTCACACACGTCCTGCCCGGTAATCGAGGACAACTTCCTATCAATATTCCAACCAAACAAACACTTGAACAACCTGTTTCCCAACCTCTGACTAGTATGAGGGGTTGGGACATTGACAAAGCTCAGCATCATGTTTTTAAGTTTCCAAGAATTGTCAATAAAGTGCCAAGTCACTACCATATACCCCCTCTTTTGGTTAGTTGCGGTCCACATATCAGTTGTGACTGCAACTCTACCAATATTACCATCCAAAACCTTCTGAAACTTTGCCATTTCAGCCCCATATAACCCAAATATGTCCTTCTTCACTGTATTTCTACAAGGGACAGTGAACTGGGGTTGCAACGAACTACAGAAACATTTAAACCCCGAGTGTTCAAAATGTTCAGGGGATACTCATGCACCATAATCATAGAACACAATTCCGTTCTAGACACATCAAAACTGAATTGAGTAGCAGATAGGAGGGGTTTTCAAGTTGGTTTATAATTAGGACTAAGAACTCTCTGCCTACCATCATGTATCTTTCTTTGGGTGCAAGTTTTATAATGGTTCCTCAGGTGGGAGGTTCCATTACTAGTAGCACCACCTAATAATTTTCGACAGTATCTACATTGACTTTAATCTCCCCATTAAACGTCACCCTCACAAAATGTGGCCAGACATCTGAAGTTAATTTACAATCTTCCTCAAGAATTATTTTAAAATTTTCATTTCCATTTGTCAATGCATCATTACCATAACCATTAACAGTAGCATTATCATTACCATTATCGTTTTGATTAGAAGGCACAGTAGGACCATTCAAATTCAAAGCACCATTTTCAGTAGCACCATCCATCTACACAAACAATTAAACAATTGCATGCAATCAATCAACCATAACAACTCAGACAAATCACACATACAAATTACGATCGAGAGTTGAATTGGAGTAAGGTTATGCCTAACCTGTAATCTGGAAATGGAGACTTTGTTCACCAGACTGCAGATGGTGAGTTGATGTCTAATGCGAACCTGAAGAACTCCCAAACAAAGCCAAAACAAACAAAAACAAAATAACATTAGCATTCATCGATTGATAAAGACCTAGCTTATGAATATGGAGAAATGAAGGCAGAAGTTTGTGCTTACCTCAAATGTGCTCTGAGCAGAGTGAAGGTAATGGTTTAGGGAAGAAGTTTGGCTTACCAGTGACCCTGAAATTAATCGAGGGGTTACAATATATACGAGAAGAAGGAAGAAGCCAGTAGGTGCAACAGAATACTCAATGAAAAGGGAGAAAGAACTTATCTCGGTGTGTGATATCACGCCGATTTCCCCCAATAGCTGCAAATCGAAGATTGCAACGGGCAATTTAGGGTTTTGCATGTTGTTTCTTGACGAAATAGCCGGCATAACTAGCCTCCAATTAGCCAAATTGGGAGATAATGATTGCCTACTGGCAATCATGGTTGTATAAACAACCTGGATTTGGAGGAATTCGTGGAGAATCAGCGAGATTTTTTAGCGGAATGAATGTTCGCGGGATTCGATGGAGAGAAAATCGCTAAGGAGCTAGGGTTTGGGGAGGTTCTCGAAGGGAATGGGAGCAGTCGATGGGGAAGCCGAGAAAAAATGAGGATTAGGGTCCGTGGATATCCGCTCGAATCCGACCTAATCGGGTAGGTTAGAACCCGAACCCGAAGGACATTTAGTGGGTATGGGTAAAATTCGAACCCGAATATTGCGGGTAATGGGTGGGCATGGGTTTCTCACTATCCAACCCGAACCCGCCCGATTATACACATGCATATGTATTCTGTCTAGAAATAATTATTTTTTTCTCTAACATATTTTATATTTAGCATATAAATATAATATTTTCATGAATTGTGTTGTTTTAATTAATTGTCTTCATTCTAGTGAATTATTGTCGTATTTTTCTTCTTACGTAATGTGAGAATACGTGTGAATGTTAACATATTGGTTATAGTTATGAAGAAAAATCATTACCCATGGATAACCGCGGATACCCGAAACCAGAACGGGTATGGGCATGGTTTTAATTTTCTACCCGTTTCACATGTGGGTATGGGTATGGGTAAAAGCCGAACTACTTTGGGTAGGATAACGGATATGCACTATCCGTCCCCGACCCGACTCATTGCCATCCCTAGATTAGGGTTTCCCCCTATACTTCGTTTGGTTTATATACGACGTCTAAAACGACGTCATTTTATGATACGAGGAGGGGACGGGGCGGATACCACTAAGTCTATCGTCATCCATCACCCGCTACTCACGGGTTTCAGGCATACCCGAATCTCCGAATCCGTCAAATACCCACATTTGATGGGTATTTTGGTCACTATCTGGGCAGGTTTCGGATGGATACCCGGTGGGTCGGTTAGGGTTGCCAAGTTTAATCTGGTCCCGAAAGAGCCTTTCTACTATGCTTTAAAGTATTGGTGCTTTAAAATACAACTTTAAGTTGTACCACAACGTTAAAGGTACAAGTTAGAGTTGTACCATAAGGGAATTTGATCTTTATGTTGTGGTACAACTTCAACTCTTCAAGTTGTACCATAACTTAAATGTACAACTTTAATTTGTACCATAAAGAGATTTACAAAATAGTATAGGTACAATCTAAAGTTGTACTATAACGTTAAAAGTAAAACTTCAAATTGTACCATAAAGACAAAAACGAAAGCACCAATGCTTTAAAGCATTGTAAAATGGATGATATTTACGTGCAATCCAGTTTGCAGGGAGCGCCTACAACCTCCCAACACGGAGGCAATTTATTGGTTGATTTCCTTTCATTTTATTTTTTTAAGTTTGTATTAAAATGGCTAACATAAGTGGAAGAGTAACACCAAATGGCATAATCACTTTAGTAAATTGTTCACTTTTTCTAATAATACGTCAACAAATCTGTATTACAAAACTAAGAAGAAAAACGTTTTTTTTATTGCCAGAAGCTAACTTATATTACCAAGAAAAAAATAACAATGTTCAAACAACACGAGTTTATAAACTCGAGAGAAACCAACCACGAAAATCAAAACCCGGAACTCCCGCAGGAAACAAGGAAAGAACTTTCCTAGCCACCAAATGGGCCGCCCAATTGTTTTGCCTACCAATGAATTCCACCTCAAACCGAGCATACTGCTGACGTAGCAACTAAATTTCTTCAAGAATTCTACCACCGTTGACGTCCCGAACTTCTCTCCTACGCACCTTATCGAGAACAACCTTAGCATCTCCACGAAAACGTTCTTCCTAAACGCTAACGTTGTATGTATTTCAACAAATAAGAACCATTTGTTAATGATTCTAATTAATTGATCTTAACATATATTATTAAGAAAATAGGGTTTTGGTTTCACTCGTTAGGGCTTACGGTATTTTTGTGTAAGGGCTTATGATATACATATAGTACAATTTTTCAAACTCCGACTAATTTAACGAATCAAAATCCTAAACCTTAATGAGTGAATCCTAAATTCTAATTATGTACACTTCAACATGCATGCCCTAAAATGATGCAGTGGATGTATTTTGAAAAATCAAAATCATAAATTATTGTTTTCAATTAATTTGAGCTTAGTTACATGATTTAATGAATTAATGACTAATTATACAATTTGCCGTGAGACGGCCACTTCTATGGGACATTTTAATGCAAAATTAAGAAAGATAAAAATAAAAGGACATCATCCAATAAAATGGCGCCATGTGGGGAGGTTGTAGGCAGAGCCTGCAGGCTGCAATCTAGGTTGCAGGTAAATATCATCCTTGTAAAATTCCTTGTCCCCAAATGATAAAAAGAAAGATAAACGGAATCGGATAGAGCGAGGAGAAGAAGAACAAAGAGCTCGAGTCAGTTCAACTGCTTTTTCCCAAGCATCTTATCTGCAAGACAAAGACACTGCAATCTCCAAGCTTTTAAGCCATGGCGTCGCTGATGGTGGCAGCTGTTCCGTCCGCCACGCCTCGTGCGCTCAACCTCTGCCCGGGCTTCTCTTCCTCCCGTTCAGAGATTCAGGGCAGCTCCTTCGTCGTCGCGTCATTCGATTCGCTCAAGCTCTCGGCTTCTTCTTCCTCCACGTCATCACTTCCCTTGGGTAATTTCCGGACTCTTCTCTTCTCCGGCGCCCTTCGACGATAGATTCACGAAGTTCTTTCTCTGCTCTGTACAGTTTATTGCGGCAGAGGCGACAGGAAGACTGCTAAAGGAAAGCGATTCGCTCACTCGTTCGGCAATGTTGGAAACTCTCTCATCTCTGGCTGTAATTTCGAAATGTTATCTCCGCGTATTTGAGCTTACTTCCTTGTTGTTTATGGTGCCAGGCAAGGCCGAGAAACAAGAAGAAAGGGAGAGGCCCGCCGAGGATACCGGTTCCTGCCTCTCCATTGAATCCAGACGAATTGGCACAGGACAGCGAAGAAGCCCCCATTGAAACCGATAGACTGATGAGTTCCTAATTCCCTGTTCAACCTTTCTTTTCTTGCTGTTAAACGCTTTCTGTAGATTTTCAGCTGCTGAAACTACTCTGCTGTTTCTATGTCATCCCTGTTGCATTAAGGTTTATGTTCAATAAATTTTGTTCATGTGTCATTTACATGCTTACAGAACCATGGCATGGCATGTGTGTTTAGGGTTTGATGTTGGGATTTTCAGGCTTAGGTATAATCTCAGAAACTGTTCTTCTTTTAGGTTCAGTGCTGCACTGCTTAGACTTGTGGAGAGCCTTGCTTTTGCTAACGTAAGAGTCAGATTGCTAAGCCATAATGCGAGTCATTATGGATAACTTTTCTAGGTTAAGAACTTGAGATGATGACTTTCAGATTGCGGTTGTGCGACTGAGATGCTAATTCGGGGATGGAGTTCGAAAAACTTCGTATTCTTTTCCCCTTTCAAGAGTAGAAGATAGGAATCACAAGCAAGGAACTCTGTAATGAAAGGAAAATTCAATATCCTTACAGAATAACTTATTCAGGTAGTAGTGGTGATACACTCTTTTGTTGGGGAAAACAAGACCTCAAGCATGGTTGATATGTTGACAGACAACACAGTGCTCTGAGATAAGTCTGTCCATCACACTTCCATCTTCAATAATCAATTTCCTGCTCCTCTTGTTCCATAGGTGTAATGCATAGCTATCCTGCAGCTCGACCATGAGCCGGTCAGCCCATCTTGATTGAGAGCCGGTTGTCGGCTTTCTGAAAAGCCTGCGAATCTGTATCCAGTCGACCGGATAGAACGCCTTGGGTTGCAAGATCGTTACGTTGTAACTTGGTAGGCTTCGACCCATCCTCTGACAGACTCTTGAAAACATAGCCGGCCCGTTGTAACCCCATTTGTTCCCGTTGAAGGTGTTCGAGAACTCTTTGATGAACTCCAACAACATAGGATGGCCCAGATCAAACACCACAACTGCATTGTTTATGCTGCTCCATTGGTTAGTCATTCGATCCATGGTCTGAGCCCCAACGGCATTCCGTAGCTCTGAGAAATCTCTCAGAACTATGAAGTCCGTATCGATATACGCCCCTCCATATTTGTATATCATTGCAATCCTTATCAGATTGGTGAGGTTTATAGTTAGAGGGATGTAGCCAGGATCCCTGGTGCCGCTCTTCATGTCCTCGAGCCAATCTTCGCCCGGTGTATCTTGCACGAGAAATGGCACGTCCGGTGTGACTGCAAGAACTTTGAAGCCGAGATCGAGAACGGGCTTGAGCTTTGTGTATCCATGCTTGGAGTCCATCGATCTCGAGACGATGATCAAGCAGGCTTCTGGATTCGAGTGAAAGAGGCTGTCCATGGACATGAATTCCCTCGGTCCAAACGTCTTGGCCGGCGAGAGCCACACCATGTAGAATTGGACTGAGCAGTTGTTGTTGTTGTTGAAGAACTCCACGACTCGGCCGTGGAACTTCTCACTCAACTCGTTGGAATTGAGCAAGTCGAGCTCCGGAAGCTTCCGTCGGAACCATTCGATTCTTTCAGCTATCGTCACATTCTGCGGAGGAACCAGAGGATCCACGACTTCACTCTCGTCGTCGTCGTAGTCCTCCCGATTGATGTTCATATGCGTGTTGAGCTGTGGCAACTCGGTGACGGCGGGGAGAGCTGGTTCCTGCAAGGCCGTGCTGCCGGTTGAAGAAGGGCCAGCAAAGAGGTGGCCGGAATAGAGCATGAAGAAGATTGCGGCGAAGGAGATGGCGGAGAAGATTGGCATTTTCGGACCGTGGAAAATTTTGCGGAGATCGAACATCTTCTTGTACATTTTCTTGAGCATTTTGGGGAAAGCGGGCAAGGAAAATTCGGTGGGAGAGACCATTTGGGAGGAGCAAAGGGAACTGTGATGGCAAAACAGTGCTGCCTTCGGCCATGTTTCTTTTATACGGCAAAACAAGGAGAAAGTGCTGCGGGTGCGGGACTTGCAACGTTCAAAGCATGGCGGGAGTTAGATGGCTCCACAATTTCTTTTCAGCATCAAGTAGAGGTGGCAATTGGATCGGATTCGCGGATTGGATTGGTGGATCCATGAATCAAATTGATTGGATCCAATGGATTGGTGTATTGATCCATGAATCCAAATGACATCCAAGGCTTGGACCAAAATGTAAAATTTGAAAAGTTTTGGTACTAAAATGTCATAATAAAAAATTGTAGATACCAAAATGTAATTTTCCAATGATATTTTTCGTATAAAAATATAAATTTTAGGTACCAAAATGTAAAATATAGAAAATATAGGTACCAAATCGTAATTTGTCATTTGGATCCATGGATTGATCCATCAATCCACCCATCCAATTGGATTTGGATCAAATGGATTAGATTTAAATGGATTGGATTAGGTGGATAATAATTTGGTGGATGAATTGGATTGGATTCATGGATTTGGATCCTACTTGCCACCTCTAGCATCAAGCAATAAATTTCGGTTTTAGGAGGGAAACCAAGGTCCTTATGAGAACCGGATCAAACAAGGCGGTTCGACTCATTGGATCGAGTTAGAAACTCGGAAAATATGAGGCTGCCAGATTTTCGACCAACTGGTTGGTTCAAAACTCAGTTTAAGGTTTTCGCACGTATCCGTGAACAAATTCTTAATCACTAGACGAGGACATAACCGAATCGTGAATCGGTAAACTTTCGGTGTTTCATTCGATTCAAGATCTGGCTTGCTTCCTAAAATATTTCTGCCTAAAGTTCTAATCTATTGGAAGGTATGTTATTTGTCAGCATTAGTGGCAAATTAAATACCTACCAGCAATCGTACTCCTTCAGACTTGCCATCCGGATTGAAGGAAGGAATAACTCAGGTTGTTAAAGGCAAGGTTGGTATCAGCAATTTAAGTTTTGATGATCCTATGAAACAGTGATTTTTGAAGTTGTTGATTTGATTGTGCTTCTCATTTATGAAAATCAAGATTATTATTATTCGATTTACACCTTTTTGAATAATGTATGAATGAGTGTGTTTAATGTCCGAAGAATCTAAATTAAATTAAGATTACTCTTATGGGGATTCTTTTGGAGAGCTCGACGATTATGAAAACTCCTACACCTATGAAGAATCCTTTATGAAAGAAGAGATCGGCAACTTGGAGTGACATATAAAAGATAAAGTTTAGACATGTATGTTTGTGTGATCTCTGTTGTTTTCCTTTCGCCTCTGATACTTGTACAAATTCTTCTTTGTCGTTGTTTCTACCCACATTCCCCACTCTTCGATGGGATGTTGCTATACTTCAACCGTTTGAACCCTTGATCTTCAATATTCTTCATATGATTCCCATGTGAACATAGATGCTCTGTTAAATTGTGAACATTGTTGTTCTCTCACAAAATATCATTTTAGTCGCGACTAAACTCAATGATATTGTAGCGATAAAAAAAAAACTTGCGGCTTTAGTCACCACTACAATGCCATTGAACTCTTGGTGTTGTCGAACTACAAACGCTACTGAAACCACAAAATCGTAGATCATCACGTTGTCAAAAATGGGTGAAAAGAAACTAGAGCCCAAAACTCACTCATGATCCAACCCATTAATTACAATTAACTATGTTGGTCTCCTTAAAAAACCAAAAAATTATGGAGACTAATCAATTAACTACGGTTGTTTGGATGCAGTATTTTAATGAGATAATTTGGTCGAAATAACTCAGAATGAGGTATTTCAATCAAAATAACTCGTTTGGTAAAAATAAAGTATAATGTGGTATTTTGTCAATGAGTCAATTGAAATAACTCATTGTGAGTTATTTGAAATACCTACTCACCCCCTAGTTATTTCAAATACCTCATCTCCTAACTTCTTTTTCCACTTCATCCCTTCTTTAAGTGGTGAAATACCACAATATTTGAATGTTTTATCCAAACAAGGCAATTACACCAATTACCACATTTCAAAATGAAATACCACATGAAATGCCACATAACAAAATAATGCATCATTTGGATTCGAAATACCATAGAACCAAAATGATGCATCCAAACGAGCCCGTAAAAGTTAAGCCAAAAAAACTTCAACCGTAAACAATACCAAAAAAACTTAATTCATGAGTATTGACGAATTGTATCATCTCATGGCTAACGAGAACAAATCAAATAAGATGGTTCTATATCTAAATTTTGCTCAAAACACAACAAGACTGTAAGTTGAAGCCCAAACACAGAGCATGAACTGAAACCCTAAAACCTAATCTATTTCCAGCAGATGGACAGCAACCACCGCACCAGGAGAGTCCCATCATCCACCGCCGACGGGAAGAGCCGCAAGACACCCGACCAAGAGGTGCATGGTTGTACCATTGAAACCCTAAGCCACCCGGTGAATGAGACACCACCTTGACAACGAAAGCACAAGCATCAGGAAGAAAGATGATTAGGAGCCCAAATAAAGTGATCCTCGCCTTCGAGCTTCACGAGACTGGAATCAAGGGACGATCACAATAGTTCCCAGATCTTCTCCGAAACACCTTCCAAAGAGGTGAAGCAAGGAGAACGAGCAGAAACATGAAGGAGAAGGCAGGCTAAGGGGACCTCAACCTTACCAACAAAACATATCTGAAGATCTGACTTGAGGAAGAAGCAAAGGCAGCCATCTACATGAGAGGCGCGGAAAATGAAGTGTCACTTAAGGGATGGAAAGGACAACAAAGGACTGAAGGAATGACAGAAAAAAAGAGGATGGGTCGCCGCCGGTCACCAGGAGGTGCCGACCGCGACAACTAAATATCAGAGGGGAAGGGAGGCAAGAGGTTTTTCAATTTAGAGAGAAGGTTTTTCCAGTTCCACTAGTTAGTGTTTTGAGAAGATTATCCGTCAAGTCATTACCGTCAATATATAGGCCCTTCTGCAAGTAAAAAAAAAAAGAAAAATTTGGTAACGCTGAAATCATTCAAAATATAGGACCCCCAGCTAGAGAGGAAGAGCAATATTTAAATTTTAAAGCAAGAAGTGGGGATGAAGAGAACAACTCCATACCATCATCGGCAGCATCCACGTTGAAATCATCTTCATCATCATCGAAATACTCGTTCTGCAATATCGTAGAGACTGACTGGTCAGTCACAAATTCTGCTCTAAAGTGCTGAGTTCATCACCAAATCAGAAGCAGGAACAAAATGCACGATGACAAATACAATTGCTTCCTTCCTTTTGTTTCTAATAGTAACCTGATTATAGTCATCATCACTGAATTCTTCCTCTTCAATTGCTTCTACTTCTTCTTCATCTTCCTCTTCTTCACCTTCTTTAGTTTCCTGGGCCCCCTAGATCGAGACACCAAGGCATCAACAGTATTCATAGTCAGCATACAAGCTAGAGTCTCATGAGAAGAAGAAAACCTATCAGGCTAGATAAACACATACCTCTGCTTTCTTTTTTGCTTCTTTATTTTCAAGATTCTCAAAAACATCCAAAGCTATCATGTCATACAATCAGTTGGATCAGTAGCATTAGAAATTCAAAAGGGTGATCAAAGAAAATAATGAGAAATGCAATAAATAAATAAAACAAGCTGGGACCATTGCAAATCAATGCATCATGTCCTATAATGCAAAAGCACGAAAGGAATCTCACATTTTTTCTCAATTCAACTTCCTGAACCAAGATAATGAGATTGTGCGATAATATATAATGTAGGAAAACAAGAAAAGGGCAGAAGCATCATCATACCCTGTTGCCATCGCGGTTTCTTCGATCTCCTCACAACTTTCTTTCCTAAAATATAAATTTTCACAAATTGTTGAGAGTCAAAAGCAGCTCATTAAGAAAAGCAAAGCAGCAGCCATCATGTGGGTTGGTTAAGATTGCAAAACCTCCAACCAATTCCTTCGGGAAATAATCAGATCCAAACTGCAGAAACTCATCAAGGGAACCTCGCTTCGATACGACCTTTGGCTTTGCCCTGTCAGGGAATCTCTCTACTTCCATGATCCAACTCTCTGGTAAGACACCGAGGGAAGGAGATAGATTCAAGAAACATAAGACATTCAAAAACACGTAGTTATGCATAAACATATGAGGTGCTCCTAACTCACTCATTGGACCAGCATCCGTATTTTCTTCTAGGTAGTAACAGGAAGCTTTCCAAAAAGCTTGGAACTTTGCATTCACAACAACTAAGCCCTTTTCTTCCTTCACGTTCTTGGGATCAGGCAATTTAACTTCCTGCAGAAGTTCCCATCAAGGGTTAGTATCAGATGGAGAATAACTGAAAAGGGCGAGGAAACATGAATCTTTAAAAAACCATTCATTGGTAAAACAGAATGAAGGCACAAAAAGCACTCGTGTGTTTCAAACCCCAAAGGAACAATCATGAGTGGAGAATTCCAGCTAAGGACTTACAAATTTTGCTTCCCCAGCACTAATAATTTGTGTAAGTTATTCAAAGTCCAAATTTTGAAGGACTGGGAACAGCAAGATAACCAAACTAAAACAGAGAGAAATGAACATAGATCTCACAGGAAACAAGACGTAGGGCTCTTGTTTTGCAAAACTACCCCCGCCATAGCTGCTCCGTCCAAATGAACCGCGCCCGCGCCCGCGCCCTCTAGACATCTGCGATTAATAGAACTCCACAATGGTAAGCATAACTGCATCAGCGAAACTCAATTACAACAGCAGAAATTTGGAGATGGAATGACTGGGCAAACACCCATGTTCCAGCTTAACAAAAAGGCTACCCATACGGAAATGGAAAGCAAATCCGAACACATGAATGAATCAAACAGCCAATCGGAAGATAGTTAATTTTTCAATCCAAATTACCATAGGAAGAGAGGCGAGGGAGGCACGAGCTCTTCTATCTGCTACCCGACCGCAACCAAAGCTCGCGCAGCGAAGCAACAGTAAAGTGAGGAGAGGCTTAGGATTGAATTGGGTTGGAGGATGCGCAACGACTGAGAGGAGAGGATATCCGCGGCGGTTTATGAGGGCGGGCGCCGGAGAGCGGAGTCGGAGGCAGCGTCTACCGGAGAGATGAAAGAACGAGAACTGGAAAGATGAGCGGGAAAGAGCGGAAGAGGGACGAGCAAGACAGGGTGCATTAGGGTTATTATTATTGTTTTTTAGAGAGAATATTAGGAATGGATTAAAATACTGTCGTATTGGTGCTGGCGGTTGAAAAATCTTTTACGGGAAGTAGAATTGGTAGGCGGTATTTATCTTCATGCAACGAGAGACCTCCATTTTTCTGCAACTTGAGGATAGCATTCATACAATCCGATTCTACTATCACCGAAACCTATATTCTCATCCTCTGCCAGTTGCAAGCCCAATTCGATTGCACGTAACTCTACTAGTTTCGGCGACCATGGCCTGCGCTCCCTACGAATCGCCGCCATCACAAATTGGCCCTGAGGATTCCTGGGAACTGCCCCCAATCCAGTCCCTCCGCCATCCAGCACTGCTGCATCAACATTTATCTTCATCCAGCCTTCCGGCGATTGAGATCAGGTGTGTGGTTCCTCCGACTTCTCTTCTATTACCTTCCGATGTAGTTGATTGAACTCCTCCCAGTACTTGATCGACGGACTCAGTGGCGGATCCAGAATACAATAGAGCACTGGGCCGGATTTCATTAGAAAGGTAGATATCGTAAAAAAAATATATAATGATTATAATTTTTTTGACAATATCAATTGTACACTACAATTGTACACAACAATCTTTTAATTTAGCGAATGTATTAATAATGAAGTCTACATCCATACCAATTCTGTTTGAAATAAAATACTTGAGCAATCGGCAAGAAATTCATCGCTTATTTTGTTGCGCAAATTAGTTTTCACATGTTTCATTGTTGAAAAGGTTTTCTCTGTGGTAGTTGTTGAAAACATGTAGAATCAACACTAGACAAATCAATTGACTAATCAATTTGCACTCTGTGTCTATCCCTATATCCACTAGCTGCTCTAGTAAATTTTCAAGGGAACATACCTCACATGTCTTTTAGTCATTTATGCTTTAGACTTTAGAATTTTAGGTTTTATTGTTTTCTAGACCAAAAATCTTTAGGACTAGAATTTCTAGGCTAAATTTAGAGTAATGATTTGAACATGTTTATCTGAATTATTTTTGTTTAGTTATACACAATCATATTATAAAATAACACTGGACCGAATAACCAAACACGACAAATTTATAAGGACGGTATTAACTCCGAATCGAAAGGAGGGCTGGACCGGGATGGCCGCCCCTGGATCCGCCATTGGCCAACATGTTATTACCTAAACAAGTTAGTCCGACAAAGGAAGTTATTGAAGTGGAAACTTTATGATTCAGTTTTCTTGAATTGAAATGTTAAAGATCTCATTTTAGATTTGTCTATATAGCAGCAGACATGAAGAATTTATGTGTAAAAAGATTTTGTGATTGTAGGGTGTGTTTTGTAATATATTTCATTGGTATTAATACTATACAATAATAGAGAGTTGGAATCGCGGGACGTTTAATAATGGCTGGGGAGTGTACAACTACAAGAAAGGCAATACTACTAAACAAGCAAATTTTGGTTTTGTCAAAAAAAATATCACCTAGGAAACATTTGAGTGATGCTGGTAGCACTAACTACTTCAGAGCCTATTGAGGGTTTCAACAGCGGTTGTTTGCCTCTAATATCTTTGCCAGAAGATGTGGATTCATTGAAGCTGCGGCTGCCGCCAGAGCAGCGAGGAGTCCAAGTTTTGTAGAAACCTGGTTCAGCCAGTGCTTTGTCGTTAAGGCGGACGTTCTTGGACAGCATTTCCACCACTTGTAGCATCGTGGGTCTTTGGCTGCCGGCCAACTGTGTGCAAAAGAGAGCGACTTTAGTGAATCTTAGAACTTCATGTTCTGGGTAGTTTGTGAGTTCTGGATCAACTAGTTCCAGTAGCCTTTCCTCGTTCTGCATCTTCCATGCCTGCAAACAGAAAGCAAGCATTTCTTTTGTTCTCATATAAAACTCTTGAAATTTGCAATCTGGTTTCAAGTCGAGTAAGAGCATGGTTTATACCCATTCAACCAGAACTAGTAGCTCTTCACCAAACGCAGCTTTACTGCTACTTCTACCACTAACGATCTCAAGTAGAAGGACTCCATAACTATAGACATCAGCCTTCTTCGTTAGTTTTCCTAGTTGTGCATATTCCGGGGCCAAATATCCCCTGCCAAAAAAAAAAAAAAAAAAAAAAAAGAAGAACAAAAATGCAATCCTGTTAGCCATCCATATGTTCCAGTTTATGCCAATAAACTGAAAGTCCATCATCATCTTACATTGTTCCTGCAACTCGAGTACTGACATGAGTGACATTATCTGGGAAGAGTTTCGCCAACCCGAAGTCCCCAATCTTGGGCTGTAGATTTGCGTCGAGAAGTATGTTACTAGCTTTGATATCCCTATGGACTATAGATGGCTCAACTTCCTCATGGAGAAATGCTAGGCCAGTTGCTGTTCCAAGGCAAATTGCAACCCTTGTTGGCCAATCCATAGCTCTGTGTTTCCCTTTCGAACCTGCGAGATTTTTGGATAGATGCTTGAGATCTCGGAGAAACTGAAACGCCACTTTCGTCCTCGAAGTGCTAGCAACAAGATCTTATTAAACAAACACTAAATCAATCCAATATGAGTATCTACCAAGTAAAGCAGTAGCAAGGCTGTTGTTCTCTAGATATTCATATACCAATATTCGATGACCATCCTCAACACAGCAGCCAATGAGTTGAACAAGATTTGGGTGTCGTGTGTTTGCAATCAGTCTGATTTCAGCTTTAAACTCATCAGTTCCTTGTTTGGATTCTGCAGACAGTGTTTTTATGGCTACCTGGGTAGTACCATCTTTTAAAGTTCCCTGCCAAGTGAGAACTGTAAGAGCTTCCATAGCGTTGTAAGTAAACCATCTTTCCTTTACTAGACAACACTTCTGAAAACTTATAACTTTTTAAGTTATTTACCTTGTAGACCACTCCAAACCCACCTCCACCAATCTTGTTCGCCGGATGAAAGTTTAGGGTGGCTGATCTCAATGTATTGTATGAGAAGACCCTCAAATTGTTGGTGGCAATCTCTAAAACATTTTCAAAAGCAAAAATGTAAAACAACACTATCAGAACTTGCAACTTTTTTTTATTTTATTTTTATAATCTATAAACTTTGAACTCATGTACATGTTAAGCTCAATCATATTTAACAAATAAGTGAGAACTAAAACAAGAATAAGAATTGTGACGAAGTTGTCGCAGTTGTAAAAGGAACTCATGCCTGCATACATTTGTTCAATTACATTGCGAATAAATTCCCCAAATTACACTCAACCAAATGACTTCTAGGGGTTGTTTGTATGGTGGATCTGATAATGAATTTGAATCCATCATAAATTTTGTATAAACTCTATTGATTGTTTCATGTATTTAGATGCAACAAATATTTGTATTACACATACTTTGAGAGTCGAAATTCATTTGTCTCGTGGACTTGAAAATCTTACATACAAATCCAATTAAATTGATCATGAACTTTGAAGTCTTATCATTTGTGTGGCCAACCTACACATCCTATTTCCTTTTTATCTTCTCGTGGCAAGGAGGACAATAAAGGTCAATTTCACTTCATACATACAAATCTAATTGACAAAATCTATCATCAAGATTATGAAACAAAATAATGATGTTTTTCTAAGTCTGTAATGAAACCAAACCCCTCATATAATCATGATTTTTGAAAACTTAGATTTTATCAAAACCTTTAGTAATTGTTCCTTAAATGTCGCAGAAATTCTAACTTGAGTTATTCCTCAGAAAGAGTAGATACATGCATCCTGGGATTGGGGCTCAGCAAGTGCATTCTGGGTTGTAAGGATTGATACATGCAATTTCAGAAACATAACTCATATTTGATGCACAAAGTGCATCACAATTCAGTAATTTCACAACCCAAACAAACAAACAAACAAACCAGCAAACCATTACCTTCAGTTGCTGCCAGGTTTCCAGGGCTGTTATTGCTCCCAGTAAAGCAGCTTAACCAGTTGTTACAGCCCATTGTAAGAAGCAAGATCCAGATTTACAGCACTCGGAATTCCTTCATCCACACATCAGAAGTCTTTGTATCCCGAAACCAAAAGTTCCAAACTTTTCCACACAAAACCAATTGGAAAGAGCCGGAGAAGGCAGCTGTGGAGAAAAGCTAACCATGATAACAACAGAACAACAAACCCATCGGAGAACTTGTCCCAGAAAAGCTGATTTTTTTACTGTTTCGCGTCAGAAAACCCCTTGAAAGAGGAAGGGGAGAAGAGCAGCAACGTATGAGCTATACCTACCGAGAGAAAAGACCACAACGTGAGCTGGTAGATTAGGAGGGATCGATGAAGGCAGAAGGACGGAACCATTAAATTGAATTTGCTTTCTGTTGGTTGGCAATTGCTTGGGTCTAAGGTTAAAGCTGCCTTTTTGGGGTCTTTTTCTCCGTTGTTTGTTCTCACTTTCTAGACCCAAAACTGATGGGGAGGGTGGGAGAAGGTATGCGACAACGACGCTATTGGGGTTGAAATTGTCCCCTCTTCTTCTTTCTCCTTGTTGACATTTGTTTTCAAGGCAGGCCCGCCATGGCTTGCGCAGCCTGAGCTTCTGTTTCCTTCTTTACTTTTTCCCCCTTGTCTTCCCCATCGAAATTGGTTTCTCTTTCTTTCACCGGATCCTGTGAGGATTTCTGGAACGTCTGCAGAGTCGAAGCGATATATGGATGACCGGATGCTCTTAAGGAGAGTGATTGTGAAATTGATGGCGGAAAGGAGTTTTAAGGTTAGAGGAAGCTCGGCGGTTGTATGAAGCTTATGAGAAAGGAACTATTGTCTTGACTCGTATCAATGCGAAGGTTAATTGCCTGCTTTTTCCTACACTAGATTGCTGAATCTGGTTAACTCCAAAAGGGTCGCAAAGGTTTCGAAGTTTATGTTTGTTCAAACTTCAATGGACGAAAGAGATAATTGTTGGGACTTGGGAATGAAAAGGTTCGAAAGGTATATGTGAAGTATCAAATACACTATTGGTGGGCTGAGCATTGCAAAAAGCATATAATAATAGGTTTATTTCTTAGGCAAAATACACTTGTATAGTCAAAACTTTGACGGTTTGCCCAAATATAGCCACGTTTGGCGAAATACCGAAATACTAGCCACTTTCGTCAAATTGTTTGACGGTGTTAGTTAACATGTTGACTGGACTAACAGTAACGGATGATATGGCATATTTTATTCAAAAATAATATTAAATGGAAAATAATAAAATTAAATAAATAATAAAAACAATAATCACTCCTTGTAACAAAGGAAATAATAAAAAAATCATAAATTTTATCTGCTGCATCACCACCATCGCCTGTTCACCTTCACCCAATTCTCTCCCAAAAATGAATCCTTACCCTTTCTTCCATCTCCTCCTAAAACGAATTCTTTTTTTACAAAATTTAATTTTGTAATCCTTCCCCAAAACCGAATCTTTCCCAGAGTAATAAAATCCTCAAGCTTCCTCCACTTCCATTCTCTCCCAAACATCCTCAGATCTATTTTCACAAAATCGAAACCATGGGGTAGCCTCGCCACCGCTCTTCTTCCCCATCCCTTCCCCAAGCTTTCAAGAACAGAGTTCCACCCACAGTGGCGCAGAAATCAGCCGATCCAACCGAGGTAAAGAATCTCCAGCTGCGGTGCCCAGTTTCGTACCAGCAGACCTCTCTTGGTTTCCTCTATCCGCCGCGCGATGCCCTCGGACAGTCATTCGGGTAAGAAATCGGATCGACGGTCGGATCGCCCATAGCAAAGAAACGACGCTCTGTTCTAGCCCCATCGCGAGCTCCATCATCTGCGATGGGTTGATGCTATTCTGGGATCCGAACGAGATGTACAGAACCAAACCCGGATGTGGGATTCGAGCCATTCGATACACTTCTCAACAGAAACCCCGGCGTCTTCCCCGATTGTCGCCGGATATTGGTGTAGTACCCGATTTCTGAAGAATTTCTAGAGTCAAAAGAGGGTCAATCCCCTAGATTTGGCGATTTGAATACTTACCGAAGAGTTCGAATCCTAGTGGCTCGATTTCTTCCATGAAATTGCAGAGCCACCTGTTAGGAACGGAACAACAAAAGGAATGAGGTTACCGAATCTGGAGCTGAGTCGCGGACTAGGTCGCTTTCTTTAAGACGTTCGCGGCACTGCTTTCGATGCGCACGGCAGACTATCAACCGGTCGTCTCAAGGATAAAACAGTTCCTCTCAATACTCGCGGTTTTGTGCGAAAACCGAAGCTCTCTAAACACTCTCTCTATTGTGTTTCTGCTCGTTGTGATGTGTTTAGAGGGGCTGGGGAGGCGGCTATTTATAGGAGCCGAACCCCTAGGAATATACCCTCTTGCTTCGAATATTCCGTTTTAATCGATTATCCTTAGGAATATACCTCAGAATAACAGATTAATAATTATTTTCGTTCGGAATTTCTCCAAAAAAATATATATAGTCTCAAGTGAACCAACCAACCGGCCGGTCGGACGGACGGACGGCGCGCGTGTGTGGTGGTCCATTAGGTCCTCCCTCTCCCACAAAAGTGGGTCACCCCAAGGGGCATGCCCTTGGGAGAGAGGCTCCTATCTTTATACACATTTCACCAAGTAAAACTACCAATGTGGTAGTTTTTCCACTAGAGACTCTATAGCTTTCAAAGCTATTCATATACATTCATATACATTTCCAACAATCCCCCACTTGAATAGTTTTGAAACTATCTCTGAGCATCAACAGTTCCATAAGATCGGGCATAAGCTAAGGTATCGCGAAGATTTGAACCTTAGCGTAGTAGTTACACTTCCGATTTCATAAGGGTGACTCGTAGTCTTGAACCCTTTCTCAGACAGTGTAGCACACCGGATCTTTTCATTGAGTTGTATTCTCTTCATAGCCCGTGCGTTTATGGCCATGCACGTTACCCTGGTTTAGTGAACGCTCTAGCAACTTTGTGCCTCCAAAGTTCCATAGGGAGCAGCCCCACTCCCACATTCACATAGGTGAGTCTATCAAGAGTACCCCCAAAGTAAAGTACTCCACCCCACATAGGGTATAGACCTCATTAAGAGTTATTAACTCAACCTCCATTGCTTTGGGATTCATGCTTCACTATGCATGAACTTTTCGCATACTACTCATGACTTGTTATTACCCATTGAACCCATTTCTTGGGATCTCCAGTCTATTGGGTCGGGTTACCATCACTTGTAGTCCGTGGTTCGGTAGGCATAAGTCCCATACCCTTGGCGGTATTCTGGACTTTCTCTCTAGGTAATCCTTTCGTCAAAGGATCAGCTAGATTCTGTTCGGATCTTATATGATCCACCCTCACTGCTCCTATCGTTAGGAGTTCTCTTACAGTACTGTGCTTACGACGAATCTGTCGTTTCTTTCCGTTATAGAACCGGTTCTCAACTTTAGCGATAGCTGCGGTACTATCACAATGGATCAATACCGGAGGGACCGGTCTTTCCCATAGGGGAATCTCTGACAACAATCCTCTCAACCAACTTGCTTCTTCACTAGCCGTTGCTAGTGCTATCATCTCTGATTCCATAGTTGATTGAGCTATGATTGTTTGTTTCTTTGACTTCCAAGACACAGCTCCACCAGCGATGTTAAAAACATACCCGCTGGTTGCCTTGGAGTCATCTGATAGGGTATTCCAATCCGCATCACTATACCCTTCTAGTACAGCAGGAAACCTTTGATAATGTATACCAAGGTTTGCTGTTCTCTTGAGGTATCTCATGACCCTCTCTATAGCATTCCAATGCTCTCTACTAGGACAGCTGTTAAACCTGCCAAGCAATCCCACGACATATGCAATGTCTGGTCGAGTGTAATCCGCAGCATAACGGAGACTGCCAATGATGCTAGCATATTCTGATTGTCTTACACTGTCTCCAGTGTTCTTAAATAGCTTTACACTAGCATCATACGGAGTACACGCAGGTTTACAGTCGAAATAGTTATATTTCTTCAAGATCTTCTCTATGTAGCTAGATTGATCTAGAGAATAACCATTTGCTGTTCTAGTTATCTGGATTCCAAGCATAAACTTTGCTTCTCCCAGATCTTTCACTTCAAAGCTCTCTTTTAACATGGCTTTTGCTTCATTGACCACGTGAATATTTGTACCAAATATCAACATGTCATCTACATACAAACATATGATAGTACAAGTGTTATTTTCTGACTTGCAGTAAATACACTTGTCACTTTCATTCACCTTAAAGCCATGTGAGAGAACGAGAGTGTCAAACTTCTCATGCCACTGTTTTGGAGCCTGTTTCAAACCATATAATGATTTGTCTAACTTACAGACTTTCGAGGCATGTTCGGGGATAACAAACCCTTCTGGTTGTTCCATATAGATTTCTTCATCTAGATCACCGTTCAAAAAGGCGGTCTTAACATCCATTTGGTGTACCACGAGATTGTTCAAGGCAGCAAGAGCAATCATTACACGAATGGATGTTATTCTAGATACTGGTGAATAGGTATCGAAGAAATCTATATTCTCTCTCTGCCTGTAGCCCTTAACTACTAGGCGAGCTCGGAACCTTTCGATTGCACCATCAGGTTTCCGTTTCGTTTTTAGAACCCATTTATTACCTAAGACTTTGCAGCCAGGAGGTAAGTCTGTTAGATGCCAAGTCTTATTAGCTTCTAACGATTCCATTTCATCTATAACGGCCTCATTCCAAAAATCTGCATCTACGGAAGTTAATGCTTCCTGCAAACTTTTTGGATCTTCGAGGGTGAATACTGTAGTAAAGTCATCACCAAAATCTTTAGAGATTCTAGCTCTTTTACTTCTTCTGAGTTCATCCTCAGAACCAACACCCCCACTAGTTCCGTTATCTCTAATAGTAGGTAGTACATTACCCCCACTATTTCTTGTTTTAAATGGAAATCGTGTCTCAAAGAAATCAGCATCAATGGATTCTATTATAGTACGAGCATTCAAATCATAGAATCTATATGCCTTACTATTGGCCGCATAGCCAACGAAGACACATTCATATGCTCGACTAGCCAATTTAATCCTCTTAGGATCCGGAATTCTTACGTAGGCCAAACAGCCCCACGTTCTTAAATAGGACAGATTAGGTGGCTTATTCTTCAAGATCTCATAGGGTGATTCTTTTCTATTTGTTTTTGGAAGACGGTTTAGCACATAGCAAACTGTCAACAAAATATCACCCCACCAAGAAGAAGCAGCTCCAGAATTGAGCATAATAGCCACGACTAATTCTGTAAACGTCCTATTTTTCCGCTCAGCTTTACCATTCATTTCTGGTGAATATGGTGCCGTGGTTTCATGAATGATACCATGTGAGCTATAGAATTCCTTGAAGGGATTAGAGTCATACTCTGATCCTCTATCACTCTTAAGTCTTTTTATCTTTCGATTGCACTGATTTTCAAATTCAACCACAAATACCTTGAACATATCAAGGGCTTCACTTTTGTTTTTCATCAAATAAACAAAGCAATAATCAGAGCAATCATCTATGAAAGTGATAAAGTATCTCTTGCCAGACCTAGTTAACGTCCCATCTAGTTCACAAATATCAGAATGAATAAGATCTAAGGGTTCTGATTCTCTACTCACAGATTTATGGGGCGTTTTCGTTATTTTAGCTTGGCTACAGAAATCACATTTATCAAATTCATTCATTGAGAGTTTAGGGATATGCCCTAGCTTGCTTAAATTCTTCACAATTCGTGTGTTCACATGACAAAGACGAGCATGCCAAACATTCAAATCACACACCATGTAAACTGAAGAATTCATCTTATTAATTTCGACATTCAACTTGAACATCCCATTACATGCATATCCTTTTCCCACAAAACTCCCATTCTTAGTAAGGGTATACAAGTCTGCCCCAATAGTTTGATTAAACCCAGCCTTATTAAGAAGATATCCCGAAACAAGATTCTTCCTTATCTCTGGAGTGTGCAACACATCCTTGAGCACCATTTTCTTCCCAGAGGTGAAGTTCAGCTCCACTTCACCAGAACCAGCAACCATAGTAGTGTGGGTAGTCCCCAACAATACTTTCTTGTCAGCAGGTGCTTCTGTGTATGTTTTGAACATAGCACGATTGTTGCATACATGCTTCGATGCACCTGTATCCAGCCACCATCCTTCTGAGTCACCGGTGAGGTTAACTTCAGCGATCATATCTGTGATCATGGCTATCAAATCCTCTTCTGTCAAGTTAACCCTGGCCGCAGCGGCAGGGTTTTGCTTGTTCCGGCACTTCTTTGCCATATGACCCGGTTTTCCACAGTTATAGCAGATAAACGGTGGGTCATTCTTAGAGGTTTGGGCCATGACCCTTTGGTTACCTCGAGAGGCACCATTCTGGTGGGGGCGGACCTGCTGGTTCTTACTCTTAAACCCTTTCTGGTTAGGTTTAAGAGCTCTAGGAGTGGGTCGTTTAGCAGTGACGACCATCACCTCTTCTTTCATATCCTGCTTGCGGGACTCTTCCTCAATCCTTAGGCGAGTAATCAAGCTTTCCAGTGAAAATTCTTTGGTTTTGTGCCTAAGCATATTCTTAAAATCTTTCCACGAAGGGGGCAGCTTATCAATAAGGCAAGCAACTTGAAATTGATCGTCCAGAGGCATACCTTCAGAGACGATCTCATGAGCTATTTTCTGAAGTTCGTGGGACTGAACTTCGACGGACTTGTCATCCACCATCTGGTAGCGCAGGTAGCGGCTGACAGCATACTTCTTAGCTCCAGCCTCCTCCGTGTCGTACTTCTTTTGAAGCGCATCCCAGATCATCATCGCGGTGTTCTTACTGTCCGCATAGTAGTCGTACAGATCGTCTGCCAGGCCGTTGAGGATGTAATTCTTGCACAGGAAGTCATGCTCCCTTTCCCTGGCAGAAGCAGCCCTCTCCTCATCGGTCGCTTCTTCCGGCAGCTCGACAGGCATGCTGGTGAGGCAGAGGGCCAGCTTCTTGCTTGTCAGGTAGAACTCCATCTTTTGCCTCCAGCGACGGAAGTTGACCCCAACGAAGCGAAAGGGTCGATTGATATCGACAGCACCAGATCCGGCCATGTTGTTCTGTTCAGTCGACATAGCAGCAGCCGAACGTCTTAAAATTGTTAGGAACGGAACAACAAAAGGAATGAGGTTACCGAATCTGGAGCTGAGTCGCGGACTAGGTCGCTTTCTTTAAGACGTTCGCGGCACTGCCTTCGATGCGCACGGCAGACTATCAACCGGTCGTCTCAAGGATAAAACAGCTCCTCTCAATACTCGCGGTTTTGTGCGAAAACCGAAGCTCTCTAAACACTCTCTCTATTGTGTTTCTGCTCGTTGTGATGTGTTTAGAGGGGCTGGGGAGGCGGCTATTTATAGGAGCCGAACCCCTAGGAATATACCCTCTTGCTTGGGGAATAAGTCGGATTAATTAAGGAAGATAATTACTTCCTTAATTAAAACCGTCGGTTAAGATATAAGATAAACCCGGAGGGATTATCCTTCGAATATTCCGTTGTAATCGATTATCCTTAGGAATATACCTCAGAATAACAGATTAATAATTAATTATTAAATAATTAATTTCGTTCGGAATTTCTCCAAAAATATATATATAGTCTCAAGTGAACCAACCAACCAACCAACCAACCAACCGGCCGGACGGACGGCGCGCGTGTGTGGTGGTCCATTAGGTCCTCCCTCTCCCACAAAAGTGGGTCACCCCAAGGGGCATGCCCTTGGGAGAGAGGCTCCTATCTTTATACACATTTCACCAAGTAAAACTACCAATGTGGTAGTTTTTCCACTAGAGACTCTATAGCTTTCAAAGCTATTCATATACATTCATATACATTTCCTACACCACCCATAAGGTTTATCTAGGGATTTGGAAATTTGGGGCTGGAAGAATTTCAACCAAAAAACTTTTCCATCTGCCATCCTCAGAAATTTATGCAATTGGGTGATGTGGAATCGGCGATTATCGTAGATTCCGGTGAGTGTCGTGGGGAGAAGTTCAATAAAGAAGGAAAAGGGGGAGAAATTCAATCAGAGAAGATGAAGTCAGGGAAAAAAAAATGAGAATAAATTTTTTAAATAATAATTAAAAAATAAATTTTAAATAATAATTAAAAAAATAAATTTTAAATATGACGTGGCAATCCACCTGTTATCGAAGATTGAGGTGGAAAGGAAAGAGAGGGTGAGTTGGCAACCAGGTCAGCATTCCGTTAATTTGACTAACGGTGTTACTGACGCCGTCAAATTATGTAACGAAAATGGCTAGATTTGTCATTAAACATTCAAAATTCTGGCTATTATTGGTATTTCCCAAAAAGTGGCTATTATTGTCACAAACGTCAAAGTTTTGACTACACAGATGAATATTGCCTATTTCTTAAGGCTATTACCTTAGAGTGATTCACTTTTGAGGGAAAGGGAGAGCTTAAAGGAATTGCATACTACATATGCGTTGTTTGGTTGTTCGAGCGAGTTGGATTGGTCGGTTTGAGACTAATTTTTCGAAGAAAGTCTAAATTAATTATCTGGTTGTTTTTTTTTATATGAAAATGGAAAATTTTCGCTGAATCGGTGTTTAATAGACTTATTCATCTCTAAAGGACAGTGTCATGCTGAATATATGTGATTTGCAGCCATCAAAATCTAAGGAAAACGCCTTTCAAAAAAATTGCCTATAAATTACGAAAATGCCCTCCGAAAAAATTTGACAAATTTCTGCCAAAATCGGCGATTAGTAGACTTCATCATTGGTGGAGAGTACCCTAAGACCGAATCTGTGATCCGTCGCCTTTAAAATCCAAGGAAAATGGCCTTTCCATAAAGTCGCCTGAAATCGTTGATGATACCCCTTTGGAATCTGCTAAAAATGGCCTCGAAAATTTTCCGCTCCAATCGGTGTTTAATAGACTTATTCATCCTTAAATAATAACCTCAGGCTGAATCTGTGATCTGCAGCTTTCAAAATCTAAGGAAAACGGCCTTTCGAAAAAATCGCCTACAATTAAGAAAATGCCCTCCGGAAAAATAAGACCAAATTTCCGCACAAATCGGCGATTAGTAGACTTCATCATTGATTGAGAATACCCTAAGGCCAAAGCTGTGATGCGTCGCCTTCAAAATCCAAGGAAAATGACATTTCCATAAAAAAACAAAGGAAGAAAATGAAGGACATCTTCCTATCACGACGAGACGACTACTAATGCGTTTTTTTTTTTGTTTATTAAAACGTTCCTTTTTGGGAACTATTGCCGGCTCGCATGCTGCTAGTAGCTTGTGCGTTTTCTGTTTGGGATTCATTACAGTGGTTCGAGAAATATTAGGAACTTTGTTGATACATATATTTAATATGATAAATAAATAAAAGAAAGTGAAAAAGTAGAAGTAAAAATTCTAACGAATCAAAATATAGAATCTCTCTGATTATAAGAGATTTGATATCCATAGATTTTAGAGATTTGAAATCTCTAAAACTAAAATCCACAATACAAAAAGTAACAAAAAAAAAACATAACTTTCTACAAAATCTACGGATTCAATGAATCCACGCCCTAAATCCCGTTCTCCAAACGACTCCTAAGATAACAATCACTTGAAAACAAGACTTATCCAGGGTACTATGAACCTTAAGCCTTTGAGAAAATCCAATAACCCCTATTTTTCACAAGGAAAACCTAGGCAAAATCCCTCATATCCGTAACTAGGGCTGAGACACGGTGCGGTCTGGTCCAGACCAAACCATATATACAGTCTATGGTCCAGAACGAGAGGCTAAAGTATAGACCACAGACCAGACTACAGACTATACGGTCCGGTCCAGACCATGATTGTGCGGTGTGGTTCGATCTGGTCTGGTCCAAATAGACCACACTCTACGAAAAATGAATAATTTGTTTAGTCAACCACACAAAAAATTGTAACAATAACCAGGAAAAATAATTGTTATTTGCCTTAAATCATTAATCCTAACATGCATGAATAATTTTGATACTCTAAATCTTAGTACATAACAAAGATACAAAGTAAAAGCATCCCAACTTGCACCATAACGTCATAAACATTAACATAATGTCATATGGAGGCACGATTATCTCTACTCTCTAGTTAAATGTGGTTGTGAATGAAGGAGGGACGAGATTCACAAAACTAAGGTTGAGACTTGGGTGTCGTTGTGGGAGTTGGGAGAGTGGTCGAATCTCGAATGGGCTGTTAACACGTATTGACAAGTTAGTTGGGTCCACCGTTTGGTCCGGTAAACAGCGGTCTAAACCAGACCAAGAGATCAAAACATAAAATAATACAGACCATGGACCAGACTAGACCATACTTAACAAACTATGGTCCGAACCAAACTATACGGTATGGTTTAAACCACAATTTTTCTAACGGTATGATATATTCTCCCGACCCTGCGAGAACTCTTGGTATACGAGGGAAATAATCCCAACTCCTCCTATCTTTGGTTTAGTTGCATTTCTTTGTTAGTTAGCACGATCTTTTTCATATTTTCAATGCATTATGCATAAGATAATTTGTGATAAACTACCGGACAAACCACACATTATGTGTAAAAAAAATACACACGGAAGATACATAATCGCAGGATCCAGTGCTAGTTTTTACAAGAGAGATTACACGAGCAAAACACGTAGAACAAGAGGAACCATCATTCCATCTCAAACTCCAAAGTCCAAACCCAAATTTTTTAAGAGCTGAGATTGTCAATGATGGTGGTGTGGAGAGGATCGCTCAAGTGCGTGGCCCAGTTGTTGAGCGGGCCCTTCCCTGTCACCGCCGCCTGAACTGCGAACCCAAGGAACGCCACCATGGCCAGGCGAGCGTGCTTGATCTCCGCCAACTGAAGGGTCGCCTTCTTCTCCGGGTCGCTCGCCAGGCCCAATGGGTCGAATGGCCCTCCTGGGTACAGCCTCTTCTCCGACTCCAGCTCCGCGTTCCTCTGGAACTCGATGTATCCGATCACCAACACCTCGATCCATATCAATGTCGTCAGCGAGAACGGCAGCGGCTGCCCCAAATACGACGACCCTTCCACCAATTCCACCTGAACCAACAAAAACCCAATCAACAAATTGAAAAAGAAATTCAATTGACTGAAACTGAAGCATTTACGAGTAATTAATTATTACCTTCCCGGCGTCTTGCCAGGTGACGCCGGTGAGCCACTCGACGGTGAGGGCGCCGAGAGTGGCCAACATGGCCCACCTCCCGTGGATGAGCTCGCACTCGCGGAACCGCTGCAGGCCAAACACCTCGCTGTACGGCTGGAACGGCGTCGACTTGACGTCGTCGGTCTCCGTCCGGGTCCCGATGACGTCACCGGCCAGGTTCTTCGCCAGGTTCTGGTCCAACGAGTCCAGATCGAACTGCAGGTACTCGGCCGGCTTCCCCAGACCGAACGGGTCGAACCCGTAATCCCCGACCAGGCTCCCGTCCAGCCATTCGGGTGCCTGGGCGCCTGGGTACCAAAGCGGTCGGCCCGTGCTGGGCTTGGCCGCCTTCTTCGGCGCGGCCTTCTTGGCCCCGAAACCGAAACGAGCTTGGACCCGACCGGAGTTGTTGGAGTAGATGTCCGGCAGCCGCGTCCCCATCAAGGACGACGTGGCTGCGGCGGCAGCTGAGGTGGCGGCCATGGCTGGACTGGGAAATTTTTTTTTTTTTATCTGAAACTCTACTTTGAGATTGGGAGATGGAAGGCGGATTCAAAAATTGACTTTGATCGGGGTCGAGTTATAACTGCTAATGGGAACCTCTCCTTATTCTGTGGTTTATCCACGACAATGGATTACTGCCGTTGGATTTAGGATGGGTATCCATCTGACGGACAGGAAGATATCCACCTTATCCCTGCCTTATCTGGATGTGGGGCCGTGCGCCCGGTCACTACTAGCTAACGCTGTTTGCTTCTCATACGATCTGGTTATTGGCTGATGCTGCCACCAGAAAATCTGCTTTGATTCTTTACAGGATTGGGGGAGAGAGGATGCAGATTTGGATCCAAGAGCTGGGCCATCTCCGCAACTAAAGCCTAAGTAGAATGTAAGAACAGAGAGGCCCATTCGGCGTTAAAGAAGCAAGCCCGTGGCCCAAACTGCTAAGAATAATCCTACTAACGGGTTGGTAAATTTTCAAAAAATGAAGGTTCTAGTTTTGGGCTTTGTAAAATCATGGATACATTCGTGTCAGTTTCGAGTATTTTGTTTTAAACACTTACATTGATTTAGTGATGACAATTTCAACCCGCCTTGCGGGTATTATCCGACCTGACCCGCGATGGAGCGGGTATTACCTGATTCGCAGTAGTGTGGGGCAGGGCATGGGTATCCACTTCCGACCCGCCCAGCCCCGCCCTGTTCTAGACTCATTTTATCTCAATTTCTTACAATATCTATACATATTTCTCCTATTTTGACTTTTCTTCAACTAGTTAGAGTCAATCTTTCAACTTGTTAGGCTCAGTTATCCATTCTATTATCAATATTTTTCATTCTTAAAGTGTTTTCCCTACGTTTTATTGTAAAAAGTAAAATTTACTTGTATTTTTTTTTAACAACATGTAAGAGTGAGTCGACCCGCCCCGCCCCGTACCCGCGCGGGTTTTACCCGCCCCGACCTGTAGTAGCGTGGGACGGGGCATGAGAATTGAGGTACCCGCCCCGCCCCATTGCCATCACTACATCGATTGTATGAAAGTTGAATTTTGTAGAATTTTTAATGTCTTTAAATCTTCCATTCTCATCATAATTCAAAATTTGCTCCAAATGTAACACCTATCCAAAAGGATACGATGTTTTCCTCCAAGGAGTAACTCAAAATTTCAAGCCAAGTACAAACTTAGATTGCAGATTCACGCCAATCGAGTTCCCTGTAGATTTCAACTGATGAATAGCTACGACAAGACAATCAATTTCCGTGGTTTAGACTTCAGAAAGAGTTCCTTCTATCCATTTCAGGTGTTGGTTATCCAATACTGTCCCTATGCTATTCCTATAAACTGTTTTCCAAAAAACAAGAAAACACAAGGCAAAATTCCCACCAGCAGGGTTTCATCCATAACAGTGAACACAAGGATAACTGACAGATCTAGGTGCATATGATTGGACTCGTTAGCGAACAAGTCGGAGTGGAAAAAAGTGAATCAACTCAAACTGTCTCCAAGTCTCGTTTTTTTGTCTGTTTTGACAGGGTTACATTACAAAAGAAGCTAAGTTAAAGTTCCTACCAGATGTGATGTGATTACCCCAAACCAAGCGTATATAACATGTATATTATGCGTTACAAAAGAATGATAGTACATACAAAATCAGCAGAACATGAACAAAAAGGCAGCAGCAAAATGATGGGGAAAAAACAGATAAACAAGGATGCCGGCATCATATCCTCTACTACAGCTACCCCCCCCCCCCGCAACCTAATTCGGACCATTTCTGCATATCTCTCTTCAGCACTCAGATTCTCTCCTAGCTCAGTAGACAGACCGAATATGAATATGGAAAAACGCCAAGCCGGAAAACAAAGGGACAGATTCTGCTGACCAGTCGAAGGTAGCACTCGCATTGATTATCAGAACATGCTTCAGCTCGAGAGCTGGAACCTGCCACTAGGTTTTCTCCTTTTCCATCCCTATGAATGTACAGGAAATGAATATGGTCGCATTATCACATACAAGTCTAAGATAATAATGAAAGAAGAGAATGACGGAGATGAGAACAAAGTAGACCGGGAAACTTACAAAGGCAGTGTAATATACGAAAGTCAAGCCCGCAAGAACAATGAATGCGATTTGGAACACATTGTACCTGCAAGATGAACAACTCAATCAGTCACTGCTAGTTTTGTAAGACAGATCTCCAAAATTCGGAACTCGAATATTACAACTCACTTGTATAGATATTTTATGCCACGCAGAGATTGCAAAGTGTGGCCAAAAATTTCTTGAGCCGCAGTTGCTTGCGCATAATACCCAAAAGCTGTGGCACAAAACTGGATGACACTGAAATAGCAGGCAGAATAAAAGGCAGTCATATTCAAAGCCAGAGGGATAATACTATCTACCCCTTAGTAGAGTCGTTTGCATCAGGCATATCTTAGCTAAACAAGGGACCTGAGATCAGAAAATAAAGCTCTTAGGTCAAGGATAAAATCTAGTAGATAAAGACACGAACCTAATCGAGCACAGGAGAATGAGTCCCACGTTGAAAAGAAATGAGTTCATGAGAGTTCCACCCCACCTGTTAAGTCCCAATCTCACTTATCAATAATACTCACAAATGTTGAAACATCACAGCTGAACATAAGAGTTCAAGTTCATTACTTCATGGGATGGATTGTGATGAAAACCAATCTGAGGCCCAGCATCATTGCACCAGCCACCACAGCAAGAAGAAGATAAAAGCAAAAGAAAGCAAATGCTGCAGTGCCAAGAAGACCTAGCAGCACAGCACAGAGTACATTCGTAAATGTTTTAGATTTTGGCCCAACAAAAATGGTGAAACAGATAGTTGATAGAGTGATACAATACAACAACGAGAAACTCACCCCACACATCGTCCAGCTTAATGAAAACCTCGTTGAGGAAAGGAGAAAGAGGAGGGTCGATCAGTAGATATATAATAATATGCACAATCCAAGCCACTGAGACAATCAACCTAAAAAAGGAACAAAGGGTGACCACAAAATGATTCAGAATGGATAGTGACTTATACGGAGAGATAACAAATTATTTAATGGATGGAGACAAAAGTTGCTGACTAGACAATATATATGTTTTGAGGACTTACCCCAAGACTCCCAATACAAGTTTTGTCAAATAACCAAGTATAGTCAGAGCCCAAGTAGTCTCGGCCTGAAAATGCCAGAAATGTAGTTTCAAAACCAAGACAAGGAAAACAAATGTGTCTATTTAATATTTATCCAATCGCAAGCTACATTCACACCTTTTCTCCTTGAGGGTACATCTCTTCAAGCAAGTTTACATCTTCTTCCAACTGATGCAACTCCTGAAAGTTTAATCATGCCAAAGAAAAAGCCTCAATAACTTAAAGGGGCAAAACCAACCTACAGCATGATCAGCATACTATGTTTAGGTCAAATGCATCACCTTTTCAACTGCTTTAACATTTTTACGCCATTTTCTCCCCTTAGCACCACCTCTCTCTTCCTGATGAAGTGAATCAGCTGCCTTCTTAAGTTCTCTTGCTTTTTTACCAAGCTCTGTTGCTTCCTGCAGATTGTAAACAGACATGAACTTAGGAAACTCTTCAATTACGTATTTTGGACTAGTGTATCCCGGAATCACCTTAATGTACTGTGAACGAGTGATAACAGCCTTTGGTCGCCGGATGAATGAAAAAATGAGTCCCAGAGGCAAACACGCAATGCCAACGCCACCAAATATCTTAACATTTGCAAGACAGCAACAAAACGATCATGTCATTGGAAAGGACAAATATGACTGCCTTCAATTCTGAATATAGTGTCACTGGAGACCACATACAAACATTCCAGTTCCCATCATCCATATGAAACAAAATGCTAAAATAAATCTTCATGGACAGCAGAAACAGACATCAATACATCTTCATGGAGTAGAATGATCTCACCGAAAAAAGCACAGATCCAGCTATTGTAGCAAGTGCAACAACATATTCCGGAAATGTAGTTTGCATAGTCCAAGTCTTCTCTGAAGCGGCATTGGCGAGGTACGCAGAGCACTGTAACCAATGGGGAAAGCTTTAGAAGGTGAGAGAGAGAGAGAGAGCAGGAGGATGGTGGACTGAAAAACAGCATAAGTTAGAGGTGTCCTCAAGTGCAGAATGAGTTTATATGAATAATGGAACAAATATAAATTCTTGAACAATCAGCAAAACAGAAGGCCAGGCAACATCAAGATAACCTGGCGAGCATTATTTCCGATACATGGTTGACTCGTTGAGAAACTCCAAGACGTAGGAAAGTTCGTTGTGGTTGAGGAAAGATGCCTAACAGTGAAATCCACCTTTCCGACTAGCCCTGATATAAAACCAACAGAGCGTAAAGTCAACACGGGTTCCAATTTCAGTAGGACATTTCTAAGTAGGTCATCAAACATTCAGGGAAGGTTTTCAAGAGGCAAATTTTCCATTATTAGCATGTCCTTCAAATGAACTTCTAACAGCATAATGACAGTCTCTAGAAGCAACCAATACCTTCACGCATTATAACTTCCTAACTCAGATACTGATCACCCCACACTCAAAAACAACAAAAGCACTAACCATATAAGATGCCGAGCAGAAGCGCGCACACAATGGCTGTCGTTACCACCCACATCAGTGCGCTCTTAATCCGCTTGCCCACAGTCCTACAACCAAAAAATAAGCCAGGAACCCAATTCACGAATGACCAGTAGATCATTATGGATAGCTAAAACGATGCTTCTCCGGCTTTCCAGAGAAAAGGAAAGGGACAAAGGTCACCAACTTGTCCTGGTCCCCTTCGTAGTAGAACATAGCGAAAGGGATGATGAAGAAGACTAGCAAAGCGTCGATAATATAGACAGCGATCCAGAGATCCTTCATTGGCAAAGTTAGATTACAGGCGCCATTGTATATCGCGTGGCGACAAGCCTGCCGGTTGGCGACGTCGGCCGGCAGCATCAGTATGGAGATGACGGCAACGGAGAGGCCGAGAACGACCACGAATTTGGGGAAGTAAGCTTGGTTCTTGTCATCCGGGTGCTGGTAATTGACCAGAAGGTAGACATTGAAGATGAAGACGATGACGCACACCACTATAGCGACGATTATCAGGGCGAGATTGAAATCGCCCATCCTTGCCTAAATCAGCTCTCTCCGTATTCTCAAATGGACACCGCAACCGATCAAGAGATTGCGCCAGAGGAACCCGCGAATTCGATGAAATGATTCGAAATGGGAGGGGTGGAATTAGGGTTCTTTCAGAATTTTTTTTGTGTTGGATCTGGTTAATTTTGGGGGAAAAGGTGAGAGGGAAGAACGCGGAGGGAAGTGTCAGGTACGGCTTCCGGTGAATAGGCGATGTGTCTTCTTCTGGAGTCGTGGGAGAATTTGACGATTGATGTGATGAATGACGATTCTACCCTCCTTCGGGTGAAGAAATTGAGACGGGGTCACGTGGGAAATGGCTCACGGGTAGTTTGGAACCATCATTTTGGTCTGAATTGCTAAATGTCGCCCTAAAAATTGCTAAACGTCGCCCTAATTTACAAATCAATTTACCTATATGCCCTTAATGAAAATTTAAAAAATATACCAACCAAACAGGCCCTTTACCCCTCCACCCTCCTTCCAGCGGACTTCCTTCAACCTCTCCCTCTGCAGCCAGAGAAGAAGCAGCCGACGCCGCGCAAGCTCGCCGCCGCCGGAGCCGCCGTCCCTCGCCGCCACACTGAGACAGAGAAGAAGCAGCCGACGCCGCGCGTTCCCGCCGCCGGGGCTCTGCCTCCCCTCGTCGCGTTCCCGCCGACGCGCAGACGAGAAGAAGGTCGCGCGCTCGCCGCCGCCGGAGCAAGCTCGCTCGTCGGAGAAGAAGAAGGTAAAAAAGAAAAATTCCCGACCGCAGTCAAACCGCGGTCAACGCGCGGTTGAACCGACGGCTGACCCATTTTTTTAATTCTGTTTTTTAAATTCTGTGTTATAAATGTTAATAATAATAAAAAATTAAAAAATATATTTAATAAAAATAATTTAGAACATAATAAAAAAATTAAAAATGTATATTTATCATTTTAATAATCAAAATTTCAAAGTAATTCGTTAATTATTAATAATTTTACCTTGATTAATTATTTACTTTTATGTAAATAATGATTACATAGAACGTAACATAAATGTTCAAACTATTAATTTTATAATTTTAATTATGGAAATCTTTAATTAATTACTCCATGTACTCTGTTATTAATAATCCATTATTAATAATTCAAACTTTTTTTTGAAGGTGTCTGGACATGGAATGGGTAAACCGGATATGATTAAGGCGAGAAATAAGGAGAGAATGGAAGGTCGTGCTTGTAGACTTACGGCGACTGGTAGGAAGGAAAATGAAGAAAAAAATCCACCTAAGGTTAGAAGGAAGAAGAAGGCGGATGTAGTGCGTCGTGACGGCCACCCTACTGTGGGGCAGTTGTCTCTTAGTCGAGGTACTACCAGTACTCCTACACCAGAGAGCGCACCGGTATGGCAGGCTAATTGGAGTGATTCCATTGACGAGGATGATGATGACGACGGTGAGGCTGAGGTTGGGAATGCCCCAGATGCTGGTGATGATGCTGGTGATCGTGCTGGTGATGCTGCTGGTGATCGTGCTGGTGATGCTGAGGATGGGGATGCCCCACCTCAAGCTGATTTAGGCGTGGGGAAGACGGCGCGGGTCGGGATATCTTCTACTGCCTCCTCCCACTTCCGTGGCCACGATGGACGCTATGCGTCCAGACCTAGTAGCGAGGATGGCGGAGATGGAAATAGGAAGAGGAAGACCACGAGGAAAGATATGTCGTGGTTTCTTACAGCCGAGTCTCCGATGTGTTCAGGTGGACCAGTGATTCCCGATGTGATCCCTAGCTTTGGAGATCACATTGGTCTTGTACTGTGGAATACCCCTGAGCAGGACCGTGGAGTGTTGGACGGCTTCCATAGGCCGAAAGCTTTAGAGACTTTGAGGCGATATAAGTGGAGTGCAGAGGGTTCCAAGGAGATGGTTGAAGCCACAGGATTGTCTCACTTGACAGGGTGCATGATGCAGCATTTTGACATGGCTCTACTGTCGGCATTTGTGGAGAGGTGGCAGCCGGACACAAACACCTTCCACATGCCGTTTGGAGAGATTTCGATCCTTCTACACGATGTGCATCACATTTTTCGGATACCGGTTGACGGAGAGATGATGGGAGATGAGGCGTCGCCGGATACTCTTAAGTCAGACATGGGTGGTCTAGTTCGACTTTCGGTGGATGCTCAGGTTGGTGGTAAGTGGAAGTCTAAGTGGTACGATAATGGTGCTATGCATGCAGAGGGATTGTTGGTGCGTGGGGGAGAGTTGAAGATTAAGGAGATGGAGGTGCAGTGTTACCTATTTGTGTTACTGGGATCCACGCTTTTTGTGGAACTGAGACTATTGTGCTTTTTATTTGTCATCATTTGTAGTTGAACTGAGACTATTGTGTGTTTTATTTGTCATCGTTGGTAGTCGAATTGAGACGGTTGTGTTTTTTTTTTTACTTTAGTTACATTACATTCAATGCATTGCTAAAATAGTTAATCAAGATAACTAAATGTTTCAACAATAGAGAGTTATACAATTCGTAAAATATACTTCCAATCTTCATCCCCGTGGGTTCAATCTATCATAAAGCGCACGCTCATGTAAGAAGAATTGATCCCACCCATTGACACTAGGGTCATGAAAAATAGGCCAAAGGCCATTAATTGGAAGCATGGGCACTTGACCATGTCGAAAGTCAAGTCGCACCCAATGATCCCCCGTAAAATGTAGTGATAAGATCCCACGTGGTCTTGTTACTCCTGGTGGGGCCGTCACAGGTAGCACGGTATAACGACCGCCTTGACTGTATACAACGATAGCCCATGAATGCAAGGTGGCGAAGACGAAGAGTTCCGCATTATCCATCCAGTTGGGAGGTCCACAGCCACTTGTTGATGCCCACCTGCAACGTCGAATGCCATTTTCTATTCCATTTGCTATTCCATCATAGTAGTCTCTATAAAGCTCAGGACGGGATTCAAGCTCCTCTACAACAACGCGTCTCATTTGTGGCCAATTGCTTTGGTCCCCAGTAACTGCTTGTGATATAGCTCGAAATCCACAGTGTCCATCTGGAATAGGGTTGAACCAACCACGAACTAGTCGTTGCACGTAGGATTCCAAACAATGTAGCCATGGGTCATTCTTCCAACTAGTATTGGGAATCCGAGCAACCCTCCACGGGGCACCATCTAGCCAAAGAGCATAACACAATAAATTAATACAAAGAGCTATACAATATATTTATCCGAAATTAGGAATATAATTTCTAACCTGTATCATTATGGATCACCGGCTCCGTCTCATTCTCGAAGTTGGTTTGTGCATTCACATTCAGGGCACCACCTATCTCATTTAAAAAAATAGATTAGTTGTACACTATATTGAGGACAATTGAACACAACTAATAGAAAAAGTTTTTCTACCTGTATTTCCATCATTGTCCGGAGTTGCAGTCGGAAGTCTTGAACTTCTCCTCCCTCGTTTCCTCTCCACATGCTCGAAGTGAGATAGGTTTCGAGTGGTGGACGTCCTTGGGCGACCGGGGCGGGGCTGTCCCCCATGCGGCTCATCAATGCCATCATTTTCAGGATGAAGATGGCTCCGGAGTAGGCCGATTGCACCTCGAATGGTCTCGTCGCCTCTATCAAGAACCTCCTGTACTAGACCTTGGAACACACCACGGTGGTAATCACTATGGTCATCCCACTCCGGCCGAGTAGGAGGTTCACGATAGTTGATAACGGTCCAGAATGCCAACACATCATACAAGGCGAAATCCCGATTTTCACGTCGTGCTAACTGAGTGGAACATCTACATGGGAGACCATAGGTAGGAGTAAACGTACATGTACAAGGTTCCCCTTCCACTACTACCTCGAACAACATCAACCTCAGAGCTTCTAGAGTGGCTTTTGTATTCAACTCTCGAAATGGTTTTCCATCCGCTCGGAGCAGCTTCTTTTGTCGGGAATCCTCTAGAAGCTTCCTGATTTGAAGGTGTTGAGCCTCAATATAATCATCGTTCTTCTTGAATACCTACATACAATGAAGAACAATTAGGAGACTACTAAAACTTATGTGTGTATCAATGAAGATTTACTAGGAGACTAACCGTGTCGACTGCGCCAGTAGATGATTGAAGCCACTTCTTGAAGGAGGAATGGGCAGCTTCAACCCTATTAGAGCTTGTGTTACCCAAATGCCGCAGTTGATTGGTATAACATTTAGCCCACATGTGTCTAACTGTTAACCACTCAGCTGTCATATACCCCCAAAGACGTCGGCACTGTACTCCCCAACCACGTCTGAAATTGTCTAAGGCAGTATCCATGTCTTCCACTGTCAATGCATATACAGCACGTTGCCAAGACGCCATGATATGATCCACTGTCGGTTTGGCTGCATCTATACCACAATGAGTCGTCCTTCTCACCTCCGCTAGACACTTTGCTCTCACATTCCTATCCATATGCCAAAGACATAATATATGAGTCGATGATGGAAACATTACCCCCACGGTCTCAACCAATCCTCCTGCCTTGTCACTGACAAACACATCTGGAACAATGGGGCCAAGAAGATGTTGCAAATGCGTCAGAAGCCACTGGTACGACTCCTTCCTCTCGTCGTACACTATTGCAGATGCAATGACAAAGTTCAATCCCACTGGTGTCATGCCGACAATCTCAACCCAAGGCATATCATACTTATTGGTCTTGTATGTTGCATCTATCACGATCACATGGTGCCAAGCTCGCAACATCACTACTGACTCAGGATGGGCTAGGAACAAGTGTGTAAGCACGTTACGATCGTCCATATACTGCACATAGTAACTCTTCTCCTGCGCCACGCGGAAAGTATACTGTAAAGCTGTCATCTGACCAAGCTCTTCTTTCCTTATCTTTTGCAACTCGTTATAAATCTGCTTTCTGTTGTGTGTTCCATTTGCACATTTTCTCTCATTCACTGCCTTGTGTCCTTGGTGGGACACCGACGGATCTCAGCTCTCTGATGTATTGCTTATCCTCTGTAGTCAGAACATTCCTTCCCTTTGATCCTTCCGGAAATAGCTCCAACTGATGATTGTGGAAACCCAAATTAGCACCAGGATTCTTTGTATTTGCCACCCCTAGGATCAACCAATATCCATCACCTGACCGCTCAAGCTTGATCTGAAACTCGCACCCCAACTTTTCAGTAGATGTAAGAGGCCTCCTTTCCTTACTCGGATCAGGTTCCTTCGACTTCTTCTTCCTACCATGAGTGCAATGTAAGTAATGTCGCCAAGTACCTTCATTCTTATTTTTTTTGTTCGATGCCCTCACCAAATAAAACCCAAAACCCTTGGCAATCTCAGTAGCTGCTTCATATGCTTGCAACTCTGTAGTGTATTTCACGACATCAATGAAATCCGAGGTGTAATCATGGCCATCCGGATTGTAACTTCCAATATCCTGCAATGTTATTAGAATTTATAAGTGATACCCCAAAAATTAAAAAAAAAACTTAACATTCTATATCGTCAATTTAACGAGTACCATATGATAAATTTAAAATTTCATAACTATATTAAATTTAATAATCATCATAACTTCATATGCGAATCTATTATTTATGCAATAAATTTAATCTTAATTTGTAATGCAAAATCTAATATTGATTTTCTAGATTAAGACCAAATTAAATCTAATCTTCATATGCGAATCTATTATTTATGCAATAAATTTAATCGTAATTTGTAATACAAAATCTAATCTTAATTTTCTAAATTAATACCAAATTAAATATAATCTTAATTTAAGGCCAAATCTAATCTTAATTTCTAATGCTAAATCCTTCAATTCCAAAAATAATTATGCAAATAAATCTAGAAAATTATATAAATCAAAACCCAACAAATTATCTCATGGAACAAATCATAAATCATATAAAAAATAGAAAATTATTCAACGAAAAAAAAACCCTGAAAATGCCCAACCGCAAGTGACCTGCGGTTGGACCATGGCCGGACCGCAGGTCAATTGCGGTCCACCCATGGTACAACCGCAGGTGATTTGCGGTTCGGCCATGGTCCAACCGCAGGTCACTTGCGGTTGGGCATTTTTTGGTTTTTTTTTTTTCCGTTTTTCAGTTAATGTATTTACCTCGTCGGAGTCGCTACTCATGATTCAGACGTCCTACCGACGATATCGGCTTCAAAATGACGATGATGGATTTTTCTCTCCTTAGATAGTGTTTTTTTAGTCCAAGTGGTGTTTGTTTGATAAAAGGAAGGTAAAGAAGATAGGGGGTTATAAGTGTAACTTTAAACTTTTTTAGGGCGACCTTTAGCAATTCTAAGGGCGACCTTTAGCAACTCTCATTTTGGTTCTATGGTATTTCGAATCCAAATGATGTATTATTTTGCTATGTGGTATTTCATTTTGAAATGTGATAATTGGTGTAATTGTCTTGTTTGGATAAAACATTCAAATATTGTGGTATTTCACCACTTAAAGAAGGGATGAAGTAGAAAAAGAAGTTGGGAGATGAGGTATTTGAAATAATTAGGGCGTGGGTAGGTATTTCAAATAACTCACAATGAGTTATTTCAATTGACTCGTGGAAAAAAATACCACATTCTACTTTATCTTTGCCAAACGAGTTATTTTGATTGAAATACCTCATTCTGAGTTATTTCGACCAAATTACCTCATCAAAATACTGCATTTTAGATGGTTTGTGGCTTGGCAGAGATTTCATGTGACTGACCAAGCATCGAACGCAAACAGCCGCTATGGAGATGCAAATGCAATGGTTGGGAGTTGGGTTCAACACTCTTAATCATAGTCAATGTTCCTGTTGGGATATGGCTAAATACGAATAGGATGGGTATAATAATCCGCGAGTTGATTTCAATTCATTCATAAATCATCCAAACAATGTATTGGATAGGTGTTTTGCGGTGGAAACTTTTGTGGTGTTATTTGACGGGACGGACCTCTTACCTATGAAATCAAGACGACCGTCAAATATCCACCGTCGGGCGTGCCAAATTGTTTCGGGCGGTGTTGATTTGATCGATGCACCTCTGACTTCTGAAAACTAAGATGATTGTTACTCGATTCACATCTCTCCAAACAATGTTCGAAAAAGGGAGTTTTAGATTTTCGGGAATCTACGTTGGATGGATCTACTCCTATGGAGATTCCTGTGTAGAGCTCTGCGACAACGCTACGACTACGACTATGGAGATCCTTTCTGAAATGAGAGCTCTGCGAAGGAGTTACAGAGAAAAATGAAGTTTTGACAAAGTTGTTCTGTGTTGATTTTTTTTTGTTTCTTTTCTCTCTCCTTGTTCTAGTGCTTTTATCTAAAATCATATTTGTAGTCTACACGCTCTGTGAAACACTAGAACTGCTTCCTCAACTACTTCGTAGTAAACTTTCACATATCTCAACTGCTTTGATCTCCTCTTCATGGTTGACACAAATCTCACGTGTAACTATAGGTGTCAATCGGGCGGGTTCAGACGGGTTCAATCGGGTTGCGGGTTAGTTGGATTTCGGGTTCATCGGGTTGCGGGTTCAATCGGGTCGTGAATTAGTCGGGTTGCGGGCAAATAAGGTTACATGTTCATCGAGTTTCGGCCCGATCGGGTTGTGGGCAGATCGGGTTGCGGGTTGTTCGGGCAGCGCATCGAGTTACTTATTTGTTACCAACTTACACATTTTAATTTTTATTACACTAATTTAAAGTGTTTCTCATAATTTTTAACTAATTTCTTTCTACCTCGTTTACATATTTAATTAAAAAAAACTAATTAAAATGTTGAAACAATTTGTATGACTTGTAAACTTGCCATATAATTTATCGTAATTGATAAAGGCTCGTCATAACAATATGTTGACAAATCTACTATATACTATGCAATTAAGGCTCGGTAAAAATTACTTAGCTAGAGTTCAGCTCAAGCTCACTGCAAGCTTCAAAGATCATCACAGTAAGAGCTCTTGAGCAAGCTCAACAAACCACATTCACCGAGCCCAACTAAAACTGAAAATCAACTTCAAGTAGGGCTTTACCAACCCAAACTAAAATCAATAGCTATGACAGCAACCCAAAAGGCATGCAACCTAAGCTACACTTGGGCATAATTCTATAAGTAGAGGCCCAAATCAAATTGAGCTTCTTAATGGACTCCACAATCTTAGTCTGAAGAAGTTTACTCTATTTATAGTTAATTAAGTGGTTAATTGTCAATTAGGCACATGAGTTGGCTAGCCAATGAAGAATGGAAGATTCCTTTTGTCTCTTTACCATCTTCCACCATATATAGTCCATGCCATACCTAAGCAACGAGCATCATAATCTTGTGCTCTAACTCCAACACAGAAAGTCTAAACTCTTAATCTCAATACTGTTTCTACACCATCTGACTTATGATCAACGATAGCATAAGTATTTGACACTCCAAGATTGTAATCAAATATTGATATTGTTACGAGTTAAATATAAATTCAAATGAATACTATCAAGCTATCTCGAGAGTTTCGATCGAGCTAACTCATCAATGAGTCGAGAGCCTCTTTGAGTTGAAAAAACTATGACTCATGCTCTGCTCATTAACAAATGATCCAGCTCACGAGCCAATTCACAAAGAATCGAGCCAAATTTCGAACGAGTTTTTTCTCGAATTGAGTCGAGTTTTGTATTAATTTTTGTAAAGAACTTAATGTTTATGTGACATTCATGTTTCAACTTTTGTGATTTTATTAAAATACATAATTTCAAGTGAGTTTCATATTTTTTCAATTCCCTATATAAAATGAAAAAATTATTTTATCTCGATTTAGAATGAAAAACTTCATTTTATAAGACTATGTATTATATAATATAATAATTGTTCAGGTGAATAATGTAGGGTTCGGGTTGAGTTGGTCGGGTTACGGGTTAATCGGAGTTCGGGTTAATCGGGTTGCGGGTCAATCAGGTAGGGTTAATCGGGTTACAGGTCAGTCGGGTTGCGGGTCAATCAGGTTACGGGTCAATCTGGTTGCGGGTTGTTGACATTTAGTCAATTAGAGTTGCGAGTGGGTTGCGGGTAGGGTTAATCGGGCGGGTTAGTCGGGTCGGGTTCTGTTGTTGGACCCTGTCCGCTTTCCGATGTTGGACCCCGTCCGCTCGTCGGCGTCAGACGGCTCTAAGAGGTCCGACGTCGGAGAACGGACGGGGTTGACGACTATATAAAAATCGATGGTCCTTCCATGTTACCTCATTCGCTGGTTACTCCAATGGTGGTTTGAAGCGTTGGTGGTTTGCCAACGGTTTGCTCTGGCTGTGGTGGTCCGCCGACGGTAGCTTCGGCGATGTTGGTCTGGTGGTGGTGTGAGAGTGATGGAAAGAGTGTCGATTGGTGTGAAAGAACCTTTATTGGAATAGGATATAAAGAAATTGATGAGAACAAAAATATCATTTTGACATAAAAAACGAGTGGCAAATAGTAAAGGAGTGGGTGGCAAATAAGAAACCTTAATCTAAATTCTAAGCTACTTAGAAACAAGGTTGTTAACCCACGGATCAACCCGCTGGGTCAACCGGATCCGCCTGCAAAAATGGGCGCCAGCTGCCCGTTTAGAATTTCGCCTGGAACCCGTCGGTCTTCCTCGTCGCCAACTCCCGGCCAACAAACCTCTTCGACGATCCGACGAGTTTCCTCTCTTTTCCACCCAGCTCCCGCTATTAGCCTCCGATGTCTTTTGGTAGTATGCAGATCGGCCTTCTGATTCTCTAACAACAGACTTTATCGTGAAGTCGATGTACGAAGCATTAGCAAATGAGAAGTTCACACCGCAGGAGGCGTTCACGTACAAGATAATTTTGCAGCATCACATCCCTACAAAAAAATGACCCTTTTCATATAACCGGGTTAAATCGAGTTAAAATGGTCGACCCATTAGTCCTCCACCCATCTGCTCAACCTGCTAAACGGGCTAAATCTGTTGACAACCTTGCTGAGCAACTGAACCCTAACAAGTTCGGTTTCAACGACCAACGAGAATAAGTTGCTTCTCTTTCTCTTCACTCACGTTTCCGTCCACATTTCAAAACAGAATATTATTGCCTCGACCGTTTCATCCCTCCAGATTTTCCTCCATAAAACGGAGACAAGAATCCCTCTCAGTTTTCTCTTACCCCGACCAGGAAAATCATCTCCAATGCTCTGGCGCTGAGTTGGACGGGCATTCGGTTTTCCAATTTGGCAATGGTAGGGATGCTGAGCTCCGCGTTGAGGGAGCGCTTGGCGAGCCTCGTGGACTCGGTGAAGTCCGCCGCGGATATTCCAGCGAAGCTTGACCGGTTGCGGCAGCTAGGGGAGATTTTGCTGGAAGCAGGAGATGCTGGCTCGCTCTCCGAGTTCATCCCGAGTTTGTTCGATTTGCAATGTGATCAGGACTCTCCTGTTCGGAAATGTGCTACCGAGTAAGGAGATTTTCCTAAAACCCTAAATCCAAATTCAATTTCCCCAGTTGCCGGATGTCTTACTTTTGGTGTTTTCTTCCCTTTTTTTTGCTGGGTGTATAGGATCATTGGAGAACTTGGATTGAAGCACTTGGTATTCATTCCTGAAATCGTTCCCGTCTTGATGACACTATCCGAAGACAGTGTCCCAGCTGTGGCTAGACAAGCGATCACTTGCGGAACCCGATTGTTCCGCGCTACTCTCATAACAATTGCACTTCAGGTGGAGTCTTTAACTTAGAATAGAACTTTGATTCAGGGTAGTATTCTATTGCTTTTATCTTTGCAACTGAATGTGTTTATGGTGCATGTTTTTTGTTTCTTTCATCTGTCCCAGGGTCTTCACAAGAGTGAGCTGGATGATCTGCTCAAGGCAGCATGGTCGTCAATGCTGGAGTTCAAGGATAAAGTTTACTCTATAGCTTTCAAGGTATGTGATTATTTTTGTGGGGATTTTTCGGTTTCTAACTTCTCATCCTGATTCATTTTGATCTTAATGTGCTATCAAGGTTGGAAGTGGCGGGGTAAAGTTATTGTCCCTGAAGTTTGTTGAAGCAGTAATTCTACTCTACACTCCTGATCCCAACGGTCCTACTGAACCCCCTAACTATGAAGGTGGTAAATATATATCGTTTTTTTTAATACTTTTCTGTCGTTGGTTCAGCGTAGTGGATGGTTGATTAGTGTGGAGTTGTCGTATTGTTGTGAATATGCTTAGCAGTTCCAATATATTGTAGGAGAGCATCTGGAATTTAACATATCATGGTTTCGTGGAGGGCATCCTGTATTAAATGTTGGCGACTTATCAATTGAAGCCAGCAAAAGACTTGCTTTACTGCTGGATCAACTGAGGCCTCCAACAGTGAAATCTCTCAGTAACTTGGTGATTATTGTCATTATTAACTGGTGGGTATCCTTGTCTGATTATGCCTTTCTGGAACTCTAGATGATCACTTCTAATTTATGTGCAAGTTATGAGTACTGTTGATGTATATACTGGTGATATTAGTTAGTTACTTGATTTATTTCTCTTCCTGTTTTTGTTCCCTGCAGTCTTGCCTCCATAGCAAAGCAGAGACCCTTGTATTATGGGAGGATCTTGCCTGTCTTACTTGGTTTGGACCCATCTAACTCTGCTATCAAAGGGATGCATGCTCCCGGAGCAAAGCTTGCTCTGAAGAATGCCTTCCTGACCTGCTTAAAATGTACCCACCCAGGTGCTGCACCGGTATGTTCAAAGAAAAGTATTTTCTTATTATCATTTGGTCTTCCATTCCTCTATTGTGTTAAAATTTTTATTGTTGCATATTTAAATGGTAGTTTTAGTTGTTAAATGAACATAGATTGATGTACCTATGGTTGTTGTAAAACCATATAGAGAAAATAGGTATTGAATTCTGAAGAAATAGTGGAAATTAGGGTTTTTGGTAGGTAGGATGGTGGAAGAACCACACACCACCAGTTTGTGAAAAGGTCGTGTAGCTTGGTCTTGCCAGCCCAACGTTGATAAGCCTAAGAAATCACTAGGAATGACTGAAAATTGTATCCGATCTGATGTTACATAACTCCTACTACAACTAGGAAACAAAAGAAAAACTCCTCTTAGAGAAAAAGAAAAAAAGAAACTAAAACCTCCTAATTATTGAAAGACACTAAACTAGTAGGGACATCCTCTCATCCAAATCCTTGATGGAAAAGGATTCTTATATGAAAACCTCAATTCTGAAATTTTGCATCTTTCTCAAGTCTGGAAAGCTCTTTAAGATGGTAACCGCTTTAAGCCGCTACATCCTAGGGCCATTTTCTGTGTTATCTCACCTAGATTCCCATCATAGATTGTTAGCTGCGATGTTTGGAGTGAGTTTGATGGTTCTTGTGAGACTACCTTGATTTTTCTGGCCTGCTGCTAAATTTTCAGGTCGTTTGGAGTAAAAAGATTTGGGTCTTGGATTCGGTGAATCCATGGATTTTGCAGAATGTTTTGTTATTTTTGTTATTTTTTGTATCGTGGATTTTACTTCAAAAATTTCAAATATCTAAAAGATAGAGATATAAAATCCATCATAATTAAAGAGCTTGATTTTTTTCCCCTCCTACTTTATCTCTTTCTTTTTTCTATTCTTACCAAAAAATACCCTTACCAAGGAATTGTCAATATTTCTCGAGCCACATTGATTCTTTTGATTAAGGGTAAACATGTCATTTGATAAAAAATGTCATCAAACAATAAACATTAAAAAAAATCAACAATTTGGAGAGTTTATATCTTTGGATTGTTTATAATCTATAGATTCTAATTCTAATTCTCCAAACAACCGCTTCATGAGTGCTGTGTAGGGGCTTGCCACGTAGCCATGGGACATATTTTGATAATCTACTTCATGTATTTCATTTAGGTATTAGTTCTTTTATTGGAATATTGTTAAGATACCTCCAAACCACTAATGTAGTCCTCCATATTCTAGTGGCGGGATCGTTTAGTTGGTGCCCTAAGAGTAATGAAAGTAGAAGGATTATCGGAGGATGTTTTACATCAAATGCTTAAGAGCAATGGAAGTGTTCTTGTGGAAAAAGAAGATTTGATTGTCAAGAAGGTATTTCTTATATCCTTTTGAATGCCAAAAATGTGCTCTATTTTACTTGATTCAGTAGATGTGAGAGTACCGGAGTTCCTTACTGTATTTTTCTGTAGGAAGGTAAGCATTCAGTTGAGTCATTTGATGACGGCATATGTAATAAATTGGAGAAAAAAAGATCTGGAGCAGATGACAGTACAGATTCAGCTGATAGTGGTGAAGTTTCTAGAAAGCGTGCCAAATCAACTGCTACTTCAGTGACTGAACCAAAGAATGAGCCAACCTGGAATCAAGTGATCCCTCATGAGAACAGCCCTTCGCATGAGGCTCCCTCTGACAAAGGAGATAATGATAGTGGACCTGTGCAACAACTTGTTTCCATGTTTGGAGCCTTGGTAGCGCAAGGTGAAAAGGCTGTTGGTTCTTTGGAGATACTCATTTCTAGCATATCTGCCGACTTGCTAGCTGATGTAGTAATGGCAAACATGCGCCTCCTCCCTCATTCTCGGCTTCAAATGGAAGGAGACGATGAACCTGTGGCAAACATTACTGTTGTTGGCAGTAGCACTGATGCCAAGTATCCGGCCTCCTTTTTAGCTGATGTCGTTTCCCTTTCTACCTCTTTTCCATCAATACTTTCACAACTAAGAACCCGTGAGGCTACTTCAGATGAGTTAATGGTATAGCTCCATGTACTTCCCTTCGTTTAGTATCGGATGTTTGGCACAATCCTGATAAAATGTGTTTCCCCCCTACATAAAACATTTCTCTCGTTCCCTTTTTCAAAAGTGAAATGGTTTTGTTTTATTTTGTCATACTTACATCGGAGCTGTTCTCTATAAACTGCAGACATCTCCAAGAGAGGAAGAAGTGCAAATATCTGGTGGGAGTGATGATCAAACAGATGATGAAATATTGCCTACTGTCTTACCGGATTCTTCAGTGGGTATACCTGGTATGGAGACAGATTGTCTACCAATTTCTTCTGATCTTCATGAGGTTGAGAATTCAGAGAGTGAGATACCTGGCCTAGACTCTTCTGCACAAAATAATACGGTTTCTGAGGACATGGGTGCATCTTCACTTGTCTCTAATGACATAGAAGCTGCTACTCAAGAGCAAGCTGCAAGTTCTGGTGCTACATCAATGTTAGATTTGCATCCATCAGTATCAACTGAGAAGTCAGAGGAACTAAGCCCGAAAGCAGCCATTAATGATTCCAATAGCGTTATTTCTTCAATGCCAGTGCCTGCATCTTTCCCTAGTAAACTTGTCCTACCTAAGATGGCAGCTCCAGTGGTTGACCTTGCTGATGATGAGAAAGATCAACTGCAAACTTTGGCATTTACCCGTATTATTGAGGCATATAAACTGATAGACCTTTCTGGGTCATCTCAAGTGCGCCTTTCCTTACTTGCTTGTCTAGGAGTTGAGGTATTGGTTCTGTCTTTCTCAAATTGTTCCATTACAGTCTTGTTGGTGGTTGCGGTGGCAATCCGTGATCAGTTTCTGTGAGGTTGTTGATAGAATTTATAGGTCATGTCCTCTTTGCCGAACTGGACTAGCCAATGTATACAAACCATTCTAACTCGTATGGCACACTCACTTGGGCCTCTTATTTCAGCTTCCCTCAGAGTTTGAGCCATGGAAGCTGCTTGAGAAGCACATATTGGCAGATTATGTTAATCTGGAGGTAGGCGAATTGTCTTCTTGAATCCATATCTCGCTTCTCTTCTTTTGTGTGTTCCATTTTTTATCCTTGCGTATATGTTCTACTTATGTTTTATCTCGTGCATCTGTCAAGAACCAATGAGTCTCTGTAGTCATCCTCTTGTCTCTCTAACTTCCCTGAAAGAGAATTAATGAAGCACCTTAGCCAATAGCTGCATATTGAGACGGCTAAAGATGCATTTGACAGTCTTAATTTTAGTGGTCTTGCTAAGTGTACTAGTATCCTTGTGCTGCTAGATACTATAACATACTAAACATCAGATCTTCATCTTCAACTTGTGTTACACTTTCAAAATGCTCATGTATTGCCTAGAAAAAAAATTGGTTGCTGGCATTTGTCTGTTGTTACTAGTCACTGTACTTACTAATGATGCTTCCACTCTATGGTCCGCTTTTCCATTTCTATTACATCTGACCAAGTGCTGGCATATTTTCAGGGACACGAGTTGACATTGCGTGTCCTTTACAGGCTATTCAGAGAGATAGAAGAGGAACGCGACTTCTTTTCTTCTACAACTGCTGCTTCTGTATATGAGATCTTCTTTCAGACTGTGGTCTGTACTCTTCTCTCCTTAGCACTTCTTCTTATGCTACCTTAGATAATTTAATAAACCCATCTTTGATATGCAGGCTGAGACATTGAGAGATTCTTTTCCACCTTCAGACAAATCTTTGAGTAGATTGCTTCTTGAAGCTCCTTCTCTACCTCAGTCTGTCTTGAACTTGTTGGAGTCCTTATGTTGTCCCGGAAACTCTGAAATAGCTGACAAAGAGCTTCAACATGGAGATCGAGTCACTCAAGGGCTCAGTACTGTGTGGAACTTGATTATGTCTAGGCCTCCTCTTAGAGAATCCTGCTTGAAGATCGCTTTGCAGGTCTGCTCTAGTTATGTGCTTGGTTTTTCTGGTACTCCACCCTTTTTGATGAAATATTGCTTACGTTTGATTGAGTTATCTTCATAATTTCCCTTCTTATCTTGTCATTCTGAAATTTGTCATGTCTTGGCTAGGTGATTCTGTCTGTTGTTTAATCTGTTGATTGACCTGTTTTCTTTGGTTTCTATCTTTATCTGCTAAAGAGTGCAGTTCATCCCTTGGAGGAAGTACGGATGAAGGCAATTCGTCTGGTATGTTACAATAATGTGCTTAGGAAGTGAATTAAAGCTGCTCTATACACGCTGTTTAATTTTGTTAGGGACATTATTCTCACAGGTGGCTAACAGGCTTTATCCGCTGCCATCGGTTTCCCAACAAATTGAAGATTTTGCCAAGGAAACCATGTTGTCGGTGGAAGGTGCTGAAGATGACGTCTTGGAGGCCCAGCGACGCATGTCATTGCTTTTTGCCTTGTGCACAAAGGTGATAATTAGTAATGGAAAAAAATGTTTGCTCTATCTGCAGTCTCTTTTAGCATCAGACATTGTTGGATTTGTCATCTTGTAAAGATGTTTTTTACTGGTCTCTCAACCAGTGTTACTCTTGTTTTTTGTTGACTGGCAGAAACACTCCCTTTTCCGCCAAATCTTTTATGTGTACAAGAATGCATCAGAGGCAGTTACCCAGGTTGGTTGCTGGTATTGAAACTTAGGTAGAAGCCTTGCTAGGAGTTCTTCTTATTGTTCTAAATGATGCAGGCGGTTCATAAGCATATCCCTATACTTGTCCGGACCATGGGCTCTTCCTCTGAGCTCCTTGGAATTATTTCAGATCCACCTGAAGGAAGTGAGAAGCTTCTAACACAGGTTTGATGATTTTTTGAATATTTTCTGGCCTTCCAGATGAAAGTGCTGAAGATAAGTGTACCTGAAATGTTTCCCAATTGTTGCTCAGGTTTTGCAGACATTGACTGAAGGGGCTGCTCCTTCTCCGGAGTTGCTACTCACCATACAAAGATTATATAATTCTAAGCTTAAGGTATGGTAGTATGATATCCTGAAGGATAAAATTGGTGAATGGTGATATTATAAGGTAATGTGTTTAACTTTTTGCAGGATGTTGATATTTTAATTCCAGTATTGCCATACCTTCAAAGCGATCAGGTTTGTTTCTGTCACAACTCCAAATTTTACTGCATATCTTTTGTCATACTTGGTCCTTGATGAAGATCTTTATATTTGATCCCCCGAACCACTAGTAACCATTGGAAGTACGAAGCAAGAAGCAACACCAAAGAGCTAACACATCGAGTAATAATTAATTATGTAGACAGCATGTTCTTCTGTATTTGCATGTAACTCTTTGCACATTTTACCATCATGCAACCTTCCCATTAACCCCAAGTAGTATAGATTCTAGGATGTATTACATCCTCTTTACACATTTTCTTTTTTCCCGCTTTGCTTGTGGAAGAAAGGTTATTTTTCTTTGCTGCATTATTTCACTGTACTTTAGAAAGAATAGAATCTGTGTACTTCTGCAGTGTCTTGTCTAATGATGGTACCTCAATGGGTGGGTACAGGGCATGTTTTAGCGTTACTGTGATCCGGGGCTTAGGCATGCTTCTGACCTGCTGCTATATTTATGTTGTTTATCTTTCAGATCCTATCAACTTTTCCGCAGCTTGTGAATCTAAATATAGACAAGTTCCAAACTGTGCTTCTTCGTATAATACAGGTATCTTGTTTTGGCCGATACTGAATAGTACATGCGCAATATATGACAACCATTTCATTATCTCAAACCCTTCTGGAGGAAAACTCTTCACTTCCTTTGGCTACTTAATATATTGTCTTCCTTAGCTGCTTTTGCAAATTAATATACCAACAAGCTGATGATGACTAAGGTTTTATTTTCTGACAGTAAAGTTCTGTTTCCTTTTCTGTTAAGAACTGCTCTAGCAAATCATATACTAACTTCTACGACAATAATAATAATAGTAGTTGTAGTAGTATTAGTGATCATAATGTACTTCCATTTGATGCAGGGACCACCTAATTCTAGTCCTCTACTGAGTCCATCTGAAGTTCTAATAGCTATCCATGGGATTGATCCTGAAAAGGATGGAATTCCCTTGAAGAAGGCATTTCTTTCTCCTTTCTTTCACCAGTGGTTGAACCTTGTGATCCAGACAAATGTGAAACTCTTCCATATATTATAATATGCAGGTCACAGATGCTTGTAATGCTTGCTTTGAGCAACGGCAAATATTCACCCAGCCAGTTATTGCGAAAGTCTTGAATCAGCTGGTTTGTACCATCCGAGTCTTTTAATTTTACATTCCAAATGTCTTTATTCTGTACCACGCTGATCTAGCCATGAATTTTGTCCACTTCAGGTTGAGCAGATTCCTCTTCCTTTGTTATTTATGCGGACAGTAATACAAGCCATAGGAGCTTTTCCTGCCTTGGTAAGAAGAATAGCTGGTTATTTCAGTTACATGTCTTATGTTGGTGGTTATTTCAAGGGTAATGTTATTCCCCCCCCCCCCCCCCGATGGATTCAACAATACTTTATGAATTGTTTATTCGTGCAAGTATTTTATTTCCTGGACTATGTTTGTCAAGTAAGAGTGATGGTTGTGCGGTGAAAATTTCCAGGTGGAGTTCATCATGGAGATCCTTTCCCGTTTAGTCAACAAGCAGGTAGCTATATTTTATTTTTTCATGATGAAGCTGATCGCATGTTATCTGTGGTTGAGGTATTTTCATGGTGGATTTCGCCCTGGATGTTGCAGATATGGAAATACCCAAAGCTCTGGGTGGGGTTCTTGAAGTGCGCACTCCTGACAAAGCCTCAATCTTTCAGCGTGTTGCTTCAGGTGAGTTAGTGCCGCTTTCTTAAAATTATAATAAACATTTGACTCCTGTAGTTTCTTGTTGATTCATTTGGCAGTTCCCAAGTTTTACTGAAGCTGATTATAATTGGACTTTTCTGTCTCAGTTACCCCCGCCGCAGCTGGAAAATGCATTGAACAGAACCGCGGCACTGAGAGCTCCACTAGTTGCTCATGCTAGCCAACCAAATATTAAATCCACACTACCAAGGTTCATCTATCAACACCTGCTAAGAAGTGGATTTTTCTTTTAACAGAATGAATGTATCTCAGAGATCCGGATGTAGGGATGATTAGACGGTTTGGTCCAGTGATGAACCAAACGGAAAACTTGGAACCAATGAGCGCTTGATTCTTGAAAACTGTAACCAGCCCTGTCAATTTAGCAGCTAACTAAAACAGTTAACCAATGAGAAATTAATATTCCTCGCTGTCAACGGGAAACAAGCCACTGAGCTAATATCTGTTATTCGGTTCCCATGGCGATTCTGATGTCCTGTATTTTTCTTGTGGAGCAGGTCTATCTTGGTTGTTCTAGGAATAGCTTCAGATCCCCCGCAGAACTCGACTCAATCACAGCCAACACAGGATCAGACTACAGAGATGAGCAACTCGGAGAAGGATGTGCAAATGGAGGAGAAACCAAACGAGTCTTCTAGTGCCAGCTGATTCAGAGAACTCTTGCTTTATTAGCCAGGTGGTCCAGTTCGAGCTTTTTCTGCATTTCGGCGGGGGCAACATCTGGTCCAATGACCGAGATCAATCTCTGTATGCATGTATGTACTTCAAACGGATCCAGAGTGGGAAGGCCAAACCAACTGCCGCCAGTGTTCAGCTGTATATCAGCAGGAAGAGAAGAAGCCTCTTGGAAGTGTGGAGCACTCTGTACATGTATCTCATACACCACCATGTAGTCTCTCTGGCCATATCGTTCATGCCAGGGTTTTACAGTTAGAAGAATTTAGATATGGCAAGCAAGTTAGAGAGCACAGTGGTGACTACTAGCAGCTCTGTTGTATCCATAATTTTTTTTGGCTACTATCAACAAAATGGTTTTCCATCCAATTTTGCCATGTCACAATGCCACGTCATCAAAACATAAATTAAAAGAAAAAATGCCATGGACTTCTAGCACAAACTCAACAAAAATTGAACCTACTCCAACCAAACTCAGGACCCCAACCCTAACCCTGTCTCTCACCTTGCTTCTACTAGGGCTCTTCTCTCCCTTCCCAACGGTGAACACATTATCTCTTTTTCCTTCCTTCTTTTCCATTATCATTACTAGCTTTTCACCGAATTATTTTAAGTTATCGATTCGTAGATCGCGACAGAAAGCAAGAGAGCGTCTATGTTAGAAGTATTAATGTGTTATTAGATATACTAACAAATTTTTAGATAAAGTACTACACCTCTTTTTTTAAAAAAATTTGATATATACATTTAAATCAAGAAAAAAATTCACAAATTGTAATAGCCAATGAAAATGATTTTTTTTATCAATCTTATACATACAATTATATAATTCACTTTGTATTTTAAATTTTATTTATGAAAGATAAATTAAAACACACATATCCTTCCCGCCTCAACCCTGAAATTTTCGCAAATGACATCCTAGTACTCCACCCCACGGTCTTACTATTTCTCATCATCTTTCAATTTTTTGTTGTCATCAACCGTCAAGCCAACGTTCCATTCCATAAAAAAAGTTATCGTCTACAAAGTGTCAAGATTCTAATATAAAAAATTCATGTACCAATCCAAAAGTTAGTTGCTATCACAATAATCTCATCGAATCTATCTCTCAATCTGGTCCTAATCTCTTAATCCGGTTGCATTTACTGTAAAGAGCCCGAATTCTATAGAATCTAAGTTGATCACTGATGATTGACAAATAATCTATATGTTAATCTGAACCTTACAGATATTGGAAGGACAATTAATTTCGATTCTATCACCTCTCTAAAATGGCAAAGGATGTACTTTCTATTCCAATTTCATCAGTTGTATTATAGTCCTCTTTTAGTTTGGGAGGTCGAGTACTAACAAAATGGAGGGGATCGATTTTGTCTAATACTCTTGAAGCAGTTGTGACAACTCGTAATTGGATACGTGGATACCAAATGGGTAAGCAAAAAAAACTTATATAGTTGTCATAAGATACTCTCCTTTCTTATCATATTTTTTCACTGATTAATTGTACATATGAGGATGATGAAGATGCGAAGGAGGATGAAGAAGAAGTAAAACTTATGGAGTGATCATTATGTGAAATGTCACTTTGTTTTTTAGACATGTTTTATTGATATTTGAGAGATGTGACAACATGAACTATTATAAGGAATTGTATTATTCTTGTTACGATCAGACTTATATGAACCATTATCGTTCTTCTTAAATAGGACACATCGGTGGATCCAGGGGCTAGTATAATACTTATAAAATTTTGATTTTAGGTGTTAGTTTTAGTGTTCGTCGGGTTATAGCCCATCCCTCTTCGCCTCTTTTCAAGCATGGTCCAGTGCTCAACCTTATTCTAGGTTCGTCGCTGATAGGACATATGATATGTAAACTATTATAAATCTCCTTATAATGTATCTTGTTATGCTAAGTTAATATTTGAAAAATGTTATGTGTACTCTCATGTAAAATCATTTACAACTATATAAGGTTTGAAAACAAAATTTTCATATTAGTGAACTAGTATCTCAAATGCCAACTTTTATTTAATCCCCATTGAACTCCTTTTCTTATTTGAACAATCATATGTGTGTCATTTTCATTTCAACTTCCGGGTTGGGCGGCTTGGGTTATCCGGATTATGAGTTAGTCGGGTTACTGGTTCATCGGGTTGTAGGTCAATGGGGTTGCGGGTTGATCAGGTTATAAGTCGTTGGTTTTTAGTAAGATCAAATTGCGTTCCGGTTCTGGAGCGAGTTACGAGCCGAGTTAATCGGATGGTTTATTAGGATCGGATTGTATTTTGACACCTAAAACAGGTTGGGCTGGACCGAGCTACGCAAAAGTCAATATCTCTCGTGAAACAATTCGATTGGGCCATTGCCAGAAAATGCCCATGCCAAAGTAGTCCGACCCATTTTAATTAATTTTTTTAGTTTATAAAAATTGTTTCTGGTGTCGCCGGAGTTTTCTGTGGGCTTCATCTGACAGAGGAGGAAGAAGCGGAAGAGAAAGACGCCGAGACGACAGCGGGAAGGAGGAGGAAAGAGAGGAACCACCACGGCGGCGGAGGTGGGCGGTGGACGGAAGAGGAAAACGAGGATGGGAGTGGATTACTACAAGGTTCTACAGGTTGACCGTGGAGCCAAGGAAGATGATTTGAAGAAAGCGTATCGTAAGCTGGCGATGAAATGGCACCCTGATAAGAACCCTAATAGCAAGAAGGAAGCCGAAGCTAAATTCAAGCAAATCTCCGAAGCATACGATGTAAACAATCCAAAATCACAGCCATCACTCTCTTCCTTCTCAAGATCCATTTTGTTTCATCCATGATTCAATTTGGCAATTGCCATTTTTTTTTTGTACAGGTTCTAAGTGATCCACAAAAGAGGGCGATTTACGATCAGTACGGAGAGGAAGGTCTGAAGGGGCAGGTACCTCCGCCAGGAGCGGCGCCGCATGGCGGGTTTGGACAGGATGCTGGTTCGGGTGCTTTTCGGTTCAATCCGCGAAGCGCAGATGATATATTCTCTGAGTTTTTCGGGTTCTCGAGTCCCTTCAATGGGATGGGGGACATGGGAGGTAGCTCAAGGGCTGGACCTTCTGGGTTTCCCAGGGGTATGTTTGGGGATGATATCTTCTCTTCCTTCAGGACTGCCGCCGGGGAGACCTCTGGTATTCCACGGAAAGGGGCTGCTATAGAGCGGACATTGCCGTGTAGTTTGGAGGAATTGTATAAGGGCACCACCAAAAAGATGAAGATTTCGAGGGACATTATTGATCACAATGGGTAAGACATTCCTTCTACAGCTCCCCAGCTTTACTGCTTCGATTAGTTGGTGAATCCTTAGCCCATTTTAAAGTCCATTTGCATTCATACTGGAATGTTGAATTCATCATCATCCAGTTAAAGGGGTTGCTCTTTTCCCCCCCTTTGTGTTGAGTATTCTGGTTTGGTAAAATTCTGTTCTCAAAGAGTCAGTGAAAGTGTCTACTTTACTGTTCCATCTGCAGTCGACATGAGAAGTTCTGAAGCTTCACCTTAAAAACTGAATGGTCCTGCTCTTCTTAGGGCGTGGAAAGTTGAAGATCCTGCCTTTTGCAGTGCTGTTATTGTTGTGGTTTGCCCCAGCTATTGGTCACAGGCATGTAATGCAAAGGGATATTAGTTATGCATGATGCCTTGAAATGCAATGGACTCAGTAAAGCAACAAACTTTTTGTATGTGAGTTGAACTGCAAAGTGTATTCTTATTCAATGTCACCATGGAGCTTGGCAGGCATACGTTACGTCGTATTCTTATTGAATGTTGCCATGGAGCTTTGCTGGCAGACCTTACATTGTTTCCACGTGTCATATTGCGCCATCTATTCGTTGAATAGACATTACAATTTTGTTTTCTCTTAAGGCAACAAATCTCTGAACTTTGAATAACTAATGATGGTCGTCACCCTGATGACCACCTATGAGAACACAGCAGTTTCATCCTCGTCATACCATAGTGTAAGCCAGCCTGAAGTTTTCTTAGTTAGCTCAAGCTCTTCAAGTATTTTGGTCATGCAGCTTCTTACAGCCAATCATCTTGTAACATAAGTAACAAAATTTCTTGAACTACTAGTGCTGATATTTGTGTAGTGGCAGTACTTGCTTATTCTTGAAACTCAACTAAGAAACAAACCTCTGAAGATTTTCTTTTACATCTGGGGGAGTATGATTTGTGCAATTCCTTAATGTCTCTATTGGTAATTGCTAACCTACTTGTTTTTCCCTTTGTTTTTAGTTGTTTCCTTGTCTCTTGGTTTGCCTTCAACATTGAAATGCATAATATATCTTGTTTGTAGCATTTCTGATATGTAAAATAGTGCAGATGCTAAAATTGTTTCTTTCAAAATGGCATATGACACAGGAGACCATCGACGCTAGAGGAAATTCTTACAATAGAGATCAAGCCAGGTTGGAAGAAAGGAACAAAAATCACATTTCCAGAGAAAGGCAACGAGCAACGCGGGGTGATACCATCTGACCTGGTGTTCATCATCGACGAGAAGCCTCACCCAGTATACAAGAGAGATGGCAATGACCTAGTAATCACTCAGAAGATCTCTCTAGTGGAAGCACTCACCGGTTACACGGCACAGGTGACGACCCTCGATGGAAGGGCTCTCACTGTCCCCATCAATGCCATCATAAGCCCAACCTATGAAGAGTTTGTTAAAGGTGAAGGGATGCCCATCCCAAAAGAGCCTTCCAGGCGTGGGGCATTGAAAATCAAGTTCAATATCAAGTTCCCCAGCAAGCTGACAGCAGAGCAGAAAACTGGTCTTAAGCGGTTAATCTCTTAGAGAGAAAGATCTTTGCTCCTAAATAGATGGTCGTGGCTTCCGTACCATCTCTTCCAGACTTGTGTAAACTTGGCATATTTATTTTTCATCCCCGGGAAGGAAGCTTAGCATTCCTGGAACTGGGAATCATGTGACATCAGTTTCTGCTAGAGTTGGAAAGTCTTGTTTTTTTAGTGGTTCATCCTTAGAATGCCTCTCTTCTTCTTCTTCTTCTTCTTCTTCTTCTTCTTCAGGTAACCTTTCAGTGTCAATTTGTTTTTGCCACCGATGCTGTTGATTTCTAAATTAATTGGTTTTACTTTGCTTCTTGATGTCTGTGTCTGTTCACGCCCTGTAAACATGTTTGAATCGTCAGCTCGTGCTGGCTACTCCTTGTCTTTTGTTGTGGGGATAAATAATGGGTTAATACCTTATTTTTTTGTCCGAACTATGATCATATAATTAACTTTGAGCCATGGTTTCAGAAATTAACATTATGGTCTCGACTATGCAGCATATTGACTTAATTGGCTGACACATGGTTTGACCGTTAATATGGACGGTCAACACTTCATGTCATTGCCTTGTCTTGTCAGTTTAAAAATCTAAAAAAAAAAAAATCAAATTATTTTTCTAATTTCTCTTATTTATCATTTTCAAATTTTTTAAAAAATTGATAATTTTTGGTTAATTTATAAAATTTATCATTTTCAAATCATCGAAAAAAAATATTTTTTTATATTTATTATTTTTTAATAATTTGATAATGATAAATAATAGAAATTAGCAAAATAATTTGAATTTGAAATTTTTAATAATTTTTAGGCTGACGAGGCAATGACATGGCGTGTTGACTAATGATCAACAGTATTTACCGTCCAAATTGACGGTCAAACTATGTGTCGGGCCAATTGAGTTTATATGTTGTATAGTTGAGGCCAGGATGTTAATTTCTGAAACTACGGACCAAAATTAATCATATGATCATAGTTCGGGGCAAAATAAGGTATTAACCTAAATAATGAGATGTGCTATTTGCCATTCTAAAAATTTGAAATTTACATTTGACCATCGTCTCCTCCATCTATCTCTTACTCATAGGATAGCAAAGAAGATCCAAAATTTGGTTATTTCTCAACCTCAATTTATTATTGGTTAAATCAAATTTGAGTTTTATTATTTTGGATATAACCATACCAAACCATATCCAAACTTTTAGTTTGTGTCTAAATTAAATGTATTGATACACGCTTAATCATACATCCAAACCGTGAGTTTCAGGCATGATGGCAGAAGCACTTATGAAAGTCACTTCACGGTTGTGACTTTGTCTCTATTGCGGTATAAATCGGTTTTTTACGAATTCTGAAGGGGAGTTGAATTTTAGGATCCAAACACCCAAGAGACAAATCCTAAATAGAGAGACCGATACATTGATGATCTTGGAGCGAAATTGGAGGATATATTCACCATCATAGCTCAATAATCAAGGTTGGAAGTGAAGGTTGAGGATTAAGAGCAGATTTATGTATTTTTTTCCTCGCTATAGAGTAAACTTCATTTCACTTGGGTTTGAGGAACTCTTGTTAAGTTTGTTTGATTTAACGATTGTATTGTCACTCTTACTTGTTAAACTTGCGTTCATATTCAATGTAACACCTTAGTCAAATCCCACAACGTCAAATCATGAGAGATATCCATGTTTTATAAATAAAAAATTGGCCTTAATTGACAATATGCCTTTTGGGGTGAAATAGAGTTCTTGTGAAAACTCCAAAGTTAAACTTGCTCAGTGTGGAGTACAACAAGGATGTGTGAGCTTATGGGAAGTCACCTTGAATTGCACCCGAAGCAAAAACCATGAGGGTCGAGACCCAAAGTTGACAATATCTTCGTCAGGAAAAGGTTCGGGATGTTACGTCCAATCTATGCATGTTTTATGAATCAATTTTGCTTTAATCAAGATAATTGATTTATGATTTGACCTGGCTTCTTCTATGCTCTACTAGAGTCGTCGATCCGTAGATGATTGTCACCCGCGTTTGCTGAACATCGATCTCAGCTTCGTCGCGCTTCCTTCCTCCTCCTCGCCTCTGTTTTTGTCATTTCTACCGTCATCATATTTTGGGTCCTCGATTTGGACGATATGCAGAGTCCCGACGAAGGAGGCCACCACCTAGATCTTTAAGTCCCAACGAAGGAGACTTGGGTTCTGACCTTTTGGCCAGAGATTGACATTAGAGGGAGGCGACTTAGATTTTCTCCAGGAGATAGAAAGTTGTCGGGAGAAAGTAATGGTGGTCGAAGGTGGGATATACTGCTGGGGAAGAGATGGTTAGAGATGAAGACGAGTTTAGGGAAGAAGTAAAGACAAGTTTGGAAGAAGATAGAAAAAAAAGTGTGGGATTTCAAATGAGCTATCCACGGTTACCCGTTATCCATCCCATATAGGTAACGGGTACCCACTAACCATGAACCCATACAAATTTGGGATGAGGGGTGTAATTTTCTGTTGAAACGGTATTGGGTACCCATTTGAAACGAGACGGTTACCCAATTTCGTCCCGTTGCCACCCCAAACCGGTACAAAGCTAGCAACAACAATATTTGTTTCCTAAACTGCCCTTGTTAAATCTCAGTTGGCACTCTTAACTTGTTGCAGCCTGATCCATGATATTCCCTTGCTGTTCTTGTGAGGCCTAAATCCATCAATCAAGTCCTGGGTCATACCCAAACCGAGCCGGGCCGAGCCAGTCCGGTTGCCAAAAGTGAAAAGACCAAATCTCTGGCTCCGCCTCTAACCGAAGAACACTGAACTTGTGATAGCAATCAGAACAGAAGAACACACCTCTTTACTCTCTCCCTCTCCCTCCCATCTTTCCAACTCCGTCCGCCTCCTCGCTGTCTCGTCCTTTTGCTCACTCTCTCAGTCTCCGAAGGATTTCTTCTTCTTCTTCTTCTTCTTCTTCTTCTGTAAAGCTTCGACGCCAAGTCCACGGAATTAAGCTTCCAGTATTGCCCCCCTCTTGCCTGTCCTCGCTAGGGTTTTCTCTGTGCAGGAAACCCTAAAATAGAAAAGGCAGAAGAAAAAAAACCCCCTGAAAATTACATAACCACTCCACTCCCTCCTTGAACAGAAACCGTGCTCGAATCCGCTCTGCGTGGCATGGAAAATGAGGTGCTAGAATTCGATATAGGTTTAGGAAGTGTGAATGGCAGAAGCGACGGAGACGATGATGATCCCATTGACATCGACAACCCTCTCGACGACGACGACGATGACATGGGCGCCGATAGCTCCGCCGCTGCCGCGGCCTCCGGTTTCGAGATTTATCTCCCTGACGGGGACCTTCTCGACCTCGAGCCTTACGAGGGCATGGAATTCGAGTCCGAGGAAGCCTCGAAGGCCTTCTACAACTCGTACGCCAGGCGGGTCGGGTTCAGTACCCGGGTCAGCTCTTCCCGTCGTTCCAGGCGCGATGGAGCCATTATACAGAGGCAGTTTGTTTGCGCCAAAGAGGGTTTCAGGAATCACAACGAGAAGCGGACCAAAGACAGAGAAATCAAGCGCCCACGCATGATCACCAGGGTTGGCTGCAAAGCCTCACTCTCCGTCAAAATGCAGGATTCAGGGCAGTGGGTTGTCTCCGGTTTCGTGAGAGAGCACAACCATGAGCTTGTCCCTCCCGATCAGGTCCACTGCCTCCGCTCGCATCGCCAAATCTCTGGCTCTGCCAAGACTCTCATTGATACCTTGCAGGCAGCAGGAATGGGGCCTCGCAGGATTATGTCGGCGTTGATTAAAGAGTATGGTGGGATCAGCAAAGTTGGCTTCACTGAAGTGGATTGCAGGAATTACATGCGCAACAATCGACAGAGGAGCATGGAAGGTGACATACAGCTCCTGATAGATTATTTAAGGCAGAAAAATTCAGAGAATCCCAATTTCTTTTACGCTGTTCAGTGCGAGGATGATCAGTTTACCGGAAATGTGCTGTGGGCTGATCCAAAAGCCAGGTCGGACTTCGCCTATTTTGGGGACACTGTCACCTTTGACACAACTTATAGGTCCAACAGGTATCGCCTACCTTTTGCGCCATTCACAGGTGTAAACCATCACGGGCAACCCGTGTTATTTGGCTGTGCTTTCATAATGAGTGAAACTGAAGCATCGTTTGTTTGGTTGTTCAACACTTGGCTCGCGGCAGTGTCTGGCCACCACCCGGTGTCCATTACCACTGATCATGATGTGGTGTTAAGGTCAGCTGTGATGCAGGTCTTCCCAGAGACCCGGCATAGGTTTTGCAAATGGCATATTTTTAAAAAGTGTCAGGAAAAGCTCTCTCATGTGTTCTTGAAGCATCCGACTTTTGAGGTAGACTTCCATAAATGTGTTAACTTGACTGAGTCGGTTGAGGAATTCGAATCTTGCTGGTTTTCCCTTGTTGATAGATATGAGCTCAGGGATCATGACTGGCTGCAAGCTATTTACTCTGATCGCAAGCAGTGGGTGCCCGTTTATTTAAGGGACACATTCTTTGCCGAGATGTCGATAACCCAGCGAAGTGATAGTATGAATTCTTACTTTGATGGTTATATTAATGCTTCAACCAATCTGCAACATTTCTTTAAGCTCTACGAGAAAGCTCTGGAGAGTAGGAACGAGAAAGAAGTAAGAGCTGATTATGATACAATGAACACTTTGCCAGCATTGAAGACTCCATCTCCTATGGAGAAACAGGCATCCGAGCTTTACACCAGGAAACTGTTTTCAAGATTTCAGGAAGAGCTGTTTGAGACACTAACTTTTATGGCATCCAAAGTAGATGATGGTGACGAGGACAGCATTACTTATCAAGTTTCCAAGTTTGGGGAGGATAACAAACCTTACTATGTGAAATTCAATGTCTTGAAGATGAGAGCAGCTTGTAGTTGCCAGATGTTTGAGTTTTCTGGTCTCCTTTGCAGACATATCTTGGCAGTATTTAGAGTCACCAATGTGCTTACCCTGCCTTCTCATTACATTTTGCGCCGATGGACAAGAAATGCCAGGAGCAGTGTTGTGATCGAAGAGTCTTCTGCAGATGTATATACCAACTACTTGGAGTCTCAAACTGTTCGATATAATACCCTTCGCCATGAAGCATTCAGATTTGTTGATGAAGTAATGAAGTCTTCTGCAGACTCTTATGATGTAGCGTTGACTGCTTTGAAAGAAGCTGCGAAAGAAGTTCTAAATGCTGTCAAGAATGATGGGAGGTCATCAGCCTTTTCAAATGGTCGGAATAAGGTGGCATCCACTGGTGACAAGGGCACAGAAAAGATTAGCAGTGGTACCCGAGTGCGGATATCAGGCCAAACTTTGTCAGAGGTCAGCACCATTCTCCGTTTCCCTGTTACTTCAAGTTTCACCATGCATCAACTATAGTTCTTCTGGTTGGAAGTTTTTTTAGTTCCCTGTTGTCTGATTAGAAGCCTTGGCTTAGCAAAGTTTTTAATCCTTCCATTCCTCCTCATCTCAACAGATATTTTATATGCAAGATAAAGAAAATTAAAATGGATAGGATAGGTAATCCCCTTGTTTGACCTGAATAAGAATAACAAGTGGGATTGATGTGCCTGTGTTGTTTCCAAGCCATCAAACTACCAACTATACAAAAGGTGTTATATTGTCATGCCACGTCTAGAACAGCGTCCCTTCTTTGTTTCGTCCCTTGTAATCGCAACGATTAAGAAATCTTGACAAACTGGAAAACATTATGTTGGGACTTTGCTTTGAGGCTGTTGATGAAGGAGTGGTCTGGTTGATAAATGCATTGGTTGTCTGGTAAAAGTGGTGTATTGAGTGGTGGTTTTTGATTTGTTTATGGTGCAGGATGACATGGACAAGAAGATCCAACAACTGAGGAACGAAGTGGAGCGAGCCAGTCGAAAGTGTGAAGTATATAGGGCTAACTTGCTGTCGGTTTTGAAGGACATAGAGGATCATAAACTTCAACTGTCAATTAACGTACAGAACATTAAAATCAGTATGAAAGACAACTTATAAATTGTAGCTGCTTGGCTGCGAATTCTATATTGCAGATGCTGTACAGTTCTTGCATCTTTTTGGTATCCTTTCCCCTTCCCGTGTTGATTTTAGTCTCCGGTTTGAATCGCTTGCCTGTGTCTGTGTGATGTTAGTATGATTTCTCGTAGTTTTTTTATTATTGCAATGGGTGGGTTCCTATATAGGAAATTGGATCTCCTCCACATTTGGCCGTGTATGGAAACCCATAGTCTGTGCTCTCGGATCCTCCTTATGGGCTAAGATCAGGTGACTAAAGGGGTCCCTTAGTCATGTGTCGACTAAGTGAATCTCAGCTAGGGATGATTGTTCAGTTATCCGTTAACCAGCCGGTTAAACTGATAATCGGCCGGTTATTCACTAACTGGTAACCGAACTAACCGAACTTTGGTCGGTTATCGGAGGCTGGACGAAATGGTTTTTTGTCTTAAAAGTGGTTCGGTTAATTGATAATCGAGACATCAAAGTCTATTTCGGGCGATTTTCGGTAGGGAGAGTGATTATTTCGGTTAACCGATAACCGACCAATTGGTTACCGGTTATAACCGAACTGCCACCCCTAATCTCAGCCATTTCACCTCATTAAAATCCAATAGTCCTGATTAATCCTATTTAATGAAGGGTAATGTAGTAATTTAATTTTTTATTTACCATTTACCAATTAAAATAAATAAAAATACAGCCCGCGCCTGCCGATCCGTTTCCTTCTCCGGCGGCCTGGGTATTTTTTCCAGAAAGTTTCGACCCATTCCCGCCGGCCAATCCTTCTCTCCGGTTGCGTGGAAATAATTCGCCGGACCACTTTTCCCAAGGGGGGAGAGAGAGAGAGAGAGAGAGAGAGAGAGAGAGAGAGAGAGAGAGAGAGAGAGAGAGAGAGAGAGAGAGAGAGATTTATGATGTTTGCTGACCTATTTTGTAATGTTTGTATAGATTCGGTTTGTATTGTTTGTCATTTTTAGTGACATTTTGTACGATTAGTATGCTTTGTACTGTTTGTCGGTTTATTTTGTAATGTTTGTACGCTTTGTTATTTTGTAATGTTTGTCGTTTTTTTGTAATGTTTGTAAACTTCGTTATTTTTGTGCACCATGTTTATCATTTTTGTCAACTATGTTTGTAATGTTTTTTATGTCTAAAAAACAACCTAGTTGACTTTTGGATGAAACTCATCTATATAGGGATGGAGCCTCCAAAGTCAACCCGAGTGTTTTTTCGAGTTCGTATGGATTGTCGGTCTAGTTTGTCATTTTTGTTCACCATGTTCGTAATGTTTGTATGTCTAAAAAACAACCGGGTTGACTTTGAGACGGAGCCCTCTATATAGGGATGAAGCCTCCAAAGTCAACCCGGGTGTTTTCCAGTTTGTATGAATTTTTGGTCTAGTTTGACATTTTTGTCCACCATGTTTGTATGTCTAAAAAACACCCGGGTTGACTTTGGGAAGGAGCCCCTCTATATAGGGATAAAGCATCCAAAGTCAACCTGGTTGTTTTTTCTTTTTGTATGGGTTGTATTGTTTGTCGGTCTAGTTTGTATTTTTTGTACAGTTCATATGTTTGTAATGTTTGTAAATCTGTTTGTATGTTTTGTCGCTCTAGTTTGTACTGTTCGTATGTTTGTATGGTTTATACTGATTGTAAGTCCGGTTTGTATATTTCGTAATTTTCCATAATACCCAAACTACCTCTGTCATTAATTAAATAGCACTTCCCACTTTTTAACCATCAGATTGCTATATCTAAATCTAAAGATTGGGAGGGGTTAGTCAAGTGACTAAGCACCCCCTTAGTCACTGGATCCTCTCTCTCCTCCTTATAGTTAACCGGTTGTTGTTGGTGGTCTGCAATTATATGATCTTCTACCTTGGTTTCTTGTTTTATTCTAGTCCTCCTTAAGCCTTGTAAGGTTCTCTCAATATCAGTATCCAAAGGGAATGAGATGATCAATTCCCCTAGGGTGCATGCACAAGAACTACACACAATTAAACTTGGTAACGAGTGGAGACTTTGATTGGTACCATTTATATTCAACACTATCTAGGACAAGTAGAACCTAAATTTTTTAAAAATCACAAGTTGGCAAGTTAATATAAAAATGTCACGTCAGCGTATTTCATTAGATTTGTCACAAAAACAAAGGTCCATGTTTTAGTTACATATCTATATTGTCTAAGCTAAATCACACATACAATTTGATATTTAATGTTTGAATAAATGTTACTTAAGTTCTGATTTCGAAATTAATCTCTTTCTATAAGATATAAATAACTTCACGTAAAATATATAAATATGAAAGCCTCAACACCAAACATGTTTCTAGAGTTTAATCAAAGAAATAGCAATAAATACAATGTGACATTTTAGTATATAAAGAAAAACTGGGTGTAATAACAAAAATTACCTTACTAGAATCATTCTCTAAGTTACGAAATTTGAAATAGGACCTCTCACTTTACTTTTCCCATTCACCATTATATTAAGTGTAGATAGATAATTTGCTTTTGCATAGAGTCCAATTTAGTGGCACAGCTTAGAAGTTGTGTCTTAGTGGGGTTTTATTTAGAGTTGGAAATTAGTACGGTATCAGTATCTTAATATCAAATATCGAAATCTCAATCATCAAATAGTGCCCTAAATTCAATCCAAATCCCTATTCCAAAAAATAATTTTGGTATCTTAATCCCAATTCCTAAAATAAAATTTGGTATCGATATATACCAAATTAATTTTCTTCACATTACAAATCAATTATGCACACTCAAATAATAGCTTCACAAATCTTTCTCAAAATATGTAAAAACAGATCGGGGTGCCAACACAATTTGCAAACACAGATGGAAAATTAATCTAAAGTATAATAACAACAAACTAGAAAAATGTGGTGCCTATGAAGCATTTTAACAAACTACAGCAACAAATTGAAACATGGTTTGACTAAGCAAACCATAAACATACTATAGTAACAAAATGTGTTTGTATTAGTTGTGAAATAGTGAGAGAATGAACTATGCTTCCGATGAGTGGCAATCTTGATTGTTGAGGGTCCAGTAGTGAGTGAAGGAGCATAGTTGATGGATAAAATATACACTAGTTTTTATTTCGGTATATATCGCAATCCAATAAAATAATACATGTATTCGATAATATCAAATACGGTACGGTATTCTGCATATCCCAAATACAAGTACCAAACTTCCAGCAATAGCATCATTGGCTATCCAATCCATTTTACTCTCATAGCTCAGAAGTGGTATTTTAAAGGGAGTTTGACTCGGTAGTTTCAACTTAATCTTATATGTGAATGATCACACTCTTTCTTGAACCGGACTTAAACTATATCGTTTCATTTTTCGATTTACACGATTTGAAAATTATATTACATAACGTTCCTTTTTTTTTTGTTTAATATATTACTTATAAACAATAATTGTGCACAGGTTCTCAACCTAGTATTGTTAAGAATCAAACATAAATTACCATTTGGTCCATGGCCAAACATAAATGGTGTGATTATAAATGCTGTGTAATGAACCCCATACTAAGTCCTTTTCTTAGTATACACATTAGAAGGCAATAAAAGCTCATGCCACCTTGTATTCCAGCATTCTTCCTGGCATATTGACTAACAAGTAACAAAATCTTATTTTGGGTCAATGAACAACAAGTAACAAACTGCAAATTCGACAAACTCTACTGCCTGATTTCCTGGGAGGCAAGTGATAGGCAAGGAGAGCACCTTTAATGGCGGGATCAGGCCTTGCATCACATTCATCTCCATCACCATCAAGTCGATCAAATATGAAGAAATCGTGGCGTTACCACGACTTATATCAGCACTCAGCAGCCATACTGAGAAGTGCAACCCCGAACTCTCAACTCCTCGTCCAAACTTTATCTCGCCATGGTTGGATTAACAGATCACATATGCGGATCAGATAACACCATTCATTCTTTCATACTTAACCGTGCATTTTGGACTTTCACCGACAACTTCATTTTCTGTTCTTCCATATCTCTCAACACGGCTAGCAAGTTCGTTCGATATACTTCACATCTTTGGTTAGTCTTCTCTAATTCCATCGTCAGGTCCTGAATCTTCTTTTCCTTCTCATCCTGGGCATGCATCAAAAGAGGCTACTACCGTCATAAGAGGAAGAAGAAGAAGAAGAAGAAGAAGAAGAAGAAGAAGAAGAAGAAGAAGAAAATAAACAAATAGCAGTGCGTTGATCGTGAAAGACTTGAGCAGTCTTAGCAAACCCCAAACAAATTCAAAGACAACAATGTCCCTTAACAAGTTCTTCACCGCATGTTTGGTTTAAACAATCAAGCAGTAGACTTCCATCTAATGAAACATAACAACGCACAGTAGTAACTCGCAAGCCACAAGCTTTGCCTAAACATCCTAGAGAATGAAAAAAGAACAAGTAGTGGCTTAAGCTCGATGAGAGGTTAAAAGTAACAATGCACCTCAATTGCTAAAGTTCTATAGTAAGAGAAACTAACCACTGATTGGGATGCTGCTGCTGATTCACTTTCTCCAATCGCCGGTAGCAGGTCTTGACCACTTCCATTGGTTGAAGGTGTACCTGAAGGTAAACCACTATTCACAGCAGAAATCTTCTTGGCAGCCTCTTGCAATGCATTCATTGCCACCTTGTAAACATGAATCGATTTGGCCCCTTCTTCCACATATTTGATTGCCTCCTGACGCAAATTGTTATACTTAGATGTTGAGGACTCGGGAGTACCATTTGGTATTTCAGAACCGCATTCTTGTTCCAGAATAGCACCACCAGTCCTGGCATCTCTTGTCCATCGTTTCAATATATAATGAGAAGGAAGTGTGAGAACATTTTTGGCTCTGAAAACTGCTAATACATGCCTACAGATTATCCCTGAAAATTCAAACATCTGACAGCTGCAAGTAGCTTTGTTCTCAAACGAACAGAAGCTGACGGTATGTCCTCTGTGGTCTTCTCCAAACTTGGCCACACGATATCGGACAACATCTCCTGAATCATCGACCTTAGTTGCTGGATTAGCAAGAGTTTCAACCAATTCCTCTTGGAACTTCATGAATATTCTTTTGGTATACAAGTTTGCTGCTTGTCTTTCCATTGGGGAAGGAGTCTTCAGAGATGGTGTAGTGTTGGTAGTCTCGTGATCTGCTTTCAGTTCTTCCTCATTCCAGCTTGCTAGAGCCTTTTCGTACTGTTTCACTATCATCTGCATAGTAGTCGAAGCTGTCACAAAACCATCAAAGAACGAGTTCAAACCACCACCATTTCCTGACAACTGTCCGAAAAATGTGTTCCTCATATAAACCGGCACCCACTGTTCCCGCGTTGCATACATGGACTGAAGCAACTGATTATCCATGAGATAGTACCTCTGAAGCAAAGATTGCCAATGTGATTCAAACTCATTAATTGTCTCAGCTCCGTCGATGCACTGCTTGAATTCAGCACCAAAACCTGGATGTGATTGGGATACATCAGAAAGTTTCTCCAATGTTTGTTGCAAGACCTCTTGTTTACAGTACCTATGTCGGGTCTGGGGAAGAACTTGAGCAGCAGCCAACTCAATGTTCCGATCGGGCTCAATGATGAGCGAGACAGGGTGTGGAAGGGATCCCATAGCTCGAAGCCAGGTTTGGAACAGCCAGAGAAATGACGACTCGGATTCATCGAAGATGAGTGCACAACCAAACAGCACAGGCTGCCCGTGGTGGTTGATTCCAGCGAAGGAGGCGAACGGAACCTTAAAGCGGTGAGTTCTGTATGTTGTGTCGAAGGTGACAGCATCTCCAAAGAAGCTATAGTTGATCTTGCAGACGGGATCCGCCCAGAATACAACCCCACCTCCGGAATTCTCATTCTCATGGCCCTTTTGAATTTCGTAAGAAAAACCAGGCCTTTCGACCTGCATCCGCTTCAGGTAATCCAAGACATGCTGCTGAACCCCTCCTCCAAGGGCCCTGTGCCGGCTACCACTCATGAATCCTCTAGCTATCGAAAGAAAAAGGCAGCAGCAGAGCAATGACAAAAACAAAATGAGGATCTAGGGTTCGCTACACAGGAGATGCGTGTTTCGGCCGCGCTTAAGCAGTTGCCATGGCTGATAGATGAATTCTTGAAGCTAGTTAGGCGAATCGGAAGTTGGAAGGAAGAGAAATTCGTTTGGTTGAACGGCCAGGAGGTTTAAACAGCACAATTGAATTGGAACACGCCCAAGAGGCTGTGGTAGAACCGCAGAATTTTGAAGGTACTGATGCTAAGAACCTGAAAAGAAGCGAGGACTTGGGGAGAAGCAATAGACGAACGACTGGTTGATTAGATTACCTTCTCAGTCCTCTTCCAGGCCGAGATGGGACGATAACTGACTGGAGCCTGAAGGCGTCCGTTGAATTTGATTAGAAGAAACCTCGCCGTCTTCGGTCCACCACCGCATTCACAGTCGTTCCTTGCTACTGACTTCGCTTGCCTGAGTGAGATAATCCTACGAAGTAATGCCTAGGAAACGAGGGAAAAAACTAGGGATGTCAATTGCCCACTGAATTTAACTTTAGGGTATAGGTGAAATATATATAAGTTTATAATTTTTAAATGAGTTTTGGGTACGACATTGGTCAATGTTGTCAACTCGTGGATCAATCCGAGTGAATTGACCCAAACCCGATCAGGAAAATGGGTGTCACACATTTTTCGGTGTGACACGCAACAAGGTTTCCAAGTTACAAGTGAAACAACGTCATTTTCTCTTTGATTTGCGAGTTACGTTTGTCTTGTGGTTTTTGTAAGGAAGTGGTTAAGCACCACACACGAACCTGTATAAGATCCAGCATAACCTTCTCTCAACAACTCGAGTTATTGGGATCAACTGGTTATTGACATGGTATCAGAGCCTAGAACTGAAAGGTCATGTGTTCGAATCTCCACAACCCCCAATATTAACCGTTGTCTTTCAAGCACATGGTATGGTGGGCCTGTGCAAACTTCAAGCCCATGAGTCGGCTTTCGTTTGAGGGGGCGTGTAAGGAAGTGGTTAAGCACCACACACGGACCTGTATAAGATCCAGCATAACCTTCTCCCAACAACTCGAGTTATTGGGATCAACTGGTTATTGACAGTTTTCCCCTTCGCCTAACCCTACTTTCGAAATTTTAAGTTGAACATTTTTTTTTAAGAAATGATTACTCCTCTTGAAATATTATCGCGACCTAGTGGCCTCAAATCATTCTGCACCACATGTGTAATAAACTCTGGTGGGTCTCTAAGACAAGACATACAGGGCAAACAATTAGGAGGAGGATGGGCTAGCTAGCCTATGAGCTGCTTCATTTACTTCCCTCCAGCCATAGAACCAACCTCTACAGTCACTCCTTCTATCAGCTTCTTTGATCTGTCATCTGTGAACTGTCCTCATGCTCAGAGAAATCTTCTTATGTGTTCTTCAACCTTTGGATCACTACTTGACAATCCGATTCAATCACATAAGACCCTAAACTCATCTCTTCCATACATTTCACCGCGAACAACACTGCTCTACCTTCTGCAATTGCTGGCGACCAACTCTCCTCCTCTTTTCATACGGTTAGAGGTGACAATTCTCAATCCAATCCACCAATCCAATCCACAAATCCATTAAAAATAGGGTTATAGGTATAATATGCCCCTCTACTATGACGTTTTATCAAACATGCCCCTCTACTATTTTTTACAACAAACATGCCCTTGTACTTTGTAAAAATGATCAAACATGCCCTTTTGTTAAAATTTTCATCTGAAAACCGTTAACCAAGGCCAAATTATAGTTTGGGCGACACAAATGACTAAAATATCCCTAAAAAATTCACTTTAGAATTTTTTTTGGTTCTTTTGTATAATCAAATCATTCAAATAATTTCACTTTGAAAAGACCCAGGAAAATAAAACAGGGGACAAAACTGACATTTTCCCTCCCATTTGTCGATGTCAGGTCGTCTAAATCTCAATTCAACCATGATTGACGATTTTTTCAATCGAAATTTTAACAGAAGGGCAAATTTGATAATTTTTTCAAAGTACAGGGGCATATTTGATGTAGAAAATAGTATAGGGGCATGTTTGATAAAACGTCATAGTAGAGGGGCATATTATACCTATAACCCTTAAAAATATCCACCTAATCTAATCCATTTAAATCCAATCCATTTTATCCAAATCCAATTGGATTGGTGGATTCATAGATTGATCCATGGATCCAAATGACAAATTACGGCTTGATACCTATACTTTTTATATTTTACATTTTGGTATTTAATATGAAAAATATCATTGGAAAATTACATTTTTGGTACCTAAAATTTTTTATTATGACATTTTAGTACCTAAACTTTTCACATTTTACATATTGGTCCTTGGTTGAGGATGTCATTTGAATTCATGGATAATCAACCAATCCACTTGATCCAATCCATGAATCCACCAATCCATTTGATCCATGGATCCACCAATCCATGGATCAATCCATTTGCCACCTCTATTTACTGCTGCAAAAACAAATTGTCCAGTCCAATCTCTTACTATTGAAAGTATGGGTATCATTATGTAATTTGTATCTAGGGTTTGTCTTAGCAAACCATATATATATATCCTTGTAGAGTGTACAGGAGGATTTAACGAATAAGAAAACAGAAAACCCGAGAGGGAGATCCTCTCTGTAGACTAGTGTCAGATTGACGATACCACGTTAAAAAAGGCTTGTGTGTTCTTCCTTCCGAGCTTAGATTGATTGTTTCACATGGTATCAGAGCCTTCTGTGACCGAGAGGTCTTGTGTTCGATTCCCGGTGACCCCCATTTGTTAAGCACATGGTATTCTTGTCTTCAAACCAAGGACCAGGATACCGTACCGGACCGGCCGGTCGGACCAGAAAAACCGGAAACCGGACCTGGCCCGGCACAACATGGCCTTTATACCATCCAAGAGGCTGTCGGGCGGTTTTTACGGTTGGACCGCAACCGGCCGAAATTTCGGCCGGGTTTATTAAAACCGGCGGTCCCTTTAATTTAAATGAAACGACGCCGTTTTGACCAAGTAAAAAAAAAAAAAAAGAGAAGCAGAGACAAAAGTCGAAACCCTACCTTCGACTGCTGCTGGCTAGCGCTTCTCTCCTCACTCTCCTCTCGTCTCCCCCGCGCCACTCTGCCTTTCCATCCAAACTCCTTTCCATTTTTGCATTTTCTCACCACCGGCGAGTGGCGACAGCGGCGTCCCCAGCATCCAAACACCACTGGCGACTCGTCCTCCCCAGCAACTCGTTCACAGCCGCGCCGCGCCGGAGGAGAAAGACGGTTCGGCTGCTCCAGGTGACCTCGGCGACTCGTCCTCCCCAGCAACTCGTTCACACTTCACAGCCGCGCCGCGTCGGAGGAGAAAGACGATTCGGCTGCTCCAGGTGACCTCGGCGACTCGTCCTCCCCAGCAACTCGTTCACAGCCGCGCCGCGCCGGAGGAGAAGGACGGTTCGGCTGCTCCAGGTGACCTCCTTCCCCCTGCTCCAGGTCACTAATAATTCCATCCAAAGAAAATCGAAGAGCAAGGCTAGGAAAAAATTGTCGATACAAATTCCATCTTTCTTTCTGCTAGCTGGCTGCTATGCTACATAGCAACTCTAAAGGATTAGATTCAATCCAATATTCCAACCTAAATTCAAATAGAGAATTATATTCCACTTGCTCCAGTTCAATTATTGGCTAAATAAATTGGCTAAATAACTTGTGATTTGTGGAACATTAAGCTTGTGATTTGTGAACATTAAGCTTGTGGTTTTTGTACTAGTTTCTAAAAATGTATTTGGATGATTATGAGGTTTATTAGGTATTGAAATCTCGCACTTTGTTGAATGTTACCTAAGCTTATTTACTCTTTTACAGTTTCTTAGGCGGTATAATCCGGTTTTATTCCGGTATTTTCCCGGTATGGTACCCTAATTTTGTCGGTACGGTTTTTTAACAAAAAAATATTTCTTTTATTCCAAAAACGGTATTTTCCGGTAGGAAACGGTTGAACCATGGTTGTACCACGATTTACCATACCAAAAACGATTCCGGTTTGATGTCCGGTACGGTTTCGTAATCCATGCTTCAAACCTGTGCAAACTTCAAGCCCTTGTGAGTGGCTCTCGTTTGAGGGGGCGTGTTAGTGTTGTGGTATATGATCCACGATTGAACCTCTCCCAACAACTCGAGTTACTGGGAGCAACTGGTTCTTGACAATGTCAAACAATCAATCTAAGCTCGGAAGGAAGAACACACAAGCCTTTTTTAACGTGGTATCGTCAATCTGACACTAGTCCACGGAGAGGATCTCCCTCTCGGGTTTTCTGTTTTCTTATTCGTTAAATCCTTCTGTACAGTCTACAAGGATATATATATATGGTTTGCTAAGACAAACCCTAGATACAAATTACATAATGATACCCATACTTTCAACACCCTCCCTCAAATTGATGTTGGGTATATAACATCAATTTGCAAGATAGAAACCAGTGGCGGCTTGAACCTAGAGCTTTTGTCAAAATGTCAGCAGTCTGATCATCTGTAGAAAGATGACTAATTTGTATTATTCCTTCGGCCACCAACTGTCGAATATAATGGACATGATTATTGGCTATCTGGATAGCCATTTCCTTGAAAAACTTTAACACCGTCAGTGACTCTGTTAATGACGCGAATGTTACCCTGAGGTGGATGTCACCCCAGGTTACAGGTCAGCTCCAACAAGCCACCCTCATTGCCGTCGGCAAAAAAAAAAAAAAAACCTCATTTACCAAGTAAACCCCTAATTTCCCATATATCTTTACAAGCCCTTTCTCCCAGTCCCATCATTCTTTTGCTCTCCAATTGTGACCGCGACAACAAATGCTTTCCTCATTTCCATGCATATCAAGCGAACTCATTCCCTTTCTTTGTCACCCTAATTCATCTCGATGCAAAAGAAGGCATAGGAGAAAGAAAAGCATAGTTACTCGCCCTAATTCATCAACACGAGCTCCCGCCCAAAGGTCTGGATTTTGACATCCTAGGTTCAGAAAAAAACAGAGTTCCTCGCCGATGGATTTCTTTGTTCGTTGAACTTTGTTTTGAGCTTTGCCACCATCGATTCAGAGCAGCTTCCTACGGGACAAATAAAATGTCCACCTCTTCGCATTCTATTCTCGGCCTGCAAGCCTTTAACTAGATCTCAAGAACTTGAACGAATCTCAAACTCCCAATTAGATTCCCCAAGCAATTTAGTACTCCCTAGATGAATCGAGCATCAAAGGAGTGGTTCTGGGATATCATACCTTCAATTATGGGTGGCTTTGGCTATGTCATTCGACCGGTAAAGAATTTATTTTTGGTGGAAGAAGATGATGACCGTGCAAGAAAAAGTGGATCGAGAGATCCGTCGCCAATCCTCTAGGCCTCGTCCTTCGTAGGAGTTCCCGAAGACAAGAAGTCGGAGTATTTTACAGCTGAGAGGAAGAAACGGTGTGATCAGGTTCAAACCAGATTATATGTATGGTCTACGATGCAGACCAAGAGGCTAGGGTATAGATCTAAGAACATACCACATATTGTACGGTCCAGACCACGCCTGTGAAGTCTGGCTTGGTACGGTGTGGTCTAGATATACTACATTGAACTTAAAATGAATGAAGAAGTTATTTATTCAACCACAAAAAAAAAAAAAAATTGAACAAGTATGTGATAAAAAAAATGTTTTTTTTGCCTTAAAACATAAACTCCATTATTCATGAATAATTTCGACACCGTAAAAATCTCAATAAAAAACAAGAATACAAAGTCAAAGCATGCCAAATGTCATAAACATTAATATCATATGGAGACACTTTTGTCTCTACTCTCCGGTGAAATGTGGTTGTGAATGAAGGAGGGGACGATATATTTAAAAGTAGGGTTGAGACTTGAATTTTGTTTGGGGGGGGGGGGGGGAGTGTTGGGAGAGTGGTCGAGTGGGTTGCTAACACATATTGAGAATTCAATTGGGTCCACGGTTTGGTCCAGTAAACCGCGGTCTAGATCAGACTAGAACAAGAGATCAAAACAACACATAATAACACCATGGACAAGACCAGACCATCTTAGCGGTCTACGGTATGGACCAAACTGTGCGTTCACGTTTGGTTCATAATTTTTGAAACAGTATGGTCTATTTTCTCATCCCTACTACTATCGTATTTTCTCAAACTTGCTCCCTCCGGTATTTTTCATGTCAAAATTGCTCCTTTACTATTAATATGTTCCAAAGCTCGCTCTTCCATTAAGTTTTCCGTTCAAATCTTTTCGAACTGTAGTTGAACCTAGTCTAGGTCGAGGTTAAATGACAGTTTTACCTAAAAAAAAAAGACAACTATTATTGTAACTAAAAAACATAAAAGATAAACCCTACCACCGTCTTTCCCTCTAATCTATAATGTTTTTCTTTCCTTCCCAACTTTCCCCTCTTCAAGATCTGAGCTTTGAAGAAACTTCCCAACGTCAGGCAAGAATAACAATAACCATCGATTGAACTAGCTGATTCACTCACTCACTCTCCCACCAACCAACCGATTGAACTTGAATTGATGTAGATGCAACGGGTACCAAAGGGTGAAAAACATCTTTATTTCGCTGCTTCGCGGTAGCCTCCTCATCATAATATTATTCACCACACTAGGGTGACTAGTTTGTAATATGTAGAGAAAGAATGATGGTATGATACTTAACCAAATATATATCCCGCTCGTTGGCAGTCTCTCACACTGATCCATATAGGGATGGCAATTTCGACCTAACCCGTTTTATCCGACCTATTTGGCCTGTTTTGGAGCGGGAATGAGTATCTCTCGTCGACCCGACCTACCTTGACCCGCCTCATTCTCAAATCGTTCTTACCTAAATTACATGTAATATTAGTCAAATTACTTAGAATTTCTCTCATATTTTAGCTATAATAAAGTTGTAAATAAGTGAAAACCTTAATTTCTCCAATACTTCAACTACATTTTATCATATTATGGTTTGTTTCTTGGTCTTTTTAAGGGTAGTAAACGGTAATCCGGTAAACGGTTTACCGTTTTACCGAACCGGTAACCGACGGTAAACGATAAACCGTTTACCGGCGGTATCGGCAGCCGAGCAGGAAGTTGGGTGAGTCGGTTTACCGGACACGGTATCGGTAAATACCGATTTACCGTCGGTATTATCGATACCGAATCCCCCCTCCCTACTCCCTAGTGTTGCGCTGCATTTTGTTGCTTTACCCCCAAAAATATAAAATATTACATACATGAATGTAAGTATAGGCCTAAAAAATACTGTAAATAAGAGTTAATAATAAATTATTAATTATAAAAATGATGAAAAAAACTCAAAAAAATCAAAATATTACAACATCACCCCACTTCCAGAAATTCGGTTGGGTAAATATTCGGTAAACCGACCGAAAAACCGCCCAAAATCGCTTCTCACGGTATTTCGGTAATACCGATTTGTAACCGTTTACCGGTAATTCGGTAATCGGTAAACCGGTAATTCGGTAATCGGTAAACCGGTTACAAACCGGTATCGATAATCGGTAACCAGCTTGGCCAACTTCGGTATACCGAAACCGGTAAATTCGGTAAACGGTAAATTATTTACCGACCGAATCCCTCCCCTAGGTCTTTCACATAAATGACATACCCGTTGGGTCGACCTGCCCCGACCCGTACCCCATGATAAATTACCCGACCTGCCACGGGGCGAGTATGGGTATCGAGATACCCGACCCAAACCTGCCCATTGTCATTTCTAGATCCACATAAGTGGTCGCCTTATCTGGCTTGGGCCACAACCCACAAGATCAATAACAAACGAGCTATTTCTAGCTCAGATCTAGAGCATCCCCTCCTATGCCAAATTAAAGAATATTAATCGTCATCCCATCAAGGAGATCGACTTCATTGTCTCCCTTCTCATCTTTGGCATCGTCGTTGACTTTTCATGGACCCCCATTGAGTCGGCGGCGACCGTGAATATAGTTAATCGTCCTCTACGTTCATATTCATAATTGCTTCGTCCTAGTGACTTTAGAGAGTTTGTTTCCAAATATGTTATATGTATGCCTAAATTCATTTAGTGTTAATGATTTTTCACTTCCCTACATGTTTGCTAAAACCGATATAAACTAGCATAAATCGATTGTACCACCGGTCGAATCATACTACTTGTTAACCCGACATAACCGTATAAACCAGTTTCACAACCTTGGACTGTGATACTCACTCTATTTCCAAGTAATATAAACAAAAACAATATTATATAGTACACATAACATCCTGAATCTTCTTTGATAATGTATTGCCGGTTTTGGACCCAGACAGTCACGAATTTTGCATTGGGTGCATATCAAGACGACTTTCATAAAATCATCTATCTTTGTAGTACTTCACACCGAGTATGTTTAACTTCAAAGTTCTTTTTTTTTTGAAAGTAACTTCAAAGTTCTTTTAAGGACGCTTCCATCAACACAAAACACATCTTATCAATTAAAGTCAGTTTCTTATTTTATGAGTCATGAATCCCTCACATACTTTATCGGTATGAGATTTGCCTCTCATGTACATACTTCCTACTAATTTTTTTAATAGGTAATGTATATTTTTATCCAAATCTTTCTCAGATTCTTTTATATTATCCAAACCTATTAAAATGCTATTAAGTAACCAAATCTTTCGTAATGCATCAAAACATTATCCATTTTTACGTTATCGTTAATAAATTTGTAGCTCTTTTCTTAGTTAAAATACTTAAATTTGAAAATGTTGATCTCATGTGTCTCTTCCAAGTCAGTATCATGTTGCCAAATCAATATTACTAACAAAATTGCTCACTGAAAAAGTGAAAAGTTAACATTTGACTAATTTTTAGTTTTTCGATTAGTTTAACTAATAAAAAAAATTTAGATAATAAATAAACGTTACCCAAATTTTTTTATTGAAAATACTTCCTATTCCTGCTTCCGTTAAATCGTAACTTCTGTCCTTTGCGGGAAATTGTCAAATTGAGCGAAAAAGGTTGTACGGAGCGGATCAGCCACCGCCGCCGCCGCCGCCGCAACTCCGCCTTCTCCTCCTCCTCTTCTTCATCCACCATCTCCAAGCGACGTCGACCAGCTCATGTAAAATATCCCGTCCGACACCGCGAGAAAGAAACGTACGACTTATCTCTTTTCTTTTCCCTTTCTCTCTTTCTGTCCGTGTTTTCGTCTCTCTCTTTCTTCTTGGCTCCGATTGTTACAGTCAGGTCTCAGGTCACGTCGGTAAACTTCAGACGGCTTATGGATTCCGGGCTTCACGCCATTGTTTCTTCTTTGCAATTGGGTTTTCTTTTCTCCGTCTTCATTATCCTTACACAACAACTGACTTCTCTCTCTATCTCTCTCTGTCTAGGGTTACGTTGCCTTTCGTTCTCTTCGTCTCATCACTCCTTCACTCAACACTGTAAGTATCCTCTCTTGCCCTCTTCCTTCTTCTTTCTATTCAAGTATTTGATTTCCTTAGCCGGTTCTGCAGCTCCATCTGTGTAGATTTTCGTTCTAGAGACATGGGTGATCCCAAAGAAGCGGAGAATGTTAATGCTGAAAATGCGGCTGTGGTTGCCGCTGATGGAGAACTCAATCCCAATCTAGAAAATGCTGCACAAGATCATCAACAATTTGATCCCCAACTCCCTAGTGAAAATAAAGGGGCAGAGTTGTCTGCATTGGATGCTGGTGGTGTTCCTATGGATGTGGAGACCCTCAATTGTACAAATGATGCCCCTGGCATTATTGAACTTGCTCCTGTTGCTGATAATCCCGACAAAGCCGACAATCCACATTGCTCGGGGGACATAATGGCTAGTGCTGCTGCTGCTCCTGAGCCCCTCTCTGCTGATAAAGAGTCCTCTATTGGCGTTGCTGCTTGTGCGGAGCCCCCTGCCCATAAATCATCGGACGATGCTAAGCAGGAAGCAAATAATGAAGATGCAAGTTTCAAATCCAGGCGTCCTGATGATAGCAGTGCTGATGATGGCACAATTGTTCCAAATGGTCAGAAGCAATTTTCTACCACCAAATATGAGGAAGATACGGTTTCTCCTGTGGCTGATAACCAGTCTGCTGAGAGCAAAGATGATCAGGGGGGAGAGAGAGTCTCCGTATTGAAAGACGAACTGGCCAAGGTTGACTTGCCGGTTCACTCTGTAAATAAGAAGGAACTTGCCAAATCCAAGTTGGATGAAGAAGAGTCTGGAGGTGCTCTGAGAACCCCTGGCAGAAATTTCCTTTTGGAACCTTCATCGGATGAGGGATACGAGTCGGGAACAGAGGAGGAACAATTGGAGTTCATGAAGGAGGTTGAAACTTTTTATAGAGATAATCACTTGGAGTTCAAGGCCCCAAAGTTTTACAAAGAAGAACTAAACCTGCTTAAGTAAGTTTTTGCAACTCACACAGAATTCCTGCTTGTTTCTCCCGGTTTACATCCATTCATAAAGATTCTTGATCGTTCTGCTGCTGCATTTGATTAAGGTTATGGAGAGCTGTCGTCAAACTGGGAGGCTATGAACAGGTTCAGTCTGATTTTTGTCCTCCTTCAAACTGGTTAAGTTTCTGCCAATTGATAGACTAGTTTCTCGCATGTTATGATTTTCACTGTTTAGCACCGTACTGCACATATGCATGGCCATTTAGACACATATTTGTTTGATTATTCCTGGCACACTGTGTTTAGGGAACCTTCTCAGCTTTCAGCCTGGACGTATCCATGATTGTTTGATTTTCTTGTGTCTTTGTTTTTTTTTTTTTTTGAAACAGTCTTGTGTCTTTGTTGAATTGTGGAAGTTAGTCGCTTTCTAAGAAAGCATTTTCTTTGAAAGTATCTATTTAATCTACCTTGTTTGGATCTTATGTTGGATAAAGGTGTGTGAATAATTAGTCAATCCTGTGCTGTTATCATCTGAAATTTGAAACATCCCTTCTCTGTTGGGAGGCAAAGTAGGTAACTGATGATTTGGAGAACCTTGCTTTTTCTTCTGTGTTCTCTAATGTTCCTTTTCAGTTTTTTCCTCCTATTGTCAAATGTGTCATATTTTCATGAGAGCAGATTCATCTCTGTTGGTATTGGTATTATAGTCTTTTCTATGGTTTCTTATTTTCTGTAGGTGACATCATGCAAGTTATGGCGGCAAGTTGGCGAATCATTTAGACCTCCAAAGTAATGACCTTTAATTTTAAGTTGATTTCTGGATTTTGGCTTGATTAATAGGAACTGGAAACTGAAGCTTCTTTTGGGAAGTAAACACTGTCTCCGAGCCAAGACACATTTGTTTATGCATTATTTGAAATGTGTTTGATTTGTAGAATGGACTTTAAAACTTCGACAATTTTCTAGTTCTTGTAGTGGTTATGTCTAGACATTATATGACTAGCTACTGGAGAACGTATCATTTCTACCGTAAAACAAGTATTGTTCCATCTGTCTCGGATTTATTAGGTTCAATTTGTTAATTTAAATCAATTTTTTTCTTTTTCTACCTTACTAGGACGTGCACAACAGTCTCGTGGACATTCAGAATTTTTTATGAGAAGGTTAACCTCTGTCTTATCTGGTTGTCTATCAGCTAGTGGTTTTTTTTATCTAAAGAAGTTCTTGAATCTGCTTTATTCTCTTCATTCAGGCATTGTTTGAATACGAGAAGCATAAAATGCGTAATGGTGAGCTTCCTTTTTCTGATGGTATATCAATCGAGGCTACAAGGCCAGAAAACCAGGTAAGCTAGATTGGCTTTGCGGGGATATATTTGCTGCATCCATCTTGGTTATGAATAAAAGCCCTAAAAGAATATTGGTCCCTCTAAGTTCTCTGTGTATGTTAATCTGGGAAATATCATGTTAAGATTTCCTTTACTTGATTAGCTGATGGGCAATGTATGCATCCAACAGTGTCTGTGTACTGTGGGATTAATGGGTGATTCTGAGGTCAATGGTATTCTAGATGTTTTGTTGCATTGATCGTTTATAGGTAAACAAGTCTGTTGTTAAGTTTATCTATTACTCATTTTTAGAAGATAAATTCAACTGGATTAATTGTGAGTAACATCATTCCATGCTACTTAATGTTAAGTTGCAAGAAAGGATAATTGGAAGGTGGACCTAGTAATATCTAAAAGATCATTCACCTACATGTATTGTTGTCTGTGGAATTAACCTGTCTATAGCTGCCTTCATTATCATTCCCCCTTTTTGGTTTAGATAACTGCCTTGTATTCTCAATACATATACGTAATACTCAGCTGCTAAACTTATCAGAGGTTCTGATATTTGTACTTTTGAGATGTTTTTCCCTGAAGTACTTCATTGACGAATTTCGGACGAATACTTGAACACGCTTAAGTAGTAATGCAATTCTTTCAATTATTCCCCCAGTTTTTGTGGGATTTTTGTTTCCACTTATCATATTTGATGTGCTTTATGAGTTTGTCCCGTGGTAAAATGTTTCTCTTCAGCGTGCATCTGCCGATTTGCCTGGCTTTTCCAGTGTCACACTCTAGGGCTTCGGATCCAGGATCGCTTTTCACGAAATTGTTGTATCAATGTTGATTGCAGTCCAGTGGAAGCTTGGGTCTCGTACCTGGTCGAGCGCCACGAAGAGATGCTGCTGCTCGTGCAATGCAGGGTTGGCATTCTCAACGCCTGCTTGGTAATGGCGAGGTTTCTCAACCAGTCATTAAGGTGCGTGAAAATAGCTTCAGTTTCTACTTCTACTGCTGCAATTTCATTTCTGATTAATTTCTCAACCTTCTTGCTGTTTTGGACTTAGGATAAGAATTTGAGCTCCATCCCCAAGGTTGAGAAGCCATTGAAGACAAATGGTATGACTTAATTTCATTTCTGATCTTTTATATCAGCATCTTGGTCCCATAATAAACATGTGTGTAAAGTCTGAGTTTCGCTTACCCTCTATCAGGTTTACTTAAGAGGAAGAAGCTGTCAAGTGCTGAACGCGCCATTAATGTTTCTCCCTTGAAAACAACAAGGACACAGTTAGGTTTTTGTTTTAAATATTCCTTATTTTTCTTAAATGTAGTGGATTATGAAAACTAGAAACCTTAATTCCTTTCTTCATCAGAGCGGATAGTGTGGTAATCGATGTGGGACCCCCTGCTGACTGGGTGAAGGTCAATGTACAGAGAACTGTAAGATTTCTGTTTCCATTTCAATGAACTTAAATTCTTGATTTGCGACTTCAATGGTTATCGTCTTGAGTTTTTGCTGATTCTGCTTGCTTTTCACAGAATGATTGCTATGAGGTATATGCTTTAGTTCCCGGACTTCTACGCGAGGAGGTAAGATGTACATATCATAGAGATCTTCAATGTAATATCTTTCTCATTAAACGAAAATGTAGGTCTCCATGGCAACAGGTTTTAATTGGTTTAACCTCTTAAATGCGTATCATGGAGGTTAGAGAACTATTGTTGGTCTTGTATTTGATTCTTGCTCCATGGTAAGCAAATTTAGCTGACACTACATGCTTGTCTGTCCTTCGTATTATCATAACATACAATTGGCTAGAGGGGCCTTCAGAAAGAATTTCTGAAGTATGATACCCAAAGTGTTCAACAGTACAAATTTTGTGCTTGCAAGTTGTTGATACGTTTGCTGTATGAACACTTGATGTCCATGTTTTCCCCTCCCCTTTCCTAGAAAAGTGGAACCTGTGCTGCTCTGCTGTGTTGATTTCTAATGAACCAATTTCATTCATATGCTCACTTGATGCTCATATATATGCTGCAAATTTCCTGTTCTTTCCTTCCGTAAAATTGCACAGATCCCTAGAATAAACCCAAACTTGGGATGCTTCCTGAACCAGTTCAACCGCTTGGCCAGTTATTAAGTGCGGTGGCAATTGTGGCCTGTGGGAAATGGACGATTGTGTTATTCTCTGGCATTAGTTTGTGATTAGCCTAGCTCTACCGTGGGTGTCCTGATGATATTTGGAACAATTTCATGTGCAGGTTCATGTTCAGTCTGATGCAGCTGGGCGCTTGGTTATATCTGGTCAACCAGAACAACTTGAAAATCCCTGGGGTGTCACTCCATTTAAAAAGGTGAGTTTTGAATGACTGAAGCGGATGCCTTTACAAGCTTCAGTTGGAAAAGCTTGTTGGCATTGACCTCTTCTCTTGTTCCATTCGTTTTTAACTTTTGTCATCACGAGACATCCAACTCTCTTATAGAGAAACACAGGCCAACTTCTCTAAGCCGCTAGGCCTCATTTTGGCTGGATGATAAGTGTTAATGCGGGAAACAGAGCCTTACATCGGTTGTTGACTTGCAGGTGGTTAGCCTCCCTTCAAGGATCGATCCTCATCAAACATCCGCAGTAGTGACCTTGCACGGTCAGTTATTTGTGCGAGTACCATTCGAGCAGTCTGATGGTTAAGCTGTGGATATGCTCCAACTCGAGACTAGAAGGTCCTTTAAATTGCTTAGGAATGACTGAGGAAACATTAATGTAGCATCTCCCCCCATAGACATGATTTGGTAGTGCCAACTGCCAGGGCATTTTCATTACCCGTAGTCAACTGGGAAGAGCTAACCATGCTTTTCTTGACATTGTATTGTAGTAGTAACTTTATTATCGCCATGCATGAATACTACTTGTAATTTAAAGACAATGGCGATTAGTTGACATATATGCTAAATAATACGTTTGATCATTGTGTTTATCATGCTGTTTCATGATTGTCACAAGAAAAAAAAAAATTAATTGCATTAGTTATTGATGGAAATAGTAGTCTCGATGAACAGGGCGATGATGAATCTACGTTGGTGGCCGCATGCCTTCAAATTGCTACTCCCAGCCAAAGCCTAGGTGAAATTGAGGAGCAAAACTTGTACCCGACAGTTTGAAATGCATCGTTGCACCAGCGCATTTTGAAGCTGGAAAGCGCTGTGCATATGACTGCAAATGAGCCAAACCGCTCACGACCTGCTCAGACTTTTGGTTCGGAAAAGGGTTGTTCAGTGCAATTGTGCTCTTGAAGTCGGTTAGTTCTAGTGGGATGTCCTGCCATCTCTGTTTTGGGATTTCTTTCTGCTGCAAGCCTGCAACACATAATATAATGCATTCATTCCACAAGGCTCTGTCAGCATTTGACATAACACGTTTTTAAAATGGTCGAAAGAAGTGAGTTACAGATGAAAACTGGAATCTCCTTTCCCATGTCTTCTTCCCTAGTTTACAAATCAGATTGCATAACAACTTAAAAGAGCTAGTTCTACTCTGCTTCGGTTTAGGGCAAGCCCTGTGACCCTGTTTGTGTCTCTGCCTGCCTGTTTGTCTGTCTGGTATTGAAATGTTTACAGAGCTACAACAAAAAAACAAAAACAAAAACAAAAGCATATATAAGAAGTCGCAGCTTTCCATACGAGCCCTCAGCTGGGCTGGAGGATTATTAGGGGAACTGGAAACCACCACCCGTTCCACCGGGTTGCGTCGGAGTGTTGACGACGGCCGGCGGGCTAATAGCAATCCACAGAAGAGAGAGCGTGATGGCTATCAAGCCCGACCACACAAACACAATGGTCGGAGTCTTCCCTCTCCTCCCCATCAGCCCTTTGGCGAAAGGGTAGAGGTGCGCCAGCACCCAGAAGCTGAAAAACCCGCCACCCACCAGCTTGCTCCACTGCGGCACCGCGCTGTAGATCGTCCTGATGACCGCCCACGCCATGGCTATGATGTTGGTCATCGCGATCACGATCGGAGGAATCATGAGGGAAGTCCACTTCACCAGGTACAGCTCCGCGTAGATGTCGTCGTTGTCGTCCCCTGCTCCTTTGGAAGTCAGGGTGAATGATATCTCGATCCCGGCAATGACCTTGAGCAGGCCCTGCACCACCGCGGCCAGGTGCGCGCTGGTCCCAGAGATGAGCCAGAACTGCTCGTTCCTCCACCATTCCTCCAGCCCGACCCCCGACCACTTGACCTCCAGGACGGCGAGTCCGATGAGGCAGCAGGTGATGATCAGCAGGTACACCAGGAAAGCAATGTTGAGGCTCTCCACGATGAAGGACCCCGAGAAGAGGGACAGCGCCGGGAGGAAGCAGTACACGATCAGGAAGATGGACGTGAAAGGGTAGATGCCGACGTTGATGTAGAAGAGTCGCTGCAGCAGCATGAGCTTCCTGGAGGCGAGGAAGGCGTTGTTTCTCGAGAAGAAGATCTCCACCGACCCCGTCGCCCACCTCAGCACCTGGTGGAGCCGGTCCGTCAGGTTGATCGGAGCTCCTCCGCGGAATGCGTCTCGCTTGGTGACGCAGTAGACGGAGTGCCAGCCGCGGTTGTGCATGCGGTAACCTGTCACCACGTCCTCTGTCACTGAGCCGTAGATCCACCCCACACGGTCTCCCCACTCTGTTTTATCCTCGTACCTGGGTTTTGTGATGGAAGTTCATTGATCCACAACAAGTGAGAAGTAAGTATCAATGTAATTTAACTGCAGGAGACATTACCAGCAAGAGATTACAGACACGGCTTCAGCGACAGTGGTGGCATCGAGCGGTTCCCTGGGAACTCTGAGAGCACCAGGAGGGCGTCCGTATTTGACAGCAGGATGGTCAGCTAAGGGTCGAGCTTGGTACTCCGCAACAGGTATGGATTCAGCTAGCATCGTCGAGTTGCCAAACCTTTTGGGCAGCAGATTGAGGTCGAGATCGGGATCGAAATCGGTAGTAGTCAAGGGATGCGTCTCAGCGGAGGAGGAATCATCCTTGGGTTGAGTCTTGTCAGGATTCGGTGGATCGAACCCGTAGAGTGCAAACCTCCGAAACATACAACCCGTGCCCACGTACACCGGACCTTGCAGGCCATCGAGGGCACGCATGTTACCATCGAAGAAGACGGTGTTCTTGTTGGCATACCGATCAGAAGGATCAATCCCTTCAAATCTCTGAGGGAACTGAATGTAGCAGATGTTCTCCCCACCTCTATCCATCATGAAACACATGCCTTCTCTTATGGCCTTGCAGTTGTAAATGTAGTGATCGCAATCGAGATTCAGCATGAATGGGCCATTGGAGAGAATCGCAGACGCCCTGACCAAACAGTTCATCGCACCAGCTTTCTTGTTGTGGTCATACCCTGGTCTCTTCTCACGCGACACATAGACAAACATCGGGAGGCGAATGTCGACATTGGTGAAGTCGAGAATCTTGTCATCGGATCCGCCCATTAGAGGGTCGGTGCTAGGCGGCTTGAGCATGACCTGCAGAATCCCAGAGTGGTCTCCTTTGGCATGGTCAGGGGCTGAAGCAGCCCACGTTCCGGGCCAGTGGGTACCATCCGCCATCCATGTAGCCTTCTGAATCTTAATGGGTTCCAATGGGTCAGCCCCACTCTCCCTCTTGTGCTTCAACATCTTCATCTCTTCTCTGGCATTGAAAGCATCAGACCGCCTGCGTATCGAATCCGGCAGGCTGTTGATCCTCACTTTGAACTCGTCGTACTCCCGCTTCATCCTTCTCCTGTCCTTGACAAAGTCGGACCTGCTCTTGTTCTTGGTTGGGTCCACTTTCAAGCTGAAATAGCTGTCAGGATTTCTCGGCTCGATGTTGTGCTTTCGACAGAAGGGGACCCATAGGTCGGCGAAACTTGCAGCCTCTGCCATGGCCTCGAATGTCAACAATGCACCTCCGTCGTCAGATATGTAACACGCAAGCTTCTCCACAGGGTAGTCTACCGCCAAGATGGAGAGAATAGTGTTGGCAGTGATGAGCGGTGGTTCCTTCTCAGGATCTGCCGTGGAGACGAACATGTCTACACCTGGGAGGTCGGAGCGGCCAGTGGGGTTGGATGGAGATGGCATCTCAAATTTTTCCTTCAGCACCTCGAGGTCGGTCAATCGATAAACGGGGCATAGTTTCGGGATTTGATCAAGAATCCAAGAGAAGGCGAACCAGAGCTCACATGTGATGGACATAGCCCACAGCCACACTGCATCTCTGTTGGGATGAGTGATCCTCCATTGCAGGAAGAACCCCAACACCACGAATCGGATCACGATGAGAAGGCGGTAAGGGCTGAGGATCGAGGAGTCGACCAACATCTTTCGACTAAGGGGCTGCCAAGGTTTGTCGTTCCTTTCCAACATGGACGCGCCATTGAAACCCTCGTCGCCACCATCGTCGCCGTACACGTCGTCCGGAGGTGGCCAGTAGGCATTTCCATAGCCATACGTGCCTTTGGTCTCGAATAACCAACGATTGTGATCGAACTCTCCATTTTGGTTGCGTTTCATCATGGACATGTTGCTGGAATCTCCTTTGTTCGGTGGCGGCAATGGCAGCGCCCCTTTGGAGAAATCAGATACGTCGTCGTCGTAGTCCCCATGTCTGTATGGCTCTTTGCATCCTGGACATAACCCACCATCTTTTTGAGCGTCCATGTAGCAATCTCTGCAGATTTTGAACCTAAAACACCCATGCAAACAGACGAGAAAAACATGTTAAAACATTAGATGAATGTTGGATCCTTTACCATTTTCCTAACGTTTTACACGTTGCGTACCTGCACTCGCAAGGGATGACATCGTTGCCACGCTCATCCTTGATGACTTTCCCGTCGCAAGCAGCCATGGCGCAAGAAGATCCCCTGGCACCAGCCATCTGGGGATGAGTGACCTCGGAGTCGATGACCTTGTCCATGAGGTGAGCGCGGGTGACGCTGTTGAAGCCACCGGTGAACAAGGAATTCGACACGTACTGTTCCTCGGCTTTCACCGCCACCGATGAGGTGTCCATCGGCTGGTTGTCCGGGGTGGGAGGGATGTGGACGGTGTAGTTCATGTAGTCGCCGGATATCTCGTCGGACATGTCCAAGTCCTCTCTCGATAGGCTGACGTATCGCCCACTGGACGTTCGACGGGCAAATTTCACAGTTTGCCCGCTCCCGCTCGCATTCCGGTTCCCACCTTGTTGGCTCGCGTTTGGCGCACCGGGGTTACGCATTGCCTTCTTTGATGGCTGAGAAGATAACGACGACATAAAAGTGTTTTATATATCGATAATCAAAATTGTAAATTTTCTCTTATATTCGTGTTGCTATGAATTTGAATCATGAATGCATGATCGTGGTAGTGAAAAGGAAAATAAAAAACAAATTCTAACAATTAGCTAGGTGGGTTGCATTTCTGCATATGATTTCATGACGAATAAAGGAAAAAACAAAAGAATAGAGAGAGAGAGAGAAAGAGCTTTACGGTGATTATTGTGGAAGGAAGAAAAAAGTTATTGAATCAGAGAGAAATGAGAAGAAAAAGGTGGTGGAAGGGAGAAAAGAAGGTATTTATATGTCATAAAAATGTGGGGAGTGTATTAGAGACTTATTAGTGGCTGGAAAAAAAGAGGTGTGGAGGAGAGGGAGGAGAGATGTGGTGGAGGTGCTCCTTTTAAATTTCCTATAGTTTAATAGAAGGAAATATTTTATATCAATTTGATTGTAAATTGTTATTAACACATATATAGAGGAGTATATATGAGATTTGTGCCACATCAGCCATCGTAAGGCAGCCTTTAATTGGCGGAAGGGCATTTGTGCCAAAGTAGTAATTTCTTGGGCCTGTTAAATTGAGGCCCGCTAAAAAAAATAAACGGGAGCCATAAACGGGCAGGTTAATTAGGCCTGCTAAAACATATTTATGGGAAATTAAAAGTATATCTATATATGCTAATTTCACAAACCGACTCCAAGCTTGAACAATGCGTCTCGTTGTGCGTCTAGCAGGCAAGGTCGAGATCACGGTGTCAGACCATGATCTTTGCAACGAAGACTCTAAAGTTGGGCATGAAACGACAATGATTTTGGCCGAGATCACGACCTAGATGTCAAGATCATGGTCGTGATCTTCAGCCCGTGATTTGGGCACTTAGGCTGTATAAATAGAAGGCAGTTGGGAGAGAGAAAGGTAGTTGACCGTGACCTTCAATCTGTTTTCCATAAAGGTTCTGACCAAAAACACCAAATAGGCATTTCTAGAGAGAGAGATCTTGAGTGATTTTGGAGCTTAACGAGACGCATTGTTCAAGCTTGGAGTCAAGGAATCAAGTGTAGAAGATGAAGGATGAAGATCTTGTGCTCCAATTTGTAGTCTCTCTTCTCTCTATGATTTAGCTCTATTCTCTTAGTTTGATAAACCCTAGTTGTTAATTATGTGTTGAATGTTGATGCTTGTGACAACCTTATGATTGGGTGTCTCTTTTATCTACTAAATTGAGTAATTTTCATGCAATTGATGAATTTGGTTTCCAACCCTCAATTTGGGGATTTTTAACCTAGGAGGGAGACAATCCCTTTTGGAACATTCTTGGCAATTAGGGCCACTCCTCAATCTATGTAATTCTGGTTTAATTCCCGAGGGAGTCGATTCATTTGATCTCTTGACGACATATGATTTCCGAGGTTGAATAGAGGACTACCAATTCAATTCAGCAATACCAATTCATCGATACACATTTCTGAGTCAATCTCGGAAGGAGTCAATCTCCTAATTGTAGAGGTATTGAGTCAATCGATCTGGGGAATTTATCAACATCGATCCATTTGAGAAGCTAAGGGGATTCAAGCTAAGAGAGCTCGTAACTTGTAATTAGTTAGGATAGTGGTTAGGTTAGTTTAGCTAGATCGGTTTCTTAATAACTATTCTAGGTTGGCTAGATAACGAAACTTAGGCCAAATTAAGGTACATCTAGAGATCCGTGGTTCAATAATTTTATTACTTGTTTTCCCTATGCTACACCCGATTGTTGGGTAAACTTGGCCTTCGATTGGGAAGTTATAGTTAGAACGAGCCAAGAAATCGGGGAGGAAGAGACAAGAGGTCAAGGAAGGGTCCTCACTCTGTCGGCAGAGCAACCCTCTTGACTTAGAACGAGACCAACGTTCGAGGGAGAAACGATGCCAGAAACGGTGCCTCTTGGCCTATTTTCTATATTATCATTGTCGTTTCATGTTGGCATTATTGGGTCTTTGTTTCGATCGATGAACACTCAGGAACCCCTCCCCATGCCTAGCTAAGTTCTTTAATTACATAAGTATGTGAACCTTAGGGTTTCTAACAACGTACACTCCATTTTTGGTTAGTGTGATTGTGTTTATTTCCTATGTATTAATGTTTAATTTACTCTATTTTGTTATTTATTGACTCAAATGAAAGTTTAAGCCGAGCTTGCACTCCTTCGAGGTGCAAGGATTGAAATCCTAGTCGCTTAGGATAGGACTAAAGGGAGAAATCCGAAGGGTCCTGGTGGGATCTAACAAAATACGAAATTGGTAGCTCGTATGTGCTAGACATCAAAGTACGATCCAAGATGTAGAATGACGCGCTTATGCGAGTTCGCCTAGACGGGTATATTGCATGATTTGACACCAACAACCTGGGAGATCGTGCCCTCGGCAGCGCGATAAGCAGATTCTCTTAAGACTGGCAAGACATGACTTGGATCATAATACATGGTTAGGAGACATACGGAAGCATGCCTATGGAACCCTTCCTTCTCTAATCTCTCATTCGTTCCATTAGTGTAGACATTTCTTTTTTGTGCCGCTTTAACTTTCAAGCTCTTACGTTCTTTAAAACTAGAGGCACCTCAACCTCCTAAATAAACTTACTCTTTAATAGAACCATACACCACTTTTGAATTTAGGGTTCCGAGAGAGGATATAGGAAAATACAATCATGGCCTTAGGGCCAGGTAAATTTGGTTTGCACTACAATCGACGATCAATGTTCTTTCTTTGAATTTCTCCACTCGATTTGAAATTATTAGTGTAAATGTGGCATCTGTGGGCAATTCTCGCATTTCATATCACAATACTATATAACATGTGATATTTTAACGAGCATGATGTTTGAATAGGGTTAGTATTATTGTTATGGTATTTCCATTTAAAATGGATTAAATACCCATTTACCCTTTCCCTATTAAAGAAATAGAAATCAATCTTCTTTTCTAATCCTTGTGAAAACATAGATTCGCCGTTAACGTATCCAGAGACTTCTATAATGATGTAGATGACAAAGAAAAGTGTAAGCGTGTAACGACATTTTCGACAGTTACGATTATTAATCCAGATGAGTTGCCGACTGACTGACAATCAAGAAGGGAATAAAAAGAACATTTTTGATTCACTAGAGACCATGAAAGATTCAAAGACGGCGAACACGAAGGAGAATGTGGAGATGGATTCAGTGAGATATAAACGGAGAAAGGCTTTATCAAAATTGGAAGGAAAAAAGTAAGGATATTTTGGGCGTATACAAAAATAGGCTGGACAAAGTGGAGTAAAACATACAACACCATGATAAAATTCACGAGATTTGTGAATATTTGGAAAATAATACATCTCAATTACCACCGGTGCCGGTGCCGGTGCCGGTGCCGGTGCCTAACCTGTGGCTGTTTCAGAGATGGATGTACGGCAACGGCAGAGCACTTTTACGGCTGCAGCCGTGCCTGCATGTCCTCCACTGTATCGCCGCTCATCCATAACATAAAGAGCCTACAGAAGTCCATTGTTTAATACTTTCCCCTTCTTTACTGCAATTAGAGCTGTGCAAATCATGGTTTTCATGCCGGTGGCATTCAACCTGTGTCGGTCATGAAACCAGCATAACACCACCGGTATGATCGACTTAAACATTCTAAGTAAAATAACATCATTTTAATGAATTTAATGAATAAAAAAATCAATTTATTATTCATTTTATGAATGTAATAGTTAAAAGTTGATGATATTTGTTGGATTGTAACTAAATTGTCCACAAATATGTTTTATATATGATTAGATACATTGGATATTAATTGTTTTCACATTTTTTAAACCGGTATGAACCGGCACCAACTGGTTATACCACCGGTCGTACCATTCCACTTGCCAAACTGGCACAACGGTATAAACCGGTTTGACAACCTTGGTGCAAACTGCAAACACAACAGCAAGTGCCTTAATTATGCAGCCAAAATTTTCTAATACAGCCAGCCAGCCCCACTCCGGCAGCATTATTGCGCCACTACCTTTGCCCACTACAGTACACTACATAAACACATGTGGGTGTCTTTTCTATTGGCCTTTTCTCTCATAAAAAATAAAAAAAAAAATGCTGGCTTTGTGAGCAATGAACCTGATTAAACTGTGCATCAGTGCATGCCCATCTTTGTTCTTTCACTTGTCACTTACCAGCACTTCAGTCCCAACCCAAAATATACACAGTTTTTTTAGGTTAGCCGACTGGAAATGGGTTTCCAAAACTAAGCATCATAGTTTTAACGGGCGGCAGTGCTAGTTGCCACTTATGTGATGGGATTTGGATGTGTTGACATTATAGTCAAAGCCAAAGTAGGTAGCGGTTAATTGTCGAAAACTAATTAGGCAAAAGCAAGTGGGAGGATATTTTCGGGTTTGATCATTCAAATAATAGATGATCAATTCATTTCACATAAATAATGAAAATTGACCCAGTAATTCAAACCGATCCATGCATCACCCGATTTTGACGGGTTTCATTATTTTCTATTGGATTTGGGTTATAACTTTACCAAACCGAGGTGAATGGGTCGGGTGTTTAAAGGTGTAAACAAACCCATCTACAAGTATAATATGGATCTGCATCATCATGGGTCATGCTCATCTCAAAATTATTTATTATATTGTTTCGAGACTTCGTTACTTCAACCGGACCAACCATGATAGTTCGCCCGACTAAAGCCCGCTCGAACTACCCTGAAACGACTGCATAAATCAGCACGGTATCTAATATTCTATTCAAATGCGGCCCAATAAGTCCTGGATCCGCCGTCCCATTTCACAGATGATAGGAAGTAGAAATATGTATAGGAAGTGGATTGAAATGGCTGTGGATTTGGGTTTTCCGTTATCAAATCGCCTTCGGTTGACGTATTCTGCTCAACCAACTGAAAGTTCAGATTCCCAGTTACAGGTATGGCCGACTCTTGAAAGATCCCATGGTCCACGATCATGTTACTATTACACACGCATGCCAAAGTCCAGTTTTAGTTTTGACTTATAATTCCTTCATCGATGACCAACGACAATTTTCCTTTCCGCCTTTGCTTTCAGTAATCCATCCATCCACCATATTAACTAAAATGAATCTCTCTTGATTTTGATTTTGATTGATTGATACATAGAAAGGCACTTAAGTTGCTGTACTAAGGCCACTTTTGCGGACTACTAATTACACGTTTTGTCTTGTCTCTCATGGGTTTATGACTTTATGTCATGTTTGCCCCTATTTTCTGCTAACAAACACAGTTTCCATAAACACGCTAAAAACACCAGCAAGCAAAATATGGTTCTACTTTCATGATCATATATTATCAAACGCAAATCGTACACTGGGAAAAATAAATTTAAAAATATATAGTAGTAGTTGCAATTTGATCAAACTTGACAATGGCAGGAAAACCCTAATCCCTCACACGAGACAGTAAACAAAAGAATCACAAATTGCCTTGGTGGGGTTCTTCTTCTTCTTCTTCTCTCGTGTTCTCCCATTCCAGAATGCAATTACAAGCCTTTTCCCCTCCCCCCTTGGCCCTCAGATTTCCCCAAACCAAGCGCCAGCATAGTTAAAAACAGCTCTCTCCCCTCTCCTCCTCTAAGAAATATAAATTACGAGGAAGCAGCAGCAGGAGCAGCAGCGTGGGTGGTGACATCCTTGCTGGATCTGTTGTACTTCATGTGACTCTTCACCAGCTGTCCTGCTGCGAGTGCAGACATAAGGGACAGCTCACCGGCGAGAACAGAGCCTGCCACTATGGTTGCCAGTCGCCTCGCATTCGCCCCAGGTGTCTCCTTGTGAGCGCCCTTCACCCCGAGCAGGTTCAAGCACGCTGACTGCGATGCAAGCTGCGTCCCACCTCCCACCGTTCCAACCTGCACCACCACCATCAAAAGACCTGATCTTTGTTATGAACCCAATACCCAGCAAAAGGGGTCAAGGATTCTTCTCGACTTTCAGAGTGAGATCCATCGAGACATGGATGCAAGAGACATTCATTGCAATCTGAAGAAATCCAAAGGAAGCTGTCTGTTTGAATAGTTACCTCGATGCAAGGCATGGTGACCGAGACATGGAGATCCTGCCCCTCATTCGTACTTTCCATCAAAGTGATGCAGTGGGAGCTCTCCACATTCTGAGCTGGATCCTGGCCGGTGGCTAGGTACACAGCACTGACGATGTTGCTAGCATGCGCATTGAACCCACCAAGAGCACCTGCCATGGCTGAACCAACCAGATTCTTGTCCTTGTTAAGCTCAACCAGTGACTTCACGCTGGTCTTCAATACCTTCTTCACCACGTCTCCTTTGATCACAGCCTCGCACACCACTGACTTCCCTCTCCCTTCTATCCAGTTCACTGCTGCAGGCTTCTTGTCCGAGCACAAGTTGCCTGATTTCATTCATTGTACACACCGGGAGGTCAGTTTTGATATCATCCTAAGCTAGAATGAGGAGAGACTGGCATCCTTTTCCTTTCCTTTATAACACAAACACACAAACAAACAAACAGAGAAAGGAATAAAGAGGGTGGGTTTCAGTTACCGGAGATGGCGATGACGTCCATGTCAGGGAAATCGGCCTGCAGGAAATCCAGCACATTCTGAACCCCTTTGGAGACCATGTTCATCCCCATGGCGTCCCCTGTGCTGCAGCAGAACCTGATGTAGACGCTCCTCCCGGACATGGTACACCTGGCGCTCTGGAGCCTGGCGAACCTGCTGGATTTGTTGAAAACCATGGAAACCGTGTCGAAATTGTGGGGGTCCTCGAGGTAGAACTTGAGCTGGGCGGCCCTCTCGATGTTGGGCAACCGGACGACGGGAGCCCTGGTCATCCCGTCCTTGAGAAGCACGCTGTTGGCCCCGCCGGACAAGTGAATCGCCTTGCAGCCGCGGTTGGTGCTGGCGACCAAGCATCCTTCGGTGGTGGCCATGGGGACGGAGTACTCGCTGCCGTCGAGCAGCAATGGCCCCGCGATCCCGACGGGGATCTGGACGTACCCGACTGGCATCTCGCAGCACTGGCCCAGGATCGAGTCGTAGTCGAATCCATCGAGTGGCAACCCGGTTAGAGAACGGCCGGTGATCCTCTGCAGGGCCTCGCGGCGGATGGAGGCGGCGCGCTTGCAATCCCCCAATTTGGATTCGAGGGAGTAGGAAGGCAGGGCGCCGGAGACGACGGACTGGACGACCTCCTCGTCGTCCTGGGGCAACAATTCCATGGGGGGAGGAGCGGCGGTGGCGCAATCGAGGGATTGGGGACAGGCGGCGAATCTGGCGTCAACAGGGAGGTCGACGTCCTCCTCCTCGTCTTCGTCGAGGGAGGGGCGGAGGAGGAGGGACTGGACGAAGTCGATGCCGAAGAAGCCGAGGAGGTAGACGAAGGAGGCGAGGAAGGCGAGGACGGCGAGGATTTCGGAGAAGGTGAGGACGTGGAGAGGGGTGGAGGTGCGGATCTTCTCCCGCCAGCGGGTGAGGAGGAAGTAGACGACGGAGAAGAAGAGGGTGAAGAAGAGGGCGTTGGTGAGGTAGAGTGGGAGAGGGAGGGCGTCGGATGCCCGGCGGTGGCTGTCTTCCTGGTGGTGGGTGGCGGCGGCGGCGGAGGAGGGAGGGCCATGGTGGTGGTGGTGGAGGCGATCGAGGGACTGGACGACAACAACTGGCTTTTTCGTGGATCGGCGGCGGGGATCCATTGTTGGATAAGGGAAAGGAAAAGGAGAGGGAATCCGATCCGGCCGGGGAGAAGGGACGGCAGGAAAGAGAGAGAGAGAGAGAGAGAAATTTGGGGGAGGGGATGAATGGAACTGAATTAGGGAAATTGGGGGAAGGGAAAAGAGCGCAAGAATGGGGAAAAGAAAAAGGGAAATTGAGGCGAGAGTTGTAATTACTAATTAGTGCAACTCAAACTATCTGCCAGTGCCAGCAACTACCTCTCCAATTTATGCTGTCTGTCGAATGTCGATGGAGCTAACTCTCCAAACAGTTCCAATTCCCCATTTTGCCCCTTCTTCCTCTTCCTCGTTCGTGAATTGAATTGTCGTTTTTATTTATTTATTAATTGGCGTTCCGTCCTTTTTCCTTCTTATTATTTTTATGGATTGGCGTTCTGAGCTTAACTGCGTAGTGCGTATACTTTTTTGCTTCTTCTTATATGCTTCGGTCACTCATTAATTAATAATAATCAGGATTGGCGTTCTTTCATACCTCTTTGATACTGTCACTGTCCAGATCATCATGGCTATTCCTCTCCAATTTTTCCTGTGGCTGACCGCTTGATTTGGCATTATGAAATTTCAAGTGAATATTCTATGAAATCTGATTATCGTTTAGCTGCGGCTTAGTACATTGTTGATTTTTCCACGATTCCATCGTCCTTTGACTCCCGCTCTTGGAAGTTTCTTTGGTCACTTCCTGTTCCCCCAAATCTTAAATTTTTTCTTTGGCGCGTGGTTAAAGGGTTTCTCCCTATTCCAGATGTGCTTCATGATAAGGAATTGATAGTTGATGATGATATTGAGGCTTACGCTTGTCCTGTCTGTGGTGGTGAGGCAGAGACTCTTGCTCATTATTTTTTGGATTGTCGGATTGCTTTGGAGTTGTGGGATTTGTTGGGGTTCAATCTTATTCTTGCTCAATTTCGCTTGTGCCATGTTGCGATAGGTTGGCGTAGGCTATTTTTTGATGCAGGTTTATCCAAAGTAGAGATTTCACGGTTGGTTTTTCTGTACTGGAGGCTCTGGAAGTCCAGATTTCGGCAACTTATGATGGTATTCAGGATCTCTCTCATGTTTTATTACGACATTATTACTCTCAGGTTGCTGAATGGGAGCTAGCACAGGCTCTTCCGGAGAGATCTTTGCCTCGTTGTACTCCTGTTTCTAGTGGGGTTTTACCTCGTGATCACCCCTTCCTTCCATACCTCCTAGTTCAGTGTTGGTTCACTTTGATGGTGCCACCAAATCTTTGGTCGGATGTGCCATTGGTTTTGTTGGCTTTGCAAAGGCTAATAACTCTATATTTGCATGGGGGCGTTTTATTCCTAATATTGATGACCCATTTCTCGCAGAGCTCCTGTCCTTCGCGACTCTTTACGTTGGTGCATGGCTTACTCGATCACTAATGTTTTGTTTTGTGGGGATGCGCAGGTGATCGTTCGGATGATTAATGCGAAGGACTCGGCGCACGCGGTGGGCGGAGCTCTCCTGCAAGAGATTCAGGTGTTTCAGGCTTCTTTCCTTCGTGCAACGTTCCATTTCGCTCCCCCTAGGTATAATAGGGCTGCCCATTTCGTGGCAAGACAAGCCCTTGGAGCGATGGTGCAGACACTTGTCGACCATCGTGTTTTATTTATTTAATTTTCCTAGCCTGGTCTTAGGAGGCCTTGTATTTTGTCGTATATTTGCTGCTTCTCTCTCGGGATAACTTTGGCAAAAAAAAAATACCGCAGTTAAAAATATTAACAAAAAACAAAAATAAAAACAAAACTGAATAATAATGATGATGATAAGCTGTTGTTTTGTTGCCACATGTGAATGATGAAATCTCTAACATTTCGTTTCCTTACCTTTTTTTTTACAAAGGATTTACTTGTATTGCTCTTTGAAAGAAAAGTTACAAGGGAAGCCAAACAAAGAAGCCCAGAAAAGATCAAGGCAAGCCAAACACAAGCACACGATTGTACAATCTGTGTTAAAGAAATACAAAAAGAGAAGAACAGAACACATAAAAGAACAACCCAAAACATCAGCAACACTTGAATCAGATCCAGAAGACACCGAAAGCTCCCTTGCAAAACAAAGCAATCAAAGAGCACCAAGCATAATCAGCTCGTCCGATCCGACCGAGTCCTTGACAATTGAATACATCTCCAAAGGCCGCCTCCTGGGAGTCGCTCGAAGACGCTCAACACAGTGAATCTCTTGTGAGGGATTATATGGAGGTGGAAAGGGTAGAGGATCGAAATGCTCCGAGCTGAAAAAGCAGAGGAAGACGAGGCACCAAGAACTTGGTCAAGGGAGAAGAGGAACCCAAACTCCAAAATCCAAGGTCTGAAACCGCAGTCAGAAGGGTCAGACACCACCTTCCTTCCACCGACGCCGACCAAGAGGCAGATGACTACCAACAGGGGGAACGGAGGAGAAAACAATGAATCGATTCACCATGCATGTTGATGAACCCACTATCTAAAGAGGAGACCTCTAGATGCATAACCCAGCACTAAGGAGAGCAAATCCAGAAAGGAACCCTAGAAAAGGGCAACGAAAGACCATAAAGGCAGGAGAAGCTAAAAAGCTGGAAAATCCGATTGAAAAAGGCCAAACCAATGGCAAAGAAACATAAAAAACTAGGAAGAGGAAAGAAAATTGGGCTACTGCCGGTCTTGGTGACCGACGGCAATCCCTGCAAAGACCCAAGCAGAGGGGCTGGAGGAGGAGAGAGAATACAGAGCAAAAATTTGAAAAAAAAGTAAGAGAGAGGCTGGCGGTCGCTGTGATCTACCTCTTTTGTTTTGTTGATACTATACATCATTAGTTACTATTTTCCGATTGGCTACCAAATACACGCTATGCATGCTTCATGATTTTGGATGTTTTCGGTTTGTTGATTAACATTTCTGCTATTTTGTTATGTTTATTTTGAGGAGATTTATCTTGCTTATAGGATAATTATGTATCTGACTGCATAAATAAATTTGGTCCTTTGACCATAAATTAAAATACATATTTTCTTAATTCTACTATATTTTTTTTTTCTTAAGTGACTTGCATCTGCTTCTATTTAATTTGAATTTTGAGTAGAAGAATGAGTTAATTGTTATCTACAAAATTATTTATGTTTTCAATATGTTTTAGGAAATTTTGTGGGTAATGAATGACTATTTATTAGCCAAATTTTTTTCAGATTCTTTTTTATTAGTCAAATCTATTGAATTACTAATAATTAGCCAAATATTAACTTCCAGTTAGTAATTTTGTTAGTAATAATGACTTGGCAACATGATACTGATTTGGAAAAATACATTTAACATTCCAAAATTTTAATATTTTAACTAAGAAAAGAGTTACAAAATTATTAACGATAACGTAAAAATGACTAATTTTTTATGCATTACAAAACGTTTGGTTAATTTTTAGTATTTCGATAGGTTTGACTAATAAAAAATAATCCGAAAAAAGTTTGGCTAATAAATAGTCATTACCCATAAAAAATTCTCACCATTTGTTATCGGGAGGAGTTACGGTGCTAATTGTACAATAGTTAGTACCGTCCTAACCAAGGGATAAACTACTACTAGTTTGAATTAGTAGTGATTTAGCTTAGATGTTGTATTGAATTTATAATAATCCGTAGTGATTTCGTTATTTTTAGTAGCGTTTTTTGCTAGTTATCACGGTGCTAACCCCTATAAGGGTTAGCACCTAATCCCATCCCCTTGTTATCATCCTCTAACACCTTTACATTTTTTTGTTTTAACTCGGATTTAAAAAAAATATTCCACATAATGAACGAGTTCATTTTGATTTCCTAAATTATGTCAATTCTCGCTATACATTTTTTTAAATCATAACTTCTTATTTAATCCAAATGGGAATGCATAATACATTCCCCAAAAGTTCTAAAACAACGAAGCAAAGATTCGACTTGAGTCCATGTAGAATGAAAAGAATGTAAACAAGTTGCACTAAAATAGTTTACTAACTATCATAGCTCTACAGACTACAACGACTACTCTATAATTTGTCATTCAAACATATAAACTTGGCGATTTTGTTGTAGGAAGGACTAGCTCTATAGAAACAGGGATGAAGCTAGGATTTTTGGGTAGGAAGGACCAATAATTTTTTATTATTGCAACAAAGTAATAGAAAATATCACTTCCGAATTATACACAACATTTTTTATTAAAAAACTGCATAAAATTTGTGCAATCTAAACATTATGATATATCTCGTCCAAAATATTTCATCATGCAACATATTAGTTTTAGGGTTTGTGTACATTATACCATAAGAACAAAATAAGAATCCGATAAAAATTCACTTAGGAATTACATAAAAGTTCACCTTAAAATGTGAAATAAACTGGAAAAAAATGGACATAACAAAGCTTGAAATTATATGAAAAAGGTAAAATTCACCTTAAAATGTTAAATAAATGGGGAAATGAACATAAAATAAACTAAAAATGGTACAATAAAGATTGAAATTGCATGATTTACCATTCAAATGTAAAGGAAGCTGTAAAATTGATATATCAAATTCTGAAAGTAAATGGACATAAAATAAAAAAAATTGCATAGCAAAGTTTGAAATTACATGAAAGTACATAGAAAAAAGAACGTAGATGTGGGCATCAAACCCTGGCCAATTCTTTCGACAGGCAACTATTATCTCTCTTTTAACCATTAGGCCACTGAGGTAAGACCGTATGAGTTTGGCCATCATTGACCAAAACATGAATACTTTAGTCTTCCTAGCACCATCTAGAAAAAAGAACATGAAAAAATAAGTGTTGTGGAGTTTCTCCCACAACACACAGTAATTAGTGGAGAACTGGAGATCTTTCCCCATTTTACTAATCTCTCTCTAGTAACAATAGCATCAAGAAGAACTATTCATGGAATAAAACTAAACCAGAGAATGTAGTCTTCCCCCAATCCACTTTATGATGCTTCTTCTTGATCGTCTCCCAGACTTGGGTTAATTCTCTAAATATTGTTTTTTTAATTTACCACGAATATAGTGGTTTAAAAATTATTTACAAGAATATTGTTTTTTGGTATGTTTAAAGCGCTAAAGCCTTAGACTCAGGCGCGGCCGCTAGGTGCTGTTTTTTCAAGAAAATCCAGTGGCGGTGCCCGAGACTGGGGCTTTTGGCCTTTAAAAATTGTGAAAGAAGCGCCGCCCCAGACTGGGGCTTTGTCGCTGCCTTTTTCTTCCACTCCAGCACCACCCTACACCATATATACTACACCTTTCCTTTGGTTCTTCACCACCAAAAAACTGAAAGAAGTTCCGAAAGAAGCTCTGGTGTTGCTGTCTAGTTGCTAGGAAGATGGCTAATAATAGGTAAGAGTCGTAATTTTTTTTCCATGTATTCATCATAATGATTTTGTCCAGTTAGTAATTAGTGAGTTTGTTTTTTATGTAGTGGTTTTAGAAGATTTGAACTAGCTGTTCGGTGGAAATCAGAGAAAGTAGAGGACAATTTGGGTGTCCACTTTGTTGGTGGTGTAAGTTTTCATATGACTATTCCATCGAGGGTGAACTATCAGAAACTTTGTGATAATCTAATTCGGAGAATACGGCGTAGAGACGAAACAGTACAAGATAGTGTTGTGATTACAGGTTTCACTTACTGTCTTCCAGAATGGCAAAATGATGTTTTATTTCATTATGCAATGCCTATTGTCGATGATGATAGCTTAATGTGCTTTGGAATTTTATGGCACAAAATCCTTATTGTTTGGGTGCTGAGATACATGCTGAGCTCAGTGAGGATCGGGGTGGAGAGGAAGAAGATGACACATGGAGCATGCCATCCGATCATGACTATGATGACGGAGAGGAGAAAGACGATTATGATGATGAGGAGGAGGAGGAGGAGGAGGACGACAACGGGGAGGGAGGAGAACAACTTAATTATCCTCCATATTTTTACTTGCAGGGTAATGAAGAGGACGAGGAATTATCATATGCTGATTCATATGGCGTAATTCGAGGGTCTATTGTTGGTGGTTTTGATGGAGAATTCTACAAGGGGCAAATATTTCACTCGAAACAAGCTGCACAGGTGGCGATTAAACACTATGCACTACAACGCAACTTTCAGTATAACGTGGTGGAGTCGTCACTTTCAATATGGAAGATCAGATGTTTGATGCACAAGGAGGACAAATGTCCTTGGATGGTGCGGTTTGGATGTCGAGATGTGGGAGGCGATTGGAGCGTGAGAAAGGCCGAGTTGGTGCATACTTGTAGCAGTACGACTCAACCGACGGATCATCGCCATCTTGATGTTGACGTTATATCTGAGTCCGTGAAACACTTGGTACGTGCTCAACCAAATTTGAGTGTTCTAACTGTGCAGGCCGAGTTGAAAGATAAGTTTAATATGCAAGTTACTTACAAGAAGGCTTGGTATGGGAAACAAAGTGCATTGGAGAAGTTGCATGGAAATTGGGAAGAATCCTACGATTTTTGCAAACATTCTTGCGGGTGGTCAAGAGAAAAATGCCAACATCGGTGATTGATTGGGTAAGAGTTCCTTCGACTCAACCAGATCATTCGATATTTCAGCGAGTATTTTGGGCTTATGGACCTTGTATAGATGGATTCAAGAATTGTCCAGGCGTCATGGTTGTTGATGGAACATTTCTTACTGGGAAGTATAAAGGAGTGTTACTCATGGCGAGCTCATTTGATGGCCGAAAGAAGATTTTTCCAATTGCATTTGCCATAGTGGAGAGTGAGAATACTGATAGTTGGCCATGGTTCATAATTCACGTTCAAGGTTTGACTGATCGAAATGATGTCTGCATCATCTCATATAGACATGCAGGACTCTATGAAGCCATGAATAACATCGGAAGAGGTTGGGAGTGGAGGTGGTGCATGCGACACTATGCAAGCAATTTGCAAAGGAAGACTAAAAACAGAATTATGTATAATCAACTATTTCGAGTCGGTAAGCCTTCTTCATTTAATTTTGTTATTTATTTTCATGTAATTTTGTCATGAATTTATCTAACCCGTATGGTTGTTTATTTTGTTAGCTGGAGAAAAACGCTTGGAGAAGTTCGATCGTCAAGTTGAGCAATTTAAGAAGGTGGCCACTCATAGAAATATTTCATATGATAACTGGGTCGACCAACATCGAATTCGTTGGAGTTTAGCACATGATACCTACAATGGTGGGCGTCGTTGGTCTATCCTGACATCCAACATGGCAGAAAGCATCAATGGTGTTTTCAAAGGTATTCGTGCACTTCCTATAGCTTCTCTTGTGCAACATACCCGTGTGGTTGTTTATTTTTGTTAGCCGGAAAAAAACGCTTGGAGAACTCATGTCGACGGTTACACAACTCAATCGACTCGCTGGCTGCCTGTATGAACTGCTGGCCACGTGATGGCCCATGCTGTCCCTGACGGAAAAAAAACCTAATCTCAGCCGCGGAATGTGGAGGATGAGGCCGGTCCTGAATCATCCCAAACTGTCCGAGCACGCGATCTGGATGATGCCACATCTGCGATGAGAAGCAGATCAGCGGAACTACTGCTCAAAACGTGTCGCAGTGGATCACAGTACCGCTGTAGTTCTGACCTCTATGAAAGTACGGACGCCACTGGACACAAGGATTGGTCACATAATTACTCCTAAATCTATAACAAATCAATTAAAACTATTCTATAAAACGAAATGTTATATACTAACCACGAATGTCGTGCACTCGTCAAACCACAGCTTGTACAGGTAGAACTGATCTCCATGCTGACGGGTGTGGGCCAGAAGCCATCGAAGGCCACGTGGCACTGCGTCCTGAGTAATCTGCGCACCCGTCTTCGCATGTAGTGGTGATGTATGAGGAAACCGCTCCCACGTCCAGATCATCAGCAAGGCGGACCATCCACCAAAGTCACCACCCAGTGAAGAAGATGTCGTCATCTACAGCGCCGATCTACCCATCTCACGGTACAAGTAGGATAGCACAGCTGCTCCCCAAGCAAACCTCCCCGCTCTGCACCAATCCTCCACCAAAAGTAGGTACTGCAGGTGAACTAAACCTCCAAACCGATCGGAGAACAAGACACCTCCCATCAGAGACAGCGCATACGCTCTTGCAAACTGCTCTATCGTCTGGGGTGATGCAGAAAGCGGTAGCTCATCGAAAGTCTCCCTAAGCCAAGCAATCCGGATGACGCCGCCACCAAGATCAGTAGGAGCCCGTCCTAACAGTCGAAGACACATAGCCGACCAGTCCTCGTCTGGTATGTCTACTACGACGACATCATCGTCGATCGCTAGACCGGTCAGTGTCGCAACGTCCTCTAGGGTGATCGTCACCTCACCGAACGGCATGTGGAAGGTCGATGTCTCGGGTCGCCAACGCTCTACGAGCGCAGTAATCAAACCCGGATCACCGGTAAGAGGGGCTAGTGGCAGAATACTAGACAAGCCAGCATCGGCGAGATACGACAGGTAAAGTGGATGGTATCACACTAAATTGCTCGTATGACGAATGTGGTAAGATCGATCACCAGCCTATAATTAATGCACAAAACTTATATTAATTCAATTCCTTCAATTCACCTAATATTTATATTTATATGTCTAAACTAAACTTATTCTAATATACTCGTAATTTAATCTAATTCTATTCGTAATTTAATTTAATTCTATTCGTAATTTAATTTAAATTCTATTCTATTATATTATTCAGCTAATAAAAAACTATAGAAATAGTTTGAAAACTTACCTCATCTGCTCAAACTGCGTCAATACGATGGTGACCATGCCCCCAAAGAAGTTCCGGATCCACCGGAGCTGTATCGATTGTCGCAGGTGATGGTCTCATCGAACAAGGATCGATAAGCCTAGGAACTGGAAAAAAAATTAGAACATAAAAAAAAATTCCGCCGCCGCCCTTGGCCCCTTCCTCTGTCAGGCGCCTGCTGCTCGTCGTCGGACATGGCGGCGAGAAGCAGATCTGCTGCGACGACGCTCTTGTTTAGGCGCATTCGTCGGGGAGTGAGCGCGGCCGCCTGAGACTGAGGCGGCGCCTTCTTCTTCTCGACGTCGCCGCTCTCACTTTTGGTGTCATTGCTGTCTGGGAGGTGAGGGAGGAGGGGAGAGGGCCAGTGTGTGTGGTTCTAGCGAGAGGGAGTGGCGAAGAAGGGGATAAGAAAGAAAAAGTTTATAGCGACGACGCCTGAGTCTAAAAATTTCAAATAGCGCCAACGCCTTAGACTCGGGCGCCGTCGCTGCTTTCTCCCTTCAAAACCCAATTTTCTGAGTCTCGAGCGCCGTCACTGCCTTCCCCCCTTCAAAACACAATATTCCTGTAAATAGTTTTTAAGCCACTATATTCGTAGTAAATAAATAAAAAAGACTATATTTTGAGAATTTACCCCAGACTTTCACCACGAAATACTTCACCATCAAATTTTCATCACAGTGGACAGCATTCTAGTGTATGCTCGTATGTGTGTGAAATAGTGGACCACGCTTCAAAACCTTCGTATGTGTGTGAAATAGTGGACCACGCTTCAAAACCTTCTTAATTTCCCATGAAACTTCAAGAACTCACCTTTAGAGTAGGGGTGTTCAAACGGTTTGGTTATCGTGGTAACTGTTTTAACCGGTACTATTTGGATAATTTGGTTTGGTTAATGTGAATAATTGGTTTGGTTTGGTTAAAGTTTTTAGCTTGTTTGGTTTAGGTGGTTTGGTTTGGTTCAGACACTCGTAACCAGTCAAACCAAATTAACCAGTTAATTAATTAGTCATATATCTAGCATATATTATATACACATACTTAATACTTTGCATAACAACTCAAGAGTTAACGTTCATCCCTTTTAGACTCATATAAAATATAAAGCTCAATATTGCTCATATAGTGTACATTTGTATATATAAAGTGTAGATCACAACATATGGATGCCTAATTTAGATAAATTTCATACATTATGATGGATGAAAACTTGAAAGGAAGGTCATTTCCAGCCTATGATAATTGCTAAGAGACTAAGTCAATTTACACAAACACAACAATTCATTAACCCATACCATTGTCATAAATTTTTGTTAGGTGAATACTTTTATACTATTCGTAAGATAATTGTCTTAGTTGCATGTATTTTTGTTAAGGGTCAACTATAACTACGTGTTGATTGTTATGTTTTATTCATTATATAAATTGGGAATTGTTGCATTAATCGGAAAATTTTCATCATCAATGATAATGTGATTTTATATTGGTTAATCTAGTTAACCAATTAACCAAACCGATTAAACTTTAGTTTGGTTAATTTGGTTGTTGTATTAGTTTGGACGGTTTGGTTATGATATTATATTCCATGGTTAATGGAATTTAGCCTTATTTGGTTTGGTTATAACCATGGTAACCATTTGAACACCCCTACTTTAGAGTCCATACACTACCATGTATCCTCGAGAAGCAAAACTCCATGATACCCAAATGACACCATGTTAGAACCCCACTTTTCTCACTATTCTATTATTGTTATTAGAAATAGGAGTAGTTGTGGAGAGTGGCGGCAGATTAGGAGTAGGATTCCATTAGTTTTATTATTAGATTTTCCAGCATTTTCCTATGTATATGTAATTTGGAATTTAAGTCAGAAGTAGACAGAGAGAATAATATTGAAATCTCTAAACTCACTATATTTTCTTCTTATCCTAATCTCTTCTAATCTCTAATCTCCAATAATGTTCTACCTATCTAAATCCTTAATTCTTTCTCCCAAATCCCTAAATCCCTTCCTATCTATTCGATTACGTCAATCCTAATAATCTAGAATAAGCGAATTTCTTACAGTACTGGTACCAGAGGCTGGTTGCGAGGATGAGTTCATCAGGACTCTCAACCAGGGACTTCGCCGATTGTTGGAGAATCTTGTGTTTATTAGCAATGACTTTGGATTGTTTACTTGCGTTTGAATGCACCCTATTATGATGATTGGAATCGCATTAGGTTGATGCAAGTGTTTAGTTCTCATATGTGTGCAAATGGATGGATGCCTTGACTTGAGTACTCATTGATTGCAATTGCCATGCATCAAATTTTTTGAAATTGGAATGAATGTTTGAGCGACTAGGTAGCCATGCAAGATTTGTGTCGATCATCTTTTTCATGTGTGATAGATCCCTATTACCATGATGTGTAGCATTCACGTTGTCATTAGCGAGGAAGATGGAGGCATAGAATTAGTCCACGCCCCAAAAAGTTGATTGTCTTCATCTTTATATCCTATAGTCAACCCTTTTGAGCCGTGTGACTTAAGGTCGTTCTTATTTTAGCAGCTTTTGCTACTTGAGCTTAATTGAGGTTGATAGACCGGCCATTTGCTTTCTTGTTGTCTAAACCGTTGTAAGTCATCCTTGTGTCTCGGAGCTCCCGTTACTTGAGCTCCATTGAGGTTTCACATAGGTGAGTTTTACATGGTTCCTGCTAAGAATGAAAAGGTATTGTTGGAGGAAGTTCTTACTGGTGAGCATTGTTCAAAATTTTAAAAGGTGGCATGTGTTTAGCTCTCTAATACCCCCCCCCCCCCCCCAAAAAAAAAAGAAGAAGAAAAGAAGTGAAAAGAGCTAATAAAAGGTAGAGATTTGCCACCAAGTTGATGTGTATGCTCTAGAAAGGTGTTTCTTGCCATTCAAGATATCGAAACACCTACTTGCTTGTTGACCTCCTTCACTACTATGCTTGAAAATTTGGATAGCAGAAGTAGCCGAGAAAGTGGGCTTATATGTTGTTCATGATTGGTTTGTTGTTTGGAATTGAAGAAGTGTGGTTTTTGGCCGATGCTGGTGGCCATTGCTTGTAGTTGTAGGAAAAGGTTCTAATCGAAACCATAGAACCTTGTATTGGTTTTAGATTGAAAATGTGGAACCTCATGTTATGTTTATCACCACCCAAAAAGCATTTTCCCCATGTCCAAGACAATAGCTAGTCATCTGAACTCATGTCTAATACCTCCAAACAAGTTAGTGACGACAACCATCTTGTCAGCTCTAACATTTAGAGGTTATTGTCATAGTGAAGAGACGATAGGGTTGAGTGATGATTATGCACATCTCTTGCATCAAATGGTCTTGACCCCACTGGTCGAGAATGAGTGACTCTTTCACATTTTCATGTTCATATTATGCATCCCAGAGAGGACCTAACTCGCTCATTCGTTTATTCTTAGGACTTGATCTCTATGCATGGATAATTGTGGTTTGTGAGTAGTTTTGTCAAGTAATGTGTCGGTTTGTGAACAGGGTGAGAACTTTTCGTTTGCTCATTCTTAATGCATTCAAATGTCATTTGTGGTGGTTGCTAGTATTGCTTTTGATTTTCCATGTGTTGGTTCACAATAACCATTGAGATTCATCCGCTTTGTGCCCTTTGATATGTCCCCAAGTCATTGTTTTAGGTTGGGATATTACCTTTTTTTAGATTGGTTTGCTTGGGGACAAGCAAACATCCAAGTGCGGGGGAGTGATTCGGGTCTAATTGCACATGTTTTCACCCCATGTTCTTGTGGTGTTTGAGGCATTCCCATCGCTTAAGGTTTGATTTTACGCTAGGTTGTGCATGTTTCCAGCATGTTTTAGGTTCTAGCAGGTGAGATTGACCTTGGGAGTGAAAGTTGAACGATAGAGGGCGAAAGCGGATTGAAAGGAGCAAAAAGGGGAAGATCACGGTTCGAGCAACATTATCACGGTCACCCGACTGTGAAGATGAAAACCATATCGTAATGTTCGTGGAAACCAGAGGAGTTTTTATGCCTCGCGGTCCTAAAAGATATCACAGTCACCAGACCGTGATAATCCAACCCAGAACGTGAAGACCGTAGATGAAACTATGCGCTTGTGTTCGTGATTACGGTCCGAGTTTTCAGTTCATGCACGTGATATCCGACAGTGATGTGTGTGTGACCTCGGTATAAAAGGAGGATGGAGCTGAAACTTGAAGGAGAGAGCCTAGTGAGAGATTGTCTTCTTTTTCTTCTGATTTTAGAGAGAGGAACTGACGAACCAAGAGAGAAAAAGAGATCTAGCGTTTGCTTCAAGCTTGAGGATTGGAGATTTTCATCTTCCAAGGGTGATTTCTACAACAAAGAAGGAAAACAAACCCACACACATAACATTCAATCCATACAATTTATGACCTATTTAAAACTATGGTTTACATTACCCAAGTGAAAAAGAGTAATACTCCATAGCTAAACTAGGGATTTCAACGTTGAAATCCCTAGTTTAGCTATGGAGTATTACTCTTTTTCACTTGGGTAATGTAAACCATAGTTTTAAATAGGTCATAAATTGTATGGATTGAATGTTATGTGTGTGGGTTTGTTTTTAATGCAAAGTTTGAGGTATTTTCATAATTCTTGAGTTGTGCTGCCAACTTGACCTAGGTGGAGAGAAACCCCCTATGTTAGAGGCTTTGAGAAGCTGGATTTCTTGGCCATTTGAGTCACCCACCTAGGGAAATTTAGGGCAAGTCTCAAGCTTCGATAGCACTTTGATTTGGTTGTTATTTTGTCATCCGGATTAAGTTCTGAGGGAGTAGCCTTAGCAACCATTGGTTGATCGTCGAAGAGAGCTAGCTCGCTAGCTTAATTTATTATTCCTTGGCTTATCACCCAAGAGAGTGAAGTTTCTTCACTAGTTGCGACCTCCTTATGGTGTATGAACATACTGCTACACATTTGCATTCTATTCGGTCGATCCTGATATATAGCCAGGGGGAGCAATACCCCGGTGAAGCTTTCTCGTATATATTCTAAAACAATTTGCCTTCTTTCTTGCTTTAAATTGTAGTCCTTAGTTCTCACTCAAAACCGATTGCCAGATAACGTTTTAAACGGTCGAAGTAGGAGTACATGGACCGGCCCGGGTTGACAATTAAAACGCTTGCCCTATACTACATCCTACTAGAGTTTATACTTGGGCTCTGGTTGGGATTTTAATTGGTGTAGCTGGAGTGAGTTACCGAGCGGAGATCGGGAGCTGCTGCGGATCTATTTTTCGGTTTCCTTTTTGGATTAGGTTTCTTGAGATTAAGAGAAGGTTTTTCCTTGTTATTTTGGCCCTAAACTTATGTTTCCTATATAAGAGGCTAAACTAATTCTTTTGGAGGTTAATCAACAATTTTATTCAGAACGAAAACTCTATAGATTAAGTGTTGAAACACCAACTTCTCTTATTCTTCTTCTTTCATGATCGCGGAATCGATTCAGCAATAAGGAACCCGACGTTTTCTGCTAGCAAATCACCCTGGCCGAATAGTCATTCGTATACCTGGCCCTCTTCCCGACGCGTGAAATAGGTTTGGGTTATTTTTGTGTTTGTTGTGCTTCTAATCAAACTTTGTTGCGTTTCTGATTGTTTAAGTCCAGGAGTTAGAGCCAGGGGCGGAGCTAGCACAGGAGGAGGGGTGCCAATGCACACCCTTGCTTTGTGCTCAACAAAAGGAAAATAGATACATGTTGGAGAAAGCCCATTAAAATTGCACATGTACCTGTGGACTTGGAGTCTTGGATGTTTAGGGGTTGGGACAAAAAAATATTAAAACAAATACTTTTATCCAAAAAGTATCGAAAGGATAACAAACTAATCTAGTAATCAAATTCTCTTTCAGGCTTCAACTACAAAGGCTAGCATCACACCCGTCCCAATTGACCAATTTTCCATTATCACTGCCCCAACCCGTAGGTAGAAATTGTCATTGTGGTTTCTTATTGTTATTGTGCCCAATCTAATAGAGTTTTTTCAATTAATTATTTTGTTACTCTATTTTTTAAATATGTAGCTTTTTTTATGAATCGCTTGGGGTTATCATTTCATAAAAAAACACCAGGGAATTTACTGGCAACAAAACTCTGCCAATTGAGCTTGGAAACTAATAGACCAATACATAAGAGTACCTGGTTATCTATCAATCAAAGTTTCAGCAGCAACTATCAAGGGTTTTAAAAGAACTGAACTAAGACAATAAGATCTACAACCATCCTAATATCCCTCTTAACTAACAAATCAATTCACTCATATCTAACTTCTTTCCACCAAACTTAACAAGGCACCTCTCCCTCCAAATTGAAGCAATCATAGCCTGCCATATAAGTTTCCCAGCTTGAGAAGAAATAAATTGACTTTTAAACTGGAGAGTGGCCCATTGAAGCTCGGAGGACCACTAATCTCCAGGAATTCTATCTTCAAAATTGACAAACACAGTTGCATACATCTGCTTAAATGGTTGACATTCAGCAAAAATATGAGATCTTGTTTCTAAGCTACTCGAGCAGAACACACACCCATAGCTACCAGCCCCTCCCCATCCATGAGCTTTGTCCCCAGTTGTGATAAAATCATTTACAATTAGCCACACCGGGAACTGATTTTTAGGGATGCTAGGGCCCTTCCAAACTAGAGAGTGCCAAGGAACATAACTTCTTTTGGTACGGAATTCCTCCCATACTTTCCTGATACTATATTTAATCATCAGCTCTCCTTTCCAATAGACACCATCAGATGCCACAGAAATCCATGCTCTAAGTTTATCTATGCTTTTCAGTAACTTCTGCCATAACCACGAACCTGCTTTAAATGTTAGAGTCCAGAAATCCTCCCGTTTGATGCGATATTCCCAAAGCCAGGCAACCCACAGAGATCCTTGTTTCAAAAGTATAGCCCAAATGTGTCTTGTGACACAAGCAAAGTTCCAAGTGACCATATCCCTAAGCCCTAGACCACCTCCCTTTTTGGAAATGTAATTCTAGGCCAAGCTACAACTGCTTTTTTCGGAGTACCCTCACCCACTCCCATAGAAAATCACTACAGAGTTTCTCAATAGCTCTGATAACAACCTTAGGAAGAATGAAGATCAACATCCAAAACTGCGAGAGGTTATAGAGAACAGACACAACCAGCTGAAGTTTACCAGCATAGGAGAGAGACTTAGACTTCCAACTAGTTATCCTTCCTACAACTCTGTCAATTAGGGGTTTACATGCCTTAACAGTAAGCTTCCCAGCTAACAGGGGAAGTCCCAAGTAACGTACAAGGAGAGTACCCAATTTATACCCTGAGTAATGTGCCATCGAAACCTGCCACTGCTCACTGATCCCCCCCCCCCCCCCCCCCCAAGTAGGGTTCACATTTTGAAGGGTTGGATTGAAGTCCAGACATATATCTAAACTCAGATAATACATTTTAATGCACCGGATCCCAGAATTTGAACCATCATAGAAAAGTAAGAGGTCATCAGCAAACATTAGGTGAGTCAATTTCAGTCACATATGTAGCTTTTACCATGGAGAAATCTTGATAAAAAGGGTAAAAACAACTTTAAATGTTCAAGGGCATGAAGATAATTCCTCAAATGCACCTACATTTAACTCTAACTAGACTACACCAGTACTGTAACAACAATCTCTCTCGGTAAACCATTTTAAGCCTAGCTTCAGATCTAGAGAAAGTGAAATTAACAACAACAACAAAAAATATTTAAATCGACACCCCCTAATTCAAAACTCTTGTTACGCCACTGGTTAGAGCCTCGACTTATATCAAATCCTATCCAGCTCGCAACTACCAACAATATCTACAATATTTCATCAAACAATATGTGCACCACCACTACAAAGAAATAATATAACAATTTGTCTAAATTCAATCTAACAAGCAACCTCCTATCAGTATCAATTTCGTCATTCATAACTCAATTATATGTAACAATCATCCTAACTTCATATATAAAATCCATCATTTAGAAATTACATTGAATCCTAACTTCAAATCAAAAATTCATCATACTACATGTAATTATACAAGTATAAACCAAAATATGGCTCCAAATTATTTCATGGGATGCACCATGAATCAAAGTAAATATATATGACAAACGCTAGCGTACGTTGTACACTTGTGTTCACACTTGTTATTTGCACTTCAATATATTTCGTCGAATCAGAACTGTCAGATATATATATTTTTAGATTAAATAAATCTTGTGGCTTGGGTTAGAGAATTAGGGATAAATGTGGTTCATCCATTAGAGGTTAGGGTATTGCATCATGCACCAAACTCCGGTTAATTTGTGCTCTAAATAGTAAAACTCGACAGGTGTATGGTAGTGTGAACTTCGACGTACATCGTATGTTTTGCGTACGTTAGCCTGACCCATATATATATATATAACTAAAATCTTACAGAAACCCCAAAATAAACAAAATTTATTTCATCCACGGCCAATTTCAAAACGATTGATAAATCTAAACCAAAATCTGTCAGAAAACCGTGGAAAACAAAATATTGTTTCATCTATGGCCAAATCCAAAAAGAAACAAAATTGACATAAATCAATTTTGTATTTTATTTTGTTTCTTTTGGATTTTGCCAAACAATATTCGGTTTGGCCCTGGATGAAACAATATCTTGTTTCTTTTTGGGCCATGTTGTAAATGAATATGGACTTCGATTGGGCCATGGGAGAAAAGAAGACAATTTTCATTCTGCCCATGGTCCATCGAAATTCAGATTCATTTATACCAAAGGTCCAACAAAACTTTATTTCTATTACGATTTTTAGGGTGTTTTTACGATTTTTAAGGATTTTCATGTCATCGGAGTTGCTACTCATTGCTCTGAGGTAGTTCCGAAGATTGCGGGACAAAAATAGTAATGTTGAAGTTGAGAGTGAAAGAATAGGAGAAAGGTTTTTTCCCCCTTATTTCATTGATAAATGTGATACTTGTTTGTTGAAGGAAAACCAAAGTAGACAAAAACAAAAAAAAACAAAAAAAAAAGTTAAAATAATAACTTTGATATTTAAACCCATTTTTAATAATTGGGCAAATACAATATAATATCCATAACTATTATAGATCGGGGATTTATATCCTCAACTATCAATATACAAATTAATATCCATAACTATAGTTGCGGGTCATGATATGGCTAACAGCCTGTTACCACCGTTAAATTTGCAACGGAGACTGCCATGTCGGCATCCATATTGGCGTCCACATCAACAAATAATTAAATATATAATTTTTACTTTTAAATTAAAAAAATTAAAGTTGAAAAACAAACTCAACCACTCTCCCCTCTTTTTCCCCCTATCTTCCTCCACCGTCACCTTGCTTCCTCCGCCCTCCCTTGTCTCCCTCTTCTTCTTCTTCCCCTATCTTCGTCCACTGTCCCCTGACTTCCTCCGCCCTCCCCTGTCTCCCTCTTTTTCTTCCCCTATCTTCCTCCACCGTCACCTAGCTTCCTCCGCCCTACCCAGCTCCTGTCGTCTCTCAACTCCTCGTTAATCGGGACTAGTCGTCCCTCCGCCGTGGCAGCACCACTCATCGTCCACTGCATCCACCGCTCCTACGACTTCGTCAACTGCCCCGCTGGCGTCGTCCGCAGCAGATCCGACTGGCATAGCTCATGCGCCATCCTCTCCGGCAAAGTCGCCACTCAGGAGCAGCCTAGATCTGGAAGAGAAAATGGACTCGATTTCATAGATTCGGTCAACGGTCACAAGACTATTGACCTGGATTTGGTACCGACCTACGGTACTGCGACTGCCGTCGACTGTAGAAGGTGTTGACTATCACCGACCTTGCTCCAGCTCCGATGCACAGAGCGCAGCTCCGAGTCGCATACCGGGGAGTCCCCGGTGCGTACTCCGAGGCAGTGGTGGCTTCTTGTCGATGATGAGCTCTCCAGACCTGGATCGAAGATTAGGGATTTGGATTGACGATGGGGGGTTTGTTTCGTTACTTTCGATGGGTGAAAGAAGAGGGATTGGGGTTTTTGGTAGGGGGACTCAAGCAATGGCAGTCTCGCCGCCACGCCTGCAGGACGGTGAGTGGATCCTCGTCGGCGACTTCGTGTCTTTGCAGACGAAGGGGGAGATGGACAGATGAGAGAAGAAGGGGTTGAGGATAAGAATTGGGTGAATGGATGTGAGAGGAGGGGAGGGATATTATATTGTATTTTCCCTATTTGTTTTATTTTTTACGTTTTATGTTATTATTTACTTAATCAATTTCACAGGGATGCCACGTTCTCAATTCCACCTCAGTTTTTTTTGCCAGGTCAGCATTGCAGAAAGACCTAGTAATGGGGTATTAACGGACAATTAACGATTGGATATTAATCTACAAAACACTATAAAGCAATGTCAATATACAGCCTTTGCCACGTCATCCTATGCTGAAATAGCCGCACAGTTCGGAGGGCTATTATTGTCTATTCAAAAACTCTCTCTTTCCTGCAGTCTATCTTTCCTGCGACCATTTCTCTCCTCTCTTCCCAATCTGAATCGGAAAGCAACACTCCCACCGACCACCGTCATTTTAACCACACTGAAACCCTAAAGTCCCTTCCGTCACCCATTGTTACCCTCACTGTAATTCTCCTATCATTATTGTGTTGTTGTTTCCTCCGTCTTGCAATTCGCCGGGAAAAGTCCCCACTGCCGAGCTCTTACAGTCTGTCTCTTGGCAGTCGGCGGAATCTGTCTTTGCCGCCGTCTTCGTACTATCTCATCCTAGAAGAAAGTCCTCCGCGTTGATCCCCTGGGAAAATATCCCCACTCCCCTCGATCTCTCTTCGTTTGTCTCCCGGCACTATTTTCTTTCTCGCCGTCCCTCTACGAACCCTCCCAGAAGAAAGGTCCTCCTCTTCGATCCCCCGGGAAAAATCCCCACTCTTCTCGCTCTCTCTGCGTCAGTCTCCTGATGCAATTTGTCTTTCTCGCCGTCCCTATACTAACCCCTCCCAGAGGAAAAGTCCTCAGCCTCGCGCATTACAATCGAGTGGCCGAACAAATTCTCCGCCGGGTACTTTGACCATTCTGCTTTGTAAGCTAACTTCGGTAGTTAGTTTTTTATGTTTGCTTTATAGAGCATGTGTGCGATGTCCCCTCCACCTTTTCTTTTCGAATGGGCAAGCTATGCAGCTGCTAACTTAATCAGTTTGAATCGTTTCAGTCGGACTGTGACCTACGGGATAAGGCGTAATTTCTACATTGGTTTTCGGCTGGGTGTGGAACGATTGCAGCAATGTCGCCGAAACATTGGGGAGACACTTCTTCTGCCCCAAACACTGGTCCAACTAATTATAACTTTGCTGCAACGCCATGTAATATTCTCATTTTGTTCTTAGTATGATGTTTTTCTAAGATTGAACGTGATGCATTGACAAGAAACAGAAACTTATTTGTTTGGTTTGTTCCATTGTGTTAAGGGAAAGGACAGGCAATTTGTGTCTCCTTGAAGGTTCGACACTAGCTGAAGTAGATGCTGAGAGCGCCTTTAGGGTGGTAAGTTAAATTGAATTTTGTCTCTAATTAATTTCAAATTGCAGTTTTTCTTAGCTATGTTGCATCTTTTTTATAGTCAGAAAATTGAAGCTCAGCTCACTTGCGTTGATTGCCATATTGCAACTTTAGCTAGGAGAGGAAGGAAGTTCCTTTGGTGGTACGAAGGATGCATTGAGTGCCTGTTATTTCAGTCCCAAGTATGTCACTCTTCGCCTTTTGCTTATCTTTGGATGTTATGCAGTTTAGTATCATGAGTTTTAATTGTTGTGAGCAGCAGAAGCATGATTGGGAGGGTTAGGACGGAAGGCCTGATTTGATTGGTGTATGGAATTGTATAACGTATCCATTCATGTGTATATGCTTTAACATTTAGCTGCTTTATGGTAATATAGGTTTGCATATTTTATTTTAAATGGTTGGTTTTCTGCACTTACTATGAATTTGCTCAAATTTTATTTGGTGGAATTTGTTCTTTATTGTCTGTTGGGTTTTCATTCTTAATTAGTGATATATATAACAGAAATGATGACTTTGATCATGCTAAGTTGTTGTAACTGAAACTAAGTAACTTGCAACCAACTAAATGAAACTAAGTTAATAACTTTCTGCAATGCAAATTTTGGAAGAAGCAAACCATATTTCTTTATGTAAATTGTCAGGTATTTGAGCAAGTAGCAGGGGAGGAAGGGTATAGCCATAAAGCTTCATTTGTATTGTGTATACGGTAGGTTAAAGCTTAAGTTTTGTTTTCTAGACAAAAAGATATGTGGCCTGTAAATGTCTTTTGTTGAACGTTGAACATATAGTAGTTTATATTATGAGAGCTGTAGCTTTAATGAAAAATTTAAATTGCTATCCATTAATAAAGAACCAACTTTTTCTTATTTATTGTTGGTTTATAAACGTATACCATTTCCTCTTATTTGTTTCCGATCTTGGTATTAAATTTAAGAAATCTGTTCATGTTAAACTTACCGAGTTCAACTTCTTGAACCCTCAAGCTGAGTATTCTGTGGTTACCGTTGATCATATGATCCACTTCAGGTCGATGATGAACACTTCCCATGCGCCCTAAGTTTATCTATAAGGTGCCATATTAATTTCGTTGTTTACAGTAGTATTATTTCTCTATTTTGATTGCAGCAAGTGACCGAAACACCAATTCCTGAGGACATTTGAGGGACAATCTTATCTGGACTGAAAAGAAAACATGTTGAGTGTGACACCCCGGGGAGGAATAGTATTGGTGGCTCTGTGTAGTTAACAACCACAATTTTATGCTTCTAATTAGTGTTTTGTTTTCATCTTTGAGATATTTAGTATTTTGTTTTCATTTAGGTTGACATTGCAACTCTGTTTCTAGGTTTGCCCCGTATGGATTATTTCCTTTGTTAACTTCCAATTGTGGAATGTAGTGGTGTTCTTTGACAACACTACTTTCTCATATGATGGATAGTTTTTCCATTTTTGAATTGACATTTTTTTTCCAAGTTTGGTTCAGCATTGCCAAATATGTCTTCAGTTTACTCACTCTGCTATCAATGAAAATCTCCCAAGAAGTTTCGCTGCAATTTTTTGACAGATTGCTGGTGTTTTCCTTCTTTTTACCCTATTGATGTGTCGCTCTTTGCATATAAATTTGATGGATTGGACTTTTATATAATAATAATAATATATATTACATGATTGTTTTTTTTATTCTAAATTTTTTGGTTCATGACTGGCAAGGATTGCTACATTTTCAAGATAATCTAATTGCTGCTGTTATGAATGCAAAACTACTTTTAATGCTAGATAATCTAATTGTTGTTGTTACGAAATCAAACCTACTTTCAATATTTCCTGCATTTTCTAGATAATTTTATTGCTGGTGTTTGCTATCTTTCTTGCCTTTCCATGCGTTGGTTATTTGCTTATCAATTTCGAGGTTTGAATTTTGGTATATAATTCAATCATCTACCTAAATCCTTATATTGCTTATCCAATCCTGCTCTTGGCTACCATCATTAGATGCCTGACTATATCGGGCTGAAGAGACTCTAGACCATCAAGTCTCCATTATACGTTAATCTAATTGTACTCATAAACACACCAAGCAAGCAGTAAACTGTTGTATTATGAGCTGCCAAAACTCAGCAACAAATTGCTAGGGGAAACTCAAATAAACTTCCCCTAGATCAGGTATCTCAGGTGCATCCCTGTAATCCATTATCCGGCAAACTATCTCATTATTTTTAAGCACAAGAAGCATGCATTCCACCGTGATCAGTTGCCTATATTAAACCAATCAATGCCCCTGGAGTCCACACCTCCCGTTCCAAATCCAATTTGCAAGGGACAAATTCTTTGACAATTGAGTGGACTTTCCCACAAGAGCAAGTTCGATGGTAAGAACTTGGGATAAGGAATCTGTTTACTGAAGTGCACAACAATTCCATCACTACCCATGAGTCTTCTAAGTTTGAGTTAGGATAAAGCACAAAAAGGACAAGTTCTCTAAACCCTTATAACTCTTCCAATTTCCTTAAATGCATTCTTCTTCAAGGCATTCTGGTTAGCACTATTGGGTCGCTTGAAAAGCATATTCCCATATGGGAACAATTCATTTTCTGATTCAACCCCTACCTCCACCAACTTGCCACAAGACCCTTGCCAAAACCAATGGATCTAGCTGCGATAATCTACATCAAACAACTGAACACATTTTGTCTTCACGCAAACTTTCCATTCTACTACCATTGCATCAGTATTGTCAGCTCAATTTTGTTCCGTTAGCCACCTTAGTAGATAAACACTACTGAAATGGATGCTCTTATAAGAGGTGATAGTGCTCTTATATTGATGCTATTTGAGTTTGTTTTTCCATGAAATTGAATCTCATAAGCTAAACATTTAGTTAAGCAGAATCATTAGTTACATATTATGCTACTTAATCATTCCTCTGTTCTTCAAATATTATAAAACAAAACTTACGTACAAGTTTTGTACGATGCCGGCCAACAGGCCGGGCCCAATGCTAGTTTGTATATTGATAGTTGAGGATATAAATCCCCGGTCCATAATAGTTATGGATATTATATTGTATTTGCCCTTAATAATTTTGAGGAAGACTTTTATCCACCAATAACTATTGATACTGAATCAAGGCCCAAGGGTCACTACTCAATACTCACTATAATTTTCTTTTAATTTCGTTAATCCGAACTCATGTTCATGGCATTATTATCTTTTCGGTTATGATGATTTGTGCGTTAAACAATTTGCACGTGTGTTGCATGTTCATATAAATAAATATAATGATTATTATTTAAAAGTCACAGCAGTATACTTTTGAATTTAACTCAAGGATACCATTTTTCTTTTCTCCTTTCTGGCTTCCCCTCTTCTTTATAAGAATTCTGGCTTCCCTTTTTCTACATACGTATCCCGCCCGAGTTCCTTGAAGATACAGACTGGTTCGAAATTATACTAACGTTTAGCGGGGTCAAATTTTTACTCTTGGAGGACTGTCTCCATAATTCCTCACGTTTTATACAGGTAAAATGTCTAAAATCTTTTAAATTGTTTTTTTTTATGAATTGAACTTGTTATTCCCAATAATATATTTACAAAGTAATTTTTTTGGCAGCGCTGGGACTTAAACATAATTAATAAATATTTTTAGGATTGATATATATATATAGTCGATCGAGGAATAAAAAATCCAACATATAGCTAGCTAGTTTTTTTCCTCATGTCGTCGCTTCTATTTAATTTTGACAACATAACGACGAAAATAGAGTTACATTGTCACTATAAATAGCAGATCTTGTAGGGTAGAGTAACTTTTGAAAAACTCTCTTCTTGTAAAAATCGAAAAATAGTGTTGCTTATCTCATTTCGTGGTTGTAAGGAATAGGTGGATATCTCGGTACCTGAGATAGTCAAACCACTTTTCGGGTCAGGTGATATAATAGAAAGGATATTTTATTGGGGGATAGTGCAAGAGTAAGAGTGGGTTCTTACTTGTGAGTTGCACTAGGACAAGGTTGTCAAACCGGTTTATGCCAGTGTGTTGGTTTAGCAAGTGGAATGGTTCGACCGGTGGCACATACAGGTTTGTGTCGGTTCATGCCGGTCAATATTACAAATAAAATTATAAATACTCATATTTAAACATGACATTTAACGTCAATACTTAAACATTTATACTTGAATCCAATAAATAACATCAATATTTAACTTTTATACTCATAAAATAAATAATAAAATATTTTTTATCAATTAAATTCACTTAAATAAGGTCATTTTACTTCGAGATTTATATATCGATCATGCCGGTCATACCGGTGGTGTCACGCCGATTTTATGACTAGTACCGGTTGAACCAGGTTCAATCGGTGGCACGCCGGCCGGCGTTTAACCATGCACTAGGTGGTTGTTCTTAGATGAAGCTAAACTAAGAGTGTTAGCTTGGTTTGTAACCCGTATCCTTTCTCGACCCTTTTGTTACAAAAACCCGGCAGAATCTTATTATGGACGAGCTATAGTGAACATCTGTTGGGGATCGAATTGCTTCTCTCCAAGAACTTTGATATCTTTTTTAGGATTGTTCTCCGCATTGTTTGGGAGAGATCCTTGAGTTCTTGGCACACTTGCTAGTTCTGCGAGGCAAGCTATTTGGCGCTCCAAATTCTTTACTGTAGCCTCATGACATCAAATGTTTGCTCTTAGCTCATCGTCGGTTCTAGTTATTGATTAGGAGATCTCGTTTTACCATTGCACAGAGGTTTCCTATCAAACCACGTCGTGCTGAATTTGATTTCTTCACCCAATTTGGGTTGGATGAGGCTCTACAATCCCAATGTGCGTTATGAAGATACAACTACTTAGGATAGTCGAGTATAGGAAGTGGTCATGATCCAGCCGACATTTGGGTTGGGTCCAAGCTCTGTAATCGTTGTCCAAAACGATTATCAGAGCTCCTATACACGATCATTGGAAATGGCGGTCGATTATATTGGTAGCCCCTACAATTAAAATCGTGAGTTTGAGTGTAGCAAGTACCAAGATAGTCGGCTTATGTTGTTGGAAGTTCGCCTATAGGCCCAGAATTATGTCCATCATGATCGTCTTTGTCATAGACAAAGACTTGTGTTGGCCTATAGGCCCAGAATTATGTCCATCATGATCGTCTTTGTCATAGACAAAGACTTGTGTTGCTGGCAGGTATTTTAGCAGCTTCATTGCACGAACTTTTTTTATAAGTTCATCAAGTTGGTGGAAGATGTCGATGTAGGGGTCATTTGATCTTTGTGTCCTCTTAACGATCCTAAGAGGAGATCTCCTATACCAATTTCAAGATTTAGTGGCCATAGACATGAAGTGTTCATCACCAGTTGCCACCCAATGCTACTATGCTAGGGTGGTACATTTGATCCTGAAATTTTTATCAAAACTTTTGTAGATCGCAATGAATCTTAGATCATCAAACTACAATACTGAAACTTGATGTACCAATTATCCATCACTCGGGTCTTCACTTCAACCTAGTCCAAGAGCTTAGACCTGGCATTTCGTACAGCCTTATCGAATCAGTGGGCACACCACACCGATCACCATAAAAGAATCTCTCTATTTACCATCTCAGTTACGTCGTAGTAGTATATTAGTACAAAATATTTAACATCAAAATAACTAAGCAAAGACCAAAATTTCTGACATCCGGCTCATTCCAACCTCCTCCCCCCCTTTCCATTATCACGGCATTACTATGGGACCTATACAAGCTCTAAAAATGTTGCTCACCACATTCTGAACTTCCCCCGAGCTGTGCTCACTCCCTACAAGATCTACCAACAGCGGGAAGAACTCCGACACGTGCTCCCTAAACACCTCCCCATCCAGCCCGCTCAACCCTCTCAGCGCCGAGATGAGCAGCGACGTCCTTGCTGCCAGTTCTTCCTTCTTTGCAGAGCCCAGGGGCAACACAGACTGTGCTGCTACTGGCCTGTTGAGCCCTGTGACCCCACCACCACACCCTGCACAGTTGAGATATATTTGCACTATCTCCTGGCATACCTCGACAAGTCGTGACTCTATTTTCAAACCCTTGCAAATCAACGGTTTGTCCACGATCAAGTCCTGAAGCAGGCTCAGGTAGTTCTGGTACGACTCGTTCTCGAAGTGAACCATTGGAGGATCTGAAACCTCATTGATGGAGCAAGCTTTCTGCAGCTTCTTTAGTCGGACCGTCTCCGAGTTGAGCTCATGGGCATGGGATGCAACGGATCGAAACATTGCAACGATGGTGTGGATGTTGGATTCAGACAGGTACTTCAGGTGTGATCTGTATAAATCGATGGCAACCTAGTATAACACAGAAGAACAAGATCAATGTTGGAGACATAAGCTTCTTCACAATAACCACCCACACACATGACAAACAAAGCGATCTCCTTGAGGATTTGGCATGTAGCGCGCACTATGGACTGGTAAAAGTACAATCCTAACAAGTAACAACTAATACATAAATAAGTAAGAAAGATGACAAAGTTCCTTCTTTGATTATATTGTTATCTGTATCAACGAAAGGAGTGAGTTCTGAAAACTGCCTACTACGAGTATAACTTTCAAAATATATTTTCTTTATTTCAAAGAAGCAAAGATGTAAATGAAATTTTATTAGTGAGGTGGTTATTCAATTTGAATGATTTGTTGGATTCATGGTGAATAGTTGTTCTATAAAGTTGAACCAATGGGTGTGTTTGTTTTAGCTTGTCTAAGGTCGCTTATTTACAAGCACACCCCAGGTTGCAGTTAGCGAAAACTTGCTTTTCACTTGCATAGCATGCAAAGAACAATATGGGAAAGTGTTACAGAAAGAGGAATCGAGAAGGAACGGAAGGCTTGAGGGCTGTGCAAGAGAAAGAGAGAGAGAGAGAACCTGAGTAATGAGTAGCTGGATAGCAATATGACTCTTTACTCTTGAAGCTACATACGCTGCAGTTTGGAGACTGTCCTCCTCAATCTCGTCATGAGTGAAGCCAGGATCAGAAGACACATCAATATCAGCATAAGACAGAGGGTCAATGGCCATCTCCAAGTCATCCAAGCTTTTGAACACTTTCATAAACCCGGGAACTGTTAATGCAGCAGCTTCCTTTAAAGCTATGAAAATCTGTCCCCATTCATCCTCAGACAGCCTACTGCCCAGTTCACCTGCCAAGCGTAGCAACGCAGCAACGCCAGTGCTAGCAGGACCCTGGACAGGACTTCTAATGAACCCAGTCAGAATTGCCATCAGATTATGCAGTTGAGACCTCACCACATCGAAAAACCGGACAAACAGATCAACAAGACAATGAGATGCTAGAGAAGAAGTCTCAGAATCCCAAGAACCTCCTTCAATATGAGCAGCAGGTGCGGGAATTTCTGAATGACTGCAATCATCTTTGCTATCAGCAAGATCTTTTTTATCACATAATCCACTGAAAATGGGGAAGATAACAGAGTTGAAAATGCCCATCCAAACCAAGTAAGAGAAGAGATGGCCATGATCATTGAGAATGTTGAATAGAACCTCCAATGCACTTTTTCTGATAGCTGATCTAGGATCAGCAGTCAACCTTGACAAACCTGAAGAAAGAGCTTAAAATTTCAAGGACAGAAATCTATCATAAACATGATTCTTTCAGATGTTTGCACATATTTCCATTTGACCCAATTGATACGAGGTACACCTACAGTGGTTGTGAAATGATTTTGTGGTCCCACAATTGGTAAGACATTTTCTGGGTATGGAAGTATTAAAATATGCGCTGTGCAAGCAAAATGAACCATGAAGTTTTTGGAGTTCTAAAGAGGAGCGTGATATGACTGAAAATTCAGGAAAAGAATTCATCAAAAAAGAAAATTCAGAAGAAGATGCAGTAAAGAGGTCAATCATTTAATATTTAAAAGTTGGAAGGATATATTTTATCAAGAAGGTGGTCACTAGATAAACTGGAGGCACCAACTGATGCCAATCAATTAAACCAAATGGAAAAGATCCAATACAAGAAATGATGGTCCATGTATCAGACATATTCCTAGAGCATCCAGCTGCCATGTGTTTTGACAGTTCGAAAAAGAGAATTCATTACCAGGGTAATGGCTATCAAAACACAAGCCTTAGATATTAGAAATTCATGCATGCCAGAGTCTTAGAGCATTTGCTTGACATTTTTTTCCTTCCCTTACCTGTGAGCAAAGGAAACCAAAAGGATGCATGATCATCTTTGTCATAGACATTTTGCACATCTGAAGTATCCTCATTCGTCACAGCAATCGATGATGAATCATCAACCTTCTTCTCCGCCTCATTACAAATAAGCCCTCCATCTGCAAGTTTGACAGCGCAGAAGCGGAGAAATGCAATGGCATTTAAGCTCACATCACTGTTAAACCTGCTATTCGTGAAGGTAGTCAGGCATCTAACACAATCAGTGAATGTTGTCGTCTCTGTTTCAGTAATATAAGGAAAGTATTCCCGCACTATCTTCTCCATCGTCTCAAATGCCAACAAGACAACATTTTTCCGTTCATCAGCAGCAGCAGCTGTAAAAACCTGGAAACGCAAGTAAAATGCTGTGTTGAGTGGGCTAAAATCTTGTATACAAGAGCAAACTTCAAACTTACAGACAAAGCTTCTATCCGAGAGAGTTTCAAGCCTAAAAATAGCTAATCTAATCCAAGTTCTACCCAACTCAGTCATATCTTTCACCAGGCCAACTTCCAAAAATCCAGACAGAAACAGTCAGGATTTGTTGCTGTCTGTCCTTTTCCACACACACAAAATATTCCCATGATACAAGTACTCAAGGAAAGGGTACAGGTTTGGACAAGGATACCAATATGGATAGTTGCACATGTAAAATCAATGGATGAGGTACAAAAATTTACATGATCCAAATCTGTGCCAGTACTCATAGTGCAAACTACATTCACGCTCTAGGTCTTTCACCAGACAGATTGATTATTGTCAAGAAAAGATTTTTATGAACCATAGATTTTTCTCCCTCGATAACCACAAAATCTGGAATAAACAGCAGCTATGTGGTGCCAGTCAAGAACGTACATAAGCAATCTAAGGATCCAAGGAAATAAAAAGTTTTAAGACAGGCTTACAAAAAGAAATACTTGATCCTCACTTTTAAGATGGATACACATAGTTCCACAATTAACAACATTTTAAAGTAAGGCTCAACAAAACAACATTTAGAAGTGCTGCAAAACAACAGTAGGAAAATTCAACATACCATAAAGACGCTTTTCCAGCCTGATTTCACATGATTGACACGACTAAGGACCATCTGTGAAATACAGCGAACAATTAATTCCCTGATCTCTGTGGAACCACTTTTCTGCATGACAATCACAAAAGGCCTAAGAAACTCGTTCTGGAAGTTGTAATTTGCCAGCTCCTCCCGTTCTAGGAACTTCATAGCAAGTTGCCGTAATGAATCCATCACAAAAATAGCAACCGAGAGGTTTTCGGACAAGCCAACAGACACAAAGAAATCTGATAGAACATTCCATATGCGAGACCAGACTAGTCTGATGCGGTTCATATTGTAGTGCCTGCAAAGAAACAATCTCCATGATTTCCAAGGGCATCTTACTTCTCATTTCAGCATCTGATCTTGTAAAGTTGTATTCGCTGAATATACGGTTTCAGGAATTTAAGGAAAAAGGGAACAGAAATGGCAAACTGCAAGAAAAGTGATTTACTGAAGATACAACCTATATATGTTTGAAACAGAATGAGAATAAAAAGTCCTTATCTCAACAATCTTACTTAAATGGTTATGTTGTTCTCAAACATCACACAGCGATAGAACACTGAAGTGTAAAACGGCTGAAAGAAAAAAGGAGAGAGATCATACGCTATTTCAACAAGCTTTGTGAGACTGAATACACGGGGATCTGTTGGGGATTGCAACTCGGATATTGCTACCTTGCATAGAGCTCTCACAAAAGCCACTATGGACTCACTGTTCAGCCTTTGGCTATTAGCAAATACGTGGTTCAACTCAAAATGCCCGATCTGGTCAAGCAAATTCAAATTTGAAAGGAAACTATTGATCTGTTCTGGAGTCACAGGTCCCAGGGAGTTCAATCCAAGCGCAGTACTATCATATGAACCCCCTCTGACAACAGCCATTACAGCTGGATTCTGAAGACTTCCTTTTCTTTTGATAGATGGGTAACTACCCATCGACTTCGAAGATTTTTCCTCAGGTTCAGTATTTGATACAGTTAAGAAAGATGCATCAGGTGCTGCACCATCCCCCAGCAGCTGCAGATGCTCAATTCGAGAAAGGCACGTTAATATATGCTCCCAAGATTCTTGAAGGTGATTACCATCCTCGATAGCAATTGATATAATTGCCTGTCGAGACATGTATAGAAATTATTAGATTCCTGTAAAACCATCAAGCTTGAGAATTATGTGTTATATCCCCATCTGATATGCTGTCTAATAAGATTATGAGTGCAAGAATATGTACATTTAGTCATCGTCAAAAATGAAAAAGGAAGTATTTGACAGAGATCATGGATAAATAAATGAGAGGGAAGGCTATAATTGCAGGCGACTTGAAAAGCCATCGACCCTGCTCCCTTTTATAATTACCGACAACAAAAGAGATTTTCATAGATGCCACAAACTATTGATGCTTACCTTCACGGCCTCAACATTCTTCTGCTTCATATCTGCCGCACAGTGGAGATAAGTAAACTTAGCTAAGGATGTAACAAAAGCATCCCTCTGTGTCTGCATTCCCATTACTGCAGTCACATGCACAGCATATCTAAATCCCTGTAAGCACTGAGAAGTAGCAAGCTTATCATCACTTTGACCAAGAGTCATACTGAATGCAGCCAACATAGGACCCCAGCAGACCTCAACCATAAACCTCAAGATTGCTGCATCAGTTACGACATGATAAACAGACCTGCAAGACAAAAATTATTTATTACTCTGTGAAATAATGGCAAGTTTCAAGAGAGTTTATTTAACAGTTTATCACGTTAGGAAGCTGAAAGAATACAAGATATCTCGAAGCATGTCACATACTACTAACTGCTCCACCATAATGTCTTTCTGTAATCCTAAGACCTAAAACCATCCGAGAGTTTATTTCAAAGTCAAATGCAAAATATCAACCAAAATACTGAAAAGTCAAGCATCGGATTGACAAATTTTATCTGCAGTGTCACAATAACCAGCATCCAAAAGTTAAAAGCTTGCTTACTCTGATTTTGCTGACTTTGCCCTGAACTGCTCTTGGATATGCCGAATAAGGAGGCCATTTGCCCCCAATGGCTTTTCTTCAGCCTGCTTCCAAGTTACTAGATTGAGTATCCCATCAAAACCTAACAGCTTATTTAAACTGTTTGCCTGCTTAGTTTGAGGGACAGAATCGGCATTCATCTTAATTTCGTTTTTCACAATGTGATCGTAGAGGGTGCTCAGGAATTCTTCAGCTAAATCCTTTCCATCATCTATTCCTCGGTTGTTCCGAATGAAATCTGCTTTAGACATCTGAATGGGACAAACGAAAGCAAGAATTAGAGTAAAGAAAAGTAGGAGTGAACATCCATCTATGGGTGGGGAGGGGGAGAGAACAGAGAAACTATTCATTCGGCTATTTATCTGCAGTGTCACAATAACCAGCATCCAAATTTATCAAATATCCATTCCATAGTTTTTCCTATTGGTACCAGTAATCTAACAACTTTATCATCCCCAGACAAAAAGAGAGGATGTGATTAAAGATGATGCAGCACTTCAAGAAATAGCACACAGTGGCGGCACAAAGCACCATCCGTTTATTAAACAGAAAATAAAAATGGAAAGTTTCAGGAAAAAAGCCATTACGCAAGCAACATAACACAGAGGGATTTCAGAACCCAAGAATAATGGAGAGAGGTGTAAAAGAATGGCGCAGCATAGCCCATCATGCAAGAGGACTTCGCTGATACGGAGCTCAAAAAGAGTAATGTCCCATCATATGCAGAATGCCTGCCAGGATCTACTTGCCCAACTAAAGCAGCAGGGTGTATCAGATAACCTTCTGAGCAACTAGCAGCCACACACTACTTCATCTCAGCGCAAATTTTGGTTCCAACCCTTGTCCCATTTGGGTTTTCCAACCTTATCTCACATAGCTCTCTATTTATTTTATGTTTTCTTCACACAAGCAACAACTATGATGCATAGGAAAGCACTAGAGTAATCCTGCGAATGAGAAAACTTAAAATGCGTACTGTAAAATAATGGAAAAGGTTACTCTGAAACGAACCTTATCCTTCACCATGTTGTTATGCGCATCAGTATTGAGCATTATGACAGAATAAGCAAGGACATATGCCGTATCAGCACTAGTAAACGAGTTTGGATTACATTTACAGTACCGCTCAGCAAACTTCTCCATGATGCGGTCAATCTTCTGCGCTTCTCCTGGTAACCTGAAGCCCCTTAAGAAAAATCTTATTGCTTCACCAAAAGCCATCGCTTTGAAATTAAATGAATCGACATAAGCATGCATAACTCTTAAACAGAATTCCTCCCTTTCACCCAGATAATCACCAATCACAGTTTCATTGAGGCCACTAGTGTTTTTCAGAAATGCAGCAACTTCTTCCGCAGAACTGCCAATTTTTTTTGTGTTAACCAGAAATTCGATACCCTTTGAAGGCTTCCTATTAAACAGAGAGATGCCTTTCTGCATATAACAGAATAAACTTCGTCACTAGGCAAGCCGAAACCCCAATCAGGTCCATAATGGGGAAAAAGAAATGTACCAAACAAAAGCATTCAAGAACTTGTTAATGCTACTAATAAAGTGCTATGAAACAGGCCAGAAGGCTACAAATAGCACGATAACTGACCCTTAGTCTACCAAGAAAACCGACAATCGGTTAGTATACCTGGAGTTCCATTTTATAAGCCCGTCGTTGTTCTAGAGTGGCTGCATCTGATACCTCAGAGGTCACTTCAGTATGTAGATCAAAGTCAGGAACACTACCATCTTCTCCACCAGGGTTTGAATAATTCTCGACTGAAGTATAGATCTCTGTGCTTTTAGGCAGATAGGCCTCCTCTATTCTGAGCTGCTGATCCATCCAAGTACCCATGGACTTGATGATGATCACCAAGCACTTCACAGATTCATGCCTAAAAGTAATGTCTTGAGCTGCAGATAGTGTTGTGGTTGAACCAGGTGGCGGTCCTAGAGCAGTTTTGAGAAGGCCATTGACAGTCCTGCAAATATCTGATGGAATTATAAGGGTTTTAATACATTTTTAAATACACCACATGAGATACGAAGAAAACTATCAAACATCAAAGAGATAGTAAGAGATGATACCATAGATCAGATGGTTCCTTCAAAAACAGACAAACACTTTGTTTCAATCCAAATTTTTAGAAAAACTACATACACTATTAAATGTATAAAAAAAATCCTCATCACTAGAGAAAAATTACTTCCAACTTTGCTCCATTGAAATAAGAATCTATTTTTAAAATTACACTCATAATACTTTTTTTTAACAAACTTTTACTACAGCTAAAAGTGCAATTCATAAAATTTTAGAAAAATCCGAAATAAACACACGAAAGAGCTCAAATGAAATGAAATGAATTGAAATGGTAGCAAGCCAAGTTCAGCAAGTATCAGTTTACAGAAACTACAATTCATATTCATTACCTACTTGTAAAACAATATCATTTCCTGAGAGGGTATACCCGTTTGTTATCACTTTTAGAATTCCTTTCAAAGATCAAAAATCTTGAATTTGAAATTTTCTGACATTCCAATCCTTATTCACTTCCTCTTTGTACAACAACCTGATGTACAATGACATACCCATTTATTACTATTTTTAATTTTCTTTCTGAAGATAGAAACATGAGTTAACAAGAAAGTTATGTTGCAGTTGTTCCCATATTCTAATATTTGTATGGCATGTTTTATAAATGTGATTAATTGATCTTATGTTCATATACTCTATCGGTAACATTTTATGTTGTTCATATCATGTCATTTCATAGTAATTAATATCTAAACAATCTATGCTACATAATTTATCTTTTAAATTATAAGTGAGACATATTTGCCCACTGCCCACATACTCAAAGTCGCTTAACATCATAAGGATGAGATATTCAATTTGGCCAACTTATTAATTATCCAGAAGTTAACTCATAAGAGTAAGATACAAATCAATTTGCCCATAAGCCGGTAGTCGTGCTGGCTAATTAGCCACAATGTTGAGACATCTCAATAGCTCAAACTAAGACAATTCATGAGTTGAGCTAGCTCGCGAGCCTCGCAAGCTTAACAAGGCTTAGCTCAAACTCGGCTCGTTAGTAAACGAGACTAGATTCGATCGAGCTTTTCCCGAGTAGACGTCGAGTTGCTTGTGAACGGCTCGGCTCGGCTCACTAACAGCCCTAGGTGCCATATAATTGTAACATACCTTCCTAGAGAGAGATGATCACGGAATAATGTAGCCAGGCTAACTATATTCCCCTCCAGTAAAAAAGGGACATTACTAGTCCTTAAACTGGAATTTGGCAGTAAACAATGTAGAAGTCAAAGCGGAAGCAAGACGAAGAGAGAGTAAATGAGTAATACCTTTCATACAAGTTGGGAGACTCCACATCACAGTCATAGTTGACAAAAAGATCGATTATAAGCTGGGGATCCTGCACAATCTTCTCCAGGAAATTTAGGACAGTCATTTTCTGTAAGAAACTAGGTTGGTTAACATTTTCAAGCACTCGGAGGATGAGCATTGGAAAGAATATCCCAATTTCTTCCTTCAGACCAGATCTGAATTTCGACAACAAGATCATAAAAATAGAACACTGAAGCTGGAAAATAGCCATGACGGACAAGGCGCTGTTCTTCAACAATGACAAGCAGAGATATTGCTTGACGGCAGTAAGAAACCTGGCCAAAAAATGAAAAAGAAAGATATTTGTGAACAAAACTCCTCTTCCAGCGAATAGATGTAACAATGCATGTAGTTTATCATCCATTAACCAAGCCAAAACATTCCAGGGGGAAGAAACAACATATTGAAAAGGCAGATGTAAACCAAGAAACTCACTACACAAGGGAAACACGCAATGCCTATTGTAATTCACAACTACCAGCAATTCTGTATAAGTACCGTCTACAACATGCACTGAAACCGAGTTCAATCTTCAGACAGACAGAAAGAACGCAATGTAGAACTGAATAGAAAAAGGAAATTGCGTACCTTTCATTGCTGCGCAACATCGGACCGCCAGTGTCCATTATGACTTTGACCAACTCCAGTGACAATGTCTTGCCTCTCAACAGAATATGATCATCTGGATTCTCCTGAGATGAAAACTTCATGGACAACTTGCAAAGATTCCTGAAAAGTAGAAATCCATCCTCCCTTATTTTACTGTCCCCAGTAGTCTCAGCAGCAGCAGCAGCAGCATTGTCAGCATCCGCGGCTCCCGGCTGAGCCTGAGCTCCACCATCCAACTCGCCTTTGTCATCATTGTCCACTTTGGAAGTATCGGCTTCCCCACCGGGTCCCTCAGCAGCACCATTTTGCAGCTTGACAGCAGGGGAAACATGCGAAGGAACAGCATTGTCTTTAGCAGCAGTAGCCGACATTACCTCGTTAATAAAGTTCTGGCTGAAGTGAATGGAGCTCCCCTCGTTGAGATTCTTGTCAGTGAACTCGAGCAATTCACCAACGGAGACAGTTCTAGGAGCAACATCCATGGAGTCCTCCTCGACTCTGGTGAAAACAATGAGCACAATCTGCGCAAGAACGGACTTGGCACAGATCTGATTGGTCCCGTTGGTGCCGCCGAGGTAGACATTGTAGCAGGTCTTGACAATGGTGACCAAGCCCTCGCCGTGGATGAGGAGGCAAGGGGATCGGACGGCGGCGAGGAGGGCACGGAGAACGGAGAGCTCGATGACCTCGTCGCCGATTGAGCACGAGCGGCAGACGGCGTCGAGGAGGCGGAGGATGAGGGAAGGGGAAATGGAGGAAGGGTCGGCCTCGCCGCGGATGAGGGAGAGGGAGAAGAGCTTGAATGCGCACTCGAGGGCGGGCTCGGCGACCTTGGCGTAGTTGGAGTCCAAGGCGAGGAGGATGGGCTGGAGAAGGAGCGGGGCGTCGGCGGCGGGGAGGGCGAGGAGCGGCGAGTCAGGGTCGTGATTGGGGAGGTCGGAGAGAGATTGGAGCTGGTCGAGGGCCGCCTTGCAGGAAGAGACGAGGTGGGAGTGCTTCCGCCATGCCGCGTTCTTGATGATCTTGTCGAGGGATGGGCCTAGGGCGCGGCCGCAGCGGGAAGAACCTCCGAGGGCTACCGAAGCTGACATGGAATCATGAGATTTGGGAAACTTCCGATTGAATTTTGCGAGGGTGGAGATCAAGCTCTGCTGTGTTCGTTTTCCTCCTACAAACCGGATCTAGTGATCTATCTAAGAAAGAGCAGATCAATCACCGGCCTGCATTCACACCCTTCTCGTATCCGCCGGAGGTGGATGAATGGCGCTCTCATGGACGGAGGAAGAGCCAACTTACAGATGCCAATTTGCCACTCTCGGTCTCGTACATGAATGAACACGATCACGACGCTGGAATGGATCCGACCTTCCCATTCTCACTTCATTTCCTCCTCTATTTTTTCTTTCTCCGAACTAGTGGATAGTTATCGTAACAAAAACTTTACGCTTTGTATAAAATGGTAACAAACCTTTAATTTGTAACGATACGATGACAAAAAAAATTATCTTGTATGAAATAATCATTTTTGTTAATCTCCTTCCTAATTTTTGTTACATTTATCTAATCAGCATTTCACCTCGTCAAAATGAATAATAAATAACTCCAATATAATATCTACTAACCTTTACCCAAACCGGTCCAAACTTTATCAAAATCCGGTCAAACCCCATCTCGCCACCTTAATTTATGTTTCCCTCGATCCCTCTCCAACTCCACTATTCTTATTGTCGATAATTCCAACCAATTCAATCCCATATCAAGAAGGGGGGAGGGGGAAATGGTGGGGAAACGGGACTTGACTCGACGCTTCACTTCGCGCGCTCTCTTTCTTCTCATCTATTACCTTGGCTTTGCCTCTCTATCACTTTCGTTGACCAGGGGGCATCATCGCGGCGGTGAAGAAAAAGAAGAAGAACAATGGCGGCGGCTCTCGGTCGTTATTTGTCTGTTGTAAGTCTTTTTCTCGGTCGGGATGTTGGACGGAGGCAGTTGGATGACGACCAGGCGGCGAAGTATGATAGTCGGCTCAGAAAAGGGAACGTCGGAAGGGTTGAAGGAGCTCAACGGGAGTGGTGACCAGGGTAGATGGGGATGTCGCCGGGGAATCGCCACGAAGACTTGACTATCGAGGACGGGGAGGATGAGGTGAAAGGGAAGAAGGAGATTGTAAGGCGACGGTTGTATGGAGGATGAAGACGAGAGTTAGGAGAGAAGTTCGACGGTGAGAGTGCAGCAGCCCGCCGGGTCTTACAGTTTGGGCGGGTTGTGTGATTTTTTTATTAATATTTTGGATTTGTTTATTAATAGTATTGATGAGGTCGAAAGTTGATTAAGCAAGAAAGACGGAAATTTGGAAAGAGTGTGACGGAATTACCATTTTCATATTTGCTCAAATGTTTGTTATCGATTTATTACAAATTAAAGGTTTATGACCATTTTGTACAAATTTTGTACAAAGTGTAAAGGTTTTTGACCTTTGTGCTAATTACCCCGAACTAGTCCTTGTTTTTTTCATATTACTTCTTCTGTCGGAAATTTGGAAGTAATTAAAATCTTATTCTTAACCCTTTCTGTCGTTTCCATTCAAATGGGGTTCGAAAAATCATGATTTTTCATAAACTCGAAAATTGAGATAATATCGTAAATTTATATTGAAATTAGCACAAACAAACTTGATCAATCTTCATGCATAACACTTAACTCAACTTAAAAAGTCTACAAAAGGTATGAGGCGAAATTCCTCGCAAACTTTGTTTTACTTTTTAAGCACATCTCCACCTTTGTTTCACAATGAGAGTCTGTGTTCCCTCTTTTGAATTGCATGCGGAATTTTCACTTTTTAGGACAAGTAGGTTTGTTTACTTTTACTTTTGTACATAGCTACTGTGACCGAGCAACAACAATTTATGCATTTTAGCACTCACATAAAGACTTTGTTTAACTATTTATCATCGATCTGTGCGGAGGGGCAATGCTAAAGAGGAGTGTCGGAAGTTCTATTCGTGCCCTCTAAGCACAATTCTCAAACGACACTTCATTCTGTGGGGTATTGTACTAGATAAGCAACGACGTACGACCGCGAACTGATGCTTGGCTAAACCTTTCTCACTCCCCTATATGGAATGAGTGATTACCTAACACATTGGCATACTTTAACTCACACTTCACTCACTAGAACACCTTTTTATTCCACTTTTCATGTATGATAAATGTGTATAAAGATACAGTTCTCTGCAATGAAAACTCTTTAAAGTAGATAGACTCATTGAAAGAGTTTAAGAACTCATGAAAGATTATGACAGACATTGTATCCATATATATCAAATGGCTTTAGTCTCATGATGAGGACATTCTTCATAGACGCTACACTAGCTTCCCTATATCACGTATCAACGGATAAACTAGCAATTCAAAGTCTTTGAAGGTGTGTTTCTAGCCTTAATCTTCTAAACACAACATTACTCTTAAATCCTTTTGAATAAACTTTTCTAAACTATACATTTAATTGTTACATGTCTTGTTGGTTACCCTTGTGATGATATCAATAAGTTCCTGGGTTAGGAGGGTCTCTTAACGCCATATTTTTTATGGCATTGTAGTTATTTCAAAATTGCCATGAACATGATAAGGAAGAAGGGGGAACACACACATGGAGAGTACAGTACAATGGAGAGTCAAGAGGAAAATGCTTTAATATTAAGCCAAAGGTAGCTCCTGACTCATGAATTACTTCTCAATGTAACCTGAATAAACATGGGATATTATTAACAATGTGTATCGTGAATAATACTCAAAATAACAACACATAAGAGTCATTTGGATGGGGATTTGGGTATTGAGATATTTGGACCCAAATCACTCAACTAAAAACCTAGGGGTCGTTTAGTTGTGGTAATGCAGAAACATGGAAATTGAGCTCAAACAAAAAAACCTAGGTGAAGGAATCGTCAAACAACAGGTCTAGACCTCACCAACATGGGCTCTACTTTGCTATGTCAACCACGAGTAGGTTCCATCCAATCTCCCACTCAGCTCCGACCAAATCGAGGTTTGCATGTTGTTCCTCGTGAATTCCCCTCTGGATCCATCTTCAGTCTGTGGTCGCTCTCCCTCTTTCTTTAGGTACCTTCTCTGTTTCCTCTTGCATATCTTGCCTTAATTACATTGGTTGCTTACTCTTGGTCGGCATCCCAATTGAGCGAATCCGATGATGAGAAGTAGGAAATCGGCGGCAAAGATAATTAGGGGTTGTGAATTGTGATGGTGCAGAGTGGGGAGCACGAAGAAGAGAGAAGGTAAAGTGGATGGTAGGCAAAAGTCAAAGGTAGTGGGCCTCATTGCTAGTGGGGTGAGGAATAAATTTGGGAGTAAAGGTATAAAATACGGGAATGTCCAATTACGGGGGTGGGGTGCTGGATTGTCAAATCCTGCATGTGGGATTTTCCCCCCAATTACCGCACACTTTTTGTCCAGCCAAATGTGGATTGTTAGCCCAATTGCTGCATTTCGTTGAATTTAGGTCCAATTCCCTCATCATTTTACTACATCCAAACGACCCCATAGAAAATTAAAAAGAAATTATTTGAGAAAAATAACTTGTTTGTTTAATGGTTTGAAATTGTTCAGTGAAGAATTTAATGTTATCGTGACAAATCTAAACATACCATTTTGCCCTTTTTTCCTATATGTATTCATGAACCTAAACCATCTAACTCATTTTGCTTCGTCTCCTGCATTCCTTTGTCTTAATCGTCGAGCATAGAATCATCGGCGGCGACCAACATCAGACTTGCTACTACTTGTTGACCAGAATCAGAGAAGACCGCAGGTAATGTGGCTTTATTTGCTCAACGGTCGGAGGAGCTGGAGGGACAAGAAGAAGATGACAGCGGTGTTCTTGCTCTGTTCGCAAGACGGTCAGTGGAGCTAGAGGGAGAAGAAGACATCGAGAGGTCTGGAGGGAGGGTGAAGAAAATGTCGTCGAAATCTCTAGTTTTATTCGCGAGACGCTTGTCGGATCTGGAGGGATGGAGAAGAAGCTCGAACATCACAAAATTTAGAGGGAGAGGGAATTGCCGCCGATGGTGGGTGGATTAAACCAATGGTCACCCATCAATGGACTGAGGGATTGAGCTGTTGGTCACTTGCTGCTAGTGGTAACCTCCGATGAGTTTATGAGAGGAAGAGAGCTTTGTCGATGATAACTCCAACGAGGAGGTAGAGCTGGTCGACATTCTTTTCTTACTGGAAGATGAATAAGAAGAAATGAGACTTGTGTGGGTAAAGACAAGTTTGGGTTTCGTTAAAACTAGAGGTATGTTGGGGATGCAACCACAAACCTTCAAGATGGAATATTATGTAAGAATGTTGGATGCGACATCGTGGTGGAGCATGAAGACGATGAGTGGAGAACATTATAGGAAAGCCCAGGGACGTTAGCTTGAAAAGATCATGGTCATCCAGCTACATTTCTCCGAGGCAACGTGTAACGAGTCTAAGGCAAGAGATGAAGTTTGATATATATATATATTGAGCGACGTGTTGAGAATGAAGGCGTGGGGAGAGTGGGGGAAGATAAGAGGTGAGATTGAAGCGGAGAGCTAGAGGGACGGTGTGACAAGACTAGCAACATTTGACAAGGTCGGAATAGACGACCGAGGGTCTAGAGTCCATAGGTTTTCAGAGTGTCCAGAGCTATCATCGCTCTAGGCAAGAACTTGGTGAACTTCGATAGCAAAGAAGTTGATGAGACGTTGATAGCGACTATGGACTCGAACACTGCAACGAGATAGGTGATAAAGATTGGGAATAGTCTGCGGTGATCTGTTTCATCGTTTTACTCCTTGTAATCAAGATTTCCTAATCGTTGTATATCGTTATAGCAAGTAGTATGATCCAACTAGTGGTACAACCAGTTTATACCAATTCATGTCGGTTTTAGCAAAATATATTAGAAAGTGGGAAATCTTTAACACTAAATGAAAATTATATTTGAATCCAATATATAGTGAAAATTCAAACACACTTATATAACATCTATTCAAATGTTTAATTTAGAATTTCAAAGATAGAGTTAGGAGACAGGAAAAATAAGAAAAGACGACATTTCGCAAACAAAACAAAAAAACGATGTCGGATGATCTGCAACCCCAGAAACGGGAACCTTACAGCGGATCTATCCATGAATGTGTGGCCCCATTTTTCTCACCTGGTTACCGGATCAACCCGTGGATCCATCCAAGTGTTACCCCATTGGACAACCATACTCGTAATTAGGGCTGAAAGTTTGGTATCGGTATTTGGTAATATACCGAATACCCTGCCAAATTTGTCGATATTTGGTATCACTGAATACACGAATTTTTTCATGGGATTGAGATTGGGATTGAATTTCAAGTGTAATTCGGTATTAGGGGGTATGAGATTGGGATCGATATATATCGAAATACCGAACAGTACCGAAAAATAATATAAAAGAATGGTGCATTTTAACCTTTAAACTAATCTCTCCTCAGTCCTCACACATTTTTTACCGGCCTTAATTGCCAACTGAAATATTCATAACCCATTACCAAATTTTAACGACCCATACAATAATAAAAAGCCCAATGATACTCTTTAGGACTTTGAAAATTCATACGACTGGTACGGGACAGCTAGCGGCCAATCCACACGCCACCTACTCTCATTTCACTAAAAAAGTCTAGGTCAGTATCTTCTCTCAGTTATCCTCTTTCAATTCACAATTGCTAATCAATTCGGTGAAGAGCAAGCATGCGACAACCACCAAAAGCCGGTCAAGAAATGGAGAAATTATTGCTACCCATGTAGCTTTAGTTTTCTCTATCTCCAAATCGCGATCGGCAAGTTGTATGGGAAATAGCTAATATTAAACAATCAAATGTCCTAGCTCTAGGCAAACTCCAACTCTTTGGTTAGTCTCTTTGTTCTAAATTAAACAATCAAATTTAATTTATATATTTAATTATTAATTATAAATTTAACTAATTTCATGGTTGATAATACCGATTGGGATACCAGAATACAGATTGGGATACCGAAATATTTAGGGATTGAGATTGGGATTGGAATTGATTTTGGGTTAAAGACACATTTGGTCACTGAGATTATAAAATCCGGACATGTTTAGTTACTAGAAAAAATTAATATCAAATTTGGTCACTATAATTACTAAAACTGGACACATTTAGTCACTCGCCGTTAGTCTCCGTCCAACTCCGTTAATGAAGTCCGTTAAGTGATGATGTGGCAAACAGAATTGCCTAATCAGCCGGATATAACCCAACAAAAATAAAACCCGACCCGCCACGTCATTATAACCCGCCACATCATTAAAACCAACCCAACCCAACCCATATCCTCGACGCTGCTCAAAGTGAACGCGCCTTCTTCCTCCAGATTCATCACCTTCACGACGCCGTCCTCCGCCAGCAGCGCATACCTCCTCGACCTAACCCCGAGCCCAACCGGCTTATCGCTCAGATCCAGCTCCACCCCCAACGCCCTGGTGAAATCTCCATTCCCGTCGGAGAGCAGCAGCAAGCCGGCGTCGTCCTTAATCCCCAAATTCTCCTTCCACGCCTTCATCACGAACACGTTGTTCACCGAGACGCAGGCGATTGTGTCGACTCCCTTCGATTTCAGCTCCGCCGCCTTCTCCACGAACCCCGGGACATGCTTCTGCGAGCAGGTCAGGGTGAAAGCTCCGGGGACGGCGAAGAGGATGGCCTTCTTCCCCGCGGTGAGGGACGAGATCGTGACGGTCTGGACCTCGTCGTCGGCGTCGAGGTAGGAGAGCGTGGCGTCGGGGAGCTTGTCGCCGACGGAGATCGAGGCGGAGATTGAGGGTACCGCGGCGGCGGTGGATCTGGTGGGGGAGAATCGTCTGGATCTGCAGGTCAGTCGGAGCGGGAGGGTTTTGAGGGAGGAGAGTGAGGAGGCGGAGGCGATTGAGACCATCGGGAGGAGGAAGGCTTTGGCGGCGGCAGCGGATGCCGGGGAGGAGGCGAGGAAGAAGGGTTGGGTGGAGTTGGGTCATGGGTTGGGTTGGTTTAAATGACGTGGAGGGTCTGGTTTTATTTTTGTTGGGTTATATCCGGCTGATTAGGCAATTCTGTTTGCCACATCATCATTTAACGGACTTCATTAACGGAGTTGGACGGAGACTAACGGCGAGTGACTAAATGTTTCCAGTTTTAGTAATTATAGTGACCAAATTTGATATTAATTTTTTCTAGTGACTAAACATGTCCCGATTTTGTAATCTCAATGACCAAATGTGTCTTTAACCCAATTGATTTTAGAATGTAATTCGTTATTCAAAATTTCGATATTCAGGATTGGAATATCGATACCATACCGATTTTCACTTACTACTCGCTCCGAGGCGACCGTCGACACGTATTTAGTAACGTCGATTGCTTAATTCACATAAACGACAGCTTTTTGGGAGGGCTGGAAATTAGTAAGTTCAAAGCTGTATTGTCCGTTGCTCAAACGCAATTTTAATTTTTGCTTCTCATCGCCACATTGTCCGGTCTCTCTCTCTCTCTCTCTCTCTCTCCCCGTCGCCTCGCCTACTTCCTTCTCCACTCGAATATTCTTTACTTCGCGAGTTGGGTAAACTGGAAAACCAGAGTCACAGGGCGTAAAGTAATGGCGTTTCCCCGGGAATCCTTGTTTGGTTTCCTTCGGCGGGGATGAACAGGTCCGAATGTTTGATTGAAATTGTGAAGCAAACAGTTTTCTTTTCTAGAGTTTAGGGTTTAGCCAATTGGAGGGAGAGATCAATTGAAGGGGAAGGAGGAAGGCGGGGAAGGGATGTCTCTGCGGATAAAGGTGGTGGTGGACAAATTCGTGCAGGAGTTGAAAGAAGCACTGGACGCCGACATTCAAGACCGTATTATGAAGGAGCGGGAGATGCAGAGTTACATCGAAGAGCGCGAGCGCGAGGTTGCGGAGCGTGAAGCTGCTTGGAAGGCCGAGCTTTCTCGCCGGGAGGTAAACCTCACTTGCTTCTCAATTCATGTATACTTTCCTGCTTGCTTACCACTGTAATTTCAGATTTTTGTATGCCGGAAGCATGTTATTGGGCTTTTTATTTCATGATAATTCATGCTCAGCACCCACGACTTTGGCCTTCCCTAGATGCAATGCAACCGTATGTTGATCCATATCATCTTGAGTGGTAAGAAGGGAAAGGTTATGGATATATGCCGAGGAACTGATCAGCCTTGTTTCTTATTTTATTGATCTGTATGTCAGAATGGTGGATGTTCTTACTGATGGCACAGGCCATTCTAGGATAGATGCCTGCTCTAGACTAGATAACTGCAATTGTGGGCTATTTGTTATCCTGTGTTTGAGTTAGTGTGGCAGTTGATGTTCGCCTGCTACTTTACTTTGAGTATGGCTATGTGGTTTTAATTAATCCCAAGGGTTTCCGCTTGAGAGGTGTCTGTGCTTTTCTCATTGTCAAGTGCATATTTATCGAGTTAACTGTTAGCATTATAGAACTTGTTTTGGCACTTTTAGCGAGCGGCTTTCCTTGGGTTCTGACTAGGCAGGCCTTCCGTTAGTTGAGCGCTAAGACTAGGCAGGCCTCTCCGTTCTCCGATTCAAGCTGCCCTACCCCTATTAAATCCTTGTCAGGGTATTCTGGAAATAGGTTCCAATGTGGTTTTCTGTTGCATGTGTTTCTTGCTGAAAATAGTGCACTACAAAGTCCCCCCCTTCAGAGGTAAATATGCGTGGGTAGTCGGTAGATTAAGAGCTGTGGTCGTGAACTTTAGAGCCACCTGAAACTCTGTGCAACTCTTGTTTTTGATGTCTTGAAACTCAACCAATTAGTGGGGTGAAGTGAATGCTGGAATAGTTGGGTTTGCAGGTTGCACGAAGTCTCTATGTATATCTTTGGAGTGTTTCTAACCGGGTAAAGGTTCAGAACATTCTCTTACTGTTGCACTGTTCTAGGGCTTTGATCAGTCACAGAATACCGTCACTTCTACTTCTCCCTTAGTAACTGCTGTGTCTGTTATGTATCATATCACCAAATGTTTTCCGAAGCAATGTCCATGTGCTTTGTTTTGAAAGTTAAAAAATGAAGATAAGTTGATGTGCGTGAGAACTGAATGCATCTTCGTTTGAGACTTTGCTTGTGCCATCTGTGGCAACCGTTGTCAGCTCTAAACCTTTGGCATTCTGTGTTTTTTCTCTCTCTCTCTCACTTTTCTCTATGCAGGCAGAAATAGCAAGACAAGAAGCAAGGCTGAAGATGGAGAAGGAGAATCTTGAGAAAGAGAAAAGCGTGCTAATGGGAACAGCATCAAACCAAGATAATCAAGATGGAGCCCTTGAAATAACTGTGAGCGGGGAGAAATATCGTTGCCTGAGGTTCTCCAAGGCCAAAAAATGAGGGAAGGATGCTGTTTAATGTCCAGGTCAGATCAGGTCCCGTAGGAATCCTTGCAGTGCAAGTAGCATATAGTTTTATTTTATGCCTTGGGCTCAATTCGGACGCGCTGCCACTGTAAATGTTGGGGGGTCTCTGGGTTATTTGTTGCACTTGATTCTCGTTCTACTGGAGAATTGAATATCGGTGACATCATATGTGAGACGATTGCATCTCAAGTGCTAAAAACTAAAAAGCATGGTCCATGAAACTGTACCATACCGGCGGTTCAACCACGAAGTATCAGTATTGAAGGCTAAATCGGTAGGTCGTATATAACGGTCTAACGGTTGAACTACGGTTATATCACGATTTTATCATAGAATATTATACCGCTGACTTTTTCGGTACGATATCCGGTATGGTTTCATGGATCATGGTTAAAAGTAGAACTCAACTTAGGGGTCGTTTGGAAGTTGTGAATGCTAAATCGCTGTATTATAATGAATCACTACAATATAAATACATGCATTGATTCAATAGATGCATTTTGACAATACATTGTTTGGTTGTCGAGATTTTAGTTTATGTATTGATTTGCATAAAGTTACTTTATAGGGAAATGTCACATTTACCCTCACTTTTTAGTACAAAACAAAAAATATTGGTGATATAAATGGAAAGAAAAAGTGGACACAAATCTAAAAGGAACAATCACAACAATCTCAACTTTTAGTTGAGATTGTATAATGCATCATTTTTCGTGATTGTTGATGGGGCCTACACAAAACAATACATGCATTGTTTTATTGACACTTCCAAACATTGTATTGTATATAATACATATATTTAACAAACACAACTCTAACAATCACAACTTCCAAACGACCTCTTAGTTTGTAGGCTAGAAAGAGGACAGTATAGTACATTATCATCCAACCACATCTTCACTAGCGGGAAAATAAAAAAGAAGCTCCTGTCCCCACTGCATCGCTAGCCGCCGCCCCCCCGACATCATCGTTCCTTGTTCCTTAGCACAATAGATCTCCAATTGGCTTTTCAAATGCTATACTTTGCCACTAAAAATAATTGAATATAAACCGATTAAATGCAATGAGTAGATGTCGTTTATAAGACCAACTTAACTATGCTGATTAAATTTGTTTAAGTTTGATTTGAATGATGAATTTTTGGGGCATCAATAATATTGAGGTATGTCTGTGTATACTCCATTGTTGTCCAACCGTCTCCAGCACGACATCATCTAAGGAGGGTCAACATAAGTGTCTCTTGTCAATACCAATCAAGCATGACAGTAGTGAGTAAGAACAACAACTAGAAGTGTCGCCTAGAGGTCAAGAGACACGGATCCAAAAGGAGATTTCTAGGCTTTGGGAGGGCCATTGCTCTACTCCTATCTCTTGTATCTTTCCATTTGAATAATAATCTATGTAGGATGTTAGTAGTATGTGTGTGTTTTCCTAGGTAAGTATTTACTAGAACTTTCTATTTGAATCATTAGTACTTATTGTTCAATTTTTACTTTTGTGGGCGTGACTTATCTTTTATTCTTAGTTCTTTTCTCGTGGACGTTTCTCAAAGATCAAACCCACCTTACCTTTCAATCCCACAATCACTCGACTTCGACAAATCGGTAAACTCGTTCCCATATCCTTTTTTTTTTGGGCAGAGCGTTCCTCTATCCTTCACCCGTGCTCACATTGGGCACAATATGTTCCTTAAGTGTGTGTGTTGGGAGGGGGGGGGGGGTTGTTGTGCATAAATGCTTGTGTGGAATGTTGTTATCGAACGTGCTCTCTTGTGCTATGTATGTGTGAATGCTTGAACAAGGGAGATAAAGTGTGCCTTTTAGAGTGATTGTGGACTATGATTTAGAATAATTGGACCACTTGGAGCCTTGTATGCATGACCAAATTTTTTAAAATTTGAGGGCTCCAAGTTGTCTCTTATGCATCCACCTACTCATTGTGCTTTGAATTGCTAGATGATTGAGATGGTGTGCGCCACTGTGCGGTATAGGGAGTTGTGTAACACTGCGATGTTTATTGGTGCATGAGGGGTTTTACTTCTATTTACTCTTAGATGTGTTGATATTGTTTACTATCGCAGTTATGACATGTGTGCGGGACTCCCTCCCCCCAATCTTGGAGTACGTGCTCAATTTGGAAAAAAAACTTTTGAAAATTAAGTGTTCTCACGTGAGAGGCAACCATACATAGTGTTTAAGTTAAGCCGTCAAAGGCTTTTCTCTTGGTCCTGAGTGTCATTTGAGGATGTGTCTGAGGACTCCATTTTCCTTACACCGCTCCTCCTCACGAGAATTGTATGAGAGGAGATAGTGTTCCTTTATGAAAGTCGAGAGACCTCGGCTCTCGTTTAATCCGCAGATTGATATCGATCCATCAGCAAATAACCCGGCCCGCAAGCAGTGGGTGATTGATGTGGGTGGATTGCGGATTGATAAATCTGTCACCCACACTTATGTGGGTGGGTGGATTGCTGGTCACCCGCATGACCTGCATCCTATTTTCACATGAAAAAATGTTGTTTCTTATAATATCGAATATTCACCATATTCTCGAGCCGCACTATAGTATGACCATATACTTCTAAAGGTGGAGAATAAAGAATAGTTTAACTATTATTATTGGTTATTGTGTTGTGTAATATCGATTAGATAGAGAAGTTCAACGCTTCACCTTTACATTATTCCATTCTCCCAACCATCACTTTCCCCACATGAGTCTTAGATAGAGAAGTCTATGTACTTTTGCTCTTAGCCATGAGGGAGAGAATCCTTATTTTCAAAAATAGAAAATGTGGTGTCATATTTGGCAATGTGAAATTAAGGATCAAAGTTTGAATCCTCTTTAGAAAAAATAATAAGAGCTTCACCAATGAGTCCAATGCTTTGCACATGTTTTCTTGAGAGTCCCCCGGTGCACACGTTAAATGTCTAAACCTCTTTAGTAGACAAGGTCCTCATCTGAGAGTTTGTGTTGTCACGAAGAGATGGAAGTAACGCTTTCTCGACTCCTATTATCTTTGAAAGTGAAACCGATGAAAGATAGTGCATACCAATTTGATTGTTTATCAAATTGTACCTGTTTGAGTTGGTTTGTTTGGGGACAAGGCTTAAGTGTGGGAGAGTTGATAACATTTATAATAGGTGCTACTTAGCCCTCATTCTCGAGGCATTTGCGTGCTAAATCACCATGTCTATTCCACATATCAAGCTAGTTTAGGCCTATATTCGTTCATATTTGTAAAACATCAATTTTTGCAATGGTTAGCTTGATATGAAAGTTTTCATGGGGAAATCGATCCCAGTTTGTCTTATTTTATGTTTTTTGTGTGTTTGTGATAAAATTTTAGGTCTTATGTTCATTTACAATTGATTGGGAACCGATTGGAGTTCGTCCGAGCATAATTGAAAAACATAGGAGCAAGAAGGGAAGAAAAAGCACATGTCACGGCCACGTCACAACCGTGAATAGTAGTCGCAAACCTCATCAAGCAGCTAACAAGAGTGAAAGTATTGACACCCGGCTCCCGACTGTGATCTCATGATGGAGGCCGCGACCTCGGTACTTGAAGATGATGACAGGACACAGAGTTCCAGGCGATTCGGCGCCAATTTGGCTTATTACAACCTGGTCACGCCCAAGTCACGACCGTGATCATCGGGACACACCCTTGAGGCTGTGATATGCACCATAAACTGTACAAATACCTCATTTTCTACACTTGACAAAGGAGAGCCGACCTAGAGTGAGAAATTATGATTCTTTGGTAGTTTCTAGAGAGATAAACACCTTGAGAGAGCTTGGAAAAGGTCAAATCCATCCAAGGATGAAGTGGAAGGTGCAATCCAAGGAGAAGAAGATGATTCCAAGCATTTCCCCTCTTCTTAGGTTGTATTTCTTTTCTCTCTCTATGACTTGAATCCCTAAGGTTGTTTACGGAAGATGAACCCTAGCTTATAGATGGTTTATGAGCCATGTGTATGAATAATTATGAACATATAATCTATGCCTAATTAATGTTTGTGCACGAGAATCTTTTACTTTAACGTGATTGATTTATACTTGACATAGGAGAGATAAACATCCCCTTAGGTCTAGATTGGGGCATACATCAATTAGTGTAGGATTGTGTGTATCCCATTTGCTTGTTTGCAACCTAAATGATAGGGAAATTTTCATTACTTTGCACAATCTATGGTATAATTGGGTTTAGCTAGAGTGCTTGATGCTTCTAATTAGGGTGTTTAGATGTGTGTGAATGCTTCTTACCTTGATTGGTTGACCTATAGATCTAGCTATAGGTCGAGGTGACCATCCCCTTCTAGTTAGATTCTCACCTAGTTGATGCTTGTCGGTTAAGTGCGCGACCATTGACTTACCTGACTTGTGTGCAAAAGGATATTATCCGTTTAGAGGAGGTAGAAACCATCCTTGGTTTGGTGGACCAGTTGAGGTGACATTGGGTCGTTGCACCTAGCTAGGAAGGGAATCAATTCATTCAGTTAATCCCCACCTTCATGACCTCCACACTTTTTTTTCCAAAGTACCATTAGATTATCGCCCGTATCAACCTATAGCTAGAGGGATTCGATCCTAGACAACCATCTCCTCTCTAGAGGTCTCCCAACCACTTGGTTGGTTGTTTAGTTAGTTAGGTTAGGTTAGTTTTACCCCCCAACCTTCCGATTTGAGTAGATAGTAGTTCAGAGCGAAGTAATAGTAAGCCTAAGGTTCCCTTGGGATCGACCATCCACTTTACAACAAGTCTAGCATCAGTATACTTGTCGTTGTTACGGTTATAGTAGGTGCGTCTTGATTTTAGAAATTTAAAGCTCGACCCGTACGCGTGTCAATGATTTTCAGGTTCCGACTCTTAAACATATTTGAGACTTTGGGTGGATGATTATCAACTACAAAATATCGGTTCGGTTATTGATTTCGGACTCACAACCAGCACCAACAAAAGAGGAACAAACAAAAGAGAAAGAAAGTAGGAGTGGGCCGCAAAGTAGCAACTAGCCACAGCAGCTTCCTCACGCTACGCTATTTGCAAAGCACCTCTCCCTCTCTCGATATCATCATCATCATCGGAAGAAGAACAACTCACTCGGCAATCGAGTCATCTGAATTGAATCTAAGCAGCAGCAATTAGCGATTGCGTGGCTTGCCTTGGCCGTCGAGGTTTCCAATCGGTTGTCAGAACGGGAAAAAAATTCAGCTATATGGAGAGCGATTCGGAGATGGTGGCGTTTCCTTTGCTGTTGACGCCGATCGAATCCAATTACAGGGCATGCACCATTCCCTACAGGTTCCCTTCTGACAATCCCCGAAAGGCCACTCCTACTGAGCTCCAGTGGATCGACCTCTTCCTCAATTCCATCCCTTCTTTCAAGTAATCACTTTGTTCTTCCTTTCTTTCTCTTAATGAAGATCGATCGATGAATACTGATTCGAATTGAAACCCCACCTATTTCAACTGTTAGACAACTGGAAAGAATCTGTTCTCTTTTAAACGCAGGAAACGGGCTGAAGCAGATGACACAGTGTCCGATTCTGCTACCAGAGCTGAAAAGTTTGCTCAAAGGTAGACGCCTCTACTGTCCCCTTCCACACCCCTCATTTTCTACGTCATGGGTAGTAGAAAGCTAAAGATTTGCACTCTTCTGGGTTTATTCCTTTGTATTACCGTGTAAGGATTTTAGAAAGGAGAAAGAAAGGCTGAAGTCTGGTTGCTCCTATGCATTTTAGCAGCATTGCACTGTTGAAGCAGTGACTTATCATTATTAGAAGCTCTCCCGACCTTATTGAATTGACTGTTTAAAGGTACTCTGAGATACTCGAGGACTTCAAGAAAGATCCAGAAAGCCATGGTGGCCCTCCCGACTGCATTGTATGTATAACTCATTTATGGCTTCGATCTTCTCTCTGCCATGACAGTACCAATTGCTTTTATGAGTTTTATCTTGCTGTCTGAGGGTTATATCATCTTCCTCCTTCTCTTTCATTTTTGAGAATGCAGCTTCTCTGTAGATTGCGGGAACAAATCCTTAGAGAATTGGGGTTTAGGGACATATTCAAGAAGGTCAAGGTATGCGTTGAGCGAGCTCTTGCACGTTACTTGATTGGTTGCATGCTGCAATTTTGAGAAAAATCTATATGATGTACTTAAAGTTGGTAGCAGTGTCAGTGCAATCTAAGTCTTCATAACTGTTCATGGTCAGAGGTTGGGGTTTTATAGTTCCATTTAATGGGTGGCCCTTGGGTTTGGGATGGGAGGTTTTTCCTGTGTTGCTGTGTGGTCATTCAAAATAAAGTTTTTTTTATAACTAAACAGGATGAAGAGAATGCTAAGGCCATATCTCTGTTCAAAGAGGTGATCCGTCTTAATGATTCCTTTGAAGAAGGACCAAAGCGGCTGGAGAATCTGGCTCGGGGAATTTTTGCAGGGAACATATTTGACCTCGGTTCTGCACAGGTTATTATTTATACTATCGAAAATTGATGTATTTAGTATTTGTAACACCATGTTTAAGATATGAACTATACTTTACCCCACATTGGCACTTGAAGATCAATCATTTTGAACTTATCGGCAATCAATTTGCACGTTTTGATATTTGCTTATTGTGTGAAAATTGTGGATCAGATGTGTGATTTCTGAAATTACAGAATGATTCTTTATATATATATTATTGAGAGGTATATATGTAGTCGTAGACAAATGCAGAGAGTTACAGAGAGAACATACAAGTTGATAGAAGGTCGCAACATGGCCTGGTTGTTGTGATAATGCCTTGAATATACTTTCTACCCAAAAATAAAAAGAAATGCTTTGAAATAACTTCATAGCTCTGACAAACTCCAGGAGCATCTTCTGGATTGCTTTAAACTGTGTCTATAATTGAGGACTGTAGTTCTTGCGTTGGTGTTTCCTTAAAGATACAGATGCATGTAAAAACTAAAAAGACACTAGAAGTTTCCACCTTTTTAGGTTTACCTATCAAACTACGTCTGAAGGTCTTGTTATCTACCTCTACCTCTAATGTTATCTTTTTTCCTGTATGATTTTGTGAAGCTTGCTGAGGTGTTTTCAAGGGATGGAATGTCCTTCTTAGCTAGTTGTCAAAATCTTGTCCCTCGACCATGGGTTGTTGATGACTTAGACTCATTTAAAGTTAGATGGAGCAAGAAATCATGGAAGAAGGCAAGCTTCAGATCTTTCTTTCTCCAAGTTTCCGATTAGCTTCATTGTTTACATCTGACCACATTTCAAGTTTTCACGTCCTAGAAAGTACAAATCTAAAGTAAGTTTGTATTTTAAGCGAGTTTGTAAAGGTATTCTATTTTCTTATTTCAGGCTATCATCTTTGTCGATAATTCAGGTGCAGATATAATCCTAGGTATTTTGCCTTTTGCAAGAGAACTACTTCGACGTGGAACTCAGGTGTGCCTCTTAATCTAAAAGTGTCTCTTATTTAAACGCAAATTAAGGACTTTGTATTGAATGTCTTTGATTATTAGCTGTATGTGTTGGACACTTCCGCTATGCTAGTTAGAAGTTCAGAAACAACCCTAGTCTGACAATGTTTTGTGAATTCTGATCTGGAAGCCTATTTAAGACTGTCGCTAAATGAATTTGTGTCTGTAAGACAGAGAAGTCAAGATGTTATTAACCTATATTTGTTTTAAAATCTGAAGTAAACCTGCATATAGAGCATTAATTTTGAAAGTGTCTAGAGAAGCTAAGCAGTTGATATTTCTATCATGGGATTGGCAATGGGAGTCGCGATAAGGTTCAATCAATCACAGTCAAGCTTGTTAGATGGCAGATGCTCATGAATTGTGAGCATAATCTCTTAACAAAAGCGATGAAAAGATCTCGTCTCTGTCTAACTTATAAACTACTGTTTATCAGCTTTCTAACTTTTAGCATAATTTTGGACGGAATGTGTGTCCAGGTTGTATTGGCTGCCAATGACTTGCCGTCAATCAATGATGTCACATACCATGAGCTTATTGAGATTATATCAAAGGTATATTAATGAAAATTGGAGGCTAGGGGAAATGTTGGATTCTTGGTCGTCTGGCCTAATAATGAACTTGTTTTTTATAGTTGAAGGATGATAAGGGGATGCTCGAGGGCGTGGATACCTCAAATCTTCTGATTGCCAATTCTGGCAATGATTTACCAGTAAGCAATTAAGAACTACACTATTGTTGTGTTTTTAGCTTTGTCATTTACTGATAATTATCTTCTTCACTTTGGCATTCTGCAGGTTATTGATTTGGCAAGTGTGTCCCAAGAGCTAGCATATTTGGCGAGTGATGCAGATCTTGTTGTCTTGGAAGGCATGGTAAGCTTTTTCGCAGTTGTGCTAGAATAATGATAAAAGAAAAAAGAAACGCGATTGACGAATTTGAAGGCTTCAGACAGTTAAGCGTGATGTTGGCTTCTAATAATTGCAGGGTCGTGGTATAGAGACCAACCTTTATGCTCAGTTCAAGTGCGATTCTGTCAAGATCGGGATGGTAAGTTGCTAACGTATTTGATTTGGATCTTCGCTGTGTTGAAATTGGTGGTTTAGGATTCATCGACATGATTTGTATATTGAATCCTGCAGGTGAAACACCCAGAGGTTGCTCAGTTTCTAGGAGGACGACTTTACGATTGCGTTTTCAAGTACAATGAGGTCTCAAGTCAGTAGCAGTAATAGCATGATTCTTTGTTTTTTCTGGGTGGACTGTCCCCAGTCCATTTAGAGGAGCTGTGCTGCGCCTGACGCACCTCTGGGTACACTTTCGACGACCATTAAGCATTGTATAAATAATGACGACATATGTCACCACAACGGAGTTACTGTGGTTGGCCATTGAATTTAAGTACGTTCCCGATCTAATAACCATTAACATCTCTTAATATCTTTTTGAGCAAGCGCTAAAGTAGCTCCTAAAAGTACTGTTATTGTACCAGTTAAAGCTTTCATATTCATTATGTAAGGTATGGCAAGAAGGCGTATGTAACTTAGGCTTTTGTTGATGGTTGATCGGCGTTGTAATTGCGGTTGCATACTTTTGAAAAACAACAGAAAGGAAATGTTGGAAACTGAATAATGGAAGCTACTCTATTCTATTGTAAGAGATCGCAGGATGGTGAATTCCAATTACAACATGAGAGGTGGTGTATTTTTCAAGTAAAAAAAGCCATCAAAACTCTAATATCTGATACTTTTGAATCGCGGTTTCCACATGCTGTAATCTCTGTGACTGAAAGGCAATCTAAACCAAGGAGAAGAACAATCAGCCAGTAAGTATCTCAAAATGCATCTTTCTGCAGAGGCCATTTTCGCGAGAGGGAGGTTGCTTTGGTCGTCTATTTCACTATCTTGGAGGCTTTCCAGCGGAGTGCAGATACACGGACACAGAGACGACACTGGAACACAACACAGAGATTAATAACAAATTCACCAATGAAAAATTTATCATGATTACTGAATCAACAAGAAACCAAAACAAATGCATTCCAAGAGATTCATCAATTCATTAGCCAGGCAGAGAAGCTTACGTTGTGCCAAGGAAGAAGGCAAGTGAGAGGTGAAAGCCAAACAGAAACACCGCGACAACTGCTGTTAGAAGCATTGCCACTGAAGTAGAGTACACCTGCAGTTTCAGGAATGGTTTCAGTAACTGTCATCACGCCTGTAGTACTTAACAACGCTTTTCTTTTCTTTGCTCTGACCACTAGTTTTGGTTATTATAAAATGACAAAGACGGCCATTTTGAAATGCTCATTTCATATCACGATAACTTATTCTAATGTATGTAACCTCTTAATGACTTCACTAGCAGGCAGTGAATACTGTACCAGGAATCCTGGAAACAGGCCCCCTAATCAATTTTCCACGTTACCGGATTTACTATGCCAAACTCACTGCTCTCTATCCGTCATATCATGCATCATGGTTGGGGGAAATAGGCCCCCTAATCAAAAGGTAGTGACTTATTTATAGACGCTGAAGGATGGTGATGCATGCTCATATATTCAGACATCATATTCCCAAGGGCGACAAGTATGTTTTACCTTTACAATGTTGTCTGCATACTTCATAACCATGGACACTGCTAGCCCACTGCATACAAAATAGAAGCAGTAAGCATTAAGTACTCAAACCTAATTAGATACAGTCCAAAGGGAGAGCTCAGATACCTTAGTGCGTGGTTGAGAATCATGAGAACAGTAACAAATGAGTATCCATGGAAGAATCCCCTGGAAATTCATTTTGCGACCATAGTATAAGTCAAAATGAAGAAGTCCCAAAGTTGGCTACAGAAATATCACACAATCCTTACAGGTTGGTTTACAAAGAACACAGAAACTCAAATATGAAACTCACTTGTTCATGACTGCATCAAAATCCTGGATCAGTATTGCAACAGCGTTGAAAGCCATACCAAAAACATATAACCAGAAATTCTGCACATTTATATTTCTTGAGGGACGCTTCTTCATTATGGCCTGCCAATGATATACGTAAACTAGTCAGAGCTAACATAATGCTGGGCCGCTGCTGTTTCTCCAATGGCAAACAATCAGGTGTAAGCTACAGTTAAGGCTTAAAGCAGGGTTGACAATATGGCATAGAGTAACCAAACATGATAATCAATGATAAACTAATTTAGAACTTGAGTTTACCTCAGTGTATACTCCAGCAAAACCACTTAAGAGTGCCATTACCTACAATGTGATCATGTTAGCAACCAAAATTATGCACTTGTATAGCAAACCTGGTAACAGGAATTGAACAACTTACAATGGCCATCATCCAACCTTGGAAAGGGGTTTGAAGAACATGATCAGACCTACAAAATCAAATATGTTGCCGCTTTGTATTATTTTAATGAAATCAATATTCTGAATTACACACCCTAAGGTTGATCTGGCTGTAATGGGGGATGAAACATTCAACCAAACCCTGCAATATCACTGATAAAAAAGAACATTCTGAACTACAGCAAATACATGAGGCCAGCAAGTTCTGCTATCTATAGATAGAAGTGATTAACTTTTAAAAACAACAACTGCAACCATCGAGAGGAAAAGAAAGGAGGAACTTCAATATGTTAAACAGACACCAGAAGTTCATCGGAGTGAAATACTGATGCTAATAAAATCAGAAATCTCTGAGATGGATGCAGGAGAAGACATCAGATGCTTCTAAAGTTACTTGCCAGTTTTAGGTACCAGAGCAATTTCAGATCTGTGGACCTATTTTAAGTAGAAATGCAGAGTGATCAGTCTTACGAAGGATTCAGTTGGGCGGTGGTGCACCCAGCACACAAAAGAATGAAGGCTGCCCATTGGATCTCACTTAACCTGTAAACAATGATATTGTAAACCGTGAGAGCTGTTTGTTAAAAATCATCATATATATAAATGTTGGTACACTTCCAAAACTATATTCCAAGAAAAAAAAATTCATCCAGCATGAATGGTTTAAAACTTACTTTCTCTTAAGTATCATTCGATACAACACACCAGTACTGATAATGTTAAGGTTCTTCAGAATCTGATAACCTGGAGCATCCACATAGGCAAAGATATAATACTGCCACGAAAAAGGGGGGGAAAAAAATCAAAGTTACATACAGTAAGTTCTGATAAACAAAGGGCCTTGTACATGCTAATCAGAGCAAGCAAACTAGAGCTCACCTGAAGCAAATTTTTTACTAGGTAGAGTGCAGCCGGAATAGGGTAAACGCTCACTTCATTGATTGTTGTACTCAACCTGGTAGAGAGACGAAAATTACAGACTCGCACTTAAGAAAACACATATGTGGCTAACTTAACCTCAACCATCATCACATGGCAAACATGAGATAGAATATGCAGGTTTAAGTAGCAAATGGTGATAGCATATTAGGGGGGGATCAATCTGCCCACTAACTATTTGAGTCTCATCTACATTCCTACTAAGCTAGACAGACACCAGAATGGAAACGAGAAAACCTCGAAAAGCTCACCTGTTATCTTCTGTAACGCCTTCATTTTTCCAGGTTCTTGCCAAGGCAGCAAGCGATAGAAAGCATTTCAGTGTCTCCACCTAACAGGAAGACCAAGACCATTAATAAAAATGAGGGCAAAGGTTTGTTTTAACATAATCCCATCATTCAGAGCTGGAGAATGCGAAGAGGCTCACGAGGAAATTCGCAGTGGTGACACTATACTCATACTTGCCAGCTCTTTTAGACCAAACGATGAGAATGGCTTGTGAACTTGTAAGAAGAGTCAATGCAAAGGTGACGATCGTCCTATTGCAAATTCACAGAAACGGAAACAAAGCATATGAGAAGTAGCGTGAGAAAGAATGGGCTATCAGAGGTTCCAGTGAGCAGGAAAACTAACAAGATTCACTTACTTGCGCTTCCATTGCGGACCAGCTCCAAGCGCAGCAATACTACTACTGATTGGAGCTGCAATAACAAGATTCAGTTCCAGAGCGAGGAAACCATTCAGTTCTTTACATGAAAGAAACAAAGTTAGAAGGGGGGGATTTAGACTTGCAACGATTACCAGGAGATTTGCCTCTTGAACTCTCAATGTCGCCATCAACAGGGCCCGAATCAGGTTGGTCCTTCAGTGAGATTCAATCATATGCGTTAACCAAGCTTACAGAGAAGAATTGACAGCTAACTGGATCACAATGATTGATCGCCCAGTGGCGATGCGTGAGATGGGAGATGGAGATGGGGGAAAAGGACAAATGAACAGACCTCGTCTTTGATTTTGCGGTACTCCATTCTTCCCGGACCGGAAGAGAAAGAATCGAAATGGACAGATCTCAGGCGAGGTAAAAAAACAAGGCGGCGGAAGGTATGCTCTCACTCCGGCACGGCAAGATAAAAGAAGAAGCAGTGCACCTTCTCTATCTGGCACCAATGGCTAAAGAGCGGCCAACGGAATGAGGTTTGGTGGTTTCGCCTACTGCGCTCAGCTCACTGCTCTGCTCTTAGTATCCAGCTCCAGCTTTTGCAGTAGCGGAGCGGTTTAGCTAGCGCAATTCACAACGGCGTCGGTACTCCGGTGGCCGTGGCTATGTTTCTGTCATTTTTGTTTTGTTTTGTGTGTTTGATAATGGGCTGGGCTAAAGCTGGGCTAGTTGCTTCTGTGACCATCCAAGAATCTACCCCGTAATATGGGCTATTGGAGATCTTAACTTAGCCAAGCTTGTCTAGTTAGAAGTTACAACTCATCGTACTATTTATCGCCCGTAAATTAAACTAAAATGACATTTTTATCCTTTGTCCATTTTTACAAAAGGACTGCAGGGGATGTTGCGGTTTTCATTTTATCCCTGCGGGTTTCAATTTGTGTAATAACCGTAGAGGTGGCCGCGGTTAACTTGCAAATCGCCCCCCGGCCCCGGTTGGTTTTTTTCTTCCCAGATCAATGTCTAACCTAGGCTGCAACCTCAAACGAACATAATTTTGCACTCTGGTATCCGATCGTAGCGAAATTTTTTTGATTCCGCAAAATTTTTTCGAGATCTTGCAAGTCACAGACGCGCCTTGGTCTCTTTGATCCCGCATTCGTCGCGAAAAAATGTCCTTTGCTACTCCCGAACGAGCAATTTTTCGATTTCGTCAAACTTTAAACGGCCGTAACTTTATACTCCGCAATCCGAAAGAAGAGGGATAAAGAGAGAATATACCCAGATGGCAGAAAATAGGAGACACCGAATCTAAATTCTAATCCAGTGTGCGCTGTGGCTGCAAATGCTCCCTTCCTGTCCTGTTGAACCAGAGAGGACCGGAGGCCATCACCGGCGACAGAGCAGCACAACCGGAGGCCAAACAGTAGAGGAAGCAGGGGAAGACAAAAGTAAATAACCTCCGATGATGGCCTTGCTCTCTTCTTCCTCCCTACGTGGCACCACCTTCATCGCCCTCTACTCCCAGAACCCGACACTCTTCCCGTCACCGGCCTTCCCCCTTCGCCGTCACGTCCGTGCCTCCTCCTTCCGTCCAACGCCAATCCTTTTCCCCACCACCCTCATCCACAATTCCAACAATTCATTTGTTACGAACGCAACCCCAATTCCCGCCGGCGACATTCAAACCCTAACCCCGGCTCCCGACCCCGACTATTGGCCCGAATTCGCCGACCGTGTGTCCGGCGAGTGGGACGGCTTCGCAGCGGACTTCACCCCACAAGGAGCCCCTATCGAGCTCCCCGAATCCGTCGTGCCGGAGGCGTACAGAGAGTGGGAGGTGAAAGTCCACGACTGGCAGACCCAGTGCCCGACCCTCGCCCGACCCGAACCCGAACCCGATCGCACCATCTCCTACACCACCATCAAGCTCCTCCCCACCGTCGGCTGCGAAGCCGACGCTGCCACCCGCTACACCTCTGACGAGAGAGCTGCGTCCTCCGCCTCCGCCTTCGCTTACCATTCCAGCGGGTCGTACGTCGCCGCTTGGCCTGGTGCCGCTGCTGCCCCCAATAAGCTGGAGCTGGAGAATTGCTTCGTCAATCCGCAAGATCGGGAGTCCCGAGTCAGGATCCTCCTCGCTCTCAATCTTGTACGCCATTCAGACGACGACGAAAATCCGACGACCTCGCTGGAAGTGGCAGGAATCAGGGTTTTCCGGGAGCAGTGGTACGGGCCGTTCAGGAACGGCGACCAATTGGGCGGGTGTGCAATCAGGGACACCGCCTTCGCCGCCACTGCGCCACTCCATCCTGACAAGCTCTTCGGCTTTCCCTGGCGCCGAGGACCCACCGCCGTTGCTGCTTTCCAGCTTCATCACCAACCCAACGTGAGTCGGGGCTGAATCAGATCAGATCAGATCACCCTAAACATATAGCATCCAACTTTTCATTATGTTAGGAAACCTGCAGCTTACATACTTAAAAGGGAAGTCAGTATTCGTTGTTGAACTGGTGCTCATTAGTTTTTGGGGAAATGCAGGGATTGATTCAGCAACTAAGTGATGGCAATGACAGCAGCAGCAGCAGCTTGGAGAAGGAGAGACTGGTTAGAGATGCGAGCGGCGGCGTTGTATTGCTACCGAAGCAAATTTGGTATGCAGTGAAAGAAAATTGGTGCGAAGTTGGATGGCTGTTTGATGATGGTAAAGCTGTTACTTGTACATCTCGCATTGCACCTGACGCCACACTTAAGGTAGTAACTACTTTACTCTCATTACGCTTTGGCTCAATTTCAAGCTATAGCCTTCCATAGCCCCCCGCCCAAGGAAAAAAAAGTGTTTTTGACAGTTTTCATGGTTTCTCCCATGTTTATGGCAGGAAGTTCGATTGGCACAGGAAACTGCAGTTTTGGAGGGTGATCAAGCACCCAACTCGCCTTAACACAGTAGTGACAGCAGTGCTGCTTTTACCTTTCTCGCTTGCAGGCTGCATTTACGAATGAGTTTATACAGTTGGCAGATTCGAGCCGGTATTGTATTGAATTGGGATAGCTCATTTTTAAGTGTAAGTGTTACAAACTAAAATGCGGATGCAGCTGTGTTCTTTTATGTACAGAAGAAGAGTCCACAATATATGAACCCAAGTCGTTTTAATTAAACATTACAACCTTACTACCAAAATTACAAGGGATGAGTGTTTTCAGGGGCAGATATCAGCAGCTGAATTAGCCTTCACAGGGTTCTATCCGCCAATGAAAAATGCTTCTTTGAGGATGTGACACATTACTTCATCCACAAGAAACTGCAATGCTCCCAAAAAATAATACAAAGGACAAATCGCAGCGACAGGGTGCGCGCACACACTCTTTCTCATCAAACCCCCTCGCCAGTGGATACTACAATTTCACATGATGTTCTACCAAAAAACCCCAGAAAACAAGAACCCAGATACAGAAAACAGATGCAGGGAAAAGTGAAGATGAAATAAAATACAAAGAAACTAGGGGGAAACAACAATTGCATTACTTGCAGAAACAACAAATGCAGAGCGAGGAGGCCGTAGCAGTAGCATTACTTCTTCAATTCAAACTCAAGTTTACAAAATGAATCAACAACCTGTTTCTATAACCATTCTTTCTTTTACTGTCTCCCATCAATCCAGATTATTATGCATGCATGTCTCCATCCAAGCCAAGCCAAGCCAAACCATTGCAAATTCCAGCTCCCGACTGCAGGGCCTCCAATCTAAATTATGCTTCTTTTGTTTACAGTCTCAGGCCGGGAAACGAAAAATGGGTGCTTTGTGTCTCCTGTCATGTGCTCTCTCCCAGCCCATCTTCTCTACTGCCTGCTAATATCACCTCCAGTCAGAATACATCCAAGATTACATGCACCGGCTAAAATGAAGAACACTCCTATCCAGTATACTTCTCCCAAGTTTGCTAGAGTACCTGTACAAGTGGTGTCACGGTGCATTATTGAGCACCAGGTGCATCCCTCATGCTCAAATTTAGACTGTTCCTCATTGTTCGTCTACCAATTCCTGCGTTACCCTTTTGCATCATCGCCACAAATTCACCATAATCAATCCGTCCATCCTGAAACAAAATAAAGTTGGTCAATTTTGGCCACCTTTGATGACAGATAGGAAAGGGTTTCAAAAGAATGAATGATGAAAGTGATACATTAATGTTTATACACTATTGGGCTTGCTTACATTATCTTGATCAACTTCTCTGATTATATCCTCAATGAAAACATCAGTCATGTTCTGCTCGGCACATGCATGCTGAAGCTCATCCACTGTGATGTAACCGCTTCCATCCTTGTCAAAGTACCTGAATGCCGCAACAAGATGTTCCTCACGTTCCAATTTGTTGAGATGGATTGTCGCAGCTATGAATTCACCATAGTCAATGGTTCCACTATTGTCCACATCAGCCTGAAAATCATTAATAGACATTTCCAGGCAAATCAATGCTAGTAGTTTGCAGCAAATGGTAGTAGCAACCAATTCAAGATATAATTCTCATATAACATTCTCCAACTCCTAAAAACTCCGAACACTTCTATAAGACCCCACCAAAATTCATCAGCTAGAAGCAGAAGATGTCAGTTACAGGCTGACCATCAATCCACTAGCAATCTCCTATTATTATTCCAGCTTGCTACTAACTGTCTTGCCTAATGGATACTTGAGTGGAGTTAATGAGCTTTCAGTTCAATTCATATGATTTTCACTCTTAAGGTGGAAAGGTAAGGAGACCTCAGAAACCATCTTACCGCATCCATAAGATCACGTATCTCTGTATCCTTCATGGTCGAGCCATATCTTCTTAAACCTGCTTTGAGTTCATCAAACGTTATTGCACCACTGCCATCAGTGTCCATAGACTTGAACATTTCCTTCAAACCAGCAATCTCTTCCTCTGATAGGCTTTCAGCTATGACCTGAAAGCATGAAACATGGGTTCCGGATAGGATAAAATAATTGGTTTGGTTTTTCTCTGCAATGGGTAATATAAACAGCGAAATTAAGTTTATCAGCAGGCTATAACCGTTATAGAAATGGAATCATACATCCAGTACAGAATACAACAAAATAACTTAGGTAACACTATAACCAGGCAACTGGCAAGTTTGTTTGGATGGCAGAATTTGTCCATGAAATGTGACCTGCTTTCCCTAAAATGATCAAATGTCACTTTTTCCATTGCTTGGATGATTACTTTAAGCTCGATGGATCCTTAACATTCATTGGAATGTGAATTCTACGAGTGGGAAGATGCATTGTCCAATGCCTTTGTCCTTTTTACTCGAATTTCCCTCAAAACATCATACTCTTAGAGCAATACCACTACAAAGGCATTTGTAAGAAGAAAGAAGGGAAGCATTGTACTTTCAAATTTAAGATGAAATTCCATTCCATCCACCAAATTCGACCTTTTAAAAAATACCTCCAAAGTGGAATGACCACATTCTTCTCCTATCAGATTTCACAGGCTTCCCATTCTATGGAATTCCACATCCCACCACCTAAACAAGCCCCAAGGAATAACGTCTAGCTCATTCCATACATAAACTTAGCCACTTACCCGTAGAGCCATCTTTTTTAGTTTATTCATTGCCGAGAACTGCTTGAGACGAGTGAGTACAGCTGCATCAAGGGCTCTATCAGGAGCAACTCCATTTTCACAGATCCAAGGATGACCTTTATTAATTAAGCAAAAAACACAACTCAGTATGTTAACAAACTCACATGAAAAAGGTAGTAGTAACATTTGCCAAGCAAGATAATTGCATTTTGCAACATCTAGTAGTATTAAATGCCAAATCTGCTATAAAAAGGAAAGCAGTAGTAACAAATTCAAAAATCCATAAGTTTGAGAAAGTATTTTTCCTCTGTTCGAAACAGTTATGCCTCTACAAAGGCATGCTTTTAAATAACCATCCCCTAATTCTGGGATATCGCAAATTTAATGCAGTTAGCAAGCATTCATCTAACTTGGAGATGTTTATGGAACTGCTGAAGCTACATAGTTAAATAAAGTGCTAATTTAATATCATCAGTATGTTTAGTGATGTATAAAAATAAAAAATATATATAAATGTAAGTAATCAGCTACACATACATAACACTTCATGAGCAGTCAAGCGTTCTTTAGGATGGGATGAAAGCATCCTTCGAATGAGATCTTTGGCACTCTCTGAAATTAATGGCCATGGGTCTGAGTCAAAGTCAATATGGCCCTTCAAGACTGCATCAAATATTCCTTGCTGCGTCTCTGAATTACCACCATCAGAAACCCTTTCAGCTTATTGCACTATAGAAGTGACCTTAGAGCCAATGAGACATTGCTAAGATTACACTTACCAGCCCAAAATGGCGGCACCCCACTTAACAATATGTACAGAATGACACCAGCGGTCCATACATCAGCTTCTGGCCCATAATGCTTGAGAAGCACCTCAGGTGCAACATAATAAGGACTTCCAACAACATCAGTGAAAATTTGCCCTGTGGCAGAACCCATAAGTACATTAAATTCGATTCAATGGACTGCTTATAATACTTGCGTTGTAATCATTAACTGCAACACATACCCGGTTTGAAAAACACAGAGAGCCCAAAATCGATGGCCTTGAGAGAGAAGTCATCATCCTTGTTAACCAACAAGAAATTTTCAGGCTTCAGATCTCTATGCATAACCCCAAGAGAATGGCAGGCCTCGACAACACTGGCAATGATCTTGGTGAGCTCAGCGGCTTTCCTCTCACTGTAATGCCCTCTCTGGATGATTCTATCGAACAGCTCGCCACCAGAGCAAAGCTCCATCACAATGTGAACATACAAAGGGTCCTCATAGGCACCTTTGATGGTGACAATGTTCTTGTGACCAGCCAAATGGTGCATAATCTGAATCTCCCTGCGAACATCATCTACATCTTCTCTGGAGATCAACTTCCTCTTGGAGATCGATTTGCAAGCGAACTCGATCCCTGAGGAAATCTCGGTGCAGAGGTAAGTAGTGCCAAATTGGCCCTGCCCCAACTTGCGGCCCAAGTTGTAGAGGTCGCGAATGTTGGGAGTTCTGTGGCCGAGAACGTAGTAAGCTTGATTATCCGCTGTGCGCCTCATTGTGCTGACTTCCTTGGCGGGGCTGGCAATGGGCAAATTGTTATGGTTGTTGGGGTTAGGAGGGGTGGTGATGAAATCAGGGGTGGCGAAGCTGGAATTGGAATGTTCAGAACTGGTTTGATCAGAAGAAGGATTGCGCCTGGAAGTTGAAGTCGCTGAGAGATCCTCGGGCTGATTGTAGCCCTGATACAGTTTGCCTTTGAAAGATCCACGGCAAGTGTTGCCCATCAAACAACCACAATTGCCTGTTTAGCTTAATTCACCTCACACTTTGCCCCTCATCCAAGTATATCTTAATTGTCATCAGAATCGAATTAGCTGCTCCACGACATCAAACAACACAAACAACAACAAGCAGAACAAGAAAAAGAGAGAACATCAGCAAAAGATAGCAACTTTACAGAGCGGGTGTACGTAGATGATTCATTCAATTGAAAGAAACCCAGAAAGGAAAATCTGATCTAGAACATGGCATCGCAGCTATGCAGGAAAAAGAAAGGGAGAAGGAATCCCAAGCTGAAGCTAAAGAAGGAAAGCAAAAGGAGGAAAGGTGCAGACTTTTGGGGTCAATCATGACGACAGCCCATACTTTATCCATAAAACAAAAGGGGACATTGATCATTACATCATAATAAATTAAACCACAATGAAATTAGGCGACGAGTATAAGGGAAGAACAGGGGAAAGAACATACAGCAGGAAAGGAAGAGATTAGGAATCCGAAGATGAGAAGGTGTTGCCGGTTTGCTAAGCATAACAATAATAGTAATACTAACTAGGAAAAAGGACAAGGGCAAGGATCAACGGAGATTGCCGAGAGACAGAGAGAGAACTTACAAGGACGGACGGAATCGCGGTGGGAGGAGGAGAAAGAGGAGTTGAGGGATCTGGGTTGGCCGGCACAAATCTAAAACCAGTGGCAACAAATGAAAATGAAGGCGGGGCAGAAAGAAAGGAAGGAATAGTCTTCTCTCTTTCTCTTCTTCCTTTACTTCATTATTATTATTAATAATTTTTTTCTCTTTTCCTTGTCGGATTAGTGGTGAGATCAGGGAGAGAAAGGGGGAAGGAAGGAGGAAACGGAAGAGAAACTAATTAATTAATTAATAATGAAGGTGTATTAGTGGTGACCTCACCTCGACCTCTGAAAGAAAGCAATGGTGGGTGGGGATTTGCTTAACAAAGAAATTCAGAAAGAGGGTAATTAGTAAATCCTTTTATTATTATTATTGCTATTATTATTACTATTGTGAGATGTCTGAGGGAAATCATTAACCGTTTGTTTGTTAATAATAAATGGAGGGGAATGAATGGATGATATATAACTATATATATAATTGTTGATGGAGACCGACAAAGGCAATGGGTGAGAGAATCTATGCAGGTGGGTGGGAGTTAGAACTTAGAACTTAGAAAGAAACAAGGAAGAGGAAGAAGACTGGATGCTGCTTTGCTTTGCTTTGCTGACTTCTGACTACTGTTCTTCAGCTGCCCAGAAAGGCAGAAACAACCCACGAAGATCGACGACTAATAGCAACTGTGAATCTGTGATGTGATCCCAATTCTAGTTTTACTTAATTTATCCATTTCCCTTCTCAACCAAAATAAATTAAAAAGAACAGACAGAGCAATTAAAAAAAGCGTTGTTAATGCTGGAATTTGGGGGATGGTGCTGACCAGGTAACAAACAGGTTGGCAGGCAGGCGGCTCCCCACAGGCCACAAAGTGACAAAGCTAGCGCCACTCACTCTCAGGCCTCAACTCAAACGCGGTTTCCTTTCCACCATCCTTCCTTTCCTTTCTGGTGTAATATACAACTCCAGATTAGCAGGGTAGCTAGCAAGGAAAGGTCGTCGGCGGCGGCCGGGTACTACTTTGACCCAAAATACAATACAAGTCTCCGACTAATGCTCTGCATATGTTCCACCTGCTTTCATCGGTCCATCATTATCACCATCATCTGTAGACATCGATTTATGTACATGTTGGGATGTATATAGCTATCACTTTTAATTATGAGTACCATCTTGTAATTAGATAGCTTAATACCCTGATCTCCTAGGTTAAATAGCAGCTGGCTTGTTAAGCCGTGTAACTCAATTTTGGCCTTGATTTCTATTTGGCCGCATCATAGTGAAAACGCTCTCTGGAGCTTGCTCTCGTGGATTAGTCTCGTTCAGTTAAAAACGAGGATACCACGTAAATCTCGTGTTCTCTACTTTCCGCGTTACCAAGTTTTACATGGTATCAGAGCAGTGATCGTTTGATTTTTCTACGGCTTTCTTTAATGCAATCATGGGCGACAAGGATGGCACTTCGGCTGATAGCAAGGCTGCCGCTACTAATGGCGCCGACTTGATTCCCCTCAGTTCGCCTCTCTTTCTTCACCCTTCCGGAAATCCGGGTCAGTTGTTTGGTGGTGATGTTCTGACCGATCTTAACTACAATGAATGGATTAGTGACATGAAGGAGACTCTCAGTGCGAAGAACAAAATTGCTTTTGTCAACGGGACTCTACCTCGGCCAGCCGCCACTGATCTGGTTCGTCTCAACGCTTGGGATCGCTGTGATGCGATGGTTAAAGGCTGGCTCAAGACGGCGATGACGAAAGAAATCAGGAATATCGTGCGTGGTGTTTCGACATCTCGCGAAATTTGGCTTGATCTACGCCAGCGATTTAGCCCAGGGTCGGCGACTCGAGCCTACGAGCTGCGTAGACTCATTGGCGCTCTTCGAGAGGATAAATCCTCAGTCTCGGCCTTTAATACGCGGCTTAGGACGTACTGGGATGAATCCCAGGCCGTTAGCGCCACTCCTCGTTGCAGTTGTAGCGGGTGCTCGTGTGATGTAGCGGGACAGGTGCGTGCAAAGCTGGAGTCCAAGCGCCTCTTCGATTTCCTTCTCGGACTGGACGATGCTTTTGTCGTCATCCGCTCCCAAGTCCTCAGCACCAAACCGTTGCCTTCTCTTGCGGAGGCATATCAGCTCGCTGCTGGAGACGAGCAGCAGCAGCAGCTTACTGCTGGGCGCCGACCTGCGGTAGACTCCGCCGCCTTCCAAGTCAAAGAAGAGAAGGCTGCTAGTTCTCCTAAGCCAGTACGTTGCAGCCACAGCCGTAAACTCGGCCGCACCAAGGACATGTGCTATCGTTTGCATGGTTTCCCCACTTCAGACTTGAAGAAAGTGAAACAAGGTGAAATACGTCGTTCACCTGGTGATGCTCCACCTAGGCAGCCCACGTTGAAAATGAGAGCAGCCCCATTCCTGGGCTTTCGGCAGCTCAGTTCGCGCACTTGAAGGCTTTTTTAGTTCTCCAGTTCCAGGTTCCCCTGATCTAACAACTCACATGGCCGATAATCATTCTGACCTTTACGAATGGCTTATCGATTCAGGATGCAATGAGCATATTGTTAGGGATGCTAGTTGGCTTGATCGGGTTAAACGTAGTGGTAATTACTCGCCTGTACACATTGACATACCTAACGGGCGGTGTGTTCCTGTTGAAGGGGTGGGGACAGTTCGCTTGACTGATCGGCTCACTCTACATCGTGTTCTCCATGTCCCTGTTTTAAATGCAACTTGCTCTCTGTTACTCAGGACCATGATATCGTTTTGTTGTTCTTGGCTGGTGTTTGCGTTATCCAGGACTCATGTTCCAGGACAGTGATTGGATGGGGAGACTCCGTGATGGTCTGTACTACTTGGATCGAGGCAACGTGGATACTACTTTGGAGGACCATGGTCGTTATGCGTTTGCTGTAGTTGGGCATGACGACCCTACTCTTTGGCACCATCGCCTTGGACATCCATCTTTTGAGAAACTCTCTCTATTGCGTGATGCTCTTAGTTCACCCAAGTTTTCTTTTGCTCGAACTCATTGTGATCCGTGTTGGAGAGCTAAGCAAACTCGTACTGTTTTCCTTTCCAGTTCGATTACTACTCATGGTTGTTTCGAATTAATTCACGTGTATATTTGGGGTAGTTATAAGACTCCTTCTCTCGATGGTTTGCGGTTTTTCTTAACCGTGGTGGATTAATTTAGCCGGGCTACCTGGGTCTATTTACTCAAGTACAAGTCCGAATTGAGAAATATATTCTTGCTTTTTGTCAGATGGTGGTTACTCAGTTTGATAGGAAGGTATGACAGATACAGGCCGATAATGAGATGGAATTCCAGACTGCAACCTTACGTTCCTACTATGCTGAACAGGGGATTATTCTGCAGACATCATGTGTTAACACGCCGCAGCAAAATGGTATTGTGGAACGGAAGCATCGCCATCTTCTTGACACAGCCTGTGCTCTCCGTTTCCATGCCGGTCTCCCGGTTCGTTTTTGGGGTGAGTGTGTCTTGACTGCCACCTATCTGATTAATCGCCTTCCCTCATATGTTCTTGGCAATAAAACACCGTACTAGGTTTTGTTGGGACGCGTGTCATCCTACTCCCATTTGCGGGCTTTTGGTTGCTTAGTTTATGCAAAAGACACTCAGGCTGGGTTGGATAAATTTGCCGAGCGCGGACGACGGTATGTGTTTGTCGGATACCCTCTCACACAAAAGGGATTTCGCGTTTATGATCTTCATCTATGGAAGATTTACACTTCCTATGACGTTCATTTTGTGGAGGATGACTTTCCTTTCCCGACATCGGGCTCTACACCTTGCATGGGTCCTAGTCCACCTTCGGCGACATCCTTTGAGGGGGAGCTTGATCCTTTGGTCGCGGATCGGGCAGCGTCGGACGAAGATCTTACTACCGTCTTTGACGTTGACAATTCTCCCATGCATGGCACACCTCTCGTCTCTGACGAACCCATGATCACCAGTCATGCAGCTTCTCAGAGCGCTGATCACGCTGTTCCATCCCCAGTTCTGGCCCCCGCGTCTAAGCTGCCCCCGCCACCTATTCTCCGCGGTAGTGATCGGGATCGTAGGCCGCCTGCCAAGCTCGCCATCTATGATGTCGAGTTACCCGTCTCTTCTTCCTTGCCTGCGGTCACCCATCCCATCTCCAACCATGTAAGCTATCACCGCTTCTCCTATTCTCACCGTGCGTTCTTGGCTGCTATTGCACAGGTTGTCGAACCACAACATTTTCGCACGGCTGTTCAGCATGTCTATTGGCGAGAGGCAATGATTAAAGAAATCATGGCGTTGGAGGCTAATGGGACGTGGACTTTGGAGTTTTTGCCACCTGGTAAACGTGCTATCGATTCGAAGTGGGTCTATAAGATTAAGTACCACCCCGATGGCTCGGTCGAACGATACAAAGCTCGGTTAGTTGCCAAAGGCTTTACTCAAGTGTCAAGTCGAAGGCGTTGACTTTCATAATACCTTCTCTCCTGTGGCTAAACTGGTCACTGTCCGTGTACTCATCGCTATTGCTATCGGTAAGGGTTGGCCACTTCATTAGTTGGACGTAAATAACGCCTTCCTCCATGGCGACCTTCAGGAGGAGGTCTATATGAAGGTTCCTTTGGGTTTCACAGCCCAGGGGGACACTCGTGTTTGTCGCCTGCGAAAGTCTCTTTACGGCCTCCGACAGGCTTCCCGGAAATGGTATAACAAGTTCACTACAGCACTTGGTGAGTTGGGATTTGTTCCCTCGCGAGCAAACCCCTCATTGTTACTTTATCGCCATGGTACTTCCTTTGTTGAAGCCCTTATCTACGTCGATGATGTGGTTCTCACGGGTAACGACGTGGAGTTCATTACTCGCATCAAGGCTTTCACGACCGCTTCAGCATCAAAGATTTGGGTCCACTGAAGTATTTTCTTAGCATTGAAGTCGCTCGGTCACCTGATGATGTGGTTCTCAGTCAGTGGAAGTATGCCCTTGACATTCTCAGTGATGCAGGTGCTACAGCAGCTCGTCCTAGTTGGTTTCCCGTGGAGCAGAACCATACCCTCACCCATCCTGGTGAGCCTTCGGACGAAGTAGTCCATGTTCACGCTTACCGTCGTTTAGTGGGTCGCTTGTTGTACCTCACTGTCACTCCACCTGACATCACCTACGCCGTCAACATCTTAAGTCAGTTTGTTCATGCTCTCCGTCTTGACCACGTGGCGGCTGCACACCGGGTTCTTCGATACCTCAAGACTTCTCATGGGCAGGGTCTCTTCTTCCCTTCCGGAGATTCCTTGGTTCTCTCTGCTTACTATGATGCAGACTAGGGTGGTTGCCACGCCACCCGTCGTTCTACCCCAGGCTACTATATCCAGTTGGGTTCCGCTCCAGTTTCTTGGTGTACTAAGAAACAACGTGTAGTGGCACGTTCTTCTGCAGAGGCGGAATATAGGGCTATGGCTAGTACATTCAGCGAGATTGTGTGGCTGCGTTTTCTCCTCATCGAGCTTGGCGTCCCGTAACCAGCGGCTACTCTTTTGCACTGTGACAACCAAGTTGTTCTTCATATCGCTGCCAATCCAGTTTTCCACGAACGTACTAAGCACGTGGAGATGGATTGTCACTTTGTTCGGGAGCGGGTGGTTACTAGTGAAATTGCTCCCTTGAAGATCGGCTCTACCTTGCAATTAGCGGACATTTTTACCAAGGCGTTGGGTGCTGATCAGTTTCACTCACTTTTGTCCAAGATGGGCATTCGTGACCTTCATGCCTCAGCTTGAGGGGGAGTGTTGGCATGTATATAGCCATCACTTTTAATTATGAGTACCATCTTGTAATTAGGTAGGTTAATACCCTAATCTCCTAGGTTAAATAGTAGCTGGCTTGTTAAGCTGTGTAACTCAATTTTGGCCTTGATTTCTATTCGGCCGCATCATAGTGAAAACCCTCTCTAGAGCTTGCTTCCGTAGATTAGTCTCGTTCAGTTAAGAACGAGGATACCACGTAAATCTCGTGTTCTCTACTTTCCGCATTATGAAGCTTTACAGTACATAGCCTCCATTTGAAGCAATATCAATATGTGTTGGATAACTCTGATTTCCAACAAACTCCCACTAAGATCGCTTGACACTACAACGAATCACACTGAATTCTTGTATTTTGAAAATTTTAATGTAGTGGTATCCTGGAATTCTTATAAATTCTTTTTTTATATTGTAACTTTTATTAATTATAGGTAGTGAAATGATAGTTACATGTTTGTATAGACCTCAACTGATCAACAATAAAAATTGGTGGTTTGATGACCAGCAACTTCTCCTCTACATCCCAACTACGTACATTGCATATGGGCAAGGGTATGGGCGACCCGATTTGCCATGAAAAAATCTCTATCATCTCTAACAGTTAGCCTCATGCTTGTGCCAGCCCCGTCAAAGACTGCAACATCGACGTTGTTCTTCAGTATCCCCGGCGGAGGGGATTGCCATGTGTAAGAAAAGCGATCTCGTTCTAGGGCTTCTTCACACTTCTGATTCTCCACAAAATCCTCCAGGTAAGATTCTGATATGGCAAAGATCTCCCATTCCTATAGTTTGTCGATGTTGACCAGATGGTTGTTTCTTTCCTTCTAAATAAACCATTGGAGCATGATAAAATGCATAAGTCGATCATCGTCATAGGACTCTGGAACTTCACAAATCCATTCTTCACATGTTCTATCCTCTCCTTTCTCAAAACAACTTGTTAATTGGGATGGTCTCCTAATTCGATTGGTTCGGGCCCTATTTCAAAAAATGTGTTCTAGTGACTCGGAAAGTCCATAAAAAGAGCATCCATCATAATCATTATGTAGTCGAGAACTAAGATTTGCGCTCGTCGGTAGGATGTTTAGTCCCCATTTCCAGAAGAAAAGTTTTACTTTCGGGGGTAACTTCAGTTTTCACAGACGTGCCCAGTTTATTGGAACATACCACTCACCTTCCTCCTCTCTTTGCTTTTTCCACCATAGAGTATAACCATATTTGGCGCTGTATTGTCCCATGTTATCTGAACCCCAACATTGACTGTCTCTAACTAGTTTTCGTGGGGATAGGTATCTATAGAATTCTTATATGATCCGGTGGATTGAAGCAGGCTTGGAGCAAGTATGTTTCCATGTTCTGGAATCATGGTCAATCAGAGTGTCAACATCCGTATGTAGACATTCCAATCACAGTAGTTGTCACTTTGTAATTCTTAGCCTTGGGTATCCATTTATCCCACAAAACTTAGATGCTTCGTCCATCCCCAACCCTCCATTGTGTCCCCAAAAGGGCCAAAACTACTATTTATTTGGTAGCCATTAAACTCCTCCATATGTGACTTGGCCGATAGCCCATTGTTGCTTCTAGAAGTGGTGAATTTGGAAAGTACTTTGCCTTCATGATTCTGGCCACTAGGGAGTTTGTTTTTGCAATAGATTCCAAACTTCTCTTCCTAGTAAAGTCATATTAAATCCATGTAAGTCCCTAAATCCAATACATTCTTCCTCTTTTGTCTTGCATAATTTCTCCCAGCTAGTCCAATGCATTCTTTTCTCCTCTTTCTTCTCTCCCCACTAGAAACCTGCGATTAATCGACGTATCCCATCCAAAACCCTTCAGGTATAAGGAAGACCGACATGGCATACAATGCTCGGGACAAGTGCTACAGATTTAATGAGCACTTCACTAGCTGCATTTGATAGTCGTTTGTTTTTCAAAAAGTTTACCTTTTTCGCACCCTATCCACCAGGTATGTGAATACCTGTATTTTTTCTCTTCCAACCATAGTAGGAAGGCCTAGATATTTCTCATGGTATGGAACATGTCTCCTCTACATAATGGTATCCAGTTCTTCCCTTCAGTTGTCTAAAATATTCTAACTGAAGGAGAGTTCTGATTTGCGAAAATTGACCATTTGTCCTAATTTTTGTTCATAAACCCTCAGTATCTCTTTTAAGGCCCTACTTTCCACACCTGTAGCCCGAAAAAAAAGATATTGTCATCTGCTAATAGGAGGTGAGATACTCTCGGGGCATTTTTGTAACTTGAAGTCCATGGATCCTTCCTTCAATCACATATTTAGTTGTCATAGCTAAGAGACCCTCAACATAGAGTAGAAATATATATGGTGAAATAGGGTCCCCCTATTGCAAACTCTGGTTCAATAGAAATTCTCGTTATGGTGCCCAATAATTAGTGTAGAGTAAGAGAATGTAGTTACACAATGCATTATCAGCTTAATCCATTGATCTACAAATCCTAATTTTTCTATCATTGCTCTCAGAAAGTGATATTCAACTCGGTCATAAGCTTTGGCAATGTCGAGTTTTGTCGCCATAAACCCCATCTTCCCTTTTGTTATATTCTTCATTGCAACGAAACTTTCGAAAGAAATCATCAAATTGTTAGTGATATATGGCCCGCGCACAAATGCACTATGGCTTTCATCTATTATCTCATCCATAATGGTTAGTATGTTGGCTAAGACTTTTGATAAGATCTTGTAAAGTATCTTACACAGGCTTATTGGTCGAAAATACATAGGCTGTATCAGCATCTTCGTATTAGGAATTAGAATAATCAGTGTATGACGTGGCTGTTGTGGGAAGATTCCTGTTTCTAGGTAGCCTTGGATTTCCTGAGTAAATGTTGGTCCAACTGTCTTCCAATTCTTCTGGAAAAAAGAGAGTTGAATTTCATCTGCTCCAGGAGCTTTGTTTGGTCCCATTTTTTTCAAAGTTGTCTAGACTTCTTTTTTAGTAAATGGAAAAATTAATCTTTCATTCATTGAGATAGTAGCCTTGGTTGGTACTGCATCTAAGATCTAGGACGTGGCAGATTTGAATCATGCATGATCAAAGAGGCTGACTAAGGGGTATAACACACTAGTGAGGAAGAACTTATCTCTATAATCAATGGAAACTAACATGTGAATGTAGAACTCCTCTTCCTCAAGCATCTAAGTTTAGCCCCATCCTACCAGGCAATCTAGATTCGACCCAAAGAGTTCTTACTATAATTATCTGCAAACTAAAACCATGTTAACTTACCCTGAATTTTCCTCACAATTATCTATTGGACCCGAGTCTCTACTACAACAAATACTCATTTACTTGGTCGAGCTGTAGGCCTTACTACCCTCCAATCTTTCATGACCAGCTTTTGTTGTTACTAGGATAAGGATCACTGATAGCTTGGCACAAATAGCAGCAAAAGAGTTTGCTACCATAGGGGGATCGATCTGCACAACGCTAGGTTTTGCTCCATTCACCACTATATTAAAATCCTTTGTCGACGGAAGTGCACTAGGTCATCACTATAGGTGGAGTTCAATCTCTCTAGCCTTAGAACTCTTTACGAGAACTCCCATAACTGCCATTGTGCCACTACAATCTTGTCCTTCATCCATCACAACCCTCTTGCCCTTCTCATTTCATTCAGAAGATACCAGCCCAACTGTTCTCTTCCTTTTAACCACCCAAATTTTCTTCGTAATATGTCCGAAAGCCTGACCCAGACTGGAACCGCTGGATTATCGATTTTCAGAGGTTGAATACCTAGCTCCCACCGTCGCAAACATGGCATAATCTCCTAACAGTGTCATGACCCACCTTCAAACACCCAATTGCAGACATCCGCGCAATGGAAATTGAAAAAGCACAAGATGATCTCCAAACACCAAAACTCGAATCTCACCCTTACAACCCCAAATCCAGTTCGCCCTCAAACGGAGCAATCCCAACGCCGATGTTTTACCTAAGAACTGTTACAACAGACTTTTTGTGCATTATTGAGCTCCCTCGTCGACTACTTTCTTTGGAATTCACAGTGATTCGGTCACTATTTTCGACTTGTACTACTAAAGACTAAAGTCGTCCTTCTGGTACCCCGAATATAGATGCCCACGAGCGACCGTCACCAACGACGCCCGTCGAGGCACCATCGGCAACGATGGCAATCAAAACCTAAGCTTCAACGCTCAGATAAAAAAAATTAGTGAGAGAATATCCTTTTTTGTCTTAACAATACCCTTCATAAAAGAAGTCTTTGTTACTTTGATTTGAAGATGGTAAATAAACAATCAATCAACATTAACTTTTTTCACAACTCCGAGTTCAATCGAGCCAAACTAATTCGACCCCCAAACCTTAATCCACTTGGTTGAACGAGACAACAATAGCAATGTTGATGTGAATAAATAACTTCTTTAGCGCAACAATTGTAAAATGATATGTAAAAGCCCACTCATAATCCTCTCGTAACCTTCTCAATCCAACCAACTTGGAATTAGTTAAAGCCATGCAAGAAAATGCATTAAATAGAGAAATTTATACAATATGAAAAAGGAAAAGAGAAATTTCCACAAATTTGTGGAATGCAAGAATCTGCATCTAGCAAATGGAAACGAACGATTGAATAGCAGGTTCAAATGGGTTCCAAAGGTGACAAACAAATAGTTATCAGATATCGCATAATTATCACCTTTGTCATCTTACTTCACTCAAATTGGATTGGACCATTCAATTAAACAAGCCTATGTATATAGAACAGAAGAAATTGCAAGACTGATATGTGCCTGTGGGTTAACAGAAAGTCAGAAACCAACCGAGGACGCTACAGCCGAGGAAAACCTCAAACGATTCTCTGGCTATTGGAGGAAAAACTCAACAATACTGTGCCATATATACGTGTGGCTTCTCTCTTCCTGCTAAAACATCCTTCCAAAGTTCACCATCCAATCCACAAACTCCAACTTAAAGATTCAGAGCTTGCATTAAGCGCACACTCAATACAATTCTGTCTCAAAAATCACATCAATAGTACTAAGTATCTACTTATATCATAAATCCAACAAGAATGCCGTCACCTATGCATATGTATCTACTTACATATATCAAGTTACGCAGATATGCCGCCATCTTCATGTTCCCTGCTCAACCCTCCGCTCGTAGGCCTGCATTGCCACGAAGATTGTCTCAAAGTGTTAAAAATTAGCATTCCCAAATTCTGGATTTCCCAACATTTTAAATGTTAAGCACATATGAAATTTGCTGCAATCGAATGGTTTCAAACTTACAGTCCATTTAGTACTTTGATGGTGTCATAAAAGAACCACTGCAAAGTAACGACAGGTCCCACAAGGGCGATCCGAATAGAAAGGCTTCGAGTGAAGAGATTAGCCACCCCAATGCTCCTCACTGCCTGACGCACACTGTCTGCCTTCCTATTGTAAAGAGAGCTAACAATGTTATCTGCGGGTGTAGAGATCACAGTACCAACTGCTCCAGCTGTGTATCCAGCCAAGCATGTCACACCGAGCTGTTGCATTCTCGAGCAATCCTCCTTCGTCCTTTGGATCAAGTGGTGGTATATTAGCTCCACTGAATGCTCAAACGTCGAAAACATTACCATCGAGACTGCCAACACAAAGTCAACAGTAAGAGTCATACAGAAACAACAGAAGTGCAAGCACAAGCATGAGAAGAAACGGAAGATTACTACATACATGGAAGATTGCGAGCCCACAGTGGAAAAAGCCCCCTGTAAAAGCTGCATTGAACATTACAAAACACAAAACATAAGTAACTTGACTTTGTCCCAACAACTCCAGTTATAAGAACTGATTCTTCTTGATAGCACACGCATGATAGAATTAATAAGACTCTGGTAGCCGAAGTTTTTCAAAGGGAATCAATGTACCCAGCCAAGCCTTCAGTCCTGTAGATTTTAGGGAACCCATCAACCAAGCCCCTGGCGAAGTGAGGCTGTGTTTGAACACGAACTTTAACAGCTTCAAATGGGCAGAGAGCAACATCAGCAAATACTTGAGCTGAAGCACTGCTGAGAAAGAATAGGGAGGTACGGTCTTGAAGTGGCAGGAAGCCCGAGTAAAACGTCTTGAAGTATTCATAAAGGCCAAATTTGCAGCCACCCTGAACACCATATCCGAACAACTTGCCAGACCAACCCCTCCAAAGCGAGGAAGGGCCTTGTTCTTTCCAAAGGGTTGAGAATCCTGACACTATGCTGCTGTACTTTATTGGATTCACCTACGGTAGAGCACAACACAACAGTCTTTTGAGAGAGTTAAAAAGGGAAACGAGTGGCAAAGATTTTGGTGATTACAATTTTTAGTAAAGAGAAAAGTGGGAAGTACCCAAAGTGGGAATTTTTCACAGGTCTACAAATAATGCACCATAATAAGCATACACAAACACGCCAATTCCTTCACTTCTCCCATCAATTTGGTCAGTAATCAACAACAAGCTGAGAGAAACCCCATAACCTAGGCAGGGAAAAGTAACTGAAGGAAGATCGAGCATCGGGGTGAATTCAATTCAAAGCAGTGAAATGTGGTTTGGTAATTTGAACCTGCATATTGACTTTGAGGACATCGAGAGGAGTGATAGCGAGGTGGGTGGTGCCGGCACTGAGCATGCCACCAAGAGCGCAGATGGTATAGTAGGCAGGGCCAGGCGACAAGTCCTTGTCCCCAGTGAAACGACGGCGAGCCCTTCCCCTCTCCGACCCCTCATTTTCCGCCTTCTCCTCCTTCTCTGATATTCTCACGGCGGCGGCGGCAGCGGTGTTGGTTGCGCCAGATGGCTGTGCCTTCCACATTTATGGGAATCGATTAACTAATTCCACATTTCGTTTGCGCCCCCGCTGGATCAGAAAGCACACGACTTGTGGTGGAATGGCTGGAAGGAGAGAAGATGGGGATTTCGAGTTTTGCTTAGGGATGATGATGCCTTTCAGATCAAGGGTTTCACGAAGACGGGGGTTTAGGAGGGTTTATGGAAGAAAGGAGGAGAAGGAGCAGAGTCGATTATCATATGGGAAGCATAAAAGCTTTCTATTGCGACCTTTTTTTGGTTTTTTTCTCTGCTTTTTCATTTTGATTGCTGGCGGAACCTCCACGTGTTCAGCTCCAAACTAGCGGCTCAGAAACAAACAAGTAACCTACCTGACCTGACTCGATGGGCAGCGCCGCCGTGGCACTTCTCTCTGACGCTGGCTAATTCCTCCGCTCGCCGGCATCTAAACTCCTTCGCCTCCGGAATCTTTGGACTTTTCCTTCCCTTAATGTTTGAATGGACTTTTTATTCCTCTTTTTTTTGGGAAAATATTTGTGGTTTTCCTTTTTCAAGTAAGAGAATCTGATACCACTTCTTTTAATATATGTAATTTGATGTATTGATTAAATTTATGAATGTGTAGGGAGGTTGAGATTTTCTGAATTGAAGTATTTAATTAATTTGCGTATTGTAATTTGATGTATAGATGAAATGTATTAATTTGGAAAAATAAATTTTTTGAAGGTTTACATTGTGCTTTGTTATAAATGAAAAAACATAGGGTAGACAATCCCCTGGTCACAATATCACCTTTTGGTAGAGATTGATAATCACTTGTTTTGAGTGATTGTAGGTGGGCCCAGAAAAAGGTAATACATGTATTATGTCACAAATTTAACCAAAAAAATGACTTAATCTTGACATTACATGCATTGACTAAATACATCGTTTAATATCACTACAAGAAGGTTGTCAAACCGGATTAAGTCATCAAACCGATTTGGCAAGGGATTTGAGGTTTAATGCTCGGATCGGGATTCAACAAGTTTTAACACCTAATAAACTAGGCATGTATTGGGGCTTAGGATAGGGCAGCCGTTCTTTTCCTTCTACGCCTCGAGATCACTTAACAAGCTCTTAGTTCTTGCATTCCCGACTTTTAACAAAGGCTCTCGAAGCTCGTACTCTGTAGGAGGCTTCCATCCAGGACCAAATTGACCAATAGCCTCAACCATTTGCTTGAACTCATCATTCTCAATGGCATTGAATGGAATAGCTACAAATAAGTTCAACACTGAATTAGAAAAACAAACTTGTGCAACTAAGAAATAATTAAAGGGTATATAGCTATGCACTAACCATGTGTGTGCACCCATTTTGCAATATATTGCTGGACTCGAAGTATCCTCTCATTAAAAAGTGCTTGATTTATCTTTTATTGCTGAAACGATGGGTTGAGGTTCCTAGTGGTCGACACTATACTATCTAATTCAAGTAACGAATAATAAAGGCATAAGAAAGCAAGATAAAAGACATTATTCAGGTAGTTTCATCTAGATGATCATGCATACAATCTCATTAATGATAAGAATCGATGCATCTTTTAGGATGCAACCATATCCCTTCCACTAAGGTCATCCTATTCGAGTTTCCACCATATGCAATAGGAATTATATATGATTAGCTAATGCATGCTTTCGCTTCATGCCACTAGACTAATCAATCAAACAAGGAAGTATGGGTTGTACATTAACTATTTAGGGATCTACAAACCATAAGAATTGTCTATAATATAGCTTTGATGATATAAGTATCTAGCATCTACATTATTCACGCATGAGAGGACGTGCACTTCCCTTCATACACGCCTAAGATAGATACATACCACATAAGTGGGTTTTCCCATGCAACATTTGATGATATTATAAGCAATGACTATAGTAAATAGTAATACAAGATAGATGATGTAAACATCAAATAATAAAGACATCAAGCACATAACGCATCGAATGGTATAAGCATCACATACATAAAATATATAATGATATAAGCATCCAATGATAAAAGCATATAATGACTAAAGCATCTCATTAAATCATAGATAGTAATACATAAACATCATATAATTCACATCAACAAACAATGATCGACTTAGCTTGGATATAAAAGAGGTAGCTGACACCACCATCGATGGTGAAAGCATCTCCACAAAGCTCTACAAAATTTCTCATCCTCCTGTGGAATATAATTTGTGCCCGCTAGGGCCGAGTGTGTGTAAAAGTTGTTTTTAGAAGCTAGAGCAGAAGCCCCTCTTTATAATACATGGAAACAAGGGTTGCTAGTTGTTTTCCTTCTAAACATAGGCCAAAAGTATCATTGGACGAGTGAGACTCGAATTTCTTGACATGGAGACGAAGTAAGGGACATTCTAGAAGATTCCACAGGCTTGGGTCCGAGCAACGGTGTAACACCCTACCCTATACGTTTTGCCTAATCATATTGTTCATACAATTGCAGCGGAATTAAACTTGGGTGTTACATTAATTATCAAAATTTACCTAAATAAAATTTCGACATGAATAACTCGCGTAATGGGCTAACAGTTCTTGCAACTTAACCTGCAAAATAATTCATCACAAACATATATACTCACAACCATATGCATTGGCTTTTCTTAGCCATAGTCACACTTTTCATACTTCCTAACTGCATACCATACTTATACATACCATAATCGTCACAACTTACACAGTTACACAACATATACACATATCATTAACTTTCCACACCTGTGGATATCTCACACTACATTCGAAGCTAGTATGCACATGAAAATGTTCTCAAAACATTTTTACAAAAAGGGTGTGGATCACTGGCCAAAATCCCAAGTAGTAGTCCAAGCACAGAATAGTTGAAGACCATACCTCATCCTGGCTTCAACTCTAGCTCCTCTCCCACCTAACACTTATCTACTGCTGCTGCTGATGATCTGCTTACACATAGCATAAGCAGAGAAGAAGAATAAAAGAGGGTCAGCTCATAGCTGAGTGAGATAATCATAGCATCGTGAGTTCATAACAGAGCATACCCCTATCATACATCTAACAATCAAACCAAAACACTAGGATCGGACCTCAGCCATCCTCATATCCCAATAGGCAAAAGACTCAACCACCTTGACTTATGCATATGCATCTTATCATGTTTTAATCATAGGCGCCTGGCTACTCCCATGCTAATAACTCTCCCGGGAAACATACCCCACATCCCGTCGGATGTAGTCATACATACCCCAACATCCCGTCGGATGTGGTCATACATACCCCACACCACTATGGGTGTAGTCATACCCCGACACCGCTCTGGGTGTGGTCATATCTCATAAGAATTCTTCAGTCACCACCACATGAGAGGTGTGACTATCATACATATCATAATAGAGTAATAGCATAGGGAGCCCTAATTACTACGTAATTGACCATGAGACCACAACATTCATATTTGGTATCCCTGTACATGATTCATATCTCATCTTGCTTAACCATAATTCATTACCTACACATGTACTTGACCTGACCATAATTGGCTCAACATAGGTAAATCAGGAGTCGTATAATTGCACTTCCTCGGGATAAACCCTCGTGCAAGTCATCCTCCTTAAAACATCATAATATCACCCTGGGAAGTTTATTCCCCCACTTATGGATCCAAATACAACCATAATATCACACCATGTCAAAACCCCTTATCGAACAACCATGAAGTCATATCAATAGTTAAGCCACAAATGGCAACATGTATGCAATCATCCACATAAACAAGGTTCATATCGATTAGGGCAAGTCAATAATATCATACAGTTGTCCAGGTTTCATCATATAGCACAAAAGTCCATACACCCCTAATCATGCCATTCTAGTTCACCTAGGTCAATTCTAAGCATCAATATAATTATCGTGATACGACAAACCCGGTATGCCGTGCTAATCCCTCACCAGTTCTGGTCGTTCAAACACCGGTTCTAGCCTCCCGTACTAAAACGTCAATTTCACGAACGAACCCCGAATTAAAATCCGAGACCGTCCTAATATCCCCTGCAGTATCCCCGTCAATATTAGTTCTAGGCTCCGGGTCAAATTCTCGATAAAAACACATCAAACCCTGGCCGGAGCTAAATTCAGCGGTTTGGACCCCGGCCTAAATAATAGCCGAAATTCAGGGATTAGAACTAGAGGATTGATTACCTCGCTGCAGGAAGCTCGTATATGAAATTTGGGCTCAATCCGGCTTCCGGATACTCCGAAACCCTAATTTGGCTGATCGGGAATTCAAGAAATTCCTGAACCAAAAACTCGTTTTAAAGCTCTAAATCGATAAATCACGATGTATGGATGAATTAGGCATTACTTACGGGATTTTTGGATCACTAGGGCTCAAGATTGGAGCTTTGGAATTTTTCCACAGTCGCTCCCCTGCACTTTGCTCGCTCTGCTTCTCTCTCGGTCCAAAATGGAAAAAATGACGATGGGGATGAGAATAAAAGAGACGGGGGGGGGGGGGGGGAAGGGTTTATATATATATGGCCGGCCGTTTAATTAATATATATATATATATATATATAATTAATACGTATACTTATCCGATCGATCGATAATCCGATTTTCGCTGAAATAGTGTCGAAATGCTCGATTTTAAATCGCGAACTTTCTAGCGATCGAAATATGGGTTTTGCCGGAACGGGATGTTACAAACGGCCTCTGGTGGTCACCATCGCCTCTACTCCATATGGGCTAACTTTTGGTGGGAAACTCCTTGGGCTCATTGAGTTGCTCCTCAAATATCACTTCATTTGGACTTGGTTTGACTCGTAAGCCTTCATAAATATGGTTTTCTAAGCCATCACATAAGCATTCGATGTCCAAATCTATCTTGGTTTGAGCTCTGAAGATAGTATTCTCGTCCTCCTTTTGATCAATTGATGGTTAATATTCCTCTTGAGAGTATTGTATCTATGAAATGCATAAAATAACACCAAAAGAGTATAAAATACGCTAAATGTCTATCTTAAGCACATTGATCAAATCCTTACAATATCTATATAAAATCATAGCAAAAATGTACTAAAGAATATTTACATTGATCAAAACAGAAAACAATATATCAAATATGAGAATGATAAGCACTATAAATATAATTTCATCAAAATATCTAGTAAATACTTTGAGAGTATAAAAATACGTCGATCATTGTATACCATTAACAAAGTTATATGAATTTTTTCTTCATGTCAAACCGACATTAGACAAGTTCTTGCTTACACCACTTTTTGAATTCTTATTGGCAAAATACACTTCTATATCCATAACTTTCACTTCAAACAAAAACTTTAGTTCTTTCTAAGGTTAATATATTTGTTTGATCCAAACTTTTTCTATATTTAAAATCATAATCAATTTTTTTGGTATTTAACATTGTGGTCCGAACTAACTCTATTCTTTACTAATTTGATCAATCCGAGAGTTGACCGTTAGTTTTGATGGTCAAGCCTGTTGACTAACGGCCAACCCACCACGTCACTGCCCAGTCAGCATAAATAAACTTAAAAATTCCTAAATTTCACATAATCTCTTGAAATTATTATATAATTAAATTAAAAATTTATAAAAAGGAAAAAATATGAGAAACAGAACGGTGGTTGCCAACTCAAGACCCGGAGCGACGATTGTTTAAGTTCTCAATTTTTTTTCCAAATTTTCCTTTAATTATAATAATTTTTAGGGATTATGTGGAATTTATGAATATTTTATGTTTATTTATGCTAACTTGCTAGTGACGTGGCGGGTTGACCGTTAGTCAACAGTCTTGATTGTCAAAACTAGCGGTCAACTCTCAAGTTTGGTCAAATTAATAAAGTGTAGGATTAGTTCGGACCACGATGTTAAATATCAAATATATTGATCAAAATATTAGATGTGGAAAAAGTTCGAACCATACAAATATATTAACCCTTCTTTCTATTACCTAGTTAAGCTTGTGGCCGAACTAATATTTTAGAAGGGGTTATAACTCTATTTTAATGTTGAGTTTGATTTATAATATCTATAATATAATAATATACATACCAATCACAATCAGGATGGTGGATTATATTCCTTTTCATTCAAACTCCAGATCCAATTAGAAAGAAGTCTAATTTTTTTATTCAAAATCATTGTTTACCGACGAAATCGAGAGAAGTATGACAACCCCTTTCTCCCGTTCTCCCTAAATCTGTGCACATCGAGATTCATTCTAGGTTCCTCTCCTACTTAATTAAGCTTTTGATCAAACATCACAATCATGGCACATTTTGATTGGAATGCAAAAGAAAGCGAGTGCCATAATCGTAACAAAATTAGGGGACGGATTAGGTGAGTAAGTCAATGGTCAGTAACCATGAGTAACTTGTCTACATCAGCATGACATCAGTATCCTCCCTCTCCTGTAAAGTCGTTTATTTTTCCCCTTTAATCTTTAAAGGATGATTTCTCTCTTGTTTTAAGTCGAAATTTATTTTTTTTTGCACAGATAAATCAGATTAAATGTGCTCTTTAAAATGATATTCACTTTAATATATTTTTAGTACAAAAAAAAATTGAATAATTTTTTACCAGTCGTTACCATATGGTAAGAAAGCGTACCATGATGGTATGAACATACCAATATGGTAAGAAGGTTGAATACATAATAGTAGGAGTATACTAACTGTCATTTACGACTTTCGTCATTGTTTACTACAAGTTACCACCCACATACCATAATGGTAAAGTATGGTAATTTTTTATCGAGTATTTTTTTCACCCAGAAATTTAAAGATCCAATAGATCATGATGAACTCGTTCCTTCTGAGCAGACATATTCAAAAACGACTTAAAAACGAAGAATTTATCATATGATATGTAGTTGGTAAAAAAAAAAGTTTCTCGAAATATATTGAAAATTGATCTCATTTTGTATAGCACAACGAACTCGTTTCATCTGTGAAAAAAAATGAAATTCGAGTTAGAACGAAGAAGATAAGAGCCGATTAAGAAAATAGGGAAAATAAAATGCATTTAATTGACAACCATTATATCTGAATTTTCTGGACCCACTTAAATTTAAAGGTCCAGATTTAGTTACTCATAGGTCAGTAACCAATGGTTAATCCTAAAATTAAGGCTTACGCTAAGATAAAAAAGGAAAATGGATCCATGATGAAATTGGAATCAAACCCAACTTCACTTCACTTCCACATAATCACAAAAACACATGCCAAGGGGACCCTCCGATCTCTTCATTTTTTAGAGTGTGATGAGAGTGGTGGTAGAATGGGATTCGCAAATCACCATCATCTTAAGAGATCTTAGTCTGATATAGACTACTACAGTCTACAACTCTTAAAGAAGAAACTATATGCGAATTGTACTAATTGTTAACAGTTTTAAGTAAAAGAAATTTATTGTATCCAACCACATAAATTATTCAAGGATGGATCAAATATTCAATTGAGAGGTTTAGAGACAATAGCATTAGTAATATTAGAATGAAATGGTGTGTGGCCTAATTGGGATAATTGAACCCTCACCAATCCAAATTTTCCTTGATAAAAAAAAAAGTCATCATCATTTTCCCCTCTCTACGAAAATCACAAAGGAAAGCAAAATTAAACAAACAAACATATCAAGCCAATGCTCGAGTCGACGGCTGAGCTCTTCAATAGATGCATAATGGTACTGTTATTATCGTTTTCGACTTCTTAGCACCTCTACCTCCTCTACCACTTCTTCATCGGATGTCTCACCATTCTCCTCTTGATCAAGATGCAACCCGGAGGAAGAGTGGGATTACGTACATCTTTGCTTACAATAGCATTCCCTTCATTGATGATGTCTAAGGACATATCTTGAGTATGGTTTGAACAAGATTGTTCAATTTATTTTCTATTATTTTTCAACCTCTTGATCATCTCTTCTTGTTCAACGAGGGAGTGTTGAGGAGTAAGATCGAGATTGTTCACATTAGAACACGTCACTTTGGTCTCTACCCTTTTGAGCATCTCTTCCTCCACTTGATGTTCAAATTTGATGCGCAAACAACACAGAGGAAGGTTAGGATCACTAGTGTCAATGTACTTTTTTCCATTATTGAAGCGCTCACATGCTAAGTCCTGCGTGCTCTTGGGGTTCGTTAGTGGTGGAGGATGAATTACCCTTTCACTCTCGGTGATAGATTTCTCTAATTCGAGCTCGAATTGTCTCTTCGATACCATGAGTGATGGAAATTTATTACTCTCAAAGGCATTGATTGATACCCTCATTCTCTCTAGGATAAGCTCTAATTCCAAAATTCCCTTAGATTATTGAGGTAATTCTTGATGGTGCAGAGTGGAGCATGTTCTCCAATCAACCTCCATTCGCATTGTTGCCGCCTCTGATCTCCCTAGGGCAATCTCTCGGATTTCACCTTAGGACGTGAAGGTTATTCTTGATGAAACTTCAGGGGAACTCGGTAACCACGAGGTTATTGTTGATTGCCATATAGAGGGGGGTTTCTTGAAACTAGGATTCTTGACCTTGATTTTTTTCTTGAAGTCTCGGGGTAACACCATTTGAGAGATGGTTGATACTCCCCCACACTTTTCTGAATTCATACGAGTCCATGTTTCGACAACTATAAACACACTAAAATACAAAAGAGGAAGATCAATCAAACACAAACCACCCTTCGGGGAGAAGAGCGGTGTAACAATACATAAACAGAAACACAATACGAGAACTACAAAGACAAAGGAAAAAAACAAATGCAATTACTACAATCAAACATAGACAAAGAAAAAAACAAGACTAAACTAGTAGCTCGAGGCCTTTCATATAACCTAAATGCCCCCCATGCAATGGCACCAAAAAGTCTTTACTCATCGACATCGGGCTTTACAAGTTGTAACTTGGTTTGTCGATTATACTAACTACCTTAATCCTAGGCCGACAAAGTGGTATAGTCATAAACAAGGTCATATTCCTCGGTAAATGTAGGTATAATACTACTCTCGACCTCGGTAATCTACTATCTAGCCAAACGAGATAATTGGGGTTTAAGTATGAACAAGACTAACCAAACAAAGAACGAAACAAAACTAACTATGAGGGAGATCACAAGAGAAAAGGTTGTTTCTCATGTTGAATCCCTCTAGTTATAGATTGACATAGGTTGATTGCAAATTGATGAAGAATTATCTATATTTTAATTTATGAGAATTCACTTAGACTAGTGAATTCTGCAATGGTCATGTCACAAAACAACACTTCTAGGTGTCAATGTTAGCTCAATGGTCATGTAACTAATTAGGTACCTAGAGCATTAGTTCTAGACTCTCTAATGGGATTAATCCATATAAAAATGTAACTTCGAATCAATGATCATGTAATCTAAATCCCATAATACTTTATGTGTGTTCTAGTCTTGACCTATGGGGATGGTCACCTCAAATTAGGTCAAGCCAAAGCCATAACCACCTATACTGAAGCAAGTTGATATGATTAAACATCAAATAGACATAGATATATAAGTTCACAATCATTCTTGCATACAAGCCCATAAACAACATACAAGCTAGGGTTCATCTATCTAAACAACAAGAGAAAATAGAACAGAGAGAGAAAGAGTCTACAAGTAGGAGGAAGAACCACAATCTAGAGCTAGACCCATCTTCTCCATATTGGTTTCAGCACCTAATGACACGAAAATTATACTATTTTAGACCCCTATGTAGTGGTATGTTTACACCATTTTTGTATCTTTAGTGTCATATTAACTTGGATTTTCTTGATAAATGCTCAAAGGTGTGTTTAGTAGCTCCTATTACCACTTTTACTATCCTAATGCATGTTTGGTAGTGTTTCGTATGGTTTCGGGCTTAAGTATCCTAGTGGACCATATTGTACGAGTGGAAGACATAAAGGCCCAGCTGCTGGATGTCTAGGTGATTATTGGAAGACATAAAGGCCCATCATACTATATCCAGCTGTTGGACTTAGGGTATAGTATGATGCCCCAAAACCCGATTAATTTGAGGTTTATATAGTGTCTTTTTACCAAGAATAAGAAGTACCCTAGATTTATCTTTGGGTAAGATAAAAGGCACCCTATATATATATATATAATATGGGAACACCCAGATTGGTGTTATTTAGCCTCCATATTCAAGGTTTTTTCAGCCATTCTATTTCCTTAATGGTTAATATATTGTCATTTGCATCCCACATCCGTTCCTCGGAGTATTTCATGTCATTTTAGGGTGCATTCGACGATACAAGTGTTTTAGGCACAAAAACGTAGCACAAGTGTAGGATGAGGAGCAAAACAAGGAGATCGCGGTAGAATGGCAGAGATCACGGTTGAGAAACGAGCCCCTAAGTCAAGCAAAAGATTGTGGCCTCTGGAACGAAGACTATGCTCGCGGTCTTGAAGGAACCAATTGCGAACTTGAAGAAGCAACAACCAAGAAATTGGGTGACATAAAATAGATCATGTCGGACATATCAATGATGTTCCAACCAATTTCACGATTGACAATGGTCATAGCAGGTTCAATCGACTGGTATTTCATCGATGTGACAAACATGCCAATTATATCGAGGACATTCCAATAGATTTTACAACGATACATTGAACCCGATTGTCCCGACTGGTGGGCCATTATTTTGACAACCACTATAGATATAAGGGTCGTTTAGATGATGGATTTATGTCATGAATTTGGATCCCGAATCAAACACTAGTGAGAATTGACCAAATACAGCGTTTGGGTGCATAAAAAGTGTGTATTCACGGATTTTAAAATCCTGCATAATTTGGTAAGATTTGAGAGAATGGACCAAATTCTTTAATGCTAAATAAATCTAACCCCCCAAACAACAATTTTTTTAAATTCCAAATCAACCAAATTCAACAAAAATTCTTCATCACCATCATCGAAGTTTCCAACTAAGCCACGTTGGCTTGTTTGAGTCCATTTCGGTGGAGCTTTGTCGCCCTATAGCAATGATGCTTGTGGGTGTTTGTTTTGCAGGGGCTATTTGTTTTCCCTCGAAAATGTGAGAACCCTTCCATTATCCTTCTCGACGGTGAAAGATTGCACATACTCAAATCTTTGGGCGCTAGTCGAGGGTGTTGGTGGAGCCACTTTCACCTTTCCCCTCCATCGTGGCGTTCAAGTTGGGGCATCTCTGCTCAGCCAAGGTGGATAGTGACGGAAAGTAGGAAGGTCGAGCAAAAGTACCTACCATTTTTCGGCCAATGGTAGCTGTGTGTGCTCGTTTTGCAGGCCTCGACAATGACAAGGTAATCATACAAATGATAAATCGAAAGGATTCATCCCTTGCAATTGCTGCTAGCCTTCTCTCTGAAGTTCAAGTCCTTGGAGCTTCCTTGCAACGTTCCTCGTTCCACTTTGCCCCGCGTTAGTATAATAGGGTTGCCCATCTCGTGGCGAAACAAGCCCTCTCATCATTGGATCGTCGGTTGGTCGACCGTCGGCTCTTTCTTAATTCTATTTTATAATTTTGACATGCAAAGATACCTTTTTTTGTCGTATCTGTTGTATTCCCGCGTGGGATATCTCTGTGGTTAATGCCACGTTTGCTCACTGGGTTTACTAAAATGTGTCATATTTAGACACTAGAAAAAATTCATATCAATAATGGTCACTTATTTTAGTAAAACATGTTATATTTGGTCACTCTCTATCAGTCTCCGTCCTACTCCGTTAATAGAGTCCGTTAAGTGCTGATGTGGCAAACATAATCGCCTAATCAACCGGATTTAACCCAACAAAAGTAAAACTCGAGCTGCCACGTCATTAAAACTATCCAACCCATGACCCAACCCTTTCTCTTCTTCTCTCTTTGACCGACCGACCCGAACCTTCGATCTTCCCCATCTTTCCTCTCCGAATCCAGCCACCTCCTGCTCCACTGCTAATCTCTTATCCCAGTTCACTAATTCCAACACTCGATTCCCATCAATCCCAACCACAACCTTAAATCGATCTGGATACTTTACCACTCTATCTCGAAAATCATCAGGAATTCCGAACAACAATCGACAATGATGAATCTTACTCAGAGGGATACGCTTGTCCTTGGACATCATCAACAGCTTGCCAACATCGTTGAGGCGGAGGACGTGGTCCGGTTGCTGGGAGAGGAATTGTTTGGATCTGGTGAGGAAGCGATACCCACCACACCCCGCGCGCTTCCCTTCTCTGATGCATTCCACCACCTCCCTCTCATCTCAAACCGCCACTTCCTCCCGACCCAACTCACCACCACACGCCGCCCTCCATATCAATACTCCAATGAGTTTAATCGAAGGAGAAAGGGAGTTGGACGGAAACTAACGGGGAGTGACTAAATGTGACCAGTTTCAGTACGAGTGACCAAAATTGATATTAATTTTTTCTCGTAACTAAACATAACACGATTTAATAATTCCAATATGACATTTACCCGATATCTCTGGCCACAAAAAAAACACCAATTCTTCATCTTCTAAATCCGAAATTTGAGGTAAACTTCAATTTTTCAAACTCTTGATTCAAACCGCCCAACTCTGCTATTACAACAGACAAAGAGGAGCTGAAGTTGAATCGCATCGGAAGGAGAAAGAGAGAGTGGAAGAAAAGAGAAAGGAGAGCCAATAGGGGCTTTCAGTTCTCTCTCCTCTTATCTGCCCTCAAACCCCAAAATCACCGTCGTCGTGAATCTACCTTTCCCCTGTCCAGATAGATATATGTTTTGCTACTGCTGTCAAAGATCCTGAGTTACCCATCGGTGAGTATATACTGGCGTTTCTCACCTTATGGCTAATTTTTATACAGAAACCCAGAAACTTTTACAGTGAAAGCTCCGCCAATCTTCCAGTTCCACGTTAAATGATTGCCGTCTCTCTCTCTCTCTCTCTCTCTCTCTACACGAAGTTTGGCGGGTTGTGGGACACAGCCAAGACCAAGCTGGGGTTAATCACAAGATTCCCCAATCTTCCCGTCACAGAAATATTGGATCTTGGACTCATCTCTGTCCAATGTCCATCCTCTCTGTACTCTCTCTCTCCTTCCCTTCCTCCATTATTGTATTCTACTCCCACACCCCCATCTCTTATTATTATATATCCTTTCAGGCAAATCGAAGATTCTCACCACTTACATTGAGGGTCATTTTTTAAGTCAAGCAAAAAGAATTCGAAATCAAGCTCTTTCCTTTTTTTTCCACCCCTGCTGGGTTAAAATAAGCAAAATCAACTTGTGCCCCCTTTTTCCCTCCGAGGGGTTTTGATTGCCATTCCTAATAATTGAGGGAAGGAAAGCAGAGCAGAGCACCAAGCAACCCTTTACCTTTTTGGCTGGGTTTTATTATATTCTATTGAGAAAATTTGGATGCGTATATCAGCTGTACTGGACTCACTTCCCGCAAAGGTGGGTCGTCAATCGTGGGTAGCGTGAACTGTGACAGAGAGGTGACATAATATATACTGATATCGATACAGAGCTACTGTTGCTGAAACCCTGAAACTGAAACGCCTAGGGCTAAAGGGAGTTTCTTGGGGGAAAGGAATCAGGTGACTTGGCTGTGTTGGCTGCTGGGCACTGGATGGATTGATAAGAGCGGCAGTGATTGAAGGCAGCAAAGGAAAACGAAAAGGGGGTAAGCGAGTCTCTTAGTTGCAGAGGACTCCTACTTACTCTGTTTCTTCTTTGGCAGTTTCTCTCTTTACTGGTTCTCGGCTCTTTGTATGATTACTCCTACTCCAACCCCTCCAATATTTTAATCTCTCCTCTTAATCTCCGCCCATAAACAAAACAAATTTTACAAAAAGCTTAACTCCTGCGCTTTGCTTTTGTGGGTATGTCTCTTTCCGATTAACAATAGAAAATCTCATCTTCTCCGGAAGCCGTACCTTTTTAAATTTCTTTTTTGTGGCTTTTTTGATGCCCAGCTGATTGCAATTTCCAGCGAAAACAATGGGCTCATTCCACATCCTATGATACTCAAACGAAGGACCCATCATCTCAGGTTCTACTCCCTGCTGATTTGCTTCCTGCTGCCTCTGGCTTTAGTAGGTAAAAGTTTGGATCCCTTATACAGTGTTTTGCTTTTTGTTCTCTTGTTAGGTCTTCCTCCCTTTGATTGTTCAGTTTCCTCTGTTCCCTTTGTTTTTCTTTACTGCGTCATCTTTACTCTTTGTTTGTTGTGTCTCGACGTCTACATGCGCTCTTTTCTATTACCCTTTTACTTCTCCATCCCCTCGCACCCAACTTGTTGATGTGTGTTCTCCATCCCTTTCCCATTTGAATTCTCTGATCTGAGATTTCTAGGGTTTGCTACTTTCAGGGTAGTTGATTCATCAGTGAGCTCTGCTACAGTTTTGCCATCTTTCTCAACAGTTCATATAAGGGGAGAAGATGAGCGGAGCAGTGCTTGTGGCGGTTGCTGCTGCTATTGGCAACTTGTTGCAAGGATGGGATAATGCTACCATCGCTGGTAAAATTCCCCTCTAAATTCTTCCTCTGCATATTGGTTTTTCCTTCCCAATTCTCCCGCTAAAAGTTTCATGCTTTTATAATCTGGATCAAGTTTGGATCAAAATTGCAAGATACCCGGAAGAGCTCAAAGGATAACATATGAAGTTTGCATCTTTTCAAACCAATTCTCTCTGCTACTGAATCTGAGTCATGAAATTGATGAATGGTTTGTCTGCTTTTGTTTTTGGCAGGAGCTGTTCTCTACATAAAAAAGGAATTCAATCTGGAAAGCGAGCCAACCATTGAAGGATTGATTGTGGCAATGTCCCTTATCGGAGCCACGGTGATCACTACATGCTCCGGAGCTATATCGGATGCCATAGGGCGTCGTCCTCTCCTCATAATCTCATCTGTGTTCTACTTTATCAGTGGTCTGGTCATGTTATGGTCCCCCAATGTCTATGTCCTACTGTTGGCGAGGCTTTTGGATGGATTTGGGATCGGTTTGGCAGTAACCCTAGTACCTGTGTATATCTCTGAGACAGCACCTCCTGAGATTAGGGGACTACTGAACACACTCCCACAGTTCACTGGTTCTGGTGGGATGTTCTTGTCATATTGCATGGTGTTTGGGATGTCCTTGATGGAGACACCTAACTGGAGATTAATGCTCGGGGTGCTATCTATCCCGTCTCTCGTCTATTTTGGGCTCACTATATTCTTCTTGCCCGAATCACCAAGGTGGCTAGTCAGTAAAGGAAGGATGCTTGAGGCCAAACAGGTTTTGCAGAGGCTTCGTGGCAGAGAAGATGTCTCTGGTAAGCACTCCTGATTTCTACCCTCTTCTAAATTGTTCTCTTGGAATTTACGTGTTTCTCATACATGGCTTTGGTTTAAGCACAAGCAGAGTGATTATAATTTATAAGCCTGTTTTGAGTTAAATCTTCAAGGCATGTATGTATTCTCAGTAGTTACGTGAGTCCAAGGATATTACCTTGCACTACACTTACACTGTAGTTCTTTCTATTGGGTGCAACTTAGCTTCTCATGTTCAGAGATATCTTGAGAAATTTTATATGCACAGTTTAGGTAGATCTGTCTTGGTTTGTTGGTTTCCTGAGACATGGCAGTTCTTTTCTTGGGGATGAGTGATTACTTGGGGAGGCCGAAAGTTTTCAGCTGAAAATAGTTCTTGAAGTAGAAACTCGGATGGTGAGAATGAAGTGAAATATGTTGAATAATATTTGTATCATTTAAAAAAGAGTTTTTAATTTTGTACTATAAACACACTAAAAAGAAAAGGGAAGAAAAGAAATAGCAAATTTTATCCCAATCTGGGGGGATGGGAATGGCATTTCCCCGCCCTTCATAGCTGTGGATAATCTTCATATCAGGCGAAAAATTGGCACTTTAACCCCCACCCCTGCACCCTCCCCTTTCATCCCTTTTGAAATAGTGACGGGCTCAGGTGAATAACAGTTTACTAGGGACTTGAGCTTTTATATTTGTGTTGTATATATATCCCAACAATACGCATTCTGGACAGGATTATAAAAGTGAGACGATGACAACAATTTTGGTTGCGCCCTTGTAATGATACTAATAGGATTACCTTGAACAGGTGAGATGGCTTTACTGGTTGAGGGACTCGGTGTTGGTGGTGAAACATCGATTGAAGAGTACATAATCGGCCCTGACAATGAAATCAACGATGACCAAGATATATCTGGAGACAAGGATCACATCAAGTTATATGGGCCAGAAGCAGGCCTGAGTTGGGTTGCAAGGCCCGTCACTGGCCAGAGCAATCTTGGCATTGCATCCAGACGAGGAAGCATGGCAAGCCAGACAGCGTCACTCGTTGATCCACTAGTCACCCTATTCGGTAGCGTGCACGAGAAGCTTCCCGACACAGGAAGCATGAGAAGCATGCTTTTCCCGCACTTCGGCAGCATGTTCAGTGTCGGAGGAGGTAACCAGGCTAGGCATGAGGAAGAGGACTGGGACGAGGAGAGCCAAGCTAGAGACGGGGATGATTATCAGACCGGTGCTGACTCCGACGATAATTTGCACAGCCCATTGATTTCTCGGCAGACGACGAGCGTCGAGAAGGACATGGTGCAGCCTGCTCACGGGAGCCTGTCGAGCATGAGGCATGGCAGTTTGTTTCAAGGTACTGCCGGAGAGCAAGGTGGTAGCACAGGGATTGGTGGTGGTTGGCAGCTGGCGTGGAAGTGGACGGAGAGAGATGGTAAAGATGGGCAGAAGGAAGGAGGGTTCAAAAGGATTTACTTGCATCAAGAAGCTGGTGGGCCAGGGTCACGCCGTGGATCTTTGGTTTCTCTGGCAGGTGGGGATCATGCTGCTGGTGGAGAAAGTGAATATGTGCAGGCTGCTGCTTTGGTGAGTCAACCGGCACTGTACTCAAAAGATCTCGTGAATCAGCATCCAGTTGGACCTGCCATGGTTCACCCTTCTGAAGCTGCATCGAAAGGTCCGAGCTGGAGAGATCTGTTTGAACCGGGTGTGAAGCGTGCTCTGGTTGTTGGCATTGGCCTCCAAGTCCTTCAGCAGGTAATAAAATAAACAAAGTGCTTGATTGTGCGAGCTCCGTCTATCAGGTTGATTTATACAATAATGCTGCTGCTTCATTTGCTGTGGGATTTCTTCTTCATGACTTTATCTTTTCATGCAGTTCTCTGGGATCAACGGTGTCCTGTATTACACTCCTCAAATTCTTGACAAAGCTGGTGTTGGGGTTCTTCTTTCAAACTTGGGGATTAGTTCAGCTTCTGCATCTCTGCTTATCAGTGGCGTCACGACATTGTTGATGCTTCCTTCTATAGCTGTTGCTATGAGACTCATGGATCTCTCCGGAAGGAGGTAATATATTATGCGTCTCTGGCTTTGCCTTCTATACTTACTTTAATCCATGGCGCTGAGAGAGATGTTACAGCTCTGCAAGTTTCGAGCTCTCCATTCGATTTTTAATCTGTTGGTGCCTATTGGTGCTTTCGGTTGATGTAATTAACTAGCTTCTCTGTCAACTTGTCCCCTTAAGATTAATCAATTGAATCAAACTGAGCCTCAAGTATTGTATGCGTGCTTGCTTTACAATGTAGCTGACTGCTGCTCATTTGTTGTGGTGCTGTGCAGGACATTGCTGCTGACTACAATCCCGGCCTTGATAGCATCCCTACTGGTCCTAGTGATTGGAAGCACAATCAATTTTGGCAGCGTAGTAAACGCAGCAATCTCAACGGTGAGCGTGATAGTCTACTTCTGTTGCTTCGTGATGGGATTCGGTCCGGTTCCCAACATCCTCTGCGCCGAGATCTTCCCAACACGTGTTCGCGGACTCTGCATTGCAATATGCGCGCTCACGTTCTGGATAGGGGATATCATAGTCACGTATTCGCTGCCCGTGATGCTAAACTCGATCGGGCTGGCGGGTGTATTCGGGTTGTACGCGGTGGTGTGCGTCATAGCTTTAGTGTTTGTATACCTGAAAGTGCCGGAGACGAAAGGAATGCCACTGGAAGTGATCACGGAGTTCTTCTCCGTCGGTGCAAAGCAAGCAGAAGAGGAGAAGGAGAACTGAGGTTTTGACTCTTTAAGTGTTTTGTTGGTTTGGTGCGGTTTTGTATTTTAGTGTACTGTTGGAAACATAATCTCTTTTTTTTTTTGCCATAATGAATTTTCTTTTGCTGTAGAAAGAAAGGAAATCGACAAACATCTTTTTTTTCTTTTTCCCTGAAATAGATTTTGTTTGCCTTTTAACAGTCCCCCAGTTGTTTATTATTGAGATGCAGTGTCTGGTTTTTGCCTCATCTGCTGTCTGAGTTTGGACCTGGACAGTGTTGACTCATGCATGTTCCTACTATCAATGAAACTGGGTGAGACTGACATTTGAGTTTCACTTGTAGTTAGGGCTGAAAATTTGCCTGTCCTGTCCCTGTCTGACCCGTCCATGAAGGGTCAAGATGTATAACCGTCCCATCCCGTCCCTGTCTCCTTCTTGACCCTGTCTGACCCTCAAGGGTTGGGACGGGACGGGTCAGTGGGTCAACCCTAATCAAAACACTACTTTTTTACAAATTACGTTTTGGTACCCAAAATGATTTTTTCTTACAATTTAGTATCTAAATTTTATTTTTTTTACAAATAAGTCCATAAATTTTGATGGTAAAATTACGTTTTGGTACCCAAATTTTTTTATTTTTACAAATGAGTACCTAAACTTTTAAAACTTTACAAAAAGGTCCAATGAAGTATGAGATATTTGTTGTTGCTAAGGGTCACAGGTCAAAACGTGACCCGTCCCTAAGTTGTCTCGACCCGTCCCGACCCTTACAGGGTCAACAAATGACCCGTCCCTAATCTGTCCCTGTCGACCCACTGACTCGGGACCGGTCAGTGGGTCTTCCGGGACAAGCTTTCACCCCTACTTGTAGTATTCGATTGCATGCATTCTTTGCTACTCCTTCGTATTATTCCGTCGATAGGAATAGCAATGTCTGCAATTTTCTTACTATACGGGTGAGATTAGAAAGGGCAATTTAGAAGTGAAGAAGGTGACATGACTAGAGAGGTAGTAGTATTTTCCAGGTTTTGTGATATTTATATCGGCTTTCTTATCGAAAAAAATTTCTACCAGAGTTCAAATTAATGTGTGGCATGGTTGTCACGCCGGTTGGCGTGCCACTGGTTGAACCTGGTTCAACCTATATCAGTCATAAAACCGGCATTACACCACCGGTATGACCGGCATGATCGATATACGAATCTTCAAGTAAAATAATTTTACCTTAGTGAATTTAATTGATAAAAAGAAATTTATTATTTATTTTATGGGTTAAAAAGTTAAATGTTGATGTTATTTGTTGGATTCAAGTACAAATATTTAGGTATTGACTTTAAATGTCGTGTTTAAATATGAGTATTTGTAAATTATTTGTAATATTAACCGGTATGAACCGGCACAAACCGATATGTACCACCGGTCGAAACCATTCCACTTGCTAAACCGGCACACTGGCATAAACCGATTTGACAACCTTGATGTGTGACCTTTAGTAGTATGAAACAATTAGATTACGGTTAATACAGTTTTTACATAAAATATCTTACCATTGATTTTATGATACAATATCCTGCATGCTTTTTACAATCCCATAGTATTTTATTTTCCCAATGGGAGAGGAAGAAGCTCTCTAATCTCTTGGTGAGTGGTGACTACTCACTACCACAGGAGTCGAATTATGATTCACCAAAAATCCTAAACATGATCGATTTGAGTAGTAGATTTTAGGGTAATGTTTATTTTTTATCCAAACCGTTTTTAGATTCTTTTATATTATCCAAACTTATCGAAATACTAAGAATTAGTCAAATGTTAACTTTCAGTTAGCAATTTTGTTAGTAATTTTGACTGGGCAATATGATACTGACTTGGAAGAGACACGCGAAGGTCAACATTCCAAAATTTTAGTATTTTAACTAAGAAAATAGTTATAAAATTATTAACAATAACATAAAAATGGCTAATATTTTGGTGCATTACAAAATATTTGGCTAATTAATAGCATTTTAATAGATTTGGATAATATAAAAGAATCTGAAATGATTTGAATAAAAAATAGACATTATCCTAGATTTTAAACAGAATGTAGTAATACCCATTTATCGTCACGTCACGCCTGACGTGGCAAATCATATCCATCCGAAGTAGGTCATAGAAAACGGCATATATAGTGGGGTCCAAATGGCAGGGGGAGAGGGCAACTGTCCCCTCCAATTTCTGGAGCAAATGGTAACAAAGGCCTTGACGCTTATGTTCTAAGAGGTAATTCAATCTCAAGAGTTGGCACAAAAAGTTGGTTAATGGTTACAACATGCACAATCTTTCACCCTAGATGTGTCATTAAGGTAGATCTAGTGATGGCTTTTGACTCAGTACATTGGGAATATCTTTTCACTCTTATGAGAATAACAATGTTCCATGACAATTTTGACAACTGGATCATGGTTTGTAGCAGGACCACTCGATTCGGTATTAACCTCAACGAGGGGGCTCTATGGATTCTTTGCTCCTAAGCACAGGTTGAGTCAAGGAGGTCCCCTTCGTACCTCTTTCTATTGCAATGGAGGGCCTCTCTAAACTACTAAACTCATATGTTGCTGGGTGGTAGTTTGCATGTTCACCCACAATGCAAAAAGGTACATTTTACCCATATTTGTTTTGCTGATGATCTTTTGATTTTCACAGAGGGTTCAACTCAAGCAATATGGAAGGCTAAGTTTTTGTTATAAGAGTCTTATAGTTTCTCAGGACTGAAGTGCAATCCCGAAAAATGTGAAATCTATTTTGGTAAAGAATCACGTAAGTATATGCAGAATGTTATTGATTGCTCAGTTGTCTAGGAGGATAGTTTACTAGTAAGATACTCGGTCTAACTTTGATAACTGACACGCTCACTCAAAAAGAGCGTGATATACTCTTTGATAAATTGATCAAAAGGATCAAATCTTGGCAAGCAAGGAAGCTCACCTATGCAGAAAGATTACAGTCGATTGTTACAGTCTTTATGGACATTATTCAATATGTGTTGCAAGTCTTTGTATTACCTAAGAGGGTGATTAAGCAAATCCAAAAAGTTTGCTCATCTTTTCTTTGACATGGGGCATATTGTGGGAAAGCTAAAGTAGCATGCGAGCAATTAGCTAGACCCAAGGTAGAAGGTGGATTGGGCATCTTCGGTTTCCCTTTCCACGCCGCGATCTCCTGTTCTGAAGGGATCGAAAGCAGACCATCTCCCTACATTGGCTCCCGCGGAGCTTGGGATGCACAATCACCAGCCGCAGCTCCTCTCGGAGCGCTCACCTAGGCGGTCGACTCGTCTGTGTCCACCGCCACCTGCTTCACCGTGGTTGGAGTTTTCTTGGTCGCGTCCTCCTTGGACTTCCCGTCGGTTGGCAAACTGACCTCGTGGCCTGCGTCCTCGCTTCCTCCTGGGGGTAGTCCCCCTTATAGCTGGACGGTCCGTGTTTGCTCTCTGCCTGGATCAGCCTTCTCTTCCTTATCCTGCAATCTTGTGAAAGTCAGGTTTGCTGATCACTCCGTACCCAACCAGGTTTTGATACCAAGATGATAGACCTCGAAATCTAGGGTGCGGTTGATGTGGTGAAATTAGAAATTTATGTTTAGATCAATTAGGGATTGATCCAGCGATTGGTGAACTAAAGAAGAAGAGTTGAGAGAGAGAGAGAGTTCGCTCGAAGTCTTGAGAAGAAGGGAGGAGGGTTCTAGTAATAGAGGAAAGAATAGAGAGGATTAGGGTAATTGATATTCGTATTAAGCTTAGGCATAATCCTATGCTTAAATGAATATTTATACTAACATACATTTATCCCTTTTGCTACCCAAAATAATAACCTAGTCATAATACTCCCTCCCCAACAATAAATCGAATAATGATCTGACAAATAATAATAATTCCTAAATAATCATATAATGTGTTCATCATCCGATTATATAGTATGTTATATTTAATGAGTGAAGTTATACATAGTTGAATAAACCAAGGTTAACCCCAATGAAGCAGCCTTTATCTACTCAAATAATAATACCATTATGCCTTATCAACAAGAGATAGTAGAAGACAAACATTCGAATCAACCTCGAATAAGCATCTTCCCGGTCTTTCAGTGAATCCACCTAAAGTAGGGAAATGTGAAACATTAGCCTTTCCCTTCTCTCTAACATCTTTCTCCACGCTTCATGGGGGCTGTTATCGGCACTCCTCCGGCGACCGGCGGCAGCCCTCCGCTCCCTGACTCTCGTTCTTGCTTTTCATTTCTCTACCTCTGTATCTTTACTCTGTTTTCCAGCCTTCTTTGGCTTCTTTTCCCCCCTGTGTGGGATATGTTCCTCGCTCTTCGTGGGCTCGGGTTTTGTCCCTCCGATTTGGATCCCAGATCTGGAGATGAATGCTTCTTGGTGGCAAAGGAGGCTGGTCATTTTCAAAGATTGGCTTGTCTTCTCTTCCCCTTCCCCATCCTCTACCTCCTTACTGTTTCGCCCTGCATGTTTGGTGATTCGGAGATGTTTGGGCCTTTGGCTTGGACGCAGGTTCGTGAGCTTTGAAGACAAATGCTCGATTTTCTGATTCCTTCCACCGCCCGTCCTTTCGATCTGTTGCATTGTTGCCGTTTGGGTGTGGAACTACGTGGGTCGTTTGGTCTAGGGAAGTCTTTAGTGGGTTCCTACTTACCGCCCTCCATCCGGGTTGGTGTGGAGCCGACTCTCTAGACAGATGTTTGGCAGCCAGTCAACGTCCCAAGCAGTTCTGGTCGGTGGTGGTGTCTGTTGGCTCGTCGTTGATGATGAGGTTTCATCTAGCGGCGACGGGAAGAATTAGAGGGGAAACTTTTGCTAGGGTTGGAGAAGTGTGTTTTGCTCCTTGATTTTGGGTCCTATTGGGTCTCAACCACTTGCTGTTTAGGCCTTGAGTTTGAGTTCCCAAACCCATGTACTTTGCTTGCTTGTATCATTTCTGGGTCTGGCCCAATTGCCATCTTTAGGAAATGACTTATAAAAAAAAAAGTTAATATATTTGTATGGTCCGAACTTTTCACAAATTAAACATGCTGGTCAATCCTTTCGATTTATAATATCGTGACCTCAACTCTGCATCAAAGTTACCAAATTGGACAAATTCGATATTTGACCGTTATATTAGACAGTCAAACTCGTTGACTAACAGTCAGCGCGTCACATCACTGCCAAGTCAGCACATACCACTTAATTTTTTTATTTATTTTTTCAACCTATTACCATTTATCTTCTTCAAAATAAAAATAGGTGTTCCTTTTTTTTATACTTATTTTGTTCAAAATAAAAAAGAAAAATGATAATAGGTGGAAAAAATCAAATTGGGTTGTGCTGACTTGGCGCATTGACCGTTCTCTCTTTGTTATATGCAAAAATGAATCAACTGGGTTGCATGATTTCCTTTATATAATTTGTTTCTATAGATCTCTTTCCTTTAATAATTAAACAAACCATTGGGTTGCAGCTGGTAAAAATTGTGGAATGTGGCATTGGGTAGTAGAACAAAAGAAATTTTGTGGGAGGTGTGGATACCAGCATGTGCAGAGCCAGCTAGCAGCAGAGATGCAAATGGGGAGACGCTGCAGCCAGCCAGCAGCAGCCGTGGCTACCTAGAAAACTTGTTATCAACGAAGCGAACATGTCTATCCTGCTGTTCCTTCTGACGCTCAGAATCCATCCCATTGCTCCCACTCCCGCGAAATTCATCATCGTACGAATGTGTCGTCTGGGGCTTCCATGTATCATCGACATCATCACCCTCAGCTGCACGCTTCCTCTTCGGCTTCAATCTCCAGACATCCGCCTTGTCATCCGCATAGGACATGAACCTCTGCACCCTTCTAATCCCAGACCCAGATTTCCCCTTCCTCTTCCACCCCTGCCGCCCGGGCACAGGTCCAGTTGATGATGATGAACACGGGCCAGCACCACCATCACCATCGCCAATGCAAGCACTGCCACCGGGGCAGTGTTTCTTGAAGTGGTAGAGAGTGTAGCAAAAATAGATTGCCAGGGCCATAAAGCAAGCAATTCCACACAACAGAAACAGCCCCGCGAAGCTTTCCAGCTGCAGCTGATCCGATCCAACCACATCTGATGACCCGCCTTGATCGCCCTTGCAATGCAGCTTTCTCGACAGCCACTTGCTTTGTATTCTCTCCAGCTCCCCGTTCTCTGAAAGTCCCAAGATAGCCGTCGACATGTCCACTGCCACCGGCGAATCCCTCCTAAACGCCTGCAACACAGTGTTGTAGAGAGTTTTATTACACGACTCGAGCTGCATTAACTTGCAAGTAATTGATTGGGAACTAACTGCGTAGTACTTACGAAACCCCAGCCGCTTTTGGTGAATTCATCGCCACGGATGGAGAACTTGCAGTGATCCGCAAGGAACAGGTCGACGTAAGGTTTCTCGTCGACTACAGCTGCAACGGTGCCATTCGAGAGCGCGAGTGCATATTCCTGGGGGGAACCCAGTGGGAAGAGCCTGTTCTTCTGAATGTTGAGTTCATACATCAAGTAGTTTTCTGCGAATGACCCAACTTGGTAACCTATTGCCTGGTTCCCAGATACCAGGGATTCGATTCCAGTGATGGGTGAGGATAGCTGTTGAACTGTGAGAATGGAAGTCAGGCTGGCTGTGTAGCTCGAGTTTATTATTAGGATTACAAACAACCATATTATCAGCACGAATCTGCCCATGGTGCTCCCTACGTTTTCTCCTGCCAAACCCAAAATCTCCAAGTCACTCACTTTATCAATAGTCGTTAGTCGTTACGACCATTTGCCAAAAACACTTGCAAAACGGGTAAGGACACTTACTATGGGCCATAAACATAGTGGACAAGCTAAACCTGCAGCAAAAGACAAGCAGAAACGAGGAAATACCATATGTTAGAGATGCATGTCTCTGAGTCTTATCCTAACTTGAATTTCATAATCAAATCTTCTATAATTTCCCCACATTCCTATCAAATGGAAGCTCGTTCATTATTCCTTGGGACTGAATTTCTTGTTGACAGTTGGTACTGCGGGTCACTAATGTCTAGACATGCCTGAAAACTTTCCATCCTAAGAAATATTCTATAATTGGGTAAAAACCAATAATATGTAACACTGAAAGCTTCATATTCCATATCTCACACGTTACACAATTCCTAATTGCTAGACAAGCTTCATAAGTTGATAAAAGGATTACTCCAAGCTTACCAAAGAACCGTTACCAACTGCTGTCTAGGTGGCCCTCTAAACTCGTCATTGGTCCTATGCTCAAGGAGCCAAATGACGGCTCCAACAATGACGAAGAATAACCCTATCATCCCCCACATCGAAGGAGTGAATGGCTGCAAAAACGCCCATGCACTTGAGTTCATCTTCCTCATAGGAACAACTACAACCAACCCCGACTCTATGAACGGCTGAGTGAAATCCACAGCCTTTGTTCTGTCTGTCACGATCGTAATGTCACCAACAACAGCATCGAATACCTGCAGCCAATACATAAGATAGATAAACTATTTATCCACATTTGTTTCCAGTTTTCTGAGAGCTTTAGATAAAGCAGCACTCACCCCTGTGGTGATCTTATTCACAAGTTCAGAATAGCTGGGGTTCTTGTGGCCATCACCAAAAGGAATGAACTCATAGGGAAGCCGATAAGGAAGCAATCGCCTGGCAGCTAAGAAAACATCAATGCAATATCCTGCAACCGCACTACTGCTATTAACTGCCCTCACAATATCTCGATAGCTAGCTCTGTTAGGAACTCCAATCTTCAATGGTATTCCATTATGGGGGAACACCCAACCACGTGGCACAGCTTCGGCTCCACCTGGCCACACCACATTGGAGTTCAGATGCTGGTTTGAAGCAGAACGGTTTGGTGGATTTTCTCCATATAATTCCTCTGGAGGAACAACAGACAGAGCAGAATAATTGGACCAGTACCCAATCAGCTGGTGACCACCACCTTTGACAGCATTAAGAACATCATAGGAAGGGTTCAAAACTGACCGGTCTGGGTGAAACCGAATCGGTCCAGTCAGACCATTCACATCTGTCTGTAATATGTTGTTAAGAAGTTTCCACCCTCCTTCAAATTTGCTCAAAGCTCTGAGATTCAAAGTCCCCCTGCTGATTTCATTCAGTTTTGTGTCATCGGAGAACGAAATGTTGTTGCCTTGATCAAGAAACTGCTTCACAGCACGAGCAATTGTCCAGACAGTATCATATGCGTAAAGCCCACATGGGTTCAGCCCAACCGAGCCATTGCTGAGTTGGTTCTTCCATCGTTGGACAAATTCCCTTTTCAATTGGGAATCAGGAGTGTGCTGTCGAAGAGTGAGAGCTCCTTGAAAAGAGGCGGGATTCGGTACATCAAGTGAACCCGAGTCCAATACAGTGGAAAGCCAAGTAGTAGCTATCCAAACATATCCTTCCCTCATCATTCCAAGGCTCTGCGCCACTTCAAAAACCAACAAGCCAATTTTAGTATAAGTATGCACAACAACCACGCAAGCTTCCATGCTGGAAACCTTAACTAGGGCTTCATGCACATCGCTTCTAGTTGCTTCTGTTGGGAGTGCTGCTTTGTAGGAGAGCTTGCTGTGTCTGTCCAGAAGCAAATTATCGAGTATGTTCATCCCATTCCGAGCCTGATCCTCATCTGTGTATATGGCTACTACCTCTGGCCAACGATAATACGAAACTATGTCTGATATAGCAGTGACCAGGTAAAGATCGTTTGGAGCTGTCTGGATAAAATAAGGGTACTGCAAGGGAGACATGGTGGGATCTAAAGCTGTAAATGACAAGAGTGGTGTCTGAAGTTCAGTTGTGAGTTGTGAAAGGACACGGGCCATTATAGAAGATTGTGGACCGATGATTGCCACAGTATCAGTCTCCATGAAGCGTAAAGCTGCAGTCAATAAGTAATGCATGCATCATGATCCATATCAACAAATGAAAGGAACGCAAATAATCATGTTGCAGAAAATAAAAAAATGTTCAGAATACCCCCAACAAAGCCGATGAATCCACTGAAGTTGGAATCGTGCATTACTAGAGACAGCTTCCACCCACCAAGAATGGCCGGGTCGGCATTGATGTCTTCCTCAGCAGCCTCCATAGCAATCTTCGATACTTTTCCATTGACTGTACTGAATGTGAAAATCGCTCCGACCTTGATGGTGCCAGTGGTTGCAGAAGTGGAGCCTTGTGAAAGTGGAGTACTGATGCACAGAACTAATAAGATGGGCACAACCCAGACACAGCTCATTGCTATTTCTCAACTTCAGAGCCTGCAGGGTCAATTAGGGAACGATTGGAATCATTTACTTTCAAGACTAACAGAAAAAAGAGTGTCTAAATCATCTCAGAAAGAGCAAAATGCTATTTCCTAGTTCTGTTGGAAGACAGAGAAAATGAAAACGAAACAAAAGCTAATTCGAATCTACAGCAAGCAAACCAAGGCATGTTGCAAAAGAAGTGAGGAAGTATTTAGATAATGCAAAAGCAAGGGGACCAAAATCAATTAGTGAACAAACAAACAAACACTAGCTTGCCAATGAAGTAACCCTGAGGAACAAGAAAAGCCCATTTCAAATTTGAAGCTTTAGAGCTGAGAAGATACAGCCAACGAATATATGTATGTCAGTATGGATACACAACCTGGAAACGGCAAGTGGCCCTTCACCTCACCAGAAAGAAAAAGGGAACTTTGTCTTTTACCAAAACCGCAGAACCAAAAGCAAAAGGGCGAGCGAGATCACAAATATGAACAAATAAAACGAGAGCTGCAGCAACAAGTATGCAGAAAGCAAGGAATTGTCAGGGATTCACGAGCAGTGAGCACTCGCCTCATGGAACTCAAAGAAAGGAAGAAAATGACGCTCGGCAGCAACTGTATCTCGCGGAGCACAAAGGGTAGACGAAGCAGCAAGCGGCCAATTAAATGCGACAAAAGAGAAACCCATGGCCATTCCTCCTCTCAGAAACTAAGCTGAGCAAAAAAGGGGAAGGAGCAGTCACAAGGGAAAAGGTTTCAAATGTCACAGGGGGAAAAGTAAGGGAAAGCAACTCTTCTGGATTTGTTTAATTTGGGTGAGAGGGGAATAGTAGTTCAGAGAAAAGGAAAATAAGGGAACTACTAACTTCGCGAGGTGGGTTTGCGTGCTCCGTTCCAGCCCACGGGTAGATAGAACAACAAGTTCAGGAAGGGCAAAATAAGGGTTTCCCTCAAAAAGGCTGGTGGAACTAATATCAGAATGCTTTCCTATTTGCCATGCTCGAGGAAGCACCGGAATTGAGAACAGAACCAATCAAACGGTTCCAAGCGCACGAAAGCTTGTCCCTTTGTCTACTGTGATAGACTCATCGCCAGGGTGTAGAATGGACGGTTAGATGCAGTTCAAAATGAATATAACTGGATCGAAATAAAGGTCGCGGAACCAAATATTGAAATGCACTTACCTCAAACGAAAAGTGCAAAGGCTTTTATCAAAAGGTAACTTAAATGCCCTGTATAACGAGCTACATTGTTAAGTTGTACAATTCTGAAGTATCACTGAGCTATTGAGAAACAATGAACAAAAGAGCCCTGTATTATCAACTCGACACCAACTTAAAACTTCCTTTTGCTGCATGCCTGCATCCATCTTACAATTTCAGATTGCTCTGACCATGACAGAAGAAATCTCTCTCATCGTACAGTTGGAAATTTCAGTCTACTGCAACAAACAGCATCAGTTCTAACTTTGATCTTGGCTGCAATTGACTAGGCTATTGTCTCAAATTTGCAAAATTACATACACAAAGAAAGAATACACTCTGCTCTTAGTACGATTTAGGCTAATTAAATATATGGGGAGTGATAACCCAGTAGAGGGATCTAACGCCAGAAAATTTTGTGTTTCTCAAAGCTATACCATGGAGCCGACTATCTTCCACAAACCACATCCTCATGGCCTCTCAAACTATGAGCCTTCAGAAGGAAGTGTATACGGTGGAAGTTGGAATAATAGGAATCTGCAAAGGAGAATTTAAGACGTCCATGCATCATAGCACTTCAATCACAGACGACCTTATTACCTTAGTCAAAAATCCTCTCTCCACTGGAGAACAGCAAGAACACCAGAGAGCTGAAGATGCAGAGCAAGCCCGGTATGCAGAACACAACTCTCCAGCTCTCTGGACTCGAGAGATCCGAATAAGCAACTTTTGAAGCTTCAAGAAGCTTCCCAGTTAAGTCAACCCCAACAATTCCAGCCAAAGTACCAGCAGTATTAGAAACTCCCATAACTATACCAGCATATCGTGGTGCAATATCCATGTGATTCACCGCAAATCCAGCCCTCCCTAATGCTAAGAACCCAAGAGCGACCGATGAACAGAAAACAGCCCCATCAGAAGTTCTGAAGAGTGGAAGTGCCATCAACGCAAAAGCAGCTACCAAAAACCCGATTGTGTTTAAAACCTTTCTTGTTCTAGTCACGGAACATATCCTCTTAGTGATCAGATGGTCAGCAACCACCCCACCGATATTAGAAAAAATGAACATGTTGAGATAAGGCATCATTTTAGATGAGCCCATTTCTTGAAGACTGAGCTGCAACCCTTGCTCGAAGTAAGTGGGCAGCCAATTCATGAGCACATACAATGCATAATGGAAAGTGAAATTGTTCACCACGATTGCCCAAACTGGTAAGCTGACTAAAATCTTTTTCCAAGGAATTTTGGCAGTTCGGGTATTGCTTACGCCATTCTCGACTTTACCCTTGGTTTTAAGTGGGAGCAAAGACTCCCCAAATCCAGAAGCAGTGGCTTTTGGATGCTCAGACCGAGGTGGGTCACTTGCATACTGAAACCAAAGCAAAGACCACAAAACCCCTAAGATGGCTTCAGCAACAAATACAGTTTGTGGTCCCTTGAATTTTACCAAGGACGGGAGGATAAGCATCCCCATGGCTGCACCTAAGTACATTCCAGAAGTTGTGAGAGAAACCGATCTGGACCTCTCATGGGGTGGGACCCACTGAGCCAGGACAGTGTGTATGGAAGGAAAGATGAAACCTTGTGCAACACCAACAAGCAACCGGGCAAACACCAACAGTGTAACTTGGTTTGGATCCAGTGGGACCAGAAAACAAGTCAATGACCATAAAACAAATGAAAGAAGAAGAACCTTCCTTCCCCCAATCCGCTGAGCTGCCCAGCCACCAGGCACCTGAGAACAAGCATAACCATAATAGAACGTCGATAATATCACACCTTTGCTTGATTCACTCACTCCAGCACCATCAGCTGCAACAGTATATGCAATAGAGAAGCCCACCCGTTCTATATAGCAGACACAAGTGCAGATGAATGTTAGAATGACAATCAAGTATCGCTTTGGGAGGTTGAGCCTCGTCATCATTCACTCTCAAACCAATGTAACAGGGGTAGTATGTCAACCTCCCTTCAAGAAACCCACTTTACAATTAGAAGAGCTTTGTATCACACTCCCTTCAGAAGGCACCATGGAATCAAGAGTGCTATCTACTTCATATTGCCACTGGTCTAGGGACCTAGAGGTAAGAACAAACAAGAAACCAGCTTTAGAGTTACTAGACTAGGAATGCAGAAACAGTAGATACTAGGGAGCCACGGTCAAACAGCAATCCTAGAATTGGAATTAAAATGAATGGTAGGGAAAGCCACAAAGCTGCATTTACAGTGCTGTAACACAGGCAACAAGAGAAAATCAAATCATTATAACTCTACCAAGTTCAAGAGAAATCAGAACCCTTTCCCAGCTAATTGTAAATGGAAAAGGCTACACGCTCCCATTAAAGGAATTCGACACATCTAAGAAGCAGTACAGAGTAACATATCAAACTAAACCCTAATGAGGCACGTGTATGTAATCCATAATGTAGTGTGGTGGGTAATAAGCCGCCCTGCTAGATGCTTTTACTGATAAATGCTATGTAGTTTCTTATATCAAAGTTAAGATCTTTCTAGTTCTAACTGATGGAAATAGGACAACAACATCGGAGAACAGAAAGAATGCATTCGGCACAAGAGACCAGCAAACCCTAAGTTCCCCAACACATTAAAAAAAAAAAATCAAGCAAATGGTAGATCAGAGGGGGTAGCAAGACATGGTAACTGATCTGAAGAAACCACCCAAAATGGCATTCTTAGAGATCGAAACACAGAAATGAAGAACTACAGGCAATGAAACTAGAAACCAGATGACCAAATATTCAGCAAGTGCATTAAAGGTTGTTACTGGAGGTTCATTTTCTTTGCAGGGTCAACCAACAGGAAGACATCAAAAGCAAGCCGAGGCAAGAAGCCAGAGCAATTGACCAAGGGGGGGAAATGGGATCTCATGTATCAGAGATAAAAGAGCGTGAAAAGGGGGAATTCAACAGGGAGAAGGAGGGTTTTAAAAGGAACAATACCTTGAGAGAATGTGGAATTGGGGATTGGAAGCAGCGCACTAAGAATTATAGGTAAAAGGAGCATCAAATGGCACCAAATTGCTACACCCCTCCACCTTCTAAATGATTAATTTGGTCGAAGAAGAAGAAGAGAGGTGGGAAAAGGGGGAAAATGTGGGCAAGAAAGTGAAAGGCACTGTTTCGGTTGGAAGGAGGAAGGAAGTCAACAAGCAGGAGGTGGAAGGAAGTGTAGAGAGATGCTTGGCTGGGCTGGGCTGGCTGCTTCAGAGTTTCAACTGCTCACTACTGCGGAAACTGGAGGAGGGACGAACACTGTCGACTACTGGAGGCTGCTGGAGCAGTAAAAAAGAAAGGAAGAAACCACTCTCTGTCACGTTGTTTTTCGTATTAGAAAATTAGGGTTTTCCGTCGCCATCATCGGATTTAGACGGCCTATCAGAAAACTCCTCCGCTATTATCTCTTACTTTTTGTATTTTTTATTTATTTAAATAGTCATAACTACTTTCTAACAATAATAGAATTTTTTTTTGCAAATTCACAAAATAACTAATTCCGTCCGTCCAAATATTTTACGAAGTCATTTTAAATACGGATTATGCTAATATTTTTGCTAGACTTGGTGACATTTTAATTAAAAGATATTGACGGGTAGAATTAGGGTTATTTGCTTGATGGATTTAGTGATGGATTTGGTGACATTATAGAGTTTATCCAAAATTCATTGTTTGCTTAATGTATTTAGGTACAACAAATTTGTGGGACCCACAAACTTTCAGGGTACACATCCGTGGACTTGAAGTTCCACCTCTTTAGATGGGAATTGAACAGGGACTTTCAAGTCCATCGTTTAAGGGCTTAAGACCATAACTTTTGACGTGGTGACAATAATATCCCATTTTTGAAAAATACAAAAAACATCCCGATTTTAAAACATATTTGAAAAATTTAACCACTTTGTTAAAAATTTTAACGACATTAACAATATGCTAACGAGGATGTCACCTAAACGTACACATCGGCAACAACTGGACATGCCATGCCATGTGGATGCCACATCATATTTTATTTAAAAAATATTAGTACAAATTCTATTTTATCCATCATATTCCTCTTCTAGCCCAACTATCTTCCTTTCTGATTTCTCGGACAGCCCACCAACGTCTGCGATTACTTGCTTCTCCATCGTTCTGGCAAAATACACTTTCGTGTCACAGTCGCTACTAGCGTAAGAAGTCAGGACTCCAATGCTTGTGGATATCGTCGAGAGCAGTTTCGCTCTCTTCCTAGTGGTTCTCTATTTAGCGGTAGAGGAAGACCTGCTAAAAAGCCACCACCAGTTAAATACGGTGGACGGAGGTGAAAAGGGGTTGAGGCTGTCGATTGGAGGAAGGAGAACGGGCTAGGACTGAGACTCAGGCGAATTGGAGGTGGACGACCCTTCCGTTTTATTTTATTTTATTTATCTTTCATTTTTTATTTTTTTTAGTTATGCCAAGTGAATTAGTTAATTCCACATGATTACTAAGTGTCTCCAAATCAGCAGAAACTTAGTTAAGTCAACATCTAAAATGACTCCATAAAGTTTTGGATGAAATTGAACATTTTGTGTATTTTATGAGAAATTGGCTGTTGTTATCACAAAGTCGATAGTTATGGCTATACATGTGTATTATGTCATTAAAGTATGATGTGGTGTCCACGTGGTGAGACATTTCGAGTTGTCGCTGATGTGCGTCAAGGTGGTATCCTCGTCAATGTCTTGTTAATGTAACTGATGGAATCTCTAACGACGGAAGTGGCTAAATTTGACAAACATGTTTCTAAAATATGGGCAATTTGTGTATTCTTCACAAATTGGCTATTATTGTCACAAAGTCAATAGTTTTGGCAATGCAAATGAATTATATATTTTTTTTTATTATCTCAATCTCTTCCCAATTCTCATAAGTATGGTTGTGAAACCACTGACATGTCGGTCGTACAATCTGGTCGGTATCGACTAAATTGGCTAGAATATATTTGATATGACCAGGTTTTTCCTTTTATGATGAATCAATTAGGTTTTGCATTTCATCAAAATTTCCAACTCTATTAGCAACAAACTCTCCATTGAGTACGGGACAAGTAGAGTAAAAGAAACAAGACTATCAAAATTTCAAACTAAGCAGAAGACCATCAAGCAAAAAACTGATCTGCAATACTGGAATCCAACACAAGTCACACATCTCTTTTAACTAAGATCTGCAGCTCACTAACATCTTTTTTCCTTCCATCAAACTACGCTCTCCAAATCGTGGCTAACAGAGCTTGCAAAATGTGTGTCTGCCAGCATGAGCAAAGACACTCGAATCCTTGAAAAGAATTCATCGCCCACTGAAGTTCAACTTGCCACAGATCTCCAGGTTTTCTTGTTGTAAATCTGGAGAACAAATCTGCATAAATCATTTTAAACAAGGAGCATTATGCAAACAAATGAGTCTGTGTTTCCAATAGACTTCGACTTCCAAGTTCCAACTATTAATTTTGCTTGTAACCTTGTCAATCAGAGGCTTAAAAGTCTTGATAAAAAGTTCTATGCTAACAGAGGGAGACCAAGATACCTAACAGGTAGAGTACCAAGTTTGTAACCTGAATTCTAAGCCATCAGAAGCTGCCACTGATTTGAAACTCCACCAGAAAAGTGTTCGCACTTCGAGGGGTTTAACTCGAGACCAGACATATATCTAAACTTATTCAACACATTTTATACACACTGAATCCCATAATTAGATACATAAGAGAATAATAAGAGAGAAGTTGTCAGCAAACATAAGATGTGTCAAATTCAACCTCTTGCACATAAGGTGGGAAGGCATAGCATTTTGCTGCAGAACTCTATGCATAAGACAAGAAAATAACTCCATAGGTAAGAGGGAGAGGGGATCCCCCTGCCTCAGACCTTTTATACAGAGAAATAGGCAACTGACAATTCATTAAACCTCACAGTTAACATTGGGGTAATGACACACATTTTTAACCAAGCAATAAACCCAGCAGGGAACCCCAAGCTAAGATGCATTTCATCAATTTAACAATAAAAGGAGAAACTTGTTTCATAGACGTACTAACTTAACAACAAAAGGAGAAACATAAAACAGATAACAGCAATTTCCAAAGACCACAACTACAGAGTAAAACTAATACATTTTCCAACCCACTGCTGCGGCTCCTCGACCCTCCTCTTTTAGTCTTTTACCATCATTCATAGCTAGCAAAAAGCAAAATGTGCCAAAACCCCACAAGACGCTGCTGCAACCATAATATCCACTCTTTCACGTTTTCCTCTCACCCCACGGCATGATTAGCTCAAATGTTACAAGGAGATCTTCGCACCTTCTTTGATCTGCTATCCACGGACTTCACTCTGTCCTCTGTCGTTTCGAAGGGCTGCTGCTCTCATCTCCTTGCTTGCTTGCTTCTTCTTCGCATTTGAATGTCCAACCACCAAAATCAGACTCCGAGAACAATGTCGTTGGTGTCGTTTTATAGAATCCCAGAGGCACCTGTTTCACTCTTCTTCGAATCTGTCATCCACATTTCATCAGCCATTGCTCATTCAAGTGAAGCAATCAAATAAACATACAAAAATCACTCAACACAATAGGAGCGCGCAACCACTGGGTAATGATCGGACCAGCAAGGCTGAATTGATATTTCAATCCGAATGGGTCGTCCGATCTTTATATAAATTCCGTTCTGATTGATACCATAGACTTTCTTAATTATAGGAAAAAAGTGAACTAAATAGCAACAGCACAGAATGCGCTTTCGATCCAACTCTAGTTCAGCCGGACAGTGGCACACCCTGCAAGACCAACTAATGAGAGGTAGGTGGCGAGTCTAGAAGCCATACCTCTGCCGCAAAAATTGTGGCATATGACCCAGAACTGAAGTCCTTTATATTCATCTCTGTGGTTTTTGCTCTCACTGTCAAGTCGGTCTCTAGTGACTCGACAAACCTGAGTACATTTGTCAAGCATGCATTGTAAGGAGAGGCACTCACAGCATTTCACGCTCCATAAAGTTTTTTTCTTGCATCATTATATACGTACCTTGAAACATGGGGACAGTAATGGTGACGAAGGTTATCCACTTCCCACAAAGAGCTTCCTGCATCAAGAATTTTAAACCATTCCTTAAACCCTCATGCCTACATGTAACTAGCAAAAAGACAGTCTAGAAGAATCAAGGACGGATACAATGAATGAGTACTCACTCAATGCATTGGACTTCACCGGATTGCTTTCCTCATTGTCAAAATGGTCGACACCTAATCTTCTGCTAGTCTCACTTCCATCATTATTATCAACACTGTCTCTTTCTGCTTCTGAGTTATTGTTCGATGTTTCATTGACATCTTCCTGACAAATTTCAAAACCCAACTATGAATATCTATATGTGAGTAACATTCTCATTCACAAATTTGTCTCAATACCAAATCGGGAATCGAAAAGGAACATAGAACTTATGCAGGAAGACCTTCCGATAGGAATGCACAATATGCATAAACAAGCAAGCCAGAGAAAATAACCAGTTACTAATGATTTCTCAGTACGATCAACAAGACTTACCCGGTGAACCAAGCAGTTGATTGAAGGATGCCTGCGCAGGAGGTTATGAATCAATGCAATGATAACCATTGCTCCTGATGGAGGGACCACAAGTGAGAGCCTACTCAACCGCTTAGTAAAAGCAGCAGCAAGATATGCTGGAAGAAGAGGTGACTTTAGGCATGAATCAAGGAGCTGCATCAAAATAATGATTGGGAAATTAAATGTATCCAAACCAACATAAGTTCTGGTAGATAATTTCACAATGAGCATAATTGGATAAAAAAACTCCAGTAGTTATAATATCTAGACAACTTTGCCAACATCAAGACCATGAAAAGTGAAAACAGATGTTGTAAGTCCACACAACAACCACAACATTTACAACAAACAATAATGTGCAGCGGAGACACGCATCAAGTTACAAGCAGGTGGAGTTGCCAAGCCATGTAAACAGCATAGCATGACAATTCAGGATTGATTACTACAACTTAGGATAATTATGTTGCAAAGAAATTGGTAGTGATAGCAACAGTTATTACCTCAAAAAATTTTGCCCTGTGTTTCGCCATAAAGACAGAAGGTACCAGCAGTGCATACAGTTTGTCATAGAAGTCAGGGTACTCCAACCCATGCTTAGTCATAAGGATGAAGAGACTGCTAAGAGACATGACGCTGACAACCCCACCAATATCATATGATCTTGTTAAGAAGTCACTGCAAGGTGTACAGTCATATAAGCAACAAGACAAAGGAAAGAGAGTGAGCAAAAACAATCAATGCAATCATTCTACCATAACATTAGGGGATTGCCCAGGTTAGGCATGACAGTTTGATGCAAAGTTGCAAGAACCTGCACATCATATAAGCATGTCAGGTACAAAAGGGTAAACTAACAGGACAAATAGATGAGTATTGTCTTTCAGAAGAATTAAGACTGCTGTATGCTCCAGGTTGCTGGTGAAACTTACCTCCTTGTATACGCCAAGTGGAAGTGGTAACCTAAGAAATGATATCCACGCATTTGTAAATTTGACTTTCATCTTTTTGACAATACTTGCTGTTGATATGACCTGAAAGAATTCACATGTGGAGTAGGTAAGCATAACCACAAACAAAGAATGTCTACCGTAGTAACTCAGAGAGCCAAATAGATAATAGATGACTCACATTAGTTTGTTTGCTTGACTTGAGCACTTTATCTTTAGTTTTTGTGGGTTTAGGAGTTTGAGATTCATCTTTCAAGGGTATTCCTGAACGTAAAACATTAACTGAACATAAGAACCCTCGCTGAGAACTAAAACAGCACGTCATTTGTCAAAGCAGACATGATTCAACAGAATGTATGGACAAATCAAGTGTTCTAGAGAAGTAAGTTTTTAAGGGCAACAGGTGGTTACCTGAATCACTCCACATCTCAAGATTAGAGTTCTCTTCGTGATCATCAAGAGTGGGCATGTGGGCCAAAAGATAGTGCACTTTGTGGATCGGAAGCTCAAGACTGAAAGGGAATGGCAAGAAATGAATCGCAGTGCAGCTTGGTGTACAATAGATCCATATAATTCTCAAAGATTTACACTAACCGTTCTGCTGACTGATTCCGCTCCTCAACACCACCACTGGAATTTCCAACTTTATTGTCTGGGTATGAGGTGATAAAACATTTTAAAAAAACAATATCGGGAAAGAGAGGCAATCACCAAAAGATGAGTGAAATATTCAGTGGAGTACCAGAGCTTTGTTTAGCTTCTAAAGTCCTGGTTAGTTTCTCAAGGCTGATGTATGTGAAGTAACTGTAGAAACAAAAGGCCGATTCAATTTCACGTCAGAGCAGTTATTTCCATCTCTCACAAAAGAGAACAACTTCAGGACACTGGACACTTTGAACCCAACAAATGACCAGCAGAACGTAAAGTGAGGATATCAGCCATATGCGTGTATGCAAAGCACAACAATGTGACCAGACACAAAAAGGAAGATGCAGAAGACGATAAAGATCAACCAATTCATGGAGGCAGACCATACCGTATATCACTGTACTTGAAGAACTTGGACACTAGCAACTCTACGACAAAATCAACTGGGTTGCTGGAGTAGACCTGCAAATGGAGGACCATGAATACCAATTCATTCATCCATTCACACACTTGCTAATTAATTAAAGATGCAGATGGGGAGAAGCTACTGAACTTACAATGTTGTGGATTAACCTGTGATATATGGCGGAATGAAATTTCCCTCTATTCCCAGCCTTAACAAATTCCATGATGGCATCCAACACAACTTCCTGCATAGGCAATTCCAGCAGTAAAAGAGAGCAACGCCAATTATACTATGCAGAGAAGGAGCAACCAAAAGCAGACCTTGACAAGAGTAATGAAGAGGGTTTACCCTCAACGTGGGATCAGGCTGCGGCGAGATGACAATGTCGATGAGGGAGCTAACGAGGTGATCAAACTTGGAGCGAAGCCAGGTCCTGTAAATTACTTCGGCATCGTCGTCGCCTTTAGAAGGGGCAGAGTGAGTTTTGGAGGAAGAAGGAGGGAGCTGGGGGAGGAGGGGAGTGAAGAAGGACTGGAGAGAGAGAAGGGATTCGAGAACGTATTGGGGAGGGAATTCAGGGGAGATGAAGTTGAGGAGGAGGGGAAGGTTGTTGACGTGGCTTCTGGAAGAGAGCAACTGCTGGCCAAGGGCTTTGAGCTCCTTCAGAGTATGCTTGGACTTGGATTTCCTGGACTTCTGGTTCCTGCCCGCCGGTGAAGCCATCTTGGCGGCGGCGGTGGAGCGAAGAATGAATTTGCGGGAGACGGGACTTTTGGCAACCAGTAGCAGAAACCAGCAATATGGGTTTAGGTTTTGCTTTCGGATTGGACGGAGGGAAGGGGTTTTTGGCTGTTTTGTTTGTTTTCAGAGATATTGGGCCTTTGCTTTTCTGGGTCTGGTCAATGTCACTGCGCGAGCCCAGCCCAATACCTATGGCTTGGCAGTAGGATAGTAAACGGTCTGGTCCAGTTTAACCAGACTGGTTTTGCTATGTTTTTCAGATAAGAATTGTGCTAAATCGAAAACCGAAAATTGGATTGAAAACGGTATCAACCATGACAAGAAAATTGAAAAGACATTATTATCTTCCCAAAACGTCACCATAATTCAACATACATTAGAAAACTATTCACATCCTTAACATAAATATATTCCCAGAACCGTAACTCGTAATTCTTCGGAACCTTGTACTCGTTTTATCTTTTCCATTGCATCAAAACACAAACAAGAAAGCCAAAGAGAACATCCCACTCAGCCAGTGGAGGCAGAAATTTTATATATCGGTGTGTTCTTTCAAAAATTAAATTAATAATTAGATAATTATTATATTATATAAGAAAACATGTAATTAGTGTAAGGAAAATAGAGGTTCGTTCTCTTTTTTCTTCTCCGTCGATTAATCTTTCTCTTCCGTTTGCCTCCATCTACAATCCATCTTTTTCTTTTTACATTAAGAATACTCTTCCCCTTCTATCATTCACATATTAATTCCTTCAATTGCGATTGAAGGAATTAAGCCGTAGATGAAGGAAGATGATGAGTATTCTTGGAAGAAGAAGAGAAGAAAAATTTAGGCGGAGACAAAAGGAAAAGAATAAACAACTGGACCTACGTATGACTTTGTTAACTTTGACATCAGTTTTAACAAACCGACCAAATCCTTGCATCTCAAGTCTCAACCACCTGTGTCCGGAGCTTGTTTTCGCTCAGTTGAACATTCAATATGTTGATGGATGGATGCTGGATGTTTCAACTCGACTCGGGAAGAAGAGGCAATAAGAACAAAAAACGAAACAAAATAGTTCCTCTAGCTCAGGCCTACAGAATTGAGAAACCTCATTCTACCTGTGTCTCGTATTCATGCATCTACGCAACTAACCAAAGCCACCCGGTCTGCAAGGCTGCCTGCCAACCAATTACTTCTTCTGTAAGTTACGACGGTGTATGTGCTGCAGCTCCCAATGTCTCGTCGCTTCTTTCTACCCCCCTTACTATATCAGTCAGTGTGACGGTCTTTCCCTTGGCTTCCTTGTCCCGAACCCCAAAACAGTGTATCCCCGCTGATGTGAAGGCAGCCATCTTTTCAATCAGTTCGTACATGGTCGTTTAACTTAAACCAATTCGGGTCGTACCATCAAGCATCTAGAATTTCTAGTTGCCTCAAAGAATCAGGACTAACAAGGAAAACTCTCCTTGATGTTTGATGCCGGAAAACCACGACTCCCTTGTATGCTGTCCTTGGTACTCCATCCTGTTCACCAACACCAACAAACCACAACGCATTCAATTGCAGCATGAGCAAACAGAGAGGTATGGGTGAGGAAAATGGGCGTACACTTCAGGAAGCAAAGAGGTGAAAGAAGATGGCAGATATAAATGGGAGACGAACCACTCTGAATGTTGAAGCTGACTTAATTGTTAAAACAAACACAGCAGCATTTGTTGAAACACAGCGGGAAAAAAGGAGAAAATACCTTCCACTCTTCAAAAATCCCAAATTGGCGTGCAATGTTTGCAAATTCATCCTCGTCCTGGTACTGGATGCGCACATCACCCACTATGTTGAATGCCTTCAGAACAGCATCCTTTCCGCGGACAAGTTTGGCATTCCTCACTATTTCAGCAAAATGTTTTGGATATTTGTCCTGTGGAAAAGAATTGCCGGACTTATTAGCTGAAATTAGGAGGGTGAAACGACTGTTTATTTAACATCACAACAAAGCAGCAGTACCTTCATCAAGTAGCTCAAATCCATTGACATCCAATTGACCTTCACCAAAAAGCCACAAGGACAGAAGAAATAAAAGGCATGCCATTTTTTTTTATGCATGCGACAGTTGGAAAGACAACAACAATAGCAAAGGTGGTTACCTTGACATCATTTAGCTTAATTGGCTCAAGATATTGCTTGAAGAACTGTCCCAAACTAGAACCCTGCGACAAAACAAAAATAAAATAAAATTACAGAGAGGCGAAAAGCTGTTACTGCTAGTTTAGCATATGACAAGCTTCCAAGCATCATTTGTGTAGAAAGGAAAGGCGTGGCATTGAAAAGGGAAGGTTAATTCCTATACCGAACATTAACAGATACGTAAGAGTGTGTAGATGTAATTGAAATGACACGCAAGCTTGGTGCTCTGGAGAATCTCAACATCACAATTTTTCTGCACATAGAGACTTACAACTTCACCGAAGTTATATGTTCTGCACACTTCCGGACGAACAAATTGGCGACCCTTGTGGTTCTCTTCTAATCTCAACCAGTCATCCCAGTAAGTGAATTTCTCGTCAAGGAAACTATTAGAAATACAGAAAGATAAAATATCACTCGGGAAACCAACATAAAACTCCCAACAAAAGGATATGCTTTTGGCCATTTAGGGGAGAGTTCATCCCAAGTCCCCTTGGACAGCATCCAACCCAGTCCAGGGAAGAAATCTGAACGGTATAGTGCATCTGCAAAGTAAGTGCACAGGGTTGTATCAGAAGCCAGAAAGCTACTTAGTTATTAAAAATCACTGACAATTTTATGAGTATGCTTATTGAGTACTAGCATCAATCAAATGCATAATACACGAGAGCTACAAAGGTTTGTTCGTCCATAAAGTGAACAGAAAATAAGGGTTGTTAAGCTACCACTGTGGAAACTGAAAGAAAAGCCTTACACGGGTCATGCACAAACTGCTTCTGACCATTGTCATTCCATGAGGAAACAGCCATGATAGACCTACATTGCCAAAACATAGCCACTCCATTAAACTACTTGCACTTGAATTAATTACACAAGCAGGTACATCTTTTACAGTGAATTTGAAATTATTGTCTTCCCAATTAAACATACTTGTCCTTTTCCAATAACGCCGCAGCAGCCTCAAAATACTCAAAAAAATCAGGTGCAATTTCCATGTCATCTGTGTTTGAGACAGAAATTTAGGACATGGCTTTCAATGATCACATGAATCAGAAAAGGGTGAAAGTCAAAGCAAGAAGAACGAATCAACAGCTTGAACCAAATCACCTTCTAGAATGATTACTTGGTTGAAATTATGCTGGTAGAACAATTGATCCAATGCCCACTTATAATGCCCTAATGGAAGGAAAGAAGCACTGATGAGATTAATCCAAGCAAGATTGTTTAAGACGGACGAGATTTTTCCTTACTTGCAATTTTATAGTATGCTATTAATTCACCAGGTCTTTCTGTGTGAACAGGTTCAGAGTCCAAGTGCTGCAAAAAGAAGATAATGGCAGCTTAGATGCTGCTTTTGAATATGAACTTCCTGAAACATGATTCTACATATTGAAAAAGTAGACTCAAACAGCGCCATATAAATACATATGATGGCTTTATTGCACAAATAAGACAAAAAGCATCTTACCTGCATATAAACCAGCTGACTGTAACTCAAAGCCTTGCTTTTGACATCTGGATGTGATCCATCCTACAAAAGGAGATGTCATATGAGAGAACCAGAACCAGAAACTATGAAATGAGAAAGTAGCCCAGTTAGACAGAAAAATCATTTGAATTATGTGGGTGGGGGGTTGGGGGGGAGGGACCCCAACTACCTGTGATACAAAGAGTGGAAACTTCGAAGCAACAGAGCTCTGGTGCCTGTACAATCCAATCAAACTTTTAGGGCTATAGACATGTAACCCAGCTGAAAGGAGAAACCAGTCATGAATAAAGCCGAAGCAAGAGACGCACTTCAAAACAGACTCAACCGTCCGTTCCAGATAATCAGCACGGTTGCAAGCCATAATGACAACTGCTGCGACGGGTGGCTAGATATGAACAAGAAGAAACTGCTTTCACAATCCTCAGCCACATGGTAAATAAACCAGAAAACAATGAAGAGGCTAAGAATACATCATCAACACCTGCACTTCCGTAACCACTTTTTGCAGGCCTTTCCCTGAAACAATCAACAAGGGAAAATTCCAAGTCCTTTAAAAATGTTTCTGTTGCATCAGATCAGATGTGAGACCAGAGACAGACTGACAGATATGCATACTTCGAAGATCTTCGACAAGGGACTTCAGTTCTTTACATTCATCTTCTCGACGCTTCCTTTCCTCTGAAGGGAAACACAAATCTTAGTGAAATCATGGGAGCTAATAGAGGCGAGAGATTGTTTGCTGTTTTGCAGCTTAAGAAAAATAAAAACCTCCCGGAAGATGGCATGCATCCGCTAGAAAGCAAAGGAACGGGGGGAGGGAGGAAATGGAACCTTCAAGGGCCACAATTTTGCCTTGCTGAGAGCTTATCTGATCAATCAGTAATTTCATTTGACTTGTGCAATGGCTCTCCGATTCAACCTTACCCCACGATGATCATACAATACAGGAAAAATGCCAAGTCAGATTCCATGCAACAGAGAGAGTCCATGTTGAGTGTTAAAAACAAAGGCAACTAAGTTGGAAAGTATTAACATACAGCAGAAGCAAGGCGATCGGCATATTCGGACTGGGTAGTAAAAAGTCTCATCTGTCATAAATAAACCACAGACCAAAAGGAATATGTATACCATCATTCTTAAAAATGATACGAATCTGAACCCTTGAACAAGTTAACGGAAATGTTCACTCAGAAAGAAGAAACGAATCCCTCGTAATCTGGAATCCACAGTTCACCAGAAACGGTTGGAAGTGAATGAACAAAGAAGAATTGGGGGAGAAAAGGGAGAAGACCTGGATGTAGATGAACAAGACGGCAGCAGGTAGAAGAAGATATCGGAAATCGAAAGACATTCTCGACATTTCTTCCTTCCCCAGTTTCCCAAACAGCCTCTTGGAATCCCCCAAGCTCCAGCCTCGTTCAATCCGTCGCAAAATCTTATGAATCTGGCGCGATTGAAGATCACAGATTCACGAACCCGAACCTTCCGATCAACCAGCTCAATCTGCTAATCTGAAGCAGCAATGGCCGGGATGGGATTTTACAGAGTCCACCGCGACGCAGACTTGCATACACAAAACTGACCAAATTCTTCCTTCCCTCTCGCGAATTTCACTCAGTTTCTGTTTCTCCTTCCACCTCAATCCTCCTCCCCCTGACTTTTCCAACAATGAGAGTAGTTTTTTTTCTTCTTTTCCATCCGCCAAAAAACAAAAGTCACTGAAGGGAGAGAGGGTTTGCTCATTACGACGCCGTGTAGCAGAAACGACATGGTGGACTGCAACGACGCCGTAGGGCGCCTATTGCTTAGCCGCCGACACATCTCGGCCGTTCCTCTCTCTTCGTTTTGGGTGGCGGCTCCTCCTTTCCCTGAAGAGTCCCAGAGCCCCTGACCAACCAATCATCAAATCAAAAACTTTCTTTTACCTAATCATAGATACAGAGGAGGATATAGAAAGGAGAAGCAAGTCTCTCTCTTCCTTCCCTTCTGAATCCCGTCTCCCCATTTCTCCTCCATCCATACAACTCCGGGAGGGAAGCCCATCCCTTTTGACCCTTTCACTTTCATCAATTCATTCCCTTTTCATCATCTTCTTCATCTTCTCCTCTGCAAACCCAAGACCCAGTTTCTGTTTTTGTTGTGTTTACAGGTCAAATTTGATTCCGAGCAGGAAAGCAAGCAACTTGCCTTTACCCGGCCCGATCCATAATCATGGGGTTCGAGAGGCAGAGCAGAGCGTCGGGGTCCTCCAACGCCCTGAAACCGACGGAGAAAACCCCTCTCATCGGACACGAACAAAAGCACCTGTCTTCCCAATCGAAGACCATCGCCAATCTCTTCATCGCAATCGTCGGCGCCGGCGTGCTGGGTCTCCCTTACTCCTTCAAGCGCACCGGATGGATCATGAGCCTCCTCATGCTCTTCTCCGCCGCCGCCCTCACCTATTACTGTATGCTCCTCCTCGTCCACACCCGCCGCAAGCTCCGCTCCTTCGCCGGCGACTTCTCAATCATCAACTCCTTCGGCGACCTGGGGTTCGCCGTCTGCGGTCCCGTCGGCAGGTTGGTTGTTGACATCATGATTGTCTTGTCTCAAGCTGGATTCTGCGTGGGTTACGTGATCTTCATCGGCAACACGCTAGATAACCTGTGCGATTCCTACTCCTCCGCCGCCGCTGCGACGCCCTCTTCCAACGCCGTCTTATCCGCCCAATTCCTAGGGTTTTCGGCAAAATCCTTGTTCGTATGGGCCTGCTTCCCTTTCCAATTGGGGCTCAATTCCATCGCAACCCTCACCCATCTAGCCCCTTTAAGCCTTTTCGCCGACATCGTAGACCTAGCTGCCATGGGAGTCGTGATCGTAAAAGATGTAATGATTATGGCGAAAAACATCCCCGAGGTTAAAGCTTTCGGCGGTCTATCCGTCTTCTTTTACGGGATGGGTGTGGCTGTCTACGCATTTGAAGGGATCGGCATGGTTTTGCCTCTCGAGTCGGAAGCCAAGGACAAAGACAAGTTTGGAAGAAACCTGGGGTTCGCCATGGGAGTCATCTCAGTCATCTATGGAGCATTTGGTGCTCTAGGGTACCTTGCTTTTGGCAACGACACTAAGGACATCATCACTGCAAACCTCGGGGTGGGGCTGATTAGCACCATGGTCCAGCTCGGCCTGTGCATAAACCTGTTCTTCACATTCCCGCTGATGATGAACCCAGTATACGAGATTGTGGAGCGAAGGTTTTGGCAAGGGAGGTATTGCCTGTGGTTGAGGTGGCTGCTGGTGTTCATTGTCAGCTTGGTTGCACTGTTGATCCCGAATTTCACCGATTTCCTGTCGCTCGTGGGGAGCAGTGTGTGCTGTCTATTGGGGTTCGCCCTTCCGGCGCTGTTTCACTTGCTTGTGTTCAAGGAAGAGATGGGGTGGAAAGGCTGGACGATTGATGTTGGGATTGTCACCGTTGGTGTTGTTCTTTGTGTTACAGGGACCTGGTACTCTCTCATTGAGATTTTCTCTGTTAAGGTTTAAGTGATCAACTCCTTTCCTGTGTGTGTGTGAGATATCGTGGAGTTGATCGATCGTCAAAGATTATGTGGGAGATGATGTGTTCTACGTTTAGTATAGATCATCAGGACAAAGTGTGTAATAGTATCTGTTAGTTGGGGAGAGACATTCTCTTGTTATCTTTTTTTTTTTTTTTGTTTGGCCATGGAGAGACAGAATGTGTTGTGTAATAGTGAGAAAAGGGTGCTGAATAATTTTGTTTTTTGCCAGTGCCTTGATCAATCCACAAACTATATTGAAGAAATGTCGCAGCTTCTGTGTTTCTTGGGAGGAGCTGCTGCTGTTGATTCCTTGATTATTACTTGTTTTTTGTTCCTACTGCATTTCCTTCCACTCCTTTGGAGCGAGGTAAACATTGCATTTGATGGGAAGTTACTTTGTACAGGCCAAGCTGGAGTTGAGACTTGAGAGAGCAATGTGGATTGTCTCTTCTAGTTCTAGATGCTACAATTGTCAATTGCTAAAAGATGGGTCGCCATTGTATTCTATGCCCGACCAGCCAGCTAGGTGTGCAACCAACGAAGACGACGAATCAAAACAAGCTAAAGGTAAAATGAAATGTTGAGAGATCAGATACTACTACATTGTCGACGTAATCCAGACGTGGCAACTTGGTACTAAGAACATCTCCAATAATGCAATCCTTCTTCACTTTCAAGTGTGGTCCCTACTGCCACCTAAACAACTCTAGCAATTACTTCACTCATCAATTTCATACTAGTTACATCAATGTCGTTCCAATGCAATTGCACTTCTGGGTCCCACTTACATTTTAATACCACACAAATGGTTGGGAAAAGAAGAAAGAAAAACAAAAACAAACAAAGAACTCACTTGCAATTGCATGTCAGATTTTCATGGTGTGCAAATTTTCATCCCTTGAAAGTGGTCTTGCATCAATGCCATCCACTTTTTCAATTGCACATGGCTGCCACCTCAGCTTGCAATTCCCTCCATTTGCACCATTGGAGACGCTCTAAAAAGGTCTAAAGCCAAGTTGGCATGGAGGTTGCCAGGTGGGCATCCCAAGTGTTTGTTTAAAACACAGGTGTCGGCGTGTGGCTCTGCCTTGCAACTTCTCATGACACCTTTGCATCGTAACTTAAGTGTCAAGCGACACCTGTGCCTGCCTAACTTCACCTTCAACGTAACCTTCCCCCCCTCTCTATTTCTATCCTTCTAAATCAGTCCAGCAGCAAAGCCAGGAACTAACATCAAGAAGGCTTACTAGAATTGAAAAAGCTAGCGAACACTTTGAACACCACCACAGGAAAACCAGAAAAAAAAAGGGAGAAATGACGGATACCGTAGGAGTCACCGGTGGTTGCAATGCCATCTGTGGCTGCCCTGTGCCCTGTCCTGGCGGGAATGCTTGCCGGTCTCCTTCCTTCCTGCTGCTTGCTTGCGTTCGTTATTAACTTCTTTCTTTTTAGTACTTGAGCACTTCCATAACATGTATGTAACTCTGTGGTGGTTGGTTTGAACAGGTGCAGAACAGCCGATACGACGAAGACAGCAGGAGACGGACACAACAAGTGCTCGTGCGGTGAGCATTGCGGCTGCAACCCATGCACCTGCCAGAAGGCTGGTGTGAGCACTGGGGTTGGCAAAGCTCACTGCAAGTGCGGTGCTGGCTGCAGCTGTCCAACCTGTACTGCTTAAGATAAAGCAAAAAGTGGTGTGCCGAGTGGGGCGAAAGGAAGCTGTTCAAATTCTGATTAAGATCTTCCTTTCTATCCTTCTATTAGGGCATAGAAAGAACTACTCTATTCTACTGTCGCGTGAGGATCCATACTGCTGTTTCTAGACTTCTATAGTCTTACCTTCAATAAAACAGAAAATCCTGTTTCCTTGTTTGCTTGAATATTTGGTTTTGGTTTCATTTCTCAAGTGACGAATATGGAAAGTGGGGAAAGTACGACCAGAACGAACAGGATTCTTGGTTAAAACAAACTGAGATCCTTAATTAGGAAGTACAGTGCAAGCACAGTGAGCTTAAAAACTGCCTCGGAACCCCTTTGAAGGACACGTTCCTTTCTCTGTTATTATGAAAGGCTCAAAGTTCCCTAATCCACCTAGGAAAGAAGCAATCACATTTTGCCGAGGACAACATAGATTCTGGCAATGCAAGGGAAATTCCACTGTGTCCGCCATTGAACAGAAAGCTACTTTCATTGTCATAAACTAAAGACTAGAGAATGCTGGGTCCTGACCCATATCAGTCTCATCTACATTCTGCACTATTCTGAAACACTCACTATGCTCCTTCCACTCTTCATTGTCAATATACCTCTCATAGAACTTCACCTCGCCGTCCCTCCTCACCAACACAACAGATGTGCTTCTAGTCCCATATCGACCCTGCCAGAAAAGGGACAAAGTTAGAAGGTTTTCTTAACAAGTCGGAGAAACGTGAGAAGAGTAGGAAAAGAAGCTTTACGGATGGTGCATGAATGTCGACAAAAATGGAACTCAATTGGTATTCATAATCAGGAGGGTAGACTCCAGGTAGCAACGTTTTATCTTCTTCCTTGACCGGATTCGTCATCAGTGTTTCGGCCATCTCTTTTGCCGGAACTTCTTCTCGCTCGCCGTGTCTGTCCATGAATTCCTTCAAGCTATGTCTAAGCCTTTGAGCCTACAGCAGCGCACAATCAAACAAAAGCCTCAAATGACCACCCTTCTGCTGTAGATGCCCCGAACCAGGATAAAGCAGATAAGGAGACCGACTGACCTTGGGCCATGGAGAATCGAGGCTAGCATTGGATAGGACGTGGATACCAGGTGAAACCTCTGTGATTGCATCATCGCCGCTGTTTGATTTGGCTCTGTTGGTGATGTAAACCATGGAGTTGGAACCAACATCAGCTATTACCAAGTTAAACCCATTGTAGCTATCCATCTCTTCCACGAGCTCTCTAGCAAACTCCATTGGGTTTTGCTGGCTCTGCAAACATGGAGAAAATTGGAAACCAACCCAAATACGTGATCAAATTGGGCAATTCATTTTGTCAAAGAAGTTTACACTTTTTTCAGTTCAAGCTACTGAATACCTGCAAGAAGCGAAGTGGGAGGTGGCCTCGGCTGTTGGCGGCGGCGGAGAGAGAAGTAGCCTCCCTAACGTTGGTGATGAAAGCAACCCTGCCATCTCTGGTGGCGGCCAACCATGTCCCGCCGGCCTTATCGTCTCGCCCACCCAGAAATTCAATTGCTCCGTCGCCGCCGCCGCCGCCGTCGCCGTCCCTCCACCATCCCAGCGGCGTCGTCGGCCTGCGATCGATTGAAATAAAAGGAAAACACTAGGAGCTGAATGAAACGCCGCAGAAATCTGGGTAAAGGATGAATTGAATTAATTACCAACCGGCTATGGAATTCGTCTCGGTTGAGCAACAGGAGGAAGGGATAGAGCGGATGAGCTCGCCACAGGAACACGGCTATGCACATGGCGGTCGCGGGCTGGCTTTTGCCTGATCCGCTGCTCAAAATCTTTTCCTACTGATCTTCTTTTCGTCAGCTGTACTCTGTATTGCGCCGCTTGCCTTTCAGGAATCGTCGATTTACTGTTGTTGCTCGTCTTATTTGATTTCTAAGTGCATCGGCCTCCGGATTCTTCATCGTCATCCTCCATGTCCATACCCATACCACGGAGCGGACAACGACAGCTTTAATCGTAATTTAACAATAAGGATAGGATAATACCATTAAAATTTGACATTTATATAACAATAACACATAAGTTCGTCATTACAAAGGAAAACAATGGCGCATCGCTTGCTTTCAAAGGCCAACCGGACCGCTTGGCTTTGTATTAGGCCATACAGTATAACTCAGTATAAGTGTATAACCTCCATAAATTAATATAGTTGGACCGTGAAAATTATTAATTTATAGTAGTTATTAATTAATTGATAAACTAATAATTATTAATTTTAAGAGTTTTTTTCTTATGATTTATCTTTATTGTATCTTCTAAACATTTCAAGTTCATACGATATGATTAATGGTATGGGTTATCGTAACCAGACAGATGTAAGTCATTTGTTGGACTATCCGGGTGAAGATAAATGTATTGTGCACACAAATGTTTAGAAGAAATTGTGGCTGATGTCATTGGGGGTTCAATTGAGGATGAAGGAGATGACGATTCAACACCTTAGGAGATAATTGAGGCAGGTTTTAGAATTGGGTTAGGATTAGACGTAGATGGCGGTAATTACTTCGTTGAATAGGATAGGGTTAGCTATTATGGTTTTCTGTGTTTTACTATAAATGTGTACTTCCTATAAATGTGTACTTTGTGGTTCAGTTAAAATTATGAGAAGAATAATATTTCACTTTATCGTTATGTTTCTTTAGGAGTATGCAACACCACGGAAAAAAATCCAAAACTACCACTGTTTTAAAAAAATTACAAAAATACCACTCATTCCCAAGAATTTCCAAATCTACCACCATCCCCTATAAACCGCGCCTCGAAGGCGCGGTTCTCATTTAAACCGCGCGGGCAAGGGGCGGTTTGCCATTGGGCAGCTGACACAACGCGCCTCCACGTGGCGGTCCATGCAACCGCACGATGGGCAGGCGATCTGACGGCTAACCGCCTGCTAGCGGAGTGATCCGCGTCGCCCACGGGAAACAGTTGCCCTAAAGTGTGGTTTGCGCGTTGGAAAATGTAAACCATGTGCTCGAGGAGCGGTTTTTGGTGGGGTAAAAAGACCAAACCGCCCCTCCAGCAGGCGGCTCCTTCCCTATATAAACCCACTCATTCCTCTCATTTTCTTCAAACCAAACCCCTAATCTCTCTCTCTAAGTTTCTCACTCTACCCATCCCCCTCGGCACCCAAAAATCTTGGAAGTAGTTGTTTTGTGGGTTGCGGCTAAGTCCGATCTGCCTTCAAAAAACTTTTCTTTGATTTTCACTAAAAAACCGTCGAATCTCTGTCCGGATCCTGAAAAAATGGTTGATTTTATCCAAGAAGAGGGTATTTACTATGATAATTATCAAGTCGTACTTACTCATTTTACCCAATTTTTGTTGTTGTTATAATAATTTATTTAATTTATATACTAATTGATTTATGTTGTTGTTATGCTATCGTAGGTTGGGCCGGATGTTGATATAATCAACGATATTATGTTGATCAAGGACCGATTGATCCGACTATTTTAAACGATCAATACAATCATCGTTCAAGAGACGTTTGGAACGACCACAAGGTACATATTATTTCTCATCACTTGTCATTTTTATTTTGTTAACATAATTTATTTGTTTGTACAATAAATTACTTAATTGTTAATCATATTGATTATTTTCAATAATTTAAATCAATACAATACAACACTTATTTAGACTCTTCATAAAGAAATGCATGTCTAAGGAAATGGGGTCTTAAGCGATCTTCATGATCCTCCCATGGCCTGGGAAAATCGGGTTCTAAGCGATACTCGGATCCTCCCTTTTTCTGTCAAACAGACTATGTTTCTAATGAGATGTATACCTCTTATAAGAGTTTTACGAGTGTACTGGTATTGCTTTAAATTATTGAAAACAATCAATACGAAGTACAAAATAATATATTTGATTTTATATGTATGTGTACAAAAATAATTTTACTTAAATTTCGAAAATGATATTCATTTTACACTGCAAACCGCAGGAGGGGTGGTTTTAGTCTGCCATGCAGCCCCCACCCCTGCAGCCTCCTGCATGCCGACATTTCGGATGACGAGGCACAAACCGCTTGGGGGGGGGGGGGGGGGTGGTGGTTATGTGTCAACATGGTAAACCACTTCCCTGTGGAGCGTTTTATCATGGCGACACATAATCGCTCCCTGAGGAAGCGGTTTGTGCTAGGGCAGCCATGAAAACTACTCCTTCGAAGAGCGTTTTTCCAAAATAGACAAACCGCTTGTCGACCAGGCGTATCTATGATAAACCGCCGCCTGAATGGGCAGATTCTGTTTTAACCGCCCCTGAGTGGAGCGGTTTTTAATAAACAATGGTAGATTTATAATTCTTGGGAATGAGTGATATTTTTGTAATTATTTTTAAAACAGTGGTAGTTTTGGATTTTTTTCCAACACCACCACTATACCGAACCCTCTTCTCCTTCCTTCCTTTACCTTCCTTCACAAGATACCTTATTCCCCCTAATTCGAATCCCTAGTCTCAATCAAGTATCTAATCCCAATTCAATTCAACTACAAAAGGACTAACAAAACAAAACGATGTCAACGACTAGACACTATTATGTGGTGACAAACCTCCCCATACTTGAGTTGAGACTTCAATTGATTAAAGATGGCCTCAGAATGGCCCTTTCTCAGGACCGCCATTGACTCGGAAACAGAAACAAAGCCTGATAGTATCACCAGCTGCCAGTAGCTCATCTAATATGGATCAAGAATGCCATTGTGCTTATTTGCAGAAGTATGGGGAAGTGGCATCCACTGATGTCTTGGACAACAGTAGTGCAACATGTTGAAACATATCCCGTTGGAATGAAAGGGTTCCCTTGGATCCATTTTCTTCTCCACTTGAGTGCTGGGATCCATTGAAGGACCTCCCTTTGCCAGCAAACTCTCGACAGCAATTCTGGTTCCATTAGTGCCCACCTCATACACTGAAGTTGAGCTCTCTTTTTGAAGGCTGACCCTTTCCAGCTGGCCTAAACAAGGCAGGGCTAAAAGTTCTGAAATTGAGGATGACCGAGTCCTCCAATCGACTGAGGGAGGATTCTGGATTATAAGGAAGACAAGAATCACAGTGGCACACAGTCAGAGAAATTCAGACTCAGTCAGCCTGTGAATGGCAAAATGGTTCATGCTCATGAAGTGCAAAAACAGGACCCAGAATTTAGTAAAAATGCAGTGATGGCATCAGTTCTTACCGAGCGATTATGATGAATTGGCTGAAAGCCACTGATTGTACTCATCCATCCTTATCATGAAGGAACTGGAACTTGGGGAACCACCACCCCCATATGCCTTCATGTTCAAGAAATCAAAGAGAGCCCGAGTGAAAATGAGTGCTGACGGAAAATACGTTAGAAAGCTACCTTAGCACATGAGTGAAACCTTTGCAACTTCAGAGGTATCCGTAGAAGCATCGGTACTCCTCAAGCACATCTTAAGATTGTTCCGGTGCATGTAGACAACTGCTCCAATCGGCCTGAAATTACAAGAGAATTTGATAAGTAGTTATGGTTCATCATTCAGATGTTAAAATAGATTCAAAGGCAGTCGTCACACAAACTGCAGCAAAAAGCCCTCTGGCCAGAAAAATTGCTCAGATGCACCAGAAACAGCAAAGAGATGCTGCATTTTGCATCAAGAGAATTATTAGTCAATGAACTTGCAGTACCGTAGTATATCATGATGCATGAATGCTGTATGCTCATCATGGCACTACTCTAGAAACAAGTTGGAACCCCTGGACAATATTATTGGTACAAAATCGAGATAAGAAATTAATGGTACCTCAGACCAACTGCAGCACTTCTAACACTTAGTTCCTTGCCAAGCAGTTCACTCAACTTAGAGTTGCCATCGGCTCTAACTCCCTATACTCCAGAAGAAGAAACAGCAACAGGAAAATGTCAACCATAGATAGTGTGGAGTGTGATTAATTTGGATATACAGGTTTAGATTATCTGCAATCCAAAGAGGGAAAACGAGACATAATGGATAGAAAACATGATAGAAAAACACACTAAATATATTTGATTACCAGGCATTCCCCATAAAATCCTCTGCCCAATCGTACTTGGAAGACTGTATCCAGAAGCTTGGTGGCAGCATCCCGGTCAGAAGAAATATGTGAATTTCCTTTCGCAATTAAATCAGCAGCGGTCAGCTCTAGCAACTGAAATCAAGGGCCACGACTAAATGACAAATGCTATCGTCTGAGCAATGTAAACGAGTTAACTGCAATTCAGCAACAAAAGAATCGCACAAAAAACACACCAAAATCTGTTTTTGTTTCCTCGTCTTTTCTTCTGACCGGATTTCAGAACTTCATTTCGAACTAAGCCAATACAAATTTTAGCCAAGGCTACTACTCTCTTCTCAACAAGAAAAAGCTCACACTGTAAATCAACTTTGTCACTTTGTTCTTACCTTGCAAATCCAACAACTTAGCAAGAACTAACTAATCAGAACAGAAACAAAAACCGTTTATTACAGCATTCAGAAATGGCAAACAAAACAATACAATACAAGAGTTGAAAGAAGAAGATGAAGCATGAAGTTGACCTCTTCAAACATGTAGGGGTTAGTGATGCAATTTATCCTCTGCCTCCATTCACTGAAACCAATGTTAAAAGCTCTAACGTCTGGTAAGCTCCACCTCAGAAGGTCGCTATCTTCAATATAACTCAAAATAGTCTCGACACGAGCTTCGTCTTCTGCGTTCAATAATTTGGCTACATGGTCCTGGAAATAGAATTACCTGATCAGCATTATGGTCGACATTAGAAATGTGAATCAGACTCTCTCGTTCTCGTATAAAACCAAAGAAATACTTACTTCTGACAGCTTGCATTCTTCAGCAAGCTTGTCCGCAAAATAGTTGTACGCAGCTCTAGAGCTGCTCTTCTCATGATCAACACAAATTCTAACGCTCGGTTGACCATCATCATCCGGAGAACGAATGCGCGAAATCGCAGACTTCCGGTGCTCGAAAGCAATCACTCTATGCATTAAGAAAACAGCACAGCAACAGCAACGAAAACAAAGATTAAAAAAGCAAGAAGGAACTACTTGCTTGAGCAAACCATTCTCATACGAAATTTGGCGAATCTTATACTTACTCGCACATGGACTGTCGAGATATTTGAGCAGCGAATCCGCGTGGGCCAGCGAAATCGAGAAGATAGCATCGCTGGAGCCCTTCTATGTACAAATCTTCAGCCCTAGAATGAGAGCAACAAAGACAATGTCGAAAAAGAAGAGGAAAAGACGGAACGAAAAATTACAGAAGGAGAGCGTAGAACTGCGGGAGGTGAACGGAAGAGAAGGAGGGTGGGAAGTAGGAATTTACCTGAGGGGCACGGCGGAGGAGTAAGGCAAGACGAGGAAAGGGAGGCAGAGGCGGGAGTGGAAGCGGTGAGCAAAGAGAGCGGAGAAAGCTCCGGAGAAGGATGGATAGTTGTAGAGGATGAGGTTGCGGATCCCGTCCTCTCTAGCCTTGGCCACGGCCTTCAGAGCTGCATCGGACCGGAATCTCCGAGCTCGAGCGGGTGAGAAGAAGCACAACGCAACCTGCTGCAGTCTTCGGCGGAGGATCGGTGCACTCATTTTCTGGGACGGTGACACAAATGCGTCTCAGCGGCAAGTACTTTTCCCGTCTCGTTGGTTTTGGATTCAGACCGGTCGAACCGGGGTTAACGGCACTCTGGATGGAAATATTAACGGAAGGGTAGATTTGATATTATGGTAATAATAAGAGGGCAAGTGTGATATAAAATATAGTAGAGGAGCAAGTTTGAGAAGAAAAAAAAATCAATGTTGTCAGATACATGAAGAAAAGTTGCGCTTAGATCAGACGGTGACGAGAAGCATGGCACAAGCTTTCCCCACTGCTGCGAACACGACCACGACCCCATCACTAACAGCGCCAACTCTGGGACGAGAGCCACATCCACCGTCGAGGCGCATTGTTAGTAATATGGCGCACGAGGAAGCTGCTAAATGTCGACGTGATGGATTGTGCTACAACAATGACGAAAAGTATACGTATGGGCATCGATGAGCCAGTGCAAATGTCTTCATCATGATTGAGAACTTCAAGGAGGAACACGACGGAGAGGAGGTGGTCGAAGAGCAACCTCGGGGATGAGGTTGTTTAAGGGTGAGGATTGATGTAATATGGCATCGTCGGATCAAATAGAAGATATTAGGATCAAGGACCAGACCATTATTGTATTTCGATCGCGCGTCAAATAACAATTCACTAATTTTTTTCCCACTATTTACGAAATCTATTAGAAAAAACCGAATCCGAATCTCATTATATTTGGTACGATATGGTCCGAACCAGATTTCCATTTGGTTCATCTTGGCTCCAATTTACAAGCTTGAAGTTTCCCAAAAATACCAATAGCAATTAAAAAAAAAAATTAAACCCGTCCTGAAAAAAGTGAATGAGGGGGGCAGGGCCCTTCGCCCCGTTGTTTGTTAGTTGGCTGTAGAGAGAGAGAGAGAGAGTGAGGAAAACGGGAGAGAGAGAGAGAGAGAGAGAGAGAGAGAGAAATCGACAGCGAACAGAAAACAATGGGGAAGAAGGCAGCTGTGGAGGAAGGGAAGAAGAAGAAGAAGAAAGGCCGGCCTTCCCTCTTAGATCTCCAGAAGCGCAACCTACTCCAACAAGAACAGCAACAGCTACAGAAGCCCAAGCATCGAAATCCCAATTCCTCCCCTGCTCCTTCTTCCCGTGTTCACGACTCTTCCCTCCTCCGCCGATCAGCCCGTCGCTCCAATCCGGCGGCCAGCGCTCAAGCAGACAACGACGGCCACGACCAATTGGGTCCTGCAAAGAAGCCCAAGCTAACCGATGCCAATTCCTTGGACACCGGCCCAGCCGATTCCGGCAGCGGCGGCGATTCCTCCCCAGCCGCCAATCACAAGAAGAGGAAAATTAATGCAATCCCTTCCAGATCTGGAATCCCGCTCTCCCAAAAGGTCTGCTACTCTCCTTGCCCACTCTGCCTTTTCCCCCCAAATTCATTCGCTCTTTTTAGAATTTCTCAACAGTTGAGGGAAAATCGGAATTGGACAAGCGCTAAAAGATACTCTGTGCCGTTCGCTTCCTTAGGTTGGGAGCTGTATAAATATACCTGTCGTTCTTTTTATTTGGTGGGATTTGACTCCTCGTACTGCGGGCCTCTGTAGTAAACCCTCCAAATGGAATTCAGCGAAAGCAGTTGACTTTCTACCCGCTCTCATCTCACCTCCCACCCTTTCCCTCAATTTTCCCTTCTCGGATTTCGGTAACGTAAAATCATGTACTAACTGCGTTAAGGGCTCTCTTTTAGTAGCTCCCCAACACTACAGATTGGAAATGGGATGGAGTTTTGGGACCTTTTGTATATTTGTTCTAGGGTTGCAGCAAGCTCGGTAGCTAGCTACATTGGAATGAATTTAATCCTGTCTTTTTATTAGGTGGAATAATAATGATTTCTGACCATCATATCTTGATGGGAAAACAACATAAAGTGTAAATTTGTCTTTTCCATCCATACTATTCCTTGGGTTTCCCTTTTCCTTCTATCACCCGGTATCTGATTTCCCCTTTTCGGCAGCTCAATGCTGCTGCCACTTAGCCCTTTTCAAACCCAGCTCGGGGAACTGTGCGGTTTAAGTCCATTTGAGCAGTAACAAATAACTCTAGGAAGCTCGTATCTTCTTCTTCTTACTTGGTTTACTTGATTTCCCCTTGCATAGTCAGACAAGTCTACTTCTGACGCCAATCAAGCAGATGATGTCCAAGGTTTGTGATTCCCCAACTGATTTAAATCTACCCATTTGAATATACAGGTCAAAGTCTCAAGCTTTTTATTTGATTGTGTGTTTTCTGTGTTTCTGATATCTAGAATCTGTCCCCTGCACTCCTCTACCTGACAAAAAGTTACTCTTCTTCATCCTTGAGAGGCTGCAGAGGTAAATGCTTTGCCTTGGTTCCAGTACTCTGATGTTTCCTATCTTTTTCTTACTGAAAACCGAGTGCTATTTGGGTAACTGTTGTTGCAGCAAGGATACATATGGTGCATTCTCGGAGCCTGTGGACACAGAAGAGGTTAATATCAAGTCTAAAAGGATTGTTATTTACAGTGAGCTATGTTAACTTCTCTCTGAATGCAATCCTGATCTCCTGGTCTTTTCTGAAATTCTGCAGCTTCCAGATTACCATGAACTCATTGATAATCCAATGGATTTTCGTACAGTTACTGAGAAACTTACTGAAGGAGTTTATGCCAGCTTGGAACAGTTTGAGGTTGGTCTTGAAACCAATACTTGGGTCGATTTAAAATTTTTGCTGGTTGCTTTGAGTGCTCATATCAGTTATTCGACTCTTAAAGCTGTTACGTGTGTCATAGTGGCCTCAAAAACATTACCATACCTTGTTTTGTGCTTTTCACTGATAATCTAGTATTCTGGAATTTGTCTCTGTCTGTCATTTATTATGCTCTTCATCATGAGTTATCTCAGATTTTTATCAGATACAACCTGAATGTTGATCTTTCTACTCATTGGTTGTCAGAAGAATGCTTTAAGAATGAAGTGGCTAGGAGTTAGTACCCACATTTCACGAAGAGTTAAAATTCAAACTTATGCTTGCATTTTGCAGCAGGATTCAAGAAATGGCACTTAGTTAACTATTCACGCTTGGACTATTCAAATGGCGGAACTTATCAAGTTTGAGGCATTTCTGTGATTTATATTTGATTTATTTTCAACTAATGTGCTCTTACTCGGTGATCACAATGGTTAAAGAAATTTAACTAGTTCGTCAGTTCAATTGAGTTCCACTTCTGTTTTTCTTACCTCTTGAAGGAATTGCTATTTGTAGCTCTTCTACTTGATGTCGTTCTGCTTGTGTATTGAAAAGTTTGAATTTCTTATCATTTTGTGAGGAATATAAAAGGAACTTTCTTCTTCTTGTCATGCAGAAAGATATTTTCTTAATTTGTTCGAACGCAATGGAGTATAATGCCCCCGATACAATATACTTTCGACAGGTATAATGATCGGCTTCTTAAACACCAGATTGCCTACATTCTGACCAACTGAATGATTTATCCTGAAGCTTCTGTTATCATCTTATCAGGCACGAGCCATTGAAGAACTGGCTAAAAAGAATTTTGAGAACTTAAGGCAGGATAGTGATGATAATGAACCAGCAACACATAAAGTGGCAGCAAGGAGAGGTAGACCACCAACCAAGAACGTCAAGAAAAAGCCTGGTCGTCCTGCTCAGGGACAACGTGCTTCTGAGCTTTCATCAATCAATACAACTTCTTCTACTGCTGACAAAGAAGGTGCCATTCGGTTAAATTCTGCTGATCTCAGGAACTTTGGCTTTTCTAATGGTTCTGGCAATGATGCGGGTGAGAACAAGCTATTAGATAGGAATAATGAAGCCACAGGTTGGTTGGAACTCTTTTCAATTGCAGCTATCAGAACCATATATAATTTTCCTTTTGTGGCGGGAGTTAAGGCTTCTGTTTTTCTTTTTGACTTCTGTTGCAGGTTTTTTTCTTAGAGGTAATTCTAATTCACTGAAGAATGGTAAAAAACTGCTTGTGTTGGATGAGAATAGGCGCGATACGTACATGCAATTCCTTGAATCAACTAATGGACGAGAGCCATCAGTGCTGGCTACTTTTCATTCAGAGAGGAGGCAACTAGTAGCAGTATGTATTGTTTATTATGTTCTTTATGATTGTTTGTTTCTTGACGTGCTTAGTTAACGGGGGCACTTATTGGGCTTGTGTGCCTGTAATGCAAACCTTATCCTCAGAAAAAATGAAAGTAAAATGAAAGGCCATCAGGAATGGGAAAAAAAAATTAATCTTCAAAGCATGACGAAAGACAATCACAGGAAATCATGAATATAAGCATCATATGAAATGACATGATAATATGTTCCTGAGAATAGGAATAAAATATATCGTCATTGGTATTTTCACTGGGACATCATCTATATTTCCTTTATTATTCACTTTCTTTGAGTGAGCCACTTTGAGCCTTGAGGACTGGGGAACTTTTGAAAAGTGCAACCTTCCTAGATAATAGAATACTAATGCTTAAATAAAGAACATAGAAGAATAAATCCAATACTCCTGCAGTGATACATGCTAGGCCATAACACAAAATTTTGGGTTTTAAAGTTAAAAATGGCTGTAGAACTACATCGGTCATTGCTGTTTAACCTCGCTGTTACTAGCACTCTTTGCTTTTAATTGACCGAAGTTTGTGGTGGAATCTCCACGGCCGCTGGGTTTTGTTGGTTAACTTTGCTCCTATATTTTGTATGAATCAGGTAGGGCTTCTTACAGAGTATGGTTATGGAAGAAGCCTTGCACGATTTGCTGCAAATGCTGGACCTGTTGTTTGGAGAATTGCATCAGCTAAGATACAGAGGTCTTTGCCACCAGGGGTCCAGTTTGGGCCCGGATGGGTTGGAGAAAATGATATCCCTCAACGAAGGCCGGTGTTTCCTTTTCCATCGTCATCTTCAGTTCTTCCATCACCGCTGAAGCCTTGCTCTCCTCTCCCAGCTTCTGGCTCCGTATCAGAAGGGGATAATTCATTAGAGAAACTTCCAGAAGATAATGGTCCTTCTGTATTAGAAGATCCATCAGGTAATTCTGAGCTTCCATCTCGTTCAGCGTCCGCATCCCATCTCAGTGGCAGTAAATCTGAATCCCAGATACGAAGTGCAGAAGCAATAGATGAATTGAACCATAATCATGGGTTGAATACACCAAACGGTGGCAGCATGGATGTAATTACCAATGAAACACCACCCGTTGAAGCTCACGAGAGCCAAGTTATTCACCCTGGCATGAACGGATTGAATGGGAAACATGTCCTCCAACCTGCCCCGGACAATTGCTCGAACGCAGAAAATCAGAAGCATGTTAGTCCAGCAACACCAGAATCTAGAGACGAGACTATAGAACAGAAAGTAGAACTAGACTCATCAACTCAGCAGCAGAAAACGGAATTTCACCAACCTGGCCTTTAATCTCTCGGGTTTCAGTCAGCAGGGTCGTCTAGTTCAAGCCGTGTTGATTCAGCACAACAACCAGATTAACCATTGCAGCTGTGAGAGGTGAATGGCGTTATTCATTCTTTTGCTCATGAGAAATCTTGTTAAGGTTAACAATTTAGAAGGGTGGGGGAGTGCTGGATTTGGCGTTTGTGCTGCTGGACTCAGACCAGTGAAGGGGAGGTGTCCTCTAGGACTGGAAGCCATCCAAGCTCTTCACCTGACTATATATGTATTGTTGTACAATGTAGGCTGTATTCTGTACAGATAAACGATGTACCCTAATTGTTAGGTTCACAAGCCAGTGATTAGAAGGGGAGGGAGAGGAAAGGAGAAAGAGTGGAGAGTAGATTCCACTGGTAAGTGGTAACATCATTTGAGGAAGGGAATAAAAATGGGGGGGAAATGGGGCTGATTCGTTCCTGAATGTAGCTGTAGGTTGTAGCAGTAGCAAGAGTATTGCAGCAGCTCTGGTTTATGGTTAGTTAAGAACTGCATATTGTAAGCTGAGTGAAAGTAGTTAGCAGAGCTGGAATAGTGAAAAGGGCTGAGCCCGTTAATTGGATTACAAGTCATGTCGCCTTATTTTCTGTTTGTAACGGGATGAGAGATGACTTTTGGTTCCTTCATAGGTAGCCCAAAAGATGAGGTTGAAGTTGAAGGGCATGTAGAAAGAAAACGAAACCGGAGGTGACTTGCATGCGTAGCTTCTGGCGTTAACAGTTGACGTGGGCGATACAACAGGATTGATTATGAGTTATGACACTGGAATGAAAATTTAGTTAAAATTTCAAAAACTGAATGTGAACGCGGCCTCGAGAAATGTCAGAGAGCTTGCCCATGTCAACCTAACCTTTGTATTTTTTTATACTCTTTTTGCGATTCTGTTTCTGGTAACCATCAATCCAACGATATCAACGCGCACATTCATTGCCTATCAACAAAAGAACAACTAAATGCAACTGGGGAGTTGACAACGTAATACAACGTGTAGGGAAAAGTATGGAACACAATTTGGGGTTTTGGTAGGGCTGGCTATTTGGTCCGGGCTATTTGGTTTTATCCGAAACCGGACCGTATAATTCGGATCGGAACCGGATTGCAAATAATATAATCTCATCTTCCGGCTTAGATTTGAGGTAAAAAATCGTTTGAGACCGGATCGAAAACCGGATAAGAGAGCCCAACACCAAAAACTTAACCAACTCTTCACCCTTTGAGGCATCAAGTCACTCAATTCCCCACAAACTCAATCTAAAATCAATACCGAATTGAGACCGGACCGGATCAATACTGGACTGTATCCAATCCAATTTTTGGTCCTTATATTCCCGAAAAAACCGGTCTGAGACCGAATAGCCACCCCTAGTTTTGGGAGACTTAATGCCGCAACATCATCCAAAAAGAGGCCCCCTAGCTACTTACGAAATTTAACCGGACCGGACCGTATAGCCACCCCTAGTTTTGGGAGACTTAATGCCGCAACATCAGAGGCCCCCTAGCTACTTACGATATTTTGCGTCGTGTGAATCTAAGGGAGTTCGGCTGATGCGATATGAGGCTCAAGAAGCTGCTGCCTGCGTTTGAAGAGAAGAGAAGAGATTGCTATCTTTGGAAGCACTGAACAACAAGTGTGTTACGTATGAATATTTGGGAAGCATTGTCAACGCATGGAGCCGTCCTTTCATTTTCCACAAAGTAAAGTCAACAATGGTGGCAGACTGTCAAAGAAGCGCAATTTTCATGAAAGACTGACTGAATGTGTAGAAGAGCAGTTTGCCTACAGTACAGGCTACAGCCACAGTCTTGCAAAATGGGATGAAGCGAGCAGGCGACTTCCCCTTCCTTTTTCTCCACCGCCTCAGTCACTCTCCATGTTTACCGCCAACAACCCCGCCCGAGAAGTTCAAGTGATTTAGGGGCCTTACTCACCTGCTTAGACAGTTATTGATAAGACTCTTTTTATTCGTGTAGATTCCGGGGAGGAAAAATTATAAGGTGAACAAAATTTTGAGGGGAAGGAAAATGTAATGGAAAAAAATATTGTTTTATAAGGAACTAGCGACTAGCGTGGCCCTAGGCCAGTAGGTCGGAGGAAGGTGAGGTATGAAATTTGATAATGTAATGGGGTGTATAGCTTATTGTTGTATAGTTTTTTTTTTGGGAAACACGTGATAAAAATGGTGAATTTTAGCAGGAAAGAGACATGAATGATGCAACTAATAAATAATCAGCCTTATCAACCAAAATCAAGTATCTGTTACCTTGTGAAACAATATTGTTTCTGGTAATATGATGAGGTGGAGTTTGGTGCATGATACTATACCCTAACCTCTAATGGGTGAACCCCAGTCCCCAATTGTCTAACCCAACCCATAAGATTCATTTAATCTTAAAAATGAAAACCAACGGTTGTGATTCGTCGGAATTATTCAAGTACAAATAATAGGTGTGAACGCAGGCATATAGCGTACGCCAGACATACGTCATAATCATAAAGTATGAAGATTTGTAACGTAGGAAGATTCGTAACGAAGATAAGAACGAAACGAGATGGGATTTACGCAGTTTCCTTAATCGATCAGATCAAACAAGACTAGTCCACGGGCAGGATGTATCTCTCTTATCTTGTTTCTGTAGTTCTCAACGATGTACCATAGGTTACATATATACCAGTCTCGGCTATCTACTCTCTAGCGAGAGTTCTATTTGACAATAGACACTTTTGGGCCGCAACCCTTACACAGGCCAAAGGCCTTATTATATTCGAGATCCACTTACTCAGCAGCCTCCCCCAAATTGATGGGGGAGTTCTCATCATCAGTTTGCTTGCTAAAAACGAATGATGACTAACAGAGAAGGCTTTGGTGAATATGTATGCAAGTTGATCTTCTGAGGGAAGATAGAAAATTCGGATCATCCCATATCGAACAAGATCTTAAATATAATGAACATGTACCTCCATGTACTTCGTACGATCATGTAGAACTGGATTCGTTGCAATATGAATCGCACTTGTGTTGTCGACATAAGATGTTGATGCCAGAACCAAGATCCACCACCATCTTGGATGGTTGCCTTCCTCTTGCTTCCTTGACTTGATGCTCCTTGTTTCCCCTCCACCATCTCACAATGATGGGTCTTCACATCTCCTTATTTCTTGAAAGTCTTCTTAGAATAGAGCTTCAATGATTTGTAGCACCCATTTTGGATATGTATGCTTTGGATCTTCATGAGTTTTTGTGAGGAAAAAGAAGAGGCGGTGTCCTCCCTTTTATAGAGGAGCGGCTAGTGGTACCACTGTCCATTTCCTGCTTGGATATAGACTCTTTCGATTACTTTTGCATGTAGGACAAGGAAGCAACATAAAGGGTGGTAGCGGGGGTGGTGCGGCAGGATGACTGATAGACCGTTAGTTACACATGTTTTCACCCCTGTTCTTACACCGTTTGAGATGTGGTTTCTCGTGTTTTAGACCGATTTCACGCTAGGTTGTGCTTGTTTGTGATATTTCAGGTCCTGGCAAGTGAATGAAGGTTTAGGAGCGAGTTCGGGGTCGATTGGGTGAAGATCGGGCGCGAGACAAGTCACAAAGGAGGTCACACGGGCTGTCCTGATGTTCACACGGCCGTGTGAAGTAATGGCCTGGCCGTGCGTGTTTTGCCGAGAGCACACACGGGCAGAGCAGAAGATCGACACGGCCGTGCAAGTGGCCGGGTTGGCCGTGCCACATTCTGGGAGAGCAAACACGGGCAAGAGGGGATGTCCACACGGCCGTGCCATTCTGGCCGTGCAAAGAGCCTGGAATTCGAACTAAATGAAACGATGCGTTTTGACTCACACGGGCAACTGGGTGAGCTGCACGGCCGTGCCACCCTGGCCGTGTGAGTCGGGATTTTCTCCTTTTAAGCAGATTTTCAGCCACAATTCGGGAGGATTCGAGTTTTTGAGAAAGAGAGCGATTTCTAGAGAGAGAAAGTGACGAGCAAGAGTTCCCAAGTGCCCTAGATTGATCTTCAACACCATTGGAGGCCAGCTTGAGCTTGGAGAAGTGCCAATCAACGTCCAGAAGCAGGAATCCATCCTTCGCAGTATGAATTCCGTGTCTGATTCTGCTTTTGCTTTCTTCTCTATGGAGTAGTTCTCCCATTCATCTGGGTATGGAGAACCCTAGATTTGTATGTTAGGCTTTGATTGTATGAACCCAAGTACTGATTCTGTGATTGATTATATTCGATTGAGGTTTTAATGATTGAATGACTTGAATCCTGATCAAATTCCTGTTGTTTCTGCTTTAACCTAGAATGAGAATATCTGCCTAGGTTAATAGAGTATCCTTGATTGAAGGTAGGGAGTTGGTGACTTTAGTCGAGGAACCAACTCACTATTCTGTACCGGATTTACTCCGGTAGTGGAGGTTTTGTTCTTAGGGCCTCAATCTGTCTACTCCGGTGGAGGTTAGTCGCCCGCTAGAGATTCAGATTGAGAGGGTCTGAAGACCTTTAGTCGAGACTTCAGGCTGTTTAAGAACCTTCCGCAGTATAACTATCATAGAAACTGAACTTGGTAATTACAATCCGGCTTAACTGCAGTCTAGGGGGAACCATATCTGGGTGACCTCTTTAACCTGAATACAACCGTTTACTTGCTTTGTTAGTTTGTTAGTTAGACTTGCATTCCAGTTTCATTGCTAGATAACAAGAATTCACTGAGTAGTCATCAGATCTAGGACCCGGGTTGATAATTAAACCTAAACCCGCTATACTACGCTTTAGGAAGTGGTTACACTTGGCCAATTCCTGGAGTGACAGTAGAGTCGAGTCAAGTTTTTGGCGCCGTTGCCGGGGACGGCTAGGTTGTTGAAGAAAAGTGATTTCTGTTAATTTAGCTTTTCTTTTTGCTTTGTTTTCTTTGTCCCACTTGTGCCTTCACGGGTTTGTTGCTTGAGTGTGTGCAGGTAGTGCATGACCCGTAGCCAGTCGGGAGGTTTACTGCCGTTGAATCCAGAGATTGACCGCACCTGTCGCCAGCTCAGGAGACAACAGCGAGCTAGACTGGCTACGGAAGAGCGCATAGACGGCCACCTGAGCAGCGATTCTGCTAGCGGGGGTGGTGCGGCAGGATGACTCACCATTCTTTTGCTTGCAGAAGATGGTTTTGCTTGGTTCCTTGTGTAGGAGAATGATATTTTTCATCGTGAAGGCCTTTTTCGTAGCAGCGGTTGGGTGACAGTTGGAGCCTCCACTGCTCTTCCTTCTCATTAGCTGAGTTTATTTTCCTTGTTCTTGAAGGATTATTCATATGAGAGGGGTTTTTACACCATTGGATCTCCTTGATCCATTTTTCCCTTCATTTCCGTATGGATTTTTGAAAACAATCAAACTATCAAAGCAAAAAAAACACAGAGAACAAGTGCTTCTCCTCCTTACATAAATATGAAAATAAGTCATACAAGGTAGAAAATACGGGTTGTCCCCTCGGTAGCACTTTTATCTTACATCCTTAAGTTGGATTCGCGACATGGGTTGCCTCTCAAGAAGAGATCTTTCTTTGTTGCCTTAGCTATGCATAACTCTTTGTTCTTTAAGCTCCCCAACTTATGGCTTCCTTTAAATCCATCATATTGATTGCAGGATCCAGTTGATTGCCCTCTTTCTTTAGGCTTGATAGTGGACCATGAAGTAGTAACCACCTTAGTCTACACCTAGTACCTTTTACCCAAGACTTTGATTTATGAGCATTAGAAGTGTGGTAGAAGTAACGATACAATGAGGGACTCATATATTCCCCTCTTTGGGTTAAATAAGACGCTATAGTCTCATGGCTCTCCAGAAATTATGCAAAGGGATCTCCATCTAGTAGTCGAGTGAGATTTGGCTTGACTTCCTGATGCATCTCCACCAAGATTTATAATTTTTCTTCATGGTCTCCAACTTCAGAAATTTCATCCTCCATCTCTTCACCAAGAATGCCTTGTAAATGGTAAACACTTCATGCTCTAACCTTACTTACTCAAAGTTCTAGTTTTCCAGAGTTTGTGTAGATCTTTGAGAAGATGATCTAAGGGTATCTTGAAGGGGTCCATACACTTTAAGGCTTAGTTCTTGTATGCAGAGCACATCATTGCTTAGAGTAGGTGGGATTGCTACTCCTTGATTTTCTTCCATTGTTGTAGAGGATAATGTAGAGGCTCCTTCTTCTCCAAGATCAAAGTTGCATTCTTCATCAATTTCTTCCTACTAAATTAAGTTGAACTCAAGAGGAATGTGGCTTGAAGTTCCCTCCATTGAGCTAAATTATTTATCATTTTTGTTGAACTCCTCTGCGATGTTTTGTATGGTGGTGGCATCTTGCTCCTTTTCTAGGTTGGACGCCATGTTGGTCTAATCATCAACATTTTTTATAGGTGGCTCCTCTTGAAGCCCCTCCTTTGAATGAATATGTTGATATGGTTGCTTCTTTAGTGGCTCCTCACCTTCATTCTCCATTTGAGGTTGATCATCCTTGTTTGAATTCTCCTCCATGATTTCTTGTTCAGTGTTTGATTCCAAGGGTTTTGTTCAACTTTGAATAAGAGGTTCAAGGGGGTCATCATATTGGATTCTTCCTCCTTAGATGTTTCCAATGGTGGATTCCTTGGTAGGTAGATTATTTATGGATTCAGATTGAAGAAGGTGTAGGAAGTGTTCAAAGCTTTCGAGTGGTGAAAAGCCTTCAACCTCTTCCCACCAATCCAATAAGGTTTGGGTCAGTATAAGTTCTTCAATACTGCAATCTTCTTCCTCCATTGCTACTCCTAGGGACTGTATCTCGTTCTCTCCTTCTTCAGAAGTTGTAAGATCATCTTCTTCCTCATCAAATTCATTGACCTTGAGATGGTCTTCTTCTTGAAGCTCCTCAATAGGTTGATCATCCTTCTCTTCCTGGGTAGGTTGAAGATGCTCGATCATGGCCTCCATGGTTGGTATAATGCTTTTCATCGTGTTGTGAACAGATTCCTTCATACTCTCCCCTTTCTCCATATGTGTCTCTTGACTAGTCTCCTTCGAGCCTTGTTCCTAATCCATTGCCCTAACCTTTTTTTTGTTGGGCTGTTTCTCGAACACTTTTTACCGCTCGATGAAGAGGATCCCAAAGTCGTATGCCTCGCTCTAATGGTCGTATGTGATGGTTTTTTCCTTTCGGCGGTGGCAAGCCTACTGATGGTGGTGCGACCATTGTTGATGGCGAAAACACTAAACTTAGTCGTGCACTTTTTCTTTCATAAAGCTCGAAGCTTTTTTCACGCCTTTTATCTGGTATCATAAAAGGGGCAAATATCATAATGCGCTCAAAGTAGGAGAGAGGAAAAAAAAGGAAGGGACAAGGTTGGAAATAACATGGGGTAGGAGTTATTTAGAATAACTCATTTTTTGAGTTATTTGTAAATAATACAAGTTTCCAAATAACTCATCAGCGCGTTGGATATTATGTCCCAAATAACTCATTTTGACTTATTCTGCCCCAAAAAAGTTATAATAACATGAGTGACTCATCAGAATAACTCATCCAAACAACCCCAAGAACACGATTCAAAGTTGAATTGACTATCAGTTCGCTAATGATTGTTTAGTGGAATATATTGAGAGAAACTTTAGAGTGTAGACAACAAATGTATTTTACGCTTCTTTCATAATCTGAAAACGCATCGCGGTTGTTGTTTAAAAATTGTAGTTACTCTCAATGAAAACTTAAAAATTCTATTTTTATCAAATAACATGTTTACCTTTAATCAAAATAATCATAGTGACTCTAGTTATAATGAGAATTTAAAAATTATCGTTACTTTCACCAAAACAAAAAAAAAATTGTAGTTACCGCGAGCAATTAAAAATTTCAACAATATAAAAAGTTAGAATCATAAACGGTTTAAAATCTAAATAATTATATTTTAATTCTCCAAACCAACCCTTCTTAATGTTTCTAACAAGAATCAACGCCGGCCATAAAAGGGGCTATTATTATAAAGTATTTTCAATGTATGAAATCAAAGGGTTGGGTAAAAACACTCATAAAAGACTCAATTGAGAAAATGATAAACATGGATGAATAACTTTACTTTTAGTTAAAAAATTAATCTCTGGAGAAAGGATGCAAGTGGGATGGTTGTTAGAAAAATGAATGAAGTCAAGATGGGATGAAAATGATAATTTATCAGAAACTCATAATTTTTTTTAATTCCTAGATGCCGAAGCAACTAAGAAAACATGAATTAATGACTAAAAAGGAGAGGGAAAAGAGAGTCATTAATTAATGCCGACAACCATGGAATTCCTCGAGTTTGACCGACTGATCATGGCCATAGGAGAGAAGTAAATTTGGTTAAGCAGAGTTGACTTGGGGGAAATTGTGGGATCAGTTTTCAAAGTAATGCACCCTGCGGTCCACGGGGAACGCTGCTGCCTGTTTGGTTTACTCCAACGCGGCGCCTACTTCTCCTCCCTCCCATGTTTACTCAAAATCGTACAGTTTGGTTATAATCGTAAGATCATGAATACAATTTGGACTGGTTTAGATTTTAATTAACTGTTCAGAACGTGACCAAAATTAAGTACTTGCAAGTTGCAGCAGCAAGCAATCCCAGCCCAACTCGGCTTCGAACATGTGAAGGATAAAGAGAGAGTAGTGTTTGAATTTGTACTTTGTAGTTTGTTGAACTTATTAGTGTTGAACTATCAATATTGTTTATTCTTATGTTATGTTGGTTGTCGACTTGAAATTGTTGGTTGCTAGTTTTGCGGGTACTTTTGTAACGAAGTGTTTGTGTTATGTTAACTTTTGAACTTTGTTGGATAAAATGTTTTTTTTTACAATAATTAGATAAAATGTCAATGTGGTTTTGTAGTTACTAGCTAATATCAGTATTGGATAATACAGATTTTGTTGAACAGGGTCTACTCAATCCAGACCGTGGCGGAGGACTACACCGTATAGACATATGATCTGATCTGCATCGTATAATTTATGATCTCGTCCATAATATAAGTTCTACCCTTTTGATCTGAATCCCAGACCGTATAACCAGACCGCGGCTGGAGCCTGTTTGGTTTACTTTAGCGACCAGTGAAGCCGGGCCCATGCCCCACGCGGCGCCTACTTCTTCTCCCTTCCCTCCCTCCGCTGTTTCTTTGTTTTGTTTTTTTTTTTTTTTAATTTTCTCCAAACAAACAAACAAAAGAATTCCACGACCCAGTCGTTGCTCTCTCTTTATCTCCCATTCCCGGAAAATCAATTTTTGATTGCTCACACAACGAAAGGCTCAAGTTCCTTTTGCTTCTTCTTCCCTTCTGACAATCCGAGCAAAATCTCAGCTTCAGCAGCAATCTCTCGTCGTGGGTTCTTTTACTTTTCCCCCAGCCATTTGGCCCAAGCTCTGGGTCAAAGAGAAGGAAAAAAAGAGCTGGAAAATTCAATCCGCCGTGCTTCCACTTTCAGCTTTGTACATCAGGGGGTTATCAAAACAGCTCTCTTCACACCAGCAGCTTCTTCCCTTTTGGTTTCTTGGCGAAAGCTGGGTAGCCATTCCAGTCTGCCGCGTTCTCCCCCATCCGGGTTCTGCTGTTCCTGAACGTTTAACGGAGCTCTGGGTTTCTCCATATGGGGATTTGCTGGTCGTCTTGGTCTTCTTCGCCCACTACTCCTACACCCACCTCCACTCGTCTTAGTTCAGGTAAAACCCTTCTTCCATGGTTTCTTTTTCTGTTCTCTTTTCTTTGCCCTTTCCTGTGAATTGTAGTACTTCATCCCTCCCCCTGCAATTTCTCTACTTTTCTGGTCAGTTGTGTGCTAGTGTTTATCCGGGATCCCGTTTCTGTAATTCTGGCTTTTGCGATGCTCATTGACTTTTTTAGTTTTGTTGGGTCTTCCTGTGGGCGGAGTTTCTTAGATTACTCTTACCTTTTCATTTCATTCCAATCATAGTACTGCTTATCTCTTCACTGCTCTTGACTTGATCTTCATCCTGGGTTAGTGTTAAGTTTAGATCTTTCCATTCCAGCTCACGCTCGGTTTCTGGAATTGCAGGTGGCGTGTCTCAAACAGCTAGCAATGGAACGTCATCGGGGAGCGGCAACACGAATTCTTCAAAGGGCAGCAACATCTCTGGCAACAGCCAGTTTTCTGCTGCCAGTGGCGATGACTCATTTTCAAATCCAAATGGACAGATCTTGCCCACCCCAAACTTGAGGATCTTCTCATTCGCAGAGCTTAAGCTGTCCACCAAGAATTTCAGGTCTGATACAGTGCTTGGAGAGGGAGGGTTTGGTAAAGTTTATAAAGGTTGGCTCGATGAGAAGAAGACAGGAAAGAGTGGAAGTGGAACTGTGATTGCTGTCAAGAAATTGAATTCTGAGAGCTTGCAAGGGCTTGAAGAATGGCAGGTAATTCAACTCATCAGCTTCAAGTGAGCTAAGCAATCTTTCCGTCTCCCTAACTTTTCCTTCTAAACATGGAAATTTCAATCCTAATAGAATAGGCTTCTAGATGTTGCATTCTCTGTAGTGCATTGCCAGGGAGTTGGCTGTTACACTCTTTTGTTCTAGATTGCATCTTATAAACACTTCAATAACTTTAGGAACTGCACTTTCTGAGTAATGTCTTTCATTTGAATGAGCCTGGTTTACTTTCGTCTAATCTGATGGAGAAAGCAATGAAGCTTCTAAATGGCAATGCCAAGGTTTTCCAGCTGGGTTTTAAGACCCTTCGACCTGGCCTTTGCAGTTCGCACTTCTCTCGTCTCTACTTGCATTTTCCACTAATGCGATTATGTGAATCTAGAGATAAGCAATGACATGCAAGTCCATAACAGTGGGGAAGCTAAACCTGCAACTCACTTGAAGTCTGATTTCTGTATATCGTGTGAATTTGATTTTCCTTAGTCTCTCCTAGCTTATCATCTTTGCAATCTTTTCTTTGATGTGAAATTTGTGACCATGAACTGATGAACATGTTGCTACTTGATTATCCGTTTTTCACCATTGGCTGTGTTGTTTGTTTGTGCAGTCCGAAATAAACTTCTTGGGGAGGCTTTCGCACCCAAACCTAGTGAGGCTATTAGGGTACTGTTTGGAGGATAATGAGCTCCTCCTCGTATATGAATTCATGCAGAAGGGCAGCTTGGAAAACCATCTATTTGGAAGTAAGCTAAATCATGAAACCCTACTAAACAGACTCCCAAACTCTGTCACTCATTTGATTACTTTTCAAGCCTTTTTCATCATCTCATCTTTGTTCTGGAATTGCACAGGGGGTGCAGCTGTTCAACCACTTGCATGGGAAATAAGATTGAAGATTGCGATAGGAGCAGCTAGGGGACTTGCCTTCTTGCATACACCAGACAAGAAAGTAATCTACAGAGACTTTAAAGCGTCAAATATATTGCTCGATGGAGTAAGTTTCTCACTTGAAGTGCTCTTTTGGCTTTGGGGGGAGAAAAGAAATCACAACTGAAGATGACTAATATCATTGGTGTTTCAGACTTCGATTATTTATGATGATTGATATTTCAGACTTTTCTAATTACTTGTGGCTTTGTGCGATTTCGTCATGCAGTCTTACACAGCCAAGATATCGGATTTTGGGTTGGCGAAGTTTGGTCCGTCGGCTAGTCAATCGCATGTGACAACCCGTGTCATGGGCACATACGGGTATGCTGCCCCTGAGTATGTTGCCACAGGTAAATCCACATTCCTTATAATTGTCGGTTTACTCATCTGGAACCAATTTAAGGTGTCATATTAACATCTTGTTCCATCAAAACAGGTCATCTATACGTGAAGAGTGATGTGTATGGTTTCGGTGTAGTCTTGGTTGAGATCTTGACGGGGCTAAGGGCGCTTGACACGAATCGGCCAAGCGGGAGGCATAACCTGGTGGACTGGATCAAGCCTTATTTAAATGACAAGAGGAAGCTGAAAAGCACCATGGATTCTAACTTGGAAGGCAAGTACCCTTCGAAAGCTGCATTCAGGATAGCACAACTTGCCCTAACTTGTCTGGAATCGGAACCGAAGAATCGACCATCCATGAGTGAAGTTGTGGAGACTCTGGAAAGGATCGCATCGAGCAACGAGAGGACACTTGAGCCCCGAAACCGCGCCAACAACCGCCGCCCTGTCAGCAGCCGAAGGCATGGTCAGCAGCAACCGTTGCAGTATCGTTCTCCACTGCATCCACAGCCTGACGGTGGCCAGAGTTACCGAAATTCTCCTCGAGTGCGATGAAGTTTGCATGATTCTTTTTTTGAGGTTAATGTAAACATGTCCTGTTATTGTTTGTTGTGACGGGGAGTTTTTATCAAAATGGAGCTAGACGAAAAGTGGAGTGGTGTATCATGTATGTATCTAAGTGTAGAAGGTTTGTATTTTTGTGGTATGAACTGGTAGAAATATTGGTGTGAGTGGAGAACCGGAGATCCACTTCCTATTTAGCTGGGATGTCCGGGATCTTCTTGTCTGTGTTGTCATTGTTTTTCTTCTGTCTAGGATAAGCCTGTGAATATCTCTTCCTCCTCCCCCCTTTTCTTAAAAATCAAAATGGTAATGAAACATTGAAATGGCTTTGTTCGCACAGAAAATAATGGTGGCAAGTTTGTTTCTCTCTTGCTCTTCGTACTTCTTCCTGTAATGAGACTTAATCAAGTAAGGAATTGCACAGTAGGGAAAGAGGGATTTTCCCACAAAGTACAATAGTTGTTAGAACAATTCTAAAAATACAATAATTTTTCAATTTACACATGTTTGGATTTGATCAATGAAATGTAAAGCGATCAACACGGATCGTTGATGTGGCGAGCGATCAACCTGTGGTGAAGCGATTCGGGTGCATCTCCTCAATGAAAAGCGTTGGGTTCTAGACACGGTTAATTGAGTTGGAATGCGGAGAACGACACGGATCGCTGAGATGGATGGCGAAAAAGCCTTCATCATTTTCAACGGATGCTATATGTGTTGGTCACTTTTGGAATCAATGATCCCCGACCCCTATAAATATAAGACATCAACATGGATCGCTGGGGGATAGAAACCAAACACGTCGATCCGAGAAGCTATTTCAGGTAATTGTCGCTAGGAATTCAACTAGTTAAGCCTCTTGTGGAGACGCTTCCGACCTGGGTCAAAATTTGGGAATTCCACTTGAGTACCACTCGTTCGAAGGGCATGAATGGATTGCAAGTGCTCTGGGTCCTCCGTTGTGGATGGACCAGACGACGAGGGTTGGAGGACAGTTGGGATTTGACAAAATCTGCTTAGATCATGATGTTGATTGCGGGGTTTCGGCTAGTGTTCAACTCTACCCAGGCGATGACCCTTCGTTTGAGGTCAAAGTGTAATACCTTAATAAACCTAATGTATGTGATCGTTGTGAGGTCTACGGGAACGAATGTGACTGGCTAGCTAAGCAAGGAAAGAAATGGGCACCTAAGAAGCGTGTTGAGGAAGTAGTAGTTGTTGAAGTGTAGGAGGACACTGAGGTAGCTGCTAAAGACTTGAAAGATGCTGAAATTCTAGAGGGAAAGCAGGTTGTTGTGAATCAGGGAACTTTTGATATCGAACCTAGGCCTTCTGGGTTCTTGTGGATGAAACAGTAACAATCCTCAATCCTGAATCAAATGGGAGCCCGTGGCGAGTTTTGTGGAGGTGGATAAAGAGTCATCAGTTGTCGTTGGGAGCTCTCAACCACTTTCACAGTCGTCTGTTAATGCTAACTCACCAAAATCCTCTGGGAGGTTATCTCAACAGGCAACTCCTGTTGGGAAGGAGGCCACAACACAATAGAGAAGATGGGTGACTTACCCAAACACAATCAAGGCTAGAATAGTAATTAAATCAACTAGATAAACACATTCATTCATGTAAACCCTAAAATATCCATACATACATAGTAAATCTAAAACTAGGGTTTGGGGTTTAGAACCCCTAGTACATTGGGAGATCACCACATGGAGGGGGAAGAAAAGACATACAAAGAGGGGAAGAAATCATGAATAAAGGGTCTTCAAGTTATGGAAATCCTCCTCCAAGCTCTCCTCCACTTCTTCTCATTCTTTCGACTTCTCTCTCTAATCTCTCTCTAGAATTAGAAATCTTTCAAAAGCCACCTTCTAAAGGGGGAGGAGTCCCCTATTTATAGACTTTAGGGGACACGGACAAGTTCGTGGGCAAGGGGCTGAAGATCGCACCCATGAACTAGAGGTTGCGATCTTAAGGGCAATTCGCGGGCTGGAGGTAAAAGATCGCGATCAGGATCTTTGGGGTAGAGGATGCGATCTTCGGGGGTCACCATTTTTGCCTTGCTGAATGTGAAGTTCGTGGTCTAACATCCCGGTCTCGATCCGAGGTGTCACGGCTACAATCCTTATTGTTGGCACGGAAGCCTTGGATCTTGATTAGATTGGGGAAACTTTCTACTTCTCTCGATATGGCTGAAGTTCACAACCTTGGCTTCAAAGTTCGTGGCCGTGAACTTGGTAGCGCCATTGCTCTGTCGTCGCTTCCTTTCGTCGCCAATAGAAGCTGCCTTGTCGACGGGAGTGTCAAGACCATCTCGCCATCACTCTTTTGTCCTTGATCATCGAAGCCGCCTGCAATTTCGGTAGGCGCGGAACGAGCAGAGGCGGAGAAAGAAAGAATGGAGAGAAAGAGAAAGAATAGGCAACGTAATTCGGGTCCAATTTCATTCATTTTACCCACATATTCTTTAGATGTTTGATGCGTTTTCACTCCGTGAGGTTCGATTTTACGCTAACTTGTTCTTGTTTCTAGTGTGTTTCTGATCCTAACAGGTAGAATCGACCTTGGCAACGAAAGTTGGACGAAAAGGGGCGAAAACAGATCGAAGGGAGGAAGCAGCTGAGGATCACGGTTGAAGCTTAGTTTTCACGGTCAGCCAGACCGTGATAAACTGATAATGGAGCAAACCGTGAAGAGCAAAGGAACCAGAACATTCCGCGATTCCCTCCATACATTGAAGAGATTAAGTGAACCGGCTCATTTTTGTCCAGGATCACGGTCCAGGCTTGGAGTTCACGGTTGTGAACTGGGATCGTGAAAAGCCGTCGATCTGGGTATAAAGGGGGAGTTGAGCTGAAAGAAGGGGGGAGAACCTAGTGTGAGAAAACTTCTTCTTCCTTAGATTTCTAGAGAGAAAAGTGACAAACAAGAGAGGAGAAGAAGTTAGGGTCTCATCCAAGCTCCAATATTTGAGAATCTCATCCTCCAAGGTTGATCTCCACACCAAAGGAAGAAGCAAAACATCTCAAGATGGTCTTTTCTCTTCGCCTTTGTGTATTCCCTCATCTTAGCATGGAGTAGTTTCCTTCTTTCACTTGGGTGTTTGTGAACCCTAGTTAGAATCACGTGAATGTTTGTATGGATTGAATGATTTGTGTGTGGTTGTGTTTTAATGCAGATATTGAGGTATTTTCATGAAGGTTGTGTTGTGCTTTCCATTTCCAACTCTTATGCCAATTCGACCTAGGTAGAGGGAAATCCCCTTATTGATTCCAACATTTTAATAACAAAATCAACAATGCTCTTTGCTCTTTCAAATTTAACGTTCACACTCGGACAAAATTGAAGTAAAAAGCAAGGGGTTGGAGCTGGGTGAAGATAATTTATTCAAAACTCGAGAATTTTTTTGGAGGGGCATGGCCGTGTTAGGGTAGAGAACCATATATATTTATATCATGTTAGCTGTCGATTAACCGTTAAGCAATTATTCGATTATCGTTACAATAGAAGTCATTTCAACCTATCGATGATCGCACTACTTACATTCAATTGACAATAATTGTTAGGGTTATAGGTATAATATGCCCCTCTACTATGACGTTTTATCAAACATGCCCCTCTACTATTTTTTACATCAAACATGCCCCTGTACTTTGAAAAAATTATCAAACATGCCCTTCTGTTAAAATTTCCATTGAAAACAATCGTCAATCATGGTTGAACCGAGATTTAGACGACCCGACATCAACAAATGGGAGCGATGATGTCAGTTTTGTCTCCCGTTTTATTTCTTTGGGTCTCTTCAAAGTGAAATTATTTGGTTATAAAAAAGAAAAAAATCTGAAGTGAAATTATTAGGGATATTTTAGACATTTGTGCCGCCCAGACCAAAGTTCGACCTTGGTTAATGGTTTTTGGATGAAAATTTAAACAAAATGGCATGTTTGATCATTTTACAAAGTAAATGGGTTTGATTAGGGATGGCAATGGGTCGGGTTGGGTCGGGTTTTTTCAAACCCAAACCTAAATTCATGGGTTTATTCGTGAAAAAAACTCGGGGTAAAACCCACTGGGTTTGAAAAACTCAAACCCAACCCAACCCGCTGGGTATCCGTGGGTTCATGGGTACCCACGAGTTTTTGTCGTAAAAATTTACAATAACAAGTTCTTATCAAAATTAAAGTCAAATATCAATCTCTCAATACAAATTATCCATATATAAAACACCATTCTAGAAAATTCAAGCAAATCATAAATTAACTATACAAATTGTTCAACACCAATCCAGAAAACTCAAGAAAATTAAAGCAAATCATAAATTATCTGTAAATCACATGATTAATTGATTACTTCTTCTTTTCAATTAAGTTTTTTCACTCTCCACTCGATAACATCAACTTCATTCTACACAATTTGAAATGAAATATTAGACATGTCTCCATAAACATAAATAATATTAGTTGTTTAGAATATTAAATATAACGAGAAAATTAACTATATGGATGTGGGCGGGTACCCATGGGTCGGGTTTACCTAAACCCAAACCCAACCCAACCTGGTGAATAGTGAACGGGTTTAAACCCAAACCCGGCCCAAAACCCGTCAACACAGATTTTACCCGCGTTGACATCCCTAGGTTTGATGTAAAAAATAGTAGAATGACATGTTTGATAAAACATCATAGAGGAGCATATTATACCTATAACCATATCGGTTAACTTTTAATTCTAAGTTAGTTTATCGAAATGCTAAACATTTCCAAAAGAAAAACAAAATAAATAAATAGAATACATGAAACGACACGTCGTCTGCACAAGGAGAAAGAAATCTGTATGGCAAAAAAAAAAAAAAAAAAAAAAAGAGGAGAAAGAAATCTGGGGAGCTTAAAATAGAGAGCAGAAAGTGGGAGCACGGGAAAGAAGAGAAAACAAAGCACATCTGAGCTGCTCTGCTCAGTCGGCCGGCGTACCTAACGTTCTCCTCTACCGCCATGGCAGCTAGTCGCGCAAAACTCTTGAGCTATGATTCTCTGTTTCTCGCCTGCTTCTCTCTGGTAAACGCTTCCCACTACCTCCCCGCTTTCTTTCCCGTTCCCCTCATTTTCTTTTGCGCGCCATCCTTTTTTCCTTTGCTACTCTCTGATCCCATCTAATCCCCTTCCTTCGTTGATTTTCCATTTCCATATTTTCAAGTTCCGCGACTCCACTCACTAGCTAGGGTTTCTCCCCGACCTAACTTATCTACTTTCCCCCCGTTAAGATCATCAATGGTCAATCAATTGAATTAGAATTGAACAGTGACCGGATGTAAGGATTTCACTGATTTCTTATAGGCATATGTTTTGTGTGATGAATTATACAGGTTATCCTTCATGCTGCCTTAGTCAGTTCCCTCACTCCATCCAGGTATAAATGAGAATGTAGTCAAGTTCTCATCTCGTTTCCCCCATTTTAAAGCATAAATTTTGATTGATTGATTCCACTTGGCACTTTGATTTCTCATTACTGCACTATTTTATTGGTGAAGGGAGCTAAAATCACTCGGCTCCTTCGATGATTGTCAAGCGTGTGACGAGACTCAGGTATCTGATTTCATCCTTCTCTGTCTATGGCTGCTGCTTAAATTATTTGCTCACTGTATTCTGCTTCTTAACTCGCAAAGAAGGCAGCTCTCTCACTTATTCTTGCTACTGTTTCTGCATCTGTGATGGGGAAACAGGACACTTCATCTGCTTCTGGACGAGGAAATCCTCTAAATCAAAAGGTATTGACTGTCATTGGTTTCGGTTGGGAGGACCTAACATGGGGTTTATCTCATACATTGTTTCTCTCATTCATTCAGGATATTGACATAATTGCGAGCTACAGTGACCCTTCTGGCAGAATGCGTGTCAGTAGGGTGAAAATGAAGAGCCTTTCTGCATCTTGGGTGCTTGAGAACCCTGTAGACACTGCTGAGAATGATGGACAAAACAGTACTGCCCAGGTAACACCTTAGTGCTTGCATTCATTGTAGGAATAGTACAAAAAAGAGCTCGAGTTCCATGAACTGGGATCTATGAAGATTAATTTTAACTCCGCTGGTTTTTTTGGATCAAACGGCCTACACTGCTTGAACTTGGGAGTCACCTTGGTGCTTCCTTTATCCTTTCAGACATCGAAATATTTGTCCGAAGCTGGGAACTTTCCTAAAGGTAATGCTCAGAAGAAAGTGAATAGTCGTCAAATTGGAGAAGGCGAAACCCAGTACCCTCCAAAGCTCATGAATCCAGTGAAGCTCAAGCGTCGGGTGAATTGCCAGTAACTTGCTGCTTTTTACTAAACCATGCATGTTTCTGCCATTTAACTTGAATGCTTCATAGTTCCACCTCTTCAGAAGGAGCGGCAAATGAGGAAGGATCTTCGAACTGCAGAGCTGATCAAAGATGACAAGGAAGCTGACATGAAGACTCAGTTAGCTGCTTTAGAGCAGTCTAAAGCACTGGACACAACTATTACAGGAAAGTACAGCATATGGAGGAAAGATTTTGAGAATCCAAATTCTGATGCTGTGCTTAAACTCATGCGGGACCAGATGATAATGGCCAAGGCATATGCCAATATCGCCAAATCTAATAATGAAACAGGGCTTTACACATCTCTCATGAAACACTCCAGAGACAGTCAACATGCCATTGGCGAAGCAACATCTGATGCTGAACTTCACCCAAGGTGTGCAATTTAGTTCTTTCTGTTTACTCAATGCATGACTTGAAGTGATTGACTACTCGGCTGAATGTGCAATCTTCAATATTTTTTAGTGCACTTGCTCGAGCAAAAGTCATGGGTCGTGTTCTCTCTATGGCCAAAGATCGGCTTTATGATTGTCCGACAATGTCGAGGAAGTTAAGGGCTATGCTGCAGTCTGGTGAGGAGCATTTGAACGCTCTGAGGAAAAAGAGTGCCTTCTTGATTCAACTGGCTGCCAAAACGGTTCCAAAACCGTTGCATTGTCTTCCATTACAGCTTGCTGCTGATTATTTCCTGCAGGGTCATCAGAACAAGCATTATTTCAACAGTGAAAAGCTTGAAATTCCTTCTCTTTACCACTATGCCATATTTTCTGACAACGTATTAGCAACTTCTGTGGTTGTCAATTCCACTGTGCTGCATGCAAAGGAACCCGAGAAACATGTCTTCCATGTTGTGACAGATAAACTGAACTTTGCTGCCATGAAAATGTGGTTCATCGTGAACCCTCCAGCACAAGCAACAATTGAGGTGCAGAACATAGATGATTTCACGTGGCTGAATTCCTCTTACTGTTCTGTCCTGCGTCAACTTGAATCTTCTAGGGTTAAGGAGTACTATTTCAAGGCGAACCACCCTTCTTCTCTATCTGCTGGGTCTGACAATCTGAAATATAGGAATCCGAAATATCTGTCTATGCTGAATCATCTTAGATTCTACCTTCCTGAAGTGTACCCAAAGCTGGATAAGATCCTGTTTCTGGACGATGACATTGTTGTTCAGAAGGATCTAGCACCACTCTGGTCTATTGATCTTCAAGGGATGGTGAATGGAGCAGTGGAGACATGCAAGGAGAGCTTCCACAGGTTTGACAAATATCTCAACTTCTCGAATCCTAAAATCAATGAGAACTTCCATCCAAATTCTTGTGGCTGGGCATTTGGCATGAACATGTTTGACTTGAAGGAATGGAAGAAGCAGAACATCACCGGCATCTACCATTATTGGCAAGACCAGGTGAGGCCCTTAAAAGGCTGCAGCAGTAGCCAGTTTACTTCAACTCAGATGTTGTTCTGTCATGTGTGGGAGTGATGACCAATACATAAAGATGATTAACTTTTTCTTTTTTTTGCAGAACGAGGATAGAACACTATGGAAACTGGGGACATTGCCGCCGGGATTGATAACGTTCTATAACCTGACGTATCCTTTGGATAGAGGGTGGCATGTGTTGGGACTTGGGTATGATCCTGCCTTGAATCAAACAGAGATAGAGAATGGGGCCGTGGTGCATTACAATGGAAACTACAAGCCGTGGTTGGATCTGGCTATAGCCAAGTACAAGCCCTATTGGTCCAGATACGTTAAGTTCAACAATCCTTACCTTCTTGAGTGCAACATCAGTGAATAGAGCCATCCATCCGGCCGGCTAACTTCTTGCATTACAGCACTCCCCCTTCCTCCTTTCTTTGTGTTTGGGATTGCTTTGCTCTCCTGTTTGGCTTTTTCTTTGTAAGCCATCACTTAAATTTTGGTAAGATGACGGGATGATGGCTTAGCTTAGAATGTTGATGGTTTTTGGGTCCGTGTATCACTGAAACGTTTAATTATATCTCTACTGGCACTAAGGATGCTGGAAGAGAATTGCTAAACTCGGAGCTAACTGGGCAAATTAAGATTTGTGCCACTGGCATGAAAGCTTCAAATGAAAAATGCTCTGTAAGGCTGTCCACTCCCAACTTTTGCTTCAACCCATGGCTAAACCCAAGGCTAAAAGGTTAAATAGAGGTTTTGAGGAGCTAAAATAGGTCTGATTTGGGGAGGGGCAAAATGAGCACGGTTAAATGAGCGGTTCCCTCCACTAGCAAAAAAACAACCACATAAACAAATTGTTTTTTGGTTTTAGTTAATTAAATTAAAATGACGTGTTTTGTTTGTTTTTGGTGTTTTTTAACTGAAGAATTCATTTCGGTATAATTATCGTCTATTTGAATGTTATTTGAAGAAAAATATTATGATCATTGAAAATTTTTTTAACTAAAAACAACAGTATCTCAGATATTGTTCAAAATATTGGAGATTTTAATGAATGAAGTTCATTTCGGTGCAACTTTCTTCCGTTTCAATTAAAAAGAAAGTATATCAGAAATTGTTCAAATTTTATCGAAAATCTTCGTATCGAATTATCGTGAACGAACATATAAATTTTAAATTAAAAAACATAAGTTAGGATTACTAAAAACAAAACATAAACTTTTAGCCTTCAAGGTTGCAGGTGCTTTTGTTTTTTAGGCGGCTAAAAGGCCATTTTAGCCATTTAACCCCCCAATTTTTGCCCCCCGGGTTGTGGTTAGCCTAATTGTATAGGCTTGAATCACCAGAAGGCAATCCATCTTGAAGATGAAAGTCTCCAATCGTAGTTGGGGAAGCTGTATCCATGTTGCATTCGCCATTGTTTCAACTTCATGAGAAAACAGTGGCAAAACCAGGATATTGGTTAACGGGGTTAGTATGCTAGGATGATGAATACAAACTAAAATACTATTAAAAATAAAATTGGACAAGAAGCTCTTTCACATCAATAAAATCACCTAAAAATAGTGTCTAAACTAATTGTTGTTTCTGTATCTCAATCAATGTAATCAACCAAAACCTCAGGAAGAAAATTATCATTCATTCTATTGCATAAAATGCAACCTAGTCTTTATAATCTTCATTGCATAAATGCAGGTTCCTTGGTAGCTGTAGAGACGGGGAGAGTCAAAACAATGTGAATCAATTGATTAATAAGGAAACAAACACTTGTACGGGTTCTTCTATTCTTGGTATGACATTTCTTGTAAAGAATGAATCAAGTCTTTTTTGTTTGCCCGTAATGATAAATCTAACATACAACATTAAAATGTAAACTTATTTCATCAAAATTTAAGAAATAATCAAGAAATTGGAACAAATTTTGGGATAAGAGTTAAAAAAACTAAGACGAGATAGAAGTAAGGTCGAATAAATATCATAAAAACACCACATTTGTATAGACTAACATAAATCAGTGCAATGCGTCCGGTTGTGCAAGGGTTACCTGTTGGAAACATGAAGGTAGATTTGTCGGTGGTGGTAAATAAGAGCCTTGGACAACAACCTAACCAAGAAGGGCGTCGGGGTGTAGGACGTGGACAAAAATATGACCAGGGTGCTAAACTAACTGATGAAAAGAGAAATGGAAAAGGATATTGGCCGAAAGGATGAGGGAGTGGTAATGTTGGCTGAGGGAGAGGACAGGTAGAGATGGACTACTTATATATCATGGGCGAGGAAGAGGCACTACTCCTCTAAAGTAAGTGAACTCAGGTGGGAGGCCACTAGGGGGGAAAATGCAGGTGCTCTAATAGCTGGCAAGAGGCTAACAAGATGCAACAGCAGGAAGACACACCCCAAAAGTGAAGACTGACTTCAAGATGGTGGCTTCGGAGGTTGAGGATGGTGAAGAAAAGAAACGTTCAACAGGTGTGGTGGATGACCTGTAGCCGGCTCCTACACTAGTGAATAAATGGAGGGTGGATGAAAATAAGGGTGATATTAAGCATACTAAATTGATGGAAGAAGTCAGTCGTAAGTGGCCCCAGGGCGCCACATGAAGATTATTGCTTGGAATGTAAGAGTTATTGGGCTAGCCCTTACATTCCGATGTATTTTAGGTCTTTGTAGATCGAATAATCCGAGGAAGGCGGGTTGATTCCCACTAAATAGAGACGTTTTCCCCCTCTCTTTAGGGTTTAGCAATAGTCTCTTCGTTAGCAAAGAGTAGTCGAGTCATATAAGCTCTAGAATATGTGCATAATTTTGTTGCTTACTGCTATCTACCATAATTTTGTTGCTTACGACTATCTACCTTTCACCCAGCTAAGATCGTTGATATGAGTTGTTGTTCTCGAACTGAACGAGGAGCCAGCAGTAGCGTTGCCTTTTAAACATAAATTGATTTCTTCATAGACCTTGTCGATTATGGTGTTCAAAGTTTTTGTTTTGCTTGTAGCATCCCATCACAGCACACCATGGAATCCTTCTTGCAAATAGGAAAGTATACCATAGTCACACCGAGACGTCTCCCCCCCCCCCCCCCCCCCCCCCCCCCCCCCCCCCTTTGTTTCCTCAACAACAAGAAAAGGAAACACACTTATGCAAACGTTCCTCAATGTCTCACATACCCAACCGACTCTCTTTTAATCCTTTCTCCATGTCCTTTGATAGAGAAGTTCCACTCATTGAAAACTGTTTCGATCTCATCCAACTGAAGACATATTGCGTTTATTTATTGTTATTTGAATTACAGTTTCACAATTTACTGTTTTATATTGTCGTGAACAATGGTCTTTTCCTGCTAAGTATAAAACAGAGCTGGAGCGATCTTTTCTCTCATGTAGGTTCACAATTACACCACCTTATACTTTCTACATTTCACTAAACCCTAGCTACTCTATAACTGTTATTTAAATACATTCTTGAGTTTGATCTATCTGAGATCGTCAACTTCTGTTGGATCATTTCTCCAATCCCATCGCCGGTCGAGAGACTAAGTTTTCAACATGTTTAACCTTATATGCTAACCTTAAAACGTATGTCTACTAAAGAAAATAAAAAAAAAACTTATGCAAGTGATTTAAATATTGTCAAATGATGACTTTTTATATAATAAAATGAAAATTAATTAAAAATTAATGAAAATCATGTTTTTATATTCTAGAGCTAATATGACTCGTCAGGCAAAAAGAAACACGAGCAGACGAATCATAAAGGATTTAGAATATGCTCACAATATTTGGACATAAAATGGTGCATAACTTATTCATATACTAAGGAAATAACCAAGTATTAGGGGTGTTCAACAATGAGTTGAATATCATAACTGAAAAAATTATCATATATTATGATGAAAACTTAAAACTTAAAATACACACGTTATGAAAAAAATTCCCAATCTACGCATGTTTGGGTATTCACCGCTGCAGAGCAAGGCAGTGATTGCATCACCGCATGAGAGGAGGGCGGTGATTGAATCACCGCTTGAGAAGAGGGCGGTGATTGGGCACTGATTGCATCACCGTTGTATAGGAAGGTGGTGAATGCTTCACCACATTACACAGCCGCGGTGAAGGCCTGAACATGCGTAGATTGAGAATTTTTTTCATAACATGAGTGTTTTGAGAATTTAATTTAGAAACATGTGTAACTTGGGATTTTTTCCGTCTCAATGGGGAGGTGATGATAGAAACCTACTTTTTCAGTTTCTCTATCATAATAATAATTATTAATAGTATTACGATTTTATTAGATATGGTTAGTAGTCTTTGGGTCATGTTAGGATAGTTTATTAAGTTTTTCCGGTCTATAAACTTTGGGTCCTTTATTCAATAAGGCAGAAATCAATACAAGAATTATCTCCCAAACTCTAAGCTCTCTATGTCTCCTATTTTCTCTTCTTCCCGAATCCAATGCTTCAACTGATTCTTATTCTTTTCTTCTTCTTCTTCTTATTCTTTCACCGAATTTTTAATCTCAATCTCCAATTCTATCTCCAAATCCCTAATTACCCAACACTACTGATAGAACCGTAGAATTAGGTTTCTATCATTATGGGGTCGTTTGGTTTTGGTGATAGTTTGGTTGGAATAGTTATAAATCATGCAATGTCCACAATGCGTCGTTTTTTTTTTAATTTTCTGCGCAAACAATACATGCATTGTTTGCTTGATTTGACACAAACTATCACTCAAAATGAGTGATAGTTAAATCAGGGGTGGAGCTACACTCAAACTAGGATCGTAAGGATATTTAGTACAAATTTTATAAGTAGAACTTGTTGCGTAAGTTCTGTTGTGTAATACTCATGTGGTCTAATGGTAGCCAAACTTGACTTGTGTCTTAAAGCATATGAGTTTCATCCACCATGGCTACATATTTTTTGTTTAATCATTTTTGGCCCCCCGGTCTCGAAATCCAAGCTCCGCCCCTAAGTTAAATCTCAAGTTTTTGTTGAGATTGTTTGATGGAGATTGTTGTGTTTTCTTCTTCTTTCAAATATGTCTCTACCTTTATGTGTGTTGCTTTTTTATATTAAAAACAAAGGGTAAAAGTGACATTTCACCCAAAAATGATATAATTTATTTAAATACTACAATAACTATCACATAAATCAAACGATGTAAACTACAATACACCAATTTTCTTATATTATTATGCATGCATTGATGAAAATAGATGGATGTAAATTATGTAAACTACAATCAGTGGCGGACCCAGAAATTTTTCATAGGGGTGTCCTCTTTCAAAAAATAAATTTAATAAAAATAATTAATAAAAATAAAATTGTAAATATGAAAATACCTTACTCGTACAGGTTAAAAAAGTCCATGATGTGTTTTCATATTCGAAAATAATTGTAGAATACACTTGGTGTTTATAGTGTTAAAAAAATTGTCTCTATATACACTACTAGACAATCATTCGCGAACTTATTGCATATTTGATTTGTAAACTTGTTCTTGATATAACCCAAAGCTGAAAGACTCTTTCAACACTTGCCGTACAATCATAAAATCAATACAAATTAAGGGTAGTTTGAAATTATTTTAATTGTTAGGTTTTAAAAATAATTAGAGATAGGGAATGCCATTTTACTATTACACATTGTTCAAAATCGAACAACAAATGAGTTTATCTCAAAGGAAATTAAGTTTATTAATAATAATAGTATTTTAGATTTGAATTATCCAACCTACCACTTATATTCCTATACACAAATGACAGTAGGATAATCATTTTTTCAAATTCAAGGGGTGTCCCTCACTATCAATTATATTTTTTTTATCCGTACATAAATTACCACCGAGGGTTGGATAACCCCCTTGGGTCCGCCCCTGACTACAATACCACATATAATACATATTGTAAATACATTATGGGGTGGTTTGCTTCAAGGATTTGGTACATGAATTTGGTACCAAAAAACCAACTATCAAGGATTTAGGTACAATCCGTTGTTTGCTTGCACCTTTTTTGGAGACCAAATCCGTGGGGCCCACGGATTTTAAGGGTCCAAATCCGTGGACCCCACGGACTTATAAATCTCACATGTTGATGTGGGATTTGGAATATGGCATAAATCCTTGATGAGATGTTACCCATATACCTTCATGTACTTTTAATATTCCAAGGTTGCCCTCAAATTTAACTATTATACATTATAATTAACAATAAATTAATAATATAAACGTTCAATTAATGTGCAAACATGAGTTAGATTTTTTATATAATTTCTTGGGGATTTTTCCAGAAATAGCACTGTATAAAAAAAACATTCCAAAAATAGCACCTAAGTCCGAAAAATTCCAAAAATAGCACCCTTTCCCAAAAACCGCTCCCTACCAGTGCGGTTTAGGCGAAAACCGCCACCCAGGGGCGCGTTTTTGATGAAAACCGCACCCCTAGGGAGCGGTTTTGCAGATCGCACCCCCACCATGCGGTTTGGTTGTAGATCGCACCCCCACCATGCGATCTGCTTTTTTTTTTTTGAAAAATTCTAACATAGGTGGAAACTTCAAACGGACGTATCTTTGTGTTCGGGTATCCGATCGTCGCGAATTTTTTTTTGATTCCGCATAACTTTTTGAGATCTTGCAAGCCGAAGACCTCCGAATGTGGTTTGGTCCCGCCTTCGTCCCAAAAAATGTCCTTTGCTACCCCGAACGAGCTTATTTCCGATTTCGTCAAACTTTGGACAACCATAACTTTGTGCTCCAAAATCCAAACGACATGTTTTTTTTTTATTTCGCATAACTTTTTAAGGACTACAATTTTTACTAGAATGAATTTTCAAAACAGGAATTATTTTGGATATACAGGATTTTGGGAATAGCTTACCTTCCCTTCTCAGCAATCCACGTATATTTTGAAATTATGTCTATGATAAAAGTTGTATTCCTTAAAAATTTATGCGAAATAAAAAAAATCATGTCGTTTGGATTTTGGAGCACAAAGTTATGGTTGTCCAAAGTTTGACGAAATCGGAAATAAGCTAGTGCAGGGTAGCAAACGACATTTTTTGGGATGAAGGCGAGATCAAACCACCTTCGGCAGTCTTCGGCTTGCAAAATCTCAAAAAGTTATGCAGAATAAAAAAAAATCGCGACGATCTGATACCCGAACACAAAGATATGTTCGTTTGAAGTTTCCACCTAGGTTAGGATTAAAAAAAAAAAAGCAGATCGCATGGTGGGGGTGCAATCTGCAACCAAACCGCATGGTGGGGGTGCGGTCTGCAAAACCGCCCACTAGGAGTGCGGTTTTCATCGAAAAACGCGCTCCTGGGTGGCGGTTTTTGCCTAAACCGCACTGGTAGGGAGCGGTTTTTGGGAAAGGGTGCTATTTTTGGAATTTTTCGGACTTAGGTGCTATTTTTGGAATTTTTTTTTAAACGGTGCTATTTCTGGAAAAATCCCCATTTCTTGTGTTCTAGTTTTCTTTGACCTTTTCATGGAACGTGTAATTCTTTGTTCTCCCGATTCTAATATATGTTGTTATATGTTACTTTTGAAAAGGAGGACAAAGAATTGGTAATTGATTATGTTACGTTAAAAGTTAAAACAGAATTTTCTCGTTTATTATTATTGTCCATGTGGCAATATTATGCTTATTAGTATGTATTGTCCTTGTTTTGTGTACATATCATAAACATGTCAAACATATAGAAAATGATAGTAAGGTAATTTTGAAGTTTTGTCCTTGTTTTGTGTACATATCATAAACATGTCAAACATATAGAAAAGGGCAGTAATGTAATTTTTGACTTCAAGTAGTAAATCCCACACCTTTAAATCCATGATAAAAACATCCCAACAAACAGAGGATTGTTACAAATCCATGATGCCTCAAATCCTTGATAAATCCTTGAATTTTTAAATTATAAAACCCTCATTTTGAAATCCATGAAGGGAAGGACCCCTATATTCCAGCACCAAATTGGTTGAATAAAGCGGGGAAAAATCCCAAGTTACACATGTTTTTAAAAAAAGTTCTCAAAATACACACGTTATGAAAATAATTCCCAATCTACGCATGTTTGGGCCATCACCGCTGTCTACGAAGACAGTGATTGCATCACCGCTGTCGACGAAAACAGTGATTGCATCACTGTTGTCGACGAAGATAGTGATTGCATCACCGCTGTCGACGAAGACAGTGATTGCATCACTGCACTACACGGCCGCGGTGAAGGCCTGACCTGCGTCGAAACTTTAAACAAACGTAACTTTGTGCTCGGTTATCCGATCGTAGCGAAATTTTTTTTGATTCCGCATAATTTTTTGAGATCTTGAAAGCCTCAAATTTCCGTAGGCGGTTTGGTCCCGCCTTCGTCTCGAAAATATGTCGTTTGCTACCCCGAACGAGCCTTTTTCGATTTCGTCAAATTTTGAACGACCATAACTTTGTGCTCCACAATCCGAAAATCATGAATTTTTTTTTATTTCGCATAACTTTTTAAGGACTACAATTTTTAGTAGGAGAGAATTTTCAAAAAATGAATTATTTATGGATATAAGGGGTTTTGGGAATAACTTTACCTTCCTTTTCAGGAATCCAAGTACATTCCGAAAATATTTCTATGATAAAAATTGTAGTCCTTAAAAATTTATGCGAAATAAAAAAAATTCATGATTTTCGGATTGTGGAGCACAAAGTTATGGTCGTTCAAAGTTTGACGAAATCGAAAAAGGCTCGTTCGGGGTAGCAAACGACATATTTTCGAGACGAAGGCGGCACCAAACCGCCTACGGCAATTTGCGGCTTGCAAGATCTCAAAAAATTATGCGAAATCAAAAAATATTTCGCTACGATCGGATAACCGAGCACAAAGTTACGTTTGTTTAAAGTTTCGACGCAGGTCAGGCTTTCACCGCGGCCGTGTACTGCAGTGATGCAATCACTGTCTTCGTCGACAGCGGTGATGGCCCAAACATGTGTAGATTGGGAATTATTTTCCTAACGTGTGTATTTTGAGAACTTTTTTTAAAAACATGTGTAACTTAGGATTTTTTCCAATGAAGCGTGGGCGAGAGACACACGAGAGGCTTTTCAGAAAGCTCAAAATAGAAAAAATACAAAAAAAATACTGCAACTTGGACATGAGAATCCATGGATCCGACGGCAAAGCTTAGGAAAGCTCTCCTCTTCAACGCCTCCGAACCAAAGGTTGCATGGCAGCTTTTCAAGCGCATTCTTTCTTTGCCCGCCGGCGAACACTTCCCCGTTGCGGTAGACACCATTACTCGGATCCTCATCCGCGCAAAAATGATGAACGAACTCGATGAGCTCCACCAACGACTCCTGCAGCATTCTACCTTGCCCCTACACATCTTGCATCCTTGTCTTACTTCTTCAATAGCCGTTTCAGCTAATTCAGGTCTCTCCGGTAATACCCTTTCCCATTTCAAAACCTTCCGATCTCGGTTCCCAGATAACCCGCCCTCCATACATTTGTATAATTGTCTGGTTCGGTCTTGCATCAAGAGCGGGAGTGGCGACCACGTCGCTTGGTTGTATAAAGATATGAAAGTAGCTGGGATTGCTCCGGAGACTTATACGATCAATATTTTGATTGGGTTTTTGTGCGATTCCGGTCGGTTGGAAGAGGCCTACCAGCTGTTTGATAAAATGCCTGACAAAGGCTGCAAACCAAACGAGTTCACTTATGGGATTTTGGTTCGTGGGTATTGTCGTGCTGGGGATTCCTGTAGAGGTTTGCAGCTTTTGAGTGAAATGAAAAGTGGGGGGTTCGCCCCTAATAAGGTTGTGTATAATACTCTCATTTCTGCATTCTGCAAGGAAGGTAAGAACGACGACGCTGAAAAATTGGTGGAAAGAATGAAGGAGGAAGGGTTGTGTCCTGATATTGTGACTTTCAATTCTAGGATTTCAGCTCTCTGTGATGCTGGGAAAACTCTCGAAGCTTGTAGGATTTTTAGAGACATGCAGATTGACAAAGACTTGGGGCTACCGACGCCTAATATCATCACGTATAATTTAATGCTTAAGGGGTTCTGTAAGGGAGGGCAGTTGAAGGATGCCGAGTCCCTGTTTGAGATTATGAAGAGCGACATTTCTCTACTAAACATAGAGAGTTATAATATTTGGTTGTCAGGTTTAATAAGGAGCAGGAGGATCTTAGAGGCTCGATTAGTTCTAAAAGAAATGACAGATATTGGAATCAAGCCTAACGTATATTCTTATAATATTGTGATGGATGGGCTATGCAAGAATGGGATGCTCTCAGATGCAAGGGCGCTCACGAGCGTAATGGCAAGCAATGGTATTTTACCAGATTCAGTTACTTATAGTACGTTACTTAATGGTTTCTGCAGTCGTGGAAAGGTCTTGCAGGCTAACAGTGTTCTGCACAATATGATGCAGAGTGGCTGTTTCCCAACTCCTTACACCTGCAATATTCTACTGCACAGTCTGTGGAAAGAGGACAAAACATCTGAAGCTGAGAAGCTGCTGCAGAAAATGCATGAGAGAGGCTATGGTGTTGATACTGTGACATGCAATATTATTCTCGATGGTCTCTGCAATCACGGCAAACTAGACAAGGCAATTGAAATTGTGAATGATATGTGGACTCATGGGAGTGCTGCTCTTGGTAACTTGGGTAACTCATTTATTGGCCTCATAGATGATAGGGATAGTGTGAAAAAATGTGTGCCTGATTTGATAAGCTATTCGATTATAATATCTGGACTATGCAAGGCTGATAGGGTTGATGAAGCAAAAAGGAAGTTTCTTGAGATGATGGGAAAACATTTGCAGCCTGATTCAGTCATTTATGATACTTTCATTCGTTGCTTCTGCAAAGAGGGAAAGTTATCTGCTGCATTTCGAGTGCTTAAGGACATGGAGGAAAGAGGTTGCAGTAAGACCATACATACTTTCAATTCATTGATCCTTGGCTTAGGAAGAAAAAATCAAATATTTGAAATGCATGGTTTGATTGATGAGATGAGCGAAAAAGGGATTTCTCCGGATGTTTACACATATAACAATGTGCTAAGTTGTCTTTGTGAAGGAGGGAGGGCTAAAGACGCACCCTTAGTTCTGGAGGAGATGCTCCAAAAGGGTATTTCTCCAAATATTTCGTCCTTTAGAACATTGATTACAGCTTTCTGCAAGGCTAATGATATAAATGCAGCGCAAGAGGTGTTTGAAATTTCGCTGGATGTGTGTGGCCACAAGGAAGCCCTTTATAGTTTCATGTTTAATGAATTAGTTTCTGGTGGACTAGTTGCTGAAGCTGGAGAGCTCTTTGAGTCTGCCTTAGATAGGTCTTTTGATGTGAGTAACTTCCTTTACAAAGATCTCTTTGAAAGACTTTGTAAGGACGACAAGTTGGAAGATGCCAGAGCTTTGCTTAATAAATTAATCGAGAAAGGATACGGGTTTGATCCAGCTGGACTAATGCCAGTGATTGAAGGCTTACGCCAAAGGGGAAACACGGGCGAGGCTGAAGAACTCTCAGAGAGAATGATGGAGATGATATCAGAGGACAAGGTAGAAAACAGGAATGGTCAACATAGGATGGGTTTCATGTTTGGATCGAGAAATAAGGACGGTGCAAATGATTGGCAACGCCTGATTCAGAGGTATGCCGATAAAGAGTTTATTTATCCATAAAAGGCTTTGGTTTTTGTCATTTCAGTCCTAATTATTTTTCCATCAATGATAATCCTGATTTGCATGTTATCTTGTCTGTTTCCAGAGATGACGGTAGTGGAGTCACATTGAAAGTTCTTAAGCGGTTGCAGAAGGGCTGGGGTCGGGGAAGCCTTTTAGGTAAACGGCCTCAGGAAGATGCATCCATCTTCTAGGTGTGCTGTCCCAGGAAATGAGTTAATTGATTACTGAAGTGGCAGCGGTTTAATTTTGGTGTTCCATTGGGCAAAAACCTGGGCATGATAGAATCCCGGTATCTAGGAGGAGTGAAGCTAACAGTATGACTGATTCTCCCAGTGTGGTAATGTTCACCAGGACGGTATGACCCATCTGACTTTTATTCTCTTCCACCCATTTGTGAAATAAGCAACTTTGTGTTTGCATTGCAGTGAATTCATATCCTTGTTTTGCTTAGTGTGTACATGATATGGTATTGGATGGTATACGATGCATATGACATGGTATCAAAGTCTTATCAATCTGGAGGTCCTGTCCTGTATATGAATTTTGTTTGTCCCAATACTATATGTTGATTTGACCGAATAGTATGACAAGTCTATGTAAAGTTGAAGATCGTGAGTTGACTGAAGCACTGTAACCGGTCACTTTGTTGTAACTTCATTCTCTCTTTGATAGTGCATTCTCTCGACCTCTAGCAAGAAAACAGTGGTTTCTACTTGGACATGATATACAGCATTAAGTCAGTTTTATAGCTTCTCTGGGTACGTAAAATTGGTTGTTGCATTAAGATGCACTTTTTCCCTTGTTCGTAGATAAGGTTTCAATTTCCAAGCCAGTGGAGCATTAGCAAACTTTCGCACCAACAAAATGTGAAGAGGTTGATTGATGAGAGCCCATGCTGCCAGAGACGGGACATGATAACCTCAAGAAACGCTAGAAGCTCCATGAGAAAAGGGTCACACGCTCCCAGGAAAAAGGTGGCTCAATGCACATGTGAGTTGACTGCGAGGGAGCACAGATTGCGCCATCAGCTTTGATAGTGAAGAGGTGGTGGTGCCGTTGGCAATGACATCTGTGTCAGGATTATGGGCCAAGGCCGAAAACGGGTCTCATTCTCCGAAACCCCGCAAATCCAAACGGGTGTCAGAGATGTCGAGCACAACCTACGATCGACGAAGAAAAGAAGCCACAGGTAGAATGGCATTGACACAATCTGCCATATGTAGTAAAAGCAGATTATGTGGAAGAACGAGCAACTCTCGAAGTTGCAAGCTGCAGCAACGGACCATCTGAGGACGCAGGTCCGTGGCAACGTTAACGACACCTGCGTCAGGAGGCTCACTGCCAATTGAAAATGGTACATTGGATGTGTTTGTTTACAGTACGATTACATCTGATCTATATAGTGACCGTTGTACAACGAATTGAATTTTGCATTTGTACATCATTATGATTACTTGATCTACTCTTGTTACTCTTCCGTAGCCTTTGCTGTATAATGTTTCCGTTTTTCCATGCACCCTTGCAGTTTTAGCAATCAGTTGCCTTCTCAGTATATTCCATGTAGCTGATTTGGGGACGCTGTCTACAAATACAAGTCTCCTCAGTCTCTTGAATTAGATCTGTATATACAAGCAATGGAATTTGGTGGGCGATCTGCGTACCTAGTGAAAGAGGCTTTGCAAAAGTGATATTGTTGAGAGAATCTTGAGTTGATATTATTCAATGAGAAGTCTCGGCTAATATACATAGTTATACAACAAGAATGGCTCCCACGTTCCATGAAGTTAGGATAGAAAAAAAGGTAGTGGGAGAAGTAGGGAAACTAATAAGAAACAGAAAATAAAAATACTTTTATTTACATATTTCCTTAATACGCCCCCGCAAGATGGAGGAGGTGTCAACGACTCCAATCTTGAATCGAAGAAGAAGAAACCGTGTGGTAGGGAGAGGTTTGGTGAGAGCGTCTGCGAGCTGATGAACCGTGGGAATGTAGAAGACAGAGAGGCGGCCGGACTGGACGAGTTGGCGAACGAAGTGATAATCCAAAGCCAAGTGTTTCATGCGAGAATGAAAGACTAGGTTGGAGCTGAAGTAGGTGGCGCCAAGGTTGTCCGAATGAAGCCTGGGTGGCGAAACCAAAGGAACTCGTAATTCCGTAAGAAGATTTTGAACCCACTCTAATTCGGCCGCAGTATGAGCAATAGCACGGTACTCGGCCTCCGTGCTTGATCAAGCTACCGTGCGCTGTTTCTGAGAACGCCAGGAGATGAGTGTGGAGCCAAAGTAGATAAGATAACCGGACGTGGAGGAGGGATCATCAAGATTGCCAGCCCAATCCGAATCAGAGAAAGCCGTTAAGGTGAACGGAGTACTAGAACGGCGAATAGAAAGACCAAAGGTGAGAGTACCAGAGATATACCGAAGAAGGCGCTTAACGCATTGCCAATGCTGTGCGGAGGGGGCATGCATGTACTGGGATAGTTTGTTCACGGAAAAGGCGATGTCAGGACGAGTGTAGACAAGATATTGAAGAGCACCAACAACCTGTCGAAAACGAGTGGCATCAGTGGGAGGAGTGCCATCAGCCAGTGTGAGAGTAGTAGAGGCGGCCATGGGAGTGTCAACAGGCTTAGCATCAGTCATGAGAAAGTGATGGAGAATGTCGACCATATACTTATGTTGAGAGAGGATATAGCCAGTGGTAGTGGGGATAACCTCAATGCCCAAGAAATAGTCAACAGCACCAAGAGCCTTGAGCGAAAAACGATGGGAAAGAGCCTGCTGAAACCGATGGAGCACCGTAGGGTCGTTGCCAGTAAGAAGCAAATCATCAATATACACCAAGAAGTAGAGAAGAGTCTCCCCATGTGAATAGACAAACAAAGAGGCATCAGAATGCGTCTTGTGAAACCCAAACTCCTGGAGAAAGGTGCACAGGGTAGTGTACCAAGCCCGGGGGGCCTGACGAAGACCATAAATAGCCTTCTTGAGGCGACAGACATGATCAGGACGAGAAGGATCAACGAAACCAGGGGGTTGCACCATATAAACCTCATCTTCCAATGGGCCTTGAAGAAAGGCATTATTGACATCAAATTGAGAGATAGACCAACCATGAGTGAGAGCCAATGTGAAGACAGTGCGAACAGTGACCGGTTTGACAACCGGACTAAAGGTGTCAGTGAAATCAACACTGGGACGTTGATGAAATCCCTTGGCCACCAGACGTGTTTTGAAGCGTTCAATAGAACCATCAGAGTGATGCTTAACACGAAACACCCAGCGATTACCAAGAACATTGTAATGAGGGAGTCGGGGAACAAGCTCCCATGTGTCATTAGCCAGCAGTGCGGCATTCTCAGCAGATAAAGCCTCATCCCACTCTTTGTATTGACGGGCCTCCTGAACCGAACGGGGCTCCAGTGGGGGTGGGCCAGCAGAAATCTGGGTAAGAAAAAGTCTCTTCTTGGGCCGGAAAATTCCCCGTTGGGCCCGTGTTTGCATGGGGTGCGAACGCACCAGAGGTGGAGGCTGGGCTGGTTCGGATGTAGAAGCAGAGAGGGGAGTGACGGGGGCCACAGTTGGGCCAGGGGGAGCAGGCCCAGTAGCGGAAGGAGCAGGCACAGGAGCAGCAACCTCGAGGGATTGAACAGCCGAGTGATGTGTATGCGACGAAGAGCTGCTGGGTAGGTAGGTGATAGTAGGGGACATGTCCAAAAGCCACAACTCGGACGAGGAGAAATCAGCGGAGGCAGAAGCATGATACCCTGGAAATTGAGACTCAACAAATATAACATGGCGAGAGAGAAATAGACGGTGAGTGTCAGGATCAAAACAACGATAAGCGCTGCGTTGAGGACAATATCCAAGGAATAGACAAGGCCGGGAACGAGGATCGAGCTTGTTAGAGGAATAAGGACGGAGCCAAGGATAACAAAGACAGCCAAAAACACGAAGTTTATGATAATTAGGTGACAACTTGAAGAGAAGAGTGTAGGGAATTTTACCGCATAAGGCTGAGGAAGGAAGACGATTGATGAGATATATGGCAGTGGAAAATTCAAACGACCAAAAAGAGGTAGGTAGTTTAGCATGATGAAGTAGAGTTATACCAGTTTCAACCAAATGTCGATGTTTTCTTTCAGCAAGGCCATTATGTTCAGGAGTATGTGGCGGAATAAGGAGATGGGTGATGCCATTAGCAAGAAGATCAGATTTCAATTTTTGAAATTCTCCTCCACCATCCGTATAAAGACGACGAATAGTAGTGGAAAAATAGTTTTCAACCATTTTTCTAAAGGTAAGAAAAACTTGAAGAACGTCAGATTTATTGCGTAAAGGATAATACCAAGCATAGCGAGTGAAATGATCAATAATAATCAAGTAATAGCGATACCCATCAATGGAAGAAACCGGAGCAGGGCCCCAAACATCAGTATACAAGAGATCAAATGGTCGATCACTGGATAATGAGGAAATAACAAATGGAAGTTTATGGCTTTTATTAGAAAGACATGCATCACAAGGAGAAGTGGCAAGGGAAGTTGAAACCGGAAGAGAGTTTGACCGAATAAGACTGGCGAGAGAATGATGGGCCGGGTGACCAAGTCGAGCATGCCAAGAAGTCGCTGATGTCCGAGTCGTCACAAGGGCCTTTCGTACATTCTTTACTTCACGTGGCAATTCATACACATCACCGTTGTTTTCCCCCTTCAGAAGCTGCAGCCCCGTGCGAAGATCCTTCACAACAAAATGAGTGGCAAAAAATTCCACCGACACCGGATTAGTTTGGCATAATTTAGCGACCGAAATTAAATGTTTCTTGATAGTCGGAAAACATAATATATCGCTTAAATGAAAGGTATGACCACCAGTAGAAAGTGAGGAGGATCCAATATGAGAAATGGCCAAACCTGAACCATCACCCACTAATATTTCATCTGGGCCGGAGTAGTCTGAGTAAAGGGAGAGATGGCCCAAATCCGATGTTACATGATGGCTAGCTGCTGAGTCTAATAACCATGGGCCTGAGGAAGAAGAGACATCAGATGGGCCAGCATGGGTATTGTTGGCCTGGGCTTGCCGAGTGTAAGTAAAGGCCTGTCTGGCCTGTGGAAACAACTTAAAACACTGCCTAACTGAGTGACCATGCCTCTCACAAAACTGACAGATAACTGTGGGCCGACGGGGCCTGCTGGGCTCAGACACGCCAGAGCTTGGGCCGCGCGGGGAATATGGGCTGAACTGCTGCTGCCGGCCGCTTGGGCCATGCTGGGGGAGAAGCCCAGCTGTTGTGTCGAGCTGCTAGGGAAACTCGCCTGCTGCGAGCGAGAGGAACCACGTGGCGAGGGATTTCCGCCGCTAGAGACAGAGTAAAAATTGCCCCCACCGTCGCTGTTGCTGCTTCGACGCGAAAGCCCCTGCGAGTAGAAGGCTGTGGGGACGGCGGCTCGGGCCTGCTCCTTGAGGTCCGCCTCAAACTCGACTAGAGAGTCAAGAAGATCTTCAATGGTGACAGCCGACCCCGAGCGCGCACAGCAGCAGCAAACTGATTGTAATCGGCCCCTAATCCACGAAGACAATGGACCACAAGATCCAAATCCTTCACTGGTTCATCAATAAGTGCAAGTTCGGCAGCGGTGAGTTTGAGATCATTGACATAAGAAATAACATCTCGATTTCCCTTGGTGGTGGAAGCCAATTTTCCTTTCGGATTAATGATACGAGATTGAGAACGACTAGCATACAGTTTCTCCAAGATCAACCATGCTTCTCGAGACGTAACAGCAGCAGACACATAGGAATATAAAGATTCTGATATAGAACAACGAAGAGCATGGAGAATGAGTTTGTCTTGATGATACCAACGACGATATGCGGGATTGGGAGTGGTGGTGTTTTCTGCAGTGATCGTTTGTGCAGGAGCCACACCAGTTCCATCAATGAAGCCAATGAGATCCAATCCCATGAGGAGGGTCTCCAGTTGAGATCTCCAGGAGTGAAATTTGGTTGGGGTCAACTTTAAAGGCAATTGTGCAGCCGGATTGAAGGTAATAATGGCTTCTTCTGCAGGTACCGAGGTGTTTGATACTAAGGGGCCTGCCATGGTGAAGAAACACAAGAAGCAGGGAAGAAGCCAAGACTCGTAGGAAAGAGGAAGGAGTTGTGATTGAGCTAGGTGATCGTATCCAACTCTGATACCATGAAAGAGGCTTTGCAAACGTGATATTGTTGAGATAATCTTGAGTTGATATTATTCAATGAGAAGTCTTGGCTAATATACAGAGTTATACAACAAGAATGGCTCCCACGTTCCATGAAGTTAGGAACAGAAAAAAAAGGTAGTGGGAGAAGTAGGGAAACTAATAAGAAACAGAAAATAAAAATACTTTTATTTACATATTTCCTTAATACCTAGGCCACGATTAAAATCTGTACAGCTTCTTCGTTGACCGAGCAATCTAGCTTAAGAACAACATACGCAATCGGAACTTGGCCAGCCTGTTAATCTGGGCATCTGGATAGACGAAATTCCTGAGACGCGGACTTGATTATGTATTGGTTCAAACAAGATGGTTAAAGTTAGGCCACACACTGATTGCCTTGATCCCGAAGACAAAAGATCCGATAATGGCTAAGGAGTTCAGATTTATAAGCTTGTGTAATGTGATGTATAAGATGCTCTCGAAGGCGATGGCGAATAGATTAGAAGTTCTGCTGGATAAGATAATTTTGCCGGAGCAAAGTGCTTTTGTTCTTGGACACTTTATAGTTGATAATGTGATGACTTCTTTTGAAGGTTTTCATATGATGAAGAAGAAAACAAAGAATAAGACGGGTTATCTCGCGAAAAAGATGGATATGGCAAAAGCCTATGATCAGGTCGAATGGTGGTTTCTAGAAGATATGATGAACAGAATGGGCTTTGCGGAAAGCTAGATTCAGCGAATTATGATGTGGCATACTCAGTCATGGTTAATGGGCACCGGTCACAATCTTTTGTCCCGACCAGAGTGATTCGGTAAGGAGACCCACTGTCTTCGTACTTATTCTTGCTGGTGGCGGAAGGCTGTCTAGTTATGTTTCGCTATGTGTCCGACATAAGTGCATTCGTGGGGTATCAGTGGCTAGAGAAACTCCTATGATATCACACCTCGTTTTTGCTGACGATTCTATCTTTTTTGTCAGGGCAATGGTCAAGGAGGGCATAGAGCTGAGAAGAGTACTGAATTACTATCAGAACTCGGGCAACTTGTCAGCTTGGACAAATCTGAGATTACTTTTGGATCAAATGTTAAGGCGCATCAACGGTTGTTGGCTAGTTCGAGTTTGGGCATGAAAGTGGTAGAAAACATGATAAGAGGTTGGTGACTCAAGATGACATATCGAAGAAGGAACTATTTGTGTATCTAAAAGATCGGGTGCAAAAGCTCTCTGGGTAGAAGGAAAAGACGATGTCGGCTGCAGCAATGGAGGTATTAATAAAGTCAGTGGCCCAAGCTCAGTTAACATATACGATGTCGGTCTTTAAGGTACCTCATGGCATTCTTGATGAGATTTATAGCTTAATTACCTAGTTCTGGTGGAGACAGAAAGGACAGGAAAGAAGAATACCTTGGATAGCGAGAGAGCTCTGATTTGCTCTAAAGCACAAGGGGAATCGGTTTCCGAGATCTTCGTGGCTTTAATCAAAGGTGGAGGGAGTGTGTAGGGAGGGGGTGCCCCTGCACATCCTTGGATTGGAGACAAGGTTAAAAATTAGTATATATAGTATCTTGGTTGCAATGGAACTTGAATATAGAAGGTTATTCCTTGTACTTAATTATATATATCATTAAACTAAATTAAGAACGTACATTTAAATTATTTTCAATTATATAAATGATATCATAGTTTGTACACGAATTAAATAAAATTCATATATGATTAACTCAATATCTTAAATCTCTAATGTTTTAGATAATTGTTAACTCTAAATTATGGTGACTCTTAACCTCCCACAACACCATTATGCGTCCAATACCTAACTATCCACCCAAACGTGGTTACTAAGTCGTTGACCTCTACCATCTCATTCCAATCGATGTTCCTCGGCTATCCATAATCACTAGAGTGACTTTAACGTAACTCTCCGTGGATGGAATGATAAGGAAAATCATGAATCATTTGGTAGGACATATTGACAATAATATCTTTGATAGTTTATATGAACATATATTTTAAAATATATATATGTGGAAAAATGTTGTGAGTCACTACATAGGATTAATAATTTATCATATAAGATAAATTTATTTTAATTAAGAAAATGACACCCCCTTGCGTAAAATCCTGGCTACACCACTGGCTTTAATCAAGCTCTTCTCGTGCATTAGTTGTGGCATCTCTACTAGCTCCCTGAATCTCTTGTTGCTAGGATGCTGAAAGTTAAGTACCACAAGTACGATACGATCTTGGAAAGGCAAATGAAGCTGCGCATATCATGGCACACATGAATACTCAATGGTATGAGGCGGATGTTTGGTATGATAGGCCTCCATTGAATCTAATTGATCAGCTTAAACTTGATGATGTAACCGTTCTTAATCAATAATAGCGGATTACAGATTTCGGTAAAAAAAAACGTTAGGAGCCGCATTTTGTATGTTAAGGTCCTGGGTGCTCATAGAATGACAACACCATCTAATATCTGTGTATTCCCCAAACCAATTCATTATAGATCAAATAAAGTTTTGTAGTTTGACCACAGGTTATGCAAATTTTAGAAAATAAGGAAAGAGTACTTATCACTCGACGAGTGGGGCAAAGACCATTAATTATGCAAAATATATGCATGTTGTTGA